CCGGCTAAGAGAGGACAGATCTTTTTCCAACATGTTATGGAACCTTGTCGATAATATTGACCAAGAAGTAGTTCCAAATAGAATAAAGGCATGCCGCCCAGGATAACTGAAAGAGCATATGGAATGAGAAATGCACCTGCGAAGAGAGAAGAAAGTTTTCTGAAAGGAACGGAAATATTTAGTAAGGTACCTCCGCCATTTTTATAACATAAATATGGGAATCGCCATATATTCGCTAGATCTACTGCGAAACCAATAATTGATAAGAGGAAATCTAGTTTTTCACTCCATTGTTCTCGTGCTTCTGTTCGCAACTGATGTGATCGATTTGTCGTTGGAAGATTGACCAAAGTTACACTGTTTCTCTTCTTTGGATGTTCTTCATCAGTTGTACCATTATGAATAGGTATCATTGCAACTGGATTCGCGTTCTCAGCGGTTAAATGATTATTATCATTCTCATCGGTATGTGAATGTTTTCTTACCATATCACCATCATCACCTAAAATAAACACTCGACAGCTAGTATCTTCAGATAGAAGATGACGACTTTCTCTATTAAGTGACTCGTAATTGATCACCATGCGCTCTTATTCATCCTGTTTTATCAGAGAAACCCGAGAATGTCATTGTGTATGCGCGATTTCTTGACTGCGAAAGACGAAATTAACAAGTTTTATGTTGATAGAGAGGAAATTGATCGGATTGTTTTTTTCCATCACCGAAGGATATTTACTCTTTGTTAAAGATAAATAGAGAAAATCAGTTCGTTGACAAAAGAAAAGAATTAGAAAATTTAATGAACGAGTATGCATTCATTCAGATCAATTATTAATCTTTACACTTTGAAGAAACACCATTGTTTCGACTTACGTCCGCACGTGTTGATATTCTGATGACTTAAGATTCGTTTGACCATGATTCGTCTGGTAACACACTAATTTGATCTTCTATTCATCCCATGTTCATCAACAGAACCAATATGAAACAAGTATTCTGAAATGAAAAATAATCATGAGAGATTTTTTTTCTCTACGTTTTCATTAATTCACTTCTATTATTATTGTGATTATTAAAAAATGATAGAAGAATGAGAGAAACAAGTTTTTTAATCGAGGAGATTGATGGTTTGTCAATTGTTCTGTCTTCATCTTTTTTTTTCTTCTTCTTCTTCCGAACGTCTTTTCAATAATTTTTGCGCACAATGACAGAGTTTTCAAGCGATAAAAAAAACCGTTAAGTACAATCGGCAAATCTTGCACGAGTTCTCGTCTTTGTCTCTTGGTCGACTCATTTAATAACAGTCTGTAGTATGTCTATTCGGTGTGCATGCACTTGTTCTCACATCGATTCGTACCTTGAGAAAAAATTTATCTCTAAGCATGAGAGAAAAAAACATCATCATCACTCGACTTGTAGATGCGTTTCTCATGCACAGGTTCTTCAGTATTGATCAAATCGGATAGAGATATCGAAAGGCTTATGCACCTATTTAAACGTTCATTTGTCAAAGGATGCATTTCCGTTGACTAAACGATTATGCGAGGAAGATTTCTCTACACACACGCTTGACATAAAGAACAAAAACAAAACATATTTGGTAAATAGATATCAATCAAAGAGCTGGAAGGCATTCAAAGAAATCTATCTCGTTCTGAGTGTCATGAATAATCTATAGTTAAATGTCAGAAGTGAATCGAAAAACATCCGTAGTCGATCGACTCGATTTATGAAGACGATTAATAGGCATGGTCATTTTCAAATTGACTTAATCTCTGTTTTCATCATCGGCCAGATCGTTAAATCAATAAGATTGTAATAAGATCTTGTATTTATTCAGATCAAAGGAGCGAAGTGAAACGAAATTCGATGTTTTTGTTTTGAGTATCAAAATATTAAAATGCCGAGTTTCGAAATATTTCTCTCGATGTCGCTTTGTCGTCGTTGTTGATTTTGACATGTTGTCGAACAGCGCAGCGAATCAATCGAATGTAGAACGTCTTTTAAACATCGCGATTGCGGTTGTTTTGAGGGTGATAAAGGTTCGAGAATGTGATCGATGGATTTGGAATGAACTAGCTTTTGTAAATGTGTGTATTCACGTTGACGAAGACGTGAAAGGGCCATCGTACGTTCAGATGTATCAACAACTGTCGTCTCCATAAGATCGATTTTCTTCGGTGCTCGAACTTTTGGTTTTTTCGAATGGCTATAAGAATAGAAAAATGCAAATTGAATCAAAATAGTATTCACCTACTTTGACTCAATTTCTTCACTCAAAAACGATTTTGCATCATCATATGTTAAATCCGAACCATCGGTATCTTTTAAGTGCGACTGAGCTTTTAGAGCTTGACGACGTAATAATGGCAAATAGCGATTCGATTGACTTAAAAATCGCTCTGGGTGAAGGCGAAATTGCTGCAGAGTACTTTTCGTTGAAATCATTCTCGTCGGCGATCGTCTGGAATGTATTATCGGTTTCATCTGTTCTTCCATTTGATCAACTGTTGTCATTATAGGAACAGAATCAGGTGAAGCTATTTGATACGTTCGTAAGCCATAGGCTGATGTGACATTTCGGTCGGATTGTTTATTCTTATCGATAGGAGATGTNAATCGCTCTGGGTGAAGGCGAAATTGCTGCAGAGTACTTTTCGTTGAAATCATTCTCGTCGGCGATCGTCTGGAATGTATTATCGGTTTCATCTGTTCTTCCATTTGATCAACTGTTGTCATTATAGGAACAGAATCAGGTGAAGCTATTTGATACGTTCGTAAGCCATAGGCTGATGTGACATTTCGGTCGGATTGTTTATTCTTATCGATAGGAGATGTCGTCTTCTTCGATACAAGAGCAGACTGAATATTTCGTCTGTTGTTTAATTGAAATTGGACATGACGATCTTGATTACCATCGTTTTCTGTTGCTTCAATAGTCGTCGACTAGAGTATGAACATAAACATATATGTTAGAAATAGATAATATTTACCGGTTTTTGAATATGTTTTTTATTGTGTCGAAGGAATACTTCAGTCAATGAACTATTCAATTGCTTGTTCGTTTGCTGTGCTAAGTTTCGTTTGATTTTCAATGTATTATTTTCATTTGCTGATGGAGTACGAGCCAATCGATTTATTTGATTTTCTTCGAGAAGCTTTTGTGGATCGATCGATTCTTCAGCGATATCGGTCATATCAAAATAATGACAACATTTTCTAACATAATTCAATGTACTGAAATTATTTAGAAAAGACTATTCAGATCTGTTTTGATCGAAAGAGTTGACTGACTTGAGAATCGATTCGTTGTCTTTATATCGTATTGCTTGTTTATTAACGAACAGTTTCTGATTGTAATTATGTCGTTCGATGAGTTTTTCCCGTTGGTCACCTAATCGAAGCAATCCCATGCGAAGAAGTCGATTCGATTGAGAAAATGAGTTTTCTAAAGGATCTTTTTGTATCCAACGTTCGATACGTTGTTTTCGTACAGATATTTGACTTGAACGTGTCGATGCAGAATGGCAAACGGTTCCGCCGTTCGACATATCTCCTCAACGACAAAACTGAGATTGATTTGAGTTTTATTTTTGTGTAGCAATGTTTACAGAAATATAATTAGTTTTCATTCAGGCATTGCCTTCGCACGCGATTTGTTGCCCGAAAAGGAGAGTTTTATTCGAATATTTGTCTTAGGGATAGATGACATTTATATGTTGTCGAGAAGCTTTACTTTTCTTTTATTAAATGGATATGTATATAAACAATGTAGCGTTATTTCACATTCTTTTTTGTTAAACCTAAATATATATCTGGAATGTATGCTTGAGAATACGAAGAAATCCGATGGCCGCGTGGAATACGAAATAGCTCGCGAAGATGTTTCTTACGTTCGGAGATAGAAACACCTTTTGGAACACTTCGAGCTCGATAGAAACCTGAGGATTCACCGTACAGTGCTTCTGTATCGCTGTCGAATACGTTTTTCGGCGTGCTTCCTTGAAAGAGATTCAATTCACTTTGCTTTGATGCTTTGGCTTTGGGGACGTCGCATTGCTCACCGTAGACCGCATGAGTGTCCATATAAAAGCGCAATCGGGGTGATATTGCACGTTTTGATGAATATGAACGTGAGATCATTCTCGTGATCCATTGAGAAGATGAAGATAAAGATAAGGAAGCAAACATTTGTTTGCAATCTAAAATATGATCGCATAGAATCTGCTCGTATTCATACACGCAGATTTCTCAATTCTTGTTTATTTCAGCGCGAACAAGACAGAAATATGTATTGACATAAAAATACGAAAATAAAAAAAATATTCAAAACTAATTTGGATCGATTCCGTCCCAGTAATTCTTACTATATCCATCTTTGCAATGATCTAGTAAGATTCTTCGTCGTTGATCACAATAGCTTGTTTTATTCATCAATGCTACGATAGCATCTGGATCAGCAGTAATTTCTTTCTCCAGAAATTCCGATAAAGTCTCTGTGGCTCGTTCGAGATCAGCTTGATTTTGCTCGAAGATCTCTGACTGATTGTTTCGTTCTAAATAATATGCAAATGGATATGTATACTTTAGTGTTCGCCGGCATTGTTGAAGAACAGCGAAAACTTTCTGAACAGATTGTTGTTGGGTGTAGGTCATCCCTTCTGCTTGCATTTCTTGTACACGTTGTTTTACTTGATCTGATAGTTTCTCTTCAAATTCGAGCGATTGATTATGTGATTGATATCGTGTATAGTAGTGCATGTAACGAGCGAGGGCTTCTCGAGCCTCAGATTGATTTTTTTCGATTTCTTCTTGTCTGTAAACGTTGCATTGTTGATGTCCGTTCCAATTACCTTAAAACGAAAATTATTTCCATGGGCATGTGAATCATTTGCTATCTCATGTCTACTACATACCAAAACATAACCAACAGAATTCGTGACCACAGCCAGGTTTTCTGCACGCTAAACAATTCTTATTTAAAAACAAAACATAGTAAACTTATCTTACTCATATGATTACAACCACCATTTTTTTCGATACTGGAATGACATTTCGGACATTCTTTGGTATCTAGAACGAAATTCGAATAGAATACCTCGCAACGAACAAGTGTGATGATTTACTTGCGATAATCCATTTCCCATTCATTGATTCATCCTGATTCTTCTGTTCCCATTTTTGTAATACGGAGCATAGAACTGGGTCATGCCATTGTTTCGAGCATTGAAAACAAAACACACTCGAACACTTATCACATTCGATCATCTGTGCGCACTTCGGCGAATAAGTTTTCATTTTGACTATCATCGTACATCCATTGCCTGGACACCAACGTGTCAGACGATTTGTTTGAACAAATCCATCCACTAGATGCTTTTTATAACGTTCCTGAAGATCAGGATTATTAGCTAATAATTTCAATATTTGTTCGTCGTCGATTATTTGAATACAACGGGATGGACAATGAACAGGCTGCCCACAGCCGGTTTGATATATACTCGATTGAAGATAGATTTGCCAACAGGACAAACAATGCTGATGTCGACATGGGAGTGAATAAAACTCAGCAATTGATTTTTCAGAATAACAGCTAGAGAGAAGAAGGCAATGTTATATGATTTTACGTTTGAATTAGTTACGTTCGACAAACTGCATTGCCAGCAGTGGTTGGCTGTTCAGTAGTGTTAAGTACGGGATTCGTTGATGGGCCGATAGCTGGTGAAAGAGGATTCCACTGAAGTGATGGTGAAAGATACGGATTTGCAACATTAAGTGTGCAGAATAGCTTTTCAGGATTTTCGTAATATTCCTCTAAAGAAATCAACTAGTAAAATATTCTTTTCTTAATTTATATACCTGTTAGGGTATTTTTATCCCAATGAAAATGATTGAGTATTAATCGGACCAATGTTGTTGATGGTAGACCAAGTATTTCGTTCATTTCTTTTGCTGTTTTAGTAATTTCTTTCAGTGCCTCTTCTGCAGTCACTAAACTATATTTCATCTTTTCATTGGTAGTAATTGCCGTTTCCGATTCTTTCTCAATCATTTTGATATTTATTTCGAATGAAATGCAACGAAAAACAAGTAATTGCAATAGCACTAAAATCCAACGTCTGCATGACTCATGCACAAAAAGCAAAACACGAATAAATGAAAGTTTACGCGTGCGGCTTGCGACATCTTTGTTCTTGAAAAAGAGTTTCTCTTTTCACATTCTGCACGACGAGGATTTAATCCTCGTTTGACAGCTGGAAACATTTCTGTCTAATAAAGGCGCGTTTCGCATTAATTGTGTAAAGAGGATGATGTTTTACACGACTGAGATTGTGCTATGAACGCATTGAAAATCTAGGCGCGTACACATTTGTTTGTCTTTTTCGGCAACAAGTTCAACAGGCACTTTCGAGCAAATGTTTTGCACATATCCGTGTCATAAGGTCATAATTTGATGTCAAGCAAATATTCCGCTGAAGCAAATGACAATATTTACACAATCGCATCGGGAGTAATTTAGCAAAACAGATTTCTGATAGAATCCCTCGATTGGATGTGTGATTTATGTGAAACGAGAAAATTCACGTGAATAGTTTCTTTTTTTTATTTGATGGAAATCAAAACAAAGCTGGTAGGAGTATTTGTCCACCTTTATCTTCATCAGACAGTCTTTCGACTAACGACGGCGACCAACAATTCCATGAGCATACAGTGCTTTTTGAAGTTCTAACGGGATTGTGCGTTTTTTGTAGGGAGCAATTTGAGCTATACCATGACGTAATTTGAAAGTTGGACTTGGTCGATAGTAACTTGAATACAGTCGGTTTACGAATGGATTTGGTAACGAGAATTCATCATCAATAGGTTCGTCGCTTTCAGAAAACATGTTCAATGAATTGTCACTATTGTCATCAAACGGCAGTGATTGAGGTGAATAAGAATTTACTCGGTAAACATTGTAAGCCGAGACTTGTCGATAATGGATAAGCAACATTAAGAAAATAAACAGAGTGCAGAGATGGAAAGTTAAGTGGAACACTGGAATAAACTGAAATGACACCAAACGAAGCATACGAATTGTTGTTCATCGATGTGCACACACTTACCTGAGCCATAGAGAAGAATCAAGGTTTCGTTTTCTTCGTCAATGAAAAATCTGTAAGCCTAAAAAGAGATCCAATTGAAAATTTAATTTATGTTACCAGATATAACTGAATTTAACCGCTTTTATATCAAAGTTACGCATCTGCTCTACCTACGTTCATCTGCATACGCGCCTGACTTAGAGGAAAATATTTGAATTTTAAAGTAAGTCGTCTGTCACAAATTGTGTTATGTACTATCGCTTATCATACTGATTGGAATGGAAAGTTCTACAAACCAGTGTAGAAAGTAGTTTAGCTCACCATCTGTTTAACAGCTTTTCTTCTCTATACTCATGAAATGACGCCGGGTCGGAAAATAAATCTTTTCTAATAACGCCTTCTGTTCAAGTCATGTTCATCGAAGAACTTCTGAACTCTATTTTTAGTCTGATTGAAACATAATTTACTCAGAGTAATTAAGGGCATAGTCACATCAAAGCATGCAGTAGTAGAAATGAGTGTCAGTTTGTTCTTTCTCAAAACTAGATACATCGGTTGTCATTCTCTCCGAAGGAGCTGATTTTGAATAGAAATCTATCTCTCGTTGTCACAATCTCATTAACAGATAAATCTTGCGTATAGAAAAAGAGAAGAATAAGGACAATAGAATCAGTACATATTGTAAGCTATTGAATTATCATCTTGACATGAATAGTGTTTCGAACAAATCAAAATGTCATCTTTTTTCTATGTTCAATAATCACAAAAACTTATCCTTGATTTTAAGATGCTCATCAAGACTTTTATACTTGCGAGAAATGTTCTGTCGAACGACGAAGAAAATATTTGCTTAATTTTCTTTTTTCTTCTTCCATACGACTTCCTAAAAACTTCTCTGCTTACTCGCCTAATGGAGTATATCGGAGACACCCTACACACTATCGTTTGCGTCAATCACGACACGACGTAAACCTATCTCGATTTGAATTGACTAAGAAAAGCCGGATTCTACGTGTACGACGATATCTATTAACTATCATCCGACTAACATAGATTTTAGCGTGTGAAATCTGTTCCACTGGAAGAATCACGTGCATTTATGCTTTTATAAATCTGTGTCGTCACTATCAAGTTCATTTTCATCAACGCATGCAAGATTGAATAGCAAAAAAGAATAGTGACTTCAGTAAAAAAAAAACTGTTGTTTGAATTTATATTCATGAAGGATATGTAATTATGCATCACCTATCGTTAGTAGATAACGTAGGTGGAGGAGGAGGAGGCGAGTAGATGGGTATAATATTTCTTTTAGCACTGTCATTCACGTCTCTCCTCAGAACCTATTCGATTTTCTTTTTAGAATTAACTCACCTTAAAAAGAAATTAACGCGTGACTCATATAAAATGCAATTAGATTGTTGTCGTTCTCGCCATATACCTATACAGTTTGTCATCGACATGCACTAATTATACGGACATGATAAAAACATATATTTACATAAAAAATAATAAAAGAATGGATAATTATGTTGACGTTTAGCAAACTTTTGTCGACATAGTAGTACTTGCCCGACTGAATATTCCGAAAACGTCAAATTGATTTTCTATAGCTAAACTCTGTTTAAACAACCCGAGCATCATTAAATAAGATTATCCGATAAAACAGCTAGGTACGCACAAATGGGGACCGTCCGTCTTAAAAATCAAAGGCAAAAATTCTACAGGTAAAAGTAAATAATTCAAAGATTGGTACATATTCTCAAAAAGAAGTTTTGATCGAATGTTCTGTCGACATAGTATACGTTGACAAAATAGTTTTAGTCGGAAGCATAAACATTTACAGAATTGTAGATGACTAACGAAATACCTCCATGTTTGGCGACATTACCAATTGAACTTGTTTATCGAATTCTCGATCAACTTGATGAATTAATAATTCTGACTTCAGTTCGCAATGTTTGTAAACGATTCAATGTAATCACAGATTCATACTATCGATATCAGGTAATGTTTTCTTGGGTAAACATTGTTCATTTGACTCTGTATAGACGTTTACTAAAGTGGATCTATCGAGTAAGAGATTGGACGAACGAACTTTACGAAATCTTTCCGATGCATTGCAAACAAATTTGGTAATAGTTAAAACATTCGATCTTGTGTACTTTACATTTATCTCCTATAGACGATTGAAAGTCTTACTTTTCATTACAATCATATAAATGACGGCAATGTGCATTACATCGCTAATATTCTGAGAAATAACCTCGTAAGACAAAACTTTGTTAAAATATGCACTTTTACACTTCCCAACTTGATAGACATTAACAGTATTAAATCTCTATTGCGGTCAAATAAGCTGCGTCGGAGCCCAATGTCTAACTAATGCTTTAAAAGACAATCACGTAATACGATATATAAGCAAATCTATTTGTTTATGAAATCTTATTTATAGACATTGAAAATCATCGATCTTTTTGACAATCAGATCAATAATGAAGGTGCGAGATGTTTCGCTGATCTATTACAAAACAATGAAGTACAAAGCATCAATTACTGTTGCCTTAGTGGATGTTTTCATTCATGTAGACTCTTCTAGCACTGAATCTTCCATTGAACAACATTGATGACGAAGGAGTTGAATATTTGGCGAACATGTTAGAAACTAATAAGGTAAAGAATGGAATGTTTATTTTCCGATGTGAGTATAGTGTGTCTTGTTGTAGACATTAACAAAACTTGATCTTCATCAGAATAAGATCGGTTTTCGTGGATCGCAAGCCTTGAGTAGAGCATTACAATGCAATACGGTTTGACTAATCGATCATTTATCGTAGAAATCATTTTTGTATATAGACACTTGTTGAATTGAACCTCAACGTGTGTAAGATTGGAGATCTAGCAGTTCAACAACTCAGTATGATATTGCCGAAGAACAAGGTGCAACGCATAAAGTTACTTCGATAATTAGTATAATGATTTATTCATAGACACTTATTACATTGAATCTGCAAGCGAATGATATTCATGACGAAGGAATGCAAGATTTGGCTAACGCATTGAAGATCAATACCGTAGGTTACATGACTTTTGAGAGGAAGAACATATGTCACAATTGACTAATAATATTAACAATGAAATAATCATAGACCTTGCAGACGTTGGGCCTTCAAATGAATCGAATTGGTTCTCTGGGAATTCAGCATCTAGCAGATGCATTAGAAAGTAATACAGTATGTCTAACAACATTTCCGTTTCCTCATCTTTTCTACTTTGATATTGCATAGACAATTACCATAGTTGATTTACAAGGCAATCAAATTGATAATGAAGCTGCGAGCTATTTAGCTAAAGTCTTAGAAAAGAACCGAGTATTGGAGATTTCGCTATTCTTTGTGAGTTATTTTAGCTTTTCGAATATAGACCGTCACGACACTGAATTTACGAGCAAATTTAATCGGCAATGATGGACTGAAATACCTCGCGAAGGCATTAGCATCGAATACGGTAATAGAATATCATTACTTTTACTTCATGTCTCCCTACCCATTTCATGATTGTTTGTTACAGACATTGACGCACATGATTCTTTCCATAAATCAAATCGAAGACGAAAGCGTCAAACATCTGGCATATGCTTTGCTAACTAATAGCGTACGAACTATGTGTGTGTGCGCGCATGTCTCTTGTTAAATATGTAAGAATTTTTATAGACACTTACGGTATTAAATCTTCAGAAGAACAAAATCGGATGTAAAGGACTTTTGTATTTATCGAATGCACTACAAACGAATACAGTAGGACTAATTGCTTCTTTTCAAAAATAATTCTATTCTCATCAATAGTCTCTCAAATGCTTAAATCTCCGAGATAATTATCTACGCGACAAAGGAATCAAATTTTTAGCGAACGCTTTACAAACGAACAGGGTAGGGAAAATCGATTCTGTTTTCTCACATGAATTTATATCGATTCTAGACACTCGAATCATTAGATCTCGATATGAACGAAATTAGTGACCAAAGTGCGCAATATTTACTTGATGCTCTTCAAAATAATATGGTAATTACATTATCATCGTTAATTTCTAATACCTTGTCATTCAATATAGATACTAACAAGGCTGAGTATCGAGTGCAGTAACATTAGTGCATCAATGTCAATGAGTTTAACAAAAATATTAGAGAGAAACGTATCGAATCGCACAAAGTAAAATCTATTTCGTGCTTGTTAAAGATAAGAAAAGCTGATTCTCATTATCGGTTTGGTTTCACATTGTTATCATAATGCGTGCTTTCTTTCTATTGATAATAATACTTGTTTATTTTGATAATCGCACAAAAAGGACAATTTACAAAAGGTTACAGTCAATATTGATAGCATTGTTGAATCTAACCAGGCTAAACAGAAATGAAAGAATAAAGATTATGCTTGAGCATCAAGATCGATGGAACTTACAATAAAATTCATAATAACGTGAATTTCGCCATGTGAGCCTAGACCGAGATGCGCTGGAAGTTTAACCCATTCGTCAAATCGATTGTCATCGAACACATGTTTCAATTTGACTTTGCCATTGCCAATCGAATCTCGTCCAACGAGATCAGCATCATACACATCAAAATGAATTGTATCCTCATTTTTGTGTATATTAAATGTAAAACGTTCATTCCATACTGGATTGTTTGAATTAGATATAGTTGTTGTGCGTTGTTTGTACTTTTTGTCCAAATAGATTTCAACATACGCATCGTTTTGTCCGATAAGGTCTCGATCTTTCAGATGACGTCCTTCGACAATGATTACTTCAAGTGTACCAGTTGGCATTGTTCTGGTCGGTGTGTTTTCAAATTTGAGACTTAGGAGTGTATGATGATATCTGGACTTTTGATAGAGCTTAAATATATATGCGAGAAAAAAAAATTATTCGTGTTTCGTATGACATCATAGAATATGTTCTTATCAAATTGACGAGAGTAGTGTATTTGTTTAGAATGAATCAAGCTGGCGACGAAGGAACAGAATCAGTGGTGAATCATGTCTCTTGCTTTCTTTATTCATACAATATCGAAACTATTCACGCATTGATTTTTCTTCCCATGACGTCAGTGACAATTATCCTTGATGACGAAATGTCTACTAATCTTTAAAAGTTGTTTTACTAAACACTTTTACAAACGAGACAGATGACAACAGTTATATCTTCGGGATCATCGGTGGCTTATGATTCATAGTTTGTATCAATTGGAGATCTTGATTTTCGTAAGATATTCGATTTATCGTTCGAAACGCTGGTCGGTCTTGACGTTTACCGTCGTCCGTTCGGGCAAAAAATGTTCGACATACCATTGGATCTCTAGAAGAGCGAAGTTTATTATGTCGCAAAACGGACACGAAGAGTTACTTTTTCAAAAGGTCGACTGTACTTCGCGTTTCCGACGTGCGCGGATCGTTTGAACCGTAAACAAACTCTTGTAAATCAAGACACTATGACACAAAAGAGATAATCGTTCTTTTCTTTCATCAAGTAAAACTAATCCGTTCTTACGACTTTGAAATGTTCTGCAGCATTTAAACATTCCCCTTCTCGTAAATAAATTGCACCAATCCGTGATTCTGTTTGAATGACTTCTTCGGAAAACTCACCAAATAACCGCTTTTTATCCGATAGAGTTTCACAAAGAATATTCAATGCATCCTAAATTGCTCAAATGAGTGAATATCTCTTTCATAACGCGCAAAGTACCTGATAGTTTCTAACTTTGGTATAATAAACAGCCAATTCATCAATAACTTTTAAAACATTCTTAGTTATTTCGTGACTTGGTTCCTTGTATAATTCGATCGCTTTTCGAAAGTCTTTTTCGAGTTCATCTGTGAAATAATAAAGATATTTATGAACAAAAACTCGTTTTTCTATACCTGTGAAATGATCTGCTCGTACTTTGCCGATACTTCGCTCTAAAATTGCCTTCGCTAATTGATGTTTATTTGCAACCGATGATGTCAAATTTTCCTGTCGTTCAGCTAATTCCACTGCTTTGTGAAAATATCTTAGCCCATCGGATGTTTTCTCTTGAAAATGAGTGAAGTACGATCCCGAACGTAGATACAGATCAATCTTTCGTTTCATTTGCTCGTGAGAGTAAAACTTTTCGATATATTCTGTCAATTGATAAATTAAATCTTCCATTCGATTGTAGCATTCTTTGAAGTTCTGCGTGGTAATTATATCGAATTTAATCATTAAATATTTCATATTGATTTGATCGTAATCATCTCTGTGCATCAGTTGTTTTAATTTTTCTAAATATTTTTCGATTAGTTGCATATCATGATCAATATGCGTTTTATCAATGGATAAGATGTGTTTGTTTCTTGTTGATTTGCTTTCTCGCTTGGCATTGAACGAGCATTTGAGTAGAAGAAAGTAGATATCGTAAGCGAGACGATTGGTGAGAAGATTTTCATCGCTGGGCTTGATTTTTAATTGCTCAAGAATTTGTCGCGCACTGAGAGCATGAGATTTAGCTTGAACTAGAAAATTCTTCTTTCGGTTGAAATAGAATTCGCTGAGACTTATGTAAGCACGGGCATTTTCTATCGAAATATCTCCGTACTCCAAATTTTTATAGACTTGCATAAGAATAAGTTGACTGAGGTATTCATCAGACTAAATACGAGAAAAGAGTTGTAAAGAATCCAATGTAGAATGTTAACATACATCCGGTGGGTGTTGACAGTCGAGTAAATCCTTTTCTAAATCTTCAATTTTTTGTTTTGGCGTTCGTAGGTCGATACCCGAATAGATTCGATGCTGATTACGACTGGATACATTTGTAGGATGTGTTACTTGATCAGTTGTTAAACTCGAACGCCGTTGACGATCCTGACTCAGCGAACGACTTCTTATCCTACGAAATACAAAACAAAGTACAAATGATTGTATCGAACAATCGCTCACTTGCTCGACATGCTTTTCAAATCATATGTCTGTCAGTCTGTCAATCTACAACCATAACTAGAAACCCAGGAATCCCGTTGCTATGTGTACACCTTTCGAGAGAGGGCAGCATAGAATAGATCGGTAAGAGAGACAAACGTGAACATTTTTACATTGAAACTTTCTATTCTTGAGATTCTGTTTATTTATTTCATTTCACTGATGTTTAAAAGAAATAAAATATTTAGTTCATTCGGGATGTTAACGTCGTCGGCCGACAATTCCATGAGCATACAGAGCCTTTTGTAATTCAATTGGAATGGTACGCTTTTTATAAAATGGTAGATGATATCGACCATATTGGAGTCCATAGTCATTGATTTGTGACCGTTCAGCACGATTATTTATGGATTTCGATAAGAAAAAAGCGTCCGGTGTCAGATCATTATCATTACCGTCTTCATAAATTGATAAACTATCGATGTTTCTTGCCGATACAATGACAATGAATAAAAATAAGAAGGCAGTAAGACGGAAACATGATGTGGAAACTGAGGTTTCGAGCTTAAAAATGAAGAAAATTGCCTTAGAAGACAACAAGCATTGGTCACTCTTTGTTTCTTACCTTGCTCATTTTAAAAATACAAGAAAGAGGAATTTCTGTATGTCGTCGTTCTTCGATACAAAGCTAAGAGACCTTTAAAACATCTATATATATATATACCTATGAGGAACAAAACTAGATGATCTGTGTTTCTCAAGATCTCTCATCAGATTTCGTCAGTATGGTATCGCAATTCAACACTTTTGCTCACATAGGAAACTTACAGTCATGTATATATCGTTTGCGTGAGTGTAATATAACCAATGACGTTAATCAAATGAAACTCGATGGATCAAATAAATTAACTAATCTAAATTCTATCCTATCCTATCCTTACTTCCACCTACTTTCCATGTCTTAGTTTCGGCATAGACATTAATAAAAAATGCATTTTAATGATGAAGGAAAGGTTCATGAAGTTGAGCCATACGATCCCTTTTGTTAACAAATAATCACGTTACGTTGTAAAGAGACGAACGTCCATGATGTTTCAAAGTTTGCTTTTTGATAACGAAGACAAAAACAGATCTAAAAGACAAAGTTTCATTTCACAATCTTTTCATTCATCGACCATGATGTTGCCTTTAACCTTACTCATTTTTGTTCTAATTTCGCAATTCGACTCGATTCAATCCAGTTGTCAAAAGAACCCTCTCTGTCGTTACAATGGCCACCTAATGACCATCACATGTAACAGTAAATTCGCACAAAACAATATCACATTGCCTACCCCGGATATATCATGTTTTCCACCAGTTAATACCTATGTCTTTCTGAATTTCGAACAAATTCAAGCGTACACGTTTTACAATTTGACCTTTCCGGCAAATGAAACGTTTACGATTAAATTACTGAACGTATCAACGATTGAATCTGACACATTCTCCGAGACGATTAGCCTACCGAATAGTTCGCAGTTATCCATTGAGATTGGAGAGGCCGGTACGGTAACAGATATCACCATAAAACCGAATGCATTCAATCAGATTAAAATTCACCGTTTACATTTCTTGAACCTGAATACTTTCAATGGACACTCAACGTTTGATACAAATGCATTCGGCAATAACCTTCAAATCGATGTTCTGCTATTCGACCAATGTAATCTAACGAGTTTTTCCAATCTATCATCCAACACTACCGTTAACAAACTAATCCTTCGAAATTCCCCGTCTTTCACACAGTTAACCAGCAAAACCGTACCATCATTTTTACCCACAATAAAATCTTTGGAGATCTCCACCACAGGTCTTCAGAGCATCGATGCACATACATTTCAAGCATGGTCACTTATTCTCGAAGAGTTCATCTTGACCAACAACTCAAATTTGGAAAGTTTCCCACCAGCTATAGTCGATGGCGTGTTAATGAAATTGAATAAAGTAGATATAAGTGACAATTCGATCAAAATGGTTGATGCGAACTACGACTGGCTTCCATATAGTTACACAAAAGATTTAGCTTTGAAAAATCAACAGTTGGACTTATTTCTTCGTTCGAATATGCTGAAAATGCTGCCATTTTTACAAAAGATTGATCTTTCCGGAGGTTATCTCGGTGACGATGACGAAAATTTATTCAAAAGCTTTTTTCCAAACTTGACGAACCTAACTTCACTCGATATTTCTTATACAAATTTAACTGAAACAATGATTATTGATGTTTTGACAAAATTGAGTCAAACAACAACTCGATTTGTCGATATTTACTTACGTGGTCAGCACTTGACCGACGAAAACTTCTGTTCTTATTTTACTGTATACAAAAATGCACCTAGCCTACTCAACCTGTTTCTCGATCAGTCACATCCATGCAATTGTATTGTGGAATTATTCTATCGGGATACAGTACCAGAAACAAGAATTAACAACTCCATGTCACATCCAGCATGTTTACTTGACTCCTCTCGACAACGATGTAATATTCAAGCACAAATATCCGTGTCGAATTGTCAAATTGGTGCACAAAAACCTGATACATCTGATGGAGATAACGATCTTGGAGATTATGCATTTGGTGCTGTCGTCGCTGGCGTAGTCGTCGTTTTATTAGTGATGCTGTCACTTGGATACGGTGTCTACCAAATACGACGTCGGCGTAATACTGTTCTTACTATGGAACAACCGGTGGAGAATCCTCAGACAGCTATCGTTGAGGAGCGCTTGTCTGTGTAACTAATATGACGACGTTTGATTTATTAACTTCGAAGAAGTAATGTCATTTAGAAAGGGAAAGAGAGAAAAATGTGATTGTATGCTAATAAACGATGAAAGATGGCGCTTTATAATAATGGAATTTATTGGAGAAAGTATTTGAACGTTTTGTCAGATGAGTCATTCATTGGATTGTTTGAGATACGGTATAATTGAAGAAGAGATTTGTTTATTTAGCGATCATGATAGGAATTGAAGTACAATAGAATGCAGAACTTTCGTTCGTTCGTGATCTTGATCGAGGGCCATCCGATATTTCTTCTTTTTGGACGATCGTTATTATGCGCATTAAGGTTCGTATGTGATTAACTTGTGTTAATACACTTGAGTAGACAATTACTTCAATCGATGAGAAGGTATCGAGATGTTTTTTGTTCCTTGTGATAGTGTTTCGAACGATAGAAATAACGAGAAGAGGGAAATATATGATTGACATTTGTTTTGTTTGTTCTTTGTTAACGATGAAAATCTTGTCAGAAGAGCAAACACCAAAACTCAAGATCTCATTACAGCAAAAAAACATGTTTTCTCACCGTAGTTTAGCATTGTATGGCGGTCATGAAGACGAAGTCAACTGTTTAGTCTTTTCATGTGATTTCGAAATTCTTCTTACAGGCTCAATACAAGGATATATTCGAATATGGAATACAGTTTATCATCGTTTGACATTGAAAATTCAACAACGTGCAGGTAAAAGCAAATGAATAGAAATTAAAACATGTTGATTTTCTTCTTTCTCAAAGGTCGTATTCGAGCTATAACAATATCTAATGGCGACAAATATTTTGCCACAAGTGCAAATGACACTGATGTCCGACTGTATGAAACACGGACTGGAGGTTTAGTGCATTTACTCAGTGGTAAAAACTACTCGGTTTTTTATGACTGTTAGAGTACGCATGATCATTGCAGGGCATCAGTATCCATCGGATTGTGTACAATTTTCATCTAATAGTCGTTTGGTTGCGAGTGGTTCCTGGGATTGTCGAACAATACTATGGAGTGTAACGGTAAGGAGGAGGTTTGTCGAAGAAAAGAAAGTCTTTTTTGTTGTTCTGTAGACAGGAGAACAAATGTATAATTTTGATAATCATACGAACGCAGTACAATCAATTGCATTCCATTCTTATAAGAATATCATGGTATACACGTTTTCTCTTTCGTTTGAACGAAGCAATTGTATCCTTATTTTAGATAACCGGTTCTCATGATCACAATATTTTTCTATATGATTTTGATAAGTTACCATCGTCAACACCAGTTAAGCTTCAAGGGCATTCCAACAACGTTCAAGGATTAGCCTTTTCTTCCCTGCCATATTTCGTACGTAGATTTGTTTGGAAAAGAACTTCTGTCCTAATGTATTTGTGTCTACAGGCATCTGCTGGATGGGACAAATCGATTATTATTTGGCATCTAGAAACGTATCGTATACATTCTCGTCTATATGGCCACACAGGATGGATTCATGCAGTAGTTTTTCGCGACGATTCTGGTTCAGTACTGGCCAGTATTGATGATGATACGGTCCGTGTATGGAATATTCTTACCAGTATTTGTTCATATCGCTTGAAAGTAACTATTCGATATACTTGTTTCGTCCATTGAAGTAAACTATCTCGTTTAGATTCTCAGTGATGTATCTTGTTTTGTTCGGTTTCTCCCAAATAATCGAGGTATCCTAATTGGTAGTGCAATCTATGAAGTTCTCTTCGATCAACAAGTATCGTCTCATACGCGTAGCAAGACAAAACGTGTCTGCGAACCGTCTACTGGTATCACTAAACTGACCGCATCACCGACTGACAAGTACATCAAACTTCCGCAGCTTCATTCAAAAAGAACTTTTAATAAATAGTCTTATGAATACTTCAATCACATATACCATGTGATGATAAGTGAAAAGAAATCATGCGTCAATAACGTTTTTCTCCTTTCTTTTCACGTATCTACTGATAAAAACGACCTTATTATTTGCAAACAGCATTCGACTGTCGTACCTCTACTTTCAGATTTTTCATCGGTATCCAAGATCGATGCGTTTCTATCGACTGACAAGAGTTGTGTCGATATGCAAACGATTTGTAACATTTCTACTTCTTCTCTGCCTATTCATTTATAGTGCGTTAAAAATTAAACTCACGATTGATTATCGCGATGCACAGAAATTCTATTTAAATCAACAATTAACTTGTCAGAAACGTTTGAATCAAACTGAGCAAAAACCGAAGATAATTCTTTTCTGGACAAAAATATTTACCACGCCGATCAACGAACGCTATGTCAATAATTATTTATTTACATCATCAGGACGTTGTGCTACAGATCGATGTCTCGTTACCACCAATCGACAACAATTGTGCGCAAGCGATGCAGTGATCTTCCATGCACGCGGGCCCATACATATGCACGATATGCCTAAAGTACGTTCAGCTCATCAACGATATGTTTTGTTAACCAAAGAGCCACCCTATAAAACCACTGCTATTGTTGGACATTTGGATTATTTTTTCAATTGGACAGCGACAGTATGTACACGAGAAGTCCAACTTTCGAAAATCGAATGCTTTGATTGATTTTAGTATCGTGCAGATTCGGACATTAGCTATAGATATTTTCAATGGCGTCGAAAATCAGAACCCGATAAAAACGTCAATAAGCAATCTTATCTGAACAATCGACAAGCTCGTGCTACATTGATGATTAGCAACTGTTATTCTCAAAGCAATCGTGAAGAGTATCTAGAACGTTTGGAAACAATCATACCTTTAACTCGAATGGGATATTGTTCCAGGAACAAATGTCCTCGATCAAGAGATTCTTGTTTAAAAGAATTAGCCGTTGCACATCCGTTTTATCTTGCGTTTGAGAACTCTCTATGTCGGGATTATGTTACCGAAAAATACGCAAATGTGATCGCGATTAGTCAAATGATACCTGTGATCTTTTCCCACGCTCCAAATCTCTACATTCCTGGTTCATACATCAATGCCAATCAATTCTCTTCTCCCGAAGAATTGGGCCGATTTCTTATCTATCTGGTCTCCAATGCAACGGCATATGATAGTTATTTCGCATGGAAACGAGAGTATGAACTTGTCATACCTGATGAAAATGACTATCTATGCGAATTATGTCGCAAATTGAATAATTCTACTGAACCCTATAAGATATATAGTAGTATGAAACAATGGTTGTACACTGATGCAACGTGTCAACGATGGGTATCGAAATTGAATAGAACAATTGATGTGTCCGTCGATGAAACGATGGACTATGAAGAACCGTGGTTTTAATACGCATTTTCTTCTGTAGGAAAATTTTTCCTGTGTTGTTTATCTTTCATGTGCAGATATTTGAAAACTATGTGTTTTTTTTAGCAAAAAATATATGTTTTGATGGGACGCAACGAGAAAACTTTGCTGATTTTTAACACGTAAGTATCTAAATCGAATAGCTTATGAAATTGATAGTAGGTATCATACCTTTTCGTAGAAGTAGATGTTTAAACAAAACAAACTGATTGTAGTCGTTGGATATTATCCTAAAACCGAGAGCTTCAGAGAAGCTGTCGAGTTGAAGTTCATAGTCATTGGTAATGTTTACATGAATTTGATTATTTTGAGCGATTCAACGAATTTGTATGGCGATCTTGTGAATAATTGATATTCGTAATCGATATATTGTTTCGTGCAAGCTTTTCATCGATCGTAGTTGGCATTTTAACATTGTTATTGATGATTATAGCTCGAATACGTGTTTGGTAGGGTTTATAGCTGGTATACAGTCGTACTGTACCGAGAAGTTATAGAAGGAGAGCTCATCAGAGTATTGACATGCGTAAATATGATCATCGTCTATTGCAAATCTCAAATGGTAAAACATTTATTTATTGTTTAACGACTATTCCACATCCGAGCAGTGAGACTTATGCTGTTATTAATAATTCTATAATGAAAACAAAAATGTCTTCAACGACTCACAATTGAATTATTGATTGGATATTAATCTTCTTCTAAATCAGTACATTTGACGTCCATCTTCCAGTCTATAGGATACGTTTACATAGATCTCGACAGAGTCGAAGTTGAGTACCTTTAATTTCTACCTATATACATTGCCTATAGGAAACTCTCACTCATGATTGTATAATTATTGAACCAATAAAAAACGAGATATATGCTTCAGTTTGTTGCCGTTGTCAAAGTAATGAGATTGTTCTCGCCTACTTTTAGTTGATAAATTCCACTGTGACTGTAATGTACACCTTTTTTTCAATTAATTAACGGAAATCATATTTGATTTATCTCTTGGAATGGCATTATGTGTTTTGACAAAATCATAATGATTGATTAAACAATATTTGCCGATCAATTTCTCGAAAAATACCTTTAACGAATTGGAATTACTTCTGGCCTGATATATTTTCTATGGTAAAGTGCGAATTCAAGTGCATACGACGATAAATTGTCTGTCTCGATGCTTCGGTAATAATGATCGTTCCAAGTGCGTTTCCCTAATTGAAAATGGAAGTGAACTGGAATCGATAATTTCAGCCTTATCATTGAACCAAATCCATCAGACAACATTCAGTTACAAGAGATGAATTTCAAGATTAAACCATTCATTTCCTGCTCAAGCAGATCTCATCGCAGAAATGTTCTTGATTTTTCAAGAGTATTTTTCTGCCTGGTCAGCCACACACACACACATTTACGATGTATATTTATATATAGATTATTTCTAATCATGATCTAAATGTCTTTTCGTAAGCACACATAAATAGACTATAACTAGTAACGAATGGCGAATCATAATAGATGCTAATAAAGTATATACTCAGATGAAGAATATCTTCAACCAATGTAAATATNTTCTCTGGTATGTTCTTTCATTTGAAAAGTTTCTCGTAAAATTTTCTATCTTATTCTTATGATTAGATTCTCAGTTACTCAGTTTGGAAAAACGATTTGAAACACAAAAATATCTTTCAACATCCGATCGAATTGAACTAGCTGAAATGTTACACTTGTCTCAATTACAAATTAAAACTTGGTATCAGAATCGTCGAATGAAATGGAAAAAACAAGTTCGTTCACACACTTTCCTTGAATTTTCTTCTTATTGTCGGCCTCGCTTAGGTTTTACAAGATGGCTATCAGGAAGCGCCCACGAAACCCAAAGGTCGTCCGAAGAAGAATTCGATTCCATCCTATGCTGAATTACAACAACTGGAAAATAATAAACATACTCGAGTATCGACCAATTCATCCGATGATGAATATACATCACAATCAACTCATTACTCTCAGGACGACGATGACGAATTCATTGATATTGAACAATAATATTTATGCATTAGAAATATATCGCTTTGAAATTAGAACTTTTTGATTTTTCCATTATGCAAAAAGAGATTCTTACAAAATTTATTTGAAATATTAAATTTTGAGCGTAGTTTCAAATCCGAGCTGAGACAATCATCCAAAACAGTGACAAAGTAGACTGTACAAAGAAAACATACATTGTGGTTGAGATATTCAACAAATGATTGCTAAAAAATACTCATGATCTTCTCCTCGATGACTAGACTCGATTAGATAGATACGTAATGAGTTTTTTTCTTAACAAGGAGCCATCACAAGACAATTGCCACAGAGTTTTGTTTGTCCAATACAATCATCATGACAATAGGCGCCACACTTCTTGCATGCGATGAGTGGTTTGCATTCACATGTACATTTATAATTTGCTGTTCGACTTGTTGCTAGAGACGCAGATAATGCATCGAATAGTTGCTGTTTTCGTGCTGCATCATTGCCATTCGAGAATTGATGTACCTGTTGTTGCTGATGCTGAACAAATGTCGTTGTTGAAGTCGTTGTTGGAACACGAACAGTTGTAGATATAGGCGTTTGTTGAATGAGATTCCCTATCGGTGTAGTCGATTCAGATACTACTGAAGATGAATCCCGACGGATGATTTGCTGTAAAAAGACCTGCTGTTGTGGTGTTAATGTTGTACTTGTCGCAGGAATCAGTTTTGCCGTTTGTTGTTGAGGCATATTTACAACGAACGCATTGATACGTGCTTGCAATGTTTGTTGTTGAGTTGAAGAATCAGTGCGAGTGACCAGTAGAGTGGGACGGGATGAATCATAATTACCTGAAAATGTAATGAACATTATTGACGAAGAAACTGTTCGTTGTTCGTAGTGATGATAATGAATGAGAGGACAAGAAACAGTGTTGCTCTTCTGACCGTGAGGATGATTTATGAAAGCCTTGCAATCAACAGAGGAGAAGAATCGTTTTTCTCGTAATACGAGATAGCTATGACATAAGTTTCTTCTTCCCTTTTTCATGTCCTTGCTCGTCTACAATAATAAATCGACATCTCCCGCAAGGTTTCACATAGTTTAAGTCATTCGATTGAAATAGTATATTATTCTCATCTTATAGAAATAAATAACGTATTGATTCTTACTTGTGTCTATCACTTGATGCTGTTGCTGTTGTTGCTGATAATGATTGATTTTTGCTCCTTGATTTTTTGCTACTGCTCTCAAGGCAAGTGCTTGAGCATGCTTTGTTGTTTGTGAAACATTTGTCGCCAACCAGCTCGACGACGGGCTATTTTCATGTGTGGGCTTTTTGTTTATAGCCGGTGCAATTGGTGAATAGGATGTTGTTGTTTGTTGTGGTTTAACTGGCGATGCTAGAACAATATGCATCGGTTCAGAAAATTCACCGTTGGTTTTTATGAGAATTTGTTGTAAAGATTCTCCACTAAGCGTTGCATCTTTTTTCGTTTTCTTCGCTGCTTTTACTTTAGTAATACCGCCCGGTTCTTTCTTGATTTTTGGCGATAATCCTTTCTTTTTCGGTGTGCGAACAGGTGGAATTGATTCTGTTTGGGCAGGTACTGTTGAAACCATCATAGTATTGATGCTGGGTAAAGATGAACTTGCGTCCGAAGAAAGGAAGGCAAATAGATCATCGGATGGACCTACTTAAAAAAAAGTCAATGAAGATATATTCATCACTGATAGACGTCGTTTTCCGTTAGTCTATCTCATTCATTTCCAACCAGCAAACTTTATTTATTTTTGTCTATGATTAAGATAGGAGACAATGAGACATTGATCACTCGACTTTCTTTCTTCCGATCTCAATTTTTCTTTTAAACGCATCTACCTGTATGGTTCGAGTTCGAGTTCATTTGAATATCTTGTTGCATATTCGCTGTAATGTTTTCGACGATCATTGCCGTTTGTTGTTCAGGTTGATGCGCTTCACCAACCGATCTTAATTCTTGTAAAATACTATCAAAATCTAATATCATCTGATTGTTTGAATTTTGAATCAGAATCTGTTGAGATCGAGCGCTGTTTTGCTGGACAGTTGTTGATGTTGCTGAACTGTTGACGTTTTCTAATATCGAATTCGTAAATGGATCGAATGTGTCCGAAAATTCATCGAATAGAAATTGAGAAACCGATTGATTAGTTTGAGTTGAATCCTAGAGAAGAATGAGGCAAATAATGAACGTTAGATTGAAATAAATATGTTGTCGTTTCTTCTTCTTGAATGTGTTGAACAAAAAAAGAAAGAGCAGGCACATCGATCATCGATCATCAATTTCTTCTTTTCCTTCGTTCTTATGAGTTCATTCGAATTGCATCCAGTTCTATTCTCAGTTTTTTTTTCTGTTCTTCTTCTTCTTCTTCTTCTACTCTCTCGCCCCATCTTCCTTTCTCATTATTTATCAGAAGAATGCATACGCACGCACTATAGTCCGTCGTCGCTTTTTTTGTTATAACGATTAAACACAGTTTAACATATATCTAGATCGCCGGTGTCGGAGAAGGAATCAATACTGTACACTGACGATGATGAATGAAGTTCAATGCTCGCTTTTTTTCTCCTTCTCTCCCTCTCTCTCTTCGCTTAGCATTTTATCAAGTGAAAGAATAACATGTGGCAGGAGAAACAAAGCAAAGGGAAAGATTTAATGAATGTATGTATACAAAGACATAAATATATTATTTGAACTGGTAGTGCCTATAATAACAACAGTAAGAGTATTACGATGCCGACGACTATGTGTCTTGAAATTGGAGACAAAAGAAGAAATGCTTACACATCTATATTTTTTTTTCTTCTTAGTTCTAGGGCTGGTGCTGCTTGTCGATGTGGTAGTCATTCTTTTCTGTTTTTTTTTCTTTAAAAAAAAAGCGCGTATATGAGTGATTTCTTTTCTGTCTCTTCTTTCTCAGTCCTCGAACATACACTCATCTATATACGATGATTATCATCGATGTGCTTTGACTTGTTGCGTTTGCGTGTGTGAAATATAGAATAGCTTTTTATTGTAAATGCTCGTAGTGGAACGATGAAGATGACGGGTGTGAAAGAACGAACAATAGAACCGATCAGATTCATGCTCTGCTAGGAGTGAAAGCAAGAAATCACGATAATGATAAAAGAAAATGCGTAAGTAACTGTCAAAATGAAACAGAATTTTGCTGAATGGTTTGTCGATAGAGTGAAGAAAAAGTAAGATAGAAGAGAAAAGAAAAATGGAATAGAAAGTATTATTATTACTACATCGCCTGATAGAGTATATATATATAAGACAAGAAGAAAAAACGAGCGTATCTGTAAACTTGTTGATAAGAAACAGGAGAAAAATCTTATTGAAAACATACCATTAGACGAGAAACATCTGGGGATGGACTAGTAAATATCGATGAAGGTAAGATTGAATTGATTTGCCCCATTTGTACTACAGTTTGTACTGATGGTGAAGATCTAGGAGAGAAAATATTAGTAACGGATAAAGCTCGATGTTCATCTACGCTGAAAAGAGAAGATTAATCCTTAGTTATGTCAGCAGTGATTCTTTCACATGCTGCTTTCTGGTTTTACTATTTTAGCAAAAATTACATTTTCTGTTCGTTTTGTATAGTCATTTCGGACTTGATTGCGTTCACTAGTGGATTTAAGGCTACTGGATCTAGAATAGAGTAGATAGGGAGAGAGTAAACGAATCTATTTCGAATAGAACTTACTTGTGACGCTTAAAGCTGCAGCAGCAGATGCTAAAAGTTAAAGAATGAAGATTATTGAGTGTGATTTTCATCTGACTGACATGAGTTCAAACAAACCTTTGCGTTTCATAGCTAATTGTTCTCTCATCTGTGCTAAAGTACGTGTTTGTTGTGTTCCTGTCGTCGCTACTGGTTGCGGTGCTGATGTTTTGACAGGCTCTTCGTTTGTTTGCATTTCGTAGGCAGGTGATAGGATCTTTTTAATACCTTGATTATGTAAACTATTTTTCGAAGTTTGCCAATCTTCATCGACTTCATCAAGTTGTTCATCATTCGGAACTACGGATGGTGGAGGAGTTGGTTTGGAATAATTAAAATTATTCTTCTCAGTGGTATTAGTATCTTTGACAACTTTCATTTCAGTGTGTATTGGATCAGTTTAAACCATTGAATTTCAAGATTTTCGTGACTCGTTTCTCAAAACAGACAATAGGATGAAGAGAGAAATAATCTATCATGAGTATTCATTGTCGAACCAATCAGATGACAGGAATGGTTTTATCCAATACGGTTATGCATTTCGATAGAGGCGGTAGATGGAGTATGAGATTGGAATGGACGGTGCTTGAGGTTGGTCAAGCGTAAACGGAAAAGATCCTAAACATGAAAGTAAGACATTATTGTAGACATCAACATTAAAGAATGAGAACGCATCTTGGAGTTGAAAAAGACCGCCATTTTAGATAGGCTAGTTTATTGTCAAAATGAATATCTCACATAAAATGGTATTAATAAAGGAAATACACACATGTATATACAATAGCGTATTTATATAAAAGCTCGTTGTTCATCACTCGATGACGATGAGGCTGATGTCGTTGGTGAATGTGTTGATAGCAACATCATTTTTTCTGGTTTATGATTAGCATCGACTTTTGCTTGTGATTTTTCCAGGATGTGCTGTTTTAAGTTTAAACGGCGGTGAACTTGATAAGCAATATCGAATGCTTGGCCAAATGTTAATAAAATCTAAACAGACAATTCTGCAAAAAAAACTGTTTTCTATCCAAACGACTTACTTCCGTTGACATCGACTCGCTTTTAACTACAAACACATGACAGTAATTATGATAATCAGCATTGATAGATACCGACTGCGATTGATGTTGTTTACGATCAGACGCACCCGTCGGATTCGCTAGTCCGTTGACTAAACGCTGTTCACGTGTTACATAAGCGAAATAACGTAAATCCTGGTCCTGACATGCACAATGAATTGATTTAATATCATGAAAACAGATCACGGCACGCTCTTTTGCATGCTTCAAAAATTCAACACCACGTGGGGATATACTCAAACCGATGACAGGTAACACACTGGCGTACTGCGTCGACTGTTTCAATCGATTGATTGCCTGTGTTGGCATTGCTGGTGTATTGTCAGTTGAAATTTTCACTGCTGTAGATCCTAAAAAACAAACGTTTTGTTTCTTCTACGTTCCCAGTGAGTTTTACCTAGGTAGTTAACCCAGTAAATGCATATTTCTTCGTTGATTAATCTTTCATGGATATTAGTTCGTGGATGGTAAGCCATAGATCGAGATGAACTCGGACAATTATTTGAGATTGTTGATTTATTTTCGAGAGAATCGGTTTGAATCGAGGTTGATGAAGATGATAAACTTGTTGTAGAACTGTGGTGGTTATTGTTCATCATCGTGTCATTGAATGTTGTTTGTATACATTTATCTTCGGAAGACGTCAGAGAAAAACTTTCATCGAGATTAATTAGCGATTTTCCTGTCATTGTACAAGCGGAAAGTTTAGTTGAAGATATTTCAGGTAGCGTCGGTTGTTTACAATCGTAAAATGACTCTTCGATTGATCGTCGTTTCAAATTTGAATCGTCACATGGGAGAGACGATTGTTGTCTTTGTTCATCTCCCATCGTATGCTTCTGTAGCTGAGCTGGAACAAGAGTGGCAGACGTCTGTTCATTGTTATGATTTGGTAATGAAGATACTATTAAACAAAAGAGACAAATTGTATATTAGTCGTGATTGATGAGATGTTCTCTTGCCTTCATGGATCATTTTCTCTTTAAGTGATTCTTCGGAAGTGAAAACATCTTGTTCATTAATGTGGCTCATCTTTTGACGAAAATAACGGCTCGATGCTGATTTTACGAAATGACCATCATCTGTTGAACTTTCATCGGTTGGACAATCGGCTAATTCGACGCAAACAGAACTTCGATTAGTATTTTTCTTACTATTCTTCAGTAACGACTGTAAACGTTGTTGTGGACATATCATCGAATTCGATCGCTTTAAGAGCAATTGGTTATTATCTTCTGGTACTTTTGTTTGCTGAGGAAGTATGAAATGATCAGCAGGGAGCGATGAACGCGGATCACTTATGTCTAATTGTGATGAATAATTTCTCCGTCGAAAAAGATTAGCTCGGTTTTTCAGACGATTGAATGGTTCGACTAATTTCTTATTGGATGGTATTGGTACTGGTGTAGCCTAGAATTGAGAAAGAAGAAAATCGATCGAACTATATGCTAATATGGAGTCGACGATTTCTGCATCCGGCACATACTCAAGTAAAGGTTATCTATTATGACACATGCATATATTTCTCTATCGTTCTCATCAGGAGTTCGCCGCTTCTAAGTAACATATTTGTCTCTTCGCCTAATTACATGAACATTTGACCTTGACAATACGTATATAGAGTATCGATAGAGATAAATGATATGACATATAACACACCAATTAATCTCTTGATTGATATAAGTCAAGTACTTTAGCTGCTCTACCTTTATCAACGGTTGACGATTGTTGAAAGATGAAAATTTTGTTAAATCCGAACAGGAAGCCATCATCGATGCAACGAATCAATCTAAAACAAGGATAAATCTGCAAATGTACATATGTCATCGAGTGAAATTTGATACATTTATTCAATGTTCATCTTAATCTATAAGTGTGAATAAAACAGCGAAAGATCACATACACACAGGTGGTACACTAACATCTAAGTATGAAATCAACTGCAAAATCTAAATTTTCAAGTTTCTTTTTCTCTTGCTGCAATACCCACCGTCTAGACACACAAGTGCAGATCGATTCATCCCGAATATTTTAACTTTTCTTTTTCTATTCAATAAAGAACACTATTCGATGTGTCTTAATGGGCAATGTACAATAGATTTCTCTTGCCTTCTTCTTCTTCTTCTTCTTCTTTTACCATATGCTTCATTTGCTAAGGATTAACAAAAGGAGAATGGAGGACACTATAGTAAATCGGAACAGGCTAAATTATAAACAATGGATAATATCGTCATACACGCACTCGACTAAATGATCAGATTAACTTTTTTTTTCTCTTCTTCGAAGAATGAACAACGCCCTACAAGATGCAATTAAATCAACTTTCAATATGAAATCAAACCTACGCGAATAATATACGTATAAATACGATTATATCATCATATATATATACGTATGTTAATGTGTTCGTCACAATGATGGCATCCTATTTTCACTTGCATATATGTAAATCATGATCCAATTTCTAACTGCGAATATTATTCAAATGAATCGATATTCAATGCGCATAAATATGCATGTTCGGCTTGAAAATACGAAAATAAAAAGTTAATATCTCACACATGAATAAACTTTTCATTGTCCTTTAAGATTTGATGTTATTATTACTATTGTTCAGTTCTGAATTCTAATTGAAATCGAAGTACTCGTTCTTTTGCTTCTTCCAATTCCAAACTGATGAGATATAAAGCACTTGATTAATCCGATGCATCGTTTCTCACTTACTCCGTATGGTTTCATCAATACATACAACTACTTACTTTTTATCGCTTCTAAACATTCTGTCTTCACATCAATCGAAATTTTTCATCACACATTCTTTTTTTTCCCCTAGAGATGTATATATTCTCGTTAAGTTAAATTCAAAAGTACACATATACAAATAAATTTAACACAGAGTCGGAGTTTCGTCCTCGTTAAACTCATTGTCAACTGGATCTTTGTCTATAGAATCGATGTTATTGTAAATCATCGACGATGGCGCTTCGAATTGACTTTGATTATTCACAAGTAGGTGTTCACTCTGCGTACTACCTAAAACATCGACAGAGGCATAGCGTGGCAATGGTGGCAACGGACTGCGAGTAACAGGTGTGTTGAAATGTCGTTGATGTTGAAGAAACTTTCGTTTCTTTCGTCGCTGTTTCAACATTGATTTAAAACGATACCAGAAAAAGACGAGAATAATTGCACTAAGTGTAATTGCTACTAACGTTGCAAGAACAGTAAATAACTTTTTCGTATTATTCAACGATCGACGTGGAGGTTGATTAGTTGAGCTCATTCTAAATGAATTGTTGATTCAAAACGTTGATTGATTCTTAGGAAAATCTCGAAACGAACCTTGTTGTTATTGTCGGTTTCGTGCTGATCTCAACTGTGCTATTCTTCATGTCTTTTGCAGTCATTGCGTCGCAATCCACCGCGAAGAATTTATAATGACATTGATCTTCTAAATTTCGAAGTATCAATTCATTGTTGCTACTATTCCGATCTTGTTCAGTAAAGATTTCTCTGCATATTGGTGTTAAACGTAGATATTCTTTGGAGTTTTCATGGACGCTCGCTTTCCGGTTGAAATAATGAATCCGGCACGAACAAGAATCGTGTCTTGATAGGTGAAACAATGATTGATTGTATCGAGACAGAATACAGAACGCCACGTCACTTAAATCAAAGCTAAAACAGCCGAGAAAAATCAAAGACATATGCGTCATTAAATCCGCAAGCTTCTCTTCTAATTAGTTTTGTTATTCTTCGTCATTGTAACTCATCTGTAAAATGAACTTTGTGTCATTTCTATTCACCTCCTAATCCTCTTCTTCTCATGTATATAATTTCTCTTGCTAATTAGAGGAAAGACTCTTTTCTCTTCCTTACTTACTCTGTTTGAATTGTCTGAATAACATGTAAACTCGCTAAATTCCAAATCCACTCGGATTCGATTAGATTAACACCACGAAAATCGATTTCTTCGAGATTGATCAAATTTGCGAATGCATTCGATTCGATAAATTCGATCGGATTGAAATTTAGACGAAGTATTCGTAAGTTTTCCAAGTATTCGAATGTATTGCTTTGTAGTGTGACAAGTAAATTCGAACTTAAATCTAATTCGTATAAATCGTGTAGGTCTCGGAAATGAATTGAAGAGATATTGTCAATAAAATTGTATGCTAACGAGAGATTTTTCAGATGGAATAAATCTGCGAATGCTAGTGAATGAAGATATTGTATTTGATTATTTGCTAGTGATAAATGACCTTGAAAGTCGGTCAAATGGGAGAAAACATGTGTAGCGAGAGAGTGGATTTCATTGAAACTCAATCGAACCTCTTCTAATTGTTCATAAACTAAGTTAACTGGAAAATAATTTTCAGTGAGATTTGTTGTATTTATACTGGATATGATAGTGAGTGCTTTTATGTATAAAGATGTTCGATTCGTAGAAAGAATCGGTTTGAATGAGGGTATTTGAGTTAATGAAGAATCGTATTCTAAGAAATGGTCGTACTTGAGGTTGATAACGGTTTCATCATGTTCATTGGTGAAACCATGGAATTTCGACGAGTGAATAGTGAGTGTTTGAATGAGTGTATTGGAAAAAACACTTTCGGAGATTTGCCTTTGGAAATCAATGGACTTGAAATGGAGATTTGTGATTACTGAACCAGAAAACACTTGACTGTTCGATGGGAAATCCACTCGACCAAGGATGTTCTGAGGAGAAATCACCAATTGACCTATGTGTGCACTCGCAAATGAGCGGTTGTTGAAGAAAAGACTGTACGTATTGAAGCGTATTGTCCGAGCAATAAGATTAGTGAAAACCGAATGACTTAGTGTTAAATTGTCATTTAAAGTTTCGAATACTAAACGATCATAGGTGAAATTTGTCCATGGATATCTGCAAGTAATTTCTGTTAATTGCCGGCAACGCAAATACGTGTCATTCGAAGAATAGATTGGCGTCGAACGCGTTCGTTGACAAAAACATTCCCGTGGAAAAGTCAAGGGAGTGCACACTGTTTGCAACCTTATGGAAAATAGATTTCTTGGAAAAAGTACGAGTAAGACGAAGCAAATCTGCTGGAATTGAATAAACATAATCATTGATTACCGAGAGTATTCTTCAATGATCTAAAATAAAGAGAAAGGTGAAAAGGAAGATGAAATTTAATCTCGACTACCTTCAGGCTTGATTCATATTGATTAGACTTCTTATAATACATCTCATATGTCGGATTAGTTCGACTGACTGAACAAAAGAAGAATATTATCTTAATGAACAGTCTATGCAATAAAAACTATCATTCTACAAGACTATAATTCACTTTCCGGATGTGTATTGATCTCGACGATGTATTTATTGACATTAAAAATTTGAACAGGAAAAGATCAATAAACGTCTTCTCATCACTACCGACATCATTCAGCTAATCTCTTCACATATGTTTGTCAATATGAACGTGTCCGAGGATTCCATCGAGATATTTATCTCCCTTGTCAGAAACGAAGATAATCGTTTGTTTGAATAGAATTTAATGAATACAAATCAATGTGTTGAACAGACGAATATGTGCATGCGGAAAAGAAATTTGTTCATGAAATGTCTATCTTTGTTTAGATTATCAACACGACGCTTTGGAGAATAACGATACCAGTCAACACATCGATCATTTTTTATAGTTATATTATGAACATGGTTTACCGACGACTGATAAAGTAGAAGAAGAAGAAGAAGAAGAGAAAAGATCGAGAGCGAATGTTTGCCGAAGAAAATATCCTTAGGAAATGTTGAAGTATATCACTTTCAATAGTCCTTGACAACTTACCTGGTCATGTAAGTTCTCATTCAATCGACTTAAGTTGCCGTTTTGATGTTAGTCTGTGCTATTGTGTGAATTATCATCAGAGAACTGTTTAACGATGCGAATGAAGACCATATTGCGTTTGTTCTCTTGCTCTTTCTCTCTGTCATAGAACGATAGATCTACATTGAAAAAAGAATGACATTATCAAGCATTTTTTCTTATCCTTTTTCCTGTCAAGACACCAACAACTTCCTGTTCTCGAAGAAATAATTAGACAAAGCCTGTGGCCTTACCGTGCTTCTATTCAAGCCATCTTTAGTCTTTTCTCTCGGAATATTATTTTTGTTCTTTGTTCTTATTTGTAAACTTACGTTGACATCTTGACTTAATCGATCGTCTTTATTCGATATGAGCAGTCAATACATCGATAGAAAACTCAATAAATAGTGCATTAGTGCATGTCAGGGAACTAATGTTTTTGTTGAATTGATAACATATTTTCAGATCCCAAGACGATCAAATCACACGAGAGAATTCATGTCTGCCTCGTTCATTGTTGACAAAAAAAAACTGATCATTCAGTACCAAATGAGGCTATTTCTCTAATCTCTTTTTTCTTTCTGAGAATATTTTCGTATAAAAAAAAACTATTCAGTCTATCGATCATCCCGATGTTGTATTCGTCGTATTGTATGCAGTCAGATTTCCACTATCATTATTAAGACCAATGCCCAATCCTAATCCCAACGATAAACCAACAGTACATAGAAGGATACCAGCACCTACACCGAGCAATAGTGGTAATGGTTTCCAAGGGGTCCACGAACTTCGCACAATTCCATTTTTATTGTACATGTTAGTTTTTGATAGATACTAGCTGCGATGTTTTTGTTGATAGGGGAGACGATATTGATTCAACACGTGCGATATGCTGTGTTGGCAGTGAAAGTGGAAAGGAAAATGAATGCTTTTTTCCTCGACAACTTGCCCAAAAGCAAGAAAATAGAGAAAAAAAATGAAACATAGGTGTGCGATCGATCGTGCACGCATAGGCACCTGTCATAGTAGAGGTTTTTCAAATGTACAAATCATGTACATTAATAATTAATGAAAAGGAAGACAACACGTTATCTGAATGGTCAAAAATATTATGATAGTCGTCATATTTTATTCACACGAATAAGAAGACATCTGATTGCAAAAGAACTCACAATGAACATTTGAGTGTTTCATTCACTATGGAAATCTTCGCGTATATTGTTATTCATGATGTTCAACGCTAATTTGGATTGCTGGGAAGCAAGAGCAGAATTGCCGAGTTTAACATTCACACGTGACATGTTCTCAAGACAGTCGGCATATTCTACATGATCCGGTGCCAGTGTTTTCTGATAAATACTAAGCGCTTGATTGAAGTGATGTAGCGCTCGATCGTTATCATTGAGTTTTTCATACACGATTCCCATGTCTGTGAATGTTGTACCGAATGACGGATGATTCTCAGGTAGCTCCTCGAATTTTTCTTCTAAAACGCTTTGAAAAGTTTGTAAAGCTTCTTGATAATTTCTACGCTCTCTTTGAATTCTTCCTTTCAGTGTCGAAACTCTCGCCGTCAATTTTCGATCATGTTGGGCATGCGAATTGACTAGTTTTTCTTCCGCCTGTCTTCGTTGTTCATCTGCTTTTTGCGAATCACCTTTAGCGATGTACGCCAAGCCAAGGTTCGTGTAGGCATTGATCAAGACTGCAATCGATTGAACGTCCGTCTTTTTATATACATCCAGAGCTCGATCATAATTTTCAATCGATGCTGGTAAACATTTACTGGCTTCATTGATCAGACCGAGCAACGTGTAAATATCACCCACGATTCTTTTGTCGTTTGAATATTGTTTGAGAAGATATTCAGCATATCGTCTGGCTTCACTGAAGTCGTTCATACGATAGAGTAACCAACCGAATGATAGTTCATTGGGATTTGGTCCGATATGTTTGATCATATAGCCGCTAAGCTCTCGACAGATGATTTTTTCTTGTTCACTTAATTGTAGAGTCACATACCAAGTATGTTCATGTTTAACAACCGATTTGACTTCGAAAATCGTTCCGACCGAAAAGAGAACTTCTTCTTCGCTTGGATTACAAGAAAAAGGTTGAATAAATGCAAACGGACTCGTATCCTCTGTCATATGAGAAATTTTCATAATGAAAAGAACTGACTGTATCGATGAGCTATCATTAGTTTGATCACCGGTATCTGCAAATACTTTTGCAAGGTCTTTGTTTTTCGTTGCACTTAAAAAGCTATTCATTGAAATCAATTGGCAGACGTTTTGTTGCAAAACAACCAGTTCCCTAATGTTCATATGTTGCCCGCGATATACAGTCAATTCATATTTGTGATTTGGTGGAAGATTTTTCAGATATTCTTGGTAAAGAGTAACAATTCGATTGTGTAAATCATCGATGAAAAACCGAAATTTAAATATAATTTCGATTCTCTGAGTTCGAAAAGCGCGATTCAACAAACGATACACGAAACTATCACATGTATACCATCTCAGAACATTCTTGGATACGTAATCTGTGTTAAATGCTTCGATTTTCTTCTTTTCAACTTCATCGTCATGATAGCTTGCTAAACATTCACTAATCATATCGGTTTTCGAATGCGATTGTTTGGCCATCAATCTAAGAACGACAATCATCGCTTGATACCACATAAATTTCGCGCTATTGGATGTTAAATTACGATACGCATTCTCTCGATCTGCCAGATGAAAGACACTCATTGGTAATTGAGGGCCGATATCCCATACACAAACATCTCCATAGATTTTCTGTAAAAGCGACTTTTTATCTGTAAATATATGCGTTACTTTCGTATAAGATTGTGACCATTGTTCGGCAACCAATCGACTAGTACAATAAACATAAACGTTCTGAATGTGCGAGCACGTATGAATAACACGTAAAACAATCGGACCGAATTCATTGGAAATAATCAATATAACTCGTTTGCTTGATAGTTCATCTGATGTTATTCTATTAATACATTCATCAGGTTCGGCACATGTCCACAATCGGCATCTGGTCCTTTGTTGAATTAGTCCTTTAACATCCCGATTGACTTTACTCGTGTCGACGGTTCTATCTAACCAAAAATATACGTAATCGTCTTCAGTCTCTCGATCTGTCATGTGTCTATTACGATAAGTATAATATGTACTTTTAAACAAATAGAAATCCTGCCACGTGAGAAGCAGAAAAAAGAAAGTCAAAGAAATTAAAAGATGTGAATGGTTACCAATGAAATCGAGAAGAATGCGTTTCGAGATTTTCATCGAGAAATCAAAATTCAAACTCGATCAAAGAAAGTTCGAGATTGCAGATCACTTTCTACTTATTATTCATTCGAACTTTCAATTTTCACGATCATTAATCTCCAGATGGAAATTCTTGGCATGGCAAAACGTTACATCATACAAGGAATTCCCAATGTGTCCTGTTGTCATAGTATAATTTTCAGTTGCTTTGAAAAATGACTGATGATCAGAAGATGATTATGCTATAACGACTTCTTTCGATAGATGCCGACAAATTCATTATCGTCTTTTTTTTTAGAACAAAACAAATCATTCCTAATGTTTAATCTTGTCCTATTCTATAAACATCAGTATAAAAAAAAAACTTCAAGACAATAATGACAGTGTCAATTAAGATTTTCTTTTTTTTGTCTCTTCTCCTAGATCTATCAGCAGCGGCAGCAACAGTCACGACGAGCTAGACCATTTCATCATGGTATATAGCGTTTCAATAGTACAAAAAAAAAACTTGAAGAACAAAAGAGGAGAAAGAAGAGAAGACGAGAATAAGAAGAAAAATCTCATACACATAGAAAAGAAGAACGCGCGCGCATACACACACACATACACATATGAACTGGATTTGCGTACGATCGATTGTTCGATTCTCTATCCATGAAAATTTCCTCGTGTCGAGAACCAGCTCGATTATGATTGACAGATATATATATATATGTATTGCCTAGCTTTCTCATCTGATCATGATGAATATTCTTGTAGGATTTTCGATAGAAGAACAAAGATAAAAGTCAAAAGATTGACCAGAATGGACGAATATGCCGACGAGATGATCGATAGAGCTGAACCAGATGTAGATGCATTCCTCGTATAATTAGAAATAGACTCGTTGAGAGATAACAATGATAAATCTGGTGGTATTGAAGAAGGTACGATGGGACGAATTTCAAAACATGAAGATGCACCCGCATTGATTTCGAGATTTTCCATCGCTAATGATGCTTTCGACGACGGCAATGTTGTTGATGAGATGGAATGACGTTGAGACAAATCATCAGTTAAATGGCATGTGTCAAAACAATGTGGTCGATGACCGTAATTACTGTTTGTCACAATACCACCTAAATAGACCAAATGAATGATATACTATATTTATACCTTTTTTTCTAATTAGAAAATGAATATAATTTATCTCGAGTAGCAGAAGAATGTTCTTTAGAGCCCGTATTCTATTTTTATGATTTTCTTATCTGTGCTAAATACGATCATTTAATTGAACTAATCAATGAACATATGCATGGAAGAAGGTCGAAACTCATTCTCTGCTATGATCGAGACACGGCGAAGTCTTCGGTAACGAAAGATTTTTATTCTATTCAGCAGAATCGGCTAGGCATGATAAATCAATTACAAAGGATACAATAAACGAAAACAAACTCAATAATCTGCAGTTGCAATAAAACGTCAAGGTTTTTGTAATTGCTTTAGTTATAATATATGTCAACAATATGTCATACATTTGCTAAAACTCTTCTCATATTGTTTGAATCTCTGCTACGATTCAAACACTGATCGACTAGACCGAACAAAAGCATGCAAATACTCTTTGATAGAAATCCAAGCACAAGCAAATCAAAGGGTATTACCATTGCAAAAGAACAATGGTTGTCCAGCAAATAATGGTTCACGATCACTCGGCCTAAATGTGGGACACACACGCTCAACTTCATCACAGATCTTTTGGCAAGGCGGTATAAGTTGATTTTGATGGAAATATGGAATTTTGACTGAACAAGTCCATGTTCGATATGCTTCCTAGAAAGGAGGCCAAGTCATCCGTTTCAAACGATAATAGATAAATGTCTTACTTGACAATCGTCATCGATGATGGAGTAGCGATTTTCGTCTGATGCGGAATCGATAGCTTTCAAGTATGTAACAAAAAGATCGTGGGCTTTTCGTGCTTCTTCGTCTAAGCGAATAATTTCTTCGAACATTTGTCGACATTGACTTTCGTCTAAGTTGTTGTCTAAATAGTTTTGATTGATCGAATGACCTAATGTATGATTGGAACAAAATGGTAAATAACGCGAACTGGACACGACTTGATTCATATTGTCCGTAGTTTCGATCGGACTCATTCGTGCTCGACACGTCCTTGAACATATTCGATCGATATATGGAGCGCTGATGGGTAGACATTGCTGTTCGTCGCCTTTGGTTATGGAAGGTGACTGTTGGGGAGCAGATTTCGCATTTGGTAATGCGTATGTTGACGTGAATTTGATTGAAGAAAAGGAAAAGAACATAATTGACCAGTGAAGATGATTGGTTAGGAAAAGCAATGTTAACATGTAGGTGAATAAAGTTTTCGCCAAACATCGCTGCGGCCGAGAACGGCGCCGCTGACGATACGACGAGTACTTCCGACGGACAATCGAACGAATGGAGTCGAAAGGTGAATAGTTATACTCGAGTTCTTTTATTTGCTGATAAAGATGATCATGCTGCTTAGGAATTTGAATACCATCATCATTATCATCAGTGACAAGAAGAACAGACATAGCACAGTGCCACCTTGTGCATGGCTAATCTAGAAAGAGAAAAGAAAGAATGAAACGTTCTATTTACTTTCCAATAGAAATCCAATCGTATGATTATGCATTTCCGGCATTAAAATAGATCACATTCTGTTCGTTGTAATAACTATGATCACTTCATAGAAAGATTACGACACATGTATGTAGTAAAAATACGGTAAAATTATAGAGCTTGTTCTCGAAACAATTCCAGCGGAACTGGTGATTGCATAATTTGTCCTTTTCTTTATTCGAAAGAGAAATTGTGTCGATTGATTGACTTAATTCAAACTAATCTGTTGATCGATAGCTCAAATAATCAAAACGACATCAGTCGTTTTTTACTACACGTTTGCTCGACGGGAAAATATGTTCTCATGTGGACCTACGCCAGCACGTTGTTCTTTTTACTCGAAACATATCATGTTTATTCATGCTAGCTCATCTTTTTCTCTTTGTCACTTTATCCTTGTTTATAAAACGCGCTTCATATTTAATTTAAAGGTATAGAATTGCATGCTAATTCAACTGAACATGAATAAATGAATAGATATGTTATTCTGACAATTTTCGATAAGAACGTAGAGTCTCTAAACATCAGGGTCTCCTTTCGATGAGGAAAACCCTTCCTAACGCGAAGGGAAAACATGTAAGTTCCTATATGTCTACATAGATGTCACTACTAATGAATTTAATATCTAATTACGAGACGATATTATCTTCCTTTGTAAATAAAAAGGACTAATCTTCTTAGATAATTATTGCCTCAAGATTTTCTGATTAGATGTATCCGATAATCGTCAATACGTAGAAAATCATGTTTAGATTTCAATTGAAATAAGTTTTCTTCTGACTTTGTCCTTTTTCTCTATTGTCATACCGTCGACACGTTTGATAAAGCCAATTGCTAGTTGTTGATCTTGTTGTTGCCGATCCATTTGTGAGCACCGATGTCATCGAAATATTCAAGAAGATATCATTCGTGAATTCGAGCTGAACTTTTGATCTAGAAAACAATAAACAAGAAGGTTATCGACATATTCCGATCACGATCAAATCAAGCTCGAATAACAATATACACAGTCGATCCTATTCTACTCGACAAGAGTCAAATTGTAGAGACGAGTTGTTTCTCTTGTTAGTAGCCACTACTACCGCTGATGTTGCCTCTACTTCTATCATCTCTATTATTATTATTTCTTGTACGCTCTTTCCATTTCTCTGTCTGTTCCTCTCTATTCCTTCTTCCTCTCGCTCTTTCTTTTTCATTCCAGTTGTAGTAGTCCCAGCTGCCAGGACGACTGAGTTTTCCTTTTTTCTCTTTCTGTGTCGTTTTTTTTTCTATCAGCAAATACACTGTTCTACTGACGGGCTGTTACATCGAAGAACACGATGATGAACGAACATTTCGCGTCATTGTACGGAAAGATAGAACGAGAGGGAGAGAGACAAGAAGGCTACCGCAGTGCTCTCTCTCTCCCTTTCCGACACAAAGGCTTGATCGTCCGGATGCTCTCTTTCTTTGTGATTATTCTATTATAGGCACCGGGCCTATTTCCCTTTCCTCATTCTATCTCCTCCTTCCCTCTTCACAATTTCAAACTGGACATAAACAAGCAATTCTCATAAATTGATTGAATACCGCTAGATTTCAGCAATATTTATCTATCAAGAGATACAATCAAAAGAGCAAGAGCTTATTACAAAAAAACCTACATAGATAAAAACAACAACCGGGGGAAAGTAACAAATATATGCATATATACAAACTATAAACGCAATGCGATCATTGAGTATTCTCCCGAGACTCAAACTATAGTCACTACCGCTGATGCCTTCATTGTGGACGTCTTCCTCAAGCTTTCAAATTCCTTGACATGCCGTCTTCTCTTGCTCCCGTCAATATGGCGTCCCCTTCTCTTCCATTATGCTTGCCGCGTTCGTGCCTTGTTCACTCTCACCATCCGTCTTTCTTAAGAAGAGAAAGCGACAAGAACGATAATTCTACTCAAGAGAGAAAACGCAATGGTTTGCAGACTGAAATCGAGCCATAATTCTATGCGAAGATATATGCATCATAAATTACACTGGAAGGAGAAATACAAACCATTCAAGTGAACAAATTTCTTATCAAAGTTGAATTTTGTTCGTCGTGTTGTCTGTCAGAAGAGAAAAAGTTATTCTATGCGATATGTTTTCCACCCAATGTCGACTGATGATGCTCAAAATGCAATGAGTGAACAGTGGCACGACAAGTCTTATTTCCGATTCACACTAACCAATACACCGATGGTGTGAATCGATAGTAGAAAAATAGGAAAAAGAGAACACATACACGCACCGCCTGCAGCATTACTTTCTCTTTTTTCCTTCTTTTCTCAAGCTAATGTATGCGTTTAATCGAACATTAAAAGTCATCGAAAAATAATTTTCATCACACAATCGACATTTTCTATAGGTATATGCGTGCAGATGAACACTTTCTCAGTTCTCTGGCTCAATCACAGATAATCCAGGAAAATACACATCTAATTAAGTATTATTACAAAAACATTAGTTCACTTTCTCCTATCTGGCAATGCGAATACGACAGTTCAGGTAAACGAGAACTGCCCATGTTCATTCGTGTATTTACTTTTTTGTACCTGATACACGTCAATTTATTGACTGTAAAGAAAAGTGTTCAAGAAGAAAACGACTGACACAATGATTGTATGTCTTTCTCACTTACCATCCTTTGTTCACACCACGAACATAAACAGAACTCTCACTCTCGTTTACTTTACGTGTATCAATGTCTATTGTTTCAGCGGTACACTCCCTATCATTTCGCAATTTGCTATCCTGTCACACAGTGTCCCGTGTGTGCCATTGTCAATCTCACTCAGGCGAGCAGTCAGCCAACATCGATTATGNCTCGTTTTCTCTTCAGGGAGCTCTTGAACTAGTTCTGGCGTCTTTCTTCTTCTTCTTCTTCTTCTTCTCCTCTCGACTGAACCATACATTATGACATATTCTGCGTTGTATGTATAGATGTAAAGCGAGATCTTCTCAATAGTAATAAAGTCTCGTGTTCTCGGTTCTCGGTTGCACTTCTAACCCAGACAAAAGACAACAAACTAAGAACTCACAGGCATAGAGAGGAAAGAGAGAATGCAATCTGTTTCCGGGAGTTTATTCACACACTCGCACATCACAGTATATTCCGAATGATGAAGGAATAAGAAAAGAATCTCTGACGAGCCGTCAAAAAAAGAAGAATCCAATCAATTTTTTTCTCTTTTTCTTCTAACTTTCAACAATAGACAACAATCGACTATTGAAAGGAAACAACGGACAAAAGAAAAAGATAAGATAGAATGAATTTTTTCCTTTTCTCAGATTATAATCATTATTAATATTATCATTACTTGCTTCATTTAATCGTTTCATACATTAGTTTATTTATTAATATATAAATGACAAAGTTAGTCATATGCATTCATTCGCTAGGTTTCTTTTTCGATTCTAAATATTGTTTAGCACGTCCGTAAAGTTCTGCGGGCGATTGAACTTTTGGAGTTTCATAATTCTGACAAGCATATATTCCAGCATAAACACCAAGTGAAAATGTAATTAACTTGCAAAGAAATGGCATTACGGAAGTGACTGCCGAAGCTGCAACGAGAAAATCATTTTCAGAATATCAAATTCAATTGAATAGAAGAAAACTTTTTCTCTAAAAGATATTGCCGCGGAAATTGATATTACATCTCTTCAAAGCACGTTTAAAATTAACTTATTTTTATTACATTTAGTACTTAGCTCCGAATGAAATCTTATCAGACACCTCCGGCTACAAGAAATACTCTCTCATCAATACGGTATATTCAAAATAGAAACAATTCAAGTCAATTCGGTTTCCAATTCTCGTTCTAATATCTATCACTAGACTCACTTGATAGCTGTCAATTGAAAATATATGAAAAAGTACCGTAAACAAACGCGACTTTTATACACGTGCATAAACTGATGTAATGTCGACCATAGTTTGATGCAATATAACACAGCATTCATGAGTCACAGTTTATCGCTTTGACCTGTGTTTCTGACAAGCAAAAACAGATTTATTGTTCTCTTTTCCGAAAAAAAAACAAACTCTTTCTTTCATATATCAAATCATCAACCATTGACATAATACTGAGAAAAAAGGCAGTAAAGAAGAACAACGCAAAATCCAAAGCAACATGTGCAGACAGAATATACATATACCGATGATATATTCTAGGTTTTTTTCAAATAGTCTCTTTTTTTGGGTTTCTGTATACATGTACAAAGTCACGCTGTACATACACACTCTTACGCACACATTTGCGCGAAAAGAACGGTTTTTTTTTCTGGCTAATGTTTGTAGATACATGAAGAGAAAGAAAGGATAAAGTGAAATCTACTAAATATATCATGTAGAATAACTCACTGAGACTCTTAGAGTCCAGTGAAAAATCTAGGAGAGAAGGATGCAAACTAAAACAACAATGACAAGACAATATATACAAAGAGAAACAAAGAAAAACAAAAAAAGAAGACCAATGTTATTTTCGATTATATGCTCGTGTACCCATGATGCCTTCATCTTCAATCTGTTCTAAAGCAAAAAAACAAAATGCCGTGAGAAATCAACGAGAAAACGAAAGTGGTCAGTCAGAGAGATGTTTACCAATTGATGAAACGGTGGATTTAGTTGCAAAAATTTTGCGTCGTGGCCGATCATTCATATTCATATCATCGTATTGTTCAGTTGCGGACACAGTTGATTTAACGGCAAATGCTCGACGTTTTGGTGGCGATGAAAGATCTTCTTTAGGAGCTATGGGTTGAGGCGGAGGGGGTGGTGGCTGAGGTTCATTGGCAGGTGCCGTTTGTAAAATGAATTGTTGCTGTTGTTGAGCTGGCGCTTGTGTAAGGACGGTGTATTGCGTTCCACCAGGCGATGTACATAGAGTAGCAACTTGATGTTGTTGATTAGGGTCAATTTGTTCGATAGTCAACGGAGTATTTGGATCAATGCCAGCCTGTGTAAGTAATGCCTGCAATTGTGCTGGATCAAGCGCGAATGGAGAGAGAAAAGTTTGTGGTTGCGGTTGTTGAATTGAAATTTGTTGGCCATCTAGAATGAAAATAAAAGATATATGTTATAATGGACAACGCGCGGGTGAACATCTCGACGAGATATAGTTTATCTGCATGCTGAGTTACGTACCACTATCAACAATGATTGCACCTTGTGAACCAAGCAATTGTTGTGCTTCTTCTGTAGATAAAATCACCGTATGTTCATTTCCATGTTCATCAATAATATTTGCTGTTATTGTGCCCAGTTGTTGGGTTTGATTTTTTTGACCATCATCTTCACATTGAACAGTTTCTTCGTTGACAATATTCGAAGGTGTTTCATCAACCATCATATTCATATCGTCGTCTTGTTGTTGTGCTTTACGACGTGCGTCCGCTGCCATCGTTACATCGGCTGCCGTTGCCAGAACGTGCGCAGCTTCCATGGTATCTAAGTCTGTGTTTATCGGTGTGATTGTCAAGCCTCTGCCCATTGTTTGCTCATCACTATTCAACTGAATACGACCCGGTGGACGTGACCATGCGAACGGCTTATTAGTCGCTGAATTGTTTGACGTGGAAGTATTGGCTGAGGGTTTAGGTAAGATTTTCTTTTGTTTTGGTGTGTCAACTGGCAACTTAACTGTAAATGCTAATGTTTGATTTTGTGAACCTGCTGCATTGTTTGTGGCTACTGATGGTGTTTCGACTTTTGCTTGTTGGACAACAGCAACAGGCAGAACTTGCTGCTGCTCGGATGCAAGAACCGAGAGAACTTGTTGATTCTTCTGATCTTGTTGTGGTACATTGACGAAAAAGATTTGGGATTGGTTTGCTACTTCACTTAATTGTGCATCATTTATTTTTGCGACAAATGTATTACCAGCATTAATCGAAGCAGCATTGGTCGTTGGAAGACGATTTGTTGTTGTTGTTGTCGAACGTGATTGTTGCTGTTGTTGATGATGATAATAATCATCATCCTAGAACGAAAATATTCCATATATGAGATAATTGTAATCGAGAAAAACAAAACATCCTACTTTATAAGTTGGATGATTGCCATTATTTATTCCAATACGACGAGCACCCATTGGCTGACGCATATCGTTCGGACGACGATATGCCTGTGTAAGACTAATGCGACGATTTTTATCATAATCATCATCATCAGCGGTATCGTACAATGGTCCTAGAAAATACCGATGTTCTTACATAGATCAAAGAAGAAATCTTGTTCATTTACTTGATGAACGATAAGGTATCTGTTTTCTTGGTCCATATCTTGAATTACTCTCTTCGTATTGATCATAGTCATCGTCGTCATCATCATTTGTCCAGTGCCGTCTTGAACCTGGTGGTCTGCCACGTAGACCAGTGCCACGTCGACCAGGAAATGTACTACGTCCACGATAGTTCGGTCTTCTTGGTGGATATTGCCCTTTTGGAACGTAATCGTAATCGTTGGGTTCATCAGCTGCTGTTGTTAAATGTTCTTCGTCTTCATCGTCTCCTCCACCTTGTTGATCATTCATCCATTTTGGTCTTTTAATGTCCGATTGTTGCTGTTGTGGACGAGCTTTCATTGTTGTACTTTTAACTGCATAAACACGCGGACGTGGTTTGTCATCCGTTGCATTTGTTGTTGTACTCATTTTCGCTCCCGTATCATTGTACGAATAATCGAAATCATTTTGAAACGCATTATTTAATGTAACAACCGAATTATTTTTCTTTGGCAAGGTCTCATTGTTGTTGCTTGTAGAACTTTCAATCGGTTGACCTGACAGAGCATCGAAATTGGTTAAACGTGGAATAATAGCACGTTTACGTTGGGCTGTTGGATCGGTTTGAATCGCATTTGCGGATGAATAATGTTCACGTGATTCATCTTTAGGAATACGACGTTTCAGAATTTCGATTGACATTTTACTTGAACCTTTCCAAACGAAATCAACTGAATCATCACTGAAACCATCGTGTTCGGGTGAACCAAATTGCATCAGATCTTTTTCGTTTACGTTTATCTGCTGATGTTTTGATGGAGATGCAGGAAGATTTTCCGTTTCATGCTTTTGTTGTTCGTCTGATGGTGTTGATGAAGTGCCTGTTGACGACGAGAACATTTTCGACTTTCGACCACGTTTCTTTGATGTAATAAGAATAGGCGGTGTCGAGTTGATCTTAATTTTGTCACGGATTTGACTAACGGATGTGTTAGTTTGTGAACCAAGACGGGAACCGCGTCGGGTTACTGGTCGTTTTTTATCGTCGGTTCCACTTGTTGACGACGCTGACGATGGTGATGACGAAGCTGATGAGCGTCGTGGATTATCGTCTGATTTCGAAGATTTTGATGCGCGACCTCGAACACGTTTGGTTGAAATCGGTGTGTTTGTTTTACGCAGAAGTGTTGGTTTTGTATTGTGATCTTCGTCGTCAGATTGAAACGTATATTTATCGTCTTGAGGTACGGGTTTCGTTGAGGATAATGAACGAGTGGATGGTCGTTTTAATGGTGATATTGTTGTTGACTTTTTACTCATGATGATGAATGACACGCGATCAGCATGAGCTTTTCGCGGTCGATAGAAAATGAACAATCGATTGAATAAACAAAAAATAGATTATCTAAAAAAAGAAATATGTACGAAAATTATAGGGGGTCTAGTAAGATTGATTGAAATCCGATAATCGATTAGACGACATCATAATTGAGATGAACTCATCGTCAAACACAAAGAATAAATGACAAAAGAGGGCATGTGTAGTCGGAGAATAAAGATCGCCATCTTTGTTTCATTCGCCTCCGTAAGGTCAGTCAACAAAGACTTAAAATTTTCCACCAATGAAATAATTTTCCAAAAATTAATTGCAATTAACAATTAAAAGAATTATTTTCCAATATTTTGTATGAGAAATCGCGTTTTAAACTTGAATATGCAAAAGATTTATTAGCGCGATCTGTGTCCATCTCTGAATTGATCAGTAGCTCGATTGACCAATCAAATTCTTTCTAGCTATCGTATCGATATTTCTGAAAGATAAAAAAAAAACTTTTTCGAAATCAAGTTCACGTGCTTCTTTTGAATTTTTACTCTTTGATCTACATACCTAGCGACAAGAATATTTTCCCTGGCGAGAATAACAATACCATAGATGCATGTTCTTATGCATATTTTAATTTTTATTTCTGTTTTGCTTTATGTATGTATATATATATATATATCAATATTCGCGTAATATAATCGTAGTTCACACTGATTGAAATATTTTTTTTGATAGATATTTCGATAGACATCATCGAAACGCAGAAGAAAAAGAAGGAAAATCAATTCAATGCGTAAGAATTTCGATTAGAGAAAGTGTGCATAGAGAAACAACCAATTCAGTGGAAAGAATAATCCAGCGGAGTACTAACAAACAACAGAAAGAAAGAGAGAGAGAGACAGAGAGAAAAGGAAGGCTCGGATGAAATGAAAAAATAGTGTATATATATATGTATAGGATTACTGTTATGTATGCGAGAAATTTTTATCATGATGAATTGGTTGAAAGATACACAACATTTCGATCGGGTTCATCGTTCGAATATCGAGAATCATTGAAACGACTCCATGGACTTTTGCTCGTTGTTTCATTCGATTTTGAATTGAGATCAGGTATTTGTCGTCGAACAGATGGAGTGGGTTGAGAACTATTACTAGTTGTTTCTGTCGGCGGTAAGCGTGTTCGCGGCAACGGACAGGGAGCGGTTGAACATCCATCTGGAGTTGTTGCTGCTGATGATAATAAAAGTTTTCGTGGTAATGGCAATGGTGGTTCAAGTCCATGTTGTTGTGGCTTTTGTTCTTCTTTTGGCGCAGGGCGATCGAGATTTAGAAATTCTTGGAATTCGTTGATAACTGGATTGATGGTTGAAGAAAGCTTTTCAATCGACTGTGAAGATAGAGATGATGGCGTATCGCGACGCTTGTAAAATAGAATATATGCATCCGGAGTGCATACACGAGATGGATCGAGTTCAGAAACAAGATGATCGTCGTAACAGAACCATTTGTTTGTTATGGGATTTTTACAGTAAGCTAACAAATCAACAACAAGTGACTTCTTTATAGAGCAGATTTTTATATAACTCACCGGTATAGTGTCCATTCGACATACTTCCACGATGATTGCACACTGCGAATAGATCATAGAGTCCATGTTGTCTCTGATCATTATCATCATCGTCGTCGTCATTCTCAATAGATTCTTCATGCTCATCGTCAATTTCACTGTCAGGTGTATCAATTTCTGATATGTTTCTTGTTGCTGATAAAAATCGTTTGACATTCAAGCCAACTAACGGAAACTGAACAGGATATGTTAATTTAGAATTTGATACTTTTGTTTGACAGAATCGTTTTAAATGAATAATTAGAACTGGTGGTGTAGTCCAAATTTTCAAGTTCTTCACTGTCCCATTTTCTTTTCGACGGCAATGTGTACACATCCATGCGTCATCCTAAATTAGTAAATTAAATGTGCATCTCTTTTGACATATGTTCAATAATGTACATACATAATTTAAACTTTCCGATTGTGTAAATAATGAAAAGCAATCAGCTAAAGATATGAGTGATGATGATGGTTGGTGCATTGTTGCACGAGCTTGTGCTACAGACTGATGAATATCAGGTTTATCATCACTACATGTCCATTTAGAAAGAAATTCTCCGAGATACTTCTCGTTCCAATTAGCATAAACTTGAATATGAGATGGTCCTAGACCAGGTCCATCGTATGTATCAAGTATTTCCACGATCTTTTCCAGATATAATGGTAATTGGACATCATGAAGTACGGGATATTCTTCTTTAGATGCTCCTGCTGATGTTATTTGATATTGATCGATCAGTGTCAACTGAAAAACAACGTAGTCTTGAGCGTATTCCATGGCTTCATCCCGAATCAATGAACGTTGAGCTTTGATGATTGCCATTTGTAGAGTTCGATAGTTTGATTGTCGAGGAACACGGACAGCTATTTCAAGAAAATAAATCAGTGAGCCGTTTAACGTGTTATTTTTAACATACCGATTGGCGGACCGAATCTTTCCATTCGACCGGAATTGTAGCGTACACGATTAAGAACAAGTAGATTAACATAGGAGGGAGATTGACTATCAACAGCTGACGCAACGTGTTTCGTACTTTCGGAATTTGATGAAGGAAATTGTATTGCATAAACATCTGCAGTCAAACGTGTTATTGGATCCGTATCATGAAAGACTTGAAAAAAACCATTTTGTTGTTGAATTTCAACAAGGGCAAGCTAAATGTTCAAGCACTTTCACATTTTATGTTTGTTCGACAGTTAAAAAAAACTTACATCGTTTAGATCGAGATTTGATTGTTGAGCAATAGCTTCTCGGACGTCCTTGACCGTATTCGTGATTGGTAGACATAAACCAATCTGCAATTGTTTTGGCGATTGATTAAGAAAAACAACAGTTATGAAAACAGGTTTAATAATCTTTTGTGGAATTGGTAATGAGAGTAGGAGATAAGGTTCAAACGTTTTACTCTCTTTCTTGCATTGATTACAACGTAAAGTCGAATGAAGTTGAGCACTAAATGTGGATGTTATGATACTTTGATTCGCATCGATGTATTCCGACCAAGCACATCGTGCTAGTTCCGATGATGTTTGGTACGAGAAGGAATTCTACAGAAAACAAATGAGACAACGAATGAGTTTTCATGAAGGCTTTCGTTTTACTTTGCTCTGTTGTCGACATCGGCCGGGAGCAGTCAAATTCAATTCATCATGAATTGTATTGATTAAGAAAAGTAGAAATTCTTGTGCATCGTTCTGTTCATTACCCGAATATTGTTTATTTAAATTTCCTACAATTGTTTTGAAATCATATAGTAATTTTGATGTCGAATTCGAAGAATTATTCCACAATGCTTGAAAAATTTGAGCAAAGATTTTCGTCACTTTGAAGCCGAGCGCTTGCTGAGATGTATTGGGATGATCATGTATCGCATTTTTTCTATTGCGGATATCTGTTTCGTAGGTTTTCTGAAGAATGTAAGAAGCTAATTGCTCTGTGTGACACAAACATTGCACGATTGCATTGACGTAGCTGAAAATAAACGAGAGGAATATATGAACAAATGTCCTATGTATGTGTTTACCAAGTATTCCCGCAGTTTTTTAATCCGTACAGAAATGGCACGTGCTGAGAAGCAGATGCCAAAGTTCGTCGAGATGATTTCCGCTTGATATCTAATCGTGTCAAGGAACTTCGTCGAGTGTCGTTGGAATTAGTGTTTCCTGATGACGTTAATGGATGGCGAAATGCGAGGACTGGTGAATTGGAATTATTGGATTCATTCGCATGATTGCCGGACGATATTCGATAATCGGCAGATTTTTTCGTTGAGGGAAAATTGATTAGACGTTTTAATCGGTAATACAACGATTTATGTGGTTTGGATGGATGTGATCCGACAGATTCATAACCGGATGAAGATGAGGACGATGCGGCTGTATTCGTTTTGTAGGATGCGACAGGTTCAGTTGAAACGACCGAATAGGATCGAGTAGTAATTGGTAGAACATTAGAGACGAAATCCACTGAACCGGCATGCATTGAACCTAATGTTCGAATATGATGATTCAGTACATTACTCATCGACGATGATTTATTGCCAACGACATCAGCAGCATCACATTGTGCCTTGGAATTAAAAGAACTGAAATCTGTGTTCGCAGCATCGACACAATGTTGAACCATTTTATTTCGCTGAGAAATAAGATTGATGATTCAATAAAATGAGTCGCAGGCAGAAAGAGAAATATAAATAAACAAGTAGTCATCGCTCTAGCCACAAGGATTTTCATTGGTTGTAGATGTCAGTAAGAAACCTTGTTTGTCAAGAGAAAAGGCACGGGTATTTGAATTATGATTAATATTTGAAGGTTCATAGCGAAAGTCATGCAATATTTTAAACAATCATAAATCGAATGACTCTTAGTGACATCTGTCGTACGGAGGTACGATCCGTCGTCTGAAATGACTATTTAACGATGAATTGAATTGAAAATAGTTCTTTTCGATTCCAATAAAATTAACTGAAAAATTAGAAGAAATTCTGCATCGATAATCTTTTCTAGATTTGTGTTCTCCCAACTACAGTGAATATCATTTCTTCAACTCATGTCTACACAATCGACTCCATCCTTGGGTATTGAATTCAGCACGATTCGAAGTGTCAAAGATGCATTGGCACTTGCTTCCACACACAAGTAGATCATAGTTTTGACGGTTGATTGAATATTTTGTATTCTATTCTTTCTTTCTTTAACAAGATATGACTTTCTCGTTATACCGATTATTCGAAAACAATATGGCACTGATCTTCTGACCACGTACGGCTCCAAACAATTAGCATGGCCAGCCATTGCCAGTCGATTGAAGGGTGTTGGTGAAAGTGCAGGTAAGAATGTTTAAAACATAGCTGAATCTTTTCTATGAATTTATTTCTCAGATATGTCCACAGCATTAGTGGCTCTCATTCGACACGTTGTTGATGTTGATTCCTTAAATCTTCATATCAGAGCTAAAGCAACAAAAGTAAGACAGAAACGAATAGTTCACATATTTCTAACAGAAATTCAACTAGTTGTTGCAAGAAGAACTTGCTGCCGCTCAATATTTCAGTGTTGCACGTGTGATTATACGGATCCGTAATGGAAACATCACAAATCTAACTCGAATTGCAGCTAGTACACTCAATACCCTGTACTTTGCAGTAAGATATCTCTTGAATTTTCTCTTCGATAAGATGCTTTTTGCAGTACTGGTTCGTCTTTCCAACACGTGCACAAGGTCCAGGTAGTGAAGATGACGATGAAGCTGAGTTGCAACCTTGGCTTTGGTGGAATAAAATCTATAAGTTACTCGATTATCATGGAAAAGTCTACCCTGTATTAGGTATCAATTATTTCGATTATCGTTTGAAAAGTCTGATGATTTTATAAATAGAATTATCGGCTGACGTTCCCAGTGAACAATCACAGAAGCGTTGGTTAGGCGAACCAGTACGTGCTGTAATATTACCAACAAAGATCTTTACAACGAATGCCAAAGGTTTTCCAGTACTTTCACCGGGTCATCAACTTTTTATAATAAAACTAATAAAAGTAAGAATGTCCTGTCTGATGAAATAGGATTATTGTTTCGAATCTATCTAGCTTAAAGTTCAATTTATAATCAAAGGAATTAATGCAAGAGACTCCATGCTATTCGAGCCCTATTTACAGTATCTCAAACATGTTACACGAGTAAGAGACATTGTCAAGAATTTTCTTTCAAAAAAGTTATTCAAACTAGCAAACTGAACCAACAAATCGTATCTTGGAATCATTTACTCATGGCTATGAAGATCGATTACAAGTACCACTTCAACCATTAGCTGATAACTTAGAATCACGTACATACGAAATATTCGAAAAAGATCCAATTAAATACGTACAATATGAAAAAGTAGGCCAGATTAAGCAATTACACGGAAATCAATTGTAGTTTTTGTAAAGGCTGTTTACCAAGCATTGATCGATCGATACGATCCAAAGACACTTGTGTAAGTTCAACTCAATTCTAGTGCTGATCATGTATGAATATATGTAATTGCAGAACTATTATGGTCGTCGGTTCTGGTCGTGGTCCATTAGTCAATCGAGCCCTCGAAGCAGCTGACAGAGCAAAATATAAAGTACATATCTATGCTGTTGAAAAAAACCCTATGGCAATCATTTCGTAAGTACAATAGTGTTGAATAGTAGTATGATATGCAATCGTATCTTGTAGTCTTCACGCTCAAAAACAAGAATGGGGTAATAGAGTTACCATTGTTCATGAAGATATGCGTTCCTGGCAACCAGAATGTAAAGCTGATATAATGGTTAGTGAACTGTTGGGCTCATTTGGTGACAATGAATTGTCACCTGAATGTCTGGACGGAGCCCAACGTTACTTAAAAGGTAAATGTACAGTTGATGCCATTCATTTTCTCACAGATTTTCTTTTTAGAAAATGGAATCAGTATTCCCTACTCATATACGTCATTTATATGCCCGATCCAATCGCCACGCATCTATTCCGAATTATTGTACAATCGAGATGCAAATAAGCCTCATTATGTAAGTCAAGATTTTTCAATGTTTCTCTTATCATTTATGTCAAAATTTAGGCAAATTTCGAAACACCTTTTGTTGTCTATTTACATAATTGCTTTTCGTTGTCGGAAACGAAACCACTATTTACATTCACACATCCAAATTTCTCAAGTAAAAGTCTCGCTAATCTTTCAAATGGAAATATTCTTTCTCTTTAGCACCTATTGACAATTCCAGATACGGTGAAGTAGAATTTACTATACCGACCACAGGTACTATGCATGGTTTTGCGGGATACTTCGATGCAAAATTGTATAAAGACATATCTATTAGTAAGTGTGACACTATTGATGTTAATGAACAATGTCAATGTAATCATTCAGGTATTGAACCGAACACGCATTCGAAAAACTTAATCAGTTGGTTTCCGATGTTCTTTCCTATTCGAGTAAGCAAAAAACTTTCTTTGATTTTGAAATATCTACAGTTTAATTTCCAGGAGCCAGTAACTTTAGCGGCTAATTCGAAAATTAAAGTGAATTTCTGGCGTTGTTGTTCATCTTCTCAAGTTTGGTACGAATGGACAATGGTGGAACCAACAACATTACCTATACATAATCCAAGTGGTCGATCATTTTCTATTGGAAAGTAGAAATCACTGAATCACATAAGTTTGTTCTTCTGATTTTCTTTCACTCAGATAAGAGTTGCGTTTTCATCTCTCTCGTGATATCGAACTGTGAAACATTGTTATTGTTCTTGTTGTTTTTCTCTTTTTGAGTGTTGTTTATTTTCATGAATGATCATGCAAACATTACTCTTGTCTTCCATTTTAATAGAAGAAAGTAGCAAAAGGATACAAAATGAAATCATCATTTCTCGAAACACTCAATCACGATGATCCGTCAAATAGGAATTTGTACATTTTTATATCAAAAAAGCTTTTATTCACATTATTATCAAATTCAAACAGAGAGGATGCAACATGAATAGGTGCGAAGAATCTATAACAAGCTTAGTGATTCGGTGAGAAAAATCATATTTTTCTACTATAATAATGTTTTAAAGTTTACTAATTGTGTGAATCGAATCTAATTCATGTTGTGATGTTGCCTGACTATGTTGATCACTTTCAAGCATTGTATTAAATGCATACGAGCTGGGTTGTAAACTATTATGTTGTTTGTTATTCTTTGCTCTCCATTCTGCAATTTTCTGACTCAATGCGGCGGTACTTAATGATCCTTCCAACGATTCATTCGAATCCTTGCAATGTAGACAATCACGACGAAATTTTTTCCATAGGAAAACGAACCAACGAAGTAATGGGACAATGAAAAGCTTAATGATAAGAAAAGCAAATGCGAATAATTCAATACACAATGATGTAAACAGTAAGCCATGAAAGGTTAATTCTGCTGTACGAACGATCGGTTGTTGGATATTCTTCATGTAGAATGGACGTTCATCAAGTGCGACTTGTATTACAGTTAATGATGATGTATAGCGTAAATAATTACCGAAATCAGTGTAATAATCTTCATCCGATAACGAAACTGTACTAAATGTTGGCATCCATAAACCTGAGTATTCTGTCGAGTCTGATGGTTCCAAGGCTTGTGTCATATTAATATTTTTTATGAAGACAATCGGAACCGAGATAGCTCTTCCAATAGCTTCATTCGCTGTTCCATAGAATTCACAGAAATCCATTTCACGTAAGACATAGTTGGAATTGGTTCGACCTCGTCCTCGAAAACATAAACGAAAGGCACCTATCCAATACGGACCACTGATGTTTACTTGCACTGTTGTTTGATGTTTCGGAAGTGGAACAGTAATATATGTTGTCGCCCGTTCAATGGATTGTTGACAATCCATGGGTAGCGGCACGTATTTTGAGCTGACAAGATTTTCTTGTGTTGTGATCGAATCACAAGAAAAGCCGGTATTGATCAGTTCTACTGTCAAATTGAATGCCTGTTGGTCAAGTAATGTGAACATAGGTTGAGCTCCTTCTGATTTTGGAATGGCAAGTAATTCGAGACCAGTAGAAAACTGCGCATTGACTAACGACTCATCGCAAGCAAAGTAAGCTGGCCCACTAATAGCTTCGATTGGATAACGCCGAATGAACGAAGCAGAAAACCAATACGAAAACGAAACGAGAACAATGATGGCAAATGTTGCTAATCCACCAATCCACATTTCTCCTTCGCCGATAATATCCGTGTGTTTGAATAAATCTCGTGCTCTCTTTCCGCATTCTATACATGACTTACAGCCGCAAAGATGAGTAATGAGCATAAATAGAAGAAATAACACACATACACCGCTGACAACAATTGTCCACAAAAGTGGCGAGATAATTAAACAATGTGGATCCGTACTTATTTGAAAAACATTTTTTATCAGTAAATCCTCGATATCAGTCGTGTCAGCTGACTCAGGATATGCCACTGCTTGACTATACGAACCAATTGAATTTGAATCAATGTCGGCTAATGATGCCAAAGGGCAAAAACCAGTTTGAGAGTTATTTGAACATGGAATACATTGAGTGATCCCATATGGTAATAATCCGGAATTTCGAGTATTTGGTGGACAAATTTGACATGGACCGACGCTAGTCATATTTTTATAAGTTCCACCGATACAAAGCTTTGGGACGTAATAGAAAACGAAAACACGGTCGTTCGTGTCAATCCATCGTGATGAATAACCGGGAGATGCATTTGGAATAATTAAGATGTCTGCGGCACTTGTTAGTATAGCCATATTACCGTTAATCGTAATGCTGAAACGAGCAAACGACGGTCGAGATAGTCGACTACCTAAAATTTGTTGATTGTTGGGGAAGCTGAAGATAGCCGACGTCAATGAAATAGATTTTTCATTGTAAAAGAATATTTCCGTTTGCGACCATACAGTATCATATGGATCTTGCACTAATATCGCTAATGTCGTATCATCTGCCCAATCCACAACGCGACCCACAGAAGTCGAATCAATGAATGATAAAACATTAATGCGACTGACGTTTAAAACAGATCCGATCCTATAAAGTACGGCAACTGTTGCGAGACGCTGCACACCAACGACTACTTTATTCCCGCGGATTGCAACCGACAATTCATATGCACTATTGTAAGTGGTTACATCTGCTGGAATCAAAAACGTTGTTTCAGTTGTAATTGGTACACATGATGCTGGTGCGAACGTGGTTAGATTAACAAAACATCCAAGTGCAGCATAATCCTTTTTATATTCAATGGTATACCCGTAACCAGCTACAACAGCCCAATCACTAGCAACATCCATCGAGTGTGGAATAAAACCTTGAGCTGGCCAAATAGAATTGCTTGTCGTATTCAATACAAGAACATTCGCATAGATATTCAATTTGAATACAAATGTACTAGTAAATCCATAGGCATACGTTCCGTTATTATCGACACCAAGCAAGAAATATTCTTGATGAGAGTCATTACCCGCCAGGTCAGAACAAAGGCTTCGCGAGACGCATGATTCAGAAATAATACCAATACAAACATAAGGAGTAGCAGTCGAAATTCTCTCTGCGGCAAAAACAAACATAAATTGTGTATTATTGACAGTACTATTTTTAGAAATTCCAACAACAGCGACACTATGCACAAAACGATCGGTTGTATTCCATCGCATATTACACCGCACTGCCCCACCAGCAGATGCATTACGAAATGGATGCATAAGAACGGCAAAATTCGAGAAACTATTCGACGCTGATACAAACATGTCGTCATTCACGGACATTTTCGTGCCAGGTGCCACATTACTGGTGTCGTAAACAACACACCATGATACATGACCGGAGATGACAAGAAGAAATATAAGCTGCAGGAACATTTGGATCTAAAAAGCAGAGCAAAAAATAGAAATCTTTACTGTTCAGTTCATTGAGGTATAGAAAATATGAAGCGAAAAGTGGTGCGTTACTGTAAGACAAGATATGATGGATGCTTGTTGACGTGAGTTCATTATGAATAAAAAACAGAAAATGCTATTGATACTTCAAAACATTTCTCATCATTCAGACTGTAATTATCAAGTCTTACAGCTTCAGATGACTGCGTAGGACTAAATGAATATTTAAAAGCTTTTCAACTGTCGTATGAGACTTTATTCAGTGAGATTTTCTAGAGGGAAACGAAGAGAATTAGTTAAGGGCCGTGCTAAATGGACGGAGTTGTCAAGATTCTTACAAGTACATGATTAAATCCAAGATACCTACGGTGGCATTTCAGTTCGTGATGCCATAAAATCTTATAGAAATCAAAAACAATTTGCGTTTGCCGTCTTTTTCTTTATAGCAATCATGTCAATCCAAGAAAGAAATTAAAGTGATCCTTAACAATCAACCTGTCAACTGCTCTTGTCAATGGGCTCACTCTTTCTCTTTCTCTCGAAATGCAATGCTTTTCGATGTGTTCATGACCCTTACCTACCTGCTATTGAAGTTTCTGAAGTTGCTCTGGCAGTCCAAAACAACAGTTTTGTTCACAACAACTAAACAAATAACTACCAACTCAGTACAATTTTGTTATTTTTTTGTACTCAGCGGAAAAAACTGATTAAATATGAATTTAAAATGATATCATTCGATTGCATCGGTAATAATTCTGTTATTTCATAAAAAATCAATAACAAAAAGAAAACACGGAACAAATACGATTTTTGTCATCGTGATCGCATTGATTTCTTCCAGGAAATTGCACAGTTTGCCTAGCTAATGTCCCACCTTCTGAACTCTAGCTCTCAACTTCCATATTTACATCCTCAAAAGAAATAAACCAAAAGTTGTTTGGCATCTTACCTGAGTTGTTGCAAAGCACAATGAAAATCTTTCTAGAGAAAAATGAAAATCAGCCACCCTGATCTCGAATATTTATATTTGAAAAGAAACATTGTGGACATAATCATAATTGATGTGAAGTACTTGTTTGTTAGAAAACATTTTACATGTCTTTTTAAATTAAGTGCGCTGTGACTCATGAAGTGGAATTCTTTACTCCTTCAATCATTGTCAATGCGAACAATATTTCGCTTTTAAAAAAAATAGTCTTTGTACTTTTCGAATGACGAAACGTTGACACAGTTAGGGTTGACCTTGATTCATCAGCCTTTGTCTCCGAGTCACGAGCTCAACGGATGTTCATTTCGACGTCAACAGACATTTGAAAGTTTGAACTTTCCTTTTCCGTTAAATCAATGTGATAAAAATAAATTCTAATTATGTCTTGGATACTCCAATCAAGATTTCAAATTATCTTACGAGGATTTTCAATAAAATGGCAAGTTCCATTTCATATATCCTTCTCTTCTTCGTAATTACATATTGTCTAGGATATGCCTTCACTGATACTCATGCCGAGAAACTTCAACATCTGAGTATTATGCATGTCACAATAGCACCCAAGAAAAATATCTGATTTTTCTCCCGCTCATGTCAGACAGATAAGAAACTTTTCATTAAGACATTAGACTCTGTGATAGAAGCATAAGCAATCACAGCATGAATTCATTTCATTGAATAAACAAACACAATCAGATAGGATTATCAATGTTTTCACTTGCTTATATATTCAATTTGAATTGACTCATAACTACGTATATGAATATTTATCTTTTAATTGTTTTCTTGACATATTTTGAGTCATAAAAATATTATGTTTTGAAAAAAAAACGAAAGAAATTAATAAAACATCGAGTTGTTTCTCTTTGTTTTGTTCTTCATCTAACATGGATGAGACATTTAAATTAATCCTATTTCAATTTTCTTTCTCGAATAGTTGTTTCTTAATAAAGCATCTCTCTTTCTCTTCCTCCTGCAAATGCAAAGACGAAGAAGCATCGAAAGGGAGAGAGAGAACAGAAGAAGAAAAAAAAAACGTCGTTGCGCGATTTCTATTGGTCAAAATACTCTACATTACCGATGCTCTACAGCCTTCCTTATGATTCTTTTTTCACTTATCTTTTGTTTATTTCCCTTCGTCATTCATAAAGAGTTAAAACAGCTGTTTATTCATGTCCCTTGAAATCAGTCGTTTTTCTTCCAAATTGACTTTTTCTTTAATATCATGATATTTTCTTTTGTTTTACAGATATTTCATTTTAATAAATACAACACGACATACTCATGTTCACCTCATCTGATCCGAACTTACCTGATTTGGATTTTGAACTTGTTGACGAAAGACAACAAAACATGTATTTGAATGAAGCGATGATCAAGGATCTTTTGTCATCGCCAACATCAACATATCGCATTGTGAAACCGACGTATGTGTGAAAGAAAAACATTGCGTTTTTTTTTCTAAATATTTCAGTGAACGATTTTATTTTATTCAGAAATTCAAATAAACGGCCGATTCCCAATCAACTTCGTCGACAGCTAGTAAGTTAATTAACAAGCTGTCATTGATTTCTATCTATATTGCCCTCTTCTAGACCGATGAAAGTCCGCATAAACAACGTACACCACCGAATTCAACTGGAACAAGTTTATCACCACATCAATCATCATATTTGACACGAGATACGAATCCAATTCGAATAACAAATGCTCAAAATAACATGCGAGTATCCTCACCGGCAACAACCAAACAGTTAGATGCAGTTGCAGTATTACTTAAACAAACCATTGCACCTACACCATTCACACAAGTAGATAACATCAGTCTTACGAAATAACGACTTTCACCTGCAATCTTTATCTTTTTTAGACGATTCAAACGCGCCTTGAGAATCCAACACGTTATCATTTGGAACAAATAAGTCGAAAACAAACACTAGTTGCTGAAGATTCACCTGTGGTATGTTCATTCATGCTATGAAACCTCGCTCAATAACCTTCTATTTTAGTTACCACAGGAAGAATCATCACCGGATAGTGAAATTACATCTGAGGTTCATTCGTTTTGTACCCAAAGAACAATCCTCTACTCATTCGCTTTTGTTTTTAGATGGATGATCAACTAAACGATGAAGCAACATGTGGCAGCGTTGACAGTAATACCCATGGAATTAACATAACCCCTCGGGTACAGATTTGTTTTCTATTTATAAAAGAAATTTCAACATATGAATATGTATTTTCTAATAGTTATCAACAACGGTCACTGGCGACCATCCTGGTTCAGTATTTTTATCATCATCCTTATCAAAAGATGGTTTAGACAGCAGTAGTCGACATTCATCATCGTGCCCAACTAATATTTTAAGCGCGAAAGCGAAAATTGGGTTACCATTAACTGAAGATGAAATGCGTCTTGTTCTTCGAGATCGCCAGAAAAAGGACAATCATAATATGAGTATGTAAAAACAAAACCAATTGTTTTTCAAGTGTTCTCTTTTCCTTTTTTTTTGTTAAGTTGAACGTCGTCGTCGTTTTAATATCAACGACCGTATCAAAGAACTCGGCACACTGCTACCAAAGGGCGCTGATTTGTAAGTAAATCACATTTTTCCTAAGTTAGTTGTGCCAGTATTTATTCACGTGTTTCATATATAGATCTAGAGATGAGATGAGATGAGAACATAATTAATCAGTTTGCCTTTTCTGACCTTTAATAAGCGAAGATTTTCTTGACTGAGCTCTGATTACTTAAACTATGTCTGTGTTTTTAATCTGAAAAGATTATAAAGGAAAATATTTTCCATTTTTCAGAGATGCAAAACAAAACAAAGGAACAATACTGCGTGCATCGGTTGATTACATTAAAATCTTACGTCGCCAATACGAAAATGCTTCGTTGATCGATGGAAAATGCCAGATGCTAGCTGAACAAAATTTTGCTTTACAAGAACGAGTCAAAGTTCGTCCATCGATACGCCGATCTCTTTGAGCGACGAAAAGCAATCCTCTTTTTTTATTTCAGGAACTAGAACGCAAATGTTTATCACATGGCATTTCAATCAACTCAACTGCAGCAGCATCGACCACATTGAAAAGTTCACCAGCAATTGCCATGGCCAATCCAAATGGTGTCAAACAAGAACCATCATCATTATCATCATCATTGAACAATAATAATAATCCATTAGTTCCTCCGTCGACACCAATATTTGCTACATTTGATTCGCTTCCGCCACTTGACGCCCTTTCAGTATTTGGTCTCGTTGATGAAGATAGTAATGATACAAATAGTGCTGTAGGAAACACATCAACTGATCCACTTTCTCCACTCACACACGATCCATTTTTATCTTCCGCATCGTTTGGTTTCGACAATGAAATGGATATCGGTAGTGGCTTTCCTTGAATAAGTCTTTGATTTTTCCTTCTATTCGCTCAATCTTTTCTTTTTGTATATAATGTTCAAAGAAAGAACGAAAAGAATGGCCAAGAACAGCTTGCTGTTACTATAAAACAGTACTTCTGTGAATACATTTATTTGGTGCTAGCAAGCATCATCTTATGTTCTTAGTTTTCTTCTTTTTTTCTTCTCTTTAACATCACTTATCCCCCACACGCATCTACCTCATCCGTGTGATACGCGTATACATACATATATAAATAGACCGAGAAAGAGAAAAAACGATGTATTTCTTTGTATTATTATTATTACTATTATTATGATTATGATTATTCGAGTGTGTTTTGTATAGTGTATATTTTTATTTGTGTGTGTATATATACATAGATGTACATGATCGAACAGTGGTGTTGTCGTTATCTATTTATCCTAATTATTACGCTGTGAAAAAAAAGAAATAAAACACTGTGCATGCATTGATATTAGATACGCCAATAAACACGATGTTTTTCTTCTCTGATTTTGAACGTGAGGATTGATGATTAGCATGGGTTTTTTTCATTTCAGCTTGAAGAAGATCGGAGTTATCTTATGAGTTGATTAAATCAAGTTTGTCCTTGGAATTTTCTTTCTTATCGAGAAAATCCTTGATTATGAAATTCAATTAACTCGACTTCTGTTCTTTTATTTATCGCTGTGATATTCTCAAGTTTTCTTTCGCCACGCGAACAACTGATTTCCTGATCGGGAATAGAAAAAGAAGTTGATTAACTCTTCAATCATAATAGAAAACATAAACAAATCATTTGTTATTCTTCAAGTATTACTAGTTCAACTCTTGCAACTCGTCTGTTACTTATCTTCTATTCGTTAATTAATTGCAGACATTGAACGAGATTCACATACCTGTTGAAGAACACTATTCATTGCTCGTATGCACTAGTCTCAAGTTGATGTCACAGATGTGTGAAGACTTGAAATGAGTGATAGACATCAGCTCCGAGTGCACATCTGTTGACGACACATGAATAGGTATTGCTGAATCAGTGCTATTGTTCCATATTCGTCAGAAGTGAAAGATCAGTTCGACTGCTGCTCAGTGATGACTTTTTGTTGGAAAATAGAACACCCTCGTTCCATCAAGCTGCTGTGTGTAGTTAACATTTCCGAACGAGAAGTGTTATGAGGAGCAAGCGAGTACATTCGAGATCAAACGAACATTTGATAAGTTCAACAACATCGTCCTTGCAAGAAGACAAATACGAAATTTATGAGATGTGCAATAGATGATTCGAGTGATAATGATCTTGACTAAATTCCCTGCATTGATGTTGTTAATTGCCGCACAATATTGGATCATTATCTCCTCAACATTCTTTTTCATTCACGTCAAAACTGTTATCAGATCGAGTTAGAAAAAAAAAGACGAATAAAGAACATTTGAAAGAAAGCCGATGACATTGTTCTATTTATTCTAAAGCAGAACAAAGCAAAAGGTGTCGTTGAAGAACAACTGTGCACTTGGCCTCTTGTTTATGTAGAGAAAAGTAAAAAGCCATTCAAACACACATTTAAATACATTATGTATTACAACATTGAATGATGTCATATGATGACTACAGAAGAATAAGTTAGTGTACAAGTAGATTTTATACAAATGTATTCGTAGGTGAGCCTTTGACTGCAAGTACAGATGAATTTGTCATTTCGTAAAAAGGTCTTCCTGAGTTTGTGGGTGTTTGTCGGATGAATGATTTCGGTTCGATGTAGTGTCCTAAGTGGGCAAGATCAATGAACTTTCGATTGGGCAATGGAGAAGATGGAAGAGGGAAAGGCATGTTTCTTGCTTGATAATGTGAAAGTGAGGAATCGCTATAAGTTGATGAATCTTCGGCTGATGAAGCACCATTTGAAGAGACTAATGAAAATAAATTATCATTTGTATAACGATGAATATCCAATGTAACTGAATGTTTTAAATGTCTAGAGAAATCAATTTATTTCAAGATTGTTATTTCAAGTGATGAAATCATCTGCGTACCGTATTATATGTGCTACAGTTCGTTGTTGAGCACGTGAAACATTCTGACCATTGATTTTCACAATGTAATCACCTGATTTTAGTCCGCCGACAGCCGCTGGACTATTTTCACTAACTTTTCCAATGAATGTCGGACTGTCGCCGATGACAGTGAATCCGAATGAATCATTCGTACCACGCGAGATCGTAAACTACGGAAGAAACAAAAACAGAAAGATAATTATCCTGCCATTGATAATCGTGAAAACAACGGATTTAATTAGTTTCTCTCTTCTCTATTGCTCGCAATATTTGGACATGTCGTCAAGCTAATGTTCGTTGCATTTCCGGCACCTGCGCTCTGAAATGAATAACATTCTCAATCCGGATGTTTTCCTTTGCCTGGTATGATTCCATATTTAATAGCGACGAAACTCGGGATAAGAACATACTTGATATTCTTGTAGATTTGCAATATCACGATTAATTTTCGTCACTTGTTTATCGAATTGATTCGCTACTTGTTGATGACGTAATTCGCCAATGTCTTCTGGCAATAAATAAAACCATCCATCTATCTACAAGATAAACACAATCGAAATCAAATGGTGCAATTTATGACGTTGATTACTTTTTGTTTTTGTAATGTATTTCGAATTCCAAAAGACAAACAACCTTGTAGAATCATTTGATTTTGCTCGCATCTATAATTATACACCGAAAAACATAAACGCTTGTGCATATCGTCGTCATTGATTTCAAATGTAAATTTTTCATTGAACACCCCTCGACCATTTCGATTCGGAACTGTACGTGTATGACATTCCAGTGGTTTACGGTCAGGAATGAATGTAATACGGACAAGAGCATTCGATAACGATGATTTTAAGCCTTTCACTTGAAGAACTACATAATACGAAGCTTCAACTTATCATTTCGAATGTGAGCAAAACTTACTTTGTACGGTTAAATGATGATCCGACGCAGATAGGCTCAATTGAATAATTCCGGACGCTGATCGTTGTTGCTTGCTCATTATTGAATGTGATATTCTGTTTTGAAGATAGATATTTATTTCGAAAGAAAAAGGATAACGATCGTGTGAGAAAAGCTAACACACTTCATAAAAGAGCATAACAACTTGTAGTTTGTTTATGTTATTTCTCACTTACTTATCCAATCTAGAAAGGAGACTTAATAAACATTCGTGGCGAAAAAGACAGAGACGAAACGAACGAAGCAGAAAGAGAGAGAGAGAAGAAAAAGACTGATTACCAATGAAAATTATGCAAATGTTAATGATCGATGAAATGAAGAAGATGGAATTTTAACAGACAAATGTGAATGAAGAATGAATTTTCTCAGCAATAGCATTGATCGAACTGCTAATTATCACAATGATAGATATGATTAGGAAGAAGAGAACAGATATCGGGCATGTTAATTGATGGTGTAATCAAAGAATGTGCACGATATGGAACTGAAATATCGACATCTTACCGCATGATAGTCACTGTTGCAAGGATTCCCCGCTGGCGAAAATTAAAAACGTGCTATTAGATACAGATGTGAAAAAATCACTTCAATAAATGATCAGCAGAATGCCATAGTTGATTTTGTGAATATGACAATGTTTTAATGTTTATTGGTTTTTTTTTCTTGACTAATTTTATCATCTTAATGTTAATTTTCTAAATTTGTTTTTTTTGTTCTCGGATGAGAATGAACTCAAAAAGTATGTGTCCACAAGATCTGAACATATAGACCGGATATGATACAGAACGTATGAAAGAAGGAAAAAGACGAAAGGTCATCATTTGAATAGAACTGTATGAGTCGAACATAAACAGAGAGTTATGACTCGCGTGATTGACAAATATAGAATCTCACGACAGAAATAAAAAAAACCGAGAGAACGCAGCAGAACATGCAGACACACACAAAAAAGATAATTTAGTCTAAAGTTTTTGTGAATTTGAGTTTAATCGATTTCCATCGATGGTTGCTGTTGTTGCGGTTGTTCCGTCGATTGTGTATTTTGATTACCTGATGATGTTGGTGGTGGTTGTTGTGGTGGCGCCTGTTGTTGTTGTTTAGACGTATCTTCTTTTGGTGGTTCAACTTTCGGTTTTGGCTTATTCAAAATAGCCCAGCATTCTCTTTCGAGTGTCTGGAAAGAGAAAAATACATTAATATGAAATGCAGAAACATACATTTGTGAACAAACTTACATCTCGTTCTTGTTTGATTCGTGAACATAATATAGTTGGATCGTCATGTGTTTGAAGTGCATGAAAATGATTTGCTGTCTGATCGTACCATGATTGCTTATCGGTTAAGACTTTATTTGCTTTTTCAATGTCTTTGGCATCAATATGTGCATATTTATCACTTGATTTCGTATGATAAGTTTGAATAGCTTCGTCGATTCGTTGGATTGATTTCATTAATTCTTGCATGTGATGTTGACGACTCTCTGCTTCAGTGTATCGAGTACGAATTGGTTCACCAAGGCTCTAAACATCGATCGAAATTCAATAGTTGTCTGAATTTAGTTGTTCATGCTTACTCTTAGATTTTTCAAGCGATCAACGTAAACATTTTTTTCTTGGTTCATTCCTTCGTCGTATAGCCACTCTTCCGTTGTATGAAGATCAGCCAATAGTTTTTGACGCGTTTTGTCATCGGAATATTTCTCATATTCTCCACCATCGACCTTGCCACGCATTTCGTAGACATATTCTTCTACAGCATTTTTCGCGTCGGAACGCTCTTTTTCCTTCTTATCTTGAGAGATCATGTCAAGCTAGATGAAAGAAAACGGCTTGAGACAAAAATCGAGATGAATTCGAGTCTTACTTCTTGTTCAATTAATCGTTCAAGTTCTTTCTTTGATGCACCAGGCACACGAGGAGTGATGGGCAAATCAATTTCTTTCTTCTTCTTCTTAGATGCGGCTGCAGTACCTGCCTTAGCCTTTTCGTTACCTTCTTCATCTTTGTCCTGAAACGAACAGCGAGATTTGTTTTCGAAATGTCTTGTTCACAAGATAATACAAACTTTTTCTTCAGCTTGAGCATCACCACTACCGGCAGCTGCGGCATCAGAAGGTGCAGCACTCTACAAAACAACAGAAAATATTGAATTGCAATGGTAGACAATTGATTTACTTCTTCCATTGGTTCAGTTGTTGTCGTAGCGCTGGGTGCTTCGCCGTTTTCGACCGTTTGGGCAGATGATGCTGCTGCTGTTTCCATTGCTTCGTCTACAAGAAAGATAATCAAACAACGTTCCTACACACAATTGTGGTATTTCATACCTGCTGGTGCATTTGGTTCTTCGATCGTTTCAATCAGTGATGCCTGTGTGACATCGAAAATGCCATTGCGATTGAGTCGAACTTTAACTTTTATTTTCGATGGTGTACCATCGGGCTGCGGTTGAATTTGTTCGATAGTATATTGGCCTTTACAATAAATATGTTATTAAATTTACAGAAAACAAAATAAAGCTATTTTCTTACCAATACGTGATTCAGAGAATGGAATATCATTTGGATAAGAATAACGTGCCTCAACTGTTAATGGTTCTCGTTTGTAAAATGAGAGCATCTTTGTTGAAGGAATTACATTCCAACGACTAAAGACTTCTACTTCATTGTCTTCATTAACACCGCCTTGCCATGATAAGGTGATTGGATACGGTTGGCAATCTTCGATTTTGAATTCTTTCACTTTAAATGTTGGACTTAATATAGCACACATTAAAGTACAACCGCGTGCAACACTTTCGTCAGCGTTCATTGTTGTCATTGGTTTCTTTTGAAAAACTTCTTCAACAATTTGTTTAACAGCTGGTACACGTGTTGAACCGCCAACGATTTCAACTGATTCAATGTCTTCGATAGTGATTTCTAGAAAAACAGATAATTGAATACATTTCGTTGTTCGAGCAAAGATAGGATAGATATGACTTACTAGCTTCTTTAAGAAGATTTTCGAGTGTGTGTCGAATACGATCCAACAATGGTTTAGCAACTTCTTCAAAGTCTGCTCGTGACATTTTACCGTTAACATCCTTGTCATCAATAAAACATTCAAGTCCAATTGGAATAGGTTGAACATTGGCAGACATTAATTTTTTCGCTTTTTCACATTCAGCACGTAAGCGCAATTTGGCTTTCACTGTACTGTAAGAATCGATTTTATAACGTTTTTGAAAATCATCGCGCATGGCATCCATTATTAAATTGTCGAAATCGCGACCACCTAACGATGGATCGAACGACGTTGCTACCATCTATTCGTAAACAAAGATCATCGGTATATCTACTGTCTAGTCGGTTCTTTGTTTGCACTTACTTTCAATTTACCCTTATTGAACGCGACGATCGATGCTTGTAAGGATGTGTAGCCCATGTCAACAAATGCAACAAGACGAGGCTTTTCAGTCTGCTCCGGAAGATCTGCTTTGTAAATACCATAACTGAGGGCGACTGAAAATAAAAACATTTCAGGTTCGCTTTGTCTGTCTAACAAATGTTCGTTTAGTACAAATGTGTGGGTGATGTTATTTTGACCTGCGTCATATGTCAATCATCAATTTTCTATGTGACTGAGACTTTGCATCATCTGCAGGAAGGTTCTCGAATGATCGGGAAAGAGAGGTGAATTCTAGAAATTTCAAAGTTGAATGAGTGAAACGGCGAGCAGTGACGATGGAGTTTCAATATCACTGCACTGCCACTTCGCTACCTGACGATTTATAAAGATTAAAACTATTCAAATAGTGTTTTTATAACCTTTTAACTATGAAGTACGGCGAAACAGTTTCATTTCTTCCTACCCTCAAGCGAATTACATCCTTTGATGAGTCACAGTTCCGTCACTCATAGACACAAACAGGTCCGTCTTATCTGATGAAAGATAAGAATATTTCATTATGAAAATTCCACATAACTTACCGGCTGTTGTTTCATTCATTAATCGAAGGCAGTTCCATCCTGCAATTTGTGCTGCATCAAGCATAGCTCGTCTTTCAGCATCAGTAAAGTAACAGGGTACCTATATCCAAAGTGAATGAAAGTAGAAAAGCAGTTCTTTTCTTTTTGATAAGAAACATACTCCAATAACACAATCAACCGCTTTGGTTTTTAATTCTGTGTCGGTTATTTGTCTTAATTTTGTAAACATAATTCCAGCGATTTGTTCCGGTGTAAAACGTTTACGTTCATTGAGATAATCAACCTAGAAACATGCATCGAGTGACATTCAATGAGAATTCGATGAAATACGCATACTTCAATATTCACAGAACTATTGGGTCCTTCGACAATTGCATAAGCATTGAATTCTTTCTCTTGTTGAACATGGGAATCTTGGAATCGTCGACCAATTAATCGTTTGAAATTGTTGATGGTATTTTTGGCATTCGTTACTTCCATTGCTTTTGATGCTTGACCGATTGAGCGAGTTGATTTATCGAAAGTGACATAGGTTCTGAAAGAAAGGACTATGTTGAGAAAATTTCTTTCAAGAAGTTCAGCTAACTTACGGTGTTAGACGATCAGAGTATTCGTTTGCAATCACTTCAACACCACCGGCACGGGCCACGCCGATGTATGATGAAAAATTGCCCATATCGAGACCAACGACAGCCTAGAACGGTATGGGAGTTAATCGAAAACGCATGCAAACATGAATGAACTTACCATATTGATTAAATTGATATGAAAGTATTTGGAATGAAAAGTAGGAGAAAATAACAATTCAAGAAAAATCTGAAAGTCAAGTGAAAATCTAGGAAAATGGAGTACAAAGGAATCCAGCCTTTTATAAAGAACGTGCGGATGTGCTAGCGACACATTTGGAAGAGAAAAAGACATTAAAACAGAGAAAGCAAGGAGTAAAGAAGAACTTTCTCGACCATTCGAGAACAAGCTAGTATATTTGTTCTGTAGACAATGGTATTATATGGATCATATTGCATCGCAAGTTGGAATATTCATAGGAAGAGTGTGACCTCTAGTGGTAGAACTCCCTCTTCAAATTCGATACTACGGAACAAAACCCGACTCAAGATTGTCAATATCAACGAAGAGATTCTAACCATAAAAATCATCAAAAAGTCAGCATTGAAGAAACAAATCATACATATTTGTATTCAGGATGTCTATAATGAATATTGAATTGGGCAACACACTGATCATTACTATGTTATATTAGATAGCATTCTATCATTACCAAATATTAATCAAATACCTTTCATTTTCTTCTCCTACCAATTTTATATGGATATTGAGATTGCTTCATTGTGCTCATATGAACCTTCAGAAAACGTTGATTTTCAACAACTTATGCACTTTTTTGTGAAGTCTGGAAAAAAAGAATTCATTGGACATTGGATTTTGAAAACGAACCATCAGTTGAAATGTAGTTTATAACCAGACAGTCACGCAATTGTATAATTATTTGATATTGCAGATGTGCATATGTTTACCAATGTACTTATATGGCGACACACCTCAGATTGAGAAAAATTCTAAGGAAACTTACAAATTGCGTGAAAAGGCTTCCGCAAATTGCAACATTTGTAAATACATGTCTTTTTATTTCCTTTTTTGTTCGAATTTATTGATAATGTAAACCGAAAAAGCTATCTTACACTGAAATTGTTGGATGTAGAAACTTTAAAGACCAAAAGAATAAAAAAGGCCTCATTCATCGGTGTACCGACGAAAGGAAAAAACACATACGTCAGTATCGTTTAAAGAACGCTATTCACCGACTGGGAAAAAACCTCTCCTTTCAATATTTGCACATATATAAGAGAATACATCAAGGTAAACTGGTGACAATCATTCTCTTCCTTTTTAAGCGTTCGTAGTTGTGTTATATTTTAGACTAGCTCAGCTACACATTAAACAAATGGTAAGTATGACTAATACCAACAACAAGTTCTATATTGTGTTCTATCTATTCTGTCTGACCTTTGAGGGCATTCAAAGTGTTCAAAAATTGTTTGTATAAGTTTTTGTCACTTTTTCAAATACTTTAGGCTAAGCTTAGCGCTCAGGGATGATCTACTTACGTGTCGAAAATGACTCAACACTTTTATGTACTTGACCAATTTGCTTATGTTAGAATTTCTAAACAGGACGATGAAATAGTCGAAGACGGCAATGATGTATCTGATACTGAAGTAGAATTCGACGATCTAGGTCCTGGTAAGTCTGATTTGACTCACAAAAGTATTGAATATGGAAGAGGTTTCATTCTTTAATCAATTAAAGATCTTGTAATTGATACTTCGTTTCAACGTTTTATGCACCGCTACAGTGCTTGTCCGGCATTCTTCACAGATTCTCTTAGACAAGCGTGTGAAAAGCCTTCAACTTAGAAGTAATTTTATATGTTCACTTGGCTCAATTTGGTATTCTAATTTTCGATTTCTTCTCATAATTCCAGTCTTGTCCATTGTTGATCTACATACACAACGACAGCACTGTTTACAGCAATGTCTTCTGTCAACAAGTGTTATGTTCTGATGATATTATTGATTATATGAATGAACATTATATTGTCCGATCCTTCGATGTTACCAATGAATCATGCAGAGAAGAGTTTGTTAACTCTACTTCAATATAAACAACTCTATTCTTTTTCTTTCTTTTGACTAGATTGGATAATAACTGGAGAGAGACATTTCATACAACATTCTCTGGTAAATTCTCAATCGAACAATGTCCATTACTTATTGGTGTTATGCCAATAAGTATACGAGAAGTAGATGACTCGATAACATTGGGCTATAGATATAAGTTGTTATTTAAAGATGGACACTTATTTCGGTATGCAAACAAAACTGATCATGATGTAGTTTTGAAGATATTGGCTGACTATCTGAAAAAATTCAATTCAGAAGATCCAGTAAGTAACATTTATGTTTATGAGACTGACTTCGTTCTGTTTTCAGTCATCTGATTTCATATCAAAAATTGATCTCTACCGGGACATTGCTCTGGAAATTTCCGAATATCTTACATTGAACGATGCCGTTAATGTGTTTTCTGCTGATATTTTAAGTCAGCGCATAACAAAATTGCGCCTGAACAAGTCAACAGATGATGCCTTTATGCAAATGATTCAGCGAAGAATCAATCCTAAACAAATCCATGCTTTATCTATGGAAATGCCGGCTTCTTCCGTAACATTCAATCTACCTACGTTCACTAACATTACCTCACTCCATATTATTCGTTTTACTGGAATGGATGAATTGATCAGACAATTTCCTAAGTTGAACTCTGTTAGCCTGATCTATAAAGACACAGCAGATTGTTCTTGGCTGTATGATGATATCATTTTAATGAAAAATCAAATTAAGCGACTCAAAATAAATTGCGACGAGCTTCCCTACAATTTTCATGGACGAAACATGGCCCATTCAACCATCAAAAGTTTTTCATTTCAATTCAGTACAAAGCACTTTAGCAGTCAGAAGGACTGTTCGAATTGCAAAAATTCAATGGTTTCAGCATTGATTGATTTAATGATATCCATGAGTAACGTTCGATATTTTCATATCATTGGTGATGAATACCATATTAATGTTTTATTGCGTGAAATTTCGCTCAGATTGAGACGTTTATCGGGCAACAATTTTCGAATGAAGAAGATGACGCTGCACATTCCAACACCCGGAGATATCAAGCAAATACAGCAAAGATCATCCTTTTTGCAAAGAGAATTGCGTAGCAAAGGGCGAACAATTGATGTTCAAGTGAAACACTACAATTCCTAAAGACTTATTTACGAACGGATAAAATATCATTCAAAAGACTTCAATCTTACATCGATTTAGGTGTTTGATCGATACTCCTAATCCTTGAAAATGTCGATAGATTTTAGTGAATATCCCACTTGGAGAGAAGTATTCGATGATCACCTACAGTGTAATATTAAGTATACTTCAACCTCATCATGTTCGATTTATTTTCTCCATTAACTCTATTCAAACCGGTTCACAGAGCAAACAGAACGAAAACGAAAAGTAAACTCATACATTCAAGTCGAAAAGACAGCATATCCACTAGGCATTTTCTTCCATGACGAACTATGATATAATGCCGAGACTATCATTACGCTAATGATCATTGAATGTGAATCAAGTGTTACTTGAAGAATTGCTATTTTGTTTCTCTGAAGATATCGAACGAAAGTATTAGAGCGTAGTTATCGAAAATTTACTTGTATATATAGATACAACAATTCACTATTAACAGAGAACAGAAATAACACGCAAAAAGACAAAGAGAAAACGAATGAGAATACTGAACGGTGACTTCTGCTAAAATGATATGAACAAGAAAAAAGAACTTTTGTTTTTCTTTCGCATTTTTTTCCATTTGAAGATAGTACACATTAATAGACATCAAACTGTTGCGATGCAATTAATCATATCACAAAGATAAGTATTTATATATATGAGAGAGAGAGAGAGAGAGTCAATTTACATTCTCATCTTATCTGACCCCGTTCGTTTATTGTTCCCTATCTTCTGACTAGATGTAATCGAAGATGAAATTTTCTAAATTCAGATGATAGGCGGTGTTTGTGGAACAAGTTTGAACGAGACCGTATGACGTTTGTGATAGATTAAATAACTGATCATCGCAATAACTAAAGAAAGAAATAAACATGAGGCAATTATGGCAAACGGAATCCATGAAAGAATTAAGTAATTTGCAGATCCATAAGTTTTCATTTCAGTTTCCAGCCGTTTCATATACGGAGTTGCAAAATCATTATCAGTTTCTTCCGGTGTATTTAACAACGGTGTCGTTGTCACGATCGGTGGAGTTGTGATAATCGTCGTTGTCGTTACTACTGGTGTTGTAGTTGTGGTATTCGTTGGAAATTCGTCGTCCACATCATCATAAATATTTGGCTCCATATACACCCGAATAGTTGTTTGTTCTTCTTTGGAATCCGGATAGAACGGTGGATCTTGTTCGTTAAAATCGATTACTGGTGGTGCGACGGATGGCGTCATCATAGCTGGTGTATTCATTTTAATCGTAGGCACAAGTTCCTTTTGTTTACGAGTGAAATACTCGGATACGATGTAACATGAAGAAAATAGACAACGATCATTGTGTATCGATTGACATGTGGTTATTTGTTCGCCATCATCAATCATATTGTTGAGAAAAACTAAGACACAATCACAATCGAGATTTTCATGTGGTAGATAAACCGTTAGACCTAACATTCGTCGACGATTGATGAAATCCGCCAGAGCACAACTGGTATTTCCTTGAAGATTCGAAAATTGAACATATCGAACATCCAACTGTTGCAATGACATAAGAGAATTGAGACTTTGTGAATCTACCATTCGTAAATATGAACCAAGGATTAATGTTTGAACATGTTTAACATGATTTAATGCGCCATCAGCAATACGTTCAGCATCGAATGAAACCGATCGTAAACTTCCTAAATTTTCTAAACCATTCAATAGTTTCGGCGTAATCGAAACATCGGGTTGAATTATATTCAAGCCAGTTAACTGTGTATAATTAACAAATGATCGGGCATCCAGAGTTCGCATTTTATGTGCTTCGATTGTGTAAGTTTGCACAGGAAACGATGGAAATTCGTCACTATTCACTGCATCGATCATTCGAGTAATCTTCAACGATCGTATTTGACCTCTATATTTGGATAGAAGTGTGGCATCATGTGTGACGGCAGCCCCTTCAATGTTTAAATGTGTTATATTTGTATTATTAAATATTAGTTCAAATGGTGAGCCAAGTGAATCGGCATAAATTGAAAGTTCATTGATTTGGAGACTTTCGAATGTATTACCATCGAAGATAATCGATTTGGCTTTTAAGGGTTGCAACTCGACAGTTAAACGCGAATAGGATGATGTGATACCACGAAATAAATGTCTGAATGTACCTGCTTTAGCATGAAATGATTGAAAGTTTTGGAAACGTAATGTAATTGACAGAGTTTGTTGAGTTGTGTTCGAGAGCAGTTGATTCAAAACAATAAAATAGTCCGAATCGAGTTGGAGCATTTCTTCGCCAACAAATTTTAAATCGATCGATTGAAACTTTTCTCTGAATAACGATGATTTTAAAATCAATGGAGCCATCTTATTCATTGTACAACGCACATCAATTGCTTCATAACACGTACATGTCATACCAACGAGTACATCGCATGCTCGTGTTAATGATAATGATAATAGAATCAAATGAAAAAAGATAGTGAACATTATAAGATCTAAAATAATTAGTAAATGTCCTTCAGATCAACGAACGTAATTAGTATGATTTAAGTGTTCATCCTACAGTTATTATATCACCAGTTGGGAAGGCAAAGTATTCGAAAAGATAATTACGATGGGAAAAGAAGAAGAAGAAGAAGAACTATGCAATAGATCACTTCACAAAAGCACAAAACGATACAATCGTCAATGTTACACATACAGATGTTGTGTCATCCATTGACTATGTAGTGTTGGGAGAATAAAAGTGATTTATTTCTTTTCTCTTCTCGTCAGCTCTTTTTGTTCTTTTGGTACGGCTGTTTCATCCTTTTGTTTTATTCATTTTTTATTTTACATTTCGAAAAATCCTATAGGATGATGTTTGGCGTGAACAAATGCGTATGCAATCGGAAGAATGCCACGCGAGTTCATTTTTTTTCTCTTATCATCTACGGGTTAGGTCAAGGTCAAGGTGAATATTACTCACTTTATACGAGAACACAGATGTATTGTTTTAGATTCCAGAGTATATAATCTACCTGTAACATATTGTTCATATGCGCGAAAAAAAGAGAGAGTGACACGTCCCGACCCTTATTCAAACGATATTATTAATATATTCTGAATGTTCTCTTCATCTTTTTCTCTTCCTCTCTTTCTCCTCCTCGTCGCTCTCTCCCTCCCTCCCGCTTTCTTCGATTAGAGATCTATATTGACAAGCTAGTGAAATGTCTGATCGATATGAATGATGATGATAAGTGTCTGAAGTGAAAGTAGTTCCAATAATAACAAGCAGAATCACTCATCCATTTACTCACTCCAATGGAAGCATCATAAAACATACAACTTTAGTCATCTTATATGTGTGTCATTCAACTTCTTCTCTCACCCGTGTATGGTTTCCGCCTGGCCCATAAGACGGCGACAACAGTAGTAATGAGGCGATGATGACGTAACAATCAATACTCTGCAGCTGCTCTTAACCCTTTTTTCAATCTTTTTTTTTTGTTAGATGTTGATTTTGAACAGAGAAAAAAAGGAAAAGAAAACTATGGACAAGAGAATTGTTTAACAAAAGAAACCCAACTCACTAACAGCGAAGGAAAATAATCAATTCTCCTCTCGGAACGTGACATTTCCGTCTTGTTATCTATTTGATCGAATAATGAGGAAGTTGTAATCATGCTGATAGAGAATTTTCCTTTCCTAACTGACCAAACTAGATATAAAAATACACGGAATGCTCCAGCCATTCCATGTCAATCAACACGCGCNGCATCATGCATTTGTTGTCTTATTCAGCTCATTTGTCGTTCAAGCAATCGAAAGTATAGATTTTCTTTGTATTGCCTGAAGAAATAAGAGATTGTGAATACTTTCATTTTCAAACAAGGACGATCGATTTTGTTTTCATATGGCATAAAACATCTCGCAGTATTTAACAACAGCATGACGTGAGAAGTAACTGAAGACAAGAATAACGAATTCGTGTTTATACACATATCTACAACGCATCTTGTTCGGATTGTATATCATTATAGTTTATGAAAGTCTCATATGTTAGTCAATGTCAATCGAGTATAACCTTCATTTGAGCTCTCTTCTCTTTGCTGCACATGGTCAACTAATGAATCTACTCGAGATGATGTGTACTTCTTTTTTTCTTCTGATTAATTCAATCCTGATATTAGCCTGTTTATTTAATGTTTACCACAAACAACAATAACACGTTTTTCTCTCTCAATAAAATAATTTCAAATCTCGATTATATACACATCGGCGAATTTTTAACGATATTTTCGAAATAATTCATGCTGCGGCTTGTTTGATCGCGATGACTTATTGGTCGTCGGTTTTTTCACTTGTTTCACTTCCATGTATGTTGTTTGATCAGCACCGGATAACGAATTCATTGTACCCACACGACGATCGATAGACGTCGATGATGATCCGACTTGTCCGATAGATTCTTCTTCTTTGTCTTCACCTCGATCTGTGGACAGAAGAATTCGTTCGAGTAACTGTCGCTGTTCTTCTTTCGTGGAAAAGAATAGATTGTCTTCTTCGCTTGCCAATCGTGTGATCACTTTGTAGGAATAACCTTGGTTGATGAGGAAACTTTGCCGTTTAGCGGAGTAATACATTTCCACGGTGTCTTGAGAAACAAGTGAATAGAAAAATGCATTGTATTCTTCAACGATGGTTCCCTTTTTTGCACGCAAGATTCGACCAAGTCGCTGAGCTTCTTGTCTTCTCGATCCACCATGACTGGAAATTTGAATAAGAACGTTCGCATCGGGCAAATCAAACGATGTATCGGCTACTTTCGATACGAAGATCGTATTAATTCTTGGATTATGCTGAAAATTTTGAAGAATTTGAATACGTTCACTCTGCGAAGTTTTACCGCAGATATACGGTCTAGAAAAGAAGCGAATTTTCAGTTATGCTTCTATCAAATTTCTGGATCTGATTTACTTGTCAAGTTTTTTTGCATAAGTTTCCAGTGCAAACATACTGTCTGAAAAGACGATCACTTTATCATTTCGTCGTTCGTGGTAACGTATTAGAAATTGGCATGCACGAAATTTGTTCGGATTCATAACGCATAGAAGCAAACGACGATTTTTATCGTTTTTAACTGAAACGTACTCTTGGAAGAAATCAGGAGTCATTTGACACCAAACCTCGGCACATTGAACCTTAGCAATATGCCCAAGATTTTGTAATTCCATCCAGTTCGCTTCGTACAGTTTGGGACCGATAAGAAAGTTCAAATCTGTAATTCTGTCGTCTTCTCGAACTAATGTAGCGGTCAGACCTAATTTTGTGTGAGCACGAACGATGGTTAATACTTTACGAAATCGTTCAGCAGGAATCGTATGAACCTCATCGAGGATCATCAAGCCCCATTCGCGATCTTTGAGTAATTTCATAACTTCAGTTGTTTCTGCATTGCATCGTTCCGTACGTGCTATCATCGGATAAGTACTTATGCACACACATGAATCTAAAGAGGAGGATAGTTTGATTGCTATTTCATTCAAAGTCATATTTTATCTCACCATTTGGCTTTTCTTTATCGTCCGAGGTGAATAATCGTACTTTGGAATCGTCGGCTGTAGACCACATCTTGAATTGTTGTTTCCATTGTTGGACAGACACGTTCGAATTGCAAAGCACTAAGCAACTTTTATTTACTGTACAAGCAGCCGTTACTCCGACTAGAGATTTTCCTGCTCCACACGGTAAAACAATTAATCCCGATCGTGCACGTCCATTGCCGAACATTTTTCTTAAGCTTTTCTCTTGATACGGACGTAAGATCGCATTTGGTCGCAATTCGATATTTAGATTTTTCAGAACTGTATCATGACGAAAGTCGTATTCTTCCAATAAAGGATGTTCGATTTCTTGACAACGTTTACGTAGCTGTTCAGTTTTATTTTGAATAACTTCAAACGAAACAATTTTCAAATCTTCGATATCTTCTTCATCGCGATCGATTTTTTCATATAAACGACGAATGTCATCGGGAACTTGTTCGTTTGTTGTTGTGGCTACAGCATCCGTTCCTGTTGTGGTTGCAGCAACTGTTGTTCCTGGAATAACTAGACGAGATTTCTCGTCTGTCGTACTTTTCGTCTCCGTTGGATTTCCATTAGATACCAATCGACACTCTTGAATTACAGGATCTTGTAGAAGATGTTTCAACACATCGGGAAAAGCACTTTCAACGAAATAGCGATTGTGTTTCAATACTAATTTGACTTTGGCATAACTCAGTGTGCACACTTCAATAAATTTGATAATGCCTTCGGGAATGGATGTTTTACTAAGTCGTTGTAAGTATTCAACAATGTCTTTTGTTTGTAAACCAACGGAAACAGCAGCATAAAGCGAATAGGCAGATAATTTATATTCGTGAATGTACTCCGGTCGGCAGACAGGTTCAGCAATGGCGATTAGAAAATCGTGCGCATGTTTATAAACTGAGGAAAACGATTCCAGAAAAATGTGCCCATCTGACGTCACCCATAGTGGCCGATTTTCGTGGTCAGGTTTTAATTCCATTTCTCCTCGGCAATCTTTATATCCACGGTTTGATGTACCAACTGCTGATGATCGATATAAATCATCGTCTTCGCCATCTACTGAATCATCCAATCTTCGACTAGCTGCTTTGGGAACAATAGCCTCTATGCAAAATAAGATAGAAAGGGTGTTTGGCAAATACAATTGCAATGTTTACCATCACTGGTATCTTTATCGTCGAAATCGTCGTCTTTCCCATTGTTATCGATACTTTTCAACAATTTCGACAATCGGCCAGGTGGATCTTTGGATGCTGTTCGTTTGCTCATTACTTAAGAGGAAATGTGTTGATAAAGATAAAGATTAATTAATGCGTAACCAACGGCTGTAAATACAATAACTGCACCAAGAATTAAATCGTATGTTCTAAAGGCAGACGAAGTTTTTATTGTTTGTCGTTGATCATTTAGCATTACTTTAATTCAAATCTGAAACAAAAATCTATAGAATAGACATGTATACATTTACAATATTTTAGTTAAGGCAGTTTTCTTTAATGAACAGAATGAAGGAAAAAAAACAATTATCCTTTAGGAGGATCAACTGGCTCCTGTTTGATTTCCGTGCCTTCGTCCTCGTAACCTTCGGTAGGTTCAAGATTGTTCGCCGAATCTTCATGTAATAAAACATATTCTCGTGTACTGAATCCGAACTTGATCACATCGTTTTCCTGTAATTCATAGTAACGCTGAGAGTCAATCTTTTGATTATTGAGGAATGTTCCATTTGCAGAACCCAGATCGATGATATAAGGCACAACACGGCGTCCCATTGTACCATTGTCACGTTTGTAGTCCATCAGACGATACTGTAAAACAGCGTGCTGTTTCGAACACGAAGGATGATCAACGGGTAGATCGCAAATAGCACGTTCGCGACCAATTAAATAGGCAGACTGACGATGAATTTGATACATTGGTAATTCCTATGAAAGAATTGAAATAGACTCCGACAAAACTGATTTTGTGCATTCTTACTTGATCTCCTTTGAAGACATACAATCGCCATCTTCGTTTTGGTTTTCTTGCTTCAAGTGGTTCACTATATTTTATCACTACGCCTTTATATGTATTTGTATCTTTGAGTAAAGCACCGGATAAGCCGAAATTCGGTTGTTCTTTTTCCACGGGTTCCTGTTTTTCTTTCTCTTGTTCAGCTTGTTTTCCCCATTGATAATTTTTTTCGTCTCTATTGTTGCGTTGTTGCTGCTGATGACGAGGATACCGTGACGATGGATTCGAAGACCGTTGTTGACGGCGAGGTTCATCATTATCCGTTACGGGCTCTTGTTTAACACGAATATCTACAGAAAGGAAAGGATTGGAAAATCTTATTGTTTGAAGTGTTTTCTTTTACTTGAACTTGATCGGTTGTCTTCTCGAGATCGTCTACGATGACGACGTTGATTATCATCGGAATCTGATGACGAATCTCTGTGACGTTTATGTTTTTTATGTGAACTAGAATGATGATGTGCAGATGATTTTGGAGAACGAACCATACTTATTCTATCTATATCAATGAGTAAGTTTCTTTTTTACTAAATGAATGGAATGACGACATTCTATCCCTCTTTGTTTATTTGTTTCTTTTTAGAACCAATTGTTACATTTCATTCGATAGATGACACTATCAGATAACTCAATTGCTAATTCCTTTGCTCTAATCAAGTACGCTGATGGATTAAGAAGATGCATTGAAGCATTATCAGTGATACAACCCTTAGTATAAAACGACATTGAATTTTTGTTTTGCTATTCAAAAGAGAGAAGGATCAATGTACGTGTTTACATTTTCATAATGAAGATAAGATATATTTGCTAATGAGGATGACACATAAAAAGGAGAAAACAACTTGTTCTTATCTGACAGTATATCAATCATCGTTTAGTTTGTCTTCATCACATATAGAGAGAATAGTGCTTCGGTTATTATCAGTTTGCTTATGTTACTATTAATAAGTAAGTAATAGAGTAACATTTTTTTTGTCATGGACTATAATGATTTGTTCATTTGGTAAGGACCGGCGTTTTCGATTAAGGTTGAAACCTTGTTCTGACCTTGTAGATTTTCTTTTAATGTAACGCTGATTAATTCTTCAAGAGCAGCAGACACTTTATATACGATCATTATCGTTTCGAAAAGAAAAAGCGAGAGAAAGAGAAAAGGGAACATAAATGATGTGATCGGTTGGCATCAGCATGAACAACGCATAGTACTTAAATAATCATCATTTGATTTCTAATAGAGAAATATGGTCATAGAAGAAGAAGAAGAGAAACTTGATTGGTCGACTGATTTAATTGATTCACTTTGGTTTCACATCGGAAGTTTTTTATCTATCAATGATATTGAACGGTTAAGTCGAACATCGTTTCGTCTACGCACATTGTTTACTACTAACGACTTTTGGTCATATCTTATTCGCAGACAATTCGGTTCAGCCATTTGGCGTCGTTTCATTAAAAATCCGTCGATTCTACAACAAGACGACAAGCGATTGAACTCGTCGTGCCGTTCGAAACTAATTTACTCCGAATTAGTTAAACGTCAATGCGTATCATTTGGTGATTTTGATCAAATAAATCTCGATACGAATCGTAATTATACAACTATAGCCGATTCATCAAGTTTTAGCGGCCATGTTCTCTACATACATGATTCAGTTGAGTTTTGTTATGCTCTGCATATTGAAACTATGTTTAAGAATATTCTACCCGGCCGATACGATGTTATCTGTCGGATGAAACTCGATCTACCTTACATGTTAGGTGAAACCGAATTCGTTGCTATTGCTGAACAAACAAATCCCGGTGAAATCGCTTATACTCAATGGACACAAGAGGATTTTCTTTCCATGTATCGTTGTTTTAATTGTGATCTGACCGGAACCAATCTATGGTTTTACCAGCAAATAGGTGTTGTAGAGATTCATGGTAATGATTTATGTAATGTGTATGTTTCAATTACGAATCAAGATCCAATACATGCTAAACACGGCGTCTATTTCGATTTCATTGAATTAAAACTACGTTCGGAATAAGAAAACGAAAAGAAAGCTTTTTATACGCACAATGAACACAGTCATTGTTGATTTCTTTTGTTGTGAACATTTTCAATGAACTAGAATAGCTTAGATGAATTTTTTTTTCTAGGAAAATATGATAATGATTGAAAAGAAATATATATTTGTTTATTATTTAAGAAAAACATTGAGTTTTTAAGCGAAATGTCGATTGAAATCGTCCATCGGAATCAATTAAATGTACCCAAGCTACTTCGAACTCATTCGTATGCAATTTCCATGCTTCTGTGAAGCGATTTCCAACATCTGTTAGGTCAGCTTTATCCAATTCTCCCAAAGTTAAGGTTCCGTCGAAGTTCGGATCGTTATTACTGGGATTGAATTGTCGTAATGCTTCGAGAGAAGTCGGTTTGAGAAATAGACGAGCAGTAGAATAATTAAAGCAGATCGACCGTGCCTCGAAATGGATTGTAAACTTGTCGATCGAACTGAATTTCAAGCGTAACTCTAAGTCGTTTGGTTTTGTTTCATATTCGGCGAGAACGATGCGAAAGGGTTTCAATGGACGAAAGGATGTATCTTCGAATAAATGCATCAAACGCGAAGAGAATTCGTCAGGTGGAACGACACATAGATATAGTTTTGAAGAAATATTTCGTTTAATCCGATGAGATGTGTTTGTATCGATAGGAATTACCTGTTGCTGTTCTTGTTTCTCTTCTTTCGTCTCTTCGATTTTATTTCCAATTAGGAGAACTTGACTTTTAATGGAGAATAAATCGTTGGGATCGTTTTCGCGGCTGATTAGATAGACACGATCGATTGGTACCCGCATTGATTGCCATTTTGCTTTCATTTCGATCAGCAGATCGGATATTCTCGATGTTGTCGTTTGACCTAACGTTAAATGAGCTTCAAATGGTCGTGAATTGATTGGTAAGGATTTCACTAATTCATCTTGTATCAGTTTTTGAAGATCACAAACAGGCTTAGTTACATTCGGTCGCAAATGAAATGTACATTCACTCTTTTGCTTAAAGTACTGAAACGATGTTGCATCGAATTCAATATCAAAAGTATTGCTAGCATTCAAAATTGAGTCTAATTGAGTTTTAATCCGTCCGAATTCAGTTTCTGGTACAAATGGATAAATTAAGTTGATATGCGGCATCCACCGTGGATAAGCTTTATCATGAGCCGATCGTATCGATTGAATTGGTTTCCAGAGATTCTCTGGTGGTATAATGCATAAGGCTGTTTTGTGTGTCAGTGCAGTCGCCATGATGTTTTTGACGATAGAGAAAGTAAAATGAGGCAAGTTTGTGAAGGAACGATAACTGATTGTGGGCTTGTAATTGCGCCATCATGTTAGAATGACAGGAAAAAATGATTGCAAGCATATGATGAAATATTCGAGCATTGCGCGAGAGAATCTATACAATTACCTTGAACGTCGCGTTGAATTATGGTTAAAACTGTCGATGTTTGTTCTTTTGTTGAAGACTGAGAGGAGAAGAAAAGAAAGTCTTCTCCTTCTCTTCTGACTGTTTCTATTGTTTCTCTTAAAACAAACCACAGAGTGTAGCAGAATGTGCACCATCAACTTTTACTTTCATCAGTCGTTAAATAGAAAAAACATTCACATTCAACAGCATTTTCTTTCATTTGTTGATCATGACCAACTCCACGGCAAATCTCGATATTGTCATGCCTGAACCGCGGAACGTGCAAGAACTGGTGAATCTGGTAACATAGACTTCGATTTCGTTTATGAATAATTACTCGTGTTCGTCTATACAGGTTCAAACAACGATTACTCAAATTCAAGATAAGTTTGAACAAATGAGCACTTCAATTATGGGCAAAAGTATGATTCTAGCTTGTTAATACATGTTGAATACGATTGTCTTCTATAGTCAACGATGTCGGTCAAAAAATCGATGGTCTCGAACGTAATGTCTCGGATGTTATTTCGAAGAGAAATGCTGAATTAGCATAGAAATGCTTCGATTATGTATATGACTGATTCATCTTATGAAAGACAAAATGCTGTAGTTTTATTAAAATCTAAAAACGAAAGTAGTGTTTTATGGCCAATAAAGACTCAAATAAGCTTCTTTACGTTGAAGTTTTTTTATTAATCGATCATCAACTAACTAAAATTGACAGTGATAATAATAGAAAATATTCTTTCCGTCTCTCCTACCTGAACTTTTGCCGTAGTTCCACCATGCTCGTGAACATCCGAACAGTCGCGAACTTTCTGAAAAGCTTGCAAGTGTCTAAAGCAAATCAATTTACACTTGCAGAACAATGGTACTTTTAACATGGGATAATTACGGTCGTTTGAACTTTTCTTCCCATTGCCAGTTGAAATTAAAACATGACGCACATAAGATCTCCTTATGAAATTGATAATAATCTCCAACCGGTTGTTTTCGACAGATTTGACACTAATAAAACTATCTGTGAGACAAAGAATGCGCAATTGGTTAGTTCTCAAACTTGATCTGTATTTGTTGGTGCACATTTTGTTTTGATAACAGGTATCAAACTTGTTCGTCCACCAAAACTATGTCGCATATGAACCTGTCGATTCTGTTTGACGTCCCATTGATATGTTCCTGGTCTGAATACAAATTCGAAAGTAATTTTCTTTTGATAGGAGAATATTTCATACCCGGGAAGATTGCCATGTTTAGCCATGGACGGTAACCGCTCCCCGCCTACGTCAAATGGCTTAAATGCTCGTCTAGTGTGTTCTCTCGCTGTTAGATCTTTTTGATAAGTATCCGGACTTGGTACATCAGTCTATTATCATTTTAGAAATCAATGAAACAGACAACGAACAGTCTTGCAATAGTTTACTTTTGGTACAAAAGCTTCGCGCTTTTCTGTCCGTGCATTGAATGTGTAGCCACGTCGACTCATAGGTTGCTGATCAAGTACGTATCGAAATGATGATTTTGCATCGTTTTCGTATGAACCGGGTCCACTGAATTCATGAAGAGATATGTCTAGCATGCTTTCAAGCAAAACAAAAGAATGATAATCACAGATTTGGTACGCCGCGTATAGGCGTTTGATAGTTTCCAAAGCAATCATGCTGAATATCAGTTGGAAATGTTGGACGATTGGCAAATCCGGTGCCGAAAACAACTTTGGCTGGCGGTTCATCACCTGTTTACAAAACAGCGTGCAAAACAAAGCAAAAAGAACGTGAAATTTTCTTACCGAAAAGCATTTTGTTTTGCTAATGAATGAAACATAAGATGTTATTGAAAAACTCAACTATTCACAGATTCGAAGTGCTTGGTTACCCGAACAGCAATCATTAACACAAAGGGATAGATGGCGTTTATATTTTCTTTCAATTAACTCTCAATCTCATTCAATCATCTGCTCAGTCAGCACCGAATTGAACATCCATGAAGATCATTCGGTAGAAGGACACTATCGATTATTATTAACTTCAAATGAATCATTTTTGTTGCTCTAAACTATTATCATTCGTATCAATTTTCATCAACTATCATATTACCATTGACGTTGATCAAGGTTAGTCTATATAATGTCTTTCTTCTGGCATGAGTAATAAGTTTATTTCAATGGTTCATTTCAGTTTGTTTATCAAAAGCCTTCATTTCAAAATTGACAAAAGTAGACGTTTGTAATCTCCGGATGTATCACCTCCGACGTCATGGGCTAAAGAACGATTGAACATTTGTTGATATCGCATTTTGACTTGTGCAAGATCAATCTAAAGGAAGCGGAGTTTGTCAATATGGTTTTGATTATTTTGTTTAGAAAACTTACTTCCGAACGTGTCACAATCACACGAATTAATGTCGAATCTTTTGTACCTAAGCCGCTCACAGCTTTGTGGATACGTTCGGCAAAGAATGATGGACGGTCACGAATACATGTGACGAGAGCAATATAGGCATCTTTAGCATCACCAGAAAATTCCGATCGAATGACTTGGGCGATATCTTGTCGATGTTTCTGTATATTGAGGAAAATCAAATGATGCGTTGATTATCGAAGTTCATCTTACCTTTTGGTACTCTTCGAACGTCGCACGAAGTTGATAATAGCTACGGCGCGAAAAGATAGCGTTGAATGTTTTCTCATCTGTTCCCCATTTACCAGCGCCGGCTTTGTATAAATCATCAGCATCTTGGCGTGCACGATTACTAAATAAGTCAGAGTAGATCAGATATAAAATAAAAGTTGATGTGTTCTCACCGATCAATAACACTTTCAATACCCATTTGTCGAGCTTGTTGAACCTGCTGTGGTGTAAGTTCTTCACGATTCGCCTAAAGACAATTCGTCTAGGTTTTCACAATAGATCGAATAAATACTTTCATTTACCTGTACTGCTGAAATTAACATACGTTTGAAATCTGTTCCACGTACACGACTACTAATATCGTGTTCAAGATCCTTGTTATAGGCTATGAAAAGGCAGAAATCAATAGTAGAATCAATTAGTTGTACGTGTTGTCTCACTTCGACGATATGCATCGACAATTGCACGGATCTCTGCGTTATTTCTTGTCAATAAGATTTCTCGTAGAGTTCCTTCTTTTCCCGACTAAGGTAAAAAATAATAGTGAAACAAAAGATCTATAAAGAAAGACCGTATCATACACTCAATGCTTCATGCAATGACCATGCTTCGTAGTTGGCAGGCGCATCAAAAAGAGCAGTAATTGTCTCTTTGAAATGTCCACTCAATTCACCACCAACTTGTTTAACTAAATCCTAAGTAAACGATATGATATTATTACGCCCAGTCAACGGATGTGATACGTACAACACCATACATCGTTTTGTATTGAAGTTTAATCTGTTGACGTTGGATATTTGATCGATTTGCAATGATATCAATTAAAACACGCTCATTAGTACCTTCGAAAGAGCTTTGTACTTTGAAAGATATTTCTCTCGAGATGAAAACTTACCTGCGCCTTTCATTGCCTGACTTAACGCTTGACAATCAGCTTCAGCGTTGAAATTCTGTGCCGGAAAGACCGTTCCTTGATATTGTTCTAAACTAGCCAGAAATATGGATGTTTGCTCGACTGGGAGAAATCCAGGCTGTTGATACAATGAAGATGGTGGACCGCCCTACAATAATATACAGACGAAGCCACAACATTTGAAGGCAATGAAAATGTCTACTTACACCATAATTGGATGGTCCCTGTTGCATGTTAGGATACATTCCACCAGATGGTGGTGGTGGTTGAGATGGATAAGGTTGTTGATACTGTGATTGATCATATCCTAGAAAAAAAAAGTACTATTTAATGTTTATAGTCCCCTTGATCTTTTACCTCCATGTTGTTGCGGATATTGGCCATATGTAGAAGGTGGCATATATCCTCCTGATGGCTGTGGTGGTGGTGGACAATAGTTTCCACCAGCGCTCCCACTCATTCCGTATGGTGCATTCGGCATCTGATTTCCACTGTATTGATCATATGGTCCCGGTGGTGGTGGATAACCACTATTATTTTGCATCGGTCCTGGTGTACCGTAGAGAGACGCACACGATTGGTTATCGTTATAGGAAGGCATTGGTGGTGATTGTTGAAAGCCAGGATTTTGAGGATAATTAGGATAACCAGTATTTCCTCCGCCATACTGTGGTGGATAACCTCCTCCTGGATTTCCATAAGGATAGCCGCTCATTCTCGAATCTGCGTTATGTACGAAATCTTAAAATGAAATGTATAAAAGAAAGTAGTAAAAGCGCATTTATTTAACAGTAATATTGACGACAGCGCTGACTAATCTTTCTCTTATGAGGCATCGCCATTTTTTCTCTTTGACGTATGTGTTTGGTCGGTGACAACAATACTTTGAGGAAAAGAAAAAGAGTAGGAACAAACAGAACGAAACAAAAAAAAAGTATGCTGAATTGTTTTTCTTTGGAGGGTTTTGGCACACATCGTAAACGAGAAAATATGCAGCGCATATTTTCTACAAGGTTAAAAACGGAAGAAAACAAGAATTTCCCACATTCTTTGTTGAGAACGATTTCGACAATTCTACATCATATCTTTAAATCAAAATCAAAACTTAAACAAATAATGATTTTCTATTGAACAATCTACAAAGAATTTATTATTTTTTATCACATAACAATCCACCTTAAACAACAAAATAACCTAATTATTTAGAAAAAACGTTTTTCATCATCTGTTTGTATATATTCGTTGCGTAAAAAGTTGTCGTCGGAAGCAGAATTGATAAAAGGCTTGGTCCGTCGCTGATTCCCAATGGTATTGAGTGAAATTCGGATAGCTCAGATATCCTCTTCTCATCATTTTCCGCGGTATAATTTGAGCTACGGCCCAAAATGTACTTTCTGGAGCAACAAGACGTCTATCAACTAAATATTGATATGGTACATAGCAATAGCCTTTGTCACCCTAGAAGAAAAATATATATATCACACAACGTTCGAATACAAGATAATTGTACATACCCATTGAGCACCCCATGAATTTCGAATAATAAAATGTTCAGTACTATCATCATAACCAACTACTAAACAGGCATGATATCCTTCATCAACTGGCGGCTTAGTCGGTATTTTTATCCACCCTTGGTTGTGATAAGCGTCATTCGAGCTAAGAAGAATCCCAACAAGTACGGGTATTTGATGAGCCAGGCATGTCCGAACGCTATCGACATTGATCGGTATTTTCAGAGGAATTATTGAACGACGTGCTGCTTCTTTGTAAACTGAAAGCGGCGGCGGCCGCAAATACAAACTTCGATCATATGGCCATAGGGATTCCTTGCAAAAGCCGTACTGCTGCAAAGCTCGTAAGCCAGCTTCTCTCTGCGTACCGAAACTATTCCGTGGATTGTTGATATCAATCACGAACTGTTGTTGATTACGCCAATCAAGATTTGCAATACGAGCATTAAAATCAATAAATAATCGACTGACATCAAGTTTCAGTCGCGCATAGCGTTTGTAAAGATACTCTAACGAACCTAGAAGTAGCCAATTGACGATAAATAGATCGATTGATAATCGATATTACCTGCGATAGCATTCGCTACACAACTGCCCATGTCTCCTTGATCTTCAATTTCTGTCATATATGGACGTAAGTTTACATTCTCAGGTAGATTCACACCATGGGAAACTGACCATCGAAGTTTTTGTCGAAGCATATCCAGATTTCGCTTCTGTTGCCGAAATAACAGCATCGACGTATTCATTTTCACCACTCAACACGAAAGGTGTACTGTTACTAGAACTACTAGTGATCAATCAATTAGACAATATGGTGTAATGTAACCGTGAGTCACAGTTATAGTTTCCTCCGTCCGATTCAACCTTCATAGTCCTGTGAAAAAAAAACAATGTTTTCTTCCTTAATTTACATAGCGGAACAAGACAACAATAATTGCATGAAGGATTATTTTTGTTCATCAGAAGAAAAACAGTCCTTTACAAATCAATTATTCAAAAAGAAAACAACAAGTCATATGACATGATACTACTCACAGCTATCTCTCTACATGAGCTGCATGCCCATCTTTAGTTTCGCGAGCACTACATATTACAACAGAAGATTATCACTAGAAAAACAGTACACAATGATAAAGTGTCAATCCACTTGTCATTGTCTCTGTGACCGAGTTATTTCGTATACATGATTATCTAATGTCATTTACAAATTAGTATTCATCCCTCATCCTTCAATATAAAAAATATATTGGTTCTTTTTATGTTGTGAAAAAGGAGAGAGTGTAGATATATATATATGTAAAAATATACAACATTTATTTGAATATTATACTAATGAGACGAAAGGAGTGATCCTTTCTTTTCCTCTTATTTCTCTTTTATAGTACGAAACATCGATCAGAATAGAGAAGTATTCGATGGAATTGTTTTCTTCGGGAGTAATTAGAAGACATTTTTCTCAATCTTTGACTTCCGATCAGCAAGTTTTTCCATTTTTTCCCCTTGAATAAGTCAAGGCTATTATTCTAGTTGATTACAAAAAGTAATAAGAGCATGAAAAACTAAATGAAAAATCAACAGTGACAAAAGTCTAATTAATATCAGATAGATGCGCCATAGAATTCATGAGAAAACATATTGTGTCGATTTCTTGATCAATTCCATATGCACAAAGTGTCGAGTAGAGAAAGAGAGATGAGAATGATGACATAGAAATAAAAATAAATATAATTTCCTCGTATCATGTGAAGTGTTCGAGGTCACCTAATCGCTAATGTACTTATTTGAAGTAATCGACGCATTAACTCAACTACAACAGTAAGAAGCAACCCGTAGTAATCATCGCCAAAGTTATTATGTTAAAGAAAATGACGATATGATATTGATCAGTCGTTTGTATAAAGAATCGCTATATGTCAACAGACATGCCTATCCGATTTCACTTTTCACTGCCTGTTCGATACATTTTTCTATAAGCTTTAAGTAAATGATAGCACTGATAGTCAAGGCATTTAATCTATTTTTCGCTTGTTTTTCTTCTTCTCGCTGTTTATCTTCCCGATGAAAACTCGCAGTGACAGCGAGAAAGTGCGTCTCGCCTGTCTTTCTGATGGAAATGATACATATATCATCAGAAACAACCTCGAATAAAGAAACGAAAGACAATTCATGTACATATTTGCCTATACACTTTAAAGACATTGTAAACGAAAGCACATGTAAACTGTATCTTCTCTAATCATATACATATAAGATCAGGTAAGAAAACGAATTGATTGTTTGTTCAAAAAATGCTTTTACTCTTCCTTCTTCTTTCGCTTATGTCCCGATAGCTATTGTCTTCTATTGTTCTAATTAGTCTCCACCTTCAACATTCTTCGTGTAGAAGAGAATGTCACCTACATCATTCTTTCTCCTTTCTTTCCAACACGAACAAATCGAATAAGCATGACTTCAATACAGTCACTAGAACAAAAACACTACTTATTTCAGATCAATCGACATGCTCAAGCATCTATAATGCTTTTATCAATAATGGACAGTGCAGAATTCGATTTAAATAATACTCTTCTCTCTTCATCTTCGATGTCATCCATCGATTCCGATGATTACGACAAAGGTAAGTCTATCTACTTGATTGTTTTCCTTCGGCAACTGGCCTGTTTCTTCTTCACAGAACTTCGACTAGCTGCCGAACTTGGTCGCTGCTTGCTGGAGCGTAATCATGAGCTACAAAATTATATTAATCTTCTACAGAAACAATTCGATGATAAGCAATCGGATATGAAGGTAAATCGCAACGTTGTTTGGTTTTTAAACTAATTTTCAACGAAATTTAGTTATTACATTCGAAATATCTTGCTCTACGAGAACAGCTTGAAGCTAAATGTAAACAAAATGAATTATTAGACGCAGCAAATGTTGATCTCGAACAGGAACTTCGATTACAACGACATGAAAACGAGAAAAATCGTCAACATGTGAAGGAGTAAGGAGCTTGACTTTTCTCTGGAATCAATTCGTCTTGTTTCGATTTATTCAGATTGTTCGATCTTTGCGAGAAAACACGAAAGCAATGTCATGATATTGAACACGAGTATGGAAAATTTCGGACGAAACAGTTCACATCGTATTTTCATTTGAAACAAACGAATTCTCCTTATCAAACTTCGACTTTTTCTACACCGGTATCGAGTAAACGACAACGATCAAATTCATTTAGTCTAAAGCCAGTACCGATTACTCCAACATCTGTTATTTCACCAGTATCGCCGAATCTATTCGATACTTCGCACACATCGATCTTTAAATCTCATCTAACAGATCTAAAATTACGTATTAATTCTTTGACAATGGAATGTTCCTCTCTGAACGATCAACTACTTCAATCCGAACAAGAAAAACTAGATCTTGTGGATCGTATTACGCAATTAGAGCGACATTATCGTGATGATAGTGATTCTCTTCAAAACGAGATCAATTCCTATCGAAAACTACTCGAAAAATCTTCTCATGACAACACGAAATTTCTCCCATCGAACATCTATTCACCATCCGAACATGATCTCTCTTTGTACGACGAAGTTTCTCTAGAAAGTAAACCATCGAAATCTTCTTATGAACCGACAAATTACAAAGATTTATTCGCACGTGTCTACGAAAAACTGAAAACAAACGTTAGCAACAGTCCAAAAATGACCAATCATTGAATTGTAAATAATGTGTTCGTGTGTTTCTAATATCTGTTAAATGCGTTTGTGCGCAATCTCGTACATATTGTCTTTCTTCTTTTGAATATCAGTATCATTACAATGTGTGCGTGTGTGTAGCTTTTCTTCTCTTGTTCAACCGTTGTAGTTAACCTAATTCTTTTCTTGATCAAATGCTTTAAATGAATACCAGACAATTTGTAATTAAAAACGACGATCTTTTCGGTAATATGATACAGAATATTGTTTAGAACGTCAACCTTGATTACGAGTAATTAAACATCGTCTACATCTGTTGGAAATCACACAGGTGGTCGAGTTTAACAAATGAGTTAGACAATTATTTTCGTTTATATCAAGTAGAATGAAATTTATAAGCTCGATTAGATCTCCATGTTACCTGGTAGAATCATAAATTATGAGAAACAATTTCTCTGAAGAGCTGAAGAACAGAAAACTAAATCAACATTGAAAGTCCACGATAACAAATGCAATTTGATAAAACATAAGTGCAATCTAATGGTACCTACCTGTAATTTTTTACAAAAACGCGACACTTTTCGTTCTAAAAACATCTCTTCCAGCGACTTACCAGTTCTAATACGCTGTCGGCGGAAACATACCGATTACATACACGAAGAAGTTAACAAATATGCACTGGTTGGCGTACATAAAGCATCTCATTTTCTTTCTGGAGATCGCTAATGCCTTAAATTGTAGTGTACCAGCATTCAACAACCTAACTGTGCAGTCGAATTTCAATTTGACTCAATTTTCGGGCGGCTGGTATGAAATCAAATGGACACCAGGTGATCCACATAACGAATCCGACATTTGGCGAAATTTTTATCAATCATTCCAGTTACAAAATGCATCTTCGTCTATTCTTCAAGTAGACGGTCGAGCACGATTGCTCAATGCAGACAGTTGTTTTTCCTTTGGTCCTTGGATTATCATTGCTAACAATAGTGCCAAAATGATTCTTCAAAAGAAAAATCCTAGTAGTCAAAACATCCTCAATTGGCCTTATTATATCTTAACAACTGATTATAACAATTATGCATTGGCCTATGCTTGTTCTTCCACTAATTATACAATTTCTAATTTATGCGAAAAACCAACTCTATGGGTATTTAGTCGAACAACTATGTTGTCAGACACTCTGATGGCACCAATCGATGAATACATAACGAATACTTTATGTATTAACGTAACTACACTTGAAATAACTCCCCAAGATGGAAAAAAATGTTCTTTATCATCACAGATCGGCGTTGAAAATTTTATTCTGTTGACATTTTTATTTGTAACATTCATTGTAAAGACAGAAAGAGAATTTATATAAATCAACTATCAGATAATAACGAACGAATATGAGATTGAAACTCTCCTTATTTCTTCTAGTCATCAACTTTTGTTCGAAGTGAATGAGATTCCCGTTTGAGCACCTAGAAGAGTAAACAAACGAAATGTTCCAATGGAAATGTTCGAAAATTCATCGTACATTGAGTAATGTTTGCGAACTTTCGAGAATTTTCATGTAGGCTGCTTCTGTTTCGCTGATTGTTCGATCGAATTCTGTTCGGGCTGTGATCTTCTTAGCTAAGTTTTCATTAATTTTCGCCAGTTTTTCACTAGCGACACGTATCTCATTTTCTATTTTATGTTTATCTTCTTCTTCGATCAAAATCTGACGTTGTAGTTCATCACGCTTTCCACATAGATCTTCAATACCTAAACAAATAAAGACAACATTTTTAACGAAACAAGCATCGAGAAGGAACAACGAACATTTCACTAATTCATTGTTATAATTTTGAAGCGCAGCGCCTTGTTGAGACATGTTCGAATGTACGTTCGAATATCGCTCGTCCTTTCAAATTCCATGGCAATGCAGACAATGGCAGTCAGTGCCTCATCATCAACTGCATTCAAATAAGTCAGTTAAGCACTTGGTCGATATGCTTAAGCTATGGCTATGGAAGAAAGAAAAATTCTTGATGATTTTGTCAATAACGTAAGGAAGAGAAAAAGAAAGACATTTCTCCTTCTTTTTTCTTCTTCTTGCCACACTAATTGTTAGGTATGGGGGCTATCTATTCGCTTTTCTTTCGTTCGTCAACTGCTACCAATAATGCCCGACCATCATCACCACCTCCACGTCAACCCTATTCTTGGTTAGGGCGTATACACTAATTGATAGATGTGTCATTCTTTCGTTGAATTTTCTAGGGAAAGCCCCGAACGCGCAGCAATTAGAAAAGAAGACTTTATTCTCGATAAATTAAAAGATCAAACGATCTATCGTCTGCCAGGTTCAGTGAATGGACAACAATTCATCAGTAAGATAAATCATTCGACTTTTCCAACTATAAATTGAACTGTTTTAGTTCAAAACTGCGATGTAAGTTCAGTTCGGATTGCTCTCGGTTCATTTTCATATTAGCCAATAGAATTGTTCAATCTATGTGTTCGATTACGCGGATAGTATTCAAATCGATGATTGCACCAATTGTCGAATTTTGATTGGGCCCGTTCGCGGAAGGTAAGAGATTTCTCACTTCCTCGGAAGCAGAATTATATTCCTCTTCAGTATATTTCTTCGAGACTCAATCAATTGCGTCCTAGCAACCATCTGTCAACAATTTCGCACGCGAGATTGTCGTGATACTCATGTTTACTTAGCCTGCTCAAGTCAACCGGTCATCGAATCTTCACATAATATTAAATTCGGATGTTTAACACTTAATTATAAAAACTTAGCTGGTATGACTCTTGGAAAAAGACGGCATTATTTGTTTTTCCTTCTTAATAATTTTATAGAGCAGTATAAATCAGCCGGGATCAGTCCATGGAATAATAATTGGAGCAATAATCATGATTTTACGTCGATTCCCGATGGAAAAAACTATTCGTTACTTGATAAAGTAATTGTTTGTTCTAAACACAAAGAATATCATTGAATGATCATAGGATGACAATGTCTTCAAACATTTATCTTTACCAACGGATCCAGCATGTGCCTTCCTCAATGTTAGTGATAACGTTAATCAAAGTGTAACACCCTATACACACGGCGAATTATGTCGGGATAGAAATGAAGAAGTAAGAACACAATCCTTTCCTTTGGTAATTTCCCTTGAGTAGATCATGTCATTCATTATTAATAGAAGAGATTTAATGCTATTTCCGTTTTATTTAAAGTATGAATAGAAGTATTTGTATACTCGTTAGAAACTGCTCACATCAATGGTAATCCTTGACTATCGAGATCAGGGAGGGAAATAAGTCGATTTAATAAGAGAGTACAGAAAATAATGCAATGATTATTGTGTAGACCAACTTGTTTCTAATTACTTTATTTTCCATCCTCAAATATTCGCATTTGAATTTCAGCGATGCTTAGTCATTCTTTTCCATAATGCAAACGCTGACGCTTGTGCACGTGATCTGATAACATCGACACGACAATCAAATGTTAGTATTTTTTGTATCTGTCTTTCATCGTGTTCAATATCGTATAATTCCTCTAGATTGAACTTGTACAAACGAAATCGTATAGAATAGATGATACAAGTGTTGAACGACTTTTTGGTGGTGACCGAAAATACAATGCATTAGTTGCGAGTGGCCCGGTCATTGGCTTAGAGTTCATAGGTGCAAATTGTGTATCTGTTTGTCAACAAGCTCTTCGGAATTTGCTAACAGCAAAGTATCCGAATTTGCCTCGTAAGATTAGTTGCACACAGATTTGTGATTGATACACTTTGTTTCTCTTCTCAATAGATTTCATCAGTCAGTCGGCTGCTGCCGTTGCCGGTCAACTTGACAAGTTCTACAACTTCGCCAGTATGCAAATGTTTGCATAGAAAAAATCCGTCCAATTTTTGTATAATCAAGAGAATGTTTATCTTGTTTTGTGATTTTTAACCAATTCCGACCATGAAATAATCGGTTTTAACCAGTTCTTTTCGTTTTTGTAGATATTCTAAACATGAAATCATGAATGTCGCAAGTTCAACTCCAGCTGATAAAGTGACTTCATCCGATGATTATCGACAATCAAGTCATGGTGATGAAGAAGAAAAAATCGTGCAAGAATTTGGACATCTTTTGGAAAAATCGAAACAACTATTCAATGGACTAAGGTAATTGGAACAGACTCGAGTGTTCTCCAATTATTCTTCGGTTTCTAGAGATCTTCCACAGTATGGACATAAACAATGGCAGCCTTATTTCGGACGTACATTCGATATTTATACGAAGTTATGGAAATTTCAACAACAACATAGGTAAAAATGAATATTCGTTCGGAAGTTGAATGACGTATAATTTCTTCGCATTCAGAGTTCTTCTGGATAAAAAATATGGATTGAAACGTTGGCAAATCGGTGAGATCGCGTCGAAAATAGGTCAACTCTATTATCATTTTTATATTCGTACGTCTGAGACAAACTATTTGAACGAAGCATTTGCTTTCTACTCAGCAATGCGTGCGCGTGCGTACTATTCAAAAGTGAATCGCGAAGAAAAACCGGATTTAATGGTTAAAAAGTTACGTTACTATGCTCGGTTCATTGTCGTTTGTCTTCTGTTGAAGAAAACGAAAATCATGCGCGAATTAGTACGCGAATTGAATCGACAAATTGATGAATATGTGAAAGCCTATGATCCCGATGATAGTCTCGAATGGCAATTGGTTCTCAATGAAATTTCTTCGTTTATCGAAATCGATAACCAGTTGACTATTGATGGAATATCAACATCATTATCTTATCGATTGAATCAATCTTTAGTGCCAACCTTACCTGCTAACGTCGAACAAATTCTATCAAATATTCAATCATTTTCACTGGAAGAGATTCTTATCATCGGCAATTATCAAGATCAGATTAAATTCAGTGAATGTAAGTTGATAAATAGTCCTGTTACAGGACAAATCATCATGATTTCTTTAGTAACAATTGACATGTACCGAATGTTACAAGCTGTAGAGAGACAACCGAATGAAGCGACATCGTCGTTAGACGATGGTATCACAACACAATCACCAGCTGGTCATCAGAAGGATATTCTCGTAAGACTACTAAGGCGAATATCGACAGAGAAGGTGACGTTGTACATTTAGAATCTCTCCGATAATGGAATATCGAATCGTTCCAATCCGCACAAATATCTTCTTTATAAACCGACATTCAGTCAAATTTATGCATTTACTTCGTCAGCTTTTAAAGAACTACCAACAAACGGTGCTCTGCTACTTTACATTTCAGCCGATGGTTATGATACACATTTGAAAAGTAAAGTAGATCATGCTTATGATTTCGGAGGTTTAAAAACAAACAATCGCCGTGAAGATCCAAGCGAAAACTCGAATTCGCCAGCAAATACTCTAACAAAAAAACTGCTTTCAACGTCAGCAGCAGCAACAACAACAACTATGCATAAAGATGTTCATAGCATTTTTCCTGGTGATTTGTATCCGTTTTTACGGAAACCATTATTTCTAATTGTCGATAGCAACAATAGTACTGTTTTTCAACATATGCCCAATTTATTTGGTCAACCATTCGTATCATTGCTTTCGCCTGTTAAGTTACCAGTTACATTTCATGGTAAAACGAATTTTGAAACGAATTCGATATGACGTTGTCTTTTAGAATATCAAAACAAAGGAAGTTTATTTACATTGTTTTTAACATCTCCAGCATTTGCATTTTGTTTTGTTTGTCATTTGAATAATTTAACAAATGAACAATGGAATTTATGTCAAGAAAATGTTAATAAAATCATCTTGGAAATTACGAAGAATTTCTTCAAATCGAAACTTGTTGGTAAGATTCATACATGACTATCTTCTTCAGATTCATTTCTCTTGTAGATCACTCGATCTATCCTTTTCTAACTGATGAATTCTTACGATTGTTTCTCGCGCGATTCGTATTTTGTTATGCTGTTCTACGTTTACATCGTGCATTTAAGGTAATTTTGGTAAAAACAGTGTTCTCATTTTTGATCAACTCAAACTTCACAGGGCTCTGGATTTTATCCATCATCTCAACCTCAACTATCAAATGACCTTCTCGAAAATGTTCAAGTGCATCGAATGATCTTGGAATTATCAGCATCGTTGAATGTTCGCCAATTATTTCTCGAAGGACCACTTATTTCTGGTGAATCATCTCATCAATAACCAACTTAGTCAGTATTTCATACGAAAGATCTCATCATTCTTCACTAGATTTTCTGTCTTCTGGTCTTTCACACAAAACTTTTAACGTACAGGATTAATTAGCTTCTTTTTTTCTTTTGATTTCTTGTCGGTAAGGTTGCATGAATGTGTGCAATGGTATTTTTCGAGTCTCTTTACGAATGTAGTCATATCTTTACTTACTTGAGTTTGTTGTCTGTTTTTTTTTTCAATGAATATTTTAATCGTGTTTACGATGTGCAAGCCCGACAATTATCTCCGTAAACGAAATCTTTTGCGCGTGTATGTGTGAAATACTTCTCTCTTCTTTTCTTTTCACACGAAGCAAAGTCAATAATGATAATGGATGCACCAATGACTCACACTAAAATTGTACTTTCGAGATCCCATAACGGGCATGGTCATGGTCGCAGCTTGCCAGCTAAATGAATCTGAAAAAGAAATGACACACATCGAATCTTAACGAATTCGGTTTTGAAAGTGAGAGTATTTACATCGTATATTTCAAACATGTCATTCAGCCAGTCGCTCATTTTTTTGACAGCCATTGTCTAATCACATAGCAAAAAGCAGTTTCTACTTTCTCGACAATAAATCGTATAGACATGTATGCTACTGTTATTTTTGATTATGCATAGGCAATCCATCAGATAATTTTGTGACAGGATCGTATATTTTCACATCCCGATAAAACATTGATCTTCAACTTGAATAACCAATCATATAATCGCTATGAAAAGACGTAAACTAAAAAATACCGATATCAATTGTTGATAGTGGTTACAGTGTAAGATGAATACCCTCACCCACACCCTACGTACGTCATCAGTATTAGTAATAGGTAATGAAAGCATTCGATTTGGTTTGTACTAAAAAAATGTTTCTCAATGAAGAGTTCAAAGTGGTTTCAAGTCTCAGCAAGTATTTTCTGTGCTTAATTTCGTTCAATATGTCGGTGCTAGATTTTTATACTTTTTATTTTTAGGCCTCGAAAAACGTTTAGGAATCACTGTAATCGCAAAGCGTTTTGGTATGAAACTAAGGAGAGAAATTTTCTAGTCAAAATAAATTTTACAAGGAAGATTATTCGGTTTGGAAAACGATACATAAAATGATATCGAAATCAAGGCTGTAATGACATTCTATAACAGGCGCAATTTGAGAGAGAATAAATTATGCTGTTAGCAGAGGTATTTCTCGTGATTTGGATGCATGATGATATGATTATTCCTGCAGCAACGTTAGAGATGAAACAATATAAATGTGAGTAGTTAAAAGTATATTTTCAACTTTTCTAACAACCAGAGTGGGTGTAATCTCATGCACAGGAGATTTTCTCTACTCACGTTGGAGATTTCCAACTAAATAAAACTTACGCGTGAATAATAACTGTTGAATCAATGACAATGTACTTTTTGTTTGGGAGAAATATTCAATATAAACCAAGGTTGATTTATCAGTTAGGTCATTTCTTTTCTTTTCGTTAAAATTCATTGTTTGTCGACTGAATCAAAATCACGTATATTAACATTTACTTCGTTCTATCGTATTTCACGATTTAGTAGTGTTGAGTACAAATATAAATATTATTTTCTTCGTATGTTCGATAGAATTCGACAGACGAAAGCCTGATTGCTTTGAAATTTCATGAATTGCTGTCTGTGTGTGAAAGAACAAGTGCTGAGAAATTTCCTGGCCACCGTATAACGTACCTCCCCTTCTTATTTTGCGCCCATCATTTCAAAAAGTTGCCAGGTAAGCTTCAACGATTATTTACCTATAGTTTGATTTATGATTACAGTTTCAGAACAAATGTTCTTTTTATTATGCAGTTCTACTTGTGAATTATTGACGTCTTCAATTGATGCAGTGAAACATAGTAGATCATTGTTTAGAATTAAAAGAATATGCGTCTCTTTCTTTTCAGACTTTTGGACCCTTTTAATATACAAATATTTGATCCGATTTGTACAACGTAGCTTTGTAGTGATGACATATGCATATTTGTTCTTTGTTTGACTGTTTCCACATGAGGCCATAGTTTACTTTAAGTTTAGTAAGAAAAATAGTAAACCATATGCATAATCATCGAAAGTAAGTGTATGTAAGTTGTAAGTTATAGCTACTAAAGTTAGAGTTTCAGACTGTTTTCACTCGACATCTACCGGAATGCTAAGTTCGACTGATTACAGTTATGGAAATCTATCTGTACCTTTTCTTTTAAACTATGCATCTATGTCTAGTCGACTCTAAGAATGTAAATACTGTCTTTCAGAATTATTTAAAAATTTGAAGTAGATTTGTAGAAGCAGTAAAAGCACTACTGTAACTGATTTTACTCCATCACATTATGATTCATTTCGCTGCTTTCAACTCACTGTAAGCGTTGTGAATTTCTCAGCAAGAGCATGAAAGAAAGAAAAAATATGCTGATAAAATAGTTGCCGTGACGCAAAATACGTTCTCTTGCTTTGCATTGCCTCATGACGTGCAGAATTGCGACGATAGCGACAATTCAATGTTTCTTTGTTGCAATGTTTCACAGCTAGAGGGAGGCGCACTTGCAATACTTCATCTGATTGATATTCACTTGTCTCTTTGCTTGAAGATTTAACTTTTGAGTATTCTTGTTAACATGAATATATTTACAACATCATTTCAATTACATAAATCGCTACTTGCTAATGATTTACTCATTGATATAATAGGGTAAAGCTTTCATTGTTGCCATAATCAGTCGAAACTAATTCTTCTGTTACATTGCAGTTCAATGGCAGAACCCTTGTTCAGACTTCCCATCATCCCTGATCATTCTTGGCCATATGACTATCTGCTGATAAAGAGGAAGTAAGTGAAGTAAAATATCGCATTTATTTAGGGATTGGAGAAAAGGCACTATTGTGCTTGTGCGTGCTGTCTTCACCATACAAAATAATCATGAATCGTCACTCACTTTTTGTGAATCGCCGAAAGTGAAGCTGCTAAAATATCCTTCAGCGGAATATTTTTCTTCCTTTTTCTTATCGCGTCTACAGACTTTTTACCCAGTTAAGTATGCGCAAACATTTTAGTTTGTTGGAATAAACCAGAATATTTTCTTTACATGCTGTTTTTCTCCGACATGACGTTAAAGATCATGAGGACCGAACGCCATTTTCGATGAAAACCAACAGCTGATTTACTGGGTTGTTTCTCACAATGTTACACAGAAAATATCATTACTTTATTGTCATGGTATTTTAAGAAATTGTCAACATGAATAATTGTGAAAGGCCGTGATATTTCCTTTTTTTTGTGAATAAACTGAGGATGACATAGTCGATTTAAAACCCTACTAAGTGTATCGCACACGGGGCAGCTTTCCTCATGTTCTGTACTTCCTTCGTACATTGTAGAAAGAACAGATTTTTTCGTTGAAATGCATTTATTTTCATAGAATGTCGACGCGAAAAAGGTGAGTGTTTTGAGAAACATATCAATTAATTTTGACTAACTGTGAAAAACTGAGTCAGGATCCATGTACAATGAATAGAATATGATGCTGCGAAATTGTTAAGGTAATAGAACTTTTTCCAAGAGCAACGTTTTGGGAGTATGATCTTGGTGTCGAAAAATCTTTCAAGTTATTTTAAGATAAGAAATAAGTAAGCGAAGAATGTCCGTAATCTACTTCTGTTTGTGTTAGACGCGACGCCAGGAATTTTCATCTGAGGGGCTCAGCTCTCCTGTGGCGCCGCCACTAGTTTGTGTTAAGTAAAGATTTTAGCGTATCGATTACAGTATATCTATTACTTTGAATTCGTTTTTGTAGAAAAATGTCTATTCGGAATTATATCTTTTACTGAATTCGGAAATGAAACTAGAACATCATAGAGATTTATAGTGTAGTGATAGGTCATTTTTGAATTGACTTGGAGATTTACAATCTAGTTTTGTTCATCTGTGACTGAATACCAGTGAACAATCGTCAACATATCACGACTTTATTTAGTTTACATCCAAGCATTTGGACTGACGAACTGACTTACTTATCAGCTATAAAACCTTGTATTTGTTTGGTGAGAGAGAAAGATGTTCTTTATCAACACAGGTCTTCTTCTCTCCTCCAATCATAAAACATTTTTACTTGGAAAAAACCCCGATAAAGCGCGAACGCTCATTGGTTGTTTTTTTTTTCATTGAATAAACGTCTTCGTCAAAGTGAGTGTTGTGTTTTGTATAGGAACATTATTGACTTAAGACAGTAAAAGTTTTGCTGTTGTCAATTATATATGTTTTGTTTACTAATGTACATGTATATAACCTAAGAAGAACCGGAAAACTTTTGGTGAATTTTTAAAATTCAGTTAATACCGTTAGACTTTCGTTTGAAGCTGATTTCATCGAATGACTACAAACCGAAATTCTATTCTAACTGTGCTCAAAGGATGTTGATTGAGTGGTTAGGCTTTTAAAAATTACTGGTTAAAACGTGCCAGATGCACGTAACTATGTGTATTCGTATCTACGCACAAGACCACAACAAACTTTTTCTAAGAATATCGAAAAAGCTTCATGTCTTATATTTTATTTATGATTGAAATTCAACTAATTAATCAGTACAAAATTGTATCACCTTTAGATTTATTCGTTCAAAATACTAATTGTATTTTAGGAACTCGAGATTGCATCGCCAGATTCGTCGTAATCAGCCACCAACGAAGACTACTTCATTCAAAAGCACAACTAGTAGAGGTAAAACACCATACATTCAGATTGCGTCTAAAAATTATTGTCTTTTCTTGACGGAAACCTTTTCACCGGCACACTCATCTTTCTGTTTCTCTCGCGCAAAATATATTCCTCTCTTTGTTGATTGTTTTGTCTATGCAAGTGAATGGCGTACTTGCCGTTTTAGGTCGTAGTTGTCGACTGATTTTACCAGTTACTAATGAACTATATATTCAGTCTTTAGAAATCGAGAAAATCAGGTTTTACGATTTAACAAAATATCATTTGGATGCGTTTTTACTTCGTAAATATTGCTTCTGCTTCTTTGGTAATACTTTCGTTAAACTGATTGAACTCGAAGATCATAAAAAATCTTCTGTCAACTCAAGAAACTTATCTTGACTCAACCCGGCATGTATCCGAAGAGAAACAAAACACAAAATGATAAAGCCTACATACATTTTGCCACAACATAGATTAGATTCTATTATACAAATTCTGTTTATCCATAGCTATACAAGATCAATATTTCTTTAAAAGCAACAGAAATGATACAAATTATTTTTCTACACAAAAGTGTTTACTCAATGCACGTCATCATGAGCATGAAGTATATATTGGCAAGTCAAGTAGTTTGTTTATCTATGACACATGTGCACTCAATATTCATGTATTGTTATATAACTAAAATCAATCGATTGTCGTCAATGCATTCAAGTGCGGTGGTGTCATCATCACAGTTGAAAATATCATTACTATATTTTATTTTCGACAGAATATCGTTTTCAAACCATCAAAATAAGATGGCATGAACATGCAACCCAAACAATGCTGTGCTTTATTTCCATGCTTTTAGGCGAAAGCGAACTTAGAAATGCGTGCGGTTATTATCGTTCACGAGCAATGGCCTGCTATTTTCGAGCGATCGATACTTCACTACGACATCGGAATAATCTACTATCTGTCTGTTTAATATTTGAGTTCTTCTCAAGATATTCGAAATCGACAGGATACTGTCGAAGGATGTCATTGTTAAACAGACTCTTGTTTATTCAAACGAACATCAGTTATTCGAATCGTCTTAAAGTCCTAAACTTTATCTAGAGAACATTAGCAGGTAAATAGCTTTTATTCGCTATCACAACGATTCTACATGTAGAAAAATAATGTCAGCTATTTCAAGCATTGAAAACGCGATTGAGTCAAACTTCGACAGCTAGACATGCTAAATACTGGGGAAAAAGCAAATGGGAAAATGTCGAAAGAAAGGCGAAAATATTAAATAGGATATGATAGAAAAGAAGGTATTTACCAATTGAAGTATGAGCAAGACAACAAACCTTACGGTTTAAAGCAGATTTTAGTATTTGAATAAGTGCGTCTCATGCAGATTTAATCCGATACGAGTTTGCAGAAGAGCATTAACAATTAAAGTCAATATTATGATATCATTTTGCTTTTCAAAATTTAAAAAGCAAAATCGTATAACGAAACATGAGACATTAGCGAAAAGCGAGCTGAGTATTAATAAGAAGCTTTTATCAGCAGTTTCTGCCAGTTATACAAAGAAAAGCATTCACCAGTACACATCACTCACACTAGATACATAGGATAATCAAAAATTTCTCAGAACACTTCGTTTTTACTAAATGAAAACAAGTTCGCAGAAAAACTTACTTCGCTATGTGTTCATGTTCAAAATAGTTGCCTTGATTTGCCGCGCACAGCTCCTTGTGGATTTCCGTTGCATTCAAAAGCAAAGCGGTCATATAATGCATCTGTCTTCACATTATCCATAACCGCAAACAAAACTATTCCTCGCTTTCTAACATAAAAAAAATGAATAGTTGTGAGATCCTTTTGATTACCTTATGTAATACCAATATTATTTTGACATTTATTGACGTCCAATGATTTATCATCAATTTTTTCTATCCCACTTTCCCATTGCATCATTTATCACCGTTTGCAGTGGGTAGAAAACGTTATAAAGGGAAAAAGCGAACGCCTAAACCGACTAATAGAATGATTCTATGGGAAACCTATTAAAACTGCCTCACATTCTGTGTAGATACTCATTTCTTATGGGTTTTCTCTCTTACCATGTGATGATATGTGCTGGATGTTTATAAACAGAGATAAACTTATGTGAATAGCATCTTGAGGATGAGGGTGTGGGGTGGGTGAGGGTATATATGTATAGCTCAAACTAAATCTATTTCTGTTTCTATTGTAGATAGGGAGTGTAGTGTGCAAGGAATTGTTCACTTATATTATAAGTCGAATTAGGCGTAGGCGGCTAGTCTAAGAGAAAGCTAGTTTCTTTTCTAAAATTCAATTTGAAATACAAAGAAGCATAGACTCATCTCGCGTGGCGCCATCTATAAGTTCTTTTGAGATCAGAGTGTTTTATCTAAAATTCGATTGAACATTCCATTTCTCACTAATAAATTCAGACGCTATCTTTAATGCACGCATAGGATATGTTTCCTTCGTTTAATAAGCGTTTATACGGTTTTTTTGGTTAACAGTAATATAATTGGTCGTTTCCAGAAATTTGAAAAGAAATGTTGTTGTTTTTTGTACCAACAGCATACATATTCGTGACTCGTAATCTTGGATTTGAATTTAAATATATAAAGAAAAACTTAATTAAAACTCTGATGTCTTTATATCGACTAATCTCAAATCCAGTTAACTTTTACTTAAGTTTAATAACCTTTAAAATTATGCATGATTGTGAATTCTTATTGCTTTCACGTTTACTTCTATCTAAAGAAAATTAGTCATACATTTGCATTTTTCTGTTTGCGCGTTGCGTAGTAATCATATTTCGAAATTAATCACGTTTCCTTTTAGACCGTACTGGGGAAAACCTAAGTGAAACAACCGATCAATTAAGAGAACTGCTTCAATGTTCAAAAGTATGTTTACACAGCCTGCTATCGATGTAAATTCATTTGTTCTTTATAGGATTCAAATAGAATGTTAGGATTTAATGCGAGGAATTTGAGTAGTATTGATCCACAATACAAATGCAGAATCTGTTCTCGAATACTAAGGAATCCTGTTCAGTTGAACTGTGGCCATCGACAGTGCAAATCATGTGTTGATTACCGTTTACAAGCGTATGAAATTATGATCTTATGTATTCTATGATATGAATATGTTAAAATATGTTTTAGGGAAAGAATAAAATGCCCTGAGTGTGGTCACGAGACTCTACAAAGTGAAGTAAATATACGAGCAATGCTGTGCGTGTGTGAAATATGCGTATTGGGCTTTCGTTGTAGATATTACCTGATCGTGGAGTCAAGAATGATATGAAATCAATAGGAATTCAGTGCTCATTATGCCCTTGGGATGGATTGTTTAAAGTTTACGAGGTATGATCTTGAAATTGGAGAATGACTAGACGATATTCTTCAATAAAAGAAATTGATTTTTAAGTTCATATGCGAGTGATCGTTACCGTGAGTTCGTTCAAATATTTTTCTTTTCAAAATGAGATTTTTGAATATATAATTTTTCATTCGTTGATCTTGCTGTGATTTTACATGATTCATTTTCTTTTAGAGTCATCTTAATGAATATCATGCCAATCCGAAATGTGATCACTGTGGAATATCATTTAATTCGATAACTGAACTCGACATTCATCAAACAACAGATTGTCCTGAAATCACTGTGCCTTGTCCTCTGAAAGATTATGGATGTATCACTGATGTAAGTATTTCTTTGATCATCGAAAGAACGAAAACTGTTTACTCTTCGTCTGCTCTTCTGCAGGTAAGTCTGATCAAAATGAGCGAGCATTACAGAAGCTTACAGCATCAAATAGCGATTATAGCTTTTATCCGTCGAGACGTTCCCAAATTATTAAGTGACACAATGGATATCGACCATTTTCCTCAAACGACTACATCACTCGTAGAAACGCACAATACTCCGGTAGAAGAAATGCGGGACATGATTGACGTACTTGAGAATGGAGTAGACGCATTAAATGAAGATGCAAAACGACTTTCCATTGAAACGAATAAATTAAGTAATGCGATAGAAAAATTGAATAATGACTATAATGCACTGAAGTTGAGCATCCAAGAACAAAATACTTATCTTGATGGAATTAAACCAAAACAAGATGCACTTCAGCAGGAAGTTTCGACATTACAAGAAACGATAGATGGTTCACAATCTATTTCGTATGACGGAACGTATACTTGGAGAATATCGGGTTTTCGAGAGAAAATGGGTGAGTTCTACATTGAGCAAATCTCTTTCTAAACCAAATTTATTTTCATTTTCTAGCTGACGCTCGAACTGAGCGACAAACATCAATCTATTCGCCGCCATTTTACTCATCGCCCACAGGATACAAGATGCGAGGCCGAATTTATCTGAACGGAGATGGCAACGCCCGTCGCACCCATATTTCCTTGTTTTTCGTACTGATGCGCAGCGAATACGATGCCATACTTAGATTTCCTTTCAGTTACAAGGTGACATTTTGTTTATTCGATCAAACACCTGCACAACGCCATATCATCGATTCCTTCCGACCCGATATCAAATCCAATAGTTTCCAACGACCGCGGTCAGAAATGAACATCGCAAGTGGTATACCGAAGTTTTTTTCATTGGAATTACTTCAGGATGAGGTAAATCCGTACGTCCGAGATGACACGATGTTTATCAAAATCATGGTCGATTTCGGTGATATGCCCAAAACTCTGTTACCCTTTGCATTCAGCGTTAACCCAGGCTACACAATCACGATTCAACAAAACTTGATTAGAAAAGAAGCAGAACGACGATCTCAACAACAACAACAATTGCTGACATCGGCGATGAATTTGCCGACTTCGGACTCTTCAGTAGTTAAAACAGAAGAAGAATAAATTAAAATATATCGATTATACAGGATATGTGTTTCATAGCTTGTTTTTGTAGTTACAAAAAAAAGCTACAGAAACAAACTATCGCATAAAATCAACTTCTTTCACACAGTAATCTCCTAATGTTCTATTACCAATCACAAAATGTGAAAGCTGAAAGTTATATAGGATCTGTTCCGTAGACCTTCTATAGTATTTCTTTTTAATTACAGAGCAAAACTACTAAAATAAATTCATATTGCGAATACCTGATTTCGTTGTAGTACTCAATTGCTCAAAATGAGTACATATCTGTATTACTCTGTAATATATTTTTTCAATAATTAATGTGTTCATTTCGTGATTAAATTTGTGTCATTTAATTTCTATTTGCATGTTAATTGAGCAATTCATTAAATCTCGAAAATATACATAAGTCTTATGAAATTTTGTATCGTAACCATAGTATGATATATAATGAAATGGATTGCAATGCGTAATACAATCACTAGTATTGTTATATTGATCTTTCATTCAATCACATTTGCAGATTGCATGACATGTTTGCTGCATCCGTCATGTTATTACTGTTGATATGCATGCTATATATTTAAAGGTTATGCGAGCAACAATATTCACAGAGTGAGGACATGATGAGAGTAATTTACCATCGTTTATATTGATTAATATCAATAGATATCGTGTTGGCTTCGACAAACATAACAGCGAATGTCTTATTCAGGAAGTGAATTACACACGTAGTAGTCTATCGTACTTTAATCATTAAGAAATAAATAAATCACACTGTTGGAGATGCTATCATATAATCGACTAAAATTTAGTACTTGTACAATATGAAGTACATATGCAGTCAGTATTGCTAATGAAATTGGGATTAGTAAAGAATCTGCAGACTTGTTTGCTGATGTACAGAATATTATTTGTCTAACACAATCCATGTTCGGTTCCAGTCAATGTACTTCTCAATAATTTGAATAATAGAGCGAGTCGTTCTTCTTACAACCAATGAAGACATTATCATCGGCAATAACTATTGTTCGCTTAAAAGCGAATACCGTATTATCAAGATGACGCTTGATCATGGTTTAATCATATCAATCACTGTGATTAGCACTGAGCGTCCATGACCATTATCAAATACCACGCTTCTCTCTAGGTGAGCTGAATGCGGTAACTATAGCAGGATTTGGTTCACAAGCATATTACATTCGTTACAAACCGACGACGAATGTCGCGTTCGATGCTGATGGGCATCTGTTCATTGTGGATAGCCATAATCATCAAATTGTTCGATGACTAATTGGCAGCCAAGAGCAATGTGCTTCATCGTCCAGTTTAGCCTTTGACGATGGCTTTTGACAAACATGAAATCCAAGAGTTCAATCGACTTAGAAATTCACACATTATGATTTTTCTCAGTGATAACCAATTTTGTTTTTACCGAATATCGTTAATTCATTCGTCGTTAAAATGGGCCATCCTTCCATATTTGAAACTCTAAAACTTGTTGAGACTGTTATTCTAACTACCTTACTGTCTATAGATATTTTTGAATTGATTTGCTTGATCTTCACACGGATACTCTCTTCTTTCGGGTTGAGTTCTCAAAAAAAGATCTCTTTTTATTTTGTGCATGCGGTCAAACGCTTTTGAACTTTAACAATATTGCCAAGTTGTCGACCATGTATGCAAAACTCAACTGGATTAATCTCAATAATAAACGTCGTGCTCTACAGTAAGTAGTTTGTAACGGATCCAATGTTGTTTTGCCGCTAGACTCAACAAAAGCTACGCGAATGATGACGACTGGCGCTATCATCTGCTTTGAACTCATTTCGAACAGCCACTGCTTGAAATGGTAATCTTAATTTGAGACTGCAAGTTCTACACCAAGGCCAGATATTATACTAAGACGACATTGTACTTCAAGTTGAGTTGGTCAGTCAGGCATGAGTATCGTTTTAATGACAAAGCAATATGGCACCAGAAGCGCTGGTGTAACAGATGGCAGTAAATTCGCGGCCATTGATAAACTGTGTGTTAGATATTGTCTTACGGTGGCTATTTAAAAAACAGTAGATATCCGAAGAACGAATTTGGATGAAAAAACGTGCATGAGATGATTCTCTCATCGAAAACTTTTACGTGACTAAATAATTGTTCGTCTATTCGAATACGCTTTATGAATCATCAGCCATTACATTCTAAACTATCGACGGCCATAGAATATCACCACTCATCGGAGTATAAGTGTAATGCCTCTAAGATTATATATAAACATTGAGAATAATATAATTAATTCGTCAAAACAAAATTTACGTATATTTTTTTCTCTTCTACATGACAAGTGACGTCATATTCTGATATGACTCAGCAAAACACAGTGGACATGCTTTGCGTGGTATTATTCAGCCGGCCTACGTTACGATGATTCGTGCCAAATAGTGCTGACTTTAAAATGGCAAATGACTTTCAATGAGTAATTTCAGTCAATTCCACATTTTGGTAAGTACACAGCAAATTTTATTTGTTTCTATGCGCTAGTAAGAGATTTCTGTAGGTTATTTATAGGCATTGTGAAATACACAGTAGTCATCGCCCGCTGTTCTTGACACCTACCATTTTGACTACCTAATCTAAAATGTGACTACACAGAGATTTTCTAGTTAAAACGAACAAATGCGATGAAGACTAATTGTTTTTGAAGGCAATATACAGTATGGTGTTGAAGCAGATTCTTTACCAAAATTTTGAGAGGAGAAAGGACTCTGTTGATGAAAATGACTCTCAATGAGGATACATGGTAATATTTCATCGACATTTGCATAACGTTTGTTTAATGACATATTATCGTGCGTCATAATCAAAATCGTGGCATAGGTACTAATGAAATCTTCGACAAATAATGGGGATAGTGTTGCATCGTGTTGTCTCTTCAAATATTTATATAAATAACATTGTTTTATATTATGCATCATAGTTCATGACACAGATTTTTATTATCCCACATCGTGGTACAATGTTATTTTGTAAGGGGATCATCTATATAAATGAGAATGATCGTGCTCGACTCAATAGTCTATAGATGCAGCTAAGTTGAGAGAAAACAGTAGGTGCTTTCGAAGAACGTATCCAAGTGTTTTATGACTTCGCTCGATGCTCATTGAAGATATGCATTGTCTTGCTTGAGTAAAAACTGTTGCACCAAGAGTGCGACATTGGTGGGCGTGCTTCCTGTTTCAGAATGAGTTTCAGTCCTCATTTATTCTTGAGTAAAATAAGATATTTAAAAAACTCACTATCTTTTCGCTTTCTATGAAAAAGCTTCAATCTCATATTGTATATTGTCCTAACTGGTGAAAATCTATTTGCGTTTTTCGTGAATTATATAACCCTCAATGTAATTAAAAGAAGAACAACGAGAAAAAATCTTTCTAGAGTTCTGCCTAACTGCACACACTACGGACAACTAGTATTGTTTCTGATGGATTCCTCGGTGATAAACTATGTGCTCTTCTTTGATTTCGTTGACCTACACATGTCCATATTTGCGTTCGTACAGATTGGAGCAAAATAGAATGTGATTGGTAGATACAAAAAATCGATTTCTAGATATCTTTGTGATAAATTCACATTTTGATACGAATAAATATAAAACAAAACTTACTATATCATAGAAACTACTCTTCATATCCACCTTGATTACGATTGGATAATATATATATACAGCAAACAGAGATTAGTCTACCACTCTAAAATGAATAAATTTCCCATGTTTAGTTCTTGGAATTTTCCAAGTAACGGAATATCCACTCGACGCTAACGCGATAAGTGCAGACTATAACCATCAAGTCAGGTCTTAGATTCATACATAAGCCGAAGAATAGACACCGCCTAGGTGTGTAAAATAGTTCAGTTCCGAAAATAGACTTTCATGCATAAAAAGAGCTAACGGAAATAAAGGCACTCTGCCACTCGATTAAAATGTTGTGGATGTCGTCATAATACACTGCCACAGAAAGAAGATACACATAGCCCTTGAACGTTGGTATTTCTATTATCTTTTTATCATCCAATCCTAGAAGTACGTCGATGGTTGGCTATGACACGAAAAACAAAGATACTCTCGATCCGAGATACCTTTGTCCTGCATGTTTATTAGTTCTTCATGAACCATTGCAGCTCAGCACATGTGGCCATCGGCAATGCCAATCATGCATAGATATTCAAAAAAAGTTAACTTTTTTCTTTATCACTCAAACTTACTGTTGCTTTTACTAACCTTCATTTAGTGACACAATAAATTGTCCAAAATGCGGCGTCCAAGCGACCAAGCGACAAGTACTTTTCCGGAGCATATTATAAAGCGTTCTTCAATAATGTCCTTTAGCTGATGATTGATCGAGGTTTTAAAACTGAGATGCAATCACTACCCATCGAATGCATCCTATGCTCCTGGTCAGGACAACTGCGAGACTATCAGGTATGTTCTCCATATCCATTCCCCCCCTCTCTCTCTCTCTCCTCATATCCTTTTCAGCAACACTTCACCCTACTTCATCCACATCCCATCTGTCCACACTGCAATCAATCATTCCAATCGTTACAACACTTCAACCAACATCATCTTCAACAATGTCCCCAACGCCACCAACTCTCTATCGATTGTCTCCTCAAACCGTTTGGATGTCATCAACAAGTAAGCACACTTTCATTCTTCATTCTCTGCTATTATAAACAAACGACTGAACTCGTCTAGATCGCTCGCGATGAAAAACAACAGCACTACCTATCTGAACAACATCAGCAGGCTGCGGTCACACTTGTCCGGCAAATCATCGCACAACGACAACAACAGAGTGATGCTTCGATCTCATGTCTTCCACAAGATATCGAAGACATGCTCGATGTTTTGACCGATACTATCGAGACGTTGATGAAAGATGAAGAACGCCTGTCTCGTGATTCACTTCACATGCAACTTCGACTGCAGACACTAGTCGAATATGCGCCACAACTCAAACTGTCCGTTCAAGAATCACAATCGCATCTCGATGCCATCAAGATCAACTTTGCTGTTCTCAATCAAGAGCTGCGATCGCTCAACGACAAAGTCAGCAATAGCCAATATGTCTCGTATGATGGCACACTCATTTGGAAGATCACTGGTTTCCAGGAAAAGATGAGTAAGTAGAAGTGTTTTGTGGGCGAGAGAATATGAATGTGATACACATTGCGCTTGTTCACTTATAGATGATGCAAGATTAGAGAGACAAACATCGCTCTACTCGCCAGCGTTCTATTCGTCGCTGGCGGGATACAAGATGAGACTTCGCTTATACCTCAACGGTGATGGGAATGCTCGACAAACTCATCTTTCGCTTTTCTTCGTTCTGATGCGCGGTGCGAACGATGCAGTACTGAAGTTTCCGTTCACGTACAAGGTGACATTCTGTTTGTTTGATCAGAGTGGTCGAGGTCGACACGTCATCGATTCGTTTCGACCGGATGTTCGATCGAACAGTTTTCAACGGCCTCGATCTGAAATGAACATTGCCAGTGGCATACCCAAGTTCTTGCCATTGTCGGCTCTGGAAGGCGAGAACAACGGATATGTTGTAGACGACACCGTGTTCATCAAGGTGTTAGTTGACTTCGGTGAGATGAGGGAGGAGCTACTGCCTTATGCGATGAGTCTGAATCCTGGTGTGCCAACATATATTCAACAAATCATGATTCGGCAAGAAGCAGAGCAGCGGGTGCAAGAAGGATCAACCGTTTAATTCTGAATACAAAGAAAGTCTAGGACACCAAGGCGAATTATGAAGCTTGTGATTATAATTCTAGCCGAGACACCACAAAAGTTTAACTGATTTCTATATAAAGTTTAATCCAGAATAAGATATGCTTGTTGGTCTGTGCGATATATACAAAGAACCTCACTAACACAATAGCGTTTAAGAATGAGGTTTTGATCGGTTATGCGCCCTAAAGAGATGGATTTGGCGTGAGTGATTCGATTAAAATTAACAAAATTCCAGTATGAAAGAAAGAACACTGTCTGATGGGTCGAATCGTATTCTTGTAAGACCCCAATTGAATAAACCAAACCGAAGGTTTTTAAGCTGGAGCGTATTGGTTGACTAGTAACACCAACCAAGTTCGTTGCGTTGTCGCTGCTTCTTTTCTGCTGTATTTGCTTCGGATTTGATCCACTTCTATAAAAGTGTATACTATATAGCATTAAATATTTTTAGTGTTCTCTCTAATGATCTTGTGTAATATAGGCGGATTTAGCGTTCGATTGCGTGAAGAACACGATTTTAGTTGGTTTAATGAACATTTTACGCATCCATTCTGTATCTTTGACCAGCAAGATTCCGGCAATTTATCGTTTGGTTCTATTGATATCCAATCTAGTCAACGCGTTTTTGTTAAATACGCAGGCGTACGTCCTGAGCATTTCGACGGTGACTGCCAAGAAGCAATATCGCGTCTTCGTCGAGCAGTTAAAGTCTATACAGATCTTCAACCGCATGAACATCTTATTCCGATAATTCATTCATTTTCAACGCCACACGGTTTTACTGTAGTTTATCCATGGTTCGAAAATAGCGAATGCCTTCATCCACATTGGTCCTATCCACCACCAGCAAAATATACCGATGTTCGATCACCTTTCTATCGCTTCCGGCAACTTCCACTCAAACAACGTTTAGCTGCACTGGATGCTATTTTTACTCTACTCGAGTATGCTGATCGTCGTGGTTACGTGTCAATTGATTTCTATGACGGCAGTATTTTGTACAATTTTCAAACAAATGTACTTAAGATATGTGATATTGACTTTTTCGAACAAATACCCTGCCAACCACATCAACCACCATGGGGCTCTGCTCGTTATTTAGCACCGGAAGAGAATCAACCAGATGCAGTACTCGATCATCGAACGAATATTTTTCGAATGGGTGCTTGCGCTTTTGGTTTGCTTGGTGGCGAACTTGACCGTTCTTTCTCATGTTGGGATGCAAATGAAGATTTGTACACTATAGCTCTAAAAGCTGTTGCACCAAATCCACTTGAGCGTCACCAACATGTAACAGAGTTTCTGAGCGAATGGCAAACTGCTGTTTCTTCCTTAAACAACAACTCGTAAGACTTTATCTCCGTAAATTAAATAAAGTAATCCAGTGATGATCACTGACGCTTTATTTCTGGTATTCCTCGAGCACACACTCACTATAAAACAATTCCGAAGTATACTTTTTTTCTTATCAGTAACGTTTGCGTGACAACTATCTAAGTATTGCCGTTACAAACAGGGAACCTAGTGAAATTTTGTATTCGTCTGCAGGCGAAAGATTTTCATATTGACTTGAGCTAACCAGTTGAAATTTATACGAAACTAGAATATCATTGTAGTTCGCTAAGGATCTGGCAATGTCAAAATATTACTTAGCATGCGCTCTTTTCTCTTTCTGAATACGAACTGTGATCATCCATAAATGTTGTATTCTTTTCCAAAACTCAATTACGTCTAATCCCCATATGTCACGCGTCGTATATTTGGATCAACTCCCTTTCATTCATTTGGCGACATCATCACGTCGCTATTCTGACAAAACCAAGATAAGGCACATCATCAAAGGTAATTTATACACTATTTCAGTTTTGCGATTTCGAATATAGAAAACATTATTTATTTGATTTTAAAGATACAACAATTAAAAAATTCAGTAAACGAGACAAATTCTTTATTAATTTCTTGAAAACAAAAATGCATGATTATTCGAAACAAACGAGAAAAGCATTTGGTAACGATTGTGCCGAATTATGCCGGGTGCCGTGATTATATTCGTTGTTTAATAAAGCAAAAAAATATTTCAAAGATTTGAACTTTGCTGCTGAGCCCGCCGCTCTGCTTCTTGCCGAATCATGATTTGTTGAATGTATGTTGGCACACCAGGATTCAGACTCATCGCATAAGGCAGTAGCTCCTTCCTCATCTCACCGAAGTCAACTAACACCTTGATGAACACGGTGTCGTCTACAACATATCCGTTGTTCTCGCCTTCCAGAGCCGACAATGGCAAGAACTTGGGTATGCCACTGGCAATGTTCATTTCAGATCGAGGCCGTTGAAAACTGTTCGATCGAACATCCGGTCGAAACGAATCGATGACGTGTCGACCTCGACCACTCTGATCAAACAAACAGAATGTCACCTTGTACGTGAACGGAAACTTCAGTACTGCATCGTTCGCACCGCGCATCAGAACGAAGAAAAGCGAAAGATGAGTTTGTCGAGCATTCCCATCACCGTTGAGGTATAAGCGAAGTCTCATCTTGTATCCCTCCAGCGACGAATAGAACGGTGGCGAATAGATCGATGTTTGTCTCTCTGATCTTGCATCATCTATAAGTGAACAAACACAATGTGTATCAGATTCATATTCTCTCGTCCACAAAACACTTCTACTTACTCATCTTTTCCTGGAAACCAGTGATCTTCCAGATGAGTGTGCCATCATACGAGACAAATTGGCTATTGCTGATTTTGTCGTTGAGCGATTGCAGGTCTTGATTGAGAACAGCAAAGTTGAGTTTGATGGCATCGAGATGCGATTGTGATTCTTGAACGGATAGTTTGAGTTGTGGCGCATATTCGACTAGTGTCTGCAGTCGAAGTTGCATGTGAAGTGAATCACGAGACAGGCGTTGTTCATCTTTCATCAACGTCTCGATGGTATCGGTCAAAACATCGAGCATGTCTTCGATATCTTGTGGAAGACATGAGATCGAGGCATCACTCTGTTGTTGTCGTTGTGCAATGATTTGCCGGAGAAGTGTGACCGCAGCCTGCTGATGTTGTTCAGACAGGTAGTGCTGTTGTTTTTCATCGCGAGCGATCTAGACGAGTTCAGTCGTTTGTTTATAATAGTAGAGAATGAAGAATGAAAGCGTGCTTACTTGTTGATGACATCCAAACGGTTTGAGGAGACAATCGATAGAGAGTTGGTGGCGTTGTTGACATTGTTGAAGATGATGTTGGTTGAAGTGTTGTAACGATTGGAATGATTGATTGCAGTGTGGACAGATGGGATGTGGATGAAGTAGGGTGAAGTGTTGCTGAAAAGGATATGAGGAGAAAGAGAGAAGGAGAAATGGATATGGAGAACATACCTGATAGTCTCGTAGCTGTCCTGACCAGGAGCATAGGATGCATTCGATGGGTAGTGATTGCATCTCAGTTTTAAAACCTCGATCGATCATTAGCTAACGATTTTGAAATGTATGTGTTCAAGAAGATAGATAACGACGTCTTACCTGATGTGTTCGTGTTTGTGTTTGACATACAGAGCATGTGATTGTTGCTCTAAATATCGAAACTTATGGAGGAATGTGAGGCGATAGAAATAGTTACTGTTGCTCAATCGGAGTGCACGACTGACATTGGCGATGACCACATTCGCTGAGTTGCACAGGATCGTGTATTACCAATGAACACTGAGGGCAAATGTATCCAGGATTGAGTGTACTTATATTTTTGACATTAAAACCTCCCATAGCCTGGAAAAAGTTGAGATGCATAACTGATAGTAGTTGTGGATGGAGGACTGATTAGTATCATAGAAAGTCGATTTGCACAACAGAAATTAGACTACGACAGCAGGATGCACGAAAGCGCAAAATTTTAGTAATTAAAAACATGTACAGGGTGTTTCATAAAAAACAGCCCGATAAGAAATTAAAATATCTTGGCTAGACGGCAACGGAATGAGCAGTTATTTTTACCAGTGCTAGAGGCTTACTTAAAGCTTTTTTTCTCATAAAGAACTCATGAACAAATTATTGTCCTCTATATTAAGATCAATGTCAACAAGGATTTTTTCGTGTTACAGGACCTATAAAATGTTCTGAGGTTACTGAAACGTATTTTCGAAGACTTTTTTCTCTAAATCGTGACATGAAAAGATCGAAAGAAAGTTTATTATATTCATCACTATGAATACAAAGTGAGATTACAGAACAATATAATTCAAACGTTTGAATTGACGTCTATTGACATCAATACAGTTTTGAAGTCTTTCTAGTACTGATTCACGAACTTTCTTGCACAGATCAGAATCTATTGTGGAAAAAACTGAAACAATTGATTTATTTGTCTATAAGAGAGCATAAATAGACGTGAAAAAAGATTACAAAAATATTCAGAAACAATCCTATAGTATTTCATAAGACCTGTAACAAGGAAAATATCTTTGCTGACGTTGGTCTTAATATATAGGACAATAATTTGTTCGTGATTTCCTTATGAAACACCTTCTAGCTATTTGTTTTAGAGATGCACTCATTAGGGAATCAGTCATTTGTATTTTGTGAAAAGGCAGATATTGGCTGATCCCATATAGTGGTCAGTGATTACCTACTCGTTGGTGATGTATCCAATAAACACAAATTACATGATTTCCATTCTGTCTTTTCGATTCTTAATCCTTCTTCGATGTTACGTTTTTTCGAGGTTATAGTCAAAATAGAGCTTGATGATCATACTGGCGAATAGAAGTACGTATCTATACGTTAAATTGAAAGTCACAAACAATATTCGACGTTAACAGTGAAATACTCTGCCAAGTAACAGTCATTACTATTACATATCAAAGTAATGCAGTTACAAGAAGATAGCAAAATGTTTCATTGTACGAGAACCAACTATTATTAAAATATACAACGAAGTGTTCTGTTGGACTGGCTTCAGCACTAATCGTATTTTCCGTTGCTAACTAGAATCTGCCGCTGTTCGTATCCAACCGTCTAGAGAAAAAGTTGCATTCATCTCGGTGCAAATCTCGTGTGTAATTTGAGCGTCACTTACCTATATTGACGATTGAAAACTTGTGAATAACTTCATTGCGCTAGTTTGCGAAAATTTATATACGCCATTCTCTACACGTCATGATGATTCATACTTTTAAAGAATGGGAAAGAAAAGAAAGTAATGGAAAAATCTCGCTTCTGATTCATTGGAAGCCAATAATCTTCTGAATCTTCTTCGCTGTTGTGTTCGTCTGTTTAAACATCAGAAAGTCGCAGAATAAAATATGCCAGCTGTGAAACAGATCACATTGACGTTCATGAATGAAAAATATCAATTCAGGTTAAACTCGCATACATCAACAAAGATAGGTGTGCTCTTTTTATTTCATTTCAAAAACGAGATGGCATCAGTTCTTTCTGATAAGTATAGCTACACACGGATACAAACAAAATTGAGATAAAGGAAATCTACGTTCATTTCATATGAAAACTGAATGATGAAACATTCTTTCGATTCGTGTTTTTTTTTCGTATCTACGTGACAACAGAAAATAAGAGAAGATTTTTGAATCAGCACATAGTGCGTACATCAGAAAATCATCCTGAGACAACAAAATTATAATATAGAAGATAAATGAAGAATTAATATATCAAGAAGAAAAGAAACGAGACATTTTTTTCTACATACGACGATTCGCTTTGTCTAAGCACGTTCGCCACGAATGCGTCGTGCTAATTGAATATCCTTTGGCATAATCTAAAGGTAAATCTCGTTCAGTTATTTTCAAATATTGTCTTGGAAACAGTCTACGTACTGTGACACGTTTGGCATGGATAGCGCACAAGTTCGTGTCTTCGAAGAGTGATACTAAATATGCTTCACTTGCTTCTTGAAGTGCACCAATAGCTGCCGATTGAAAACGTAAATCAGTTTTGAAATCTTGGGCGATTTCACGAACAAGTCGTTGAAATGGTAATTTACGAATGAGTAATTCCGTCGATTTTTGATAACGACGAATTTCACGTAGAGCGACTGTACCAGGACGGAAGCGATGTGGTTTCTTGATGCCGCCTGTGGATGGTGCAGATTTACGTGCTGCTTTTGTAGCTAATTGTTTTCGTGGTGCTTTACCACCAGTTGATTTACGAGCTGTTTGTTTTGTTCGAGCCATTTAAAGCAGAACTTTCTACGATTACGATTACGATTGCGATTAAGAAATGAATAGAGATGTGTTTCTAAAAATAAATTATAGTTATGTTTTGACAAGGTAAAATACTGTCACATAGAGAAAGAAAAACGTACAACTGACAATGACAAAAATATATTGCGAAGAAAAGATGAGAAAGAAAAAGAATGTTCGATGTGCACTTACGTGTTAAAAATATAACAAATGTACCGATTGGTTCGATTCTCCACCAATCAGATCAATTCGTTGAAATATCAGGGATTTTCAACTCACCGAGTACTAATTAAATCATTTCGAGTAATGAGTACTCAAGAAAATACTCAAGTATCGAAATCTACGCCGAGAAAAATATGTATTAAAAAGCTACAAGATGGCTTTGGTTTTAACGTTCGCGGACAAGTAGTTGAGGGTGGGCAGATCAAATCTATACACGGAAAGCTGTATGCGCCACTGCAACACGTCTCAGCGGTTTCTAGTCAGAGCGCAGCTGAACAAGCTGGACTTTGCATTGGGGATAAAATCCTTCAGGTGTAAGTTAGAGAGTCTTGCCTTGTTTGAGTGAATGTTAGTGTTGGTTTTAATGCAGAAATGGTGTCGAAGTCGAAGGTGCATCACACAAACAAGTTGTAGATTTGATTCAGCAGAGCGGTGATGAGCTGCATCTCGTTGGTAAGGAGTAATATGAATTTGTCAAGACATTTCTGATGTTTGACTCTCAGTGATTGGCTCGAACGGTGATGAAAGGCGCATGGGAAGTTCTCTAATCGAACTGTCAAATAGAACTTCTAATGACTACACGGATCGGCGTACGCTAGCAATCACAGTACCGGATTTTAGTGAACTACAGCTCAACGGTGAAAAATTTCACGTAAGTTTACAGGAAAAAAAAAAGAAATTCGTGTCAAAATTGATCCTTGTAGGTATTCAATATTTATCTCGCTGGTCGGTCTCGCTTGAACTACTCTTATTTTCTCAATAGTGTGTCGTTTTTTAGGTCGTCACCTATGCTCAAGGCGTTATCGAGAATTTGATTCATTGCATCAATTATTGAAACACGAGTTTCCAGATTTTCCATTTGAACCCTTACCAAAAAAGTGGCTATTCAAATTATCTGATCAGCAATTAGATGCTAGACGACGTGGCCTTGAACACTACCTTGACAAAAGTAAACAAGAGAATACAAGCTTGTTTATATTACTCATGTTATTATCTACGCATTTAGTTTGTTCTGTCCGGTCCGTTGGTGATAGTGACATAGTAAAAGAATTTTTATTTTCGGATGCTTACGGAGTAGGTTTATGAATATGAACATTGTTCTGTCAGCGATTTCGTTTGATCCATTCTAGTCTGACTCGACTGTGATTGATCTCGAACTTAAAATTAACTTGCCCGATGGAACAGTGTCAAATGTGAAGATTAAACGGTTTTCTTCCGCCGATAAAGCCTACGAAGTAGGGCGCGAAAAGTTCGTTCGTCGTATAGAAGATATCTTTAGATTCTCGTGGAAAAAATTGGCTTGCCAAAACAATGTACACGTTCTTTTTATCTATTCGAAAATCTGGCTTACAATTTCGGTATGTGGCTAATGCTTCCTGTCGTGGTAACATACATGAGATACTCTTTTTCTTATTCAGAACGAAAACTTCACCCACATGAGTTCCCACATCAAATCTATATAAAGAATTGTTGCTCAGCGAATTCGAGTTGTTTATCCTTGCGAAAATTTGTCTTTGCACCGGTGATCGAAAATCAACTCCTGAAGTACCCTTTAGCACGCAAATATCTTTACCAGCAGGTAAGTACATCATGACTCATTCTTCACTTTGGACTCTCACGTCGTTGAAAAGGACTTTCATCACCTTTCATATGATTCTATAGGCCGTCGATCAACTGAATAGTATTGAAAATTCGACGATGGATCATCGTTCAACATTGAAAACATTCGATGAAGTCGAATTTATCAAATATGCTCAAAGTCTGACTGATATTTACAATACAATCACATTTCCTCCGTGTCCATGTAGTTCGCGAAAAAACAACGGACATGTTGTTCTCTCAGTGAATCCTACTCGTCTTCGTCTACACGCATGCACTGACAATGGTCAATTAGATTCGGAACAAATCGCCAATTTTGATTGGTCGACTATCGGACGACATTACCTTGTTGATAAAGGTTTCGCATTTGAATATAAACGTTCGACAATGAAAACAGTTAAACTACAAACGTTATTTGGACAATTTATGTTCGATTGTTTCCAATGTATTCTTCGTGAATTGAAAGAAGTTGCCGAACCGAACTGAGTCATCTCATGGAATCTCATGATTGCTATTACGCATTCCGGTTTAATAAAATTCTCATTCTTCTCAATAAGATAAAACAGTACATTTCTCATCTTTATCATTAGAGAGTTATCGTCGACTTTTTTTTTCTTTTCTTTTCTTGTGTGTTTATGTAACGAATTAGATAAGAACAAAATGAGATTTCTATACGTGTTTATAAAGTTGAGTACAATTTTTCTTTCCATATGCGCATTTAAGATTATACATCTATGACGGTTTTTGTCTTTCATTCGAATAAATAACTCAAACGTAACTAGATATTTGAGTATTTCGAGCCACAATAAACTTCTCGGCGATTCTTTCTAGATGCATTTTTCCATTCCGGACACCACTGAAATCTCCGCTAAGAACAGCAGCAATCAACAAGCCTACACATTGTTTAACATCCATATCAATGGCATTCATTTTTGTAGTGTACGGTATTCGCAATTGCGTACATTCAACGATGAGCTTCAACGTTTGTTTTCGAGCACAATGGCAAGTATTGACCCATTTCCTCCAAAGAAATTCTTCGCTTTATCGGCAAGAGAAACTGAAGAGCGACGGTCATCACTTGAACATTACCTTCAATCGGTTGTTCAAAACCGATTCATCATCACATCATCCTACTTCAAAGAATTCTTTTCCAATGCTCAGAATGAGACGTTCGCCAGTGACTCCAGCGATGCAAATGAAAATCTGAACTTGACTATATGCCTGTTGAATAATCATGAGATTATCATCGAGAATGTTTCGGCCACTGTTACTACATCGCGTTTACTAGATGCTTGTGGAAAGAAAATACAAATCCAACAAGATTTCTTAACTTATTTCGCTTTATACTTCTACGATGTGAAAGATAATCAATTGACTATTATTCGGCCATTGTATGAATTCGAGTCACCATATCTATCATTGAAACAATTGAAGAAGACGCAGCAACAAGCATGTATTGTTTTGAAAAAATCGTACTGGGATTCGGAATTCGATATGAAATTAATCGATGATCGTCGGGCGCGCAATCTTCTCTATGTTCAAGCTCAATATGAAATGGAACAAAGTCAAGATTTATATCCAAGTGATATCTATCGACAATTAGATATTCTTCGTGAGAATAATTCTTTCAAAGATTATATTTTATTGGCACGAACGTCGAAATTCTATGGTCATGTCATCTTAAAACAATGTTCCATACTTTATCCAATCACGGATCCTACTAAACAAAAGCTTTGCCAATGCTTATTGAGCATTGGAAATAACGAATTGATTTGCTGTGTGAAAACCGACGGGAAAAAGAAATCAAAAGAAATTGCATTTAAAGTTACACGTATTCGTTGTTGGAAAGTAAACTGGACGAAGTCAGAGATTAATCTTACCTTCGAATATTTGATTAAAAAAGATCATTTACAGTGGATTACGATTCATACTGAACAAGCAGCTTTAGTAAGCAACTGCTTGCAGAGCATGGTCGATGAAATCTTAGCGAAACGCGCAGGTGCAACCAGTCCGTCATCCACAGCAACAACAAATGAAACGACAGCGACAAGTTCAGAGAAGAATAATGCATCAAAAGTCGGAAACGGATTAATGATTCGAACGGAATCTAATTGGAAACAATTTGGCAATGATGAAATGCTGGATGAAGATAATGATGATGATTTATAAAACATGATAATTATCATTCCATACTATGCAATTATCTGCTCTTTCCGGGTGCTAGTTCTGACGATCAAATATGACGCTTCATCTTTTTTTCTTGTTCCTAGTCAAATTCTTTTTGTTTCACTTGATTACAGAATGTTATTTCTTTGATAAAATATCGATAATATGACTAATTGAAACAATCAGGTCGTTGTTTATTTGCAAATGAAAGTCTATCTGACAATCAGAAAATAGTCCTAGAAAACATTTTTTTTCATATGTGCATCCAATGTATACACGAATTAGTAAGACAAATCGATGACACGACGAGACCATTTTCGAGGAAAAGTTTTTCTTTTGTTATTGATTGTCATTCGTTTACGTTGAGGATTCAAGCTTGCACAATCTTTTTCGATGATGGTTGTTATTAATGAACGGTACTTCTTCCCAAATGTTGTCAAAACTTGGTTCAGTTGCTCTTCATCGTCAGCCATGCTAGAAAAACAGAAGCAAGATAATCAAAGTTGGAATGAATGAGAAAGGCATGTCGATCTTACCTACAAAGATAGCCAAGAAATGAATAATGCGGTCGAGATGAATGATGATGAACGCGTGAATGGGAATTGAGAAATCGACTCATTTCGGGAAATGGATGGTACCCTGTTTCCCATTTACTATTCAATAAAAAAGTAAAGTTATGAGTGCGTTACCTAACACAAAGAAATCTTTGACTTACTGATCATAATCTAAACTGACTGGACTACCCTTTATTGCAATAGAATTAATCATGAGAAGTATTATACAAACACTGGTTAGGTACACAAGCGATTTCATATCTGTTTTTTATCTTTTCTTTTATTTTCAAATGAATGGGATATTAGATAAATATTATGACAATACATCGAGTATAGGTTTGTATATATATATCACATACGATGAAAGAAACAAGGTTCGTTAATAGAAGGAGACATTTTTCGTCAGTAGGCGTTATTACTTCAACGACAGACAGAATGTTAACTATGTTTCCAGCGTGGGTTTCTGTTTATTACTGTACGTTAACTTTCCAGAACAGTTAGAGGCGTTCTCGGCTTTTTTTTGTTCTTTCATAATTTATTTCGTAATTGGCTGTGATACATCCTCAAAGGTTTATCCTGTCAAACATTAGTTAAACGAAAACATATAGGTCCTTCATCGGGGGCGGGAATACTCATTCCGGTATGTCGCATTAGATTAGTATTGGTTAGTATTTGACCGCCCCCGTTTGTAAGATTCAATACATTAGTAGAATTTCGCGCGTGTCGTATTCTAGTTGACGATCGACATGTTGCGGAATTTGGAGAATTCTGTAAAATGCCCGACGTTTTGTAATGAATTGTTGTCATTGATGATAATTTCGTTTTGGCAACTGTTTTTTCACAACATGACGAAAATAGTTCACGAAATTTGAGACGAAACTTATCTACGATAAGAAAAGGAAAACAAACGTATTGAAAAGAAATCTGAGACACCAACAGAGATTTTAATTACCACTCATAATATTGTATATTATTGGATTGATTGATGAATTAAAGTAAGGCAAAAAATGAGAGATCAATGCACTGATCGTGACGATTTTAGTCGTGCCAGTTCGTTCGAGATTAACAACTCTTTGTTCAACACATTCGTCTAGAGTCTCGCCTGTTTCCACTTGTTCCACATAAGCGATATAAGTATAAATATATCTAAATTCATCATGTAGACCAAATTCTTTCTCAGTACAATTTCTTTTCCTACCTGAAAAGATTAAAAACATGAACTGGAATATAGCAAATCGTAAAAATGATGACCACTGATATAAGCATCTTTGCCGCTTTCTGTCGGGTTTCTTGAATGATCACATTCGATGATTTCGTTGAATTACTCATCAGATTATTATTCACTTCATCTAAAATCGAAATCTATGATTGCGTCGCGTTCATACAAAGAATGATTATCAACCTGCATGTGACACGATACTTGAATTTCTATTTCGTCTACCATCGATATTTGTCTGTTCGCTCGGCAATGAACCCCAAAGGACACGTGCTATACCTGTGTACGTATAAACCATCAAACACAGAGGAATAATAAACAAACACAATGAAATGTGTAATTGATAAACAAGATCAAACAACGGATGTGCATCCCATTGACAGCTAAACTAATTAAATGTCAGTAGAAATCGTTTTCAACAGAAGACATTACTATGTTAAATAGATCGTTGATATTCTATCGCCAAATTGCCGACTAAGTGTCATCATAATCGCGTCTAAACAGATCCAAAAAAGCAATTAGATCGATCTAGTCGGTATGCCGAGAAGCGGCCAACCTGGAAGAACAAGTATAATGGAAAGTATCCAAATGGATAGGATGAAAATTCTCGCACGTTGTTTCGTACCGCTGAATTTCAATGGATATACAATCGCTTGATAACGTTCAATTGAAATACCCATTAGTGTAAAAACAGAAACAGATATTGACATATTCTAAAGGAGAAGAGAAAAGAAAAAACATCAACTTTTATTTTTCGGATAATAAAACGATTTTATGATCACAAGAAAAGTGTTATAAAACAGTGCAAAGTCACTTTTATTTCTTAAATTCTACTTTCAAGATCAAGCGCAATGATACTATTGATACTCTTTCTATGCATTCCATCCGTTTTAACGACAACAAATAGTTCATGGGAAAGTGCTCTCATAAATGAACTTCGATATTCACATGAGGGAATAGTGACTGGTCAAAAGGCGACTTTTCGCTTTAAAATTGTCAATTCAACTGCTAAACAGGAATTAGCTATTGACTCGTATTGCTTTTCGACAACGTTCATCGGCGAAGAATTTCACGAAAAACGAACGGACTTTGATGAGATTCCTACGAGTGAATCTGAATATCATGGCGCATTAAAAATGACTGGTTTAGAAGAAGAAGAAGGTAATTATCTCGTATGTGTTATCTTTCGAAATAGTTCAGGTCATGCAATTAGTTCCAGTCGATTCTGCCATGTTATATCTGTAAACGACCGATGCACATTAGAACCACCCAAAGGAGAATTTCATGATGGGCGAATTTTTATTCTACTGCCATTTGTGGTTTTCATCTGGCTCGCTGCGTTTCTCTTCTCGTGCATTCGAGACTACGTGTATCGACCACGAACAATCGACGCGATATTAAAAAGTTTACCAAAACATCATGCCGACAATCTCGAGCAGCTCGCACCTGATGCAGAAAAACGACGTCGACGTAGCACACAACCAGCACTGGGCAAACGTCTACGAGAAGATTCTGTCCTTTCTTTGTCTTGTGATCCCTCAGACAAGGACTATTTCAATTATCATGTAACGAATAATGGACCCTTACAGACTGTTGCTGAAGCCGACGACGAAGAAATGCCTTAATTCTAGAACTATTCTCAAAATCAACAGTGCACTATCCGAAACTGTTTAGTTTTTATTTTTTTTCCACATTCGTTTATTCTGAACATAGTGAAAAAGAACCGCTCCTACCTGAATATAATTAACAAATTTACAAAGAATTAATCCGAAAAACCATGTTTTTGTTACATCTTGAATCACTGTTGCTGGCAGACAGAAAATGAGGACTAGGAGATCGGCAGCAGCTAAATTCATGATAAACATGTTCGTTACTGTTCTAGAAAACAAAGAGAAAACCGATCTTATCATTAATAATTTCTTTCCAGTAACCTCATGCTACGATTCCGTTGAATAACCATAATAACGAGAATGTTACCAATAGTCCCAACGATGAAAAAAATCAAATAGAATACGATACAGATCCATTCGTAGTACGTTGGCACGACGAAATTCAAGATTAACTCGTTCACTCGACTTTCCGTTAGACATGTGCCATTAACATCAATAAAATAACAAGAATTCGTGTTCGTTGAACATGAAGATGATAGATTCATCATTGCAAAACAAGCAGACTAGTCAATTCTAGAACAAAAACTTCGAAGTTGGATCTAATTATCGCGAAATGAAAGTTGATGAAGTATCAGTTTCTCTTCAAACAAGAAACGCAGAAGAGAAGAATCATTTGTTCTATGACGATCTATTAAAAAAAAAGAAATTATTTTGATAAGGACAAATGAAAATAAGTTGCAACTGACTTAAAACTTTGAAAAGAATACTTAAATGTCGTTGTCGAACATATTTGTTCATGGATGTGTTAACAATGAAGTTTCTAATCGTCATCAGTAAGTTTTTCTTTTTGCTTCCATAAAAAATGCGTCTGAGCTGCGTAATTGATCGCAAATAAGATGATTTCTCTCTACTAGCCCGCCTCATCGAACGAACTCTTGACATCGCTTTTATTGAATTTAGCCAGAAATTAGACAATATGCCTGGTAGATAATGCGAACTGAATACTATTAATTTGCCATTGCATTTTCTCACATTCGAAGATAGTATCTTTCATTAAGACCGTTCGCTTGCTCTTATTATCATACTAAATCAGAAAGAGAATGTCAATAATATATAGAGTAATGCTTGCTCTATTTCTTTTAAGATGGATTTAATGAAAAGGTATTGGAATAAGAAAGTTTTTACCCGTTCAGATAGAAAAAGGAAAGAGAATACTTACATCAACCGAGAATTGAATACATTAATTAATAACATATTGCTATTTCTGATTTCATCTTATAATATAATTCATATGTTTCGCTGGTTGTTTCTCTCTCTCTCCAAAATGTAATCCGACTCAGGTCTGTACTTATTAATATATAATCTTTCTCTTTCCTAAAGGAAAAAGAAGACGCTTCTAATTGCACAGAAAATATTTCTTTTTTTGTCGTTCAATGGTAACCGGATGCGTCCTAATTGTATTTCTCATGAAATTCAAAGCAGAAATGAATTATTTGATATAATTGACAAGTGAAATGATATTTATTATAAAAACGCAGAGAGAGAGAGAGAGGCAGAAAAAGAAGAGAGAGAACACAAATTCATCACATTTCTAGACGTATAACCAATCTTGCCATTCAAAAGTATAAACAAATAGAAGATTTATTTCAACGCCGGTTGAGCTGTTGAACCGTGAGCAGTGAACATTCGGCCGTGACTGGATATTGTTAGCTCGGGATGATTCGAGTTTTGAGATGAATGAAAACTAGGCGTTCGATTTGAACCGGCAGTTAATTTTCTGTGCAGAAATAGATCGGTTTTAGCGGATCCGTGTTTGTTCCAACTCACCGGTGACCATTCTGTCCGAATGATATTTGAAATTGACTCTTCTTAGCAGAACTACTTTCAGACATGAAACCTTGACGACGTGGTTCTAAATTGACAAAAAAAAAGAAACCTTAGAATGTGATTTACGTATGCGAGGTAAAAAGCGTCTGTTCAGTCTATTCATAAAAGTCCAAGAACAACTGTCACTGTTACTAATTGTTCTGGACATAAATACGTTAAGATTAATTTCTAGAACATATCATGATAAGCAAGTAGCTTGTAGGTAGGTATGAAAATAGAAATTCAAGCGAGAGAAAATACCAATTCTGGACGAAGTTTGACGAGGGAAAACTAGAAAATAATATTCGCGTTGAGCATGTTCAAATGTGACAAACGGCGAAAGCAAGTAGGAGTAAAAGAACAGCGTCGGAACATGAACCGACCTGGCATTTGATGTATGGTCATTGATTGCGCTCGCGTCACAGTAGTACCAATTGATGGAAGAGTCACGGAGACTAGAGAATACGTTCTAGTCGACCCGCAAAGCTTCTTTCATTCTTATTACTTACCACGATGACTCGAATAAGCTGCTGATGGATTATCAAAATCCGGTCGTGACCGTTCACGAGTCTGTACGGCTTCGCGTGATGCTTTCCAACTGGTTAGAAATTGTCGAGAATTGTCTGTTATTTGTTTACCGTCAAGCATTTCTAAGCATCAATTCAACTTTTTTGATCTCTCATATCAAACGGAAAATGGTTTACCCAAAGTGGTGGATGCAACGATTAATCTTTCGCGATAACGTCCTTTTGAGCAGAGCGGATTCCGATTAGTGTCTAGTCGTTTTAAACGTGGCCATATACTTAATAGTTCAACAAGTTCACGAAGATTTTCCAATCGATTATTGCTTGCAGATAATTCTTGTAGTTTGTCTAGACAACTTAATTCTGTTAACGAATCAAGATTATTGCCACTAACATTGAGAATTTCTAGAAGATATCTCGTGATTAATTACTTGAAATCAATGATCGTATGACTTACCAAGACCTTGAGATAGACAGTGGAGAGTTCGTGGTTCGAAAACGAGCTTTTCGCCTTCAGGTAACCGTTGATTTTCGATATATATCTCTTTAATCTGAAGATTCTTGTCAAGTCCTTCGAGGACTTGAATTTGATTTCCACCAAGGTATAATTTTTGTAATTTTGCACAACAATCAAGATTTTCTAACTTTTGTAAACGATTATTCTGTAGATACAGATGCGTCAGATTTTCCGCGAAGTTTAAATTCTCAATCTTAGTCAGTGCATTGTCATACAGATAAATCACTGTTAACAGACGACAAGGGGGTATGGATTCCTAGAATAGCAAACAGATATATTCGACAGATGAATTAGAAGAATAGAATCGGTTACTATTGAATCGATATTTCGATCTTGAAATGGCAAATGTGTTAGTCGAGCAAGATAATGTTCAACAGATTCATCAGCACGTCGTTTATTATGACCGGGCGTTTGTTTGGCAATTAGTTCCGCTGTGAGTTTCACCATTTTCAAAATATACTCTGAATTCGAAGATAAACAATAAAAGTCTTAGATAGAGTGGAAGAATATTAACATTAGATATCAATCATATGTTTGTTGCGAAGCAACAGCCCTCGTGTAGACGTGAAAATCTCATGCAAATTTGAGTCTAATGTTCAAAAATGATGTTGTCTAGTTTCCCTAGGCAATTCTACCATCATTTGGAAAGAACAGATCCATGACGATAGGAAACAAGAGAGTAGTGGCATCTATTGTTTTGATTCGTGTAGTGAACGAACGAATTACAGTTCTCGATAGTTTTTGAATACTATCATTATCGAATCGAACTGAAGTGCTTCGAGCGTATATTGAAAATGTCGGTCGAAGAGAGTGAAGATTTTACAATTCTTCCAAATTTTCTCAATGAGAATGCTACTTCGAAGAAGAAAAAAGCTCTCTATCGTCTACCCGAATGGATGTCATCTTTGGCGAAACGATTTGATGGTGGACAAATTCAACCTGAGACAAGTATTCCCATTCAACAACTCGACTATCTCGATGAAGATCTTCGTTCGATTCTAATAAACAATCTTGCCATTCAGCATCTTTTTCCTGTTCAATCACAAGTTATACCTTATTTAATTGAACAAAATCGTTCACATTCACCTCTTCCACCATCGGATATCTGTGTTGCTTCACCGACAGGTAGCGGTAAAACACTGACATATGTTATTCCACTTGTGCAATGTATTCGTCCGCGTGTTGTTCGTGCGATTCGTGTCATCATCCTCCTACCGGTGCAAGATTTAGCTGAACAGGTTTATCAAGTAGTTAATCAACTAGGAAGTAAACTACAATTGAAAACAGCTCTACTTGCTGGCCAACACTCGTTTGAAGATGAGCAAAAGCTTCTCGTTCAAAAGCAATTAAACGGAAGTAAGGCAAATATTTTTGTGTCAACTTAAATCGTCTTTCTCTTATTAAAGATTGGACATCACCCATCGACATTGTGGTTTGCACACCTGGTCGGTTAGTTGAACACATAAGTCGAACAGTTGGGCTTTCCTTGACTCAACTTCGTTATCTGGTTATCGATGAAGCCGATCGTATCATCGACGAATTCAAACAAGACTGGTTGAATATTCTCGATCAAGCTGTTGGCTTATCAAGTCAAAACAAACATGATTTTCAACCATACATGCTCAGTCAGTCCTCATCAACTAAGAAAACTTACCAAAAATTACTCTTCTCAGCAACATTAACACACAATCCCGAAATCTTACAACAACTCAATTTATTTCATCCAGTTCTGTTTTCGTCTTTGTCTTCAGCGTCATCTATCGCAATGCCAACAACCTTACGTGAAAATTTCGTTGTTTGCTCAATAACATACAAACCATTGATTGTTGCCTACCTGATTCAGCAGGAATTACAAACCGAGAAGATCATGATTTTCGTTCATTCGAAGAAAGATGTCGATCGTTTGTGTTCATTATTGAAATTACTTCTACCAAATCATACGAGAAAAGTGAATTACATATCGCGAAGTTTACCATCGAATAAGATTCAAACGCGGTTGACCATGTTTCAACAAGGACAAATACAAATTCTTGTTTGTTCAGATGTTCTCGCGTAAGTATTTATTAAATCGATTCGATTGAATATTCTATGCAAGAGCACGAATATATGTTTTAGGCGTGGTATTGATATTCCGAATATTAACTGCGTAATTCTGTATGACTTGCCGAAGAATATCCGAACGTACACTCACCGAATTGGTCGAACAGCTCGTGCTGGTAAGGCGGGTCGCTCAATAACAATTGTCGAAAAAGAACGTTTACAAATGTTTCGTATGTCGATTAAAACGTATCGACGAAATAAGTTGAAACATATGGATGTTAAGAAAGAAAATTTTGCTTTTATGTTAACTGATTATCAAAATGCGTTGGAAACCTTCTCAGCGAAAGAACAGAAGAAGAAATTAAAGCAAAAGAAATAATTGTTTTGTTTTGTTTTGTGTTTCAGATTTCCTAATTTCTACAGTCCGATTTATCTTAGATATTTTTTAATCAGAAAATGAGTTCAACAGAAGGTATGCGACAAAATTTCGATCGAGTCCTTCGATGTCTATTTTTTTGCTTTCAGATAAACCTTCCATCGATCCATGTTCCGGATGTGAAATGCCTTGTTCGAAACATGCAACGTATCCACCTGAGATCTGTCAAGAAATCGACCATGGTAGCATGGTCGGTTCGGTAGATAAACATCGCCGGCATCTATGCATTGGTCAATCGGTTCCAGCATCTCAATGGCCAAAGGATGTTAAAGATCTTCAAGGCGATTACATTGCTGAACTGTCACGAGTCTTGAAAGAAAAGAAGGCTTCCATCGGGTATGCCGTGAAATTAACATCCGCATCTGTTGTAACAACAACAAGTGATGATCCATCACATTCGGCTGACTGGTACATATTTCCCGATCAAATCAAAATTTCGAACATTAATATCGAACAAATCGAGCAAGTGATTCAAACGATCTTTGTCGATGACCAATCGGTGATTAAAATCAAAGATCAGACGAAATCGATTGAAGAACAACTCAAGGAAGATAGCAATTTGCCAACATTCGATGATAATATCAAATGTGAAAGATTGCATGGACTTTGGTTACTTGTTTGTTGCCATTATCAACGTGATCAACGCTGTGGTAGGTTTAACAGGAATAGCTAATTGATTGTGTTGAAGAATGTCATGTAAATAAACGCTGAAAAGTGATTAGTGTTTGTCAGCAAAGAAAATTTACTGAGCTAACTATCTCGAGGGTAATTATACCACGCCATTGAGTCTTCCAACCGTCAGGAGCGTCGAAGTCAAATAACTTAATGTCAATGAGTGTAAAATGACACTAATTGAATAAATAAGATAAGAACTAGATCATGTTTTTCTCTCTATTTTTCCTCTTCAGGAGTCATTGGTCCAATGCTAATTGACGAGATTGAAAAGTATGCTCGAGAAACTGATCGCACGGATAACGTTCATTGGCTCAAGATCAGTCATATTGGTAAGTGTTTATCATATGTAATTATCTGATTAGTAAAGATTAGATAAGAAGTTTTCTATTCAAATTCTTTGTTTTTCATTGAGGTGGACACAAATTTGCTGGTAATGTTATTGTCTATCCATCGGGAACATGGTATGGACGTGTTTTGACATGCCATATTCCCTTATTAATCGATGCGTACGCATCATCCTCGGAAGAATTGAAAAACAAATTGAAACCATTATATCGCGGCCATTTGGATACGACTTGGTAACGAGAAATCAAATGCGCATTAGCAAAAGATGATTTTTCCCTGTATGTTTAATATCTAGTCGGAAATAGAAGTTTTGAATGACATTATTTTCGTGATTGATTTAAACCTGTTTCTAATATTTTCTCTGCTTCTATTGTTTGTGCGTCATTGACTTGATCTTTAATCGTCGAAGAAAAGAAAAGAAGTTTGCTGACAAAAGAAGAGGAGAAAAAGATTGCGTTTCTCCCTTATTTTCTTTGTAAACATTTTTTCTCTCGTGCTCCAAATTATCTAAATAAAGTCATTAATAAAAATGAACCAGAGCTACGCAACTGTCTCGTGCTTGAGCCGATTTCCGCTTCACATATCAGCGACAATAGTATTCGTATGAACACAAAGGATCCAATGTCTACTTACCAACAAATTTGTTGATGCTTGAACGTTCTTGAAGAAAAACAGGTACTCGTACGCAAGTATGTCAAAAGTAAATGAGAGTAAGCGAAGTCATGTTTATTGATGACAAACAGATTTGCTCGATTGCAATGGAAATGTTATGAAATGCTCGAAGTGATTGATATTTTTTTTTCTCTTTCAACTAATGTCATCATTATTCATATACTTCTTAAGTTTATCTCCATAGGGAGATGACAACAGGAAATAATTAGGATACTTCGAATTCATCATGTTTGTAACTCGCAAAGAGAAATCGATTTAAACATATGGAATTGATTTCGAGTTGTTATTAAATCTGATGACAATTTGCTTTCTTTTTCCTCGTAGTTTTTCCTTCTTCTTCTTCTTCTTCTTCTTTTTTCTTCTCCGATATCATTGATCATTTTTCTCTTTCATAGTCGTAGACATTGCACTTATTGTCGCTGCTCCACTAAGAACACACAAATATAAATCATATTTATTCGAAGATTACTAACAGAATTATCGTAATTGTTCACTCGTCTATACCATGTAAGAACTGGCAAAGTGAATTAGCGATTCGATGATATTTCACCCAAATGAAAATGATCACTGATCGATATATTTATGTTTGCTTTTGTTTATTCATTTATTTTCCATGGTCGAGCCGTTCCGAGCACGATTTTAATATCATCGGCGAAGAAACGCGTCTAATTCGAATGTTATTAAATGAGAAGAATTATCTGAAAAAAGTACGTCCTTCGAATACCGTCATCGTCGATATTCGATTCGTTTTCAACCAAATTGTTTCCATGGTTGAAAAAGAACAAATTATTGTTAGTAATTGCTTTGTAGATCAAAAATGGACAGGTAATTCGAAGCAGAAAAGTAATCCGATGGATAAGCTTTCATTTACATAGATTCTCGACTTGTTTGGAATCCATTAGAATATAAAAATGTTACTTGGATTCGATTACCGGCCACATCTGTTTGGTATGACGAGAGGGAAAGAATATCTGCGAGATAACCGTCGCACATTGATTTTAGGTATCCGGACACGTTTTTGTATAACACAGCGGATAATGCAGGTTTTCTTCTTCCACATGATTCGCAGAATGTGATTGTTAGTCATAATGGTACTGTCTTCTGGCCGTTACCATTGGCCCAACTTCGTACAAGATGTCGAATGACGATCAAACATTTTCCGTTCGGTACACATATATTATTTAAATTTATTTTTCAGTCAATTTTCGAGAGAAATCGTACTCAAATAAGATTTTTTCATTAAAGCTCTTGCATGATAGAAAAGAAATATTTTCACTAGTCATACTTATGTTCTAGTAGCAATCTCTATTAGTTGTCAGGCGATTGATCAATGATTAACATGAAGAAAACTTGTCAGACCGTACGGAGTTCCGCTGGGAATTAAGTATGCCTTATTCGACTGAGAGAAAAAACTCTGACATCGACTGTTTTCACTAATGATAATCGATTGTTTACTTTTGTTCTTCCTACACATAGATGAGCAATCGTGTGATATGATATTCGGGTCATGGAGTCATACGAGTTCACTGATTCATTATCGGTTCTGGGAAAAAATTCCCGAATTACCGCAATATACGCCCAATAATGAATGGAGATTATTAGCTGTTTCACAGTCCATTCGACAGATCGACTATCCGAACTGGGTGGAACCGGATACATTTTTCGAGATTAACTTCACAATTCTGATCGTTCGAAAGCCTTTGCAAGCTATTTATAACACTGTTGTGCCGGCACTAATGCTAACAACGTTAACATTAGTTTCATTTTTTGTAAGTCTTCGCTTGGCAATCTGATGAAATAGAATCCTCTTTATTCTCTTTCTCTATTAGATTCCTTTTGGTCAAGAGATGCAAATCGGTAAGTTTTGTACAAATTACAATTCTCAGCATTGTCTATTCTATTTAGGCATTAGCATTATGTTGGCCTACTCCGTATTTAGTTTACGCCTTTCAGAAGATGTTCCATCACAAAGCGATAGTGTGCATTTGATCAGTTTGTATTTAACAATTTGTATGTTATTTTCACTTTCGGCTATGACATGGTTTGCTATGGTTAATAAACTACGTGAAAAGAAACGTTTACCCTATTGGTTGCGTTGGTTAGCACTCAATTATATTTCCGCGATCGTTTGTGCGCAAAATATGCATCGAAAAGCCGTTCGTGTGGCGCATCAATCATCAAAAACACCTTCTACTAATCCATCCTCGCCATCCGTGAGTGTTCCTTTACAACCATTACTATCACCGAATCCAACGGAGAGTGCTAATCATATCTATCATGAACGCTCGTCACATGTGTGCCGTCCGTCTGCAACAAGTGTTCGGCAACCGCACGATACAAGTCCTTCGTCACCCGTCTGGGTTCGCCGACCGCTAATAGCTAATCCTTCGACCGAACTCAATGGATCTGAGAGTAAAAAAATGAAAAATTCCTTTCGACAATCGAAGAAAACCAAAGACTCATCAGCATCGAAAAATCAAGAAAGTTTATACGCTATTTGTATAATTAATCGACTAGTGTTTCTCCTATTCTTCTTATTTGTCGTTATTTTCAATATTTACACATGGTTTTTCTATTCTCGTGCGTTAAAAACGAAATTACTCGATAATGCAACACTATGGACGTGTTTTGATGAATCCCGTTTGACAGTTGTCAGTTGTAATGAAACGATTTAATGAGAGCAAATCATGTATGAAATTCTAGTTTTGAAATAATATATTTTGTAAAGTTATAAAAATCTTCGTCCTATCAAATGATTCACTATTGACAGAATCTAGACGATCAGTAGAAGGAGAAAAAAAACAAAATATTTGTTTTAAACACAAAAAAAAGTATAGGGCAATGAAATGGGTTTATATAATACTTATCACATACGAGAACATAAAAACACACTAGACTTCGTAAGATTTGACATGAGGGTATGAGCTTTTCGTTACAAGATATTAATTAATAGCTACTTGAATATTCAATCAACATTATTGACATATACGACGATATATGAAAAACGAAATGTCAATATCTTCCTTCCTTTAAATGTCTATTACAGATCAGATTTCTCATCTCTACTGCAAGATCGTTCGTGACAAGCATTTGTCGAAGAAAAACAGCGGAGAACACACCTGAAAATATGCATAAGTTTTTTATTTTTCGTAGAGAGAAAGAATTCGATGTATGTCATTAGAGAAGCGAACAAAGTATTAGTAAACCGAAAAATAAGAAATCACAACCACAACTTGCCATTTTGCCATTCGTCTTTTTCTTCATCCTACTCAATATGGCGTTGTTTTTGTCTATTTTATATGGCGTCAGTGCAAAGGGGATTTTTTTTTATTGATAGAGCGACAGCATTAGTTATAAAGAAGAAAAAACACAAGGAGAGAGAGAGGGTGAAAGGGAGGAAAAAATAATATATTTCAGCTTGCGGTAGAAATAGTAGAGAGTAAGCAACGAAAATGTTGTCGATAGTTTTACTTGCCACAAAGTTGTTCTACTCGACAGACGTGTTTAAATTCTAATCGGAGAAAATATTTTCGTATTTGTTTCGTGCTTTTAGTTTTCGTTCACTACTCTGTTTTGTATTCAATTGAAAAATATGTACTCCCATTACGAACAACGACAAGAAAGAACTTCGCATGAATATGACCGAGTTGGCGATTCGTACGATAGTACAGCATCAGGAGGAACAACAACATCAACTTATCGAACAGCGATTACGCCGCGTGTCATCAATATTTCCCAACGACCACGGCAATCGGCCTTTGGGGGATCCGGTGGTGGTGTTATGACACGGGTATATCAGAGCATTCAATCGGGTGGCTCTGGTTCATTTGGCCCTGGCCTTGCTTCATTAGCCAACTTTCCCGGTGTACCAATGCGTGGCTCGGGCACAAGTACAGCTTTAGTTGGTTTTAATGCTACACGTCAACGTGAAAAACGCGATTTGGAACAATTGAATGATAAGTTTGCACAATACGTGGAAAAAGTGCGATTTTTAGAAGCACAGAATAAAAAACTAGGCTTAGAACTTGATGAATTACGTAAACGTTCCGGGCAGTAAGTAAAATACATCGCGTATGAGAAGAAAATACGATTCATTTTGCAGAGGTTCATCGCGTATCAAGGAAATGTACGACATTGAAATTGACGAAGCCAACAGATTGATTGCTGCAACCAAGAAAGATGCTGCTGATGCCAATGGTAAGACTCAACAAGCTGAACAGGAACTCAAACGACAAAAAGCCCGATACAACGACGTATCTGGTGCACGAGAAGCCGACCGAAAAGAGGTTGATGCTCTCCAACGACAAATCGCTGAGAATGAAGCAGTAGGACATTTGCCATTTCTACTACATTGTTCTTACCGGTTCATTTAGCAAATCAACTTATTTCGTCGTCGTATGGCTGATCTTGAAGATGAAGCACGCCGGTACAAAGGTGAAGGTCAAAGATTAGGCGCAGAAATTTCTCGTCTTCAAAATGAGATTCAAAACCAGAGATTTCTGAAATCATCATGCGAAGTCGAAAAATTAGCTCTCGAGGACGAATTAACGTCATTGAAACATACGCGTAAGTTCTTCTTGTTCTTAATCTGATTTCAATTAAATGGAATTCTCTGCAGATGAAACTGTTCTGGCTGACCTTCGCTCGAAAAGTGTTTCGAATGATCTCGATCCCTCACAGTTCTTTCGTAATGAACTGGCGCAAGCCATTCGTGAGATTCGTAATGATTATGAAAATGTGGTCGAGAATCAACGAAATGATATGCAAAATCGCTACTCATTGCTGTACAATGAACTTGTCATTCGTCAACAGCGACCTGACGGAAATATTCAAAACGAGCAACAACGACGACAGGAAGAACGCTTGCGCTCAGAAATTTCTCAAACTCAAACTCAACACGGTTACCTTCGTGCTGAAAACGAAAACATGAAAAATCGTATTGGAGAGTTACAACGAAAATTGAATCTAGCACGTGAAGAGGCTAGCGCAGCACAAGCCAAACGTGATCGAGATCTTGAAGAAACACGTCGCCGATTAGAACGAGCTAATAACGACTTCAATGAAGTCTCCAATTTGAAAACTTCACTAGAAAAAGAAATTAGCACATATCGAGAATTACTTGAAAGTAAGCGATCACTTCCGCTTGTATAAAAAAATCAGCGTTGCTCTTAAACTCTAGGTCAAAACGGTTTACGTGGCTATGTTGATCGAATTGTACAAAGCGCTGAACAACAAGCACTTGATCGCCCATCCAGTGCACGACCTATTACAGGAGGTTCGACAAGCATCACCCGCACTCACATCAATACTATTGGATCAAACTACAGTTCAGGAAGTGCAGGAAGCTTTGGTGGAATCAATAGTTTGGCCTCTCAATCCCTTCGACCATCTTCGGCAGGCTATCAAACGATTTCAAGTGGTATTCGAACTACCTTACGTGACAGTGCTTTTAGTGATGCTCATACACGCAACAGTGGTGACTTCTAAACGATCCGTCAGCATCCATTCAATGGGAATAAAAAACATTCAGACTCATATATGCAGTCAATCATGTGTTTTTTTCTTATTTTTTTTTGTGATATAACTTATAAGACTTACATATTTTGGAAAATGAAATCAAATATCTATGTAGTGATATTAGCTGTCTTCACAATCTATGGGATGACCGGTAATAGTAAACGACGAACTCAGCTGAAACGTTAATTGTTCATCTCTCCGTGCTTCATTCCAATCACTTGATTATTTTACCTACCGTATATGACAACAATCATCTGTCATAAAAGCACATCTTCTCTATCTTGTCTATTAATCAGATGCATCATTTCAGTTAATCCAATTGTTTCTCTCGTTTTCCACGTGTGACATTCGAGCGAAAGCAGCTCTACGTCGTAACTCAGACGATTACATCACTTGAATGTGTTGATAAAACCCAATTGTTTTCTGCCAGAGATTTTTCCCGTTTTTCACTTATCAGACACAAAATCATCCATTGTCATGATCATCATCTGTTTTCAATCCAATTGATGAAAAATGACAAAAAAAAGAATAGTTTAATTGAAAACAAATCTAACAAGTTCCTGTCACACATTTCACTTAATTTGTTAAGTGGCAAAGTTAAACAGACGAAACAACGAAATCGATATCCGTTGGAAAATATAGATCAGAAGAGAAAGACAACAACGATGATTTCATAGAAAAGGAAAGTCATGAGACGTACTACGACGAAGTTTACATGTGAAACTAAAGAAGAAAAACGCGAATCGCACGTGTTGTGAGCATTCTCTCTTCGTCTTTCGTCTTCGTCGTTTTCTTCTCATCAGCTGTTTTCAAACTTTTCATTCCAACGATTATTTTTCTCCTTCTTAATTGATTTTTTCTTCAAACTAATGATCTGTCATCAATTATTCTTCTCCTTCTCCTTCCAATACGAATATTAGTTTTCATCTTCAATTCAACCAATTGAACATTTTCTTTGAATAGAGAGAAGGATACAGAGAGAAAGACAGAGAGAGAGAGAAAGGAAGAAAACGACAGATAAATTGAAGATTTGAAAACGACAAACGATCATTTTCTTCCTTCATTACGTCACTCACGTATATATTCATCTTTTTTTTTTTATCAGTGTTCATTCATACATTGACTAACATGATTCGTATCAAACAAGATCCTGACGCCTTGGATTTAACCAATCGTCCACAACATCTCCTTTCGCCAACAATTGAGCATGACGATGATGAAGAAGATAATTTCTCTGGCGAAGATGATCTACACGATTGTATTCGCAAAGTAAGACCAGCATTAACGGAAAGAAAACCGTTGCTATGTTTGTAATTTCACTTTTTCCCAGAAAACAACGTACGATAGCGGTTTCGTCGATACAAGCGATGAGAATAACAACACTTCAATTATGATGAAACAGGGTAGGTTGAACTATTTAATGAGTGATATTGAATATCCTCCATAGGAAGAATTCATTTCGATGTCCCATCTTGTATCTATTTCTACACCTCAAGCAAGAAAAATTTCTCGTCAGTAGGAGGTCTCATGGATAGATAATTGCTCGAATGAATAGGAACAATATTGTCTCGAATACGAACACCTTGCTCGTGATCATTTCAAGCCTCGAGGTGATTTTCATTTGTCTTCGTGTTTTATAGAAGGAAATCATCATCATTATCATAGTACTCCACTACGTCCTCAACAGATTCATGCACATATTCGTCATCCGAGCACGAGTAGTAGTACATGTTCATCAGCAACACCTCAAGAACAATCGAATGATAAAGAATGTCGAAATACACGGTAAGAGACAGTGTATTCACATTAAATAGAGGTGATGTGCAAAAAATATTTTTCTTGATTAGATTTTTGGGCAGTCGAGCGGTTGCTGTGTTGAATCATTGGTTTCAATTGAATCGTGATTATCCATATCCAGATGATGAACGCACGGACCAATTAGCCAATGAAGCTGGTAAGTGTAGCTCATTCGGAAGAGAACTTCTTACTGATCGGCGTTGGTATTTAGGTATCACACAAAAACAGGTTAAGAAATGGTTTGCAAACAAACGTGTACGTAGTCAAATGTGTTACAAGCCATTGTATCGATCTCGAAAGGTGAAGAGTTCAGTACCGAGTACAGTTCCAACACAACTTCCCCAAACCAACTTTAATTACATCATCAATCACAATAATATTGCAACACCTTCACCAAATTTTCCACCTTTGCCGCCACCGCCAGCTCCAGCGAATCCAATGCTGTTCAATCCGATGGCAACGTCAATGATGATGTTTATGATGCAACAGCACTTTATGTCAACAATGATGGCTACTGGACTTCCTCAGATCCCAATCCCAGCCCCAACACCAACGCCAGCCACAATAATTCCGACGCCAGAGTCTTCGAAGACTGTACGCAAGCCAAATGCTGATCGAATTACTCGCTTTTGGTTGTAAATGACTGATGAAAGAACGTCATGAGATCGGACACTATCGAAACGATTGTAGAGTTGCTATGTTCGTGTGCAATGAAATGCTTCTTCGTTTTCTTTGCTTCTATATTTTGTTTTGTTTTTCTTTTGTTATGCATTGCAACGATTTGTGTGTGAGTGAGTGTATTTTTCGGCGCTTTTTATCTATTAAACTACGAAAAAACGTACGAAATGTCTTTATCTCTGATTGAGTAGTCGATGCCAAAAAAAGTTCTGAAAGCGAGAAATAGTTCCATTGATTTTTGAAAGTAGGTTGAACGAAGTGCCCGTTATGAGTTACTAACTGGAGTATGTTTATTTGGTGTTAATCGAGACAAACATTCGATCGAAAAGATAAAAGGAATGTTCATATTGCACACATGGAGGGATGCACTATTTCGTTTCTTCTCAAGAGAACTATCATTTTCTTTGATGTCTTGCCTATGCTATCCACTAGTCTATCCACTTTGTCGTTCGATTCCAATCGATATGTCATTTCCCACTATGATTCAATTAATATTACCTGTATTCATACGGCAAGTCATCTCTATTTGCAAATATATACAAGCATGAAACAGGCCGCTTCTCTCTATGACGTCTATTGTTCGCACGTATGCTATCCGTTGCTCGTCTCATGAATGTGTGCAGCAATTATCCAATAGCCGACCTTCGTTTCTCACCTGAAGGGTAGATTATCTGTCGATCTGATCTTCATTAGTGTGATATCGTGTAAAAGAGCATAAATGCCGGAAATATGTTCGATTTAGATTCATATCTACAGCAACGATGTAAGAGAAGAAACAGGTATAAATGCTGCAAAAAATGATATTTTTGGCGAAACAAAGTAGAAACAGGTATTTTCATCAATAGATGAAGCACGAGAAAGGTATTTTATCTAATTGATCGATTGTTTTTAATCGCTGATGTAACGATTTAACGAGCTGTCTTTTGCGCAGTAATTGATGACATGAAACGTCTTATGAAACGTTAATTGAGCAAATTGAGAAAAGGTAGAATAGTTCAATTATTTGTGTTATCTTTCATAGAACAGACGTTTTATTTAAGTTTCCTTTGCACTAATCTGTAGTAACGTCCGCCACGTGCTAATAATTCAACATGAGTCCCGTGTTCGACGATGATTCCATTATGCATAACGTAGATCACATCGTAGTTTTGTATAGTGGACAAGCGATGAGCAATGATAATCGATGTTCGATTTTTCTGTGCACGCTCTAACGCCTCCTGAACAATCTTTTCGGATTCCGGAGTAATGCTCGTGCAATAGCTGCGAATTACAAACATCGCAGGATCGTATTTTTTCTATCGTACAGAACTGCCTTACCGATTCATTGTTTCTGTCCACCCGATAAGCGAAGACCTTTCGCACCACAAATTGTTTCATATGCCTAGAACAGGAAAATAGTGTATACGAATGTATTCGACCAAGGAGTTCATTACATCGGGAAGCAGTTGAATAAAATCGTGAGTGTTGGCAGTTTTGGCTACTTCAATGATTTCATCCAGTGGAATATCTTTGCGATTGTTATCACCATACGCAATATTTTCACGAATAGATATGTTGAGAAGGACGAGCTCTTGTGAAACAATTCCAACTAAATCAAGAACAACGAGAAATTGTAAATAGATGATGTGCATAGTTGCTTCTACTTTGTGATCGATACCATTGCAAATTAAGACTTCGAATATCTTGTGAATCAATAAGCTAAAAGTTTCATTTCATGTGAAGTAGATAAGTAGGAAAAACGGATCTTGTACACATACTATTTGACCAATAGTTGGGTCATAAAACCGTTCAATTAACTGAATTGCTGTCGATTTACCGGAACCCGAGGAGCCTTTAATGACAAAATAGAACATTCGTAGCATCAATGGTAACAAATTCGATCGTACATACCGACAAGTGCGACTGTTTGGCCTACAACAAACAGAATGTCTTATGGGGTAGGAAGACAGATAGATAGATAGACTTACCTGATTCAATAGTGAAATTAAATTTTTTCAGCACGATTGATTCTGTTCGAGTCGGATATACAAAATAAACATCTTTAAAGCCTAGTTGACCAGTGTAGTTTGACTGTTGACAAAGAACAACGTTATATTCTGCGAATATGATGTATATTAACGTACGATTTTATCTCCATCATTAGACTGATTCTTGATTGTAGGCTTTCGCTTTATTAGGTTGAATATATTTCTAGCAGATCTGATACTTTTGCCATAATTTGGAACTCTATATCAAACTATGTTCTTAATCACACAAAATCATATACGAATACTCACGATACAAAGGCATAAAGAGCTGCTTGGCTCATGAATATCAGGAATTGCATAAACCTAGAGATAGAATTTCGTTTCATGTAGAAGCTTCTAGCCATTCGCCATGTTTTGTCTTACAGAACTGCGGTTAAATCCGTTATGATATTGTCATTAACAAGTGTGACACCGAGAGAATATATGGCTGCTGCAGAAAACATAGACGATGTGAGCATTAGCGAAGATAGTAGACTTGTTATATGTATTTGTTTCTGTGATGATCTGCAGCAAAGAATGTGATTGCGAAAACGAATAGTCCGTAACTACTTGTAGAGAATGGCAAGTAATCGACAATATTCGTTGTAAAAATGTTCCTCTTTGGTCAATTGAACCACTGTCCGAATATTTTGTATGACTTCTACAGTCAGCTATCCGATTTAAAAGGCACATAGATGCAAATTAAGACATTTCTATTGCTATAAGAGAAATTACTTTCGTACCTTTCCAGCATCTTCAAGAACGTTCTTCTGCCGATTGACAAACCGTTCTGTTACATGTATTTGTCCATAAATTGCAAGAACGATGATGGGAAGGAACGCGCTGTTAAGTAATGCTAACTGCCATGAATAGGCGAATCCAGTAATAGTACACGTGACGAAAAGAGCTAAATTTTGTACAATAGAGCCCAATTCAACACTGGTGATATTTTGAATTATCGACACATCCGTAGTCAGGATAGTACATAGTGCTCCTGTACTGTGTTTGACATCGTCGAAAAATCCAATATCTTGACAGAGGATAGCATCAAACGTTTTCGAACGAAGACGTTGAGTAATCTTGCTTCCAGAATGTGCAAACATGCAAGCCTTAAGTATAGTCAAGCTCGACAATATATAGTCACCGCTTCAATACAAACCCGAACTAATTGACACATCGAATAAATAATCGAGCAGCCGACAATGATAAGAGCATACTTCACAATGGCTCGCTTCTGTCTGTCACGATCGCATTCTTGAAAGGACTGAGAAATAAATTAAAACAAAATAATGTACGAACAGTCCGTTCCAAGAAACATGATAGCGACTATAAGCACTTACCGTCATCATTTTTGTTTGTAGAGCGGAAATAAATACATCTGCTGCACCAATAATCACCGACATAGCACACCCAATACCCATGACTATCCATTCCGGTTTACTTATCCGTAGAATATCCATTATTGGATTACTTTGTTTTGCCTAGAAAATATCGATAGTTCAAAAAAGCACATGAAAACAATTCCCATTTAGACAGTCACCTTCCTATTTTTAACTTTGGTATCTACTTGTGCATCGTTCTGACGTATTACTGTACTTTCTTTTCTATACAGTTTGTCCAGTATGGATGGTGTCGTGCTAATCACCGTTGAACTCCTCTCTCTCGATACGTCTAAATGCGATTGGTCTGAAAGCAACTGCCTTTTCATTTCTTCTTGTTCAAATGTCAACTCCTCATCTTGTCCAGCTTGGTGGATGAGTTGCTGTTGAACAAGATCAAAATAAACACCCTTGGCTCTTGTTAATGATTCATGGTTGCCCTCTTCAGTTATTTCTCCCCTTTTTAGCACAATGATATGGTCAGCATGACGAATCGTTGATAAACGATGTGCTATGATGATAGTTGTTCGACCTATGCGGACAGAAACAAACGTGTACACCTACACAATTCTCATCAACAAGGAAAAAATAACCACCTTGTGCAGCACGATCCAGGGCATCTTGAACAATCGTTTCACTTTCATTATCAAGTGCACTTGTCGCTATGATGGTATACCAGAGGCTACTATCATCAATTATATGACTAGACATACCTTCGTCGAGAAGTAAGATTTTGGGATTTCGAAGAAGTGCTCTAGCAATGGCTGAAAGCATTTGAAGGGAGAGACAGTTTCTTTTTCTGTTTTATAGCAGAACTATGGTGATTTTACTAACCGATTCTTTGTTTTTGTCCACCTGATAACGCTGCTCCACGTTCTCCAACTTGAGTCTCATATTTCTATGAAAAAAAAATAAACAGTAGAGTGACTAAAAGGAATTTGCATTCATACATCTGGTAAACACATTATAAAATCATGTGCATTTGCTACTTTAGCTGCTTGATAAATTTCTTCATTAGTAGCTGAATCAATTCCAAAAAGAATATTTTCTCGAATAGTTGTATGAAACAGAACAGGCTCTTGGCTAACAACACCGATTTGTTGTCGTAGCCATCTGCGATCATATTCATTGATTTGTATGCCATCGATAAGTATCTCACCTAAATCTACTTCATAGAAATTCTGCAGTAATTGTACACATGTTGACTTTCCTGATCCAGACGATCCTACAACAGCAACGGTTTGACCGCATTTGACCTGAAATGACAGATTGTTCAAAGCTGCCACGTTTCGTCGAGTTGGATAAGAAAAAAAGACATTGACAAAATCAATATCACCGACGAGATTACTTGATTGCTTGCCAACTTTTTGTGTCTCATTTCTCCTCGACTGAAAAACGATATGCAAATATTTTTCATTCGAAGGCGTGAGTTGATTTACTTCATTGATCGTCTTCTCAATGTTTGAAGCAGCAGCTAGTGCTTCAACAACTGCTTGAAAATATGGGCCAACAGTTTTAATAGAAAAGATGCAAGTTGAAAGAGTCGCAAAAGTCTAGTAAAACCAGCTTGCGTTCATCGCAAACAATATTTATAACGTGAACTTGATGCTTACCGTACATATATTTGCAAGAGTGACGCCGCCTTCTCGGATGCGTTTATTTCCATACCAAAAGCCTACAGCGTTCAAAAGACAATCGAAATTATATGACGAACAATTGCAAATACCGAACGCCATTATATTCCAGACAAGACAGGTGCAAATGCTGAATACCAAACCATTGGAGATATCTTTTCTGACACTAGATTTTCGAGCTGTATCAACGTGTTGTTCATATCTAAATGGAATATATAGTGACATTCAGTGTTGAGTAATATCAGCGAACCGTTGCATTTCTTTTTTTTTTGTCCGTTGTAAGAGAAAACCGTTCGAATTGAACTGAGAACTTCCTCTGCGATTGCTCCAGCTTCTTTACATGCCGTAAGTTCTATTGCCATGAACTTTGCAATCAACTATTGATTTAACATTCACGTGAAATCAGTTGTTTCTTCACTTAAAAAAGCCTACTTTTGTAACGACAATAGGTGCAAGTACAAGTGAAGTTGGTGCTGATAGGAAAATCAATGTTAAGTTCCAGTCAAGGGTGAAACCTGAATACATTCGTTGGTAAGTAGAAGAAAGTGAACCGGAGACTCGAACTTACAAAGAATTAAACTGCAGATTATAGCTGAGAGTGTGTTCATAAGTAAACCGAATTTATTGCCGATGCCAGCATGAATTTTAGTCATATCAGTGGTTAGAAGTGAGTCCAGCTCGCCAGTTTTATGATGATCGAAATAAATCATATCTTGTTGAAGAATTGTATGAAATAGTCTTCGTTTCATTGAATGAACTTGTCTTTCTGCTATCAAATCGAACATTGTTAGACGAAAATATTCGAATAGGAACATAACAGCACCAAGTATCTATATAAAATTAATTTGCCGCTGTGTCTGATGCCGAAGATCGTGATTAGTATCAGTAAAATTACAAGATCTAAACGAACGTCATACTCGAAATGTTCCTTGTACTACGAAAGATTTCTCACGAAAGCACGGTATAATAATTAGTAGAAGTTAATTCGATTCCCGGCGGACAATATTCTTCGGAGAGAGAAGTGAAATTAATCGAGCGACGAATAAACCCACTGAATTGCCAAAAAACAAAAGGTACAATGGTGTTTTAACACCGATAACACACGAAGCAATAATCGCCATGATGACGTAGAATATATCCATGAGTGTCAGACATTGGAACTAAAATAACATTCAATAATGATTGGTTCAATTTTATGGACTGAGCTTTGTTGGTTACTAAGAACTTTATACTGCTGGTTTTCAGTCCTTTTTGTGCGAGATTATCCTCAGGAGACGACGCTTTCCTATGCAAAACGAAATAGACAGGAATATCAACGATTGTTCGTCATACTTTTCATTTTTCATTTCGTTCGTTTGTTTTTCATCAGCATCTCTGTGTGCTATTGAGACATCTTGAGTACACTGTTTGCTATCCATCCCTTCTAACACAAAACGATTTTTATATGACAGACTTTCATCAATCAAGTATCTTAGTAAACTAAATGAATACAATGAAGCCTCTGATTAGATACGATCATTAGCATGACGTGTGCGAGTGCACTAAATGTTCGACTGATCACCTGAGGATAGACGCAATACGCCGTATTTGAGTTTGATTCTTTTTCGATCAAGTATCTATCTGATTACGATATAAATAAACATGAAATGTGTGATCTATGTGCACTCAACCATTGTGTTTATCTTAGAAAATGCACTTATAAAGCAAACAGATTTTAAATTCGCCAATGAATTTTAATATATAGACAAAACACTAAAAACTGAACTTCAATTGTCTTGCAAACTGCCAACTAGTCTTAAATATCGTTGGTCGTCAATAGCATTTCGTTGAACTTGTCCATGCCGTTGTTGAGCACTCTTTTTACGCACGCCCATATCGTATTTATACTTGAATGCTTCGTATGAATGAGGAGTATTCAAGATTTCAATCATCACTGGTTGTGTACGTAAAAACTTTTGTGTAATCTTTTCATTCGCTACAGTTGAACTATCGTTTCCTTCGAGTTCATAAAGATCAGTTTGTATCGAACCATTTCCTTTCGGACAAATGTCTGGTAGACGAACATGTTCTGTACGATTCTTTTGCTTTGACCAGGCAAATTGACATGTTTCTCGAAAGGATTTGTCAAGATTGAACCATTGATAGCGTTTTTTCAAATGCTCGTGAGTAAATAAATAATCAGTAGTTAAACGACGCCGAACAATATCGTTATTTTCATGTTCAATATGTTGTAATTTACGTTGCAATTCTCGTTGATAGCTTGACTCTGACTGAATCAATGTTGGAATATACAAGCTCGGAAGACGATTAGCCGGTGACGGTTTACTTTTTCTCCTACAAGGAACCAAAGTTCAAAGGGCAAATCTTCATTTCAAGTTTATGAGGCACGTCTTCTACTACTTACAAATGCATTGTCTCGACGTGCAAATCAAATGTGTTGTTTTTTGAAAGTATTCAACCGATCAGGAAGAAAATCAATAATGACTGTCAGTCAACATCATGTTTCTTAACACTTCAAATATGTTGTCTGTGTAGCAACATAGAAAAACAACATGAAAGACTAGCAAATGATTTGTCACACATTTAAATGAAAAGAAAACATTCTTGTGGATGAAAACCGTTTGCATTTCTACGGCTTGTTTTTCGATCATCACTCTAGAAACGAATGAATACGACGAGAAGTATCGATGAGCAGACCGTATCTACTCGTCTATCGTCTAACTTGTTTTGTTTTTCGTAGATTCACTTGTTATCCCTATTCTCTCGATGAATTCTTTGTGTCCGTTCTCTATCCATATGACAACGATATCAATCGATGCCTGGATTACTGAAGAATGAAAAAAGAAACGGAGGAAAATTATCCAACATTAGCCTCCCTACAAACTATATTTGACAAGAAATAAAAGAGCGTATCAGTAAGATAATTCTTTATTCGTATATCGTGCTGCATATGATCGAAAGTAGACCTTTGTGACTGAGGTCATATGTACACTAACGATTCATTTTGATTTTTTTTTCTTTTTTAGTTATGGATGCATTTGATTTTAACTTTGAGACGAATTCATTAGTAACAGATGATACGAATAGTGAGAGTAGTAGTCTGGATTGGACAGCGTTTCAACCAACACCACCAACGGGAACGCCAAGTCCATTTTCAGCATCGTGGTTTTCACCTCAAGAAGATGCCGTCGCACCAGATGATAGATTAAAGACAATGATATCCGAACAAGATAGTAGGAATCAGTCAGATATCGAACATTTCTTTCGGGGACTACATCAACATCAAACAACAGAAGAGGAACAACCACCGCACCAACAGTTGCACGGGAAACAAGAACTTATAGAAACTATTTATATACCAGATCAAATAAGGAATGATATGCACTGCATGGAACCATCTGTAAATGTATGAATTCGTCTGGAAAAATCTTTCATGACATCGATTTCTTTTAGCATCGAGTATTTGTCTCATCTACGGTTAATGAAGGACCACCTGTTTGTTTACCGTCACCACTTGTACCACGTTTATCGTCGACTCGCTCTCAATGTTATCATAAATTACCTGATCATGCTGTTAAAATGATGCAAGATTGGTCATTACCGAATTCGAGATAAAAATTCGTCATTATCAATGTGATTTTTATTTTAGGTATAATGCCCATTTAGAAGATCCATATCCACGTTCACCAGACAAAAAACGTTTTATCACCGAAGGCAACATTACAGCCCAACAATGTCGCTCTTGGTTTGCTAATCGTCGTCAACGACTCAAACATGTTAAACGAAGTCAACCAAGAGCAATCCCTTCTCGTTCACAACGTCCCATGCCAACTAAGTACATAGAAATATCATCTCGATGACTTCAGCAGACTTATTCATCATTTTAGAATGTCAGATTTGTATCCAATAGAAGAACAACAGCCTAAATTATATGAACCTTGTTATTACTGTCAACAATCGTCTCTCGCACCATCATCACCATCATGTTTATCAGTACCGATTTCACCAACGACAACAACCACATTAAATGTCGTTATCAATCAGCAAACAGTCGAACAACTCATTCAAAATAGTCTTCGAAAATTATTCAATCCAACGATAATCTGATAGTGCATATTGTTTTTGTTTGTTTCATGTTTTTGTGCAGCTGAACAACCTTTAAACATGCTTGTTTTCGTTTCTTTTGTCTCGTCTATTTATATGTCGTTCGATTTTATATTATTTCCTTTGGATTTTGTCGAGTTCTCTCTCGCTTTCTGTTTATAAACGTCTGGTTCGTTATTTAATCCAGATAAATTCTTTATTTTCAATCAACAACAACGAATAACACTTTTCTACAGATCAGCAAAGGCAATCGTTCCTAGTCCATATTTTGATTTATTATTTGAATTCGTTCTACAATCACTGGAGAAAAAATTTTCATCGTCTCACATACGAAAACATCTACGAAGATTAAAATTGAGTTTATTTGAGAAAGTTACATTTAAACGCTTAATTGTTTTGTTCAGTGCCTGAAAAAGCATTATTTGATACTTAGATTTCTCCCAGAGTGATCTACGCTCGGTCTTTTCCCTGACATATCGATACTTTGTCTTCGACTACCTGCATCCGTACTTGGTCGTCTTCCAGACAAATCCATACTTTGTCTTCGTCCGGACGTGTCAATACTTGGTCTTCTTCCGGATGTATCAATACTTGGTCTTCTTCCCGACGTGTCAATACTATCTCGTCTCTTCGACCCATCCATACTTGGCCTCCTACTAGATGAATCTGGAATTTTCAGTGTATTATTTCCATTAGATAATTTTGCTTTGGCTGTTGGCTTCTTCACGTGAACAATACGAAAACTTTCTAGAATACATCGAACAAATGGTTGGCGTTAGAATTCATTCAGTTCGAGTCCTACCGAGAAATTCATTCATATCAATCTTTCCATTTTTATCGAAATCCATTGCTGAACAAAGTTCATCGACATAGGCTTGGTTCACCTCACCATTTCCATGTTCGCCATGAAGTAAAAGTTTGATCACATCGGCGAATTCGTTACGACTGATAAAACCTAATGAAATATTGACAATCATTTTTGTCCGTCTGTCAATCAACCATATTCCTACCGGAATGGTTATAATCAATCAAATTAAACAAGATCAACAGCATATCTTTCCACTTGTACAAATCTTCCATTATACCAGTATTCGACTAAAATACGGAGAAAGTTTCATTTACACATAGTTTTTCTTTATTTGAATACCATTTGAAACTTGGAATTGTCCAAGATATAATCTTCGAACATTGTTTTGTATGCAATACCTTGCGAATCCTCATAGACAATTTTTCCACGCAAAGTAAGCCAAGGCAGATCAAGTTGAAGCACTTGGGTCATGATATCCGCCCAGGTAGTCAATGGTAAATGATCTATGTGGAATACAAAATAAAAACGTTGAATATGTCGACAGCAATGATGTCTTACCAGTTTTATTTTCGTCTGCTTTTTCAAATTCTTTTCGAAGTAAGTTTTTATGAGACATGATCTTTTCTACCAATGCGTGGTATGCCGGATCTTCGAATAAGGTCACCCTATAACGACATAGACAGCGAAATACGTCTAATGTTCGCGTTCAATTTCATTTACTTCTTATTGAAACTTAGCTTATTCATTTCCACTGCTAAAGTTTTGAACGATATAATGCAAGGTTCGTCATCATTGTAATCCCTAGAATTGCTCGATGAATCAATGAATAAATCAGTTATTTTCAATTATAAACAAACAAACCAGCGAATAATCGCACCCCAGTTCGATCCGCCACAATAATTAGATGCACTGAAAACTGTTAAAACTTTTCCATCGTGTGTGAATTCATATCCTTCTTGTTTAACTTGATGCGAACGAATGAGCATCGCGAGATTGTATCGTTTAAGAAATTGATCGGTGATATCTGGACCAAAGAAACACGCCATTTTTCTTGCGTCATTTTTGCGACAACCCGATCGACCGTGTGGGTCCGGATCACTCCAAAATAAATCTAAACGTACCAATTGAATCAAATGAATGAACACAAATCTGATTACCTTGAATTTGGCGGTATTCTTGATCTTCCTCTTCAGTCAAACGTTTTCCACCGTTTTTGGATTCCGGTGGCACTTCAATGGAAATATCTGCAGAAGAAAAGAAATCAAATAGTGAGTTCTCAGAGATTATGTCGCAGTGTTCATACATCGATTTCTCGTCGCAGAATTGATTTTCTTCAAGTTAATCCGATCAGAGATTCCTCCGTGTACAACGATTAATTTCGCTTTTCCTGCATCGACATATGAATACAATGGTAGCCAACTAAATATATCTTTGAATAGATCAAGTAAGTGCCCTTTACGTTTCTAAAAGTACGAGCAGAAGTGCAATAGTATTAGGTACATTGTGTAAAATTTTACGCCGTATTTCTGATGCACTTCATTTTGAAAACCATATCGAACTGTGACCATGATGTCTTCATGATTACCTAGTTATTCTTCGTACATAGAAAAATCAATCAATCGACAATGGAAGAATCTACCTCGGTTGAGAAAAAGTGAACTTGGATACAGAATCAATGCGACCAGCAGTAAAAGAATAACTTCGACAGAATTCTGACCTCGATCGACGAAATCACCATTGAATACGTAGGCGTTATCGGCTGCCGGTAAACCTTTCTAGAAATCAATCACATAGAAAATAAGAGAAAAAAAACTTCTTCGGATAGTCTGTACTGTGTTGAAGATATACAGTAAATCAGCTAATTGTCCATGAAGATCACCGATAATGTACACGTGTTTCAGATTGGATAGATCAACATGATTGAAATTAGGCAATGTTTTGAGAATGGCACGTGCTTGGTGAAGAATTAAATAAACATATTTTTCGTGTAAAACCTAAAGATGTTCTCTTCGGCGTTTTGTTAAGATAATGGAAAATGTTATTTACTTGGCCGTGTCGAAATGCTTCGATTAAATCTATGAATGTTTGTCTCGTTATTTGACCATCGACACCTATCGAATAAGCTATCTTCTTGAAGAATTCTTCGAGAGAACAAGTACTTACGTGGTCCTTGATAACTACTCTCGACTTGAACACTATCCGGATTCGTTAAACGTAAAAGTTCTTGTTCTTCTACATGATAAATGAAATCGAATACATGTATATTTACTGCTGATTTGCGTTTTTTTAAATAAATATCTCTATTACCTACAGGTAATCCGGCTTTTTGAAGTAATTTCGTTACCGATGGTGAAAGTATATCTGATGCTTTGAGTAATTTATCGAATAGATCTTTCAACTAGGAGATATATTTGCATAAATCTAACATGACTACTGATGTTTATTACTTTAGCTTCTGTTTGTTCACTGGAATATTCGAGTTTTTCATGAATTTGCCATGCTGCTTGGTTTTTTAACTTCAATCGAGCTTGATGCGTTCGAAAAGCCGCTTGAATCTTCGATGCCGACTTTTCTGTTCGAATGAAAATCTTCATTTCGTCTATGAACAGAAGAATTTGCAAATATTTACCTGATGTTGCTGTCGATACCTTCGTGATCGGTTTTGATTTATCTGCTCGATCAGACATCAGAACTATACGAGGAACGATCTGAAGAGAATTGTGTCAATTGTATCAATGACGATCAATTGTTCTACTCGAGCTGTCGAAAGCAATCCTCGCCTACCTGTGCAAGTGTTGAACCGCTCATCTCAAATGCGTTTTCTAAACGCGTGTTTGTGCTATGAGTGCTGATAAAAACGAAAAATGTATTTACTGCGTGATACCTGCGCTGTTTTTCTTTGCACTTTGCTATTTATTTTCAATTATTTTAACGTTGATTTTTTAGGAAATATGAATACGTACGGAACTAATAATAAATTAAAAAAATGAAACGAAAAGAATAGAATAGGAGAACTAATGCATATTCTATAAGTATTTTACTACCAAAAAGTTGAGAAAAGAAAAAGAAAAGCGTCTATTTTGCAATTTTATTCTTGTTCTTTTCCTCCGTTGAATGACGTACAGAGAACAGAATAAAAATACGATGGCTGCATTAGCTGACTGCGTCGAAATGATTTTGTCCGTGCTGCAGAATAGTAATAATAATAATAAGACACCTACAATGAAGAAAATCTTTTATGTGCACGAGAAAAATATTGTCAATCATAAAATAAAGAGAAAAAAATCGTTCGAGCACTGTAAAATTTATCTAAACTGACAGAAAATATTGATCATAGAAATTCCTGCGCAATCAATCAATATAAATGATTCACAGCGAATGAAAATAAAAATAACAACTGCACTTTTCTAGGGAGCAATAACATCTTTGATTGCATAGTTTACAAACAAGCATGAAGAGGACAAATTAACTCAGTTAGGAAAGTTCAAGCAATACATATCTGAAAATATTTATTCGATCAGCGAGATGAACGTGTTGTTTCAAACATCTGGAATATGTTTATTACAAAATTACATACATACACTCGAATTTATAGAACAGAGTGTTGACAAACAAAGATTTTCAGTTTTAAACTTTAGCTTTCTTTTTTGGCGATTCGTTGTCCGTGCCCGAAGGTGACTTTTCATCATCACTTGAGTCACCATCACTACTACTACTACTACCGCTGCTGCTGCTACTGCTGCTGCTGCTGCTATTGTCGCTCTCACTATCGCTGCTACTATTTGAAGAATTGCTGGATGAGGAAGATGAGCCACTTGAACTGGAATCGGATGAGTTTCCATCGTCATTGCCGTCGTTCTTGGCTTTTTTCTTTTTATCGAATTGAATTGTTTGTAGTTGACTCATCATTTGTCTAGAGGAGAAGTTTATAGATGAATTTCAGGTTCAAAACAAGAACAATTCACATACTTTTTCTTCGATTCATTTGCACTCTTTTGTTCATCTTCTTTATCTTTTTGTATTTGTTTAATTCGTTTTTCCAGAATTTGTGTACGAGATGGACGTTCAACATACTTTCGTTTTCGTGTGCATTGATAAGTCCAATGACCTTTTTCTAGACATTTTTGACATTGAGCATTGCCAATGTCTTGTTCACTCCTAAACATGACAATCAATCGAAGTATAAGTGATATAGAATCTTACCGTTCACGCATAAGTGCACGTGGCTTTCTTGGTGGTACCGTATACATCTTTAAAGGAAATTCTTATCTAAAATTTCGAAAAAGTTATTTAAGACAACTTATAGCGACATCAACGAAAATTCAATTGGCTTATTGATCTCACCATAGAAGTATCATCGAATCATATCTTCTGCGTCATATTACGTTGGTATAACAGAAAAAAAGATGAACAAAATCGCGAATATTCGTCAAATTCCTCGAGTAATGAATAGAATCAAAATAAAGAGAAATTTCCAATTAACTTTCTTTCTTCTAGCGCGTCTACTCGATGGTCAATCGATCTTTTTCAAGTAAGAAATCTTGTACTGTTCACTTGATGTAGATCGTTATTCTATAGGTATTTCTGATACACCGGTTGAAGAACCACCACGTGATCCAAACGCATCGACACGAGATAATACGAATGGTGGTGATCAATCACCGAAACCGAATCGAAATAATTCAAATAACAATCAAGATCCGAATCAAGTACCAAAATCACCTAAAAAAGATCGTTAAATATTTCGAGGGGATAGTAAAACACTTGTATTGTATTCCAGCTCTGTTCGAAACCTTGAGTTTTCTTTTGTATAGTTTTATATAAACAAGCAAGGAGAAAAAATAAAACATTTTCAGATAGTCACTTCTTTAAATCTTTATGAGCAACAACAAACATTTGGGGGACATCAAATTCGGGTGAAAAGCCACTATTATAAGAAGAGTCTTCAAATATAATACTGTAACAATCATTTCCAACGCGTGGAATACTCTCTACGATGCCTTTATAAAAACACGATGTCTGAGGATAGAGTGCAAGAACAATCGTTCGCGGTGCAAATAACGCCTGTGGACATGTCAACGGACAGGCGCGCCACTGTGGTAATGGAATAATATGTCGTTTACTTATATTATAATACCGTCCTTTGCCAGGTTCAGCATCAATATCTACAATATCGTATTTCGTTCTGTTGGGATAGACATTGGATATTTCAGCTAGAATCCAGTTTTCGTCACCATCATCACTCTCAACAAAACCAGCAATTCGATCACCAACATGACATATATGATTCGATGCAGCTGGCATCGCACCACACAATGGTGGTGGAGCGTTGTTCTTAAACAGAAAATAAATTATTGTTATGCACTGTAGAAAGGATGATACGCTTCATTTCTGAGTGAAGAATTGTGTGTAAGAAACTTACTCGATTCGTACCATTCTGTTCATTGCCATACCAAATTTTCAACGAGTATGCCATGTGTGATAGAAAATCAGCTAGACCTCGACGTGTAGTATGACTTCGATTGGTATCATTAGGATTTTTCGAAGCGTTTACAATTTCAATTTGTAATTTTCGAACTTGTGCTATCTTCGCTAAGGCCGTTCGATACATATCCATTTCATTATGTACATGAGCTAATGCTTGGTTCATATTCTGTTTCGACGATTGTGATGTTGTATTTTCATTCGAGGATTTTTGCTGTTGAATTGCAAGCCAAGCATCGCGACTTATATTGTACTGATCTTTCGTCTTTTTCAAGTCATCCTGTAATTCTAATAATAGCTTTTGAATGCTTAGTTCGTTCTGTGTTATTATGTCTTTGGAATCTGTAGTTGTAGATGATTGTAAAGTAGCAGATAGAGATGAAGATGATCGACGAGATGACAAACATTCGGAGTTCGTGCTTGAACGTGTCATTTTTTATGTTCAAATCTCATGTTCTTATAATACTGTATGTTGTGTGGAAACAATAACAATCTACCAGTAAGAAAACAATTGGCACAAGATTTTCACCATTAGTCGAAATGTCTGTCAAAATATAGATGTCAGGTATGGGATAATTTATTTGTTTGTTTCAATCAGATTGCTAATGATAGTGAACGATCCTATTTTGATCGATATAATCAAATATTAAATGTTGTTCTGTAGTAGTATACAAGGTAGGTCGTCGAAATGCGACATGACGAAAATCGGTGCTGCAGAGACAGAGTCTAATTTTCTTTCATACATTCAAGGAATGTGACAAGTGATTCTTTGTTTTGTATTCCTAATAAAATTCCCTAGCAGATGTAGAAAATAAGCATTTGTAATTTACGTAATGATTGTTCACAAATTTATTTGACAAGCACCTATTATTTGAATAGCCAATGAGAATCAGGAAAAACAAAATGACTCACTGGAAAAAATGTTTTCACCATAAATAGTCAATTCTTCCTTACATTTTGTCATCGATCGAAGTAACCGAATTCTATTTAGATAAAGCTAAATATCAATTTTCGATATACAATGCAACCAAACAGTAATCGACCAGTTTTTATTGTTCAGCCATCGAATATAACTCATCTAAATGTTCGACCAACAATTATTACTACAGGTGGTCAACCGATTCAACCTCAATTTCCACAACAACAACAACAACAACAGCAACAAACGCAGTCACAACTTGTATATCAGATTCCAACTGTAAGACAGCCAACAATGCCACAACAGGCATCCACACTTTATCAAGTCCAGCAGCAACAACAACAAGCACAGCCTCGTCTGGTTACATCGACACCAGTCTATAATTCCTCGCATCCACAACGATTTGTTACATCACCACCACAAATAATAACACCTAATGCAAATATGTCTCCACGTTTGAATACACTTCAAACAACGCAACGTCCATTGATGACTCCAACACAAGCAACAACAGTGCTCTTGGGACCAGCTGCTCCAAAAGTCTCTACACCGCCAACGATTGTAGCAGCAGCAACTCCAGTGCCAGCTCCATCACCGGCGACAACTTCACCACATCCACCTGGCACCAAAGAATTCATAGTTAGAGTTCCGAAGTAAATACCATACTGCATTTCTAACTATTTTCCATGCTTGCCTGCTTGTTCTTTTTAAGACCACAGGCGCAATATGGAGTGATGGAATTTGCCAGTGGTGTATCCATTGATGTCAAAGAATGGAAATCGATTCAAATGCAACGTGAAATCAACTCATATACTTATCGTCCACCGACAAATCTTGATCAAAGTAACGCATCTTCGACAACAATTACAACGTCGCTTGGCGTCACTCTACCGAAAACCGGTGCTGGCAGTGAATATGGTCGAGAACAAAAGGAAGCATTGAAACGAAAGCGCTATGCTACGAAAGGAACAAATATGGAAGATCTTCCTTGGGTACTAACAGATCGTTCATCCGCCGATAAAAAATGGAGACATTATCGAGGAATGAAGAAAGGAGGTGTCACAACTAACTCGTCGTACTATGTTTTTATTCAAGGCAAAGATGGTTTCGAAGCATTTCCTGTCGAAGATTGGTACGGTTTTACTCCAACGAATGTGTATAAGACACTAGACTTCGACGAAGCCGAAAAACAGTTTCAAGAACGACATAAACATCACAGCAAATGGTATCTAATGCACAAAGTTAAAAGTGAGAACGACCCAGGTGATGATGGTGACAATGATGATGAAAAAGGCAAGAAAAAAACCGGCAAAGGCAAACGTGATTTCAAATTACTTGACGCTGAGGAGTGGGCCAATGATAATGAAGAAGGTATATGCTCTTGAACAACCGCATTCGTAGATTACCAATTTCCTTCTTTTATTCGATAGAAGAAGACGACGATGACGACGATGGAGATGTTGATGGTGATAATGACAAGTCGAATAAAAAGTCCAAAACTGGTAAAAAGAATAGTAAGAAGCCGAAGACAGCTTGGACTTTAAGTGATGAAGAAGAAGAAGATGAATTAGCGCAAAAGAAAGCCAAAAAAGCAAAGAAGGCTAAATCCGAGAAAAGCGACGGACAAAAGGAGGATTCGGATGATGGAGATCAAGAAGGCTACGAAGTCGAATACACCAGTGATGAATTATCTTCTGATGAAGATGGAAAAGGTAAAGAAGAAAGTTCTTCTTAACTCATTTTCATGCATTTTCAATACTCTTTTTTGTTCAGATGGTGCAGCAGAGAAATACGAAATCAAAGGTAGACAATGTGTTGTCAATCGAATTGAGAAAGACGTGTTCTTGTGAGTTTTAGGTGTTGATGAGGAAATGAAAGTTGTGCCGGACATTGAAAAGAAATTGGAACAGATGGATGAAAACAATGGCGAAATAGACTTTTTCGATGATGATGAAGAGGAAGAAGTTCCAGATATGGGTTCGAGCAAAAGCTTAGAAATCTCCTATCTAATCATTATTTTCTTTCAGATGATATGGAAGATGAAGCGGGTAAAGGCTCAGGTGGTGACCTCAATGATTTCGGTAAACTGTTTGCGAATGATGCAATCAAAGGTATACTCCGAATAGGAAAGCAATTCATTTCGAATGTGAAATTATCCACCTTGTCTTGCAGAAATAGAATCAAGTTCGGATGATGATGATATGGACGATTCGGACGATCCAGACAAAGAATCAAACGAACCAGTTGCTGTAAATTGATGACTTTGTAATCGAGACAAGTTTTGCATGAAATCTCTTTTTTCTTCTTCTCAGAGTTCAGTGAATAGTCAACCAATTCCATCAGAACAAGTGAAAACTGGTAGATTTAGGTTACCTAGGAAAAATCATATCAATTACTTTTATTTACATTATAGAAAAAGGCCATAAGAAAGCTCGAGAAGAAGAAATGCGTGCAATCAAATCAAAAGTGATGTCCCTCCCAACGACACCGTCGAACCCTACGTATGCGTTTCTTGTTTTTCCTTCGATTTATTGATCTTTCGCATTGATTTCGGTTTCTAGCGATGCAATTACGGAAGAAAAAGTTCGAAGTTTACTTCAACGTAAACCGATGACAATCGGCGAGTTGATTCAAATGTTTTTGCCTAAATTAGAAAGTCAACGAACGAAAGAACTCAAAGATAGTATCGTTCAAAAATTAGCAACAGTTATAAAGCGATTAGACCTCGAGGAGAAGATTATCAACAAGAAGAAACATATTAAATTGAAGTCAACTTAATCGAGGAATTTATGTTCATGTAAAATGTTCATCTTGTTGTTTGAATAAATTTATAAATAAAAAAAAACAGACAAGGAAACGTACAAGAAATTAGAAGAGAGAACATTTGCTTTTTTCATCAAAATAAGCAACAGCCTCGTTTCCGCTTGCCTTTATGCGATAAAGCCGAACGTGTAGCGAATTCAAATACTTCGCGCACACCTGAAAACTCAATGAAATTTGATTGCGAATACAGGCAAAAGTTGGACTCTACCTTCTTTTGTCTTAGCAGAACATTCAAGATATCCAACTGCACCAATTTTGTCCGCTATTGCTTGACCTTGATCAGATCGAACTAGTTCCTGCTTCATTTTCATCAGTTCACGCTTAGCTCCTTCATCGTGCCGTAGATCTTTCTTGTTACCTAAAAAGAATAATCGATATCTCTCGTACTCTTCTCATGCACATACCTATGAGTACAATTGGCACACGTGGACAAAAGTGTTTACATTCAGGAGTCCATTTCTAAGTGACGATATGAAATCTTCGTCATTTTAAGTCTAAACGAAACATACCTCAGGAATATTTTCTAAACTATCAGGACTATCGATAGCAAAGCACATAAGAATAACGTCTGTATCAGGATAAGACAGTGGTCGTAATCGGTCATAATCCTCCTGACCGGCCGTATCCCATAATGCCAATTCAATCTGGAGAGAAAAAACACAAATCGAAATCGAATGATCATCTAGACTGCATCGACGAACTTGTTTGCCATCAATTTCAATATCTGATACATAGTTTTCAAAGACAGTTGGAACATAAACTTCTGGAAATTGATCTTTACTGAAAACGATCAAGAGGCACGTTTTACCTAGAATGTTATGTCAAACAAATGTTGTCTTTGTTGATTATCATTGCGAAGAAAGTCATACCACAAGCACCATCTCCTACAATCACTAGTTTTTTTCGTATTGCTGTCATTTGTTAATACAAGACAATGAATGATGCGATCGGTACGCGTACGATATTCACATACTGACTGAAGAGGAACCAATCGATGAATGATCAACGATCAATCGGTCGATCGTTTCTTCTCTCTCGGGTGAAACTAGCAGTTGAACCAATGTGAAAGATTTTCTCTCAATTTAGAAAAACTGACCATATCAATACGATGTCGCTAGTTTCTGTATGAAATATCAATTCGTGTTACTTTATTCAGAGATCAATACAAGGTTAGTGTCAACAAAAAGAAATATTACAAATGTACACGCGGATTTATAAACTACTACCACTTGCTCGTTTTCGCTTGATTGTTGTCGTTATAATAGATGCGGTTGGCCTTTTTTTCCCATTAGTTGACCGATCGGTAAAGTCGATAGAAAAATCTATTTCTTCTTCGCCATCTGACGTTTTCTGTGACGAATTTTTTCGCTTTATTTCATCCCGTTGACTGCCGAATCGTTGAAGAATACGTAGGAGACGATTGAAATCATGTTGTTTATATAATTCTTCGGTTATGCCATGCACGTCTTTGATCATCTTTTCTTTTGATCGACTACAATTTCGACAGGAGAGACGAGAGGATAAGCGAATGTCGAATCATCATCACTTACGGCATTAGTTTGACTAAATCTTTGATTGTTTGTTCAGAAATGATATTTGAATAAGTCGAAGTATGGAATATAAGTTTCAATTCTGCCTTCAATTCAGCTAAACACTGCTCATTGACTTGCTCGAGTGGAGAGTGTTTTGAATTAGCAGATCCTTCATCATGATGATTTGTCATCTGTTCAATTCGAATGGTCAATTCAATATGAATCGTATTCCCAGACCGTTGTGATGATGACGATGAAGTCAATTGAACTGCATTCGCGCCTGGACGAAGATACGCAATGACCGTTGATGGCTGATATTCAATGAATTCTTGTTTGAGATATCCATCGATGATCAAACGAGAAATGAGTCGTTCGATATCTGTCGAAAAGTGTTGTCATAGAAGAAGATTACTTTAGAATTAAAACTTACCCAGTCGACTCAATTGATGACAAGTATTGAATGCTCGTAGACGATGATGACCTGCGTCACGGATGTTTTTACTATTGACTCCGCGTAAAATGTCAATGATATAAGATAAAGATGCATTCGATTGATTCAAATCGGAAATTAATTTTAAGATTTCAACTGATATTCGTGTACAATCAATCGATGAGGTTTTAAAATCTTGTCGACAGTTATCACATTCAGTTGCCATCGTGCCATGACATTCCGATGGAGAAAAGATCTCACCAAAGTACTCCAAAAGTCTACATCAAAAGAAAAAATAGATTCGAGAAAGATTTTCTTTTGTTTAACGCACTGTGTTCGTCGGCATGTGACATTGTTAAGACAATAATCATAAACACGATTGATGTTATTGATTCGAACTTGTTTCGTTTGCTTCGAAGATTTCGACTCATCATCATCTACATGGAACAGTACATATTGAAAAGATATTGATCTATTTATTGCATACTCAAAACTAATCGTTTCATTCGGATATAATCGTCATAGGAGAAAAATAAATGGCAGTGAGCTATTTCACCATCACGTCCAGCACGGCCAGATTCTTGGTAATAACCCTAGTTCAAAGCAGAAATATTCATTTGAACTGATTCTATCTCATGTATCATACTTCAATTGATTGCGGGATAGAAAAATGTATAACAAAACGAACATTATTCTTGTCGATACCCATTCCGAATGCTACTGTTGCACAGATAACCTGAAAAATCGATCTTTTATAGTAATATTCATTGAACTGCCTATCGATCTTACTTGACATTCATTATTAATCCATCGCATGTGTATAGTTTGTCGTAGGGAATCATTTAAACCAGCATGATAAGAAAGTGCATGAATATTATGTGCCAATAAGTACTGAGCTGAAGATGACGGATAAAATAAGGAAAGATACATTTATTTGAAATATTACCTGTTCGATCACATTCAGCACGAGAAAAACAATAGATGATTCCACATTGATTTTCATAGCTTATTTTAATCAAATTAGCAATTTGACTTAATGCGACATCCGTCGTTTCTTTAGGTATGCATTCATAAATCAGATTCGAACGATTGAATGATTGGGTAAAAAGTTTGTAATTATCGGTGATATTCAATTGCTGAAGGATATCTTGTCGAATACGTGGCGTAGCTGTTGCTGTTAATAATGTGATGTTGATTTCAGGATAGTTCAGACGCAATTGGCCTGAAAATGGACGACCATTGGCGAATTAATATTCAAAATAACCTACCGAGTTGGGAGTAATCGCGACGAAAATCATGACCTAAAAATAGAATATGATGCAATATGGAGATAAAGATGAGAGGAACATTACCCCATTCAGAAACGCAGTGACATTCATCAATGACAAACCGTGCTAATAGTTGGCGATTGTACAAATCACGGAGAACATTATTCAGTTGATCCTATAGAGAAGAAAACGTAGTACAAATGGTTTTTTTCCGATGAAGACTTCAATTGCTTTACGCTCATAGATATTTTTTCCGGTGTAATGAAAACAATTTTATACATTGGCGCATCTTTATACAATTCTCGATATATTCCATCGGCTTCATCGGGAGAAATATTTCCCGTTAATGCAGCACAGGAGATATTTAATTGATTCAAACGTTGCTTCTGATCGAATATTAAAGATCGTAACGGCGCGATGACAAATGTTACACCAGTATCGAGAACAGCTGGCAATTGATAACATAAGGATTTACCACCACCTAGAAAACAGTCAATATCGCTTTGTGTAAATGACATTTTGAAGATTACCGGTCGGCATAAGGATGAAACAATCATGATGTTGAAGAGCAGCATGAAGCGCTTCCCATTGATTATACCGAAATTCAGTCAAACCGAAAACACGATGAAAAACATGTCGAATTTGACTTTCCAATTTTTCTGGCGTGTTTGAATGTTCAACAATCTTCGTTTCTTGAGATATACTAGTTTTCAATGGTAATTTCATATTGACGGTCGTTGCCTGAATGAAATGAAGTTTATAAACGAAAGAAGAATATTTTCGTCAGATTACTTCGGAAGAAGTAGTACATTGTGCACAGCCGAACTGATTCGTGTTGAGAACAAAACATTGAAAACAAACAATATGACCGCATGATATTTCACTAATCGGTCGGTGACACGTCGTTTGAAAGATTTCATTACAAAGTGGGCAAAGACATTCACCTAGCAGAAATAAACTTCGATTATTTTGAACAAAACAGCAAGATATTTCAAAGTTCACCATCAATTAAATTCGTAGGTTTTGTCAACACGGTAGTGACGGTAGTCGTCATTGTTTTCGTTGTTGTAACGACAGGCAGAGATGCGTTATGATTTGTACTATGTGACACTTTTGGATCTTCGGCTAAATCGTACTTGCCTATTTTGATTTGTTCGGCTAAATTATTTTTTATTGCTGGAATAGGATTCCGGGGCATCTTTGACAAACTTTCCTGACCGATCTGTATGTAGCGAAAAAAACGAATGAACACTAGAGATAATCTAACGGTATTCCTAGACGTATATAGTCAATCGAGGTGTACAGCAAGAGAGAACAATACTGAACATTGATTGGCTCGTTAATTTAACAATTAATGACAACGTTTTTCTTTCCAAAATTCGATTCAATCGATTTAATAACAAAAAAACAATAACAACAAGATTTACTATGAAAGATTGTCATTCAATGTGGGCTCTCGACAAGCGGATGCAAATATATTGATATGATCTTTGAAGCTTGATCGACTTGTTCGTTCTCTAAATGGATTCGGCGCATAAATTGCAAACACAAAACAAGTTAGAATACTTACGATGATAAGATCTTAAGTAATGCTTCACGATGGTGACGTTTTGCTGATGATGAAGGAAAGTTTGGATCGTTCAGACATTGTTGAACCCATTGCGTTGCCCATTGAATGTATGTTTTCGAAAGGGTGAACAATGGCAAGAACAAACTTTCGATAAGATGACGAGGACTCGTTGTTCCAATGCACTAAACCAGAATCGAATAAAAAAAGAAGAAAACGACCTCAAAACAAATCTAACTTGAAGAAGAATTCGAACAAATTCAAGACCGTGCTGTTGCAGAAGTTCAGCTGCTCGTTGATTGGACTTGGTATATTCAATGAAGTTGGACTAGTTATTTCGTAGCAAAGTATGTTATAACAATGTTTCTAAACTTCGCTTACAGCAAGTGTCGAAATACTTCTCGACACTCCTTGTTCATGCATTTGTATTCCATGTTTCACTATGAAAACGAGCATAGTTAATCTTGGAAGTTTATACTGTGATAAAACATACTGAATTGAATGAAAAGAACAAAAGCTTCATCAGGACAATGATGAACGACGGCCGGGAGTTTCTTGATGATCTGATTTTTACATAATATGTCAACTTCAATCCGGAGTAGAGAATCATACCTGTGCAAAGAAGTTCGCCACGTCTTCAACAGTATCCACATGATTTCTTAACCATTCTTCATTGAACAGACATCCGAATTTCTGTGTGACAGCGAGAAACAGCGGATGAACTGAACTGTCTGCATTATTTGAAAAGAGAAGTAATGTCTAGATGAAAGGCTTTTTTTGTCAAGTAATTTCACAACTCCGCAACTTACATTTCGAACAAAATTTAAAAACTCCGAATGTAATATATTTGGTCCCATGCTTTGCAGTAATTGAAGAAAAGTGTTCAAAACCAAACTGCTCGATTCGCGTAGGATTGTAACTGATCGTGAAAGTATTTCACAAATTTTCTGGTTTTTCAACAAAAGAGTATCGTTGAAATTTCATGGAGTAGAAAAATTCTATCATTACTTCAGTAATTTGAACATCATCACCATATTGTTTGAGGATCATTTGAAAAATCGAATCGAGATCACGAAGAATGCAGCATAGCTTAAAGAAAATTCGAAACTTTCTCGACCATTCACAATGAGCTCCTTACCACTTCGGTTATATTCGTCATATTTTCCTCATCAACTTGATTACCATAATAACCAAAAGATGTGATCAGTACGGAGATGAAATTCAACGTTATGCAAATATTTTCTTTCTATGTACTCGTATAATCAAGCAAAATAGCACGAAATCTTCCTTCTTACCTGATGATCTCCTGTTTCTGATAGATATTTTATCAGTTTATTGACTTCTGGCACGAGTAAAATTTTGAAATACTCCAGTACAGTTTTGGATGGATGTGCTGATAGAATATAACCAATGATACATACACATCGAATGCGGTCATCAGATTGAACATGAACACTTTCCAGAACATCCTGTGGAAATGAAGTTTTTCTCATATTTTATCAAACCCTTCACATGATAGTCTCTACCTTCATAATTGGAAATATATCATTCAAATACTTGGATATGTAGAGACGATTTTCTTTAATCAATTCTTTCAACGCAATCGAGGCTGATTGAATCAAATCACGATTTGACAACGCATTGAAACATAAATGCACGCAATTTTGTAATATATCAGGATGAGTACCCAACCAGCTACTATATTGTCCTAGAATCACTACGATAAGAATTCTTCTAAGTTTACGATGATTTTTACCTAAAACTGCTAGAGTTGTATTAATGATTCGATTGTTACAGAAATTTAGTTTTGATATCAACGAGAATATATGAGGTAACACTGGATTGTCTTCCGCTTGCATATATTCGGAACCAGCTCCAATTAGATATACGATCGATTCTTGTCGCTAGAAGAAATCTCACAACATAAATTCATTACAAAATACACCAATATTACCTGCCATGATTGGCTCTGCTCGACAGAGATCAATAGATGATTGCCTAAAACTGTCACAGGGAAGATAAACTATTCATCTTTCCTCTTTGATTGCAACTACATACTTTCCATTGCTCGAATATGAAGTATATCGTACATAGACATCTAAAGTTAAAACAGAACGTTTCGTTGATCAGAATTCTTCTAAATTTACCATTGTATCCGCGATACTGGTTCGATAGGTTCGAAATACATCTTTATCTTCACTTGAGAATACATCTTCATTCTCTGGTAATTGTCCTTTAGTGATTAATATTTCGATTAAATGTTCAAAGTATGGTCGAAACAATTCTAAAGATGTGTTATTTTCTTCCGATGAAGCGATTTCTTCCTAAATATACGAGCTTTCGACAAAGTCAACAAGTTCAATGCAATACTTTCAACGCATGCCAGAAATTGAATGTCAGTTCCGAACAAGTTTCGTCAATGGGATATTGCCCATTCATACACGTACATTTCTAAGCAAAAAATTCGATTATGAAACGATCCTCGAGAAGATGTACCATGATTAATCGGCAAAAATTGTGCGATTGAGCATTTTGTACGATCAATTGAGGAAGATTTTCACCGAACTGTGTAATTAACTTAGTGATCGATTCGGCTTTTTCCTACGAAAATCAATTCTATATCAAAACTAAGGAAGAGAATGGAATTTGTACTTTATTTCCGACGGTTATACATTGATCAAGTAATGTTTCAAGCTGCAAAACATATGGCAAAAGTCGTGCGAATGTTGTTGGATATTTCAATGCATCCGGCGATGTGAATATAACTGATAAACATTCAGACACATCGTTGAACAGATTTTCGTTCATTAGTGAGTTGAACAAATAGTCAAAGAAGGGTTCGACTTTGAGAACTGATATGCCAAACTCTAACCATTTTGCTAAACATGTAAATACTTTACTAAGAATCTCCGGTTGACTATACGAGGAGATAATGAATTGTAGATAATTGAGAACTACGATGGATGAAAGATTGAAAAGAGAAACATGACAAAGAGATCTTGATGATTACCAGTCGAAAATTCTTTATCAAGTTCCAATCGAATGGAAGAACGGCGCGATTTGGATACAGTCAAACGTGAAAACTAAAGAATAGAAATCGTATCAGATCGATGATATTCTTTACAGTCAATATACTTCTTCAGGAAGTAATGTCAACATATTTAATGCAATCAGATGTCCTCTCTCTGGCTGAAATAAGGTCAAACGAATGAGTATAAATCGAAATTATAATTTACAAACATGTTGAATTAAAAATTCGTTTCGAGATTGAGTGAAAAGAGCGATGATAGAGGTGAGACCATTGTCCCACTTATCAGGAGCCATATGTAGAATTAAATGGCTTAGCTAAATGAAAGAGAATTTGAAAAAAAAACAATTTGATTATGAAGAATGTGACAACGTACACCAATAGCTAATTTGGTGGTGATTTGTTTGTAGTTTATTGAAGCGTGAAAAATTAAATAGTGAGTTAATTGTTGAAATAATTGTTGAATTTGATTTTCGTCTAATTCTGATCTGAAATTTGACACGAATAAGATAGCGGAGACAATTTAAAAGAGTCTTACAGATTTTTGCATATTTTATTACATAGAGCGACTGCACCAAAAAATTGAACACTAGCAGATTTGGTAGTATCCAATAATTTCCACGAAAAAGTCCATGCTGAGGAGGAATACTGCAGATTTTCAAGAACTTTATTTAACTCTTGACGTTGTACACTTGACAGTGAAGATGTTGGGGAATAGAAACTATCGATGATTCGTTCTAATAATAAACTAGGTGAAACACAAGACAATGTCGGGTAATCAGCAGTATTTACCTATGTCTTCTGCAGAATAAGATGATACTGTATTTGATTGATTGACAATCATTTTTCCTACTGACAAGTTCTCTCAGTTCATGGCTTCGACATCTGTCTATTCGGAGAACGTCGCGATAGGTTTATACTCTTATGCAATCAAAAGCACGTGCATGGTGTCACTAGTCCACAATTGACTTTCAATATTCAAAAAAGAAATCGCCAATGACCTATTGAAAATAGATAGTGCATTCTTGGCTTGATGAACTGTAAAAACTTTCTTATGCCAGATTTTTGCACTCCATGCGTTCTCTCAGCTGATTTATTAGTACGTTTTCTATGGATATTTATTCATGCATATGCATCATGATTTTTTGATATTTTCAATCATTTTCTAAAAGACTAGCGTTGATGTTGAATACATCTATCAAGTTTACCGATGCGACAGAAGTCGTATAGCATTTCTGATGATGGAAAACATTGGAATGCGATTTCGAATTTCCTGCTTTTATGAATAAAGTGTAAACACGTGTTAACAGGACAAACCAATGGTTTCAACGACAAAAAGATACTATTCAATGCAATGTCTAATGAATAATGTACTGTACCGATCACCACTCATAAACAACCATTCCTATCGAGCATTTTCACTTCTCGAATTTTCCGTATGGATCAGATACCATGTAAACAAGCTAAAGCTCACCCTCACATCCAACTTCTGCACGTATCATTCGGCTTGGGCACGAACGTGAGCGAGACGTTGTACTTCCTCTATTTTGGTTTAATTGGATGACGTAACGTCTACTGTCTTATGACGAACATTTTCTAGCTATTGAATAAGTCTACTTTAAATTCTTAGGAAGTTCATAGACGTTTGAAAAGCATATTCTATGAAGCTTGTTCGTGCGTTTCTTTTATATATCAAGCAATTTTCAATGTCGCTGACTTTACTCAAAATAAAGCATGAGCTGACCAACGTTTCTATTCAGCTGTTCTTATAATTTATCAGATATTTGAAGAAATTACGAACTGTAGTAGGGCTATTTGAGCTTCGCAATGAATACAGTGAATCAGCCGAATCTGTAAGAATTACTGTTTACGTCAGAAAAACGATGAAAAAAACATAGCTCATTCATGCTACTCGCTTTGCGCAATAACATGTACACGATTTCTTCGGTAATTTTAACTTTTATCATCTCCACAGTGTTCATGCTTTTTAATTACAGATGAAGAAATACCAATGCATTACTGACCAGGCGAGATGACGTATTTACATCGTATCATGCGTAATAATTGAGCATATCATTGCATTCAAGACAAAATAATGAAGGTCCGATACGCCGTTCCATGAAATCGTAACTATCAAATCTATGCTATGCAAGTAATGGCGATACATCAGCTGCTACTGTATTTAAAAAGAATAGATAAATACATCTGCAAAGTAACCGTCAGCTAACGAAAAACTATTCTTCCAAATGCGCGCCATCACTGAAATCTGCTCAGAGCATGATGTTATGCATACCTTCTATAACGACAAAGGCAAAGAAAACCACGTAAAAGCTGGCCAAAAGTAAGTGACAGAGTAAGTTCCGAGATCTGCTCTTTGGAAAAACAAGCTTTTATGACAGAAGGCCGTATTTAAAACTCTGACGTACGAGCGCCTCAGGCGCATTTCCGTACTGTGAAATAGTTTTTTTGACAAACAGAATTCCAAAGAGCTTTTCATACGGAAAGCCTAATCAAATGAATCACGACTAGCTTAAAATTGCCACAGTTCTATAAATTGCGAAAATCAAGAAATAGAAGCTGTGACCAAAGGTAATACCTAAGAACGAAATTTTACAAGCTTTAGGCAGACAGATTCAATGCGTCATCCGAAATACATCCGCGTTCCTCCTAAGAAAATCAAGTCTATGACATTCAATCAATTAAGATTCTTTTACGTTTAAAAGCTTCTTTGCTAAGTCAGTTCATGTGCACGTTGCTAAAGTTTAGTGTAACTTTATTGATTACAATATCACAGCAAGAATACATTAAACATTCACGTAAAAAGATAATCACAATAGTTATTACGGTTACTGGGCACTCTATACACTTCTTTCTTCGTCTAATAATAACTTATTGGTAATGAGTAACAGATGATTGATTAATACACTGTTATACCCTTAGGGCCGAGTCCTCGACGACTGGCCAGTACGGTGTGAGGAACTATCGTGCGCTCTGGTCGCCAAAAGAAAATCAGCTTTTTGCATCTGCTTCCCAAATCTGGCAACGAAATTGCGCATGCAAACGGGATCAGTAGCACAATCCAAAATGTCATATACAAACTATCGCTGTAGTACTCAGCTGCCACTAGATATGGCAGACCGGCTGTATATGCTGTATACAAAATCATTGCTGGAAATTGTAATACGAGATACAATACTGACAACGGTAGTAGCTGAAAAGCCAACTTCTTGTACTTGCGCCATCTTATCCGACCGAGTACATGATATCGACAGCACAGCACTCGAACGAAAAGACTCAAACTGAAAAGTACGGTGATCAACGCTGGAGCTATGTAATTACAAATGCTATCCACATAAGTGCTCCACGGTGAATACATGACGCAAACATAGAGACCACAATACCTTTTAGTACTGCTCAAAATCACATCACATGGTATAATCAATTGAGTAACAAAATAGAATACGACTGGCCAAAGTATGCATATTACCAGTGGTACATAGTGGAACAAGAAACGTTTGACCTTTGTTGACAAGAATGATGAGTGAAAAAATGAGAATGTGTCGTTCGATGGATGCCCACGCCATCAATGTAAAAGCTGCGACGTACATAGATGGTCCAACGACTGCCCACGTTTTGCAGAACTGGTATGTGAACGACATGACTGAGGTGTTGAAATAGAAGTAGATGTGCCAGATGATGTCGGTGAGACTTTCGATGAGTGCACAGATGAGAAGAAGGATGATGACATGATTGTTGAGTGCTTTACGGAGTGAAGAAAAGCGAAGAAAGTGATAGAGATCGAAAATGGTAACTAGAACTGAAGGAATGAGTAGTACTAACATGAGCCAAGCACGAGTATACCAAGAAAGCATTTTGAAAGGATATCTTGCGTTCAATTTACACTGAAAGACAAAAATAAATAAATGATAAATGTACTCTATTGAGAAAAGAATAGCGTAAAAGTGACGAAGTAATGCTCGGTCGTGCTATTCTTTTTTACTAATTATCCGCTTACGTCAGTTTATCCCTATTTTCAGTTTTCGGTGGTTCATCGAAATTCTTTGATTTCTACTGGGTACTCGCTGAACGGTGAAAAGTACATCTTGAACGAAGCACAATCTCAAAAGTATTGGTTTTGAATGTTGTCGTCAGAAGCGTTCAGGTAAAACGACATATTTTGCTAAATTTTGAGAAAAATGTACCCTCTAAGCTTAATTTAGCTAAAATAAGAGAGAAAATTTGCAAACCAGAAAGTAGACAATCAAAAGAGAGCAAATGCTAAATCTTAGCTATGTTCGTCGTTGTTTAAAACGTTTTAGCACATCATGTGACAGATGTCTTCTGAAATGTCGAAGATTACAAAAAAAATGATGGAACATGGCACGTTGTATAAGTATGAGAAATTACGTTTCGATATGATTTCTCTCCAGAAAACGTACCGGCATGAAGGTCGATTACCATAGATGAAAGAATCTCGATTAGAAGGAAATCTTGAAAAAATGTAATTCAGTATGAATGCGAAGAAACAATTGTAACTCACGCAAAACTGATTCGATGACATCACTGGAAAAAATTACTCTGACATCATACTTTTTGAGTTTGGCTTGTTGGCCTCGAAGAATTGACTTAACTCTCCTCAGTGATGTACATGGATAGCTTCGAGTTCATTATATTGGGTAGCGTATAGCAAACGGTATCTCATTTCGTCCCTCTCCTGAGCGTTTCATTTATACGCGCATCCATTTTTATTAATCATATTTCATAGCAAAAAAACATAACAAGTTCTGAATGTGCGATGCTAAGTAAAATCTATGTCCTAGATATTAAGTGCCAGTAAAAGTGACGAATCAATACATTCTGTTCAATGCAACTTTGAGGCAATCTGCTTGATCGTTGAGTGCTATTGTTTGTGGAGCAACAGTACGCTGTGGTCGCCAAAAAGAAATCATATTACTACACTTAATTCTCAAATTTGCCATCGAAATTGCGCATGCAAACGGGATCAGTAGCACAATCCAAAATGTCATATACAAACTATCGCTGTAGTACTCAGCTGCCACTAGATATGGCAGACCGGCTGTATATGCTGTATACAAAATCATTGCTGGAAATTGTAATACGAGATACAATACTGACAACGGTAGTAACTGAAAAGCCAACTTCTTGTACTTGCGCCATCTTATCCGACCGATTACATGATGTCGACAGCACAGCACTCGAACGAAGAGACTCAAACTGAAAAGTACGGTGATTAACGCTGGAGCTACGTAATTACAAATGCTATCCACATAAGTGCTCCACGACTCATATGTGACGCAACCATAGAGACCACAATACCTTTTAGTACTGCTCAAAATCACATCACATGGTATAATCAATTGAGTAACAAAATAGAACACGTATGTAAACGACATGATTGAGGTGTTGAAATAGAAGTAGATGTGCCAGATGATGTCGGTGAGATTTTCGATGAGTGCACAAATGAGAAGAAGGATGATGACATGATTGTTGAGTGCTTTACGGAGTGAAGAAAAGCGAAGAAAGTGATAGAGATCGAAAATGGTAACTAGAACTGAAGGAATGAGTAGTAGTAACATGAGCCAAGCACGAGTATACCAAGAAATTACTTACTACGATGTCTGTTTCTGAATGTGCAATGCTTAGAACTTTATTCATACATCCGAGGAGCGTTAAAAATGTAGCGGAAAAAATGCTCGTCCAAGTTTGCATCCCTAATTCTTGCTAATAGTACATCGTAGGTTTTTACGGTAGTGTTGTGATGATTGACTGTGTGTATGTCAATAGTTATTGGAAGTAATAGACTTTCAAAATCGATTCAAGAAATCAATGATTCTATGTGAGATATTACGTATGTGACTCGGCGTCGCATAGCATATGAAATAGATGTTTTGATGTGGAAGGAAAACACTTGTGTGGAAACTGAAGAGAAGAAATGTGTTTTGAGTGTTCTGAGTAATATAGAAAACAAGGAAGCACAAAAAAGATATTTGACTATCGTACTGCTGTTAGTTTTATATCTTTTCTATTAATTCTACCGTTGCATATGTCCAATAAAGCAATTTTCGGATAGTAGAGACATCTGAGATGATGACTACTGATTCGTTCATGAGCTCATTTCCAATGTATACACATACATGAACTGAGAAAAAAAGGTGAGTAGTGAGGTTGTTGTTGTTTTTCTACAAATATGAATACTTATATGATCATAAATTGTATAGTCGAAAATCTTTATTTTAGACCTCGTCGTGCCTTGCATCAAAGACTAAACAATGTCGTCGATCACCCTACGTCGCCTGGCTGCAACTTGTCGACCAATATACAACCGACGGACTTTTACTACCAGTTCACCTCTCTTTGATGATTCCGATAACAAAACAAACAGCACAGCTAATGCAACAGATGCCATACGAACAGTAACTCTCATTCCAGGCGATGGCATTGGTCCAGAAATTTCCAACAGTGTGCAAAAAATCTTTGAAGCTGCTAACGTTCCATTGAAATGGGAATCCGTTGATGTAACACCGGTGAAATCGGTAAACACGTCGTTTGGGTACTTTCCTAATTTTTACATTATCATCCTACTTTAGCCGGATGGCAAATTCCGCATTCCTCTTCGAGCCATAGAATCTGTAACAAAACATCGAATTGGTCTCAAAGGACCATTGGCAACACGTACGACAAGAAGTTTTCATTCTTCAACTTTAACAGAAAACTTACAGCGTGTTTTTCTTTTAGCTGTCGGTAAAGGTCATCAATCGCTTAATTTAGCTCTTCGTAAACAATTCAATCTATTTGCCAACGTTCGTCCATGCAAATCGATCGAAGGTATTTGATTCTGAATACTTTTCAATCCCAGATCGATTTCATTCATTTAGGATATAAAACACCATATACGAATGTTGATATCGTTACCATTCGGGAGAATACAGAAGGTGAATATTCAGGTATTGAACATACAATCGTTCCCGGTGTCGTTCAAAGTATTAAATTAATTACGGAACATGCTTCGTTGCGTGTTTGTGAATATGCATTCCTCTACGCTAAGCAAAATAAACGAGAAAAAGTAACAGTTGTTCATAAAGCAAATATTATGTAAGAAGATGATGAAACTTTGTACGATTGTTTATCATCTTGTCCTACTAGGCGACTATCTGATGGTTTGTTTCTAAAAAGTGCGCGTGAAGTAGCTGAAAAATATCCCGAAGTCAAGTTCGAAGAAATGTACCTCGATACAGTTTGTCTGAAGGTAAATTCTTCACAACTATTGCTATCTTCAATGAATCTTTTTCCCTGAGTAGATGGTTCAAGATCCAACACAATTCGACTGTCTTGTCATGCCAAATTTGTATGGTGACATTCTCAGCGATCTTTGTGCTGGCTTAATTGGTGGCTTAGGTTTGACACCTAGTGGTAATATTGGCGAGAATGGTGCTGCGATTTTTGAAGCTGTCCATGGTACTGCACCGGATATTGCTGGTCAAGATAAAGCCAATCCAACTGCTTTACTTCTAAGTGCCGTAATGATGTTGAGACATTTGCATATGCCTGACAAAGCCGATCGAATCGAAAAAGCGTGTTTCGATACAATTAGAGAAGGAAAGGTATGTATAAGATTTAGATTAAAGAATTTTTCGTCTCTGATCACGTTTTTTTCCCCCATTGTTTAGACCCTTACTGGTGATCTGGGCGGTAAATCGAAATGTTCAGAGTACACAGCTGAAATCTGCAAACGTATCAAAGATTCACAATGATTTCCGAACAAGTCATTCTAAGATCAATCGTCTAGGCATAGTTCTCTGTTTGTGTTATATTTAGCAAGGGAATAAATAAAAAGATTATCCTTTTTGTTCTTTGTTTTCCCAACGTTATAATTATCACCATTAAAAATATTTTATACCAGCGATCTCATTTTCTCTCTACGGTCATTACATATATATGTACACGCTCAGTCACTTTCGGCTATCGATTTCTATTTTAGAGCTGAAATGGTTCTAAAAGACGGGAGCAGATAAGCACTGATAAATGGGTCATGCAGAGTTAACTGGGAACTTATTTCAGGAAAGTAAATCGAGTTATCTGGAAGAAAATTCTGGCAGAATTATGCTTATCAAGGGTCAATCGTAGACGAGAGTACTGTGCAGATAGTACGGTCTATTATATACACCTCTCATAACTCACACCCAGTTGCTTACTTCTCCTCTCTTTTCAAAAGCTAAATTCTACAAGATAACAGACGACAGATTTATTTAGTTGATCAATAGCAAAGCCAAAACTTCTATAAAACAGATATGCTCTCCGGAGAAGAGAAATAAACAGAGTTTCTTTTCCTTGTAGTATATCTTTAACTTCCGTTTCTATTCATGCACGTACTTTTTTTAAACGAAATCACCTTGAAAAAATTGCATTTTCACAATCATTAATGACAATAGTTTTTCGTCCCATATCTCAATTTGATCAGTCAGCCGTCAACGCGGGCCTGTCAAACATTTGTTTATTGATTTCTAACCATACACTGAGCATTTGTTAATGTTTTATTAGTCAAAGTCGCAGTTCTTTTTTTCTTGCAATTTGCCAGCAGGGCGCCAGTACGATATACAATTACTTCTTATCGTATCCATGAAGCTTCAATAGTTGATAATATTTACTTTCAGTGGACAGAATATGTAATCATGCGCTATTTTCTGTATAACCTAACAATCTTCTATAAACTTTCATGGATATCATAGGCACACGCTTATATTGAAACCACTCGGTAGAGCGAAGTAAAAACTAAAGCTTGGTGTGTAATTGATTCAATTTCAAGGTTGTCTTATACTGCTTATACCGTCTGTAATGATCGACACGGACAAAGCAACGGTTTTTTCTTTAACTTCGTGGTTTCGCACGAGTGCAAATCGGCATTGTTCGTCGCAGAATATGAGTTCACTTTCAGTTTATTTCATCCTGAGAGCCAATTTCGAGAATCCTGGACGATCTTGAAGATTGTAGAGACCAACTTAGCGTTTTATACAGCTCACAAATGATTTGAATTCGTGAGCAACCATGGATATAGGAAGAAACCGCTATTTCGTCTTTTGCGTTCATTGCGGACACATTTGAAGCTAAATCAATTATCTATTTAATGGTTTATGAGCGAAATCTACTTGTAAAAAACTACCGAGTGGTTTCAATATAGGAGTGTGCTTATGATATCCATGAAAGTTTATAGAAAATTGATAGGTTATACAAAACAACAGTGCATAATTATACACCATGTTCACCGAGAGTAAATATTCTTAACTATTGAAGCACCATGAATACGATAAGACGTAATTATTGGTCTTGAAAGTCGTATACAGTCGGCCACAATATTTTCATCTGATGTTGAAACTTATTATGCACAATTCTGCTTGAATTCGTTCCTGCAAAGCCCATTTCATTTTTCTAAACTAGGTCAACAATAAATTTCCAGCAAACTCTGTGGTCCATTCATCATTACTTATCCGTTCGTGTCCTATAATTAGATTCAAGGGCCAGTGTCCTAGGTTTAAAAAAATATAAATAGCGAATTGTGACTAATTCTAATGTCTCGCTTCGATACCCTTGTGAGAAAAAAGTGCATTAGATGACTCATCTTTCCCATGCAGTATATAAAGACCGTATTTTGTCGTTGTTTTTATAGAAAGAATTGAAATGAAACTTGTGACAGTCTCTGCTATTTCTCTTATCTTTTGCATTGGTATTCTGGCTGAGCCACCTTCTTTATCGTCATGGAATCTGGCTTCATACATTATTGGTAACAGTGAATTTGTACAAAAGAACTTTCTTGACTCACCTTTGGATTTCAATGAAACATTCCCATGGATAGATGTAGATCTTACGCTTGACGCTAAAGGGTCACAGTGTACTCAAGATCTTCAATCATTAGCTCGAAGTCTAATTACAAGACAAACATGGGCACTGAAAAGTGAGTATGTTCGAAATAATTGAGTTCGTACTAGATAGTTTGTTTTCAGCGCTGGATGCATGGGGTAAATTTCCTAGTGGAGTCATGCAAGGTAATGTCTACTGGACCGGTTCAGTTCAGGAATGTGCGCATCTTTTACGTGGACTAAATGACAGTGTCGTTGAGCAACCTTTTCGAACTCGTACTTGCGTAATTGGTAACGGTCATTCGTACAATATTCGACCTGTTTATGGTATTTGTGTGCCGAAAAGTTGTAGTGCAAATGATCTTGTTGTTTATATAAATAGACGTATGTAGATAACTGACGATCATCATTGACTTTCGATATCGGAGCTTTTATAGGTACGATCCGAATTCCATTTATTCAACGATATGTTCATTTGACAAATGGCAGTATTCGTTGCATTGATTCTCGTCCCTACGATGCAAAAGCAACTTTAACCATGTAATAGTTCTATCGAACAATTATTCTCTCCTAATTCATTTCAGTCGTTCTTTAGCGTTCTTCTATCTCTCGTCGTATGCATGATTCTGCTCTTTACTGGAATGCACTTTGTCATTGGACATCAACTTCCACTACAGGACAGTCCGACGATTCGATCTGGATATGAAGCAATTCCTGGTGAAACTATAGCTACAACAACCAATGCAGTCGAAGAACAAAGTGAACAATCACCTCTAGTAGCACAAACACAGCAATCCACTAATACTACAAGTAGTACACATTCTTGTTCATATTCGTTTTTTAATACAATGACTATCTTTAGTTGGCGAAAGAATAATTAGTCACTGCTCACTGATTAATAATTATCGTACTATGAAAAATGCTGGTCAACCGGGGGCATTGACTTGTTTGGACGGTATTCGAGTTATATCCCTTTGCTGGGTTATTCTCGGTCATACATTCGTGTATGCTCTCTTCTACTCCGGTAAGTTCTTTGATATACGGATAATAATTAGGAAAACATTTTATTGTTAAACTATTAGCTTCTCGGTAAGAAATATGAGAGATCGATTTGATTTTTGCTCATGCTCTTGGATCTCTTTCTGACTGAGAATCTATGATTGACTGTCTGTTTAGATAATGTATTGGTCATTTTCAATTGGATGCGCCAATTTTGGTTCCAAATCATCGTTCAAGCTGCGTTTAGCGTCGATTCATTTTTCTTACTAAGGTAATTTTCCCCTTGAGGGATAGATGATATTCATACGTAACTGATGACTTCCTTCTTGCAGTGGTCTACTCGTATCGTTTCTATTTTTTGTATCTAAAGTTAAAGATGAACGATTTTCAATGACAAGATTTCTTGTTCACCATTACATTTATCGCTACCTAAGGTATGAGAACCGTTTCATGTTTTACTGGTTGTAAGTTGTATTCTTCGAATAGATATACGATATTTTATGCGATTATCTTGTTAATCTATATTGCTTTATCGCCATATTTGGGTCAGGATGGTCCAGTGTATCCAGAAAACGGTTCAGAAACATTATCATGTCGACATACATGGTGGAGAAACCTACTCTATATAAACAACTTTTTCGATTCTCGCTATAGTTGTATGCAGGTAATTGACTAGATCTAACCTATTTGAAATTCACAACAACAAGTGAATCTCATTTAGGTATCATGGTTTTTAGCAACAAACATGCAACTTCATTGGATTGCACCTTTGTTTTTGCTGGCAGCATCATGGTAGGTGATTCTCAAAGGTAGACAACAAAAGGATACAGTATCTTCAATGATTTAGGAAATGGGTTTTTGGTATGATTGTTGCTTGTATATTCATTACGATCGATATTATCACAACATCAGTGATCATGTCAAAAAACAATTACGATCGAGGCATATTGAGTGATTTCAAATTGAATCAGTCGAATTCCTCTCACAGTTATATAAATGATGTTTATATCAAACCCTGGTGTCGTATCGCTCCGTATGCCGTTGGCTTACTACTTGGTCATATTCTTCATGAATTACATCAACATGAAGATACACTCTCTTGGGAGTCAATTTTACCGCGACGACGACGATTGATACGATCCAAACGTTTCCAACAGATTGTCGGTTGGGTCATTGCCTTAACTATCTTAGCAGTTTGCGTTTTTGGTACATATGGTGATTATAGTGGACATCCGTTAACTCCTTCAGGACGAATTGCGTTTCATACTCTGGCGCGACTCGGCTGGGCCATTGGATTAAGTATTATTATTGTCCTTTGCTACACGGGATATGGAGGTAAGATGAGTGATTATTCGAAATGACTTTGTTTAATGACATTTTTTTTTCATCCCACAGGTGTAGCGAATAGATTTCTTAGCCATAGAATATTTCGCTTTCTGGCAAAATTAACTTTCGGTGGTTATCTGTGGCATTCATTAGTTCTCTTTGTTAGCTATATCGGCCGAGATCAACCCGTTCATTATACAATAACAAGCATGGTATGATCTTTGTGTTTATCTCTTTTTGTTATGATTTTTATCTCATTCTTTTGTTTTAGTTATTCAATGCACCTATATACATTCTCATTTCGTATAGTTTATCATTTCTTACTTTTCTTTTCATTGAAATGCCCGCAATTCAATTCTTGAAAACTGTATTTCAACGTCGAACAAATAGTCCTAATTAGAAACGTTTGCGTTCGTTGTTTTCTATGTATTATTTAATTTCGAATAAAATTTTCTCTTTCTTTCCTCGACTGAAAACTGCCTCGATAATTATCTAACGGTTGTACACATCATATACGTCTATGTTGAACGGACGAGTATAAAAACAGTTCGTTTTTCTCACTCGACTTCATTCCCATCGTTATTCACAGTTCAAACCAGTACACTTTTTTCAATCCATGGCTCGTCGTTCAGCTCAAAAACGTAGTCGCAATCCAAATGCTCCAAAGCGAGGCAAAACAGCTTGGAACTTGTTCTTTACTGAACATCGGGACGACGTTAAGGTAAGTACAACTTTGCGTCGTCACGAAAATCTTCGATTTGTTCTTATAGAAAGAAAATCCAGCTTTGAACATTCACGAAATCCAGAAAAAAATAAGTGAAATGTGGCAACAATGTAACGAAGAAGTAAGTAAACCGATTGGGCTACAAATCGATGTTCATTGAAATTTTAGACAAAACATCAATATCTAAAACAGCAACAAGCCAATCAAATTGAATACGAAGAAAAATTAGCAAGATACAAAGAAGAACAAAAGAATAAACGATCTCAATCGAAAAAGAAGAACAATCAAGGTGGACAAACTAAAAAAAGCAGCAATAATGATAGCAATAATATCGAAACAAATAATGAATAAATATCGTTCGTTTATTTCTGTCTATAGTTGTAAAATGTGTGTTTTTGTCATATTAATATTGTACAGTTCGTTTCCTATTTATCTGTCTGTTTGTATTTATATAGTAATGTTGTTCATGTTGCGAACAAACGAAAGATTTTAACAATAAATGAAGTAACAGTCAATCGAAACTTAACTGAATAGTATCTATGCATAGAAAGTGACGAATTCTTTTATTTCAATCACAAATATGATACAAGAGTGTAAATCGTAGGGATGGAAACATCTTGAACAAAAGTTTGAACCATATTTGATATAGATTGTCTAAGTACATAAACACGATCGAATACAAAGGATGCTAAACAATGAATATAACAAATATGATACATTGGATCGATGGCTATCTGTTGCCGAAAGTGAATCTTATGATGAGCCATGAATCGATTTTGTATATATTCGATTGCATTGAGAACAAAACAAATGATCATCAATGGGGTAACAGCCTTGCTCCGAGTCAAATTGTGTTTTACAATTCTGAAGAAGAGAAAAGAGTCGTTCTCAGGTGTGTATGTGAACTGTTGAATACGTACTTCACATCGATAACAATCGACATGATAACTTCGATCGAGCGCTACGATGCGAACGGTTTCTTCTTCATTCGATGTTGGTAAAATTGGTTGATGGCAGACAAAGCATCGTGGGGCAAATTTTTGATGGAAACAATCAATACAATGAATTTGCATGGCGGCATCGACGGTGAATGCAACGCCATCGAGACTCTTCTTACAAGCAATGCAACAAAAACATTGGGCATGATAAGGTTTGCCAGTAGCACGGAGAATCTAGATGAAATAAATCTTTCTATTACTTGGATTTCAACTATGGTACAAGTTACTCGATCGGTGATTGGTAAGGCACAGACCACACATTTTTCCAATGAATGCTATACGAAAAAGAAATGCCACAATCCGGAAAATGAAGAGTTAAACGTACGATATAACATGATTCACAGTAAGGTTGGTTTTCCATTGAATAGAAATGCATACCACGCAGACGACAACCGCACATTGTACATGTGAAACACGGAACATGATACATACGATCCATAGCGACTAATCCATTCGCTTCGCCAATGATTTCATCATTACATCTTCCACATGTTCCTTTCAAATAAAGTCAAGTTAATTTTTAAGACAAATTGTCGAAACAAACCTATGACATTTCCTTCAGTTGCTGTGTGAATAGTTCTCATTAGAAGTTTTGCTAAATGGTCGATGTCGGGCTGTTCGCGTCGAATAAAATGACCATTTCGTATTGATAGAGATGGTGGTGGTAGATTAACAACTGCTGGCGGGCGATCAAATGCATTTGTTGTCGGTGTTGTATAAACCATAACTGGCGTAAAACGATTTGACGCATCACGAATTTGATGAAATGTCTGTAAAAGGAAAAACACGAATGTTATATCAAGGCATCAATGGTATTGATATGATAAGTACTTCGCGTTGTGTTGGACTGGATGGAGTTCCAAGTGAGATATGAAATGCGCCACTAGTTCCGTTTGTTATCGTACTACCGTTGGGAGTAGTGGTAAATGTAATTGGTTGATTAGTTCCTGATCGATTGATGGATATTGTCGGTGAATCTGGTCGAGAGATACGAATTTCATGTAATGTTGATTTGGTTGCTTTTGGTACGGATGAAAAGCGAATTTGCTGACGATTTGTTGAACCGCCTGACGCAATTGTGATCAAGGGTGATTGAGATGCGCTCACACTGATTAATGCTAGAAACGAGCGATACTCTTGTCAACAATAAAGTCGAAACACGTACGTGATTAATGATCTCAGTAAGTTATCAATAGAGAACCTATCAATCATTTGACTCACCGCTACGTTGATTGTTATTTGCCGATCGATATTGTTGATTATATTGAGAATGTAAGGAACACGTTGGAGATGATGGTTCATGATCAGAGAAATATGAAGTTGGAACTGGAGAACCTGAAAAACGATTTTCCTTGAATGAATAGCCTAGAATTCGCTTTGGCTTTGTTTACCACTTATTTGATTTGCAGAGTATTGACGTTGGAGTTGATATGGTTGGTTATTATTCGTATTATTCGAATAATCGAATGGGTCTGGAGTAATTTGTGATCGATAGAATGGTCGAGGACTTATTAATCGAATTGTTGTTGGACTTGGCGAATGTCGATCTAGGTTCATTGTTGAGGTCGAAATGTCATTTCCTCGATACAATAGCAAGACTTAGGTTTGACTAGAAAGATGTTTTTCCGATAAAGAAGAAAAAGAAGACATCGTATATACATATATATACGGAATACAAAAAAAATAGGATGATGTGTATATACTTGGTGCGTGCGTATATGAGTATCAACACCGACAATCAGACACCACCCACACGCAAAAATAGACGACAGGATGGGAGAACGGTAGACGAACAAATCCAGTCGGATTATCCGAAGGAATAGACGAAAGGCACAGAACGGAAAAGAAAATCTGTTGTCGATGTTTTCCTCGTTCGAAGGATATGCCGATGTGATATTGTATGTTCATTGATACCAGTTCTTCGCTCTTTTCCCTTCTCATACTAAGTAGAAAGATTCTAGACAGTCAGATACTTGTTGGTGCATTGGATATTTCTCAAGTCTCGATACATCAGCTGACTTCTTCTGACAACAAATGTCGAATAGACACAATAATATTGCCAATCGGGTTGACTTTTCTATGAAAGGAAAATAATTCTTTTGCATTATGATATTTAGAGCGAATGAGAGGACGAAACAACAACAACAACGACAACATATCAATCATCAGTCATTTTCAACAGAGTAGTAGCACTCGTAGAGACAATCATTTTGAGTCATTTTCGAGCAATCACGAATATTTACGAATTTTCTCTGAAAAATCTACAAGCGAAAACGTTTCCGAACAATAATTACTTTTGTTTGCATACGTTTAATGTACTAATATTATTTAGAAAAGAACTAAATAGATTTATCTTCATTAGCTATCGTCAATGACATTCAACAAATTGGTCAAGACGACCAGCTCTAATGGTCTCTTTTCAACACGTTTGCAAAATTCGATTTTGCCTTTGTTGCATGTTCTTATATAGAGTCTATATACCGATGTCATATCTTTGCCACAGTATATTTAATGCATCGAGTTTTTCTTTCGATAGTTTTCGACTGAGAACGAAAGAATGTTTTACGGCTCTCCACTTTGTTAAAGCAAACAAAAATCAGTCTTGTATAAAATAATTTAATTCTGGTTAAGAAAAGTAATACTTGTGTTGTTGCTTTCTCATTTCGAGAGTTTATAGATGAATGTATGCTTTCTTTTCCTTTACAGAAATGATGAAAAGGTAATTTTTGAAGACATTGGGAGGTAGAAAATGAGACACATTCTATCGCTCTGTTTGAATTATTTATACAAATCGCGTATATCTACATCATTCGCACAACAAACCAGCAAGTTTATTTCACAAGATGGAAAAAACAGGCACAGTCGTAACTCACACATATGAATTTGTCTACATGAAGAAAGTAACTACAATCATGAGAAGTACCAGCACACAATCTCGAAGCTAAGGAATGTGATTACCCACGTTGTTATGTTTACAGACCATGATGAATGTATCGTATTCGTTTTCAGTGTCACAGATAATGTAATATGCCTAATAATTTCAAATTTAATCGCACATTATATACTCTACCATGTGTACATGGTATTTCTCAAATCTATTCAATCTCAATTCTTCGTAATAGCCACCGATCTCACGGGCACTTGTTAACTCAATGGTGTGAGCAGAATACAGCATCCATTAGTATCGTAACGCCTAGCAGAAAAATTGATAAGTTGGGTCTGTGTTTCATGTACACACACGTTTTGAAAAAACCACTGTTGAATATTGAATTTGAACAGCACCATATTCGAGAATCTACTGAATCTTGTCTTGCTGCATTTGCTGAAAATAGAGACGAACTCAATGAAACCGAACGACTATTTCGCAAATGCCATCAGAAAACACTATTGATCAGCTGTACATGAAACAAATCACGATGAAAATATGTTCCAACGAATTTACAGTTTACCATGGACAAGATTTACCACGATCAGTCTTTAATGAGCTGCAGAAAACACAAGATGCATTACTATCTTTTAATAGTTTCTTATCTCCTGGTAAGAATCGAGGCCTCACACATTTTAATGCCGAAAGTAACGCGAGCGGTGTCGGCTTGATTCCAGTCTCTTTTGTTATCAAAATCGATCTGTAAGTGCCCACGACACCATCTGCTTCGATCCATGACGTGAGTGGTTTTGAAAGTGAGGCTAAAGTGCTTTTTTCTATGCACAGCATTTTCCGTGTACAAGACACTAAACCAATTGATGAATGCGGCCACTTCTACGAAGTAAATTTAGTCCTCATCAATAACAATGATAATGGGCCAAGCTGCTATATCTTCGAATATTTACAGAACTCTACTTAGCCAGAAAAAAGATGCTATTGGAAAATCCATCAAGGAGAGTACACACAAGCTATAAAATATCTGCAACAATCGCTTCCTCCCAATCATTCTGTTCTGATTGCATGCTGCAATAGCGTTGGCGGTGTACATTTCGAAATGGGTGATTACACGAAAGCACGCTCATTCTATGAACCTGCAATGGGAATTGGAAGAGTAGTATTATCGTCGAATCATGCGAAACTGAGAGTGTATCTGTTCAATCTCGAACGGGTCGAGTTTATTCTCAACTTTCTGAATAGTGAGTAAAACCTAAGGTTATGCATGTTACGTGTGTAAGCAGATGGTTGATGCGTTCGAATTTTACAGAGTCAAACACAAGATAACAACGGCTATTATCAGAAGAATGATAGATATACCTAAATGTATGGCGGCAAAAATAACATTTGAATCAACTCGTGCATTATTGACTAATGGAACTAATCAGCTACAAAATTGCTCGAGAAAAATTCGACTAGGTCTATAGTTCCTATTTTCTCTTATGTTTTGTACAAAGGCCGAGTTGTGCTACCAAAATAAATAATAAAGGACATGTAACATTCATTTCAATCAAGACAGAAATATGCAAATATGAATAGTTCAGTAACACTGCCAATTATTCAGAACGCAATGTTAGTTTTTAACGACAAAGCGCTGGAAGAACAAATACGCCCACTGTTTGCTTTTAAGGATCGAACGGAGAATAGGAGAGTCATATCATGACAATATTTCGATTCAAATAGTGACTAGTCTATCTGCTACATCAGAATATCGAATAACCATCTATTTTCACATACAATATAATTTAATGATAAATCGTCCGCAAAGCTTAGCGTAAATCTATGTTTTCCCGCGTCCAAATATGAAACTTCGTGATATTTTTTCTATTAACAATTGATCACGGCCTGCGCAGTGATAGAATGGATTCAAATAAAGCCATAAAAAGATCACTGATTTTACTGTACAGGAAATTTTTATTCGTACTTAGAAACAAACGAGACGCTTCCGATACAACCTTTTTGTGTCCACTTTGTCGTTCCTTTTCAATACGAACAGAACAGAGATATTGAGCTGCATACCCAATTACGACAGATATGCATGTCTTCCATCGAAGTACTGCCTACTGATGATATTGAATTGTGCTCATTAGTAAAATTCTTTAATGAAAGCATTGATGTAACATGAAAAGATCTTCATCAATTTTTTGCAAACTGCTGAGACAACTACTATTATAGAAAAAAAAACCTTGCGCACATAAACCAGAACGCGGAAAAATTTCATTTCGTTAGAAAACTACAAAACATCGATGTCATGCATCGGTGAATGACTAAATTGAATTGCGCTAAAAACTTACCTTTTTCCTTCTTCCTCTCTCTTCTTTTGTATTGTACGACGTTTTGACCTTCGATTGGTCGATAACAGCCGCCATTCGTAATAGTATCGCCATTTTGTTTTGGCATTCAAATTCCTTTCAGTTTGGTCTCCACTATTTGATTTTAAACACTCCAAACGAAATTATTGGACAACTTTAGTGACTTCTATTTACCCACTTTGAATTTCTTTGACTAATTTCGATTTAGATCGATATTTGCATTTCATTTCTGTCGAGTGCTAGAACTTTACACAATCTTATCATGGTACGTAGATTCTTTCATTGATCAAACGCATCAAATCGAGTTTTAGTCTAAGGATAATAAAAAAACAGACAAACCCAACTATGCATCAACCAACAAAAACTTATCAAAACCAAAAGGACGTTCGTTTTGTTGTTCAATGTTTATCTACACTTTTGTCTTCGTATCTGGTGTAGTTGTTGGTAAGTCAAACAGAGCTTTTGATATGTTATACAACTGAATTTCGAATTTTCTTCAGCGACTATCTTACCAGATTTAGCTGGTCATCATTTCAAACAGCCCTATGGCAAAGAATATGGTAAATAATACTATCCGATTAGTAATGATGGTACCATAATGTAATTTTGTAGGTGTTATGGCTGAACGAGTCTTTCAAGATTTACCGAAGTATTTGAAAACTTTCAAAGAAACTGCTTTGTTCGTCAGCCGAGAAGTAGCCGATCGTGTTTGGGATTTGAAAAGTGAACTCGAACGACGATTTGCCGATATGAGTAGCAAAAAGGATGATAAACCTAAAAGTAAATTCGAAATCCAAAATAAACCTTTAATTTCTGCTTTTTTTTTCTTCATAGCAAAATCTTCCACCCAACGTTCAACTACCCGAAGTAAGTTCACTTTGTTTTAAAAGTTCTGCTACACTAGCAACTTTGTTTATTTTTCATTCAATAGACCATGATCATGTTCATTCATCAAATGCCGATCGACATGCCAAAAACAACGATTTTTGAACGTTGATCTCATGCTTCCATATGACCTCTCGTCGTAACATGATGAGTGACCGAAACGTTCTTTTCCATCGCTTTTTTTTCTTATTTTTATCGTCTTTCATTTTCTGTTCTTGTTTCACTGTTTTTACTCATTAAATAGACTCACACCGAAAAGCGATTCTCTTTTAAATGAATTGATGGCAGCAAATATACCATAAATCGGAATTTTTATTTCGATTCACTGAGATATACAAGAAATACGAGTTCAGCTGATCGTTGTCGATTTCGATCTTGGAGATTCATCTTTTGTTAAGAGTATTTGATTTCCTATCGTAGATTCTTGATAAGGCTCAACAAAAATTGATTGAGATGCATTTGATACTGAAGATGTCAAGTTACTATCAGCGGGTTTTGTATCTGGCAAGAATTTTTGACGTAGTTTAGAGATTATTGTTGGCGTGGACGACTGCACTTGTTCTTTTATCGATGTCGGCGAAGAATGTTTCGCTTCCATGGAACTGATCTTAGATGGCGTCATACTACAAAGCTGAATGAAAAGAAAAAACGACAAACTCAAAGTAAACTCACTGGAAGAAAGCCATCGATAGAAAATTTTGCACGGAAATCCAGAAAACTTCATTCCATTGCTTGGAAAAATACACTCGAAAAGTGGCATTATCCTCGAGACTCGAAATAAAGGGTAACGCAAACCACTCTTTAGTCCATTCGCTCGATTGTTGAAGGTTTTTGTTTAATTTCTCGAAAAATTCATTGACTTTATCCGTTCGTGTTGATTGCACCGCATGTATTAGATAGCATTTGTACAAATAATGTCGAATTTTCGTTGATACGCTCAACAATTGCGAAGGATTAATCTTCAATGTTGACAGAAGATGTTGTTCGATTTGCGTCCAATAATCGATCAAACTGTTCAGTTCGAACTGATGAATATCGAGCGTTAATTGTTCAATGATCTGATCAGCTCGGTAATGTTCAAACGGTAATTTTGACAGTTCATTATCGAATGAGCGCGTTGTTGAAGTGAAATTACGATAGTGAAAATAATCTCGAAGAAGATCATCAATGAATGAGAATGATGTAGCCATGTTGACTATGATTTTTGTATATGATGAATGAATCGAGTGTGGTGAATGTTCTGATTGGTCATTTCGTTTATTTACTTGTTTATTTGTTCTTAAGTTGAAATGCAAAGATTTTCGTGATAAATTGAATTGAATCTCATGAACGTAACACTGCGACGATTAATTTCGTTCAACGATAGATGGCAGAGGAATCATTTAAGGAAATGTTTGTTCTGAACAAATAGATTAACACCCAAAATGAAATCATACAAATAGAAATTCATACGTATATCTTTCTTCTAGATAGAAAGACGATGACGGCAACTGTACTTAAACCGGAAGAGCTTCGTGAACAAGGAAATCAGGCATTTAAACAAGGAAAATATCAAGAAGCTATCGATCGATACACAGAAGCATTAACTATTCTACTTGAACTTCCTTTATCTGAAACAGCGAAAAACGATCTCACGAAATGTTACAGCAATCGTTCGCAATGTTATATCAATTTAAATCAATATGAAGACGCCATCGAAGATGCAACACGAGGTATGTTATAGATTATTTTGTGCTTGAAATAGTGTAGTGATTTTATTCCTTAAAGCGTTGGAATATACGCCAGCTGATCAGAAATCGTTATATCGTCGAGCGAATGCATTTGAACGGTCAGGAAAATTGAATGAAGCTATTTCGGATGCACAACGATTGATATCTATTGCACCGAAAAATGGTTCCGGAGATGAACAAACGAATCTTCTTCTGAGGAAGTTACGTGAAAATGCACAGAGCAAAGTAAGGAAATCTTTTTCGGTAAAGTTTATAAAATTCATTACTTTTCTCGAATGAAACAGCATACGCAACAAACACAATTAACATCTCAAATCCAACAGATGTTCAAAGCTGTTCGATCCAACACGAATCCAGAAGCAGTACGTATTTGTGTAAAAAGGATCGATCAAAGCATGCATTTAGTTCTCCTAGGCGTTGAATAATCTCCTTGTTATCTCACGTGAAGATGCTGGTGCAGAGGGAATTCTAAATTTTGATCCAGAATTAAAACTTATCATAGAATTTATGCAACAAACCGAGCGCATTATCCTTCTAGGCACAACACGAGTGTTAGCGTCCTTAGTCAAAAATTCCTATAAACGAGTAAGATTTGTAGCAGATCTTTCTAGCTTGTATATACCTTGGATACGTCATAGGCGGAACTTATTTATCTGAAACTTGGTCTTCCATCTATTGCACGCTGTTTAGCTATGAGCGATGCTGATATTCCTGCGAGTGCTGCTGTATTGCTTCATAATATGATCATGTCAATGTGCGATCTTGAGAATCGTCGAAAAATTCGTAAACCTACCAATGTTCCATTCAATTTCGGTACTCGGATTCCTCGTTATTCGATGTTGTAAATCACGTTTTTTTTCTCCAAATCATCTAGATCAATCGGTGATTGAGTTTATTAACAATACATTTCGAATGTTGATTGGCTTAATTGATGATAAAACCTGTTCTGGTATTGGTCGCGATTGTTGTCTTGATCTTGTGGTGAAATTTGTCGATCGAGCAAACGGCTGTAACTGGGTTAATAAATTTGTTGTTTCCGGTAAGAATTGCAATTTCTTCTGATCGATATTTTTGCTATTTTCCTGATTTAGGTGTTCCAAAAGTTTTACGCGTTGCATCAACTGTTCCAGATTTAACAGACAATGATATAAAACCATATCCAATCACGGAACAAACGAAAATGCATGTCTCCTGTGTGCTCAGCGTTGTCTATCATGATTTATGTTCTGATCAAGAACGTGAAGAATTCAATACTGAGTGTATGGAATTCATCAAGTAATTTTTTGTTTAGGATGAAATCTAGAGGGTTGAAAAGAGAATGTTGCGAATTGTAGAGCTTTGCGAGCAAAGGATGATGTTCAATCAAGAGTGCGAACAATCTCTGTTCTAGCCGTTCTTTTACAAGGTCCTTTTGATACGGGCAATACTATTCTAGGCAGTCAGAATTTAGTCGATCTAATGATACAAATGGCTGGTTCTGATGACGTTGTACAGCAAGTAGGAAGGAGAATACAATTCATTTTTGATTTACTTTTTTCATTCTTTTTATACTAGCGTATTGCTGTGGAAGCGATTGTTCTATCAGCATCGAAGAAAGATAAAGCAGCAGGTATTTTATCGCAAGGCGCTGATATTTTGAAGAATCTTTACCAATCGGCAAATGAAGATATTCAAGTTCTTGCTCTTGTGGTACGACAGATCCATCTTTACCTACTATTCTATTATGACTTTCTCTAGGGTCTGTCAAAAATCGCATCGAGTAAGGGTACAGACGTCAGTGGGAGCATCGTAGCAGAAGGATCTTGTCAAACACTCGGCCGTGCATGTTGCAAGTAATAGCTAAGCCATTTTAAGTTCCCGTCACATATAATCTTCTTTCAGATTTCTAACAACAAGCGACCGTTTTGATATTCGCCGTTGGTCAGCAGATGGCTTGGCTTATTTGACACTAGATGCCGATGTCAAAGAAGATCTTGCTGATAATTCACTCGCTTTGAAAGCTCTCTTTAGTTTATGTCAATGTCAAGATGCACATGTTTTGTATTCGTTAACAACAATTTTTGTGAATCTTACCAATACGTATGATGTTCATAAACCAGATAAAGAAATGACTGAATTAGCAACGTATGCTAAACAGCACATTCCAAAAGAACATCTAAAAGTAATGCAACGAAAACGGGCATATTGACTTCAAATGAGTTGTTTATTGCTTGCAGGATGAAAAGAGTTTTTTTGACGAACGCCGAAGAAAACTAGTCGAAGCAGGTGTCATTCCGGTGTTAGTGCAATTATGTAAGCATAAAAGTGAAAATTGTCGAGAACAAATCGCACGGTATATCAAGACTTTTGTCTTCATTTTAATTCTGGCACCTCTTTATTTCAGAGTATTCCTTGGTCTTTGCGAGAATGAAAAACATCGGGGAGTTATCGTTGCTGGCGGTGGCGCAAAAGTACGAAGATCTCCTTCGCTCATGGAATAACTTCTGTTTCTTCCAGGCTTTATTACCACTGGCTCTCGAAGGCACGCCTACTGGTATAACCAAAGCCACGCAAGCATTAGCAAAGATTTGTATTACAACAAATCCAGAAATCGCTTTTCCTGGCCAACGTGTATGTTGATTTCAAGTAGTGTGACTTCAACTTTGAAAAATATCATCTCTTTCGTTTAGATGCTCGAACTTGTTCGGCCTATTATTAAACTTCTCAAACCTGACCGTACAGCTCTGGAAAATTTCGAAGCTTTGTTGGCATTGACGAATCTAGCGAGTATCGGCGAGAGCATCAGACGACGAATTTTGAAAGAAGATGGTTTCTCCAACGTCGAGCAATACATGTTTGAAGAACATCCCATGTTGCGACGGGCAGCTACTGAATGTATGTGCAATTTAGTTGTCCAAGAAGAAGTAAGAGAAATAATAGCGGATGTCTGTCATGTATAACGTTGAATTAGGTGGTAAAATACTTTACAGCAGAAAATGACCGAATTAAATTATTGGTTTTATTATGTGGCGAAGAAGATGAATCGTTGATAAGGGCAGCCTTGGGAACATTAGCTGTTCTATCGTCCCTACAAGCCGATATTGAATGTATCAAAGATCTGAATTTAGAAGATGGCGAACGGCAACGGTTGAACAATCTGATCAATGAAAATCGAATCATTTGTCGAAAGATACTTGATGTTCGTAGATTCGCTCGAGATTTTTCGTTTGAAAATACGATTGTTGGTATTTACAGGTCCAATCATTTGCCGAAATATTTAAACATTTGTGTGCGTGTAATAATGCTGATTTACAATTTCGTGCTCTCTACATTGTGCGCAACATCGTCCAAGCGAACAAAGACCTCGCCACGCGAGTAGTTGAAACCGATTTAATGGACATTTTATTTGCAATGAAAGAAATAAAAGATGAAACTCTAGTCAATGAAAAGGTAACCAACATCTTCTCTACATAATTCAGAAAAATTCGATTATCTTTGTTTGTTCTTTTTTTTGTAGAATCAAAAACTTGCTTCGGATATTGTTCAACTTTGTTTAAAATATGGTCTTATCCAACGAAATAAAGATCAAACAAAATGATCAACCCAACGCTTTTCTTTTCTATCTTCATTAATGATACTGCTACACTTCGCTTTTTTAAATTTAATAAATACACACATATCTTAAATGAACGATAGTCCCTCTATGGCTCTGTTCAAAATCATAGATGTCACTGAGTTGAATTGATTTGCTAAGTAACCTCTCCTTCATCTCACATCGGTCATGGTCGGACAATAAAGAAAGACGAAGTGGACAATTGTGAATTCTAACATTAGAAAACGTATAAAATGAATAGTAGCACCTGGCAACATCCATTCGTGAACATATTCAAACATTTCGACATTGGTTCGACGAAAAAATGCGCCAAACAAGGCGATATCACTGCTCTTATGGTACGAGTTTTTGTTAAAAATACCGACTCGAAGTTTTCTTTCATTCTTTGATTAGGATCGTGATTTGAAATGCACGGTTTTCCGCATCCGTGGCCTCGTTCCAGCGAACAATTACATTCAATTTCCTGCACAACTACCCCAGCAAAATCTTGCTTTGATAGGTCGTCTGTTTTACATCTTATTTCGTCCTACCTATGATAAATTCTTTTCCATTCATATCGATATCCTTACTCACGAACAACATGTTGTTCGTATATCATTGTCAAATCTGTATCGCGAAATGAAAGTCACTCAAACATGTATTCAGTTTCCTTATACATCGACAAGTCAGGACACGCATTGGACAGTGCTGTGTTTGGATTTAGAATCTATCGTTTTAACTTACATGACAAATCAACATTATCATGTGGTTAAATCCTTTCAATTATGTGGAAATATGATGGTTAAAAATTGTTTCTCATCGCAATTTTTCTACGAGCCTGTCATGAGTCCACATAAAGCCAAAAACAAAGGTTTGAAATGCTCGGCGAATCGCTCGCTGCCACGTGAACTATCGTTTCCAATTGGAAAAGATGAATCTTGGCACAGCAAATATGATTTCATTATCATTCCAAGTTCATCCTCAATATCGGATCTACCTTCCACAGAAGTTCTCAACGACGTTCGTTTACAAACACCTCGAGAAATTAGTCAGTCAATGACCGATCTAACTTTGAACACCCACAGGACAAATTCACCACGAGATAGTCAACTCGCAACAGGACGTTCGGCAAACCAACCAATTGATCGTTTTCCATCTTTGCCTGCCATGCATGAATCATCACTTCCATCGGTTTCATCACGCAGTAACAATGAAGGTATTCATCTTTTTATTAATCCTCAAGCAAATGGTGATGAATCTAATTATGAACTCCTACCATTACCTACCGATCGTTCCCAACAATCACACATACCCGATCCAATTCTTCGACTACGCACTATTATTGGCATCGGCAATGGTACGAACTACTGTCGAAATCTTCTCTGGACACAGGATGGAAATTATGTTCTCTATCCTTCGAATGCAGTCGTTGTGCAAATGCATGCGGAAACACAACAGCAACTATTTTTTATTGGGCATACGGATAAAGTGAGTGCAATTGCATTCAACGGAAATTCTTCATTACTAGCAACAATACAATCTGGACCGAATGGTAAAGAGAGAAACAAAAGAGTTTTCATTCCTTGTATGTGTGGTTCCTCGTTTAGGTATTCTTCGTTTGTGGAAATTTGAGACTCGCCGTTGTATTTGCGTGGTTCGCGTACCAGGTACATGTAACCTACATGCACTCGACTTTGGTATTCGTAATCTGACGGATTCATCGTCGTCCTTGATTGTTGTTGGTCATGGTGAACATCCTCAACAATCCCGCACTGTTGTTTGTGTTTATAACACGTTAAATGCACACAAAGGCTCAATTGATTTAATCTGTCGAGCAACTACCGATGCAACGATCACGCATGTACGCTTTGTTCCATATGATTCATCACGATTCATCTCCATTGGTTCGGATAATATTCGCTTTTGGCGGCTCAAGAACGGCAACGATTTGAAATCGATGAGCATATCGGTTGACGATCTCGATCATTTAGAATATACAGATCTACAATTTGAACATTTAACAACCAGTAAATTGAATGAACTACTTGTTTATATATCATCCAAAAGTGGTCATGTATTAGAATTATTATACGATGAAAGACGTGTAACGAAAATTCATCGTCTATTACCGAAAAAGCATTCGGATGGTTCCACGGATAAGATTACTATGGGCGATGGGCCATCAATTGGTATTTGTGCATTTGCTTGTACAAATAATTTCTGTATTACAGGCTCAAATGATGGATTTGTTCGAGTATGGTCGAATGACTTCACACAAGTTTACATCGAAGCGAAACATGACCAAGCGATATGTGGTTTGAGAACATCACATGATCAAACGCGCGTATTAATCTCAACGATCTCAGGTTCACTTGGAATGTTGAATCTCGTGAATAAAGAACACTTGCATCTCATACGTGCACATACGCAACGTGTCACTGATATTGATTATGATGATATCAAAAAACAAATGATTAGTGTGAGTGAAGATGGTACAATAAGAATCTGGTGTTTTCGAACAGGAAAACAATTGTCCGAATTTACCGCCGAATGTGAAACACCTGTTGTTGTCACATATGCACCGAATCGACAACTATTCGCATGTGGATTTGACAATGGAACAATAAAAATCTTCGATTTGAATTCATCGACTATTTCGACAGAGATTACGTAAGTTCGAGCATCGATATTCATTCTCAAATTTGCAAGTTCTTCTGTTTAGGCATCATACGACAAGTATTACTGGTCTGCTATATGCTCATAATGGCGGCCGTCTAATCAGTAGTGATGAAGAAGGAAATCTATGTTTGTCGGATGCGAATGATAATTACAAATTGCAACGTACAATGTCCAAAGCGTTGTTTCCATTACCAAAAGGTATGGCAACATTATCGATCAGTACAGATGGTAAACACACTGCTTACGTTGGTCCAACCGAATTTGTTGTTACTGTGGTCGAAACAAACAGTTTAAATCAAACGCTCCGAATTGATATAAGTAGCTGTGCTTTAATAAGCAATGATCGACGAACAACGTCGTCAAATGAAGCAGCTCTATTTGTTCGTTTCGCACCGAACCGGCAATTATTAGTTGCAACTACGAATTTGAAATTACTTAAATTCGATTCACATTCGGGAAAACTTCTCAACATCGTAAGTTGACTTTTAATACTGTTAAACTTCGCAACGATGCGTAATTCGTCTATGTTTAGATAAGTAGTGTCCATAAAAATTCGTTTGATTGTCTCGCTCTATCGTCCGATAGTCAATATTTGGTTACAGGAGGTGATCAAATGTTAAAGTTCTGGGACGATGTGAATTATCAGGTAAATTTCCGTTTAATTTTATTGTATAGGATTGATTTAATCTGATTTATTTAGAGTTTCGTTGGTCATTCGGAGCCTATACGAAAAGTATTCTTTACGGATGACAATATGCATGTAATTAGCATCGGAGATTCAATCTTCATCTGGGATGTACTCGCATGGACGACCCCAAGACCGAATTTACTCGTGTTAGTCTAATATTTTTGATGCTACAAATTTTTAAACAAACGTTTCGTGTTTTTTCAGTAATAATCAACATATTGCTCATCCAGCAGGTTAGTTCCGAAGAAATTCTAAGGGCAAAACAATATAATTGACTTTTAGTTGCTGAACGTGTACCTGTTCGATCGAACTTTGAGACGAATGGTCAACCAAGGAATCCTCCAGAACCGTTTCAGTACAATCAACAAACGAATGACAATACAGCACGAGCCATAACACGATCATTGTCAAATACCGAGTTGAATAAAACAACTAAGTAAGCAAGAATTTCTAGTCATTTCACGAGGAAACTCAACGTTTGTTTTTGAAAGGAAAATCAATAATAAGAAATTTGTACTAAAACAAAACGATCATCTACCAGCGATTCGACGTCATTTCATCCAACGAACTACTCATTCACAACTAGCAAAAGTGACATATCAACAGTTTTTTCAAAAATCTATTCACTCTTATGTGTTTTCAGAAACGATATGTCGCTCCGGCTAACCAAGAAAGTCTTAAACTGCAATCCGTGATTGGTTATAACGGAAACGGAAGAGAAAACCTCGCTTGGCACGCACACAATGGATTCTTTGCTTACACAGTTGGTTGTAATGTGATTGTAGAGAATCTCAACAACAATTATCAAACAATCTTAACTGGTAACATAGATTGATTTTTGAGAAAGAGAAATGAAGATAATGATTCACATCTTTCAACAGGACATTCTGAGGAAATCTCGACAATAGCGCTTTCCAATGATGTGACGATCTTCGCAAGTGCTCAATGTTCGTCGACCACAACGAATAAAGATGAATTACAAGCGAAAATTATCGTTTGGGATATCAAAACACTTCGACAAAAGTTGTCTCTTCATCAGACAGTTCATGCGATTCAATCAATGGCTTTCTCAAAGTATGCTATAAAAGTTCTCACGATTGTCAAACGACATTTTGCTTTATGTAGAGATGATCGCTTTCTTATCACAGTGGGTGACTATCGCAAACCTCAGCTGACATTATGGTCAACTCAAGATTTCACTAATCTACTCAATTGGCAAGATGAATCATCATCATCGTATATAAATTGTCTCACTTGGAATCCCATGCGTGCCAATGAATTCTGTCTTGGTTGTTCGAATAATCTCATACGTTTCTGTACTATTGTCGAACAAACCAATGATACGAATCTACGATTGCAAGTGGTTAATGGTCAAGTGCCATCGTCGATTAGCGAACATACGAAAAAGACATGTGAGATTACTGCATGTACGTATTTAATATCAAGTACAAATCTCGTTCTTTGCTCGACTAACTGTGGCTTTATAACCTGTTGGAATACGCGAACAAATGTGTGTTTACTTCATTGGAAAGCTGATGGCAATGAAATCTGCTATATGTCATCGATTAAACATCAGTTAATCACAGGTTCATCGACAGGTTGTTTACGGCTGTGGAATACTGAAAATCTGGAAGTTAATTTAGGATTGCCAAATATGAGCGATTCGTAAGTTTGACTTTCGAAACTATTCTGCATATCAAACCATTCGATTGGTTATAGGAATTATGGTTTAACTATTCAAGATGAATTCCAACTCGATGATGGAATTATTAGTGGAGCATTTGACAATATTTTCGATATGGGAATCATTGGTACATCATGCGGATCTCTGTGGTACATTTGTTGGACAAGTGAACGATCAAAAACTCGTCTTGTCGCTTCACATACTGATCGTATTACGGGCGTTATACCTATCGAAGATACACATATAGTTACCAGTAGTTTCGATGGAACAATTCGAATTTTTCAATTAGAAGATCGAAATGAAATTCTTCGCTTTGATGCCAATGGTTTAGTAAGTCAATCGATCGAGATAAACCCACTCTATTCTGATTCATTTTTTTAGAAAGTGACCTGCTTGACCTCGTGGGATAACTCGATTCTTCCAACAGCCGATTCATTTGGAGCAGCAAGTCCGATCAAGAATATTCAAACAACGGTTCGCTCGATTGTCGCTGGATACAGTGACGGCACGTTACGAATTTTTAATCTTCTTCACGGGCAGATGGTATTGAAATTGCATCCACACACTGCATCAATTAGCGCGTTGCATACACCATCAAAAAGTTCGCAACTAGCAATCTTGCCTATTTTGCGCTTAATCTTCTTGCTTTTTTTTAGCGATCATTTGCCTTTCCGGAGCAGCAGATGGTTCTGTCGCCGTGTCTGATCTTGCTCAAGGCATCGTTCTACGCGTATTGAATGATCATCGTGGCACTGCACCGATCTGCATGATCGATTCAAAACAAATTCTCGAAAGTAATTCTTACATGTGTTTGATTTCCAGTCATGATCGACGCGTTAGCTTATGGAAAGCCAATCATCAGTTCGATCTTTGTCAACTGATCGACTGGTTAACGTTCTCCGCACCATCTTATCCACCGGATGGTACGACCCACGAAAACAATTGGCAGTCGTATCCTCCAAGTTTAGCTCGATTTATCGACTCCAATCTTTTGCTGTATATCGGTTATGGTATAGACAAATCTATTCAAATCTATAATCTCGACACGAAACAGATCGTGCGTACGATTCCTCTGAGTCAATGGTGCACATGTTTCGACCTATCAAATCTGCAATTCGATCATGACAATGAGAATCGTTTGATCGCACTCGGCACGAGAGATCGTTTAGTTCAATTGAAAGATTATACTCAGGGTACATTTCAGGATTTTATTGGTAACAGTGATACATTAACAAATGTAAAATTCATTCATAAAAAGTCGCATGATTTATTAATAACAACATCATCCAATGAAATATTTGTTTGGAAAGTACTTTTAACCTAGTTGAATTTACATGTCATGTAGGTGTTAGCTACGTCTCTCTTTGTTTTTTTTTATACAACATTTATCTTCAAAAGTAAACAAATAAATAAACTCTTATAGAATAGACAAATGACTTTTGTCAGGCATGGAATTCGTGTCGTCAATAGCAAAGTCATGCGCATCGATCTGATTGCGAATGTCAGAAATTGTCTTCTCAGGTGTAGCCCTCTTCAGCTTTTATGAAACGTCTTTATTTAACTCTGCTATTACTCGTGAATATCTCAACTTAACCACGAATTCATTAAGCTTTACATTCGATCAAATATTACCGAGTAGAACTCGTGCGTCATAGATGCAGACCTAGTCTATTCATAACTTTCTGAAAATGTCATTCTTTCACTGCGAGATAGGATATCCTCCACAGTTCATAATCATTCTTCTCAGTTACTCACGAAGGTTTACCATTGAGAAATTCATTATCTAATAAGAGAGCAAGTATCTAAGTTCATTAAAATCTCAAGAGTAGATCACTTCACTTACATCTCAATGTATGCACAAATTAACATTAGGTCTGCAGACCTCATTTGCCGCTATTCATGTGACTTGCTTCCGGTGTCTTTTTCAATCATCGAACCAATTCCCTTTTCAATTAACATCATACAATGAGTTTGAAAAGTTGGACAATGAAATACTCCTGTGGGTTTTATTCCAAATAGTGAGCGTTCACCAAAGGCGCAATAGAGGCATTCGTGATTAAGTCGATTCTTTTCAACAAAACGAATGATCCGTGTTAAGCACGGTCCTTCCCTCAATTGCCACCCACTCGTTTTCTTGCATGGTATAATAGAAAAGAGATATGAGAAATTCTTTCATTCGTATTTGTCTTTAGATTAAACATATCTCTCCAGATGATCTCACCACGCATTTATATTTTCATCGCTCTGCTCATGTTAATACTACCTGTGCATGGTATTAATTATGTTGGATCGTTAACTGGAAGCGAATGTAAAGCTTGTAAGTAAACTTGTTTGCATTCAGCAAGTAGTTGGCATGTTGAATTTAGATTTCGAATCGGACGATGTGAACAAAAATCTTCAAGCACTATTCAGTTGTCCAAAAAAATGGCGACCAAAGTCAAAGAAGCGGATCTCTCGCTTTGAACCTCAAGAGTTCTTTCCTGCAGGCGACGAAGATCGAAAATAAAAATCATTCGAAATCAATTCTCAATGCCTTAATGTATATACAGTTATAGGTATCTGTATTCGATTGTAAAAGATTTCTAGACGAGTATTTCCTTCATTCTTTGAATAAACATAAACAAGAAGAACTCTACTGTGGCCAAGAATGACTAAATATATGCTTTGTTTGTTTTTCTCTTCGGGGAATGTAAATAGGAAAGAATTGAAGAAAACATTTGAGCAGAAAAATGGAAGAATGCACAAAGAAAAAGAGAAGAATTCTAAGCTATATTTACCACATATTTTTCATAAAGAAAAAGATCGAATTTTACACAAACACTATATATTATTATGACTCGACACGCCTACCAATTCGTTTTCAATCTAGTGGGCTTTGTTGCGTACTTAGAACTGATAGCCGATAAAAAATACATACTATCACGTTTCAAGTCTGTCTCTATATTAAAGTATCTTTTTACTCTTGCACTAACTTCGTGCTCTATCTATTTTGGCTTGAAATGAGAACATTGACAGGTTGATTTGGACATGCACGCAAGATTCTTTTATTAAACAACGCGATATATTCGATGTATTTTCTGTTCTTGTAGAATATCAATCCGTCGATGATGCTGATTCGTATTTACTTTTTTATTCTGATTATTTCCTATACGATCACAAGCCATGCTTTTCCATCTTTCGAACCGTTAACAGAAAAGCAATGTCAGGCATGTAAGTTGCCCATCATCATCTCGTTCTTGAATGGTTTCTTTCGGTTCTATTTTCATTAGATATATTTTCTAATGATCGTCGAAAAATGATTTATGCATATTTTGCTTGTCCGAGAAACTTACAAGCCAAATATAGAACCATCAAATCAACGATCGCGAAACGCTAATCAAACTTCGATTAGAATTGAACATTATTTGTTTACACTGAGCTGTGAACCGGTCTACTTTTTCATTTCATTGAATAAATACAAATTTAGTTATGTTGATACCTAGCGAGATCTGTTGGTAACCGGTCCATTCAATTGATACAAAAATAGATATTGAAAGTTTCAGGGCGTCATATGCACCTATATGTATAATGATTGTGTACTACACACGTAACACGGATTTTTCCGTTTGCAGCTCCCTTACAGAACGCAAAAATAGGTGAAACAGGTTGGAAATATAATGTTCTGTATCTCAAGGTTGAATCATCGAATCTATGAAAAAAAAAGCACTCGCTAAAAGTCTCATGAAAGATCCCGTTTGTGTTGTATAAACTCTAATGCACTTTTCGTAAAGTAGATTATTTGAAAGTATCTCGTGAAAACAATTCACCGTACGAAAATACTTCGGCAGAATCAACTTGCTTCTTTATTCGTCATTCGAAAAACGTCATTTGTTTACTTCCTTTTCTGTTCAGTGACTAACTAGGCGGATTGTCACTAACGTACAATTTGTGTGTTCTGTTATATAAGATGTCGGATGACTATGTCTTACATAGCTTGGTTTTTTCCGACGTTAATCATCTTGTTCGCCTTTCAGTCGAACTGATGCATTTTATATATGTTACCTTTACTTACACCCGCTTCTCATTCTTTTGTACGTTTATTTGTCAGAATTGCATCATTTTTAAGCGAGCAAAGTAGAGAAAGGTGTGTTTTATTCAACATTTATATTTACATCGTATGAGAAACTGACAAAATAGGAATCGAAAGCTAAATTGTGACTTCGAATTCTCATCACAAGAACAAATTTGTCATTTTCCTCTACTGGACTTTTTTTACAGTTCATTATTTTATCTTTAAGATAACAAACAATGAACAAAAGCTTCTATCTGTGGTCCATTTTATTCTTCTTGCTGGTGACTTGTATCCATAGTTGTTTATCGGCGTCAATGTCTGGAATAGAATGTCGAAAAGGTAAAGCAATGACAACAACTACACTCGGACTAATTTTTCTTTGTTTTTCTTAGCTTTTGGGTCGGGAATTGGCAAGCAATTCATTAAGGCTTTGCTTGAATGTCCAAAAAAATATCTATTTATTCGCAGTTAGAAATCTCGAATTTTGATTAACTCTGATCGGTCTCAGTGCCTATGCCATTTATTTGCTCATCTATGGTTCACATCAATTTTTTTAATACGAAGTTTGATAATAAATAGTTAACTTGTTCTTTTTTCCTCTGTAATTTTGTTCTTATTTTGCAATTTGTTCATATAAAGGAAGAAAATCGCTGTAGCCCACGAACTTTCGATGACTAATTTTGTATTATTCATTCAGTACAGAATTTCGATCTAATAATCTATCGGAGGCGTTATGTTATATTAACAAATAGCCGAGTATATTTTAAAGTAAAGAAACAGATTTGCCCCTAGAAAGTAAATAGATGTATTGACGCCCACTGATTTGAATGGAAAAAGAGTGTTCCGTCGAATGTCAGTGTTGTTTTTCGAATTTATTCTTTTTGAAAGCTAAGTAAATTCTAAGTGTATAAAACCACGTTGCTTTCATTTTCCGCTACGAAAATGCATTAATCGTATACAGTGAAAGCTCTTTATTCGTAAATACTATTGAATTTTAAGATAAAAACCAGGCTACATTTGGATTTTTTGAATTTCGGCCAGGAATAATCAGAGCATGGATGGTTGAATAACATGCTTCAGAATGTTAGTATTGACGATGTCGGCTCATTCGTTGATTAATTCCGAGGTCAAGCAAGTCCAACAGTCACGAGATTTTGCGTCGATTCGTTTTTAAATCAAGTTTGTCGAGATTAATCGTACGTTCACTGTCCAAGTCATGCTGTTTAGTTCGGTGGTGGAAAAGATTCGCTGGATACGGTTCAAGGTGCCTTCAGTGCGTATAAAATGTTCTCCGATGGTCAAGGAGGTGGTGTTCTCGATGATATCAGTACAAATGATAAAATTGTAAGGTGAGATCAACGATGGGTGTTAATGTTTCAAGTTCGACCTATGACAACCCACAGAAGATGTATGCTTTATACAAATAATTCGATAAGAATGGTGACGGAAAGATTACTGCTGAAGATATTCAAATCTACCTTCGAGAAATGGGTCTCGGTGAAATCTCACCATGTATGTATTTGAGACAAAGTCATTGTTTAGTCTGTCATCGAGTCCTTTAGATATGACAAAAGCATTATTCAAAGCGGTTGATAAAAATGGAAATGATTCATTAGATTTCACCGATCTAATGGATTTTTCGACTATGGTTAATAGATTCACTGGTAACAATGCTCCATAGACTTGATATCTATTGAGTAGTTAGACTTTTTCAATTTTTTCTAGAAATAAATGAGTATTACAAAGTAAAATATCAATCATTTATTTATAAAAGATACATTTCTCAAGATTCTACATCAAAATTGCCTATATGAATCAATCGATATCGTGATCATCTATGTAGATGATAAAAGTAATCAAATATGAAATCTAACTGCTATTCGATCGCTTTAACCAAACACCACCACTTGATTCGACCGTAGTTGATTTCAATATATCCCGTTTATTAGCTGCTGATAATTGTTCGTAATCTTCTGTCGACGATATGGCATCTTGTCGGTGAATAATCATGACGGTTTTCTTGCGAAGTTGAGGAGTTAAGATGGGCGTTTCTTCCGTTACTGCATCCGTTTGTTTAGAAGTACTCGTGAGTGGGCGCTGTTGAGTCGCATGAAGACGTGGTGCTGAATAACACAGGCGAAGCGAACGTGTTGGAGAGGCCGTAGCAGAGTGTTGTGCTAGGGAATGTGGCGATGGCGATCTTGAAGTGCGACATGTGTGTGGCGAAGGTGAACGTTGTCGACTGTTCGCTTGTGAATGAATACTTAATTGTGAATAAGGTGATACCGATGGTGAAACATAAAGTGGCCGTGCTGGTCCTGTTGTTGGTACACCGCGTGGTACGGACGATTGCCTCGAGTATCGATGATGATGTAAATGATGTCCATAAGGTGCTAAACTAGCACGTGGGGTGTACAGTTCGATAAGTTCACCTGTTAATATTGAATTTCGCTTGATTAAGTGTGATAGTTGATGACTTCGTGAGCTTTCACGTCTTCGCGAGCCAATAGTTAACGCATCATTGATACCTCCATATTCACTTTCGAAATAAGTCGATCCAGTAAATATTTGTGAGAAATAGGATGATGCAAAATAAGATGATGTTGACATTCGTTGGTGTCGTCGTGAATTGGTCGATGATTTTCTTAGTGATAGATCCTTTCCATTATGAATCTGTAATGTTAGATGACGAGAGAATTTCAATCGACATGGTATGAAAAAACATGTATGACCAGATGGACCAAGATAACAAAGAAGCGATTGAAGAAAAAACGTCGAGTAAATCACACTGATCATTGATGAGATTGTATAGATCATTGCACTTTTCGAGAAATACTGTAGAGATGAAAATAAACAAGGAGCAGATATAAAACAGATGGAAAATGTTAGATGAAATAACGTCGTGCATAACTGTTTCAACGAATATATCGTGCGATTCTCACGTTGAAAGAAGAATGTCGGAGCTAATTTATAACTAAAATACAAAACTCAAATGTGCATTTTATCGAATTCGTCCTTGAACATACCTAATCGAGTAGAGTATCGAATACTGAGAACAAATGATCAATCCAATGGTAAAATAAGACATATGTTCGACTGTTAATTTATATTTCATTAGCGTAAATATGGCAATTGAGGTTAAGAAATTAAACAGAGTTGTTAGTGTTACGAATATGCCTAATACACCAGTGAATAGGACTAAGAAGAGTAGTATGATGGTGAACTTAATACCCGTTAAGACATATTTTTCCTGTTCCAATTGTTCCATGATGGTATATGTTGAAAATATTTCACTAGACCACCAGAAATTCATATGTGGAAAGATTTTCGTAAAGAATTTTCCGATTTCATTGGTTTTCAGAATCTCGTTCAAGATCTTCCATTCCACGTAGTTATTCACATCAGTTAATATATCCCATTTGTAGTTGATTGTTTGTAGAAGATATCGGGCATTTTGCGAATCGCTGATGAAACGCAGGCCGTTTTTTATTAGAAATAGATCATCGTGAGAATTCGAATTATAATACAATGAATTCAGACAAATGATACATTCGTAGGCACTTCGTGTTTGATTTTGTGAGCATATAGATGAACAATTCAACGACGAATTTGCATGTTGAGAGATAACCGATGACAATTTCGTTGATGATGATGATGACGATGGATAATTCAAGGGTGACGAAGATAAATCACCGAAACAATGAACATGATTGATCGTTAATGGAAAATGAGTGACTCTTTTAAATAGATTCGTCGTACTAAACAAAGATCAAATAACGTTTCAGTCAAATTTTGAGTCACCGTCAAACTCTCTTACTCTGGTGATGACTCATTAGTATTGATATGTCGATGGTAGTGTCGATAGGATAGTCTTCGTTCGTTTGATTTATATTCGTAATATTGTATCTTTCTATCGACACTCAATTGTGAACAAAACTCTATTAGTTGTGTCAAATTTGTCTCCAAAGCATTTTCGAATGTATGAAATGTGCCTGACGCTAGTGTTAATTTGTTTTCCGTGTTGTAGTCCAAGATCGGAATATCACGATTCGGTATCATCGATTCATTCGGTACCTCCCAGCGTGAACCAATGTAATATGTTATGTCAATATCTAAAGATTTCATTGTCGGCAGGATCTTGTTCGATGTGAAATGGCATGGTAATGTATCGAATGTGATTCGACACACGTTGAACTGCAGTTTAGGCCATTGAAATACAATTACAAATGCTACACATGCAATCAATGAAAGACTTGTTAACCAGAAGGCTTTCAAACGTATGATAAGAAATGAGACAGTTCGGTCGATAAAACAATTCAGTTTCGTGGTTGTTAATACACGATGTAAGAACTGTTCGATTGTTGGAATGGATGATTTGTATCGAAGAATGAAAATAAATGAAACTAAAACGAAGATACATCTCATTAGCAAGACTTGTTCATAAACCGCTTGAACTCTATGGATTTCCTTTTACAATGAAAAGTAGGGAATCCGATGGTAATTAGAAGACTTTTTCTTAATAACATCCCTCGAGGAAAAGAATATCTTACTTACCGGGATATAAACTAAACGATATAAAAAGTGAAATTATAATCAGTAGAACCGCAAATATCGAAAAGCACTGTAGTGCAATAATTTGATTCGTATACGTAATAATCAAAATGATAATTGCCGTTAAGTTTTTCGGTACACAATAGTAGAAGATTTGTGTTAATAAATTTTCAATAATCCGATTGATCGTACAATCATCTCGTCGGTGATTATTAACAAACCAGCAAGCATACCAAAGAAACGAATCAATTAGAATAATAAACAAATACAATGTTATACTTGTGTAATTAAGAACCGTCATAGGAAAGTGGAATATGTAAATGTAGATAACAAATGTGAAAACAAGCGTTTGGAATATGTGAACAATAATAATGAAAACAAAGAAAAGATTTTTAACAAATGATAAAAGACATAAGATATAAAGAATAATGGTGATGTAGAGAAATGGAAGGTAACGATGGAGAAGATGTTTGAAAAGGATTTGTTCGTTATGCTGATTGAAATTGACGTGAACTAAAGGAAGTGCTTGATTCGAGGTTTGAAAATAATCATAGAAATGTAGGAGTCGGTTCGAGTGTTCAATGTGTAGATATATTTTCAATACTGAAGACGCAGAAACGTATTGGAGATAATGGTGAAGACGATGATTCGAACAGAAAGTAGAATTACACAGTAACCATTGAGATTGAAAGTCTTCTAGTTGAGTCTGAGTGAGATTTTCACATTGTGTTGAGTCAGAAAATGTATCACCGAGCAGTAGCGAAACTAAACTTTCATCTCCAGAAATCTTTTCTCCCTACAAATCAAACTATTCTCTTACCTGGTCCAACTTGTTGACAACAAGTTTCATTTGTTGATTGCAAACAATCTGCATATCTCGAACGTAAAGTCCATTCTAATTGACACACTTTTTCAAAAGTATTTACATCGCTGAATAAGTTTGTTGAGACATTTTCAAAGTCAAATATCAATTCATTATAGTGAACTAGAATGCAAAACGACGTTCATGCTTCAACGAAGTGAAAAGCAAATAAACGAACATATCGGACATGTCGGTAAATAAAAGCGTTTCGAACAAGGATTGATATGCGGGTTGAAAGATGAATATGGTACTTGGTGTGATGTCTAAAAAGAGAAGAAAATGATTTCTATTCACGAAATCTTAATTGAAGCTCGTTTTCAATCAACAATTAGGAAAAATATTTCCGATAGAGTTTATTTATAGAGCTCGTTACTTTGCTAGTCGGTGACACTGGATACAAATGTGCTGTTTGAGTTTCACGTATCAGTGCGATTAGTTTTCGATATTCATCTGAAGATTTTGTTCCATGTGCTTGGAAACCCTAGGTTTGAAAAAAACAACACAAATAATACCTTCAGCTATGTCATAAAAGTTTACTTTTAGCAGATGCCGAAAATGTATTTGATCACGTTGATAGATTAAGAAACCAATCAACATCCCCGTCATAATAAATGCCCACGCAAACAGAAATAAATGATACTTAATCAGAAATCGAGCATATCTATTACAATAGAACAATTCGCGTTGTCTTTCAAACAAATTTTCGTCGACCTACCTAGCTTTAAAATGGTTACTACACACCATCGCATATTGTACACAACTTGAGTAGACTATCGAGCCATGAAACAAACCTGGGTGTGATTATTGTCTAAAAATAAAAGTACTTCTAAACATCAGAGTATATATACATGAATTTCCCTCTAATTAAACAAGCCTATACCAGGCACATAGGGATTTCGAGTTTCTTTATTAGAGCACGCACATGCTAATTCTAATAATATCTATCTATATGTCTATCTATCTATCTAGCCAAGCAATTCAAAGAGGATTTCTCGTTGTCTATTCGTTTTTGTTTCGGTTCCTCGTTCAATTGCTAGTTGCATGTCTGAAATTATCGAATACACTCTGTTATTTATCTCTCTGTTTTAAAGGAAATAGAAATGACATTTATAGACAGATATAATGACAATTACCTTCGAAAAAAAAATGAGATAAGCTTATTCCTTTTAGTCTGTTAATATATCATGCTCTGTCATACTAATTTTCCCCCGTTATGTATATAGAGATAGTCTTTCTTTCTCCTCTGTTCTATCATCATTACACTGGAATCTGGTTTCTTCTTTTTCTTTGCAGCTAATGCACCTTAGTTGGAAAAGAAGAATGCAATTATGATTACTCAATCATACATGTTATACTTCTTCGAGTCGTAGGCGGATAAGAGTAGCGAGAAGCTTTGCTTTATCCTTCAGTTTTCCTCGTCTCTTCTCTCGTCGTCATGTGATTAGTCATTCAATCTAATGAATCGATCGGTTCATCGAAGTGCATAATTCAAGAGCATCTATTAGTTGAACTAGTGAAATTGCTGCTGACAGAAATATTCTTATTCTAGATAAAAAAGAAACATCTGTCATATCTATAATTACAGAAATGTTATTTTAAGAGAACTAATCATTGACAACTGGAGAAAAAGAAGAAGGTGGTACACGAAACAATCCGGTCATTGATGAACACGATAGAAGAGAAAAAGTATATATCCATTAGAGTTCAGAGAACACAAATCCAATATCACCGACTTAATTAGATATACGAAAAACGTCATTTGATTGAGTCTTACACTTGTCAGAAGTGTTTCCTGCTGCGTTCTTTCTCCTAACGATGATCTTCACATATCAACATACTAAATAGATCATATATCTCCGTTCTCAAGCTGTCTAGAAGAACAAACTGCGCAGCAGTTATTTTTAAAGTTTGTTTTAAATAGAAAGTTATTTTCAGAGAAATCAACAGAAATCTTTTACTTGTCATTCCAATGTGAATAATCGATGAGTATTTCTAAAAAAAAGAGGTATAATGAGAGCGAGTCGTATATATAAAGTATGCTTTTCCGATGCCACCAAACAATCTGAAGGGATTCGCCGCGTGTGTGTTTTTTTCAACTAGATGATGTGAAAATAAACAGAATGAACCTACAGGTTTCTCCATTGACGTCATCATCATCTCTTGTCAGTCGAAGCGATCGCAAAAAAAAGATAAGAGAGAGGTTATGTGCGCGAATGAAACAACAAACAAAGTTATCTAAAGATTTCAATCATGAGCGTCATTCTGTGAATGTTCACGCGCAAATTTAGAGGTTTTCAATAGACGACCTGATGACACAGCTACATGCGCCTTGAAAAAGAACCTGAAGAAAAAAGAAAAATGTCAGATAAGAAGAAGGAAACTTACACGAGCAGAAGGAAAAAGAAATGAGCGCAATGATGATAATGATTAGTACACAGTACTTATGTGTATTGACATAAGTTGCTGGAAAATCTTTCAGCGATGAGAGAAGAAGAAGAAGAAGAAGAAAGGAGAAAAGCGTTCCCTCCGAGCATTTACTAGGTGTGATTCATAGTTATCATTGAATGAAAGATAAGAAACATCAAAACAATTAGCTAAAGCGATACTCGAGTATGAACATCGAATGGAATCGCAGCTACTTATATTTCTATTAGTTTATATAAGTAAATATCTACTGAAAACAAAAAAGAAAAAAAAGGAAAAGATGGTTTTTCTTTTCGGTAATCTAAAGAAAATTTCTAATTAAGTTTTGTTTCCTGTTCATCAAACTAAACGAACCGTGAGCTGCTGTCAGTATTAAGCGAATTTACGCTCTCATTTATCTTCAATATTTCAGGAATAGAGTTGCTTCAACCATCTGTCCTAATGTATATTTTGCAATGATAACAAACTGAAAGTCCGATGCGCGTTACTCTATTAAATATTCATCGTATCACTACTGAACGCGTGTCGGTATGTGTGTTGATCTCGCTTTTTCTCAATAGCGAAGCTGACGCATGAGTTAGTTCTCATTTTTTTCAAAGAAAATACCATCGCGGAAGTCGTCCTCTAACATTGTCACTCCAATTGCTTCAATTACCTATCCTTTGAACAGAAAAATCCAGGCTCAAAATACCAATAATTTCATAACATTTCACACCGATGTAGCGATTAAAGGTTATCTATAAATATTCTATAGACAACTTGCTGAGAAAGATACATGATGGCAGGTTCTTTTCTTTTGTCCAAGGACACATCTCTATCCTCATCTATATTTCTATAATATATTATTTTTTATTAAAAATAGCGACTACAATTACGGAAGTTATGAATAATCGAAATGAAATTTCAGTCAGAGAATGTGTCGTCTCTTTTTCTTTGTTATCCCAAGAAAATAACAGAAGAACTTAAATGATGACTATTCTCCGAACGTCAATTTCATAATAAATGAAATGTTCCGAAATACTATTTATGACAATAATCGATATTTATAACCTCTTTTGAGTTTCTTAGTGCCACCTTCAATCTTGCATATCTCTGTATCTATATTTAACATAAAATGAAGATATATATAGCAGATTATATAGACTGTAAATAATTATGGATCTGTGACATGAAAGACAAACAAATCTTTCATATTTCTGGAAATAGTTCATCCTCTCGATCGCGTTCGTTGCAGAGACGCTTACAAAACTCGAAGAAGAACTTCACTCTCATGTGGAAAATCGGATATAATAATATTCTAATCAGTAGCACGCGCATGTGGCGTGAGATTTACAATTCACTGTTGAGAACAAATTCGTGTTTATTTACTGAAAAGATTCGCACGAGAAAAACAGTTATTTTTTCGTTTTTATGGATATGTCATTAATTGCAATGCAGAGCTTCTGCCCCGAACCGGTTATCAAATCAATCTGCGCTTGATAATTTCCAGAAAGCATCCAAGAACCAGATCCGATTGTAATAGGAAGCGTAAATGTATGCTCTCCCTAGAAAACAAATACAATCTTCCAATTCGTTCTCCCTTCCGTGCAAATCCAAACTTACCATCTGAACAGAACAATTACATTGTGCACAAAAAGTGCAGAGATCATCGTACACACATGAACCAATACTAGTACACGGAACGGGAAAATATCCGATAAGTATCTTCTTTCTTAATGATATCACTGCCTATAGATAGATGGAATTCAGGCGTTTAAACTCTGACTCTTCAATACTGTCTGACCTTTAGTGGAGTAGTTAAATTACTTTCAGTGTGAAAGGTAATTGTAATAGAAACGGACCCAGGAGCTATAATTGGATCTGGATGAACGGTGAGATTGAGCAGTTTAATATCATCCACATTATTATTACATTGTTTCCACGTCATATAACTGGATCCGATTGTCTAAATAACAATGTATTTATTCATAGATCGATTGTTCATAGAATATCTTACTATTTGTAGAAATAAAATCAAAGATACAGATGCCAGTTTGTCTTTCATGTTTCTCACTTGAATTTCTGGATAAGAACACTGTTTGTATGACAAGCACGATGGTCTGTTTTCTTTTCTGTTTTTCTACTTGAATATTAAAGTACTAATTTATGAAGTTCGTCAGTATATATTTTATGGGCAAAGTATGACTCATAGTGCTTACTCATATATATGAACATGAGAGGATTGAAAAGAGAATTGAGGCGTAATATTTTTTCTTCTCCTTGGAAGCGCAAAGCTCAAAGATCGGTAAGGATGTTTTCCAGGCGCCGTAGGTATTTTAGAATCCACGACTCAATATATTAACATGTTTCCAAAGATATTTTGTAACTACCGGATGATGAACGCCTCCAAAGTTTATTTTCGAACAGAATGACTCATAGATGAATAGAATATATTTCTAGTTCATTAAATAAGAGCTAGTCTGAGTCATCCAGTCAACGCATATGTTATGTCTTTACATTATTTAGCTAAAATTTTAATGCGACCATTAGATCCATTGACTTGAATCAGTTGTCCGTTATGAAATATCGTTTTTGCATTGGCAACGCCCACAACAGCCGGCACACCGTATTCTCTGGAAACAATAGCGCCATGTTGAAGCATTCCCCCCATTTCTAAAACTAACGCGCCAGCAATTGGAAACAGCGACGTCCACGCCGGATCTGTAGCCGTACAAACCAAGATTTCGCCAGGCTCTAAATGTGAATTGACTGGATCATCAACGATACGCACTTGTCCTTCATAGACACCAGGAGACACAGGACTACCTGAATATTCTCCTTCCATCAATTCAATCTTATCGGAATTTTCATCCGGTACTGTAGTTGCATCATAGTACGTAGTTCCGTCTGAAAGTAATATCAACGGTACTCGTTTGCATAACATTTGCTTGTGATATTCTGTTCGACGTTGTGTAATAAGATTTTGCCAATGTTCTCGTCGACTGTAATTCTTTTGATCTGTATCCACGGCTAATGAGTGGAGTTCGTCGATATATAAGAAGCAGATATCATCAACCTGAGAGATGAATCGTTCGTCAACAGCTAGTTCAGCTTTACGAAAGAGTTCTCGACGACACTTGCCGAACGTTTGAATAATGCCATGAAATTTAGGAGATTCGCGCACAGAGAACAGGATTCTCAATCGACTGAATAGGATGCTGAGTAATGGCTTTTGAATGAACGGACACTTGAATTGCTGTTTGATACGATTGTACGTTTCGTATGCAGTCTGTTGACTTTGTTCATGAATCTTGTCAACTGCTTTCAGAGGATTGGTAATTTTCAGATAATTTTTTATTTGTTCAAAGATTATTTGCGGTTCTTCACACCAACGTTTACGCCCGAGATCAATTTCACCGATACCACGGCAGCCATACATGCGAAAAAAGTCTTCCAATTCGAATTGAATCATTGACTCGAATGAACGTTCTTGATATAAATTTACCAGACGATCTGTTGATTCATTTTGAAAAAGTTCTCGAGTGCTGTCATTGTTTTTTATTGACACTGTTAACTTCCAAAGAGTTATATTCATTTCTGTTGTAGGATTAGACTCCACAGCACGTGTCAATGCCAATGCATCGACTGAATCTTTCGCCAATCTTTGTAGAAGTCTCAAAGAAACAATGGCTGGAAGAATACATGAGACTGCATATTGTGCAATCAATGGTGGTAATATGGAGAAAATATTTTGGAAATGATTAACGCAATCAGTAAAGTTTTGGCTACGCTGAGGATCAAATCCTTGATCAATGAACTGATGATATTCGTCTAATTTACGCTTGTACAACTGTTTTCCATACCGAGGAAAGATAAAATTTCGTATCGATTTGATGATCACAGGAGCAACGAATAGAATTAAGAAGAAGTAAAACTTCATCGCTGAGAATATCGAAGGTGGTGTGAAAGTTTTCGAGCGTTTTATATATTGAACAATCTGATTCATACCCGTATCAACCACTGACACCCCAAAGATACGCTTTAGTGGTGATGTAAACATACCGGAAATATCGATCCAGAGACGATTCGCAGCTGATTTGAAAATTTGATGTCGTGATGGATCAGAGGACATATCGTCCTCAGGCGAGGCGTTTTGGTAAATACCAACCGTGCGTAAAAAGGAGCCCATCATTGTTCGAACTGTACTTTCGCCCAATGGTGTCATAGGTTCAAGAAATCCTTGAATAGTACCGAATGACACCATACATCGTAAACCCGATTGTCCGAAAGCATGTTTTGGTATCGGAAATAGAGTAGTAATAGGACGAGCTTGTAAAATATATAATTTTCCCTGAGCGAAACCCCATTCCAGATCTTGTGGTCGATTATCGTAACTTCGTTCGACTTGTTTGGCTAATACTGCTAATTGAAGGATATTTTCATCAGATAATGCTTCCTTAATTCTCTCGTGATCTTGTGTTACTAATGTATCCGTTCCACCATTCGATTTACCAATGATTCGAATCGTTTTTTCTCCAACGTTTCTCACACGAATTTTCGGTTGTTGATTTTCGTCGAATAAAATCTCGTAATGATCGGGTGTTACTAGACCGGAAACCAATGCTTCACCTAAACCATACGTTGAATCGATCACAACTTCATTTCGTAGTCCCGTTATTGGATTCGCAGTAAATGCCACGCCAGAGACTTCGCTCGAAACCATTTCTTGCACGACAACAGCGAGTTTCACCTGCTTATGATCAATACGAGCCTTATTTCGATAAGAAATCGCTCGAACAGTAAATAATGACGCCCAGCATTCTTTGACTTTTTCAATTAACGTCTCTCTTGTCACATGTAGGTAAGTGTCCTGTTGACCAGCAAAGGAATTTTCCGGTAGATCTTCCGCTGTTGCGCTACTTCGCACTGCCACATGGAAATTATTTTGACTAGTATTCTGATATAATCTGTCGTAAGACTTTATAATTAAATCAATTTGATCATCCGGTAAAGTAATATTACATATTGTTGATTTAATGTGATGACTAGCAGTTTCTAATTCGTTTCGATTATCAACATCAAGTCGGTCGAGTATGGAGAAAATCGATTTGACTTCCTTATTGAGTGCCAACTCGTATGCATGAGTAGTTATAATGAACGCATCGGGAACGAGAAATCGGCGTTGATATAGTATTGCCAAATTAGCTCCTTTCCCGCCAACGATATCTAATTCAACGGCATTTTGATCTTCTAAATGAACAACGTAGGGAATCGACATTCGTTCAATACTAAAACACGAAGAGACAGTTTCTATAGAGAAAACGTGTTACAACAAGCTGTTTATATGCGAGCAGACACTATCCACGTCGCCAGATTTCAACGCACTTTTCGAATAAAAAGCACGACACTGGTACACAGAACGTAAAAGAGCGTACATGATTCATATTCTCTCTCGCCAGCAGACCTTTTCGTGTTTTCGAACATCAAGAAAAAAACTACCATTTTGATAAATATATATCTATATATATATGTATATGTATTTAAGTTTTCAATCCAAAGAACTGACCGTGTGTTAGATATATATGTATATAGAAGAAGAAAAAAGAGAAGAAGAAGGAAAGGCGCAAACGCTTTTACACAAAACATCGAATATGTATATTCAATTAACCACAGTGAAACATAACTGAATAAAAAGGAGGAGAAGACGAAAAAGAACTCGTGTGTAATAGAGAGTTGTAGATGACTAGAACTACTCGCGCGCATGCATTTCGAACAAAGAATAATTCTCCAGTAGGAAATAAACAAAGAAATAAATGAACGCCATACACGTACAACCGGAATTCAAACATTCAAACACACTGTACGAACAGAACACGAATGGGGAGCGCTATTGCAAAGATAAAATACAAAATCTTAAATAAAATGTTTATCAATGAAGTCAAGAAAACGTCGTGCATAGATCTCCGGTCGAACAGTTGATATGCCATCTGCATCCGAACCTGATAGTTTCGTTTTTGCCACGTGTGCGCTCTTCTTCTTCATTCCATAGTTTGTTAAAATATCGATTATACCAAGATTATATAATTCTCGACGTGTTGATGCTGAAAGAACACAACAATGCAATGACGAAACGATTAGATTCTTGACACTTACATTCAGCACTTCGCATTCGAAATGGTTCATCGAAAGAACTGTCATCGTTTATTTGTGTTGGACTTTCTATTAAATCGAAGAAAAGCGCAATGAACGTAATCTTGTATATGGAAACAAAAGCATCGCTTACCTGATCCATCTGACGAATCATTTCCAGATAGATCCGATGTATTCATATCAACACCTGATAATCTTCGTTCGCGTTCTAGAATAACCAAACGTCACGTTTTTCTTCACATATCTTTCAAAATTTTCTCCTTACCAACACCACCTTGGTCAAGATCATGAATACCAATTAATAAGGAGTAGCCCATTTTGTGTTGATTGACAAGAAACTGAAATAACGATATAGTTAATTTGCTATTTCGAACGAAGTATCTAACTTACATCAACATCACGCTTGAGTCTTTCCATGAAGACGCTCTTTTGATCAAGGCCCAATTCGATAATGCGTTTTTTTTCCAAGAAATCATTGTCTTTCAATGTTGGACATGGACTTAATTTTTCCTTATCCGACGCACTACGGTCAACAGTTGAACCCTTGACAGAAAAAAAACAGTTTAATGACATGCTTCCTCCCTCCCTCTCTCTCTCTCTTATTCGACTTACTTTAACATCATATTTATAATGAATCTTTAATTTGCTTGATAAAATATTTCGCATAACTAAGATATAATTCTCTTTATCATCAACGGTTAATCTGTACATAGCATAATAATGAGGAAGTAATGTGTCACCTTGAGTTTCGACAATGTACTAGAAAATCGAGAAAATAAACGTCATTATTTTCATTGATTGACTCGAGCAAATTAGTTCCGGATATAATGACTCTCGACGTTCTACGTTTCGTGACAATTCTTCTCAATACAGAAAGTGATGTCTGTAGGTTCATCTGGTGAAAAGAATGGTTTTCTTGCAAAATGAAGAAACGAATGCTATCGGATGTAATTACATATCTTTTCCTCATATTTTAAAGATTTCATCAGTATCGTAAACCAAGACAAACAAAAACATGATTAAACTAGTTAGTTCATTGTAAATACTTCCGATTCCGAAGGAACATATGATACTAACTCTGTGATATTCTGGTAGAATATTATGAATTTGTTCAACATCTTCTTTTGAAATGCATTTAAGTACAAAACGACGATCATATGATTGATAATACGTTATATTTGATTTGTTGACTTCATTTAAAGGTATTGGGGGTTCCGTAAGAGAATCCTAAATGAATTCACATCAACCGTTTGCATGAAATTATTCACGAACAATTAACTTACTCGAAAGCTATTATCGTGTACTTTCCAGTATTCTCGAAAGGCCCGGAATACAAGTGGACAGTACTCTTTGACTTTAAAATGACTTGGCATAACTTCCCTAAATAGAAAATCAAATTCATACAGCTTCCTTTGAACGCCTTCCCGCAGCTGTCGATGCGCACTTGTTAAAATTTTGGTTGTCAATACGAATCTTCACGTATGCTTTGAAATGCTCAGGCAAAAGCATAACTGGAATATTGACAGTTTCCAACTCATGAATCTAAATGCAATATGTTTGGCTCGGCTCAATAGCAAAGAATGACTTACAGTGAAGTTAACGCCCCACATGAGTACAGATAGTAGAGGATCATTGGCACGAAACAGTTTGTGTTTCTGATGGCGTACTTTGAATTTCGACTTGGTTTTTATCTTGTGTCCTTCCATTAATTGTCGTTTGGAATGCCGATTGACAATCTATTCGATACGAAGGAATAAGAGAAGAAACAGGAAATACTTGAGGATTTGTTTTTTTTCGATCCTTTTTATGTCTTTGCTTGGTGTGCTGCTGCTGCTGCTGCTGCCTCAAGAAAGATGAATAATCAATTATATGGAAGAAATCATCGATGGCTAATCCAAAAAAGCCAATCGAAATCTTTGATGTGAATCCAAAAATATTTTAAGTTCATTTCAAAAGAAAACTCACCGAAAATCTTCGAAAACATATCGATAAAATGTCATTGGAAAATACTCGGAAAAAGCTCGATAGATGGCGGTAGTTGTTTTCGTCGCCAGCATTGTGCATCTGTTTGCAAAAAGCAAGCAGTCACTCGGAAGATAAATTGCTTTCGCAGATGTGCAATAAAGATATCATTAGTGTATTTCGAAGATCTTCTGATTGATTTAATAGAACAGAAAATATCAAACGCAGTAAATAATGTCACTTCAGGGCATACTTTCTATATTATTCCGTGAATAATCCGTAGCAGCAGTATACTCCTATGACGCATTATGACAAATCAACTGGAAATCGATCAGTTTTAGTAGTGTTTTATTTAAACTGAATAGAGAAAAGTCATGGAAATTTCTACACATAGATTTGTCAATAATGAAACGATAAATTTAATAACACAAAGAAAAAACAAAATGTCATTGAAGATGATGATCATCGTCGGATAAGAACGACCGATCGGATGTACTTTTCATGGATAAAGATGAGTTGGAGTCGAATTTGAATTGTCTTTTATCATAATAACGATGTATTAATGGCGAATATGGATGAAAGATTTTGATATGTTCATAATGATTCGTTGGGTCTGTTGATGTATGTCCGCAATCTTCACAAACATATAACTTATTTCGACGAGTTTTATAACCGTACGTATGATTCAATCCATGAACTTTACGTTGATGTGATTCAAGACTACAACGTTGTGTAAATGCTTTTTCACAATGTTGACATTTGAATGGACGAACACCTGTTTTTCCAAGAGTAAAATAAACAACAACGATCGAGTATGGAAAGAAAAGTTCAACAAACCTGTATGTGTTCGTGTATGTCGTTTCAAGTCGAACGTATCGTTGAATCCTTTGCCACAAAATGTACACAGATATCGTTTTAATTGACTATGGTTTTTCAAGTGTCGATTGAGGAGACGTTGGAGCTTGAATGTTTTTGTGCACAGACCACAGACGAACTCAGCATCATGCTTTGCTGAATTAGCTAAAGAAAAAAAGCCTATCAATCGATGACAGAACGCAAACTAACTGTCGTCGGATTCTCTCTCAATAGACGAAACAGGTATCTATGATATATTATTGATCATTCTGTTATTGAATGATGAGAGAAAAAAACGTCAAGCGAAACTAATTCTTCATACCATATTTAATTTGTAGTGCTTCAGTTGCACAATCGAATAAAGGATTCTTGATCCCATGTCCACCATTGACAATTTCTAATGCACTAGTAGCAGTTCTTACTGATGGGCTGGATGCATTTGGTACGACATGTTCGGTTAATTTCGAATGAAAATACGACGGTTTGTTTTCCACTAGAGTCAATGGCAGTTGTTGATTTGAAAAGAAAGGTTTTCGTTTTTGGTGAGGGATGTTCGATGTTAAATATTCAATTGTAAATGGCATCTTTGTATTTGATAAACTTAAATCAAGCGGCTGTTCCATAGTGTCGCTAAATGAACAAAATAAGTATGTTAGAGAATTGAGAAGAAGAAAATCAATGAGAAATGATTAGACTAATCATCATTAAAAGTGAATACATATGTGTGAAAAAAGACAGAGTAAGGAACAAACAGAAGTTTTCAGCAGGATATCATTTCTGCAAACCTTTGATGCTTTTCATTGCTTTGTAATCGACGAAAATTTTCATCCATATTCAATGTTTCGAGTGGCACAAGTGATAATGATGCGACTTGATCATTAATCTCCTTCCTCTTCCTTCTCCTTCGTTTTATTTTTCGCGTTTTTTCCTCTTCGCCAATCACATTTCGTTTCTCTTTGCAGAAAAATCGCTCGTACACGAAAGATTCCTTTGCAACTATGTCTAAGAATAGAGAACACGTCAAATAAATTATTCACTTTCGATATTTATGTGCTTTGAACATTTCGGAGATAACACTCGACTTAAATTTAATAATTCGGCAACATTGTTTCATTTCATCGCGATGAATTACCAAGTGAAAATTACACCAGACAGCACATTCGTAGTTCACTTGTTGATGACTCAATAGCACAATGGTGAGGAGGGGACCGGAACAGTGGGTTATCAAGTGTTTCGAAAGTGCGAAAAAATAAGTGAACAGTATACAAATAGTTAGTTGTTTGGATTCGTTTGTTGCTCTCTTTTTTTAAAATTGATTTCGATATTGATCGTTGCGATTAATTGAATATTGAAGATGAGTATTTGTCCGGAAAAGAAGAGACATTGAATGTGTCAAGGAGCATCAACAAATGAAAAAGAAAAGATATTTTGTTTCAAATTTCACACATTAAAAAACAACTGATAATAAACAAAACGATGATGTCCACATTCTCCTTCGCTGTGACACTTCACTGATCATCTTATCAATAAATCACGAAAGCTTCTTCACTCGTTCGTGTATTAGTGTTGGGCATCGTTTACAACATTCGACTATCCGAAATTTGTATGAATGAGAAAATCAGCACGCACATAGACAACAGCAAGCAAATCACCGGAACGAAACGAGTTGACTACTAATCGATATTCACACATGCTGTTTGTTTGCATAGCAAACGAGTAAATGAGAGGAAAAAAAAGCGTTCATCTTCATCTAAGCTACTTACTATGTATCTATCTTGAACGAAACATGGTTCGATGCAAATGTCAAACGTGTCTATTTATGTACATCAATTGCTAATGATTGAATACAAGGCGAAAAGAGAAACTACTAACGGCTTGATGCGTTATACAAAAAAAAGTTTTTTTCATTTTTTATGCTTTGCATCTCTAATTAAACTGTATATGAAGAGATAACGAACTGTATAATCTTTTTTTTTCAAAATTATGTTGATTGTTAAGACAACTACGCCTAGAGGGATTGAGGGTGAGCGTATACATGTATAACATCGTCTTGACTTGTCCATTTTGATTGCGTCAAACGAGAAGAGAGAGAGAGGAGAAATGATCGTCGTTAACACTTGGATACCTGCTGTGTATTGTCGTCTTTAAGATGACACTCGTCGTGATAACGGATCACTATTCAATCCCCGATGACTTCTCGATAGTTGACCAAGATGAAGAACACTCTTGAACATGTATTATTCCATCGTTGTTGCATTCGAAAAACGAATGACAACGACGATGGAAGAAATAAGACACCGACAAATTATAATTCAATTCAGCGTAAACTTTTGTTGCGTGAGAGAAAACGTTTATTCAACTTCTAAAGAACGCGCTCGACAAAAGCAGGAATTGTAGTTTAGCTATTTATAGTATCAGGGAAATATTGAATTCATAATGTTCCGTTAGATTTTTAATTCTTTTTCTCATACTTAGCTTCATTTAGTTGGAAGAAAACAAACGTTTTGAACGGGCGTATTTTGACATTTTCAATCTCGAGTGCCTTCTTCATTCTGCTTGATCGACTCAAATGGTATTTTATCTGAACAAGTCTTTAATTTATTTTTGTTTTTTTGCAAAAAGCCCAACAAAACGTAGATCGAGCACATTTAACTTGATTACAAGACATGAAAGAACGAAACGCTAGAAAGAAAAAGAAACATTGCACACTGAATTCAAACAGCATTTCCGACGCTGTTCGAACCATTTCCGTTGACATCTTCAGCTATAACCAATGAATACAAACGATCACTTGGAAGTTTTTTCGAGTTTTGATTCATTTGTCCACGACGCATTGAACTCATTCGTAAATGTGTTATCGATGTTCGACTAGTGAAACTTGTGTTAGTCATGCCATTGTATATGGCCGTTGGCTTGGGCGATTGCTGAGAACGTACTGTGCTATCGAGACGCATTTCGTTCAAACGCCATTGATCGAAACAGTCACAACGCCAGCGCATCTTTTCGATCAGAACTTTACGAAAACTTCGTCGAGAAATCACATAGAGAAAGAAGTACAAACTATAATTGAGCAAATAAAACACTTCAGCGACCATTTTCGCTGATTCCATATAGTCCGATGGTCTTTTGCCGCGCACGCGTATGATACAAGTGACTAGCCAGAGAATAAAATAGGGAAAGTTTAATATTCCGAACGTGATCGAGATAACAACGAGCATCCATGTGACTTTATCGTTTTCTAATTGATTCTTGACAATCATATTTACATATTCTTTATTTGCGCTATCAATTTTTTTTGTTTGTCGCAACTGCTGTTGTTTTTTCCTCAGACGGCCAGCGCGTAATAATTGGCGAACAGTTAAAATATTGACGATACAAACAATGCAAATGGGAAATGTCAATGTTAAATTACCATAAATAATGGTCAAATAGAAATAAATTCGATTGAATTTATCCATTATATCACATTCGAGTAAATTATGGTTCTTATTTTCAATGACATCGGACATAATGAATGAATAAAATGGGAGAAGAAAGGAGAGAACGAGGATAACGAAGCAGATTCGCCGTGCACTTCGTGGATTGCACAAGACAGATGTTTGTAAAGGAAAATAGACGACAATAAGACGTTCTAATGTAAATGCAACAACAATCCAATGTGCAGCAAAGCGCAATGTGTGACGAAAATACGTTGAACCTAAACAAGAAAAGAAATATATTTGCAGTTCTCTGCTGAGTATGCACACACACACGTCAGCTAGTCTTTCAAACAATCGTCATATTGACAAAGTCGGTACTTGAAATCAATTAAACCAAGAGACAAAAATAAATGTTTTGTAAACCAATAGAAGGCCCTTCGTTAGAAAAAGGACTTTTTTCAATGCGGACAAAATCCCCTTCGTGTCTTTTAAGTAATAATATCCTTCATTCGATACATTTCAGTCTTTTGTTTTTTTCCTGTTGATTAGATGTTTGAGTGAAACCAACTCTTTCCGATTTGGATGTTAATCCTTTTCTCCTCTAATGCTATTATAAACTTACATTTACAAAGGGGGCCTGATAAGTCGATTAGGTTTAATGGTAAATCAACATTAAAGTCATGTACGATTGATCGTAGAACTTCGTCACAGAAGAAATTGAATAGAAGTAAAGCCACAATAAAGCTCACTAGATGTAAAATTTTTTTGAAAGCAGTTTTAAAAAAAGCATGATGTTCTACTTGTTATTAAATATTCATTCGATGAGTTCCGTCGAATCTTTGTTGATGAAAAGACTTTTATTGAAAGTAATGAGCCGATCATTCCTAAAAATAGAAAAGAGAACTAATGCATGCTTAACTCAGACAATACGATGCGAAAATTCAACTGGGTACAGGTGCATTGCCACAATTGACGTGTCAATACGGACTGTACCAGTTGAATAAAAGAAATACAATGAATTTAAAGATCTTCTTACCAACGATAACGAGCACGATACTCGAGTAGAATCGAAATATCATACAAGCATCTTTCAGTTTTGCACCAAATTGATCTGTAGTTGATGGCTGTGATGTAGCATGTGCTGTTGGATCCATCGTTTATATCATTTTACATTTTTATCTTCAAATACAATACAGATTTGTAACAGATGGTTTCATTCTCAATTCGAATGTATCTTTGAGACGAAAAAAACAGAAACGACTGGAAACTCAATTAAAACATTTTCTTTCTAGTAATCATCACTGGCTTTTCAATCTATGGGGAAATACAAAAATTAGAGCTACTCTTTTTTATTTGTCTCGTAACAAACAATTTCACATCTTTGCAAATCTTCGGAGAATTCTCTCGTTTCTTAAAGTAGAAAATCGATAAGCTTATAATAATATCCCTCTATGTAATTTTATCCTCGATTCGTAGTTGTTTTTGGCCTTTCTGAAGATATATAAAGCGTCATCTTTATGTGTCACTGTCAAGTTCGAAAAAGAAGATCTTCCATCAGCCTGATTTCAACGACAGATGGTAGAGAGAGGAAAAAGAGATCAACCAAGATTACGAGAGTAACATCGAAGACTGAAATCCTTCCACGGCTTGTAAAGATTCACTTTTTAACAGGACATTTCTTCTTCTTCTTCGTGATTTTGTTATCGAACTTTATTAATAGATCACAAGATGCTCTCAATGATTCTATTGAATATGAGCAGATCACAATAGTGATGATTAATAATTAAATAAACTAAACTCGACTTTATTAAGAAAATGACTATTTTCATTCTTCATCATCATCTTCTTTTTCTGCTTTGATGGAAGATTCAATCGTATAAAATTACAGGAAATATCGGGTCTCTCTCTAATCAAGCAACATATTGTTAGCGACAGTAATGAGAAAAAAACCGAGACTGACATTTACTTTTTACGTGAGCAATGAACTGAAAAAAATGTTAGGACTTCGAGGAAATTAATCGTAATAACATGACGGAATATATAAACATACATATGTGTTGCAGAAGAGAAAATGAAGATCTTTTCAGGATAAAAAAAAACTGTCACTGGTGCACTGCGTCTTTGTTGCGAAAGCGAACACGAGCCAATAAACGCGCAGGTTATTTGTTCACAGGTGCTCGGTTTTGTTGCTAAAATTCTTGTTTTCTCTTTGAAAAAAATTCACTTAGTACGCGAAGAGAAAAAGGAAAAACTAATTGGATTGGACCTAGTCATACACAGGTGTTTCCATTTCATTAACAACTAATATGAGAACATGTTGAAAGATTCAGCTCAAATTTCCGTGACCATGCTCAAGTTTGTTTCAGAAAATAACATTACCGTTGAAAACTTTTCTTCAGTTCGCAGGGGAAGGAATGTTCTCATCTACGTTCATGCATCTGACGTCATTTGATTATTTATAGGAATACAAAGGAAAGACGATGTTTAGTTAATATTCCGCTAAAATTGAAATCTCATTAATTCTTTCGACTAGAAAATTTGTAAAGAATATTCTTGAAAAACGGTGTGATCATAAAGAATTTTCACATCCGGCGTACTTACTTGTGAGTGTTGTTGCCTTTTTTCTTTTTTCTTCTCGATTATACCAACAGGAACATAAATTTATCGGAGAAATAGAATAGGTTTCGTCGCCCAAATGTCCGTGACACTGACTGCGGAAGTGTCGGAAAAGGTTGTTTGAAAACAAAACGGCACAAAGTCAGGAGTATTTCGACGACCTACAGTTATCAATTTTAATATTACTGAGAAAAGATTTGCCTCAAGTTAGCCTACATTGACTTTACGTAGTTTCTGCTCGGATGGACACATGAAATAAGAAAGCGCGCGGAAATAAAAGAACAACTGTGTTGTCGAAAGAGGCTTTTGCGGCGCGACTATTACAAATTGTCAGTACTCAGTGTATATTATCCGTCGTGTGGCGTTTTTTATGTTTGAAGAGAAAAAAGACAGGTGTCATTTGAAATTATGAAGAGTTAATAGACTAAAAACAAGAGAGAAGAACTAAATTGTCAGTTTTTTATTCTAATAGTTTTTCAATCAACATTTTCTCTGCTCTCTTCATTCTTTGTCATCTACATTTTTCTCCTCGTTCTCTCATTGCAGATCTTCAAGTTATTTTCCATTCCTTGCATCTTTTTCTTTCCTCTTCCTCTCTCTCTCTCTCGTTCCATTCTTCTGCTAAAATTATTTAGTAGAGTGCTACGACGAGTCCATATCCGAAAACTACAGAACGCCTAGTGGCACATATAGAATATAATAAGCGAGATGAAAACTCTATTGACTCGACTTCTTTTTATCAGCAAAGTCTCCAGATCAAATTGTCATCACATATGTTACCCTTAGTTTGTCCAAGCACACATTTCCTTAAGAAGGGAATGACAAAACAAAAAACTAGAACTGAATCTGAATCATGTTTACATGAAAACAAATAATTGAAATCTCTTATCAATTAACTGAAAACATAATGATGTTAGAGATAAATATATGAATAGATCTAAATATTATAGTATTTTGCATATATGACTAACAGATGTTAACACTTTTTCTCGCACACTGCTTGCTCAAGGTTGAGGCTTTTTCGTCTGTTATGTATCAATGCATCAGATGTCTTCAGCAAGATGATGAGAAGCAAGATAATGGAGGGCATCTTCTTTTCTTTCTTATACAAAACTCACGAGAAAAATACAGATTAGTCTTATTTTCATGCATAAATTGTCGTTGTTGGCGGACGTTCTCCTAATGATACTTTATTCACATTGAGATTTTCGGAGATGAAGTTTGGATTAATTATGTAGCGATGTCGATATTTTGGCATGGTATTGTAAAAGAAGGTTTCAGGTGCGTTATAATGTATCTCGAAAGATGGCTTGGGTAATTGATATTTATCAATCGATACTGTTTGATAATATTTGGGACGTGTTGAAAGACTAATGGATGGAAAAATCAAAGCAGAGGAAGTCAAATGAAGATCAATTAATCATCACTTACGTTGGTTGTCGATTGACTTTTTGTATTGTCGAAGGATCAACGTTATTTAGAACGTTATAACGATGATCTTTGATTAAATACAAGCGGCCATCAATGAAGTATTTCTGAAGATTCGATGATTTATCGTCAAGAGTTAGACGAGGATCATAAGTTAATTTGACACCTTCAGTTTCCACGGATAATTTGGTTTTGAGTGGTGCTTGAGTAATAGCAACTAATGGTTCGGTTCGTTTCTCTTTGTTACGTCGATTCTTGGCTGTTGTTTTGCTTGGTGGAGTTGGCTTGGCTACAACTTTCTTCTCACCATTGTCAGCAGCGACTATACCTGGACGATGAACGTAATGCGGATTGAGTGGAACAGGAGTCGGATCCATCAGTCTTTGTAGTGAAGGCAACGAAGAGTTGTCGTCAGGAATCCAGGTCGCTGACTTCTTGTAGACATATATAGGTGGAGGAGGAATACTCGATGGATCAGTTTTAGTGAAAATAATTTGAACTGGTCGTTCGAGTTGCTCGTCGTTTGTTAATTTTGGACATTGTTGGCACCTATCGTCGGATAGTTTCATGTTATCTTGTGAAGAACAAATGTGATCTGGTTGACTATCGGAATATCGTTGTTTCTGATCGGTGGGATCTTTTCGATCGTAGTGTCCGTTGGCGGATGATGAACGAGTTTTCATTTGTGATGCATCAGTTGTTTTTACCGGCGGAGTCGGTACGGTTTCAAGACGTGGCTCGGGAATATGCAACATGGAAGGCGGAGTAGGTGAACGAACGAGCGGTGCACTCTGCAATCGACGAGCTGAATCTTCTAAGGTTAACTCTAAACAAGAAAAGAATAAATGATTGCTATTATGTCGAAATGTTAAGCAATAGAATAAGTGTCTATGATTAATTGACAAATTCTCTTTATTCGTTTCCCAGCTCCTCTTCATAATAGAATACATCATTCATTCTTTCCTGATTACTCATCCATGTGATATAAATATTAAACTATGGAGATTTTTTACACTGAATGCAGATCTTCAATTAGAAATGCTTATTTGCACGTACTATTCGTTGCATTAGATACAAAGTTCGGTGTAGCTGCTTGTCGTTTAACATTATACTGTAAAGCCCAAGGTGGATTCAATGCTTCATCGATCGTTAATGCAGAATGGTAAGCAGGATGGCTCGGTGCCATGCTTTGTTTATAGCGTTTGAGAAGTTCGCCAGTTAAATTACTTTTACTGCGACTAGTCGGTACTAGAATAATGAAATCACGCTTTTATTGTTTTTTGAATGCATATTGAAATTCAATAGATCTTACATCTACTTGTTGCCGGCTTTTGTGTTAACAGATCTTTATCAAGACCTCTATAGAGATAAACGTCCCGCGGCGTCATCGTTGTCGGGATAGCACTATCATCAACTCCTTCAGAAAAGGAAGCATAAAGACGTGCATTATTAGTTCGATTGCGTTGTTTTGATGTCACAATTGGTGGTCGAAAACTCATCTTAATCTTCAATTATGAAAATCCAATTGTCTCAAGACGTTGAGTTGCCGAAATGTTCTCTGTGCGCTGTCTCTTTCTCTCTTCTGTCGTTAGTAACAACGACTGACATATACAAACAAGGTTATGCATGCTACAGCCATGAGCAGAAAAACGGATGCCCATTTCTCTCTGTTCGTTTACAAGCGTCGTCATCGTTCGATAGCATATTTCTTACTTAACGACATTGAAAGAAAAATGAGAAAACTTTTCAACAGAGCAAAAAAGTTCTTTACTTTGCTTCGCTTCATTTTAGACCATATTAGACGCTGGCGAAATGTTATTGTTAATACAGAAAGAGAGAATTCGAATCTGAAAATACACTACAGATGATCAGTACTTGGCAAAAGTAAACATTTTATACACTCAACTTTCAATAAGAAAATCCATTAAAGCCACTAATACCTTGAAAAATATCTCAGTTTACAATGCAAAATGTGCGATCAACATTTTTTTTCAACATGATCAAAGCTAAAGCAAATGAAACATTTCCAAACAGTACCCAACGTATCATTTTTGGAAGTTCTGAGTAGCTCAAAGCAAATTACTCAGACTGACATCGAACTATTCGTCAAATGACTGATCAATTATTTATTAAAATTTCTTTTTTTAGTCTAAATACCGGTTGTCCTGATAGAAAATCATTACTTTCCGTAGATCGACTATGACAGACGCAAATCATACCAATACAATCAGTACAACTATAGTTCTTCAATGTATATAAGTATCAATTACTGGCTCATTATCGTTGAAATGACTTTGTCAGAATAATAATTCAATTAGCAAAAACACAGCTACTGCTACTGCTGCTGCTGATCGTGACAGCGAGGAATTTGAGATTAACGTTTTATGTTTTTCTTCGTTTAAACGCATGGATATGAAGTTTCTCCCGAAAATAGACGTCAAGAATATTTTGTATTCTGCAGACATATCGATATTGTGTTTGATCGATATTATTTATTTATCGAACGCAAAAGAGTGACATTATGTGCCACTCTTCTATTATTCTACGACGATGAAAACTTGTTTTCTCTTTTACCTTGTTCTTTAAAAACAAAATATGTGTTATTTTTTATTGAAGAGGATACTTCTGAAAGTGGAAGATAGTGCTTGTTACATGGCTCTTCTTCTGTTCGTTATTGAAGCGATCGATTAAATAGTGTAAAAAACAGCAGAAATTAAGGTAATATACGCAGCGACAAGTAAAATGTGAAAGGAACAATTGAATTATCTTTACTCATAAATAGATCAGATAATTTCATTACCTTCAACCTTGTGCTTTTCAGTTAATTGATTTAAAAGTTTAGAATCGATTGATTCGATATCTACTATCTGAAATAGTTCTGTAGTACTCGCTTTTCTTCGATTGACTCTAAGAGAGAAGTAAACATGAGAACATTTCAAACAATAAGCTTCTCATTTGAAGTAGGATACGCTGGCAGTTAGAAAACATGTCAGTATAAACTGGGGGAGGTTAATATGAAAATTTAATTATGTCTTTTACTCAGGCATTGTATTTTATAAGAAAATTACGAATAGATGTGGGCAATTCAATAAAACGCTCCGGGTGGCTGCGAAGAAGAAATTAACGTTTTGATGTGATAGTAGAATTATAAATCAATCTATTTATGCAACAGTAGTGGCTGTAGTCAGAGAATTGAAGGAAAATATGGTAAAAGGAGATGTCTTCTCCGGTATCGCTCGTGCGATCGTGGAAAAATATTTTCAAATAGAATGACCGTTTTGTCTTGTTAAACTTGTCCAAGATCGCATCTGAAATGTTATTTTCTTCTGCTGATAAATACCGAACGATTTCTCTCGAACGATTTGCTTTCACTCAGTACTGCTAAACTCGAAAGTTCTATTGTTTGACCTATTTCGAGTATCCAGAGCGAAAGGATAACTACAGAATTGAAGGTCGGCATGAACGGTTCTACATTTGAGTTCAACTGTCGACTTTGACACTGCAGCATAAGGAGTATACATAAATAAGTGTATTTAATAACCAAAAAGTAAATTTCAATGCGAATGATCACATATGCAAAGACCTGTGAATAATTAACGAATTACCACGATACAAAGAGATAGAAAAAGAAACACATAAACTGGTTATCACTTGCATAATGGCGGCTATATTCGTTTCACAATTTCTTTCCTCACATTGCTATACAATGATCAGAAAAATGTACTAGCCAGAAGACTTCAGGCAGAAAATATACCTCTTTTATTATGATGTAAGAGTAGCGGAGCTGGCAATTGTCTACCGGTATATTCACACGTTACTAGAGAACAAACATCAGAGAGATTCCCCTTCTGTATGTGATATAGAAAAGCATCCATGAGTGCTACAACACATTATTTGTCTACAATTATCGAATATATACATCTGATCACGCATTGCAAGGATCAAAGCTTCGCTCTCCATCATCGATCTTCATGATGAGCACGCGTGTCACCACCCCCTTAGGCGTAAACAGGACGAAAGTTTGTCTGTCGCGTGCAATGACTACGTACAATATCCATTCAACACGATGTCGCCGACACACCTTCGATTATAACTAACATTCAAAGCAGTGAATTGATATATCTAAATACATGTATGATTTGCCCTGCTTTGAAGTTTGTCATCGATGAATTGCATTAAAACTCATCTATCAATCAACGAGCAGGAAAATTGATAGATAGTTCTTCCTCATCTTGATCATCATCAACAGCAAGAGTAACAAAGAGCTAGTCTCGTTGAACCCACTGAAATGAATATGACGCCAAGCGCGAACTCTGTTGATAATTCATAAGATACAGGTTTATCATCTTTTCATAGAAACTAATCAAACTGAGGCAGAATCAAATTACATCGAGATTGTCACATATCTCATCTAACTTTTCTTGATTAAATAACACCTTTCGTACGTTCGTGCTTCTATTTCATGCTCGATGATCATCACATCGATGTGATGCAATGCGAATAATTAAATGGAACAATACACAAACTTTCTATTGACATTTCTAATCAGAAGATATGAATCACACCTACATCTATTCACACGCGTCATATCATATCTCATCAGACTCAATGCTATGAAATTTCATTTTTCTTTTTCAACAAAAGAATTCGTTCTTTCTATGTATATGTATACATTTATCTCTTATCATATACAATTGGTAGATTTTTATTATGGCCACTATGAAAACAAAAATAAAGAAACAATGTGTGAATGTAGTATATATACACGAAAGGAATGTATTTTATCAGAATAAATTATAGTTGAATACAAGAGTAAAAACAAATCAACAATATTGTCCTGGATAATAATAAAATGAATGATCAGGATATACAAATGGTTGTTCATTTGAATAGAAATTCGGTGAGAAAGACGAAGTTTGTTCGATCGCTTGATTCATCTCGTCAGTACTGCTATCACCACCGTACGACGAGCTATGATCGAAGCTGAATATTCCCGTGTCATCTTCGCTTTCGCTTGTTAAATTAACTCGTTTTAAATTGATAAATTCCAATGGATTGTTCACTCGTGGATGCACTGATGACAACAGATAGGATTCATCCAATGTTGTCATATTCGTCGGTGATGATGGTGTATCATTTTGTTGTAATATTCTCGGATTGAGAGAAAGTGTTGCAGCCACAAGGTTCATTGTATTCGGTGATAAATCTTGACAGAGTAATTGAGCAAATTGTGTATTATCAGGTATTTGATCACTGGATACCATTTGTGTTAAAGCTTGAATATAGTTTTTCGCAAGACGTAGTGTTTCGATTTTAGATAATTTTTGTGAAAGAGCAAAGCACGGGATTGTTTCGCGTAGACGTTCTAGTTGTTCATTTAGACCTTTCATACGTTCACGTTCGCGACCATTGGCTTTGATACGGCGAACTTTGAAACGTGCAACACGGGATGGTGTCATCTGCTTCTTTTTCGGACCACGCTTCTTAGGAAGTTTCGGTTCCATCTGTGATTGTTTGCTAACTGGTGGCTGATAAGATGAGTTGTTTTTTGTGAGTTCGATGGTTTCATGGTATTGAATCTCCATTTCTAACTGGTGCAATTGTCGTTGTTCTTCTTCTACAGGTACTTTTGTCGGCATTTTATAATAATATTCAAGTAGATCACGTCGATTCGAGTGCGTTATCAATGATTGAGTTAGAACGAAAATGTTCTCCTCTTCGTCTATATATACTCGTTGATGTGTTGTTTTTCTTTCCCTGCCTTTTCTCTCTCCCTCTCTCTTTTTCGATGGCCAATAGAAATTGTACAGAAAAGGAAATCATTGATTGGCGGGATCGCCATGTGTGAGATATGAACTAATGATTAAATCAATTTTAACACTTGAGAACGAGAAAAAAATGAGTATGTAATCACATCTATGCAGCAAAAAACAAACTTAATCCACCAATGAGATTTATGACCATAAAGTCATAATTTCATCTCGAATTCATGTAAAGACGAAATGTGTTTCCTTGAAACGGTTCTCCTAACACTGTCCATTTTTGATGAGTAAACCATGATGAAATAGCCTAATCAAAACATCAAACAAATCGCAAGTGGGATGATCAATGTCGCGTGTTGGTCGACTTATCAAAAAAATAAAATAAAATGGCATGTGCGTGTTCTACCGTCCGTGCAAAAGCACAATAGTAGGATGATACTCATTCTCTTCTTTGTTTTGTTTGGAGTCTATTCGAATGGAAAACTAATGCCGCGTACACATTTCTTTCATCAGTCGCTTTTATTGTCGAGATGAGATAAATGCTAATTTTCAATGGCCAACTGTCTCGAAAATCGAATTTCAGTAAAAGCGAAACGAATCGTGACTCTTTCGACAATCGTAAAGAAATTCAACAAGTCAACGTGAAGAAAATGATGTCATTTTCTTGCACGCAACAAGTTCATTTCCTGATAATTACCATGAAGAAGACAAATCTGATGTAAGAAAGTTTTCTTATGCTTGAATGGATAAGCAAGTGTCACACGAGAGAGAGAGAGAAATCAAACTCATTATTTTTAATTGGACTAGTCGACAACGAACGTCAATAAAACCAAATAATTATTGCTCATTTTCTTATGTAAAAGAAATGATAGATTAGCTGACCTGAAGATATTTTGACAAGAATAACTTCATCTCATCATTGTCATTATAACGCCTTTTTATATCAATCGATCAGAATCAAGATTGCGTAGTTATATGACGATGACAAAACAATCATTTTGGTTTTTACTCAAGCAACGACTTCTGCTGACGTTCGACATCGAGGTGTCATATTGTTATCAAGAAGATATGACTAGTAGTCAATTGATTATTATAAATCGACAGATGGGAGAATGTTTACAATAGTTTTACAGCTTGAAAATCAACAAGGTCCAATAAAATCGATTATTTAATGATGAACATTTTTCTTATATTTGAGAAGCGTGTTCAACCATTTCATTCTTCGAATCGATTCGCGTTCGTCTTTCTATAGACACAATGATCCGATTGATTTGTTCTTTGATACGCTCCTGTTCCTCGCAGGTGTCGTCGTAATAAATCAGTATAGATACAGATGAATTTCAATCAATTATTTAACAGTTAACCTGCTGAGTTGATCAAACAGACACTTTTCTCAACTAACTGGTACTTATCGATGATGCAACGGTTTTTTTTGCTGTTACTTTTTTTGTCACTTAAATGCCGACATGAAGGGAAACAAATTTCTCACTCAATTCAATTGAGTGAATGATTTCCTTTGATTGTTCGCAAAACGAAAAGTTAGCCAATATGACGTTGTTTTAGGGTAGCCACTATTCATGTATGTACTTGTTTGTCTGCTCGACCTTGTCTCCTTCAGTTTCCCCAGCGAGACACACGCGCACGCACAAATGATTTATAAACATAAACGGACAATTGAATAGCAAATATACATTTGAACAGCTCAACGGGACGCTAATAGTATAATATTGAATGTACAAGAGACGACGACAAGGAGGTGTTGTTCGATTTCCTTTTCTCGTTCGATTCAATTGTACTGTACAGCATAGAATCTAATCAATTTCTCTTTTCTTCCATGTTAGAAATGCTTGATCGAATTGATAATGAATGTATAGACTAATTGCAAGGAATAATAGACACTTTTTCTGTTACGATTATACAAATGACACGGAAATGAACGAGAGACTTGTAAAACCTGTCACATCTACGATTAGCATTTTTCATCTATATCGCCGTAAAATTGATATGATAGTGTGGAAAGATTTTCAGACTTGTTTTGCGTAGGAGTGTACTAAATTGAGAATGCATTTGCGAAGTATAATTAGCGTTTTAATGTTAGGGATTTGTTTGTACTCAACTCGGGTTGTAACGAATATTATGACGATAAGAAGGTAAACTTCAGTATAATTAAAAGGCGACTGTTTTCCTGACTTAGCAAATTGCTATTTTTAACATTGCAAGACGTAATAAAGTGTAAATGATTAAGATTGAGTATTTGAATAATAAGGGGCAAGTTGTGATTTCTTCGAGAAGACAGAACATGATTTTGTATATGAAAGAATGATTGATAAGATTATATTTTCTTAAACTAAACTCGTTAATTAGTACAAAAATGAAAAAGTTAATAAAGAGAAGCACGTAGTTTTTTTTCCTCATAGATTTCTATGCCGTTCGGCTTAATTTGAAAACAAAAAGACAATATAAAACTAAGGACAAAAACGTGAGCACTAAAGCAATGATTTCCAAACCAGATGCCCAACCGATTCGTGTAGAATATGATTCTGTAGCTATTTTTCGAGCGTCTTCCCATGATTCGTTATCTGTAAATAATTTAAAAACATATTTCTTCTTCGTAGATATTTCAATGTATAATACATACCGAAGATTGTTCGATAAACAGCCATAATATCCCGTGAAAGGTAGCTTCCAACAAGAATGAGTGCTATTAACATAAAGATGAATGCCAAGAAAAGTAATATCAATGGAAGAAAACTGAGCAGTATCGCTGCTACACGTGTTTCGTTCGTTCTAATTGAATGAATAAATAGGAGAATGATGGCTATGCCAAGAAACACAGCAGCAATGATTGTACATGCTGCAATGCCTTTGCTTGATGGTAGATAATCACATCCACAATTCTCGGTTAAATTCTTATTTTGACAATCTGACCATTTACAAGCTCTATGAAGAACTGGGTACGTGTTTGGAAAACAATATTCTGTATACAGTGTATCACTGGGTACGCATCGTATGAATAAACCAATTGATGTACGATTAAAACCAGTAAGGGTTATGTTCTTGCCGGTGACATGCTTCCAGTGATGGTGACCCATAGCAGTAGCATGAAAAATGAATGCCATAGTCGCAAGAACGAAAACAGTAAAATAAACTGTCTTAGCTGCATGCATTGTGCTATTTCACTACCAGTTTGAATGAATATCGAGTGAAAAAAAATGAAATTCGTTCATTCGATCGAAGTAATATATGTGGTTTTGATCCCTTCTCTCTTTTTCTCTCTCTCTCTCTCGATCGATAAAAGAAATCTGTATGTAATACAAGGCCAAGTCATGTTCGGTTTGTCTAGGCAGTGGCTTATATAAAATTGAATTCATCATTGAGTAATATTAGTGCAATGTATCAAACGTGGAGCTTTTTCTTCTCGTCTATTCTGCCGTGTTTGCCTATGCATATGTTCTGTTTTGCATGTATGTTGCACGATTATCTTATTACAACGATGTTAAAATGTAAAAAAAAGCACACATTTTTGTTGAAGAATAGAGCCAAGGGAAGAAGAGAAAAAGAAAATGAAATGCTGGGCTAATACTATGTATAAATACACACTCTTTTGCATGTTCTTGACATGATAAACTCTCCATAAGAGCAATTGTCGAAGTGAAGTTTCAAGGTATATATTTTGACTCTTTACTTCATTTATTTTCTTAAGTAGCATATCTCTGTTTGGAATGGAAGTCTATCAATGTCATTAATATTGAAATTAGCATATATCAATGCGAACTTTGAGATTACTGTCTAATCGGTCAATATCAGCCCACGTTATGTTAGATTAGTATTTGATAACACCATGTGTATAGAAATTTGCTTCTTTTTTTTTTTTTGAAAAAAATAAGAGAACATTCTGTTGGTTAACAAAAAGAAAATAATTTTCTTTAGATCAATTATGGTTATTAGTTTGAAATACGCATTAAATAATGCATGCTAAGAGAAGAAAAAGCACCCTGATGAATGTGCATGGTCGAACAGCTCAACTAACAAATGCACGATATTAGAAGAAGAATTTTCGTTTCAGAAATGAAAAAAGAAGAAAAAAAAGAAAGGAGTCAGGCAAGATGAAAAAAGAAAGATTTATAAGGAACCATCAACCTTAGAGAATGATCTCATAAATAGACTTGTTGTGCGTATGTTTTTTTTAATTATCGCGGAAAATAACGTAAGTAGCGTGAAAGACCGGAAATATATTTATAAGCAATAAGGCAGCGATTTGTTAGACTTTTCAACGTGCAACAGACTGATAAGAAGTGGAAGTCATTGATCGTAAGGGATACACAGAAGTGAAAGTTTGCAAAACAAGCACACATTCAAATTGCAATTGCGAGTACAAACCAATTGAACCAAAGGAAAACGATACTAAAATCGCAGGAAATTAAAGTCATATATGATTAAGATCATCGGCTTGATAGCATTTTGACGAGCATGTTTTCTTTTGAGAGAAGTCTTTTATCAGTATCATAGGAGTGATCAATCATGATGTTGGTGCGAAAAATTTATATTAGAAATTAGTAAAAAAAAACTGGAGAGAAAAAAATGATAACAAGCTCAAATTAAAAGAGAAAGAAAAAGAGCTATGTCATTTACTCCACGTCTTTATCTTGCTCGTGTTGCCAAAGTTTTATTATTTGAGCATTCAAGATCATCAGGGGTAATCTTAGCCAAACGGGAAGTATATTCTTCTTCTATCTGAAGTCAACACTGTATTGCGAATAATATTAAGTAGAGCCAACGGATCGATCAGCGGATAAGTTGAGCATTTGATATATATGAAACGTCGAGAGAGTTGACAAATCGCTGGGAAAATTTGTTTGTCCTTATGATAAAATATGGTGTTACCTGATGCCATGTGTCAGAAACACGAGCTACGGTTATTCTTTTTTTTTTTTTGTTGAATTTATATCTTTTGCATGCAAACTCATCTGTCAAAACCTTCGAGAAAATACGTCGTTTTCCATTTTTTTCCTCTCCCTATATTTAATAGCGCGACAGCGTATTTTAAAAATATGTGGATATAAGGATGTGTGTCAATGCATTTATGTCGACACAATTGATGATGGTTCGAATATTATAATACCGACTTTGATTCAGGATTTTTCCGTATTCAAAGACTGATTTCATTAGTCTCACTGTTATTTCTAATGACGAAAGAAAAGGGCAAGAGAATAAGGGAAACACGCCTAACATTTTTTCCTTTCTTTTTTTCTTCGCCAGTTTTTTTTTCTATTTGCCTTAAAGTTTTCTCTCTATGCTTTTCGATGCATTTTTCTCGCCATCATTCATTGCGACACACAAACAAAGATGCATCTCAATCATCCAAGCCGGATCCTGAGGTTGGGCTTTCATTCCTGTACCGTTCAACAAGACGTGGCTCACGTTTAAGTTATCCATCGTTTCCAACTTATTACTCATTAGCATACATTCACATGCCGTACTCAGCCAAGAACAATTCGCGCTCGGTACACTCAAATTTTCAAATCTTGCTCTATAATTTTCTCGAACGACCATCTGGTTTTAAATGTTTTATCTATCATTTTACTGTGTAAGTACAATACATTTCGAAGGAGAAAAGAATTTGTTGGATAGATATAGTCGTCTTGAAATATCAGATAAATGATCTTGTTGAGATTATGAGAAACTTAAGATAATCTCGTTCATTCGTGGGTATAATTTCTATAAGAAGATTTTACAATTTAGATTCATAGTGGTGCTCGTTTGTTTGGTACTCTCTGTTCTAACAACTATTGACAGATTTTCTGCAAGCTTAAGTTTATACGTTTATTGGATCGAAATCTTTCTTGTTCTTTTCTTTGGTGTTGAATATGTTTTACGACTTTGGTCAGCAGGATGTCGAAGCAAATATATGGGCATAGCAGGCCGAATGCGATTCGCACGAAAGCCGATCGCAATCGTCGGTATGGACGCTAAACGAACTTATTTCTCATACTTTATTTTCCAACATAGATCTAATTGTTGTTGTTGCCTCGACATTAATGATTACTTTGGCGGCTGATCGTCAAGCATTTGCCGCCTCAGCCATACGCGGAGTTCGATTTCTTCAAATTCTACGTGTACTGCACGTTGATCGACACGGTGGGACGTGGCGTTTACTCGGAAGTGTTGTTTACATCCATCGACAGGTAAAAGCGATGAATTGTCATATAATATCATGTATCTTTTTATAGAACATAATCGATTTCCTTTCTTCTCTTGTTCATAGGAATTAATTACAACATTATATATCGGATTTCTCGCATTAATCTTCTGTAGTTATCTTGTTTACATTGCTGAGAAAGATGAAAAAGGTAACGGAGAATTGCGCGGCGCCAAAGGGAACGACAGTCATTTTGAGTCCTATGCCGATGCGTTGTGGTGAGTTAGAAAACGAAAGTAATCAAAATCATGTATTGAAACTATTCCCATTCAATATAGGTGGGGTGTAATCACGATAACAACAATTGGGTAATGAAAATTTTAATAATTAATCATTCATGTTCATTTCGAAATATTTAGTTATGGGGATGTCTATCCAGTAACATGGTTTGTAGAGTAAAATGATTTTGCAAAGAACATGATTTATTTATGTGAATATATTCAAGGCTCGGAAAAATAATTGCCGCATGTTTTGCTATTTTTGCTATATCATTTTTTGCTTTACCTGCTGTGAGTCTATAACAAATGGAAAGAGACTGATTCATCTCATAAAACATTTCTGCTTCTCTTTTTCGTATTAGGGTATTCTGGGCTCTGGTTTCGCTCTAAAAGTTCAACAAAAACAACGACAAAAGCATTTTTCTCGTCAAATTCCCGCGGCAGCAGCCCTCATTCAAGCTGCTTGGCGTGTCTATGCAAGCGCTCCCGACTCGACGTCTGTTGCTACCTGGAATATGTACTTAAGCCCCGATGATTCAAATCTAGCTTCGGCGAATAACAAATCATTCTCGACTAATAGTCAAACTTTCGGTGGTATGATACAGCCGATAAAATATATCTTTTATGCGTAAAACGTTTTTCTCTAGAAAAAACAGCTGAAAAACTCCGGTATTTACGCTTATCCTCAGCACATCGGAAGCATCGTGTAAAAAGAAATAGTCAAGCGCCAACGTCACCTAATCTATTACAATCGCCTACTTTCAATGATGCACGAGGTTCGACATCGTCAGCCTCAAACACAACAGGTTTAGAAAAGTAAAGCTGTTCGACTTTGCACTAGAATTCTTTCGTCTATTAAAGGCTGTTATTTATTGTCTAGTAATGAACACGATGACGAAGATTTCGAAGAAGAACCTATTAAACTTTGTTCGTAAGTAATCATTGAACGAATCAATCTATGTCAACCTGAACATCTATGTACTGATTATGCTTTTCTCTCTTACACATACACACACATTCTCTCATTATATTCCGATTAGACTAAATAATTCAATGAATTAGGTAGTTTTTTTCTTCTTCTCAATATGAATTTTCGTCTTCTCGGAGTATAATTACGTTTGCATGTAATAATGAATCATTAACAATGTTTAAACAATTATGTTTCAAGAAAGAATTCTTCTGCGATGTTGAATGAAAAAGTTTCTGATCACGCACTGAAAACAAGCTAAATCCATATGGTTAGCGATGAACTGATGAAGAAAAGAGAAAGTTCGTGTGGAAACATGAACTAATGTCATTTATTCTCTAAGGTGATGATTTGATTAATACTGGAGCAGTTTCTAGGGCTGTGCAATGAGTCAAACAAATCTTTTTTTTCTTTTCCTTGAAAAATTTCGATATACATAGATGTTGAGATAATTGACATTGTTGCTTTTATTTTAATCTAAAGAAGTTATTTCTTCTAAGACGTCTATCGTGCTTCTCTACGATCGAAGATTCGGGTCACGTATTAGGAAATCGAACGCGCGGGTGATGTCTTATTTCCGATTTACTAACTGAATGATTACTAATATCAGCATTATCTTTTGTTTTTTTCTAGTTTAACTGAAGACCATAAACGAATGATAAGATGTGTACGGAAAATGCAATTAATTGTCGCTCGCAATCGATTTCAAGTAAAACAAAAACAGTAACTTTGAATGTTTTCAGTTGCCGCTTTTTCTAGTTGGCACGAAAACCATACGACGTACGTGATGTGCTTGAACAATACTCTCATGGACACATTAATATGATGATGAGAATAAAAGAATTGCAACGAAAGTAAGACATTTCAATTTCTTTCAATAGATGTTGTTATACTTTCTCGTTTAGAATCGAGCATACAATTGGTAAGCCAGGTCCAGGTACTAGTGATGATCGTGCGAAATTAACCGTTCTTTCTCGAATGCAACGTGTGGAAAATGTCATTGGTGATATGGGACAAACAATGGAAAACATTCTAGTGTTGTTGAAACATGTCGACGAAAAAATTGATCGATTATCATCAAATAATAGTCATCGATCAACGAGATCGATGGCAGCGCAAATGAACGTGAAATTTTCTTCTGTGCCAGAAGAGTTACCATAAAGACGTCTATTTTTTTTTCAACTTGTCAATTAATATGTTAAGAAAAAAGGAAAACAAGATACAAAAAGAACAATGCTGAGTGTTTGTTTGTTTCAAAGATCGGAAACTAATCGATTTGATATATTGTATTGATTGGATATCGATCGTTTCATTTCGGTTGAATCCTGATATTCTATAAACGAAGTTGTTGACATTTGGCGTGATGGAAGTGTTAATTCTTCATTTGAACGTGCATGTTTGATTGATAATGGACTTGTAGATTCATTGAGAACAATTAATAGATGATCATTGAATTGTTTTTCTAAATCTAGTTTTCTCTTTTGACAACGAGTGTACCGTCGATAGGATATAAAATTATAAACTAGATAGAATACTAAGATAAGAGTAAGACTAAGCAGGAGCGAAAGAATATAGAGACCGGTACGATCACTGGATGGTTTAGGTGATGTGATGAAAATGCGATGAGTTTGATCAGTATGGGTTTGATTCAATCCAGCCATTATAAACGAGAACCATTCGTCATCGCGAATGAAAACATTTTGAAGATGTCAGTTTTGAGTTTCATAAACCGATGAGAGAGATAGTCAAGTATGCCTAACAGTTAATAAGAACAATAAGATTGTATATTATTGTCATCATTCTTTTTTTCTCAATAATCGACTATGCTTGATCATCAGTGCTAACGGCAACTTGAGCGTTTTTATCTTTTTTTTGCTCTTTCCGATATGAAATAATTGTATTTGATTACTTGCAGTTTTCTTAGACAAGGACATCAATATTCTATAAATGTCGAAGAGAGAAAATTGCTTGATCGGTACTTATACGAAATGACGTTTTTATAAATAAAATATATGTTAATATATCCACGTTGTTCAATTATGAAAGAACATACACTGACATGATTGCTTTTGACGATGCCTGCTTTCCTCGCTTCGTTGATACATTTTCATTAACTGTAAAAGAAATTCTCGGATGTTTAAAAATAAAAAATCAAACAAATCCTTACATTAGTAGTGTTTTACAATAATAAGGATGTGTTGCTTTTAAAAAAAATGAAGTATTGATGTTTTCAGGAAAATAAACATCCTGTTTTTGTTTGCTACACATTAACGATGATCAGTGTTTGATTGAAATATCGGAAGACAAATGCATTGTAACATCGATAAATAGATTAGTAGTGATTGTATACGATCTTCGTCAAGAGGTATAACACCCTGAACAAGTATGTTCCTGTTTTCCGTCAACTGGCTGAATTACAAACTTTCTGCTCTTAGTAATACTCAAGATGGAAACTGCATCTTTACCATCGGCTGTCTTGGGAATTGTATGTGAAATAAATAAGTTTCGATCGGTCAAAATATAAGAAGGATTTAATTATACTCTCAGATAATTGAATCTTGTGGAATGCAATTATTTCGTGAAGTTTTCAGCGGCATTCTGATACAAATCATGTCTTCTCTCCAAACAGTCTACTGAGTTTTTCATTTTCCCTTAGCTCTGCAGTATGTTTCAGTGCAAAATAACTTATAATCGTCACCTGAAACTTTTTGAACACGTACTTCTTTTAGCTTCCCTTGAGAAAAGTACAATATGTAACAACAATAAAGCAAAAGTTGCGAACTTGTCTCAATGTGCTTTACTAATTCAGCTGCTAAACGGTAATAATCGCCTATAGATAAAAGGTGTGTTGCGATGACGAACACACGTGAATCAATAGCGATATTGATCTACGAAAGCAACATTTTCCTTATTATCAAAATAGTCATGTCACTATCAAATCCATAGGAATCATGAGAGAATAGGAAGGTGAAACTTGTATTTATTATTATATTTAGTGAGAAGTTAGTTTGATGGCGAACTGAACGTCGAGAAGATCGTTATTCATAATCCGAATTTATAGGTGAGTATAAATTAGGCTATTAGTAATACAATTATTCTGAACGGTCGATCCTGTGCAATCAGTATACCTAATCATATGTGCAAGAGCGAGGAAAACACAATCCAACGCACGTCGAGAGGATTTCAGTGTACACGATCTATGTTTAAATGAAACTAACTGTCGTTACAACTCATATGTAATGATGCAACTGCACGGATATACAAGAGGGGAAAACGGCTTTCCTTTTCTAGTTCACTCATTTCATTCGAAAAGCTACGTCAAGATTATATGTAATGTCAAGATATATCGGCATAGCTAGGATATGGTATGGACCGTTGAATTCTAAGCCTTCCGCTCTTTCTTTTGTGTGTAGTCAAAAATATCAATAATTTCAACAGATCTCGGCGTGAGACAACTTTTTGGTCACATGAGTCTTTCATCTCATGTTCCTACACTTCGCGAAAACGAATGAAAGGAATCGAAGCTGTTATCATTTCAGTTCGCTGAGAATAGTAAAAAGAGCGAGAACTAATATAAATAAATACATGATTCTACGCATGAACACTATTTGGATGACTAGACTATCGAACAGTGATTCAAAATGTTTATCAAGACTGCTCCTCAGAGTCGGTTCATCGTTGGTTTTGTTTGGTTCATGAACTACAAAATATCTTCATTGCAACGCATGTGAGATCTGAATGAATCTCTGTCTTTGAACAAGGCGTCAGTTATATTTAGGCTTTACACAAACTACTTTGTCAGTAGTAAAAGAACGAACGAAAATAATTTAAGTTTATGAATTGTCACGATCATTTTGAAGAGTTGTCTAGAGAAGTATAAACGATTTTCTTCGTTATGATGTTATGTTGTTATGAGGAATGCAAATGCAAGCAGATGATTGATCTCAATAGTCTGTCAGAGCAACACTTTTACTTAATTGTTCATTTGAGAAATGAAAACAGCGAACAGTGGCGACACGTTTTAATACGTAAAGTCTTAATCCATGTTTTTCCTTTTCTCTTTCTTTTCTTGTATTGTTTTTTCACTTTCTCTTCAATACGATACTACTAGCATATCGAAATAAGCAACACCGCGGTGTATACGTGTGTTAAAATGACTCTTATCTATCATCTTGCGCCTTCTTCACGATGGTACTCGTGGCCAGCAGAAAAACCGTATTTGCCACCAGATTATGAAAAGGATGGTTTTATCCATTGCACATCAGGTGACGAACTAATGCTCAAGGTAGCTAATCGATTCTATCGAAATGTTCCCGGTGACTATGTTTTACTCGTTCTCGATACGACGAAATTGAAGAATCCAGCATCGGAAGTTAAATGGGAAAAAGCATCAGAATTTGATTCACTTTTCCCACATATCTATGGTGCCATGGATCGAGATGCTGTTGTTGAAATACGACGATTTCAACGAGCAGATGATGGAACATTTGTTGGATGGACAGAAACAAACTAGAACAGCAGTTAGTTTTTGTTTGAACTTGTTTTGCTTTCGTTTGAAATAAAATGATAAGCGATCGATTGCAAACTAGCAACTATTTCAGTTTCATGATTTATTTCATTCGCGTGTAGAAATACTAGTTATGACATTCTCAAAATCGTGAAATTATGCACTCGATTCACCAGCATATAGCTCCATCTGTTGAAAACTTGGGTATTTTTCTTTCTAAATTTCTGTTAAAAAATATCTATTTCACATCGAAGGACAATAATTAAATAAATTCATCGGAAATTTTATTTCATCAACAAAAACTTCAAAAATTCTTTTTCAACTACTTTACACTGGTGTCATAATCATCGATTGATAATCTTGCGCCACAAGCCTTGTCGCACTCTTTTCTTCTCGAACCCTATTCACACATTACGACAATAGATGTGTAGTTGCTGAAATAATCAACATGTCCATGTTGCAATTCTTTTCGCCATTTTTCTCGATTTCTCGGCTTTATTCACTTTTCCTATTGTTTTTTCAATGTTCATTTTTCAGATCCCGGTGTTGATAACATCGACTGTATGGCCGAACAGCCACAAGAATCATCAGACAAAAATGTCGAAATATGGAAAATCAAGAAGTTAATTAAAAGTTTAGAGGCAGCTAGAGGCAATGGTACAAGCATGATTTCATTAATCATTCCACCTCGAGATCAAATACCACGTATTGCCAAAATGCTCGCTGATGAATATGGTACAGCATCTAACATCAAATCACGTGTCAATCGACTATCTGTTCTCTCTGCCATTACTTCGGTACAAGCTCGACTCAAACTTTATAACAAAGGTTTACTTCGAATATTAACAAAACAGATTTCTTTTCTCAAGAAAAATGCTCTGATTATTTCTAGTACCAAACAATGGTCTTGTTATCTATTGTGGAACAATCGTCACAGATGATGGCAAAGAAAAAAAAGTTAACATCGATTTCGAACCTTTTAAACCAATCAATACTTCACTATATCTTTGCGACAATAAATTTCATACCGAAGTATGCTTTTATCCGTTGGACCTAATCGATCGATTGATGTATGGAAATTTCGTTTGCCTTCTTTCAGGCATTACAAGCATTATTAGCTGATGATTCTCGCTTTGGCTTCATCGTTATGGATGGTAATGGTGCATTATTTGGCACCTTGCAAGGTAATTCGCGTGAAGTGATCACGAAGTTTTCAGTTGATCTACCGAAAAAACACGGTCGTGGTGGTCAAAGTGCACTTCGATTTGCTCGACTTCGTATGGAGAAGCGTCATAACTACGTGCGAAAAGTTGCCGAAACAGCCGTTCAATGTTTCATCACAGATGATAAAGTCAATGTGGCCGGAATCATTCTTGCTGGTCTCGCCGATTTCAAAACCGAACTTCATCAATCTGATATGTTCGATCCTGTAAGATTGAAAGTCTCTGCATTCGAATGCCTATTTTCTTCTCATTCAAGCGTTTACAAGTCAAAGTTTTGAAACGAGTCGATGTTTCATACGGTGGAGAGAATGGTTTTAATCAAGCGATTGAACTAGCAGCTGAAACACTTGGTGACGTCAAATTTATTCAAGAAAAGAAGCTGATCTGTAAATAAGCATTCGTTATTTATTTCAAGTAGTCAATGGAAATTTTGCCATTTGTTTAGCTCGATATTTCGATGAAGTTTCACGAGATTCTGGTCAATATTGTTTCGGCATCGACGAAACGTTGAAAGCCCTGGAGATGGGTGCGGTCGAAACATTGATCGTTTGGGAAAACTTCGATGTTATGCGTTTTGTCTTACGTAATCCACAAACACAAGAAACGAAAGTTTTACACTTGCGAGCTGATCAAGAAAAAGAGAAATCGCATTTTCAAGATAAAGAGTCAGGAGTGGAATTAGAACACGTGGAAGAACTGCCTTTATTAGAATGGTTTGCCAATAATTACAAGAATTTTGGTAAGTATCCAAGTGATTGTTGACTAATGACATGTACATGTTGTTCGCACGTACAGGAGCCACGTTGGAAATTGTGACTGATAAGAGTCAAGAAGGGTCTCAGTTCGTTCGTGGATTTGGCGGCGTTGGAGGTATTCTTCGATACAAAGTCGACCTTCAAAATTTGAACGTTGATGAAGATGCTGAACCAATCGATTACAGTAAGAATGACAACTTGTTCGATATCGAAAATGCTTCGACTTTCTTGCCTAGGTGATTATGATTAAACATTATCGTTCGAAATAATTCAACACTCTTCTCTTGTTAATGTTCGTTTTTCTTTTTTTTTATTTATCAGAACTCTTGCACATTTGATGTTTCTTTCGTTCCCCCTCTATACAATCGAAAAAAAGGGATACCAAATGTGACAAGAAGAAAAATTAAGACGGAGAGCAAGAGTCAAAAAAAATAAAAAATGATGTTATGTTAAAAAAGACTTCATACGATGTCTTTTTGTTTTCTTTTCCCGCGTAGTCGTTTTCAATCGAAAATTTCAGTTATGAATGATATTTATTGAGCAGATCATCTAATGAACACAGAAGAAAAAGCATTCCCATACAAGAAGCAAGAAAAGAAAAGCATCGTCATTTCATTTTTTTTTCCATAGATGGACGGAGACGAGATTAGTTGAGAAGATTTCTATGTACAATTAATTAAATTTGATCGATAACCAATTATGGCTGCTATGTCACGTCGTTTGAGAATTTCTTTGATAGAAACATAATGATGTTTGGTAACGATTGGATCGTTCGATAGAAGTAGTTTTAATGTTTTCTCGAATGAATCATTCGGATTTGTTGTTACGGGAAAGATTTTCAACGTCCATAACGATTGATCGTTTTCATCATCGAATAGATGTGCAGTATCACAATGAAGCTTCTCCGCGATTGCACTTAATGGTTGGCCGAAATAGCTGAGAGATTTATCATCATTTTTGTACGTTGCTTTCATATTATCGTGAAAGCCAAAGGCAAATGTTGCATATTGATCATCATTTAATGAAATCGTTTGCATAATTAGATTTGATGGAAGTTGGAGAATATCTTTTGTCGGACCTGAATAGGTCAAAAGTGTTATATTACTCAAAATGGTATTTTCAGCGATTTCAATTGGAATGCCAATACAACAATATTCTAGTAGTGAACGTTGCGATGAGCGACATTGCGGATGAATAAAACTATGTATAACACAACCATGAACATCAGGAGCAGATGGTTGATGATGTAATGTATCACCGTGAGGTAATGCTGGAAGAATGCTAAATAGAAGTATAAGAAAAAAAAAGAACAAGTTCAATACAATTTATGTTTGAATTCTCTCACCCGTGCCAGAAATCGACTGCATCATGTCTACCTTCATCGAATACTTTACAGCCAACATGTTTCTCAAGTTTCAACGCATCAAATATCTCATGACCTGTTTTACCGTTTCCACAGCAAATATCCAGGTATTCATCGTTAGTACCCGTATGATTAAATGAAGATTTATGTAGAATAACGACTTGTAAATGACATCCAAGTAATGTATCATAAATCTTCTGTTTTATGCGTGAAGATTGTTGATTAACTTCATTTTTATTTTCCGCAGGCCGTGGTAATGGACAAATACCTAATGCGCTCATAAAATCCCCGTAACAGTCAATTTCACACGTCATGCCATGTTCTTCACGATAGATTTCAGCTAAATGTTGAGCGACTTTTATATTAAAATAATATAAACTATCAGTATAGACATATTCATTTTCGCCGTGACACCATATAGCTGTATGGTGTCTCATTTGTTCAGTTGTTGGCTTTTGCAATACACAAACACATTTCTGCATGTCGGTGGGATCGAGAACATAAACACCGTGTTGTGTACCAACAGAAAGTGATGATGGATGCGCAAAGGCAACAAAATCTTCTGCTAGGGTCCAATCGAGATTTGCTGGTGGCTCATCAAATAATTCAATTGTATCTGACGAACAGAGAAATACACCTCCATGTGGCATACGAGCCGGAAATAATGAGTAGAGAGCTAATTTAATATCGAACAAATCATATGTCGGCCAACCTATACAACGAAAGGAGATTTTAACCGAATGTTTTGGCCTCAATCATTTATCATTAAACATCGCATCTACCCTCTAACCTGATGTAATCGTAGCACGTGTTTTACTTCATTACTATTCATACTGCTTAGCCTTTCTTTGAATCGTATTTCGACAACGGTAAATCATGCATATAGCTCGATTTTCTTTTTCTTGTTAACATTCATTCAGTCGATTTTTCTTTGTACCTTTTGGAATACTGGTCGCAATCTTTCCTAGACAACTTGTTGTCGGTGTTCTTTGAGAATAGCCACCTGCATGAATCAATAGAATGCGTTTTTTTCGCAGAACTTCCCAACCGTATTGTTGTTCAAGTACATACATAGCATGCATTGTACTTCCACCATTACCTAAAGAGAGTAGAAGAAGAAATATTATCTTCTATCGCTGACCTTGTCCTTGATGACAACGTCACTTCTCTTTTTCTTCTCTCATTTTTTTACATAACCTCTATTACGTAAACCATGTCGCCGCGTCCATTTAGTTGTAGCAAGTGTTTGACTTTTTTTCTCTCCCTCTACATTTGTTCTCTTTCGTAACATGATTATGATTCCTTCTAAATTGCGTAATCAATATCGATGGATCGCTTATGTGAGTTACTTTCAAATCTGATGTCTATTGTAAAAGAAGATGTTAGTTGAGAATAGTTACATAAAATGTGTTATGTCTGTTTTAAGCTATCACTAGTCAAATGCTAATAATCGCCCTACCATAGTCACTCGATGTGTTGTTACAACATTTCCCTTCTTCTTCTGATTATGTAAAAAACGAAGAAGAAGGAGAACAAGGAGAACAAGGAGAAGAAGAGAACGAGATGACGCATTGGGAACAAGATGAATTTGTTTCTTTCAAATCCATTGAAAATGATCGAAGCGCATGTGTGTATATGTCTTTATTATATCATCGCACTATGCCGAGTTACTTAATGCATGCTCATGTGTGAGTGTCTTCTTCTTTTTTTTTTCTTTGAAGGAGCACAATCACAATCAAGATGACATAATATCTCTTACCAATCTTGCCAGGATCAGTAATGACGAGATAGTCGACACCAAGTGGTATACGATTAATCGCTGAACGTTGTTGTATTAGAGCATCATAAGCGTCTTTCTGGACAATGTCCAATGTAGTAACCACCACAATATCCCAGTAAATGACACCATGTTCTAGATGACGTACATCCCAGCCTAGATAAGAAAACGAAGCAAAAACAATAATAGAAAAATAAGTATGATGAAATTACTGTTTATAAACTTTGAGGATACCCGTACGAAATGTCCGTTAAGTGTATACATGTACATCAATTTACAGAAGAAAGAACGACCTTCGACTATGAATCATGGCAGGAGAGGTAATGCCTTGAAATCGTTGTTTTTTCATTCTCTACTTTTGAGTACTTCTATCTGTTCCTCTCTGTCTAGATTTTTAATTTTTTTTTCGTTTGTTTTTTGTTTTTGTTGTTGTTGTTACTGTTTCGCACCCGATAAACGGATATCATGATGACGATGCGTGTCGTCATCATTGTTGCAATCGTCAAGATTCGAGAATATAGAAAGAAAGTGAGAGAACGCAAGAAAAGAAGGGATAGAAAGGTTGAAAAAGAAAGATGATGTTAGTATTACGTGTCGAGTTAATGTTGGTGGTAGTAGGGCTTTTTTTTTTCTTTCTTCAGTATCGAACGGCGCCACTACCGTATATAAATTCATCTATTCTTTCTTTTCTTCACACACGCGTCAGTTGCACGTTGCAAAAAAATTGCAAAAGCATTGAAATAAACATTTCTTAATCGCGGACGAATCATCGAACTTTCGCAAGTAACAGTGACGTTAACTACCTTGCTTACGTATATATGCACTACATTACATGTAAACATGGTTAAAGGTTTCGTTAGCTCGTGGGAACTCGCGGAAGATTTCGGACAATCGGCTACTGGTACTGGACACTTTGTAAATACATACATTATTGACAATGGGTACGATGATTATCTTGTGTTCTCTTTATGCATGTCTGTCTATGCCCTCTTGCCCTCGTCCTTCTCTTTCTCCTTCGCTCATTAACATGAGTGTGTCTAGTCTAGATAGAGTGTGATATACACAGACGAAGTAGGTTCTCTTTACTTCGATCGCCAATACAAATGTTTGATGCCAATCAAACATAGAGAAAGAGAAAAAAAAACGAAGAAGGGTGGGAAGGGAAAAGAAGAGAAAAGAAGGGAAAGAGGGACGAACGTCCTCGTCGTCGCCTTTTGCATATGAACGGAAGGTCACGACCATACATCCATATGTACACATGTATGTCGACCAAGAAATAAGTAAGACATCGATGTGCTCATATTCTTCGATGAATATGTGAGTAACTTCTTTCTTACATTTCTTTTTTCGTCTCATTGTTCTTCTTTTAAATATCGCTAGAATAGATAGTTTGAGTTGTAATTTCAAATGTCCTTGTTAACATAGAAAAGCTCGTTCCACTTGTTGTTAACGAAAAGATTTTCTCTTCATCATCATCATCCAAGTTAAAGAAAAATTGCGTAAGTCATCTTCTATAATTCTAGCAAGCGATTGAGCAACCATGCGCCGGGTTTAGTTATGACTTGCGCAATGATAGTTTGATTTCGCAACAATACCTTCTCTTCTCCCGCGCTCTTTCTCTTCTATTCTCTACATATATATATGTGTGTGTGTATATATATATATGTATACGTCACTTGTGAACTTAGCAGATCGATTCAATATTCTAACTAAGTTATTTCTTCGTTCTAGTAATATTGCTTTTGAAATTACATTGATATTAACGTCAGATATTGTTGCAGCACTTTAAATTAATAAATATATATTCATATTATCTCCATAAAAAAACCATGTCTTCTCAAACATCGTCACGTCATCAATCCGCTATTAAGCCACATGATCTCCGATTATTAACACAAACTTCATCGACTTCCACACCATCTACTCCACTTCCGTCAACAGTCGATTCATCTGGTCCTCTTACACCTGATACTGTGGTACTTGTTAATCCATTTGCAGCATTATCCTCGACGTCGTCAGCGAATTTATCGCCAGTCTCCAATAAACCTTCACTGCCGTCTGCTCGTCTTATCGGTGATTATGAATTGAGCGAAACGAAATTTGATGACTTCAAATGTGCACGACATGTGCCAAGCGGTGAAGCACTTCTCTATAAAGAATACCCTCTAGAACTTGTTCGTCAACGTCTCGAGCCTTACCAACGTCTAACATCGATTCTCCTAGCATCCAGCGTCAACAAACGTCTGATCAATACGATGTCGATGGAACAATTAGCTTCGCGATCGAATCTACATTTTTTTCGTGAGATTTTATCACTAGAAAGAACAGCTATTGTCCTATATCCTACTTATTCAAGCAATTTACATACTTATATTACTGAAAAACATCGACTGAACGAAAATGAATCGAGAAATTTATTCACTCAAATCGTACGAGCGATACAATTGTGTCATCGTGTTGGTTTGATCATTCGTGACTTGAAATTACGAAAGATCATCTTTAACAATAGTACGCATTCACACTTATTGCTAACTGGACTTGATGAAGCAATTATGCTTGCAAGTCCAGCATCAACTGATGATTTCGTCTCGTCACGATTTTCCTGTCCGGTGTATGCATGTCCTGAGATTGTTCTAAATAGACAAATGTATTCCGGCAAATTAGCTGATTCGTGGAGCTTAGGTAAATGTCGATATTTGCTTTTTCAATTAACAGACAAGAAAAACGATGTGAATTCCTATCGATCTGAATATATTAGACCGTGAAATGAAAATTACTCTATATTAGTTCTCTGTGAAAATCGAACGATATGATGAGTACTCAATAACGTTCGAATTTCTTTATTGAACTAAATTAATTGCTAAAAAGACCCTGACGAGAAGTTTCATGGTCATTGATCAGAAGGAAGAAAGAAATGAAATTGTAGAATATTTCAATGACTAAGATTTCTATTCTATTTAGGTATCATTTTGTACACAATGCTTTTTGGTCGATATCCATTCTGCGATCGAACGCTGGTCGGTTTATTTATCAAAATTGGTCGGTGTCGTCCTGACATTCCTCGTACTATCTCAGTCAAAGCACGTTCATTGCTCCGTTCTCTAATTCGAGTCAAACCTGATGAACGTCTACTTGCACAAGATATTCTCGGACATGTATGGTTTAGTGGTGATCGGGATACGTCACCCATATCAATGAATCCATCTCTAATCACCGATGAATCGTTTTTCTTTAGTAGCAGCAATACTTGTTCAAATAACAGTAATGAGACAACTATAAAAGAGGATGCTGTAGTACCGAATTTCGAATGTGAATAGAAAATATATATGTATAGAATTCTTCCTTACTTTCTCTCTCTCTCTCTCTCTCGCTCCCGCCTGTTTTCCTTATGTGTTTGCGCTGTCTATATCTTTTTTTGATCAAAGATACAAATAAAAAACTATTTGCCAAAAATTTCACACATACCTTTGATGGTTTCGTAGAAGTGCAGTGCTTGTTGAGACGAAAAGTTCATTTTCTAGTCGATCTAGAAAAAAAAGGAAAGACACCTAGAGAGATTCGGTTAGCCGATTGATTGATACGATCGATGAGTAGATTTCGTTTGAAAAATGTACATAACAATGATAGCAAGTATGAGAAATAGAGAAATTGTGAAAGATATTAAAGAGATGAGATTCCATTGTTTGATTGATCTTTTTTCATCTTTCGAACATGATGGACACGCTGGTTGAGGAGAAGATATTGTCAGCGGTGAATTGAAACACTGAAATAACACGCAAATAGAAGAGGGAATGCGGCAAGTGTATCTCATACTTTATTGAGCAATGTTGTCGCAATTTGTTCTACATCATGTTTTGATAATTGACGATCCCTTTTGTCGAGATTATAGCCATTGATCTGTTCTATTAAGATATCACGACTGGTATTATACCAGGAAAGTTTCTTCGAGATAAAGAGAAATTTTTCTATGAAAATAAGAATACGGGAGAATCTACTTGTTTTTCATCTTTTGTTTGACTCAGCAGTAGAGTGACTTGACAATAATCAACCATAGTTGTTGATAAACCGTATGCAAAGCCATCGATGGTCGATTGCCAACATTTCATCGTACCATATTTTGTATTACAAGTACGTCTAAGAAGAAAATGCACTCGAATAGAGCATTGTGAGTGTTAAATTCAGTTGAAAATAGAGGAATTACACTTCGATATATGTAATAATGAATTCTATTTTACGCTACATTTTATGAGAATGGAATACTTCGTGCATACATTTGAAAAATGTGACTTCAATTATTTCTTACTTGCATTTTTTATCAAATAACTCTCGTTCTCCGCGTACCAGTAGCGCCGAGAAAGCGTAGAGCCAGAGAATTCTACTGTACATATATAAATCTATAATATCCAAAAGACATGAAAATACATGTATTTTCTTTCATCGCTAGTAGAATGAAAGTTTGTCCAAAGAAGAAAAAAAAGAAATTTGTTCGTATTATCTATCTAATACTGAGAATTAAGACTCGTATCATGAGTAGTAGATAGATGATTTAACAAAGGCCCCGGGCGTTGAACAGTGACGAGCGAAGATGATTGACGACGTGTTTTCACAAGTTGTACAACACAAATGATTAGAATTAGAGTAGCTAACGTTGTGGCAACGATGAAAAGTACTGTATAGTTTAAGATATCACCGGCACATGTGCGTGTTGAACATGCTAATGATGGAAGTTCACTAATATCTTTGATTGCTGTTAATGTCAAATTCCGACACTAGAAGGAGACAGTAGCGTTCGCGAAACAGATAGAATTTCTTCTACTTACGGCATTTATCAAACGCTGTTTCGTTGCGCTGAATAAATCGACAGGTAGATGGCTGTCTTTTGATTCGTTTACTAAATAGTTTTGCAATGGTTCATCGAGGAATTTCATTGTGTCATTCAGCTAAGTAAAATATCGAGTAGATGATTAGGAAAGTATGAACAAACCTCATCGGGATGCTCGCGTAGGAATGTATCGACATGTATAGTGAGACTACCAAAGGAAAAAAGTTGTTCGACTAATTCGGATGAACGATAGGTCAATGCTTCACGCCAACATTGATCATCTGAACAATTTGTTCTGTAAATAGTAACGCGCAAATTTAATAGCAAATATGTCGAGCAAATCATTTCGTCAACCTGCATGGTAAAGATTGAAATTGATATTGTGAAATATTCAAAAGAAATATCAGAAGGGCGTAGAATAGTTTCATTTGATAGTTAGACGTATAAAGAGAGTAAAGCGATGGATATCGTTCGTTCTGATTTCAATTTACCAAGGTGAGTGCAGCACGAATACACAGTACAGAACGGTAAAATATGGAAGTAACACAACTCGAATGATGTCGTCGCTTCACGATGATATTATAATAACATATCAACTAGTGCCTTTTTCTTTTTGCTTTAAACTTTGTCCAAGATTAAAATGATCGGGAAAAAAATTGTTTTCAACATACAACCTTTGTTTTTTATGACATTAGTAGTTGCCATTTCAACATCGTCTTCTATGTACAATCAAGTAATTAGAATTGTCATAAGAAAGTTATGATGGGTTCAGATTTGATCGAGAAATGTGAAATAAATTATGTATTAACGAAAGGAATTAGTCATTTTCTGATGAATGTGATTGATAAAAGCAAGGCTGATTGTGAGATACATAGAACATTAAAGTTAGTAATTGTATCGATCAATTGCATAAAAATACGAACTAATTGTTCTGTTTTTTCATATTATGATCAAACAAGTGTTTTCTTTCATTTGAGTATGTTATTTATCAAACATTATCTAAATAGGAATTTCAATGAGGAGTGCAATTCAGTATTCAATGCGAAAACTAGGTTCGATAAGAGTTTTAGTTTCTCTGTTCGTAGTCAATCGAAATCTTTTACGTAGTCCATTAAGTTAAAGATTATATGTGAGTTCAACGCATTGACGAAAAGTCCAGATAATTCTAATTGAGTAATAATTAAAAGACAAGTCCTGTTATGTTCTTTATAAATGAACTATAGGCCGCAGTTCGAGTGAATATAATAGGACTATTACAGTTCGTTGCACTGCCAGTAACGATACCAGCACATGTCCATACATTGTCAAAGTTTGTCATTAATGGCGCACCGACGTCAGCAGGACAAGTTTGGATTGAACCGAAACTTCCACAGAATTGAAAGTCGTTCGCTGATATAGCACAAGTAGTTGGATTTTGTATACGAACAACGGCTTGCTGAAGATTTGGTGCTACAGTAACATTCGTACTCGCTACTGTTTGACCCCAACCTGTAATTACACCATGTTCTTGTATAAATGGTTCTGTTAGGTCGGTAGTTAGACAACAAGGCTGAATGTTTGTAGTATATGTTAAATTGACTGCTAGAGTTAGGATAGCAACACTATCGTACGAATCTACGGTGAAATTTGCGCTGGTCACATTTACTCCAACGACACTAGGTTGATATGTGCTAGTGCCATAGTTTACGGTGATGTTGTTCGCGTTGGGTTTCACACAACTGGAAGCTGTAAGAACATGCCGTTGTGTGATAAGGAAACCACTACAAATTCTCGATGTACCAATCGTTAAATAGACCATCCATGGCCAACTATTAGCAGCTGCGGTTTGGCCACCGATGAGACGTGCTGAGAAAGTCGGTTGTGTTGATGGACATCCACATGTAGCCGTTGTTGGCGAACAACTTACTGTGGGTGCTGCAAGCACCGTAATGGCTCTGCTAGATTGACGAAGACCAACACCAAGACCAACCCCGAGTGCAATGCCAAGAATACCCAGACACACAATAGTTACAACCGTAAGTACGATTATAATAGTCATCGTAATTTTTGAGGAGCTTGCAGAAGCTGCCACACTGCCGCCATACGCTGGTGAGCTATAATTCATTCTAGCAAAATGACATCGTCTTGCAATTTACTTCTTATTCATATACTTAGACGATTTCCTTGATTGCTGTTTTAATTACACACTAACGGACCAAAGAAAAAGACAAATATGCTATATTCGGATTGATATCTTCTCTCTAATTGATTTCAAATAAATCATGACTTTGAAATCAGATTAGACAATACCAGATGTCATTATATTTTTCATCAAAGTTCGTTTTCGATACACGCATATGTATTAGAAATCTTTATTGAACTTGAAAACAAAATTTGCTTACAAACTAGCAACATAAGTAGAAATAAATGATCTGTAGTATGATACTCGAGTATAAAAACCCGAACCGGTACAACCAACTCCACTACTGACTACACCCGTACATGTCCATGAGTTATTCACCGCAGTCATCAGTGGACCACCACTATCACCTTGACATGTATCCGTATTTGTATAGCCGGCGCAGAATTGAATATTTGACGTTGACGTTATACCACAACTCGAGGCAGATTTTACTTGAATGACAGCTTGTTGCAAAGTATCCGGAATAACTATACTCGACGTACTTGTTGTTCCCCATCCCACGATGACAGCATTATCACCGGTAGCCGGTAACGAAGTATCTGATGTCAGGCAACATAGACCAACATAAGCAGTTGTATTAAAGCTCGATGCAAGCTTCAAAACGGCAATATCATTCGTATACTTAGATGAATCGTAGCTCGGATGCACTTGCATTGATGTAACAGTACGATATTGTTTGTATGGCGATGATGAAAGTGAATGTACACCGGCATAGATCTGTATTGAAGAAGGTGTTAAACCATAAACGCAATGAGCAGCAGTAACAACATGTTGATAGGTCACAAGAAAACCACCACAACGTTGAGCATTATTATAATAAAGAATGATAGTCCATGGCCATGAATTGGCAACTGCAGAGTAACCATTGATAATTCTTGATGAGGCAAATGACGGTTGAATGGATGCACAACCACATGTTGCCGAACCACCATACGTACAGGAAACTGATGGTGCGGAAAGCACGCTAGTACTACTGCTGCTACTAGACGACGAGTCTGATGACTTTCGAAGACCGAGACCGAGCCCCAGCCCAAGTGCAAGAGCAATCGCGCCAATGATAAGCAATATGACTATGCAGCCAATAATGCCAGCCCATAGTTTCCAGTTTGTTTGGCGTGGCTGCGGTTGTCGAACAATTGGATAGCGATATCGACTGTTGCTCAACATATACGTATATGGAAACTAATCAAATATTACTGTATAAATGAAAACAGTGGGGCAAATAGTTTGTATATTCTCTTTTTTCTTTTCGTTACTTTTTTCTCATCCTTGGTTAGAAAATGGCAACTTTTTATGCACCAGTGAATTCGTCTCCTCTAGTAAATACATAGCAAAAACGTGACAAATAGGTTGTACTTTTATAAGAACGAATCAAAGTCACAATAACATGGGTGTTATCCTCCTAATGGCCTTTTTTTTCAATCTTATTCATTCTGACGTATACACCCTAAAACAAACAATACAGATCGAAATTCAGTTAAAATAAACTACATTCCATTTGATTACTACGAATGTATGAGAAAACTTGCTTGTATTCTGATCTTCAGATATAATAATATTTATGTTGGAATTTTATCGTGATTAATTGATTTGTTTATTTACTAAAAATGTCTCATATGATATGTGTATACATATTGTTTGTGCAGTACTCTTCCGCATTGCATGAATGATGGTCGTCACAAATGAATGATTTTCCTTTTACTATACAATATTTTCGTGACTTTATTAATTAGAAGAGTGATTTTTCTATGAGAAATAAAAAAGCATAACATATCAAAGGACAAAGTTCCCTATGTATTGATGATGTCGTCATACAGCCGATGAATCATCATTAATAAACTATAGTTCATCACGAAACATCAATAAGTGATCTTCTGTCCATTGATCATAACAGTTCTTTTTCTGTTATGAACGATATTCATTATACACATATATCTGTGTACGGTATTGACCTTGATGATTGAATAATAATTATGAGCATGAGTAGTTACTATAGATTCAATCCGATTAGATCGGACATGATGTTTTCATTTTCAAAGCAATTCTCTTGAAAGTCTATCAATCGTAAAATCAAATCGATCTCATTCTCGTTTGGTTTAACCTTGGCAAAAACAAACTAAACAACTTCAACTAGAACAAATAAGAATTGAATAATACAAACAAATCAATTCAAATCGAGACGAGCTACATGATCTTTGTATCTAATGTATTTCTTTCAACACGCTCAGATCTGTTCATTAAGACTAGATTGTTGAAGATTTTCTTTTGCATATAAATTAGTGTGAACGAATGTCGTGCGTTTCTTTTTCTTCTTCATTCGTTTGTCGACCGTGATTTGTGTCACATCATGTCGTGTTCAAACTTTGTGTTATACTTACACGAACGAAAGAAAGACAAAAAAGTGAAGCGGCCAGTTCAAACATTGATCCTCTTTTTTTTTCGATGCATAAGATGTAAGACAGTGTCGACAAGAAGGAAGAAATAAATGCCAAAAACAGAACATCGAAGAAGAGAAAGATTTTATTCAATCGAAATCATACCGGACGACGGTGGCAATATTTACTGATTCATACTAAAGTTTTATTCCTTGTCTTTGTCTCTGTCTCTCCCTCCCTTCCTCTCTGCTTGAAAGAAAGAATGCCAACGTACATGTTGGCGTGACATTCTAACAAAAAAAACAACACCGGTCATTATTTGCATTCATCACTCAGACATAGACGTTGAAAGGTAAATTAAAATCTTCTTATTATTGTTTTGCCTTCTTCTTTCGATGCTGAGATAGGCAGTTGAAATCGTCTTCTCATTCCTATCGAAATCTGTAAATTATATAGTAAATAACAACTGTTATTAATGAGATGTGACGACTTGCTTCGCAACATTTCAATCTCGCGTGATTTTCAAGGTAAATCATACTGATAGATGAATACGAAAGTCTATGTATCGAGTAATCCTTCCCTCTTTCATTCTTTTCTTGTTCAATGACAGTCATATTCAAGGTTACTCCTCTATTCTATTTTGTTTAACAATTTAAAATTCAGATCATGTTTGATTTGAACTGCACGTCGAAGAAAACGAGAAACATCGGAGTTCCTCCTTTACTTTGAAAGATCAAATTTCATTTTATGCATAATTTCCTTTTGTATGAGAACGCATTTTCTCGTTAGTTCTTCTTTTTGATGAGCTCTTGAGTTCGTTGCCTGCAAATATTGTACAAAACAAATACCCGAAGAAGAAACGTGTTTATACGCTCGTTGAATATTCAATAGGAAAAAAAAGAGAAAATAGTCGAACAATTTACACTTGTACATTTTCTTGCATCACACACGCACTTTTCACCTTCTTACTCGATCATCTATTGTTGAGATTATTTTAGTCATGTTATTATTCGCACTTGAACAACTTGTATGTATATTTCGGATTACGCAAAGATCGCCTAGCGCTTGTTTATAAGAAAGAGAACGTAGAAGTTTGATTGAATAGTAAAACGAAAGAGAAAGCTTAACGCTTGATCGCAATTACTCATGTTATAACAATGAATGATTAAATACACGAAATATGAATAAAATAAGAACCCTAGTATCATTCATCTAGAAATCAATAGGAGTTCATCCAATCGAGTCAGAGGAAGAGAGAACTTTTCTTTTTTTTCCAATCAAAAGTAGTTACCATTCAAGTTTAGATCAGACAATCATTTATTATTCGTTGAAAAACTAAAGATTTTCAGATACTAATCGGAATAAATTAATTTAGTTAGAAAGGTACAGCTGAATGGATCATTGTATTTTTTTATTAGCAAGAATCTGCGTAAGTGATCAGAAGCTGTAGAACATCGTATTCAATTAAGGCTGGAATCGCTTCTGGGCGGGAGCAATCGATGTTGCCAGTTTACATTTATATTCAAGTTTCAAACTGATTGAACGTACGTGTAAAATGACCATTGCGTGTTCGAAAGTAGAAAAGACTTATCGATAATGAGAAACAAACTAATCGACAATTGAATAATACGTATATCTTTGAAATTTCTTCTCTGATAGTCTTTTGGACACGCACTGGATAAGTTTCTTTAATCCAACACAAATTGAAAACTAAAGAAGTCAATAAAATTTCTGCTTTTCTTTGTATATTCTAGGTATTATTTTCAGCAGACGCTTTGATATTTAATGAAACCTTCGATACATGTCGGGTAGTCTTCCTCAACGACGTAGTTTACCTGATTCAGCTTTTTCTTCATGGTCGAACATAATTAATGATAATAATGATGCACAACAATTTCAACAAATCATACGCGATCGACGAGGTATAGTTTGTTTTCTCCTCCCTCTCCCAATCTTTCATGATCCACCTATTTTCTTATTCTCATATGTAATTGACGTCATAATTATTCTCTTGTGTCCTTCGAGTGAGGAAGGCCAGTTGTTTTGCCATTCCACCATTTTACACTGTTCTTGTTCATTGCTTAACTTCTTCTATGTATAGATATATGGATATATATATATATATATATATATAACTAATGTCCTTGTGATGTTTTTCCCTAACTGTCGTTCGTGATATGACGGTTGTCTTCATATCGAACGAGTCTCTCTCGTACGGAGAAAAAGAAGATGTTTCCTTATACTTCCATAGTTCACAGAGAAGCAAAAAACGAGAGAATAGAACGATATTCGTACAGGGTTAGAGATGTTATTGGAATATGTGGCGAGACAGTCAATAGTATAAATATTGCATGAAAAAAAAGGGAGAACTATGCATGCATGTTCCTAACTGATACGGAAACACATATTGGAGTAAAAGAAAACAGGCGAAGAAAGTCAAAGAGAGCGAGAGAGAAGAGAAAAAAAGAAAGATGCAGCGGGGGTTTTCCTTGCGGTAATATCAATAGGCAACAGTCAGAATTGTACCATCATCCATCCCATCCCCGTCACTGCTGTTCTTTGCCTTATTATCATCATCATCATCGTCGTTGTCGTCGTCGTCGTCGCCATCAAGCTCTTTTTTGTATGGTAAAGAGTGAAAGAGAGTGGGCGGATAGTCAACATCTTATTGATTAGAACTCATCGATCAGTTGACCTTCGTTTCTGATCCTCAATAACAGACAAGAAAATATCTAGTCATAACAATGTCAACAACAAATCTGGATGAACTATTTAATCCCACTGATGAGGATCCAACGTGTAAGTTCCCTATCAAAATTGATAATTATGTCTCATCTGGAATAATCTATTAATAATCAGACGAAAACATGTCTTTGCGTTCTTTTTCATTCAGCGAAAATTTCAATCATATTTCAATGTCATGTCTCACTTCTAATCCACTGATTTTCTTTGGTTCAATAGATTTGCTTTATTTCGCCTTTAGCTAAACTTCTAAATAATATAAAGTAACTACTTGAGAGTAATGTAATCAAGTAAATATACAAATAAATAAATCATCAAGCAACGAGGGAAGAGAAAAAGGGGGAAAACGAACGTATCTTTTCATTATCTTTCTTTGCTTTCAAATGAATATCATCAAAAATTAATCAATATAGATGCGCATGATATGTGAGTAAACTAAGCAAGTTCGTTTTTGTTCTCTCTTAAGATGAGTATTATGGGAGAGAAAAAGAAACGGAAGAGTGACAAGTCAACCATCTTATCTATTACCTTTTTTCTCTCCATTCACTCTTTCCCTCTTTTCTTTTTTTTAATATGTAGTTGATTCAAAAATAAATTAACACCCGTATCGCTTGCTAGCAAACCATGACGATGATAGCGATACGATTGATCGATTTACTAATGTCCATTAACGATATATATTGCAGTAACTATCGTCAAGAGAGAGAGAGGGAGAAAGAGACTAAAGACGTCATTATTATTAAAGTTCGCTCTGGCCATTTGCCAACGAGAAAAATTCGTCTTTTCTTTTCGTGCGATATTCATATTTCAAAATCATTTTGTACATTTGCATTCGACGAAGAGTTTTGTCTATTCTTTCATTCATCGCTATCAGTGTTCAACGAATTTGAGGTTCGTAATCTTGATGTAATGTCTACTGATGTATTCATACATTAATATCTTTCTCCATAGACAATTTTTACGTAAAGACTTTATTCGCTCGTTCAAACCATTAAACGCACACATCAAATCATGGTCGCATCATCAACCTATATGTGAACGTAGGAAGTGTTGAGCTATGTCAAATTAAACGAGAGACTGCTCGTTCATTTCTTTCCCTTTGCTATCATATTGAATATACATCAAACATTATATACGTACACATCTTTTCGAATCGTCAAATAATAGTTGTTCAATAATAACAGCTTTTTTTATATACCTCTTGGTCAAAACAAAATCTACCTGGACATATCCTCACAAGCACATCTTTCCCTTCTTATCTGTAATAATGGTGACCACTCGGCGCTCTTTTGTAGACGAACGCGAAGATATCCAGAAGAAAGCATTCACTAAATGGATCAATAATCAATTGGCTACCGTAAGTATCAGTTTTATCTAAACAATCTCACTCCTCCTCTCGTTTTCTATATTCTAGTCGGATTCAACTCCAACTATCAACGATTTATTTCAAGATTTACGTGATGGTGTTATTCTTCTTCGGTTACTCGAAGTACTCACTGGAAATGAACATGTACGTCATCAGTCGAAAATCAAAAACGAATAGTTGACGTTCTTTCTTCTTCTTCTTCTTTAGAAACGAGAGATTGGCAAGATGCGTGTACATCACATTGGCAATGTTAATAAAGTCATCGCTGTACTTGGAGAATATGGAGTAAGTCAATATCACCATTGACATTGAATGAACGATGGAGAGAGAGAGAGAGAGTAACATAAAATGGAATTTTTTCTCTCTAGATAAGACTGCTTAGTATATCATCCAATGATATTGTTGATGGTAATCCAAAACTGACTCTTGCACTCATATGGTCGATAATTCAATATTGGCAAGGTAAAGATGTTTTAAAATCAGTTGTATCAAATCCTCAGCAAACCAATGTGGAAAAATTTCTTCTCAATTGGTGTCAACAACAAACAAAAGGGTTTGTTATTATTGACAAGAAGATATGGAAATTTCGATATGATTCGTTTCTATTTAGATACAAAGGTGTTGTTATTAAAGATTTTACAACAAGTTGGCAGGATGGTCTTGCTTTCAATGCACTTATTCATAAATTCCGTTCGGATCTATTCGATTATGCTGATATTTTACAAAACGCTGCCGCAAGAAATCTCGAAAATGCTTTTACTATTGCCAAAAATATCTTCAAAATTGATCGTTATCTCGACGTCGAAGGTTCGTATTAATATAATTATAAATATAAACAGAAATCAATTTGATCAAATCGAACGATAGTGTTAACATATAATTTCTTTGATTCTCTCATCACGTCAACGAGAATCGTTCACAGCTGAAACTGTTTGAATTTTCTATGAAATCGATTTGATAAACTTCAATGAGAGTAATCATCTAATTGAATTGATGATGTTTTTAATAGTAGTAATGACTACTGTCTAGACGTTATCAAAATGACATTGTTTTAAGAATGTGTTAGAGGATATTGTAATTTATACTTTGTTACTTTGTCATCCATCTGATAACAGAGAAAAGGTTAGAAGAAGAGAAGTCCTGTCGTCAATGATTGAGTGCTATTTTAACCTTGAATGTGATGACTGATGTTCGAACAAATGTAAGAAGAAGAAGAAAAAGACAAAGACTTGTAACGCGATGTATCGATAATATTTTTGTTTGAATTTTCCATCCTAGATGTTCTCTCTGAATATCCGGACAAGAAATCAATATTGATGTATGTGATGTGTCTCTTTCAACAACTACCAGCAAGTCATATTGTTATTGAGGACAAAGAGAAAAATGGTCTATCGACGACGATGATGTCCATGAATACAAGAAATAGTTTGAAGGAGACAAAGGTTCGCAATGAAATCTAATCATTGAATTTTGTTTTCAACATCTATATGCACTTTCTAGTCTCCATCTCCGCCTAGTTTATCTTCGAAAGTTTCGTCAGTGACAGAATCGCGAACAATTATGGAAACATCACAATTGACTACGTATCAAAGCAATATGGAACGACTTGTTCAATGGATATTGAAATTAGAAGAACAACTCGATCGAGAAGAGAAAGTCTCCACGAATGATCTTAAACGTGTCAAAGAACAATTTCAAAAACATGAAGTAAAACTTTAAAAGAAAAACTTTCTAGTCGAAACTTCATTGTCTTTGTAACATAGGATTTCATGATCAGTTTGACAAAAGATCAAAATCAAATTGGTCAAGTTCTCGAAGAAGGCAATCGTCTACTCTCCTCTGCTGATGTCCATCTACAATTACGTGAAGAAAACGAAATCAAGGAACAAATGAAGATTCTCAATCGACGTTGGGAATCGTTACGTACCAAAGCTCTGGAACGACAATCATTGTAAGTAAAAAATTCTCGAAGAATTGCCAAACAAACTCAACACTGTTTACCAGTCTGACTTATTATCATAACCTCTTCGTGTAAACATATGTGCACTGTTTGATTCGCCACTCTTTATCTACTATTACTTGAATCTTGAACAGCAGGAGCTAGTGTAGAGTATGTTTATATGAAGATGCGTATGATATCATTCGATGAGCTTACTTAGTAAGAGGAGGCCCAATTTAATTAACCAATTAGATCGACGGCTCACTAATGTTTACATTGACTTGAAAACAAAACACAGACACTGGAGGAATAGATAGGTTTTTTCGTTCGACATAGAAAAAAAAAGAATTTCAGGGTCAAAGGTTTGGTGATATTGTATGTGTTTAGATTACATCGAACATTGATGAAACTTCAAATTGATCAGATTGAATCTTTCGATGTTTGGCTTACTCAAGCTCAACAGAATATTGCTCAACAGTTAGAAAGTATCGAACAGGATCTAGTTGGCGTCGATCGACAGTATCGTCATCTAGCTCAATTACAAGATGAACTAGTGTCTCAGCAACAGATCACTGAGTCTTTACAGAACATGGTCATTGTCATTGATGATACAACCACGAATGGTACAGACGCTCCTGCGTCGAAGTACACATCCATGGAAATCGAAGCGAAACTGTTAGATCTAAGTGAGCGTTGGGCGAGTATCTGTACGTTCGTGCAGAATCGTTGGGTACAATTACAAGAAGTTAAAATCGAACTCGAACAAGTACAGGTCAATCAAGATAAAGTGAATCGATGGCTAACACGTAAGGAAGCTGAAGTATCGAAAATTCTGGCCGAAACGAACCTGACTGATACAGACACACTCATGCAACAAGTTCACTCAATTAAAGTAAGATTGACCATGATTTCTATGCACAGTTAATTATTCAAATGAGTTGCCTAGCACTGAATGAGTCTTGAAAAGACTGATGAGAGTTTTCATATTTTTTTTTGTCCATTTAGAAAACTGAATCGGAGATTGAAGATATCCGGCAAGCTATACTTGCACTAGATAACAGTTTAAAAGTGTTAAGTACGCATTATGACAGTAAAACATCAATTTTATTAAAACGATTAAATGAAACAATGAACTCTTTCGATAAACGTTGGGAACGTTTGCTCGATAATCTTGAACAATGTTCATCACGAGTAACTATTCCTTAATCTAATCTTCATTCCCATCCCAAGTGATTTTCTCGTTGTTTCAGTTAAAAAAAACTCATTTAAATATCGAAACAAGCGTTAAAACAAACATTAGACCAGACAGTGATACAGTTGAAAAAACTATCACGACAATTGTTGAAGAAACAACAATTAAAAAACGTAAAATTGAAAGCAATAATAGTCTCCGACATGAATACGAAATCTCTGCAAGGAAATTTATTGACTGGATTGATAAGATCGAAAAAATCTTAACCAACAGAGAAACTGAGAGTTCAAAAGCCATTGAACGACAAGAGATTGTCAAAGTAAACCAACTTTTATGCACAGCTTTTCCCCTACACGAAAACAAACCACTCATCTTTTAGGATATAAAAGCCAAATATTTATCATATGATGATCAATTTCAAAACTTAGTTCAAACAGGTCATACAATAACTACCCAATTAAAAGAAACTAATGAAGATTCAAGTGAACATGAAATTACTTTGAAAAACTTAGAACAACGCTGGCAGGCACTTTTGAAACAAATTCTTACTTGCGAACGAGATGCTGAGCAATTTCTTCTTCAAAGTAAATTTGATGAAGAATATCAAGCACTCTCGAACGCAAGAAGCGAATACCAAACCTGGATTGATTCACATCAATCTCTAAGCTCAACCGCTGAAATGCAGGTATAATTATAAAGCAAATTGTTAGTAGTATCTACTTGTCATTTTATATGACATTGTGGACGTACATGAGGAAGACAACTGATCATTGACAGGTGTTGCCCTTTATGTCTGTTTAGTCAAATTTGACCGTGAACATTTCCTTTTGTAACAACAGTTAGTTAGATTAGTTCTCGGGGAATTTGAGATAGAACATACTTGAATAGACGATGTCGAATGAATGATTGAGTGATTAGAGATCTCTTGTAATCGGCAACGAGCTTATGATAATATCAGATGTATACAAAGCTCGGAGATAAGAAACAAAGATGGAAACTAATAAATCAATATTTTTTTATCATTTATCGATTGGACAATGAATATGATCGATAATGCATCAATTGTAAAATACATAATTAATCGAAATTTTCAGCTTTTTTCATGACCAACTCAATCACTCTTTTTTTCCTTTCTTTCATTCTATTTTACAATCTATCATTTTGGTTTTTATTCATGTTGTACAACACATATACAATTCATTAATGGTTTATAAAGATGAATGTAGTCTATATCAATTAATTACAATTGTTCACGTTTGAATAAGAACTGGTTTATTAAAATTATTTCTTCTAGGTGAAAATCAAAAGTTTTCAATCGTTCAATGAACGTCTTAGTGTTCTACGATCGATGGCAGAACGTCTCGATACGAAAGCTGCTGTGCGAATGGATCAGTTGCAACGATCGTGGAACGATACAAACACACGACTACGTAAGTAGAAATCAAACTAGGTTTGCAAGCGTGTGTGTAGTTAGTTTGATCATTACCTTTATTGGTTTCTTTATGCATCACACTTTTTGATTCTGCTTTTTGCCACCCTTGCTTTCTGTGCAAATCTGCGGTTGATTAGTGTGCGGCATTCTAATTATGTACGCACGCATGCAGGTCATCATCGACGTAGTTGACCGAATCAAACAAAAGAAAACGGATGGCTTAGGTTATCTTATATTGGTCGGCAGTCTATCGTTCTCAAATTATTACATTGTCTTCCTTTTCTTCTTCTTCTTCTTCTCCTTCTTCTGCCATTATCGGATAAAGGCATCCAACCACACAACCGACTTATTTTGGGTTGAACGTGTGATATCGATCAAGCTTCATGACTGAATAGTACACATATCTGCGCATACGTATATATCGTCAATGTCATGCTTGGAATTATCATCATTGTACATGATCGCATAGCGTAGCACGCGACGACAGCCATGGAGAAAAAAAAGAACAAGTACAACATGACGAGCGAGCAATGAGTTTGTCGTTAGTAAATTTAGTCTTGTTCCCACTCTGTCCATATGTATATATATGTGTGTGTGCGCGTGCAAATGATGCTGCTTGAATTTTACCCTATTACAGTAAGCGAACAGCTATGAGAAAGGAAAGGAGAAAGAAAAAAAAGAAAGTTCTTCTTCTTCTTGGTTTACTCTCTTTTCATCTCATCTATGTCACTCTTCAATATGGACTATACGTAGTTGCTCTCGTGTGTGTCACATTGACAACAACAACAACGACGACAACGAGGTGTCTTACTTAGTCGTTGTGTGTCACTTCACTTGATAATCGAGCACGGAAAACGAGTAAAAGATAGAGAGTCGTAAAAAACAAACAGTTTGTTGTTTTTACTGTTATCTACATGTCCATGTATCAATCTATCTAGCTGTCTCCGTGTTTTTCTACGTGATGATTAGTATCGCGAATCATAGAAGATAGTTCGAGTAGTTTTGGATAATGTTGTTTCTTTCGTATCTTTAACTATACTGTGTTTCTTGTTATTTCATAAGGTGAGTTAAGTAAACGCGATAGACGTATGCCGCAGCCGTCTGAAACAAACGGTATCGATTCGAACGCCACTCGTCGTGGTGGTCTCTCGTCGATACCACTCAGTCCAACACGATCAAGAATTAACGAACATTCATCATCGTCATCGACCACAGCAACATCAACAACGACATCTAACACTAGTTCATCAGCAGTGCCAAATGAAAATGGAGACTTATTTACGCTGACAAATTATTACACATTCGGCGACAATGGCCAACCAAAGAAAACTGCTTCAACCGACAAATATCGTATCGATTCAGTTGTCGAAGTATTCGACTCACCCACGACACCGCATCCAGTGGAATCAGCAGCATCGTACCGCGAACAATTCTCATCAACAACAGCATCATCACGAAAAGTACTTGTCAACAGTGATGTATTCGATTTTGATACATCGCGTACTCCTCATTTCTCTGGATCGGCGAGTGCAACACCAATCAAACTTCTCACAGGTAGTTAATCGACCGAATCTCGAGATACAGAAGGGAAAGAGTCGACTAGAAATCTCAATGATACACAGATATGCTTGTCTCAAAATGCTTGTGCATCTGTATGCTTTGCTTCCTAACCTGCTTTACTGCTGCTTTCATATCCAACATAAACTCTATTTATTTAACATTTGTCTATATCCTTAGGGGAAATTGCTTTTGATATTATTAATATGATGATTATTTTTCTTTCCCTTTCAAAAGGATTACTGCTGCTAACTTAAATCGATAGTCAGATTTCAAAATACACAAATGTCTAGCTATTTGTTTGCATTTGAAAATTTCATTTTTGAGCTCGAGTCGTCTAACGTATTGAACTTGAATGCATGCTAATCAAGAACGTTATGATTCGACCTTCAAATTCTAACTTTGTTCAGATGCAACTGGAAACTCTTTGCCGCACAGTATCTCACCGACTTCATTATCATCGTTACCTGCAAGTTGTATCGATGGTCAACGTAAATTACGTCAGTGGCTTGAGCAAGTCGAACAATCCTTATTGAATGATAAAGTTCGCGTGGTCGATTTGAAAGCAATTGATGCAAAAAAGAAAGTCTACAAAGATTTACTCGATCAAACATTGGAACAAGAACAATCAATCGAACAATTAAACGGTATTGCTCGAGAATACTATCCTAAGTTAGCTACCGATGTTAGTCGACGTCTTCAAGAAGAATTAAACAATTTTAAAGATCGTTTATACGATGTAAAAATGTTCTTAAGCGAACGTTTAGCAAAATACAACCGAGTTGATAAGACATTAAGCGAATTTGAAGTAAGATAAAGATCTTTTAAGAAAAACTTCTCTACATGATTCTTTTCTTGCCAGAGAACGATTGAAGAAGTGAAAATTTGGATACGCAATGCTCAACCACGTTTGGCAGCGAGCGATGCTGCGTTCACAGATGCACGTGCACTTGAAGATCAATTAGGTCGTAGTCAGGTAAAACGAATTGTTTGATATGAACATTTTCGAAGGGGAAGTTTTAGATTCTTCAACATGAAATTCGTGAAATGCAAACGACCATCAATCGATTGAATAAGGACGTGGTCGATTTGACGCAAGATGCTGATGAAAGTTTAGCTCGACATCTACGAGATGAAATGAAAGAATTAAATGAAGGCTGGAGTCATATTATAAGCTCGACAAAAGTCTATTCAAAAAATATTCAAGTAGGATGATCGTTTTGTTTCGACAACTCGGCGAAGATGAGAATATACTCTAGGATGCTTTGAAACGCAATAAAGTTTTGCATGAAGATATTCAAGAAATTGAAGATTGGATCATGGATAAGGAACGTGAAGCACCTGCCGATGACGGACCTATCTTCTATCAAGAACAACTTCGAGAACGCTTGGATCAGTACCAAGTAAGAGAAAATCAATGAATTCGCAGATCAATTTCTCTATCTTCTCATTCCTTTAGAAACTCCAAGCAGAATTGAATCATAAAGAACATACTGTACGAAATCTGCTCCAACAAGGTCGTCACGATATAAATTCTTCATCGGGCGGTACACCTGAGCTAGCGCAACAGTTGGAAACACTAGTTTCCAATTGGGGAAATCTTCAGAAAAAAGTCGATACAAAAGTGGCTTTCTATGGTGACATTTATACATTGCATGAAGAATTGAAAAGTAAGACAATAGAAGAAATGAGCAGTTATTTCTCGACCGAAAATGCTTTTTGTGTGTTTGTGTGTGTGTAGATATCCTCCATCAAGAAAATGTTTGGCTTGATGCTTTGCAGAACAAAGTTTTCTCATCCTCAAATAACGGTGCCGATGCGGAGGAAATCTCCGAAGAACTGGATGTAAGATATCCTGCGGAATCTATTCTGTTGGTCATAACAACTTGTGCTCTCTAGATTTTGGAACGTTTTGTAAAGACGCATTCGAAGAGTAACTACGAGAAGATCTTTGAAATAGCCGACCGTCTCCAAGCAACAAAAGTTTCCATCCCAGCTACGAACAGTCAAATCAATCAATTCCGTATTCGTTGGGATCAATTGCATGATGATGTAAATCAACAAAGCATTTTTCTCACGATGATCATCTCATTGCTTCATTTTCAGGCATTTAAAGCAATCCATACACTCAATTCGCAAATCTCCGATTATCAACACATGGGCCATCAAATCACTGCAATGTTCGAATGGATGAAACATACCGATAACACTCTCAACGCTCGGCTGAAAGATGATGTCTATGCTGATGATGTTCCCGGCGAAGCCGAAGTAAGATTTGTCAATCTCTGCGCCGATAAAACATCAACATTACTTTTAATTGTGTTCGTTTGACTAGAAATTGATTGTTGAATTCAATCAATATGAAGCATTTCTGCGTAGCATCGATGATAAAATCCATGCTTTACGTGCTACAGCGAAAACTGAAGCTGCTAAGCGTCTGGAACAACAATTATCATTGCTTAAAGTAAGCTGAGTTTTCCCAGTCAAGATCGGTGAAGAGTATCATTCTTTTAGAACCAATTTTTGCAATTGCAAATGAAATTTCGTCAATTTCAAAAGCCATCCGATTTCGAACCTAAACATGCCCGAATGCGTCAAATATTAAACGAAATCGAGAGTAATATTCATATTCTTGAAGTTCGTTCGGATGATCCGGATGTCATCCATAGTCAGTTTGAAGACTGCTTAGTACGTTGAACATTGTTCTTTTGACGAAATTTATCAAATATGACTCTTCTTTTCTATAGAAACTCTATCGAACTTTATCAGATATCAAAGCCGAAGTCGAATATGTCATTCGTACAGGTCGTCATATTGTCGAGAGAAAACAGATCGATGAACCAGATGAATTAAACAAACAAATTGATCAATTGAAAGCTAAATACAATACTCTTGGAGCAAAGGTACTGTTGCATTGGTCAAGATTTGCACATATATACATTCAATTGTATTTGTTTAGGTAGCGGCATCGAGGAATTTACTAGACAGTGTCGAACGTCATCTACGTAAATTTCGCAAGGAATATTCACACATTCATGAATGGTTTGTCAAAGCTGATAATGAAATACGAAAGATTGAAAATAAACAAGTTTCGAAGAATATGAAAGAAGAAACTGATTGGATTCGAGTAGGAGCAATACTTTCTTTCGAACTTTCAAATGAAGAGTTTTCTTTGTCTTACTAGACAACACGAAATGATATTAAAAAATTGGAAGCCAACTTTGAAACATTAAAAAATTTAGAACGGACAATCCAGAAGGAAGCTGATCGACCTTTAGCAAGTCTTCATGAAAAAACGGTGGAATTGAAAAGACAAATTGATCAATTAGATCGACGACTTCGAGATCGTTCAGATATAGTTGAGGTAAGGATACGTATGTTCCTCTATTCTTCATTGTTAGATAATAGAAGAAGCAGAGGGGAAAAGGCAAATGTCATTGAGGGATGATATCTTACACTTTAGTGTATAACCTTCGTGAATATGATTGGATTAGATTTCTATATAAAGAAATCAGGAGTCTATGATGTAATCTTTCAGTTGTCGTCAATTTCGGATAACACATCTTGACGTAATCAATACAAGTGCTCGTCCATGTGTGATAGTGTTGAGTTCATGTAAGCGTTTGTTTTCTTGACTAAGAATCTCTCGATGATATCGCAATTATGCAGTTGACCGATTCTTTATTAGTACAATGAACTATGCGCATTCTCTATGCTTGAAGATATTAGTCATGGACGGGAAAAGTAGAAAGACGCACATATGCATTGTTCCATCAATCTTTATTCGCATCAAGAGTTTTCTTTTATTGGCATAACTAGATGGCTAGAAAGAAAGAGAGAGAGAGAGAACAAGGAAGAAAGGAGGCACCCGATCGATTGTAGTTGATGATTTATTAGTAAGGAAAAGCAAAGACGAGACGAGAACGTGTGTTCGAATGTTCGATCGAGATGTATCCTTTGGTATAATCAAACGTAGTGCGGCATAACGGAGGAGAAGTTTGTTTGTATGTATATACGTGTGCGTATGTCACTCATTGACGGTCAGAGAACATAACGGGCGTTCGCTTGCGCATTTCTGTTATCTTAAAGACGATGCCGGTTGCGTTTTCTTTTGTACCATCTCCACATCGTTATTCTTAGCTTTTCTCTACATTCTCTTTCTCTGAATTCTTTCTCCAGATGAGAATATACTCATTCGTCCATTCTGTTCTTCCTTCCGTACATTTTTTACCAGTGACTCCTATCCATTAGTGTCAATAGAGAAAACAAAAAAACCGCAACTAGACGTTTTCCTCTCCCACCAAAAATATTACAGTCTTCTGTTTCCCTCTGACATATATCGTATGCGCATTTGTTCGCTGCATATCCTGCAATACATTATTATTATTATTATTAACGAAGAAGACAGCAACTTCAGCATATTTTCATCTTGCAAATAGAAGTGATTCAGCCTTGACATCGACTGTACTAATTATTTTCAATATTCATAATGATTCATACTAGTTAGAACAAAGCCAACATTCTCAGTTAGAGACGAACAAATACCAACGAGAGAGACAGAGAGAGAGCGAAAGAGAAGCTTTTCTCTTCCATTCTTACTCGTGCCATCAGCATCATCATTAATCACATTGTGTTAGTCTTCAGTATATAAATATATCGATGGATAACACAAAATCAATAATCGTTCGTCTTGCGAATTATTAGTCGTGTCAGAGAAATGAGAGACGATTAGAAGTTGAAATTCTCTTCCGATAGTTGGTATTTTTGTTTTGCTTTATTATTATTGTCATATATACATCGATTGTTGTCTTCAGAATAAGAATAGAATAAAGAAAGAAAGAATGAGAACGGACGTCAAACGTTCGACGTCATCCTATTCTGAAACACCACGTCGTTATCATAATTTACTTTATATTCCATTTGGATCTGGATATAGTGGATCATCAGGTACATCGACGACAGCAGCAACAAATCTTACCCCTATTGAATATATTATCTATCCGATTGGTTTGCGTAAGGTACTATGATAAACACACTGAAATTGATTGATTTGTTTGACTAAGACTACGAAAGAAAAATAAATGATTAAAATATGTTCTATTTATTTGTTTAGGGTCAAGTACGTAAACTCGAAGATGATTACCAAAGATTCATCCAGATTCATCAAGACATTATCATACGTTTGGATAAGTTAGAAGCGTCACTAACTGATGCTGAACGTGTATTTGACTTTACTCGAATTACGGTTTGTGGAAACGTTCTTCGAGTGTCAAAATCATCTCGAACTTTTCGCTTTTTCAGCACGTTCAAGATGAACTTCGAAATGTCCGAAGTCAGCTTGACGAACTACTCACCCTCGGCCAAGAGCTTGTATCGAAAAGTGAAAAATACAGCAAACGTGTCGGACCTGATATTGAAACAATTACAAGCAAATTCGAAGGCCTACAACGTCGAATACGTTCAATGCAGGTTGGTGAACCTAGTCTTGTCTGCATAGAGTACATTCACATTTAGAATTAGTTCGATTGCAGTGATTAGAACTAGTTCTCTAGGCTAATATTTGTTTACATTCACCTATATATGTTCTTTCATTTTTTTTCACCCACAAACATCAATCTTTCAGGAAACACAGGAGAAACGTTCAAGAGAACAACACCAGTATCAACAACAACAACAACAACAACAACAACAACAGTTTAGCACGACAGCGACAATGAATAACAATGTACACGAGGATCATCGTGATGATCACCGTCAGGAATATTACACGGAAAAGAAACATACGCGTGTTCAACATACATCGCGTCGTCGTTCACCGTCGGAATCTTCGGATATCAGCACAGCTCACGGGGTGATTGATGAAGAATTCAAAAAGAAATATTTACGTTGTTTGGCATATATGAAACTAATTGAACGGTTATATGAAAATCATCAAGAAAGTGATGACGAAGTGGATACGTACAAACGAAGACTATCCAGACGAGTATGCCATGATTATTTCCTTATTTTTTTATCTCGCATGTTAAGATTTTTTTGCATGAAATCGTAGTTTGTGATTCTGAACGAACAGAACATTTGATATATTCATTCTTGTCTCTATATTTTAGGATCAAGCATTTCGAGAACGTCCAGAATGTGAAGAAATCGAACAGATTATACGTGAAACCGAAGAACGAGCGTATCATATTGAAAAGACCGATGTCGAACAAGCCAATCGTATCCGAGAGAAGATTCGTCGATTGAGAGTAAATACCTTTTGTTTGGTTTTCCTCGTCGAAGAAAATGTCTTCTTCTAGGATTGTTTGGAAAACCTCAAATATCGCTCTCAACAACAGAATAACGACGAAGTCATACGATACAATGAACGATACGAAGAACATGTTAAAACAACAGATAGAACAGTACCAAAAGAACGGGTATGTGAACACAACGGAAATTACCAATATGTACAGTAAAGATGTTCGATTAACCCGCAGGGAAGCTTAGCGTAATAGTTTCGTCATATGTAGGTGGTCAAGTGCAACATGAGGAAAGAGTTTTCTCTTCTTCTATCGTATCTTGCCGAGTAGATTTGTGTTCGTGTTGGAAAGAATGTAAATAACGTCGACATGGCTAAGGAATGTTTTTACACAACTGAGGAATGAAAGAACATGATCGTGCGAATTAGGGAGGCGTTGTTATCTATGCGATTGATCACGAAGAGATTAATAGAGTTGACTAAATATAGCTATTAGATAAATAATCGAATGGGACCGAAGTTGGTCTGTAGGTTATTAATATATCAATTTCCCTCAACCCCCACGAACGATAACGAATAAGAAACAAAATATATCGAGTGAAATCCGATGGTTTATATCAAAAATACTAATATGAATATTATGATTATTGAAGTTCTGTCCTCATTTACTCCTTCTCTCCTTCCTATCAATTAAAGACATTAAGATACAGTCTGTCAACGACTCTTTTTTATATCATACGATATCAAATTTTCCAGAGACCAATAATAGTAGATATCGGCTTAATTCTGGATAATATATCATGTCAGAAATGAAGTCTAGACAGGAAACAAAATGACATCTGCACTGCCAACACAAGGTTTTACAGTTCTTATTAAAATCGGATAGCTGCTTTCAATAACTATATGTGTAAACTGTGAAAATGTCGTCGACTAATAACTTACTTTTGACGTGATATTTTACCCACATGTGACCTTAGGATAAATGCGATGAAAATTAATCTTGATTTCTTGAAATAAACATGTAGTAATTCAAGCTCGAATGTGTGATCAAGAATCTATGTTCAGAAGGTGAAAGAAGTAAAAGATCATGTACATGTTAGGTCTTCTTTCCGCTATCCTTGCTCTTTTAACTAAGTATTTATAATCTTGTCGTCAATGTGTGTCTTAATCATTTTCTTTTTCTTTAATTATGCAGGAATTCGATTCTGACTTCATCTATGATATCGACGATACAAGATCAGTCATTAGTGAACCAGCTCCACAATTCAATACGAAATACCGCAAAACAATTCATTCGCTTGAACGTTATAGAACGGAAGATCAATCCCGTCAGGTTCCATCTAATGAAGAATACCATCTACAACCATTGTTACGTGTGCGAAGTTTGAAAGCTATTGATCATCGTACACTGAGCGCTCCATCTTCGCCTGTTTTACAACCACGTTATCGATCACACGAACGTTCGAATGCTCAATATCGAACACATTCGACGAATCAACAAAGTTTTCAAGAAAACTTTCAAAATTCGATATCGAAATCGGCCAGCTTACCCAACGGTGGTTTTCCTGTTCAAGTTGCTGCTTCTATTCCTCAACAACCAGTCTTAGTTCGTGAACGTGTCATCGACCGACATGTTGCAGAGCGAAGTACATCACGAAATGAATCCCACCGACAACAGCAACAGCAAGAAAATGCAAGCATGCAAGCACGTTCATCTCATGCTAGTAGTGGACAAAGCCAAACACTCAATCGAGCAGTCCCTATTCGTTATGAAACATCAAACATGGGCACCAACAGCGCTTCATCCAGTTATCGCCACGCTAATGGTTATCGGCAAGACCAGTATCCGACATATTTCTACCAAGAACAATACGGAGGAGGAGGAAGTGGCTCCAGTAGTATTGGCGGAAGTTACCGACAACAAGTCTATCCCACACAACCTATTGGACCACATCCTACTCGAATCGTGAACTGAAAAAGCAGACACAAATAGAGAGTTAATCGAATCTATATATAAATATGAATATATATATTCTACTAGTATAAAGAAAAACATGTTTGCTGTGTGTATACATGCGTTCTTCTTTTTCTTTTTTTCTTTTTCTCGTTTTTTGCTCTTTCTTTCTTTTGACGAATTTTTTCATTGTCGGTGCCAATGCGCAGTGGTTCTTTTCATCAAAAACTAACACACGAACATCAAATCTATTCTTTAATTGTTCGAAAAAGGTTCTTTTTACTAGTATAAAACACGTTTTTTTCTCATTCTCTTTAATAAAATATATAAGTATTTGCTATAAGAAAGTCAACTATCACGCTTACACCTGTTCCTACTCATGCATAATCCAAAAAGGCATTTGATTGATATAAATGACGATGTCACTGTCATGAAAAGAGAGTGATAATGGAATTCAAGAGAAAGGTCCTTGTTCTAGCTTTTCAATTGTGATTATCATCAAACCAATCACGCAGATCTCCTCTGCTTCGCTCAGCTCACAAATCTAGATTAGATTAATCTATCAAGATTTTGTACAAAGATGATTACTATCTGTCGCGACTATGTATAAATATTTATTCATTCAGATAACTGAGAAGCAGGTCATTCCAAGGTGAATAATTAATCTGTAAGTCATGTCTATTGATCACAAAATGTCAGCATCTTTAGTGAAATATTGTCTGTACTATGAGAGTTTCGAGTACCTCTCGTATTTTCATCGGTTGATTACATCGTGAATTCATGGGTCTATAGTCAGAATATATTAGCTATTGTCTATTCATTTTCCTATTAAAAGAAGATCTTCATTCTTCTTAGTAGCCCTTAGGGTGACGACGAAAGATGATGATAGCAGAAGAAAAATCATTCACATGGTATCATATTCTTTTCTGGGCTTAATATACAAATATATGTGCATTTCATAGAGTATGAAAAACATAGTTGGTAGCTTTACACTATCGATTGGAATAACAAGTCGATTGGGCTCGACATTAATATCTTCTACATATAGAAATCTATATAAGATCGATACATCATCTTCATTCGATTGAGAACGATATTGTAAATCACAACGAAGCAGTAGTTATTCCACAAGTATGTATGAATTCTTTTCATTTTCGTGATAATATGAATTAGAACATAGATAAGGGCTGCAAAGAGACGCATCAAACAGACATATAGATTGTATATTTAATGTTTATAATAAAGAACTATTCGTCATTTTTCAACTATTTTCTGTTGTGTTTCCTTCTCAGACATTTCCCGGTTTTATTTCGAATAGTAGTCGTATGAAATCACGAAATATCAACTGTTAAGTGAGCCGTTATAAACGTTATTCAATTAAACGATGACATCAGATTCCATGAATCAACAAACAGAAAACTTCATTAATCCGTTTACGAATATTAAAGAACAATGGCAAACATTTGCAAATGAACGGAATGATCTTCAAGAGAAGTGATTATTCTTCTTCATACGAGAAGATTGTTTTCCCGAAATCATCTTGTGTTTCTAGACATTCACCGTCGAAAGAAACGATCAACCTCTATAATGAGATTCAACATTGGTTAAACTTATGTAGACAATTGCAAAGTCAACAAGACAGAATCGATCTAAATAATTTATCAACAAATAATCAACTTCTCTCTCGACTAAAAGTCTGTTCACTAGACAATGAAATTCATTTAACTACTTTCCTCTGTCTTTTTCATAGCAATGTGAAGAAGAATTGAATCGTTTAACAAATGCTGTTATTCGCCTGTCAACAGATGAAGTTGCTCCTTCATTAATTCATGAATTGACTGTAGTGCGTGTTACTTTCATTCTCTAATCTTTTCATTCTGATAATCTATTCACAGCTTAGCACATCGGCGATAACAATGCGTAGTCAATTAGAGAAACGAATCGAACAACAGTATCGTTCAAGTGTGGAAATAGATACATTTTGTAATTGGTTGAAAACTCTCACTAATCAATGTAAAACCATGGATAAACAAGTAGAAGACGTGATGAATTCTCCGACTGTCCTTATGATCTATTTCGCTAGATGATTCAACTCATTCTAAGCCAACAACAGGAACATATCGATCGATTTCGTCGATATAATGACACGGACAAACTTACGAATTTAATTCACATGTGGGACGACTTACTGTCATTGAGTAAGTTTGATGATGATGTAAGATAAATCATCATCTAGTCAACTATTCATCAAGTCTAATTCAATAAGCATCTGTGTTTATTTAATTCACTTAGTCTAATCAACACCTCATTTCTTGTACAAAGAAATCTCAAGATGATCTTTTCTTTCTCTTTCTCTTCTTGTCTTTAATCTATGTTGGAAGCACAACACTTAATTCTTTCTCGTATTTCATTGAAAACGTTGATAGTTAGAAAAAATAATTTCATCGTAGAGAATTTATGACGATAAGAGACCAAACACACGACACAAGGGAACTAGAGAGAGAAAGACAAAGGCCACCATGTAATTGAATTCTTTTTTGCTAGGCCCCTCTTTTCATCATACTCATCGAATACTTGTTCTTGTCGATGACAGGAAGTTAAACACTAAGACTAGCATACATTCTTATTTCCATGTTTCTATTTTTAGCTAATTCTTCAACTAGAAAACCATCATCGTACATTTTCTTTGAGAGAAAGAAATGTCAAATAGTCTTCCGAGAGAAAAAGAAAAGAACGTGTAATTCTCAATGATGTAAGAGAATTGAACAAGTTACGAACACAACTTATTATAATGATTTATTGAGGAATATATATACATATATATCTCATATGCCATACATCATGTCTCTGTTAACTAAATACATCGAACATCGAGAGTGTGAGAGCCTAGGGTGTGTTGATAATGATGATCTCACGTCCCCTTCATTTACTGTGTGAACACCTGATTTCTAGTCCTTTTTCCCTCTCTTTTCTTCATATAGAACAGTCGTTGTTCACCTTTTTTCTCCGTTCTAATTGCAGAAATACTGAAACAGGCATATGCTCACGTCTTTTCTTCTTCTTGTTACATTCACATTTCTTTTACCTTCATTTGTTCTAGTAACTAATTCATCGAATCGAGTGACTACTCAATTGTCTTCGAGTGACAATGTATATCAACAACAAATTAATGAGTCAATCCAACACTTATTGACAACTAACGTACAACTAGGCAAGCGTCACGATATCGAACAGTTCCTCAATCAAATCAATGTTCGTTAAAAGAGAAAAAGTCTGATGAACTAATCAGTTTATTTTCTTCTTTCACAGACCCTTTTGACATCCTCTAAGACTTCTCAAGTTTCTCATTTAAATGCAACTCTACCTGCGAGAAGTACGTATTAATATTAATGTGTATTCATTTGTTGCAATGTATTTATTTTTTCCTCGCACGTTCATAGTTTGGGATGAATTTGCCAATCGGCAATTGATATTGCAACAAATGCTAATCGATACAGCTCACATAGATCGTCTTCGTGTCAATTTTGTTGCGCATTTCAACACAGAAAATAATGCAATACTTGCTGCTAATGAAATAACAACATTAATTGAAAATTATCCGAAAGAAATGACAACACATGTTCGGCAATGGTTAACTGAACAGCAGAAGACGCGTCTTACAGCACCATTAGCGGCTAGTGATATGTCAAAAACAATTGAAGAATTTGAAGAATATCTCAAAGATTTAGAAGAGAATCTTCTTCTGTACGAACAGAATGAAAATAATCACACGAAGCTCAAGGTAAAGCGGTTTTTCTCCCGTAAGTCTTTCGCTTCACTCATCGAGCATACTTATTTAGAACCTTATACATTTAATCGCTAATCGTCCAACCATACCTGAACAGTTACAACACGATGCCAAGCATCTACAGGAACGTTATGTGAAAATTCAGCAATATATTGAAGATCTTCAGAAGAAATATCTTGCTAAAAAAGCTAATATCGATACGATGACGAATAATATCAATCTACTAATTACACATCTACGCAATATTGAAGAGCAAATTCATATGAATGCAAAACAATCGGTTCACGACTACGAACGACTCATTCTCGACTGTCAGGTAGAGAATTTGAATTACGAGTCGTACGAGGGAAATATCTGTTTCGTTTGCAGAGAATTATCAATGAATTGAGTCGAATTCGTCCTCAAATCGAAGACGCGATCAACTCTGGCAAACGCCTGTATTCACCGGATAGTAAAGACACAAGCGGGATTGAAAGTGCTGGTAAGGCTGAACGAGAGAGGTCGTGATTCATTCTCTTATTCTCATGTTTCATTTGCTATCGAAATCAACCATTGAGAAAAGGCGATTACGCGTGTGTGTTGTATTTCAGCTATCTTTACTCTGACCTTCTTTTTTTCCTGTTGTTCTGAATTATCGATAGTGCGCTTTTCTGCACATAGATATATTCATGAAATGTTTTTTTAGACGAAACAGGAGGTGGTTCAACAACATCAACACCTTTGCTATCATCAAAAAAACATTCCGATTTGACCTTACGGAAAGTTCGTCGACATGTATTGCAACTAACTCAACATTGGAAGAATGCAAACAACAGTATTGATCAACGTTTAAAACTTTTACAACGTACTCAAACGGTAAGTTTGACAGTGGTGTGTTGCTTTCGATCTTGAAACTCTCGTTTTTGCTTTGTACATAGGCTGTGGAAGAACTACGTCGCAAGTGTGATCAATTGCATGCACACTTGTTAGAAATTGAACTTGCATATGCACATAAACCACAAATCAAAGCACTCAACGTACAACAAGTGCCAGCAGAAATCGAACAAGCAAAAGTAAGCACAACAGGAATCGTTGACATTTACATAATTTCATCCGCTTCCTTGGTTCTGATATTATAGCATTTATTAGCTGCACTGATGTCATGCAAAGGATCCATTGATGATGTTCAACAATCAGCAGAAACGATTGAAAACGAACATGATATTCCTGTTGTTAATCGAGCCCAAGAACTTGATCATAGGTATGCTAAAACTAAAGAATATCTTTTCTCTCATAAAATCCTTCATACATTACAGATGGCAACATGCTGTATCATCCGTTTCTCAACGTATTCATTCGTTACAAGATTCGATCAAGGATACTGAAAGTGATATCTATTCAAATTCAGTAGAACACCCATGGCAGCGTGCAATTTCCGTGAACAAAATTCCTTACTTTATCAAGTAAGTTTAGTTTGTTTCCAGTCAGTTCGATATGGATTTCTTTTGTTGTTCAAGCCACTCAGATCAGACAACTTCATGGGATCATCCGAAGATGTAAGCGACGATATTGATTGATAATTTCGTTTACAATAAGTATTCTTTCCATAGACTTGAATTGATGCGTTCGTTTGCCAATTTCAACGATATTCGATTTTCTGCCTATCGGACAGCAATGAAACTTCGTGCTTTGCAAAAACGTCTTTGTCGTATGTGGAATTTTTTAGATGTTAATTCTTACAAAATCTTCCTGTTTGTATTTCAGTGGATTTAACATCGTTGAGTGATATTATTGGTGTTTTCGAACAAGAGGAAGTGACTGATGCATTGAACAAGATGATTGATATCGATCAAATCCAAATATATCTTCAAAAGATCTTCGAAAAAACAGCGAATGAATATCCACAATTGATCAATGGTATAGTAACAGTTGATTTAACATTGAACTGGCTGTTGAACATATACGATCTGAATCGAACTGGTTCCATTCAGTTGTTATCGATGAAAATGGCATTGACATTACTCTGTCGAGGAAATATCGAAGAAAAATATCGATGTAAATCATATTTACTGATTGAAAATGTCCTTTTTGATCTGATTTTGTTTTTGTCTATAGATATTTTTTCGTTGGTCACATTTGAATATGATGGTCGTTTTGTAGCTGATCGGCAACGTCTATCACTCTTGTTTCAACAAGCGATTGTTGTACGTGCGAATAACATTGGCTTCCGTGTGTTTATTTATTTCGATATGTGTTTAGATTCCGAAGCAACTCGGGGAAATCGCAGCATTTGGTGGATCCAGTGTGGAACCGAGTGTTCAAAGCTGCTTTGAATATGTACGAGCAACTAGCTAGAAATCTGGATTTAATTACTCTGGTTGGATTTTTTTAGGGTCAAAATGCTGATGTTATAACAGCGGAAGATTTTCTCGAATGGGTGAAACTCGAACCTCAGTCACTTGTCTGGTTACCTGTTATGCATCGTCTTGCGGCTAGTGAAGTAGCTAAACACGAAGCTCGTTGCAATATCTGCAAAGTCTATCCAATTCTTGGCTTTCGTTATCGTTCATTGCGACATTTCAATTGCGACATTTGTCAGAATTGTTTCTTTTCTGGTAAACAAACGAAACTCTTCAAAATGGATCATCCTCTACAAGAATATTACACCGAAGTACGTTGACAAACCAACCGAGAAACGCTCATCAAGACTGATCTTAATCTTATTTCTAGACGACGTCGTCGGAAGATATCCGCGATTTTTTTCGCATATTCAGAAATAAACTATGTGCAAAACAACGCAAATCACCCAAACTTGGATATTTGCCACTGCCGCATGTATTCGATAACACAATGACCACCACAGATCAGCCGACAGCACCATCACCCATCACCAGCTCGTTGTTCACTACACCTATCAAGTCTGGCAACTCTTCTCTAAAGGCTTTCCTCCAACAATAACTCTTTCTTTTAGATCGGAACATGAAATGATGCAGCCAACTGCCCTTTCGAATGGATCGTAAGTAAATTCAAAGCTGCCGCACGAAGATTTTCAATTCTTTTATTCTTCTTTAGAAACGACGAACATGGTATAATTGCTCAACACTGTAGAAGCTTGAACAGTGCAACATATAAATCAGTATGTAGATAAAAGAACAAAAGAATTAATCTATGTTCATTTCTAGCCGCGTATTGCTGCACATGAGTTACTCACTCGTTCGACGTCCCTTGATAATGAACAACGCAATGAATTAGAAGCGGTTATTCGTGATCTGGAAGAAGAAAATCGTCTCTTGCAAAATGAATACGAACGTCTTTGTCATGAACACATGGAAAAATCGTTGATCATTACCGATTCGCAAGAGCCATTTCCATTCTACGATAATCAATCAGATCATTATAATAGTCGAGAGATTCTTCGCGAAGCTAAGCAATTACGACACCGTAAAACAAAATTAGAACAGCGGATGATCATTCTTGAAGAGCATAATAAACAATTAGAAAAGCAGCTAAGACAATCGAAACAATTATTAATCAAAGAAGTACGGACTTATTTATTTAATACTCTTCCTATTGTTAAGAATATTAATCTTTAGTCGCCTTCTCATAATCTCCGTCGATCAGTGGATCGAAACCTCGAGCGACAACCGAGTATGTTTTCTCTCTCTCTATACATATATTGACCATCAACGACAATTTCCCATTTAGATTTGTTAACTATTGATAATCTTTTCCATATGGCTGATGATATCAATCGTGCAGTAGGTGATCTCGTTTCAGTCATAACCGAGCCACAAATATCAACATCTCCAAACTACTATCAACCACTTGTAACGTGAATAACTTCAGAGACATCTCAGGCATTTCTTTTGTGCAATACAATCAGACAGTGTTCTTGTAATTTCCTATTCTCAGGTAGTGATCAGTCAACTGAATGACGCGTCACCGAGTTCTTTGTTTTCTTTTGTTGTGGAGAGAATATTTTAGTCAATGATTTTTTGTTTTTGGTGTGTTGTTTCGTCAATTTATTATTTATATCTACATATAGACATATATCTCAATGCATTTAATAGAATAAATAAAAATTTTAGATGACGACTTTTCTCATCCGACGACTAACCAATCGAGGAGTGATTTCTCAATGTCGAGGAATGACTCTATCATTCGCGAATGCTGCGGCATCGTGTAATTCTACCAATGCAACGCCGATTAGGAAAACAGCTCTATATGATTATCATGTAGGCAATTCCGGACGAATGTGAGTTGGCTTTTGCTTGAGCAGGGAAGATTCAATCATTGACTTTATCGTTCATATATTTCTCAGGGTTAGTTTTTGTGGTTGGACCTTACCTGTGCAATATTCGGCTTCTGTTATTCAATCGCATTTGTATACGCGACAAGCGGCTTCAATTTTTGATGTGTCTCACATGCTTCAAGTTTTAGTGAAAGGTTCCGATCGTGTCCGATTTTTCGAACGTTTGATCGTTTCGGATCTGGAAAATTTACCCGAAAATTCGGCATGTTTAACTCTGTATACAAATGAACAAGGCGGTATTCTTGATGATTTGATTGTAACCAAAACAAGCGAAGGATATTTATATGTCGTGTCCAATGCTGGACGTGCTCAACAAGATTTGGCTCATCTGAAAACTCAATTAGCAAAGGCGAAACGAGACGGATTAAACGTGGACATTGAAGTCTTAGAAGATCAATCGTTACTTGCATTACAGGTACGAATAGGAAAGAACGGGTTTAGATCATTCTGATATATGTACTTTCAGGGCCCACGTTCAGCTGAAATACTTCAACCTCATCTTCCATCGTCCTTAGATCTGTCGAAAGTCTATTTCATGCAAAGTCGTTTAACCAATTTCGATAATGATTCATCGATTCCATGTCGAATTAATCGCTCAGGCTACACTGGTGAAGACGGTTTCGAAATTAGTGTTTCGAATAGCAATATCTTACGTGTTCTCAATAGTTTATTATCCTCAGGTGTAGCACAAATGGCTGGTCTCGGCGCTCGGGACTCACTTCGTCTCGAAGCAGGCCTATGCTTGTACGGCAATGATATTGATGAGCAGACGACTCCGATCGAAGCTGACTTAGCATGGACTATTGGCAAACGACGACGCCAGCTAGCTGATTTTCCTGGTGCAAAGATTATTCTCGAGCAATTGAAAACAGGTCCGCCGCGAAAACGTGTCGGAATCAAATCTCTAGGTGCATGTCCGAGAAGCGGTGCTGAAATACGTAGTGGCCGTGGAGAAAATGAACATGTTATTGGTAAAGTTACAAGCGGTTGTCCATCACCATCTTTGAAAATGGTCAATATCGGCATGGCATATATCGAAACGCCGCTTGCTAAAATTGGAAATAAAGTTGTGGCCAACATTCGTAATCGTCCGATTGATGCTGAAATTGTGAAGATGCCATTTGTTCCAGCAAGTTATTACAAAGCTCCAGTCAGCAAAAAGAAATGATTTTAGTCTTTCACGAATGATTCTTTCCGGTTTATATGTGATTACTAATTCCACGTAGTTTTTCTTTTTTGATAGAGACTTCCTTCTTCCAAAAGCAATACTGGGTTATTTTCGAAAGTTTTTCTTCTTTCTTTTGATCTAATTTATGAGAATCACACTTTTCTTTGTTTTGATTATGACTTCACTGGTTATCACAGTTGAATAAACTCTTGAAAAACACGGAAAACATTACCATGAAACACCTTCGTTTGTGAACCTTGAAACATTCATCGTGCATATTTCTACTATCAGTTCTCTTACATCATTTGACAATCAATATTTTGCCATAGGCTATATTCATTCTTTATCGCGATCGCAAAATGAAAGAACAAACAACGCTTCGTGTAATTGATTCAGTTGAACTTCACTAGCATCGATGCACGTACAACAAATAGGTCGAAATTGTTGATTAAAGTTCATCTATTACAAGTCAGCAGGAATGGTCTACTTCAATTGATGCAAATTCAAGGTAACACGACTACTGTTTCGACGACACACATGCATAGGTAAAGTTGAATCGGAAATAAATCCAAGAAAACACTCCTGACTCTAATCATAAAAAAGTGTCAGTCGCCTCGGGTATTCTTCCTCTCCTTTTCTAATCATCAACACTTCTTCTCACGCCGATTTGATTATTATTAAATATGTTCTTGACTGATATGAATAACATCAAGGATTAAGCATCTGTAATTATACATATCGACGATGATCACAAATCGAAGAAGAAAGAGAAAGTCACTTTCGCTTCGCCTCTCTTTTTTTCTCATTAGACTTCTTATTCGCTCGAAAGAGCATCGATGTCATATCCTCCTTTTCATTTCTTCTAGTAAGTTATTCGATACACTTTCTCTTTCATTCATCAAGGGAGAAAATTTTCAAGTAAGTTAAATCAAACACATTCATTCACTCTCCCTTGGTTTCCAACGGAAACAGCTGTCTGACATTTGATTGCTAATGAAAAGTATCACTAGTTGTGCACTCAAGCAGAGTGAGAACAAATTTGATGAACTGTATTTCCCGGCGACCTTTGGTCATCTTTCATGTGAAGAACGAACGAATCGGTACGTATCCTACTACGATTGTCATTGACTTAGAAAATATTCTCTATTGCCACTTGATCGGTAGGTACGAATGACGTAGTTCATTGAACTAGAAACAATTCGATTTCGAAGCAAAATAAGAGACACTTGAAGTGACCATTCGAGACAGTTTAGTTGATAGTTATCTGTCATTTCATAATACACAAACTGTGACTGTCTAGCTATCATTTGATATGATTAATTTTTATCGAGACACCTTCACATCGCATGTTTGATTTATCTTCGATATGAATGTGTTCACTTTTGTCGCCTCCGCCTCCTTTTCATATGATCCATGTACACTTTTGGATAGGCATCTCTATCATATTCTCAATTATAGTGTATGTGAATAGTGGAATTCTCGTCTGTCATGCATTGAAATAACGAATGGATATGTCATTACAGATGAGAAATGATACACTCGTTGATCGCTAATTCAATTAAACTACTCCGATATCGATTGAGAGAATGTTTATGTCATAGATTTCTCTCAACGCAATGTAATATTAGTATAGTTTAATCATGCGAAACAGTGAACGGACTCTCTGTATGTATCTGTGATATACACACACTCGTGTTCAAGTGATCATCTCTCGATCGATCAAATTAAAAGAAAATAAAACTCGAATCGATGTCTATGACGATATATTACGATTGAATGAATCGTTTTTCTTTTCTCCTCTCTTCTCTTCGATGATGATGATGGTGAACATCATCAATTGCTCGGTTATACGTGTTACTTTCAGATGATGGAAAAGTTCACGTGGCTATTTATCCTTCTATCAGCGATATCATCTACGGTACAATTTAATCTCGGTAAGAAGAAATTTTCTTCAGAAAAAAAGAACGTCATGAATTCTGCTGCTTAAAGAAACATGTCGATATCCATTGGGCATTGAAAATGGTAAAATCTTAGATTCTGCATTTTCGTCGAGCAGCCATGCAAGCGAAGAGACTCGAGCATCGAAAGCCAGGTAAGCTCGAATACTTTCATCGGATCTACAACCGACTATTTGATAAAGAATTCGAAGTGACAACGATGGCTGGTGTCCAGAAAATAAAGTATCTTCAACAACGAATGAATACATTCAGATAGATTTAGTAAATCTAACTGTTATCACATTAGTTGAATTGCAAGGGAAGTTTAGCCAAAAATCGGTAAGGAAATATATTGTCCGACTTCTCGAAGTCCAGTCGCATTTGTTCTGTAGAATGAACATTATGCTGATGCATTCCGAGTTGAATACAGACGTAATAGTGAACAACAATGGATTCGGTATAAAGACTTCTCCGAACAATATGTAAGTAAACTTGCCTCACATAGTGTATGTCGTTTATTGAGTCATGAATGATTAGGTGCTAAGTGGAAATTCGAATAGTTATATTCCAACGATTCGCGATATTCTTCCTGCTATTATTGCTCGACAAATTCGTATCATACCGATGGTCAACGGGTTACAACCACGATACATTTGTATGCGATTAGAACTCTACGGTTGTGTATATGAAGGTTTGCGCACTGTTTGAGCCTAGGAAATATTCTACTGTGAATTCTAGATGGATTAATGTCATATTCAATACCACAAGGTGATAAACGTGGTTTCAGCGCCCAGTTTTTCGATGAAACATATGATGGAGAAAACGACAATGGAACGTTGAAAGGTTTGTTGACTATCTTATTCTCTTATAGCATTCGAAACAAATCTCCTAGATGGTCTCGGACAATTGACCGATGGTATTTTCGCTCATGATGATTATCATTTAGCTGATCTGATTCAGGGTCAAGATCAAAGTGGTTGTGATTGGATTGGCTGGAAACGCAAATCTCCGGCGATGTCTAACATAAAACTTACTTTTCATTTCGATACAATTCGAAACTTTTCAGCTATGCGTATTCATACGTCCAATCTTTTCACTCATGATATATATCAATTTTATTCCATCACAGTAACATACTGCGATGATATGAATTATCATCAAATGTATTTCGTTATACCAAATGATTATATCAATACAAGTGCGCGATTTATTCAAGTTTCGTTCGCCGAGGAAAAAGATGTTCTCAGCGATTGTTTAAACATCATATTAACATTCAATAGTCGAAGCAAATGGATATTAATTAGTGAAGTTCAGTTTGATTCAGTACCGATCTATTTCAATCAAACGGAGACGATCATAGACATTGTTCATCCGAAACCGATTCCCATAGACGAGAAAGTGACGATTATTCATTATTGGCATTGGCTCTTTCTGGCATTTACTCTATTAATTCTTCTTATTATTACATTAGTTTGCGTATACATTCATTGGATGCATGCCTATCGGCATCATTGGAAACTGTCCAAGTAATTATTCGAGATCTATGTACTGGAATCGATTCATCTTCTTGTTTTAGCATAACAAAATTTCATTCAAAGTACCGAACAATGCCACCGATTGGTTGCTGTATTAGTAACACGACTCCATCATGCGCATCGACTATTTCGAACAATGATATTTGTCAACAATTGATTGTCTCAACGCCGGAATCAGCACGAAGTATGCAGAGTTCCGTATGCAGTCCAATGACAATGTCATCGATTTATCAATCCAATATCGATTCGTATTTGACTGCCATATCGACTGATGCAGCAATGACGGTTCGTTCGTTTTTCTGCTCGATAAGAAAGATGAGCAGATATTCGTTGTGTTTAGACACCAAATCCCTATTTTACGATTGAAATGTATACGAATGTCGCATCCGATTCAGCAAATAACACACATATGCTACCAAAGAGTATTCAAGGACCATGTGGCAATAGTACTTATGAATGTTTGTCATCAGTGAACGACTTTTCATCAACATCAATAATTCCATATGTTAATGAAGAACAAGTGATTGTCGAGCAAATTTATTCTCCAATCAATGGATCATTTGGATCTGTAAATTCGTTTCAGTCTTTTCCATACGTGAACTCATTCATTTTTCATAGATTTTCCGCGGTTATCTTTCTGCTCAACATTCAAACGATAATACACTGAAAGCAATCTTGATTAAAATCTTGACCACAGATAAAAGCGACGAAAAGTAATTTAATCTTTTCCTCATTTTCTCCGTTTATTAAATACTTGGCTTTAGAATACTTTTCGATCAAGAACATGAACTACTCAGTTCTCTTCATCATCCGAATCTAGTTCAATTCTACGGTTATACAACTGAACAAAATTATGCAATTATTGAGCATAGTGATCTGGGCGATTTGTACACTTACCTGTTCACATCACACGATATTTCGTAAGTGTTCGAAATTTCGACTCGAGTCATTCGTCTTCTCTTTTGATTTTTAAAAGGAAAAATATTCGTTTGTATATCATAACACAACTATCGAATGCACTTTGTTATTTGGAATCTAATCGAATCATTCATCGTGACATAGCCACACGGAATTGTTTGATTTATGCAAATTTCGAAATTAAATTAACCAACACAGCTATTGTATCGGAACAATTCCAATCGCATTATTATAGAATCAATCAGATCTTATTGCCCATTCGATGGATGCCACCTGAATGCATTCTTCATGTAAGTTAAATCACCGAAGTAAAAGTCGAATTGATTCTTTGCTTTGATTTCAGAATCAATTTACATCACAATCGGATATCTGGTCGTTTGGTATTACACTTTGGGAAGTGATGAGTAATTGTTCAAGTTTGCCGTATAGTCTACTGAACGATGAAGAAGTTTATCAGCGATTGAAAACTTGTCATGGATTGCAATTATCGAAACCGGAATGTTTAAGCAAAGAATTGATTGATTTGATGCTAGAATGCTGGCGTCCTTGGAATGAACGACCAACATTTCAAGAGATTTATAACTTTTTCAATAAACGTCTCTACGGGATGAATATTAGCTGAAACGAATGGCAATTATGTACATAAATATGACACACTTTATCATCTTATATTTGACTATATTAGCCTAGATTTAGTATTTAAATAAAAACCAAAGAGAGAAAAAGTGCTCGTTGTTTGTATAAAATACAGCAAATTAGCCATGTTCATGATATTTCGGTTGACTTTGTCTTGAAAGAACGACAGAGTTTTTCTTTGATTACATTCGGACGCAAATTTTTTTACGCTGATTTGATGAAAAATCATATTTTATTCGAATTGAAAAGGTGTACTTGATTGTTTATTTTTCATCAAGCTCTGTTAAACGTGGCCAAAGGTTTTCACATTGTTCGCGAACATTATTCGGTGGGATGATACGCAGATGTACACAGATCAGTTCCAAACAACCGATTGCTGCCTTCTCGGTCATCGACGAATAATTTTCCAAACCTAGTGCTCTAGAATAAAGCTCAGATTATTCACGAACTGATGCGAAATACACGGCAAAGATAGTCACTTATAAAAGTCAAAGTACACAATGCCAGGCGGTTGATATTGAACAAAAGGTTTATGAATTCTCATAGCTGAACCCTAAAATGGAATACGTATAAACTGTATAACTTTAGTTGCACATCGCGACATACGTTACTCTCTTGCAATCTCAAGGTATAATTGTATGTGAAATATTCATCTGTCATTGTATATGATGTGCAGCCACGTTTTAGTGCAGAAAGACATTCCAATTCAAATGTTAGTATCTACGATATGAGTGTGATAAAGTTTCTTTGAAAGGGATATATTACTTTTCTTTCGATGAAATGTTCTAATCCATGATTTGTGATATACTGTTGAAATTCATCGGTGTATATATTTGGTGTGAAGATTTGTCCGCGAAAGCGATCAATGAATGCGACATGTACAAGGCCAGGAAAAGCGTTGTGAAAACTAAATTTGAAGATGCGAATGCGTATGTGAAAGATCGAGTGAAAGTACTGACAAACTCATGGTGACGTTTCGTTGGGATTTGATTTCAATAAACGAAAACCAGTCGCCCAGGTTTTTGAAGAATTTATTTCGAAGAATTTTGATAAACGGCGATTCAATCACCGACTCTTCGTTGGCAGATAAATCAGTCTGTTGATCGTTTTCCAGTGCATACTCATCCGATTCGAAGAATAAATGTTGAAAAATTTTAATAGAATGCTCAGTCAACTGAGATAGATTTGCTAAAATGTCTTGTCCTCTACAAAATCAAATCGAATAATGCAGCTCATTTGAAAAGGCAAAATATTACTCGTCATCCTCTTCGTTAATGGTATCGCGTGGTCTTCGAAGTGATCTGTAATCCGGGCCAATCTTATTCAGAATATTTGAAAGAGTATTCGTTCGAATTTTCCGACGTTCGAACTGACAAAAGCACCGAAGTTAAATGCGTATGTACTTTGGAAAATAAATGTCAATCTTACATATCCGCGAATGGTTGCATTTGTTTCAATAGATCTTATGTAGTTATTCAAACGGGTATACACAAACCGTGATTGAACTTGACATAGATCAAGTTGGTGAATAAATTCTGATAAGATAGAACAAGCTGCACTAGTTTTCCACTGGAATTTAATGAGAATGTATTCAAGAATATCTTTACAATAGACTTACTTCAACAAGAATTACAAGAGAAATGTCAAGGGTCAATTGTACGGTATACATTGTGAATGGTACGAGTGATTTACTCGTTGTTTTCATAAAGATAACTTCTATACGGCGATTTCCATGCGTTTTTGGTATTTCTAATTGAGGAAAAGTGGGTAATGATATTGTCTACGTGTAAACGAATGGATAACATGAATGAAAAAGGAGAGAGAGAGAAAGTGAATCCTACACGTCGCGCTGGTAAAATTCGAATATCCTCCGATGTTTCTTGTGTTGACCGTGTTAAGCTTTCCGCATTGCTTTCATTATTCGTTCTGTACGTATGAGCTATAGTACTCGATGAAGGATTCTTTTGTGCTCTAAACTCATTCCGTAAGGATCGACTGACGTTATTCAATACTAATAAGAACATGTCACTATTGCTTGGTCGATACTGTTCGTTACTAAACATCCAAATGACAATGAATTTCGAGCGAAAAGGAAAAGACATATCGATCGAACCTGGAGTGCATGTAAACGATTTTATCTTTGCAAGTAATCAATGTGAATGTTGGTATTGTGTGAAGTGTCGCTTGGATTTCTTCATTAGTACTCGTACAAGTATTAGCACATTGCTGACGTATCAGTGGATTGATCAGAACATGTTCACAGCTCTAGAAACAGATCTATTGACAAAATCGTGCGATTGATATACGAATCTACTTCGAATAAAAGTCCTTGATTGATTAGAACATTGTTCAGGTAATATTGCATAGAAGCTGATATTCGATCGATCAATTTTCCGACAGTTTTACTTTTCCTAAATGTGAACCTACAATAAAATCTTTCGTTTGAAGTCAATCGAATACGTACGTGAAAGGTAGAGCACCTAAATGAAACTTGATTAATGCTTTGAACAGATTGAGAGTTTTCAGCACTATGATATTATCAAATGTTTCATTTGCCATACATATAATTTGATTCTTTTCGATCTATGTAGAAGAAAGAATGGCTGAGAGAACGATCGCTCGTGTGCTCGTCTTACCAAATCGAAATAGACACGAATATTTGATTTCAAAGTGATTTGTTTAATTGGATTCTTTCGATATAACGTTTGTTTATAGAAAGCCATCAACATAAAGAAATGTTGAGCAAAGGTATCATCAATCAACAAGTTATTGTTCGAATGATCCTTCCATCATATTAGAATAAACTAGAATTTCCGTTGGAAAGAAGTCGAAAATATCTTACTTGATCATTATCATCGAACGAATAACCTCGATCGATGAATGATGTACGCAAATGTATGAAGAGATCATTTGTTAAAAATCGATAAACTAACGACGAGTCTTTGTCGAAAACAAATATACCGAACAGACAACGTGCAGCCATGTTTTTTTCTTTCGGAGTACAAGTATGAAGATAGCGTTGACTCGTTCGCATATCTATGACAGGATTTATTTATTTTTATTTCAGAACGAAACAAAACTTTGAAAACATCAAACGAATCATCATGCGTTTGCGTTTGAAACTGTAGATCTCTTTGCTTTCCAACGAAGATATATCTCAACAAAAGCATAGCAGACCATACTCAGAGATAAGTAAACGAGAAGAAGAATCAAAGACAAACGAATTGTAATGAAACTGGAATACTAAACATATCGCAAAGAAAAATTCTGTCTGTAATCAAAGAGGTGAATTCGTGACAACTTACACTGTACGTTATAACAAACCCGACCGATTTCCAAAGACGATACTTCGCCAATGCACTTGGGTCCGTTTCCGAATAGAGAACTGTGTAAGTCGCTAAAGTTTCAAAAACTTCAATCTAAACAATACTCCTCTCAATGGCAACCCTACCAATCACTTGTGTTTGCCAAATAGCATCTGCGATGCCCCAAAATCCGGCAATAACGAATAGCAGAATCAGTTGATCTGGTTGCGGATCCCAAAGAAACATGAAAATAATCATCGCGTAGTTGATCAATGCCGCAACAATAAAGACAACTATTCGACCAGTATATTTTACCAATCGACCGAAAACATAACTACTCAATGCTTGAAATATACCGTTGCATACCATAACCAAACCAACGTAACTAGACAAGCAAGTTTTCCGGGAGCTTTTTCGTTATATGAAAGGAAAACAAAGTTGAATCTTACCGAATACCAACTAGACAAGTGATAAAGCCCTAAGTAATAGCGAAAGAGAAATGTTTTTCGAGGAAAATAAGAAAAAGTGGGTTTTACACGAGTGAATTGTGCGGTTAAAAACGCGGTTTCAATCGTTGTCCACATTGTAATTGGAATGAGAAAAAATTGATCGATATATTTCCATTTCTTCAATGATAGAAGCACTTCCAAACTCTTGTTTAACAATTGTTTCATCGTTTCTAAAAGCAGAATGTTTGCTCAACAAACTTATTCGAAATGCTACCCATCTGTCCTACGCTTTTGCGTTAATTGAACTGAATCAAGTGTGAAAAATAGCAACAGCATTGATAAAAATCCCATACCAGTGAATATCCCACAAAGAATATATCTCTAAAAGTGAGGCACAAGCACATCATTCATTTTTCTCTTTGCGATATTCTCTTCTTACAGTAGTATCGTTCACATCTTGTGTGGTGTTTGTCGGTGCAGCTGATTGAGGATCAAAATGAATTCCACAATTATATTTCTGGGCAGTGCTCGATTGATTCAAGACGAAGTACGAAATCAGATTACCCCAGATTGTGTTTGTACCGAAAAGTGCGAAGAAAATGCCGAAAAACAAACTAACGGATATCTCATGCGTTTGCTTTTTGTGTTCTGAGTGGTAACGAGCGATTTGATTCAAATACGTCGCTTTCGCCGTCCATAGTGGTGCGGCTGCTAAGCCAACGAGTGCAGCACCTAGAAACGCACGTAGAAGATTGTATAATCTCGTTGACTTCAAATCAGTTCATGATCAAAGTCGAAAAATGCTATAAAATACTTGAAAAAAATCCTCTTAGTCATATCTTACTGATATACATGAGTACTGGCAAAGGTTTTATATTAGCTGCGATATAAAATATATAACCAATTTCGGCAATAATGATTGTCCATTTGAGACCAAAAAGATCCATACAAACACCAATGAGTGCGATCGAGCTGAACTAAAATGAGAAGGATGTTGGTTAGCTTTCCTAAACTTTTCGCGAACTTACAATCAAAAATGAATAAGTAATAATCAACGAATTCACACCGACGTTGTTTTTTACATTTAAACTCGATTGTAATGTCACCATACCGTTATAAGCAGTGAACATCAGAACGAAAGCGATGGAAATTATGAGTAAATTCTTATAAATCTTTCGAACGGAAAACATCGGTAATGTGTCATTAGAAGGAGGTTGTTCAGTTGAATTTGATATGTTTTTTAATGGATCAATTGTCATGATGGCGATTTTGCTTGCTCCATTAGTTTGATCTTCGCTCGTTGCGCTGATAAATGATAATCTTCGAGGGATATCAGCTGGCTCATCAATGTTATTATCAGCCATGTTCTACTCTTTCTTTGTAACTCAATGAAATAGACGAGCGATTATGAGGGTGCAACTGATAAGGTTAAAGGAGAGACAGAGAGAAAGAAAAATATCAATGTTTGTCGTAGATGTTGAAATATCTGTGCTTTTCTTTTGGTTTTCGAGGTTAAAATCTTTTTTGTCTGACGTTTTTCACGACGAAAATGAGCGATAACGTATTTGTCAATCTTGTGATTGACGAGGCACGCGGACGGTCTCTTTGGATTAGTGTCGTCGGTAAATGACACACCCTCATGCATGTGAGAAATAGAAACAGACTAGATACGATGGATATTTGATTACTGAAAGGTTAGAACTTGTTTCTAAATGAATTATTGTGATATTTTATGAAGACTAGGAAATCACGGCTGAAAGTGTCTTCTTTCTAGATCATCGAAAATATATGTTAGTCGACAAACTTAACGTTCGCTTTCTCAAAGGCAATAATAATTTTTTTTTAAATGGCTTATTAAAAATCAACAAATACAATGTCTTTAGTTTGTATCAGAAAAGCTCGGCGAGATCAAATAAAATGTAAATGTGCGTCTCAACTTCATCAATATTCGTGTTCGTATCTAAATTTCATCCTAATCCTCACTGACTATGTATTCTAAATTTAGTAAATCAAATTACCAAATATGTCGGTTTTTTTTTATTTGGAAAAGATTTCGTTCTCGAGCGATGATGTCTTTGAATACTTTGATTTTCCGTTGTTTTAGTCCACAAACCTAAATTATGGATAACTATCTCAGACATTAGAGAAATTCAAATTGTTGACAGGCTTTTTTCTCTCTGAAATGAATGGATAAAATACAATTCACTTGTCGATTATATATATATCGAAGTGACATACATTATAAGCATTCCATTCTTGTATGAACGCTTTTCTTATTGGGAATTTTTTGTTTTCATGCAGTTGAATACGGAAAGAATTATATTATTAGCAATCCTCATTAATTCAATGGATTGCTATGCAAGTAAATATCATTTTAATACTGAAGTTTCACATGGCTATTGTACGTATCTTTTAGATGTATCCTTTAATCAACCGATGCTTAGTTCATGTGCAGTATGGAGTAGTAATGGTACTACTTTCGTCAGCTCACCCACGATTAGATCTGACTTTTTAGATATTTTTATTAATACTTACGATACTATCTGTTTTGCGGATACATTGAACAATCGTATTCTTACCTGGTTGGCATATGACACGAATGTATCCAGTGTTATAACAATCGAATTGACTATTAGATATCAAATAGCACGAGTTCTATTACTGGACTGGGTATAGGTGGAAGTTGTTATGGATTATTTGTTGATATTAACGGTGCATTGTATTGTTCTTCAAGATCAGACAATATCGTCGTTAAGATATCACTGACCAATACTGTAGTCGGGTATACCATTACTGCGGGAGATAGTGGAACTGGACAGCGCACGAATGAACTTGATAGTCTACAAGGAATATTCGTTGATGAATCTTTCCTTTTATACGTAGCAGATTCAAACAATGATCGAGTTCAGATGCTGCAACCAGGAAACACATCGGGCACGACTATACTGACAGGAGCAATCATACTTGATACACCAACGGATGTTACCCTTGATGGTCAAGATCATCTGTATGTTGTAGATTCCAGAAAAGATCGTATTATTGCTGGAGAATCATCGAACTTTCGCTGTGTTGTCGGATGTAGTTCTGGTACATCAACATCGAATGACCAGTTGAATAGACCGCAAGCATTTAGCTTTGATAGCCATGGAAATATTTTCGTTACCGATAGAAATAATGGTCGAACACAAATTTTTTACTTGCTAACAAATGTTTGTGGTAAATTTGTTAATCGGTAATTATAATTCCATTCAGTCGAAATATATGTTTAGCGAATAATTCCACATCGTCTACACCGACAACCATCCTAACTACAACCTTACTTCCAACTGTGACGAAAACAGCTCGTTAGTGTTGGTAAGTTCTATTGCAAGACATATGAGTCATCAAGTCATGTTGATACTCTCCTTGCCAGAAGAATCAACGTTTCTTTCAACAATAATGGAAATAGACGAAACGAGTATAGGTGAGTTGTCACTTCAAGGAATATATCATATCATTACATGAATTTAAATCGTCCAGAAACAATGCAATCGACAACAAAGGATAGATCAACTTGATTCGAAGCAACGACTGTCGAAGAAAGCACATTTGAAACCATCATATGTAGATATACACTAGAAAAGTCATTCACGTTTGGTTTAAAAACGTCCATGACTGTATTTTTCTTATTATGTTTTGTAGATACCGATCAATCATCTTCCATGACAACGATCGAAGAGAAACACAGTACAGGCCACTTTTTGCAGCTTTCTGTTGAATCATTCTATCGTGCTATTTTAGGTGTTCAGCAAACAACAGATGCTGACAAGGTAACATCAGTCGAAACAACACTAACTGAAGAGATATCAATAGACGAGACTACTGGTAAGCTCGTGTATTCGATATGGTTTCCTCCATTTAAATCCTTTCAGACGCAGTTCTATCAACTTTAAATGAACAGGCTACTTCAACAATAATTGAAGGTAAGCTCACATATGCCATTCATTTACTAATATCTATCTTTTGTATTTAGATTCCAGCGCGATGCCAGGTATAGTATTAACTTTTTTGTTTCTCCACTTTTCGAACAGCGTGCTTTAGCTTTTTCAACATCCATTGTCAGGAGATTATCAATGTGAATGTTTGGGTAACAGTTACTAAGGTCGATCGTGTGAGACCGTTTCCGTTGGTTTAACTGTGAACAAAGTTTCGGCCAAAATATTCAGTTATATTTCTGTTTTGTGCATCAGTACAGAAGTGCTATCCATAGTTGGAATGGATCTATTAAAATATGTGTTTCACATTGATCCTGTTGCTGGTGAACGCATGTGACGTCGCAAAAATACTGGAGAAAAAGATCACAGATGCAGCAGAAGAAGAAAAAGCCCGTGAAACTTCTCGCGTCGATAACCTGGATAAGGAACCGGTACGTTCAACAAGATTAGAAACAATCGTCGAAGATGTTTCATGACCTGAGAATAGTTAACACATTCATTTTTGTTGTCTAGAACTACATTACCAATTCATATATTCCGAATTATGAAAAAAGTGATTTATTGAATAAAAAAATTGAAAGAAAGAAAATAAGAATAATTATTTAAGTTTTAGCACTTTTTATTCGTAACATTTTAATTGATGATGAAGCTGGCGGAGTTGTCACACCCAAATTCGCAAAAAGCTTTTCCGTTAACGGTGTTATCTTTTCAATATGTACATTCGCTGTTTGTGGTCGTTTCATTGATGAACTTGTCTGAAGACGTGAACGCGTACCCGTCAAATGTTGTCGATCACGTAGATACATCGAATTTGATGTCATCGGACGATTACGAGTGAGAAGAATTTGATAAGGCGTCACAGGCCGTGCTGATGCCATTGACCGTGAATTTTGTGTAATCATTGACGATGACAGGAGGTTATTCGTTCCATCACTGAGAAGAGCCTGCTCAAATTCTTCTTCGATTTCATTCAGATTTGTTCGTAGAGTTTCGACTTGATGAAAAGCATCGATCTTCAATGAACGTTCTTGTTCGAGTTTCTTCTTTGTTTGAACTAAGTCTCGTTTAACATAAGCTTGCGCTAATTTCATCGCATGATTCTCTCGTTCGTATTCACTTGTTTTCTTTTCTAGTTCGTGATCTTTCATCACCAATTGATTACTTTGCTCTTGCACCCAACGTAGTTTAGTTTCAATAATTTGATTTTGATTCAATGCTTGCCGTAAATCACTGATTCGCTCGATGTTCGCCTTGTTTTCAGTTTTACTTTCCGACTCAATGAGTTTCTTATACTGTCCTTCGTTTATCGTAATACGTCGTCGAAGATAGTTGTTGGCTTTTTTCAACGCTTGAATTTCTTCGACTTGTTTGCTTGTTTTCGAAACATAACGTTTCTGATGTTGATGTAATTCATATTCTAAACGTGCGACTTCTTTTTCTAATTCGGCTTCGCGTCGACGATATTCTTCTTCTGCCTTTTCAAGCCTATCTCGTTGTCTTTCTTGATCTTGATTGTGTTGGTCATGTAGATCTTCGATTAAATTCGTATGATTAGCAGTGAGTTCATCGGCAATCATTTTGGCGCTAGTGGCAAGTTTCGTTCGAGCTAACTCATGTGTTTCTCGACGAATTTCTTTGATAATGGCGATCGTACTATAGAATAGATTTTCTCGGTATTTATTGATCTCGTTTCGAAGTTGAACGTTCACGTCAAGTAATCCATGCATGCGCGTTTGGAAATCTTCACGAATGCGAATCAATTCTTGATCAAATCGAAGTTGTTTATCGATTTGAAATTGATCGTTTGCATACCGAAGTCGACTCAGCTCGGTGATAAGATCGAAATACGCGGAGAGACTCAACAGTTGAGAATCAATTTCCATCGTATACTGTTGATCTTGAAGCTGTGCACGGAGAGACTTCAATTCATTGTCACGCGTAGCCATCGCTTGGCGAACATTGTAGAGGATGTTTTCATAATAAGTACTATAATTCGTGTAGTTTTCCCGTTCGCGTTGCATGAGACGCTGACCTATTTCTTCTAGGCATTGCTCTAAATCACTTCGACGAATACAAAAGATATCCGTGGTGGTTGGTCGAGATGAGTTTGATGATACTACGGTGCTCTCACCATCTTCTGAAACGAAATAACAGATGTGATATTGTGAAAGAGATTTACGAGGAGAGTGTCCGCTTACTCGAATGATCAACAGTCGAAGGTGAATTCGGCACTGATTGTTCGTCTTTACATTCATATTCGCATAACTTTCGCGCCAGTTCATCCAGGACATTTGATCGCAACACAGAAAATGTTTCAGTGAACTGTTGTTTTTTCCATAGATCTGTCGGTATGCCACTTTCTTCCCGAAGACGTTCGGATAAAACGATAGTTCGTTCTCTCTTCAAGACTTTCAACGTATCAGTCATCATAAATTTCCCTTCCAATTCAATTAACAATCGTATAACCAGTGCATGCTTATATTCGTATTCAGTCACGTGCGGTGGCAATTGTCCATTGACCAAAGCCACAGGAAAATCATTGTAAAAGTTATTGTATCCAGTTGCTATTGATAATTGCCGTAAAATAGGACTACGAATTTCATCACGATAGCATACAAACGCATCCTCGAATGTTTTCACCGTATTGATTGCAGCAACGTTCAGCTTAGCTGTACACCAAGCATATCGGACAAGTTCGAGACGGATGCATTCGATGATATACAGTTCAAGATGTAAATAATTCGTCAGAGATTCGCTTCTGGGTGCCTAAACAAAATGAGTATCATTGACTTTAGCAAAAAGTTTCAAACTAGAATAAAATGAGTCATCACAGTGTAAAAAGTTCGTCGATCGAAAGTTAAAAAGTACACTTGATTGAACTGTTTACCTTTTTTCGACGTAGAACAGTCGTGGCTAAATCCGAGGCCTTCTTCGGCTTAACGATATCTTCAATATTTTGAAACATGATTTGTGTCGACACGAATTCCGTATTAGCTAGCGCTAATTCTTGTGGTTTCAAACCAATTAAACACAGATGTATTCGGTCGATCAATGAGTATTTCGGCCACCACAATCTCTTGGCAGTGATATTATAGGAATATTCATGCACTGTCCACGGATAGAAAGTTTTCGCCGAGCTTTGCACAGCTAGCAGCGGTTCGGGTAAGATGGAATAGATCGGCCGAAAACGATTGAAGTCACCGACAAAATCTGATAGAACCGGTAGTGAATGAGAATGAACAGCAGTGTATGCCGATTGATTTTTTCCTTTGAGAAAACAATCAGGAATGAGATAACCGATGGAGAAGTAGATTTGAAATATTGTTAGACGTCGTTTAGTTTCCAACAGATCAGCTATAGTTGATAATGACGTCGATGATAATGAATGAATTTCTCGTTGAATTTCATGCAATTCGGACGCGAATTCTCCACTTTGATCAAACGTTGATAACTCATTTGTTCGTTCGCTAACTAGAAAAAAAAACGAAAGAGACAAAGTAGAAGTATAGACTTTAGTTTTTAGAATTAAGTTCATTTACATCGTTGTTCAGCATTGGCAACTAACGTATTCAGTTGTGCATAACCAACGAGTATATGAATGAGATCGTTGAATGAAGATACGATACGTAGAACGTCCTGCAAGCGTGTTTGTAATTCACTCAGATCCAATTTCAGTCCTTTGAAGATATTCAATTGTTCGAAAAACGATGGAATGTACCAGAGATTAATCAGATCTGTCCCATTGTCATTCAGTAAGGCTTTTGGTCGATGTTTAAACCCGTTACTAGTTAATTCTTCTGACTGGACTGACGATGCCACACTGGAATCTGATTTTTCCGTTGTCGTAGGTAGAACAACTGGTATTGGCTTCGGCCAGAGAAAATGTGACCGACTCGTCAATGGAAATTGCTGCAGCAGATGTGTTAAACCCAGATAAGCTTGTATAATTTGTAATCGTAATAGTATCAATGAATTCCGTTGGTGAACACGGTCGATAAAGTCATTGAGAAGAGAACGTTTAAGTTTCTCTGCTTCCCGTGCCTGTTGATATTGCATCGGTTTAGCTTCACGTTGACGCATGAATTCAGCCAACGCCGCGTTCCTGTACGGGGTTTTTTCAAACTGGATTGAAATGAAATAATTCTCGCGGAAAAGTTTACGACGAGTTGTTTCGTAGAGAACATCATTGAGAGCAGCATTTGGTTGATCAGATTGGGGCTTAGCTGATCCTGATCGTTTACTGGCTGCTGAACTCTTTGTTTGTTCAATATTATTATCCAATTTAGTCGCCTTCAATTGTTGAGTGATACAAATAATCGATACTCGATGCTGTACAGCTGCTGTGTATACAAAATGGTTATGCATTAATTGTAGCCGTAGGACGGTTTTTAAATTATTGACTGCTTCATCAGGATCATTCATGTAGGCTAACCATTGATCTTTCTGTCGAAAGTTAATTCGTCCGATCGTTCCTTCTTCTAACTCATGTATCGCAAATAATAGATTCGGTTGTCCAGTTATCTTATCCAATTGTCCATCAGCTAGTTGACTTGTTATATGATGATTATCTGTGTTGATGTTTGGCAGGTTTCTTGATTGTGCAAATTCGAATTGAATAAATCGTAAAGACAAATGCGAATGATCGATCGACATGGTATCTAGTTGTTGTTTATAAACCGTTGATAGCAGTTCGGATTCAGTTGCTGAACGAATCAAACGGTATCGTAAGGTGATTAGTTCGAGTAAGCTAGAATTTAGTTTCAAATATTTGTCATATTGCTCTTTCTTTGTTGTTCGAGCTTCATCGACTTGCTTTAGAATTTCATAGGCTAGCTTGCCCATCATTGATGGGTGATCACTGTACAACGTATTGAAGACATCACGTTGTTGATTGGCTGAATACATTGAACCGGGCTGATGAAGTTGTTTATACGATGAAACGATTTCTTCCAAATAATCGAGTTCGTAGACCATTTTTTCTGTTAGAGATAGATTTGTTTGCCGTTGCAGTTCTTCAAATTCGATTAACTCATTAAACGACTGTTTGAGCACGTGTGGGAGACGTGTCAATGTTGAAAGTGACTCAAGAAATTCGAATAAATAATAACTATGAATCTTCGACACGCTCAAATAGATTGGTGGGGATGTGGCGAGTCGTGTCGATGGGAAATAAGATCCATAGTCGGTAGTGTCGAAAAGGTTTTCAGTTATTTGTCGCATATCACTCACGTGTCGACTGATATATTCGCGAACAAGCGAAAGGTATTGCTGAAGATGCCGCGTTTCCAGTGAGTACGAATGCGCAAAATAATCATCGGTGCGAAAATCAATTCGTGGACGACGAGCACTGATACTCATGATTGCTTGAGCGATCAAATGACGTTCATTCTGATCGAATGTATGCTGATAGATTTCGTAATAGCAATCGGCTAATTGACGTTTGTACTGAAGATAGGAGAACTCGTATTCCCACAGATTGTAAAGAATTTCGAATCGGTCCATTTTCTTGATAAATTGTACGTCCGATGATGACTTCTGATGTTTGATGGATGCTTTTTCCAGAAAATACGAGCCAATAGAAACGATTTCTTGTTCGAGCTCGTTCAAATCATCGAAAGCACAATCGTAAATAATATGTATACCATTCGAATCTTGAACGTGAACGATCGATCCATCATTTGTGATTTTTGTTTCACGAGAGAAGTCTTCGATGTTTTCAATGTATTCTCCCGATTGCATATAATTCAACGCATCGAGTGTACACTCATGTGGCGTGTCAAACAGATACGTATGTGGAACATAATTATTAAAACGTTGATCAATCATCTCAAGATCTTTCTCTTTCGTTGTTATTGTCAAACGCTGTTCGTAGATAGTCAATGTTCGTTGTAACGAACGAAGATAATTAAACTCATGCAAGCATCGATGACGAAGTGTACGAATGCGTAATAGACGAAGTATTAAGTAGGATAACTGCAAACCGTAGGATTCCGATGCATCATTTTCTTCATTATCCTTGTCTCGACTTTGACCGGAAGTATCATCGAGGCCAAGTTTTTGTAGTGTTTCAAGGTAATTGAATTCATCTCGTTTCATGTAACGACCTGACCGAGTAGTCGAATCTTGAAAGTCGTATGAATCTATACAAATAAATACTAATCATTGTGAACTTTTCAGAAAACAATAAACAGCAGTTAGATTTTTTTGTGATTCATCCATATGTAGCATACGTTTACCCTCGAAGCAATTAAGAACATTATTTGAAAGTGGCCTGAAAGGTATCTGTACTTCGCTAATTGATTTATCCTTTTGGAATGCTACTTATTCGAATGAAAATGAGAAATTCATACCGTGTAGATCGTCGTCTTCTTGATCATCGTTGTTCTTTTCATTTTCATTGTTCGTTTCATTTTCGGAAGTTAAATCAAAAATATTTTTCCAAAATACGTCACTCATCGATACTGCTCGTGACGTATTATCTACCGGTTGTTTTCTTTGAACGCTTTGGTTGGCTTTTACAGCTAGAAGGTACTGCTTTAGCGCATTGACACTCTTGTCCGCATTTCTAACATATAAAAACTGAGTAATTCTCATCAGCAGTTCATCTTTTTTGCCATTTTTTATATATTTCCAGTAATCACGTTCACGTTGAGGATCCCGTTCAGGTTTTAATGTCACGAACGGCACCCACGTTGATTTCTTAATCAATTTACAGCTCGACGATTGTCGCGCTTGAGATATGACTTTTGGTCTTGCCGAATCATAGAGTACAGTGACTCGTTCTTTTTCTTGTTCAGAAAAGAGTACTCGATAATGCCGAATTACATTCGCGTACAATTCCATTTCATCTCCAGTTGTGTGAATCTTTGTTGTATCCAATGGTAATGAATACAGGTGAAAAAGCGTATTTAATCTATCAATTGTCTGCTTTTGATCGAGCTCGATCGATGGTATACGACAGAGAGCGGTTGTACTCTGAAAAGGTGATACCGGAGGTTGGAGATTGATTAATAAGGCTTGGGCATCGGTCGAAAAACGTGTGCGAAATTTTAAATGAGATATGCGAATTAATTCGGTCAGTTGATCGAAGTATTTCTGGCCGCGATATTGGCAAACAAGAAAACGAATATAAGCGACATAATCATCATTAACCATTGCCTAAAAGATTTCCAATGTGAAAGTGATGTGTTTAGCAAAGTAATGTACCTGATTGACAGTTTTGGAAGCGACTGTCTGAGGTAACAGGAGAGTTTCTCGAATGGAACATAAACGATGTGATCGTTGAAGTGCATCGTTGAACTCTGCAAAGATTCTTGCTGATCGATCTTGAAATTGTTGTTCAACTTGTGTAAAGTCGATCTGTTGTTGGCGGAACCGTTTCCATCGAACAGTATGTAATGTTTTCGCATACGTTAATGACGACAGTCGCTTTAAATAGAAAGCTTCTAAAAGTAGCGGCAAGGATTCCTGTGAATAATCACTTTTTGCTAAAGAACACGTCTGCAATTCATCTTCGAATTCGTCAGATAGAATCGGTAGGTCAGGCACAGTCGATACATGAGCAAGGCGTTCCAAATACAATCGACGTTCACGTGTGTAGTGTGCTGGATCTTTTGGTATAAGATATGAACTAAATGGTCGAGTGAACGTTAAGTCATGGGCAACTTCGTTCTCTTCGATATCGGCTTTGATTTCATTGTATTCATGTAGAATTTGTTGATCGACTTTATTTAGTTGACTTCGATCTTCGTTTCGATCCAGATGGGAATCGATTTCATGTGTCCACACTTGCATCGTCGTCGACAAATTTCTCACTTACCTCTCGATATATGAAACAACAATGTTTTCTGACTTTGTCTTTGCGCGTGTTGGAAGTCAACGTCTTAATGGACAATCAGAAAAGAAAAAGTCTTGAAATTCTTTCGTTCTATTTTTTTGTTGCTATCATCGTTCGTGATTTCTTTTCTTCTCATTTTTTTTAAACAAACGAACAAAGCCAAAATAATAACAGAACAGTCGAATCGATTGGAAAGAAAAAACCGATGACGACGAAGTGCGCACACACATACAACCATCGTCTAGTAAACACTTTATTTAGATTCTAACAAATATAACTAGACAACGACAAAAGAGAAAAATGATCGACATGGTTACTATGTATGAAAGAACAAAAAAAAGCGATCTATGATTGGTTTTGAAAAAACAAAACACTTCTACGATTACACGAGTCTAATTAGAGCAAAGTAAAGTATCAGATCTCGTTCGATCGGATGACAAAACAAGGATTTGATCGAAGCAACCTTGACTGTTTAACATTAGATATATGTGTAATTCCATGACTAAATTGAATATTCATATGTTCAGATTTATCTTTATTGCACTTTGAGATGACAGAAAAATTCATTACAAAACAGTATAATATACACATGGAAAACAAGAAATAAAACGGGAAAAAGATCAACTTGAATCGTATATCGGAATACTGTCGTCAAGATAAATACGTTCGAGGTATATTTTCGGTTGAGGGTACTCACGATTGATCATTTCTTCTGTCAGTTGTGTCATGTTCATCGAAATGAGCTTTTCGGTGGTACTATCGTATTCTTCGTCGTCATCTTTAACGTGAATGATTGGGCGATCAGAAATAGTTTCAGAGCAAATATGTGAATCAAAGGTTGTTTCGACAATATTGCAGGAATTAACATTGGAATGTTGCTTGGACTGTGTGTCCTTTAACATTGATTCTATTTCTTCGTTATTTTCTTGACGTTTTCGCTGTAGAAATGAAGTGAACACAAGTTCCTGATGATTTTTAATATTGCTGTTCGTTCTCGAATCGATATTAGTTGATGGAGGCAGCGAAGGTGACAATTGACCTTGTGAACTAGAGATAGAATCATCGATTTCTCGTCCAAGTGTCTATGTGAATCATTGACAACTACATACTGATCGGATCGATGCTGTTGATTAGTTGTTATCATTTGAGAAGACGCACCCGGCGAAAAGAAAGCATCATCTTGACTACTATCGCTACTGCTATCCTTTGAATAAAGAACGGGTTTTATTTGGATCTGTTGCATTTATTAGTCTTACTGAAGATAAGATTGTCAGTATACGTTTTCTTCGATGCCGTCGAGATTGATCAGATGATGATGACGAACTAGATCGACAATGGCGTTTCGATTTCGACCGGCAATGGCAATGCGATGTCGAACGATTATCTATCGCTGGAGGCATCATATAAATAACTTGTGGGGATGACACCGTTGCAGTTAAAGAAGCTAAATGTTTTCGACATGTATTTACATTTGATAAATTGGGTAAAACTGAACAAATCAAACAACAAGTTCGTCGCGGAGATGCCTGACTATTTTCATCACTTGATAAACCGGAACTATTCACAGAGACTTCCGTTCGATCAATTGAAGACGTCTCACTGTCAGTTTCATCGTCCCATAGATCAGTTCTTTCATTCAAGATATTCTTCAGTCTTGATGATTGATTCATGATGGAAATGGATTTGATCAATCAAAAGATAGATGTAGCAGACGTTTATACAGAATGGTCTATCGGTATGACCACTTATCTGATTTTTCTTTTCTGTTAACACACAAATGCATTTGAAAGAAAAAGGAAGGCTTTCTAACTTGTCATCCTTTTTCCATTGGTTATTAACTCTTCGTCGTTACTCTCTTATTTACTGTTGTTTTTCTTTCATTCAAATGCATGGCGTTCTCTCTCACTCCCAGGCAAAGTAGATAAGAAAATTACCAGCGTGAAAGATTTATATCGTCCTCCATCTTCTGTTCTATATCTATTATTGCTGACCGATTTGTTTTTTTTTCTCGAAGCTGAACATTAGCGTTTTCAAACAAACGTCGGTTAATTATAACTAAACTCGATAAGTTAATCACGTGCGCAAAGAGGCCCGACTCGAATCGATCTCACTACATATGAGTCATTGATGTTTTTCTCTCTTTTCTTGCAGATAACGAAGGTAGTGGAATAAAAGTAACATCAAAATGAGTTCAAGAGGTGGAAGCGTATGTTATAAATGCAATCAAGTAAGTTTGAATGGGCGTGAGTTCGTCGTATGAACGATCTGCAATGTTTTCAGCCGGGTCACTTTGCTCGTGAATGTCCCGATGGCGATGGTGGCAGCGGTAAATGATTAAATGATGGATAGATGTTAGTGTATCTGTTTGCGATTTTGTAGGTGGTGGTGGCCGAGGTGGATTTGGCGGTGGACGAGGTTTGATCATGGAACAAGTTTTCGAACTTCTGGCAGCAAGGCATTGAATTTATTTTCTAGGTTCGTACGGTGGTGGAAGTTCGTACGGAGGACGTGGTTCGTATGGTCAGTTGCTAACTAAAGTCGATTCGTTTTCTGATAATAATAAGGAGAAAAATTGAAATTCATCCTAGTCGGGGCTAAAATTTTCTTTCGCAAAATATTGACATCATGTAATAAACTTTTTTCTGTTTCTAGGTGGAGGTCGTGGTGGTGGATATGGTGGTTCTTATGATAGATCAGGTGGCCGTTGGTAAGCTAGTTATTCCTGGCCATCGAAAGATAGAGTAGAAATTTTGTGTCGTAGTTACCGTTGCAACCAAACTGGTCACTTGGCGCGTGATTGCCCATCAGACAGCAGTCAAAGTGTTTGCTACAACTGCAATCAACCTGGTAATTTGTTTTCATTGAGAAATATCTGACACGCAAATTATTTGCCATTTCTGTCAGGTCATTTAAGCCGTGATTGCCCAGAACCACGCGCAAATAACTTTGGCAGTGGTGGTTTCCGTGGAAGTCGAGGTATGTGAGCAAACAGTTGATTTTCTCTCTCTCTCGATTAGTTCAATTCATCCTCTATCATTTTCAGGAGGCGGCGGTAGCTGCTATCGATGCAACAAACCCGGCCATTTTGCTCGAGATTGTAGTGAACCAGATACACGTGGTAATTCCAATCAACAAGGTGGTGATGATGACCATTAGATAACGAATGAAAATAAAAACTTCAATATGTTCTTTTACTGTATGAACAGTTTATAATTTCATCAAGACAGTGTTCGTATTGAAAAGAAGCATATGATCGATTTTTCTCAAATTTTGTTCGTTGTTTTTTTTTTGTTGTTGTTTCTCTAACTAAGCATCGTTTTAATTATAATATGAAAAAAAAACATGGCTGAAAAAAGGCATAAGAAGGCATAAAATATATCATACATAGCTCCTGTTTCTCTCTCGCCCTCCAGTTTCGCTGTTTTCGTTTGTTTTCCCCCTTTATGTGTATTTCTTATTTTGTGTTCACATGTTCATTGCTTAGTATTGTTCTACTACAACAGCTAGTAATGTTCTTGTACGTACAACTATATAATTGCATCTAACTGGAGACAAGAACAAACCTTTTCATGAGGAGACCATTTTCGATTCTATCCGACTTAACTGAGGATTAGGTTTTTAATGAGAGAAGAAAAGATACAATCTAGAAAGGAATAGTTTGCAAGCATCTGTTCTTGTATTTATTTCAATAAGTAAGTAGGAGATACAGAAGTGGTCTTAATCTTTGTCGTTGTCGAATAATTTTTTGAAAAATCTTATACGAGCAGCGTCTTGACTGTTAACTTCATCACTGTTGGAGTCATCGTCGTGAATGTCTCGAGTAAACCAAGCGTACGCATAGTTACTTCCTGTCGAGCGTTGATGTGGTCGTTGGATCATACGTGGACGTTCGTATTCAGCCACAATAACATTCAAAAGAAGAATGAGAATGAAGAATTGAACAATAAATCGAATGGATGAGGATGTTAAAGACATGTTCAGATCAGAGACTCTATCCGATAGAATATATTCACTAAATACAACCAGGAAGGAAATTTGCCAAGATTTTATTCAGTGAAATCAAATCTAAAACAAATACGAAATATTTGCATTTACACGTTCGACGGAAACTATTCACAATTTGCTTTGCGGAAACCAGGGCAATGCGCAATTCCAACTAAGCACGATGGTGTGACGTTAAGTAGCAAGAACATTAGTTTGCAACCAAATAGATCCTGATCGGTTTGGAGGTATTATTCAGCGTAGGCGGCCAAATAATGCGATTAATATAAAACTATCATAGTACCGAATATGTCAAAAGCGATTACCTAAGGGTTCACATACTGTCGAACAAGTGACCATCTCTGCGACTATTTTCATTGTTCTGTCTAATAGCTATTTTGTGTTTAATTTATATAAGAGAGGAAGAAATAGACAAAAGAGGCTATGCTTCACGATGTGTTCACTGACGAATAATAAATAGGAGAGGGGAAATTATGGTAAAAGAGAAAAGGAGTATTTACTCTAATTTTGGAGAAGGAATATATTCTCTCTCGGATCTAAAAAAAAATCTTAGTAATCACAGAAATGATCTATATAGCCATTTGAACCTAAAATGTACGAGAAAAACAAGCAGAGAGTCCACACGGTCGTTGATGACGAAAACAAGCTTGTCAATATAGAAGCGAAATCACAACTTTCGTTAAAAAGAAACTATGCGGCTTCGTTTCGTTGCTTCAAACATAAATAATGCAAGAAAAACACGCACCTATGCAACACAGCATTTCGTTAAACTTCATGCTCTACTATTCAGCACGATGTCTGCGTGCAAATCTCTGAACTGTAGAGAGAATTCTAGTAGAAGAAAGTGTTTTCAATCTTTCTGAAATGTTCGCTTTAGCATGGGTCGTATTCGATTTAATTCCATTCCGAAGTCATGCACAAAGCGAATATATAAATAATTTATTCAATTTTTCAAATAATGAATCATTCGCCCACGTCGAAAAAAATACTTTCAACTATGAAATAATCAAAATAGCAACATATTTGTGTTAACATACGTCTGTTTGCATTGGAAATCAAGTTATTTTCCTAGGAGATGAAAAGCATCTGCACATTTATTCCACGAAGAAATGTTTCACACACGCACACATACAAACAACAATCGATATTCATTGTCGTCGGTTGTTCAATAGAATGTTTAACAAATGTTCAGATGAAACCTTGTTCAAGCGTTGCTCTTCGGAGTGATGTTGTTCGATGTTTGTATCTTCGTGAATATCGCGCGTAAACCATACATAACGATTATCGTGTTCAGGCAACATCGGCCGTAGTAATTTCTTTGCCTTTCGTTTATTAATTGATGCTCCGTCGGATGGTCCGCATACAATGTTGATTAGTAAAATCAGAAGAAGGAATTTTGCATATGTCATTATGATTCGAATTTACTCGAAGATGTTTTATGCTTCAAACAGAAAGCTAGCGTTCTTCTTTAAATATACTTTGATCAAGATGACAGAATAGGTAGGTTGTCATGTCTGTAAAAAGATCCATTGTCTATTTAACTGTTAAACAGTGCTGACACAAGCACTGTGATCAAATATACATGAATCATGAAGCTTAACGAGGACTCTGATTTACCTACAGATCTGCTAAGTTGAGTCGTGTGTGCAGTGACACACTGAAGAGATGACAAGGCACGATGATTGATCGTAATAATAATAAATTAAGCAAATATTATCTTTCCATCAAAGCCTCCTCGATCGGAACAAGTCTCGGAGATTTTTTTCAAAATCATTCGGTTACCCTGAATAATCATTTGTTTGCCACGTGAATCTTAAGTTGTTAATCATTTTCTTAATGAAAAAAAACGTGTTTAGTTCGAAATATTATTGATTTTTATTATGTATGAATGAGATTTCGACTTGAATTTTTAACAAGGGAAACGTTCATGTCAATAGGTTTAGCTTCTGTCTTCGTTCTTGATAGAAAAATCGGCGGGATTTTTTCGTTTGATGATTTTTTGCATTTCGACATGCGTCTCGGATACTTCGAGTAATCCATACGTATCGATTATCACAATCCGGTGCGCACGGTTGTATCAGTTGAAGGTACTTCTGTATCGAATAAAATCGAGCTGGAGCAGCATAAGTGATATTCAATAAAATTAAGATTAACAGAATTTGTTTCGAAGCCATTCGTTTTTTTACAGCCAAAGAAAGTGATAGAGAGAATCGAACTAAAACGAATGATGAGTGAGCATATCGAATACAGTTGTATGGGGGTTAACTTACCGTTGGGAAAATCGAATCAATATGGTACAGTCGAAGATGTTAAATACAGTGGATATACTGCTGGTTCGAACGGTATGAAACGGGGGTGTATACCATTTAATACTGGGAATAGAGAAGGAAAATCAGTCGTGAATGACAAGTATGATATGATGAAAGAATGAGACGAAGAACTTATGGAAGGGAATGCAATTAGAATACTCTTCTTCGAAGATGAGAAAAAGAGCGTGGAATTAAAAGGTTGAGACGCGTCTTTCCTTGATGATTTGGAGTTTGCTGTGTGAGAAATCGTTGGGAAAACTCAATACTGGTTTTGGAAGTTTGCACTCGACCAAATGAATAATCGTTCATGGAAATGATGACAAAGGGTTAGCAAAAATATGTGAAAAGACTTGGGGGCGTGATTTCCAAACGTTGTTTTGATTGCATACAAGCAAATATTTTTCTAAACTCGCTCGCCATCAATCCCCTCTCCTAATCAATCTTCTCTTTTCTTTCGAATCATATCCGATCATTCTCATCGAAATTCGAGATTTTTTCCTTTCCAAAGCATACATATCAATATCGTCAAACAGAACTTTTTATTTATGTATATGTACATTTATTACAGAAAGCAAAAATACAAAGATTAGAACATAAACTGTTAAACATCAGCTTTCTTTCTTTCTTGCTTGCTGATAAGTTGACATTTGCCAATCCAATACTGTTCTATAGTAAACAGAACCATATTTTGGAATGTAACTGAAACAAAAACGAAGTCTTATCGACGAATGAGCTTGTCAGATCCATACACGGCTAAACTGTCAGATAAAAGTTTGAATCCATTTACGACTGACCAGTCAGCCATGTAACGATCGACGGAAGCACTAGTTATGGATGTATATATCAACGCATTCTCACAAGACCTACCTGTCCCAATTGGTTCGCATCCAGAAAAACGACTGATACTTGTTGTGGTTATCAGTCTAATGATGCTTCGAATAATCATGCGCGACAAAAGCAACGACTCGTTACTTTTCTCGTCGTTTTTTCTTCAGCTAGAAAGATATCTTTCCTACTATAGCTGCATTTAGAAGGATACATAACATGTCCTTCAAGCTTCTTTCTTCTCCTTCTCTCCTTGGTTGTAATTGCGTGTGTATCTTGTTGCTTACGCGAAAGAATATGAAGGTGCTGACAAACATACGAAAAAAAGCGTACTATCAACACATGCGTTGTTTTTCATCTTTTACCTTCGGTCGATGTTTTTTCTTCCGAAAAAAATCCCCAAAAGACAATGTAGTTGATCGATACGTATGCCCAATCATTGCTACTAACAAATATACATGTGTAAAAAAAAATGAATCTATTCTTAAAACGAAACGCGTACGCACGCATACATAAAGCAAGTGTTTGCATCACTCGCTTACGGCGCTCGCTCTTTTTTCTCTCTGTCTCTCTTTCCCTTTTTTTCGTGTGCACGATTCATACTAATGCAATCATTTCTCTCTCTCTCGCTCGTCTTTTTTTTCGTAGTTTTTCATACTCTGTTTTCTTTTCTCTCACATGCCCCGTGTCTATGAGAGTCCTTATTTCGTTTTTTCTTGTCCTTTCTTTCTGATTACATACATCAATGGCGACATTCGCGTTAAGAGACAAAATCTCGGTGTAAAAGAACGAAGAATATCTGTGTGTGTATGCCAACATAATCATACACAACAGGAGACAGAGAACCTTCGAAGTTTCTATGTGTGCTTTTTTTCTATTTTTTCCTCTTCAAGGGCGAAATACAAAGATAAGCGACATTCAACAATTATTTTATATACTATTATAAATTCGACTAAGTAAATATCAGCGTCTTAAATGAAAATATTGAAATCTTTTGTTAGTAATACTTACGAGCCTATCGTCAACGATGATGTCGAGAGAAAAAGCAATTGTCGAAGTTTATTTTTTTGTCGTATCGAATATCTCTATTGCTGCAAATAGAAGAAATTGTTATACGTTGGTTATAGTTTATTGCTGTCGATGAGCTGCATACTCATCATCTGATATAATCACAGGCCAAAGGAGAAGAAACAGTAAATGACATTTGCTTTTCCATTAGCGAGTGCATGGAACATTTTTGCTTTTTCTCTGTTCATTTCAACAGCTGACAATACATATAGACAAAGGAAATGTATCTAAAGGATACTACTGACATACAGACACATCATCTTTTGTTATATTACGAACGAGAGTATGTCTGTCTTTTTCTGTGTGCACACACACACACACACATACAGAGAGAGAGAGAAAGTCGACAGAGATATCTTTATACACTTCATCTTATCGTTGTCAACTGCAGTGGAGAATTGTCGAGAGGTATATACATATCTTTCGTTGGATACTTGTAGTTAAATACAGAGAAGAAGTCTTACGTACACAGTGTTAATAGTCGTTTTATCATAATCGATTCGAAGAATAATCAATAAAACAAATGTCGATGTTTTCGATTTGTCAGTCGTCTAGAACTCTCTTCGATGCAGTTCTTTTTTACAATGACTAGACTTGTGCAATAATACTCATTAATTCTGTGGGTATATGTATTCAATTAATAAAAAGAAAAAAGCAGCTCTCCAGAGAAGCATAGTTTCGTCATGAATGATCTTTTATTTGTAATAAATAAGCTTTCTACCATGATAACGATTTGTGATAGTCTGCCTGATCGTTACTTGTCGTTGTGACGCATTTATAGGAGCAGCCAATCGTCGAAACGATCAGGATTTTGATACCGCTGTGTTCGATCAGCGCGGATGGATTCGCATAGATTTGATCATGATCAAAGGAATGGCCGGCAATAATCGAAAATTGATACGAAGAATAAGTTCGCTCAAGTTCTTCTCGAAAATAATTAATCAAATCTTCTAATGTATGAATTAAATGTGGAAATGCTTGATGAGTTTCGTGAGCTACATTCAATAAACGTTCAACATAAGAACCAAAACCATCTCCGTGACTTTGGATAACATGAGCACGTGGGTGTCTCAGGACCAGATGACTAATGGTGTCTGTAGAACCATAGTTCATCATACGATTAGGAGATGTTGTTGTTGCTGTTGTAAGCATGGCTCAAACGTATTCAAAACACGAAAGACGACTTCGAATAAATAGTGATAACGCAGTTATCTATCATCGCGTTTTTTTTTCATGTAAAAGCATTACGACAAGTCGAAAGGTATATCGAGTAGATTCGAAAGACAATAATAGCAGAAACGCAGCTGCTGTCATCCTTTTTTTCTTGTTGAATGGCTTCTATGGCAATTCGTCTTCTTCATAATTGTATCTGGAGATAATGGAAAGTGTTCATGGATAACTGTGGAATACACATAACCTTGTAATGTCGCTAATCCTGATACTATTACAAATTCTATATTGGTCAATGAATAGCTCTCATCTGTCGGATGACAATTTTAAAGCCGAAGCTCAAAAGTCATACGTTGTTCAATCAATCATTTGGGATAAAATGATGCATAAGAGTGTTCACAAATACCGAAGAAAGTGGAGATATATATAGATATCGTCTGGCGGTTTTCTTGGTTTAAACTGTTTGATTTCATTCGATTCTTTCACTTTTATTCTCCTTTTCTCTCACGGCGATGTAATGTTTCCACTTCGACGGACATATTTTTATCATTCATTTCTATCAAAGTCGTAAATCGCGTTGGTTGGCTATTTAACATAAAGATGATTCTTCGTTTGATAGTCCTCTGCTGTATATTATTTTCAACAAAAACATACGGTCTACGTCGTCGATGCAACAATACAGGAGTTTTATTCTTGGATAAGGTTCTTGGCTCGCCAATTGTTGTTTATGGTGAACCAACGCGTAAATCGATTTATCTGGAAACTGACACGGAACTATTGTTCAATGTGACATTCCGAGTTGATTGTGTTTTGAAGGCCACAGATATCGCCGATAAAATCGAAATAACTGGCGCAGGTATGATAAGTCTTACAAATGATGGACATAACAATCTTTTCTCGTCTAGGTATCAAAGCCGAACGGATGGCATGCCAATGGCTTGATCCAGGAAATGTTTACATTGTCTTTCTCGAAAAATGTCCATCGAATTCAACTCTATATTGTCCATTAGATTACCAAGAACGTGTAGTTGATGACATGATGCTTGAGTTATTACAAAGAACATGTCATCTAACCAGCCGTCCTCCATTACATTCGACAGCAAATCATTGTCCCAATGTTTCAATGGCCGAATTTTGTTCAGGTAGCTTATTTGTATCTTTCAGACAAATAGTGACGGTTTCTCAATGTTAACAGATGAGGAAGGTCAATTCAAAATCATTCCGAAATCAAAATATGTCGATGATGATAGTCAGGTAAATATGAAAATATCGTTCAATAACAGCAATCAATTCTTTCCGCAAACAAATCCGACTAAAACACGATCAATCGCAGATCAAATTGCAGATAATCCAAACAGTCACGGTCGTTTAGCACCATTAGCTTCAATGTGGATGGCACTTCTTGTCATTTTTGTATGTAATTAGATTTCTTCTGTTGTACTAATTGTCACAAAAGACTTAGTTTTGTTCGAGAGAAATAAATGAATTAGAACTCAAATGGAGAAACGATCGGTTATGTGATGCTTCTCATAACAAAGTAAACTGACCATAAACGCGATGATAGAACCACTATTCTTCTAGACGCACACATTAGTACAGTTAATTATTCTTTCCTGATCGTAGACGTAGAATAAACAGTTTGTTATTCTATCTTGTACACATTGTTTGCGGGAAAAGCGCTCTTATCTCAGATTTTTCTCTTCTTTTTCTTTTTATTTCAAATCGGAAAACGATTGACACACAAACATCGTTGATACGAACAAAAAACGATGAACGATAGTCTTGTTATGTGTGCTACCAAGTGATGGACGTCTAATCGAATAAGCCAAAACCCTAGAAGAGAAAATCGCATCGTAATGAAACACGTTTTCTAGTTAAAATAGTTCAATTCTACGTACCATTTCATCATCCGATTCTTTTTCTTCTTTCTTTTCCTCTTTCTTCTCTTCTTTCTTTGGTGCGTCTTTGCCAGCACCACCAGCGGCGGCTGTGGTTGCAGCTGGAGCAGCGGCGCCAGCAGCTGGGGCTGAGCCAACATTCTTAATAAGATCTGTGACTTTCAATCCTTCGAGAGCACCAGCAAAGAGACCAGGCCAGTATGGTTCAATTTCGTAATTTGCAGCTTTCAAGATTGCTGAAATTTTGTCACCTTTGATATCAACATTGTCATCAGCCAAGATAAGGGCTGCATAGACACAAGCGAGTTCGTCGTTGCTTAAGGCCATTTGTTGTGTTAGATAAGATTTTCTAGTTGAAAATAGAAGAAATTTGATCTGAAAAAGAAAAAAAAATGAGAAGAATATTCATACAAGAGATTATCGTTAAACGTTAAACAAACAAATGGACTCGAACACACACATACACACGCAGGCGCACACACAAAAAATATTGCATAACTTTTTTATTGGTTTCTTCTAAGATACTGTTTAAAAATATATACAAAAATTTGACGTCTAAGTCATGAATGTTGCCGTAGCTTGAGCAACATTTGATTTGGACTGGGCAGATGTAGACGAGGTTGCGGCGGTCGAAACAGGGTTTTGATAGAGTGCACCAGATAGCAATCGTGAGGAAGATTGGGCTTGAAGTTCGCCATCTTGTCGAAGATGGTTGAACTCATCGGTGAATTTCTTTCGAAGATTGAGTAATGTCGTATAACGTTGAGTAAGAACATCCTGCAAAAGAAGAACAACACAAACGATTAATGGTAAGATCAAGCTTTTTCCAAAGAAACTTCCTTACCAATGTAGACCGATAACCTGGCATGTAACGGCAATAGTAATTTTTCCATAATTTTATATGACGCGTTGAATTGTTCGGAAGCAAGACTTTATCTGATTTATCTGTGTAGGAAGGATTCAAATACAGTGTGCGCTCGCGTAAAATAGGTGTCCATGCCGACATGGTATACTCGGACACTTTCATATCCGTGCGTAATTTATCAGAATTGAGTAAGAACGTTCCATATTGACATGAATAGAGATTATCAGCAATGGTCACCAAGAGTTTTTCATTGAACTCGAATGCCGATGGAAACTACAAGCGAAACAAGTTGAAGACAAGCCGTAGGTTGAAATTTACCTGTTGTAGCAATTGAAATGTACAATCGAGAAATTGTAAAAATACGGGCGATCTTTCAGAATCACTTTTGTCTCCATGACCGATACGCTAAAGAGAAGTCAAGAGAGGATCAGATAAGAATCAATCTTTGTCTCAAATGTTTCTTACTAAAAAGAATTTATGTCCAAAACTAATCCATTCTTTCTCAATTAATATCATAAAACCATTCAATGTTCGATAATGTGCATCAAGCATTAACATTGCCAATGATGTTAACTAGATATATACCAAGAGAAAACGTACTGATACATTCATTCCAAAAGAAAGTCAATTTTTACTTGTGCAGTTCGATCCCATCCATCTGAACAATGAACTAATACTGATCGCTTTTCATTGTGAATCAACGACACCAATCGAATAGCAGCAGTTAAGATAGCCTAGAAAACAGGGAAAGTCTTGCGTAAAATTCATCGAATTTTTCGCCATACTCGAATGTGAAACAGCCAATTTGAATTCTCTAAGTCACTAAACCATGTTTTGTCTTCGTGTGACGCATTGCGAATCGCAGCATGTAACTTACGTAAGCTAAAACAAAACTTGCATAAGTTTTTTTTTTCTCGTTCTTCAACCCCATTTACCTTTCTCTCATAACATGAATGTTTTGAATATTATGAAATTCCAATTCACAATTCGGATAATCTTCGTAACCGCCTCCATTGGCCATGTTAGCCATTGCGTTGACTTTCGGACGAGCATCGAGTATAACTAATTTGAAACCTTGGTTGACGTTAGCGTCGGCGATTTTATGTAATAATTCAATATCATCGTCGCATGTACGATTTGCTAAACCAGTCAACGGTTGACTTGAGCGTGTTATGGTCGCATATGTCTCGCGAGAATACCAACTGAGCACCTAAAATTGAAATCGACGCTGCCGATCGTTCGAGATCGATGATTTTATTTATACATACTGGAATACGATTTCGACTACGAAAATCGGCTACACGCTGTAAACGTGATATATCAAAACTTGATGGAAGAACGAGAATATCTGGATATGTATCGCATAGGGCATAGTTTTTGTTAATCTCTGCATTGATTGTCCAATGGGGATCCGAATTTTGTTGAATACCCTGAAATTAGACACATAATGAGTATGAGATTTTTCCTTCAGAACCATTCGCTTACCATTCGTGTGTAATCTTTCATTTTACTGTACAATGTCCAACCTTCGTCGATAGTATTCGGGCACATTTTTTTCTTATAGTCCAAAGCAAAGAAAGCCTGAAGGAAAAAAAAAACATGTGCATTCGAATAGATGTTGGAGAACAGCTTACACCAAAAAATTGTAATGGATTAGTAATATCTGCTTTGCTGATTGAAAATGGAAATACAAGGCGTGTTAACTGATCCAGGAGGTTTCGTCGTTGATTTTGTTCTTTTGTATTACCGAAGAAGAAATGACGTAAATCCTACAAAAACATCATCGATTTATGTTATTCAAGAAGACGACATCTCGTTTTCTTCTGTTTACTTTGCAAGTTATTTCAATTCCATAGGCAGCACCGTCACTCATATTACTTCTTGCTTGTCCACCGATTTTTTCTATCTGACTAATCATTCCCAATGGTACGTCAACGAGCACCTAAAGTAAACCGATTGAATTGTGTGTCGCATGCAGAGAAGCTAGATTTCCTACTTGGACTGAATCAGACGGTTTGGTGATGAACATCAAACGATACTTTGTTACAATTAGTTCTCCTCGATATGTTATTGGTCGATTCTGAATACGATAGGTAATTTCTAGAAAATAAGATTTGCTATTTTCTTTTCGACTTCGAAATCTTGCTAGTACCTTCTCTTAATTTAATGTCATCCTCTCCAGGAAGTGATTTTATGGGCAGTGATAATTCATTTGTGTGACCCACAGTTGACTGTTGATCTTGTATCGCTGTTGTCTGATATCGATCCAACCCATACCCCCGTGATGCACCCTTATGAAAAAGAAAATAATGAGAAACACGATTCATTTCAATCATTAAAAACTATAAATCGGCAAAAGATATGTAAGCCCATACACAAGTTAACGAGAAGAGATCAAGTATCTGGATGGACGAGAAAATAACAGTAGGAGGGAAATGTTTTTTTTTCGCGGAGAACGACGAGAAGAGAACTTACTGCTATCGCTGATGAGGTATTTTGATAAGGTGATGGTGCGACATATTCATTTGATGATGATATCGATGAACCATCATCTGGTGCGCCGAAACTCATTTCACCAGCACCGTGAGATGTTGGCTTTGAATGAATTAGTGTGGCCATTGGACGTAAATGAATGTCATCATTACTATTTGACCGATTAAAATTATTCATCGACTCACGATGAACATCGCGAGACATGTCGCGATGATTTTAATTTGGCAAAAAAGCGAGATGATCGTGTTAACTCTGAAGAACGATTGAAATGGAATAAATATAAATAAACAGTTGTAATTCATGGAAGGAGGAATGATTGGAACTCCAATGCACTAAATGTGTATAGGAAAATTCAATTTATTTTACAATTTTTCTCATGTCTTTTCTTCGGAATTATCAATTATCTTCTTTAGTTAGCGTAATGAAAGTATCATGAGAATTTTCAGCTATTGAAAGATGTCGCTAGTTTATTGTACTTTATTTATCTACTAATATTATATGCAAAGCAAACGATAGATAATGGTATATTTGCCATGTGAAAACAATCATTGTCATTACCCGGACCGATAAAAATTGACAAAAAAACTTCGTTTTTATTCGTTCAGAATTCACGCATGTACCAAGAGAACTGCATTTCTAATACGCCTTGAAGTGCACCTTTGAGCATGGCAGAGACGCGTTTGTACGCGTTATTAGAGGCACTTTTTTGGAGAAAAATAAAGAAAAACACACCCCCACTCAGAAAAAGCATTTTCTTTATTTTTATTTTGTTTGTTTGAGCAGAAGTCGCTTTGTAGATAAGTTAAGGCGACAAAGATTAGACTATAAAGATAACAAAAGTGTAACAAGCCAACGATCATTTGCTTTATTATTATCTACAAATATGCGAGTGTGGCTCCTATCGCTGTTGCTCTGTGTTGTAGCCACAAAAAGTCAGGAGTTGCAAACATTTGGCACTGGCTTGTCTAGTCAACGGCTCCACAAAGCTGAAGTGATTATCTTTTCCTTATTTATGAGAGACTTCGAATGGCATTTATTTGATGCTTTAGACTGAGATTTTCAGTTATACGCTTTCTGCCGGTGCGACATTTGGTGTACTGACCCATTTTTGGACAACTGGCGACGCAGGTAGAAAGTTAGCTGACGATGGAGTATTTCGATGAACATTGTCTATTTCAGCTATTGATCAGTCTATTTTTTCGTACTACATCGATGGAGAATCGGTTCCTTCGATTCAATTCGTCACGTACATGTTAGCTGGAGCTGGATTTAATGATAGATCTGCTCCTTGGGGAACGAAGTGGATTGGTAAAGGAGCAAAATCAGGTGGATGGTTCAATAACTTGTAAGTTTAAATCATGTTCATTTTCTTCTAGTAAGAGCCTTGTTTGTGCTTCTTAGTCGCGTTCCATTCCAGAAATCCATTCGAGTAACTGGTCGATTACCAGATACTAGCGGTGACGATAAAATCATCTGGATCATTGTTCGGGGAACGGAAAATTTACCAACTTCATTTCACGGTTTCACACTTCCACCAACAGCTCGTTTGACCTTGCACAAAATCGAAAGCGCCACATACGATCCATTAGCGTGGGTTCGTGTTGCTGACATACCCACTGGTCGTGGTTTACTTTTTTCACACACATTGGCTGTTAGTAGTGGAAATTTAAATTTTCTTGAAGGTTGTTATCATGCCTATACTCAACACGAACAACAATTCCCAGGTTTAATCGTTTCAACCGGAACAGAAGATTACTTTGATAGTGCTTTCTATTTTGATGGTGGCCAATTTCATTTTGACGTTTCGGGCTTTACCCATTTTCAACAAGTGACGAACACCACATTAGAATGGTCGGCGTATCGTATGCATGACTTAGATCCAATCTTCTTTACGAATGGTTTCCGTTTCGAATGGCGAAATGGAGATGTTGTCGATGATCGCGGATTTAAATGCATCGTCGATCAAGGTGGACACGTTGTTGGATCACCAACACAATCAAATGTCACATCATATGCATGGGTTTACGTTTGGTAATAGACGCATAGATTATCCTTTTCGTCTTTAGTATAGAAAATAAAATTTAGAAAAAAAAACTAGTGCCTTTTTTGAAAGACTTATTAAAAAATTACGCTCCTGGGTGGGCTCGAACCACCAGCCTTCCGGTTAACAGCCGAACGCGCTAACCAATTGCGCCACAAGAGCTTATGTTAATCGGACCTATTGTTCTACCTTATTCATTTCAACGAAAGGTGAGACGAACTCTAAAAATTTTTCTTACTTCGTCGCCTACGCGTGATTATCTGATGAAAATAATAAGGGAATGCTTCTCACATTATGAAACGGATCGATGTGTTTGTTAAACGCAGGATGACAATGCGCGTAGCTGCGCCGCGATCATTAAAAGCCAAGCAGCATGGGTAAGGATAAAGAGAGAATTTAAATCCCAATTCGTTTTTTTGGAAAAAGTGGTAAAAAAAGATGCGCTCCTGGGTGGGCTCGAACCACCAGCCTTCCGGTTAACAGCCGAACGCGCTAACCAATTGCGCCACAAGAGCTCATGTTAATCGGACCTATTGTTTTACCTTATTCATTTCAACGGAGGTGCCGTGAACTCAAAATTTTTCTTACTTCATCTCGTACACGCGATCATCTGATAAGAAGAAGAAAGACATGCTTTTCACATTACGAAACAGATGGATGTGCTTGTTGAACACAAGATTAACTATGATAAAGAGTGAATTTTGATCCCAGTTCGTTTTTTGGAAACAGCGGCAAAAAAGATGCGCTCCTGGGTGGGCTCGAACCACCAGCCTTCCGGTTAACAGCCGAACGCGCTAACCAATTGCGCCACAAGAGCTTGTCTTCCCATTCGAACTGACCATTGCTAATTTGGAGCCATCTAGTCCAACTCCTAGTCATTGGGCATGCTCCTCTGTTTTAACGCATTGAGTTGTTATTGATAACGCATGTGTTTCTCGATTATGAAAGCTTTATTTTCAACCCTCAACTGATAATTAGTAATAAAATATGTTCATTGTTGTTATATATAACTGATGAAAAGTACAAATAATAAAATAAAAATACCAATTCCAAAAAGTATCAATTTTATTTTCAAAGACCGTTGTTGACGTTGAACGGCTTTCACCAGTTCCTTATTACCTTGTTCAACTGAATTAATCGAGTCGCAAATAACACATTCGATCTGATCTATGCTGGCTTTCTACCAGAATAGAAAATGAAAAAAAAACGAATATTCGAAGAAGAATTCGTCTTCACCTGATTGGAAATCATTGTTGATATATTCATAAATATAGTATTCACTTCCTGTATTGACTCATATGTGTCACGAAGCTCTTTTTCACGCCATGTTGTGTACTCGTCAACTGGTGATGCCGATTGTTGTTGAACTTCTGATAGAAGCTAGAAAAGTGTGAGATGTTGAACGATAAGACTATTTTCTTTAGTATTACAGATATCTGATCGAATTCGTTATCACCGAATGGACTGGCATACATATCAATAGCAATGTGCGATGTGACTTGATCGAGCTTATCTTTCTGTGATTGCAATTCTAAGGTTAAAGAAAAGTCTTGTTCATTCTTGAAAATCATTTCATCGCACCTCGTTTCATCTCAAATTATGTTGAAACACTATAGCATATGAGCAATCAACGTTTCAACTGAAACACAGACATGAGCAGTAGCAAAATGAAACATAGCTATACGTTGATAAGCCACATACTTCGAACATAGTTCGATTGGCATTGATTAAATTTTAGGGCCAAATCCTGAAAAGTATTAAATGTAGCTTGGGCAGCATTAGAGACTAATTGTTGCTCATAAGAGTTTGCTTGCGATTTTTTCGCGAACGAGGAAAATTTTTGAACAGACATTTGACAATTATCTAACATCTATGTAGAAACGAGTATAGTTATCTGTGGATAGAGAAATGCTCTTCCAAACCGATGTGATGTCTTTCGTTATTAATCTTATTTCAGAGTCGCTATGAGCATCCTCATCGAAAACTTGTCTTGTCAAACATTTCGCTTGCAATTGTTGTAATTTTTTAACTAAATCAAGTAATTGCAAGATTCATTATCGAACGGTTGCCACAAATCGTACTTTGATTGCGTATTTCACCGAACTGCGACTGTATTTTTCGATGAAATTCCATCCTACAAATAATACTTAAATCAGATCACTCCATACAATTGAGTACCATAAGAACGCGTCGTTCCTTTCGAAATGCACAACATCATCATCTTCATCATCGTTCAATAAAGGGTTGCGATCATCCCATTTCTAAATTCGACATTGAAAAGCTTGTTGCATAACACTCAATAGCGAACATACACTGTTATCGGCATGGTTAGTTCGATTCTGACTCGCTCGATTTCGAAATTCGAGAAAATTCGATGTTAAATTCCGGCTACTCATATTCTATTTACTTCTTCTAGCTATCTGAAAAAAGAAACACAAGCAATCCAAATGAAAAGACAGTAAACATGCATATTAATGATTAATAATCTTATCACAATCAAATGAACTGTAGAAAGCAGACCGGCTAGCGTTTCAGAGGAATATTTTTTGATATTTGATACGAAATTTATATTGCTTTTAATGTTTCATAACTGCCTCCGCTGTACGAGTGCGAATGGTTTCCAAAGTTTGTGTCCAATCTTTTTGTCCAATCTTAGCTATTGTGCTTTTGAGAACTTCCATAGCTTTGGGAAATGTTGCTTTGAAGATTGTCACAACTTCATTAGGATCGACAATACCTTAAAAAGGTCGGTTAAAATCAATTTTTCGGCAAATAAATATAAAATTCAACAAACCATCTTCTTTCCAACAGACATCATCAGTGACAATACCCAAGGCAGCATACGGCAGTCCTAACTCTTTAGCAAGAGCAGTTTCAGGTGCTTGTGTCATGCCAATAGTTGTGCAACCCCAACTAATAAAAACTTTATTTTCTGCGTAAGTAGAAAATTGCGGGCCTTCAATGACGACAATGGTTGATTTATTTTTGAACGAAACATCAGGCGTTTCAGCACATGCTTCGAGCAACAATTGACGAAGATCCTGACTATACGGAGGATGCATGCTCATATGCATGACACCTAGTAATATAAGAAATAGAACTTCATTGAAAACTGATTTCCTTATTCACAAACCTTCAAGGTGGCCAGTTTCGTTGTCATAGAATGTATTAATACGGAATTTTGTTGTATCAATGTAATTATCTAAATAATGATCGTTCGAATTATATTTCATATTCATAAGCTTATACCAAAAACAACCAGATCTCCACGAACAAAATCAGGCGACAAAGATCCAACAGCTGTCGTTGCTAAGATAACATCCACACCGAGCTGTTTCAATGCCCAAATATTCGCCCGGTAACTGAAATAAAATATCCAAGGTAAGCTATCGATAACCCAGATTTCCCAGCGTTGACTTACTTCAGTCGAGTAGGATTATAGGAATGACGACGGCCATGACGGAAGCATAAGACACATTGCACACCGTTGATAATTCCACTAACTAGATTATCCGATGTCTCCCCATATGGTGTTGCGACGTTTTCATGCTCAACACGGTTCGATAAGATATCACTTCGATCGAAACCTGAACCACCAATAATTCCTACTCGAATTGCTGATGACATCTAAAACTCATGCGAGATTTCAACGACTATTGTTCTTCTGATTCTATTATGATTATTATTAAAACTTTTCAGATCAAGCGAATAAAACCGAAATTTTCTGTATATATTCACAAGGGAATAAAGCGACAAGAAAAGATAATTATGTGAATTGAATATTCTTTGCTGTTGATCATGGTGCTATAATAATAAAAACGAAGTTAATTAGAATTTGTAAACAAACAAACAAACAAAGAAAAAAAAATGAAAGCCCAGGAAAAAGAATCATCAAGCAAGAAAAAAACAAACAGTCTAATCAAGATTTTGAATCATTAGTAGGATGATGTGTCCCAAAAAGATGCGAAAGCAATGGCGTTTCATTAGTCGTGGTCATGCGCGTTGCTTTACCATTTCTATGGATTATTGCCGTTGTTGTCGATATACCATGCTTCCGTCGACGTTGTTGATCGTTTGATAATGACGAACCTTCACCATTTACTCGTACTGGTGATTGAATACTAAAGTGATTATCGATGCTGATATTTGTCAAAGGATTAGCGGTCTGAGCAGTAGCAATCGAAGGTGATTGGCGTATACAATCAGCAAATGATTCATAATCACTGGTTTGCTGAATACTTGACATACCGGATGTATTTGAAGTTGGATTCGTCAATGAGAGGGCGTCCATGGAGACTGAACTGATCGAATTAGATAGATGTTCGTCTTCATTGACTTCTCCTTCATCTTCATCATCAGATGGATCGATTTTCGGAAATTCAGTTAGTTCTAAATCGTAGGAAGAAAAAGGCATAAATTCATTCGTAGCAGCAAAATCGGTAGATAAAAATAAACACAGCAAATCAATGCAATCTATATGACTATCTTCAGATTAGTTACCTCGACCAACGGATAAATCCGTTTGTGAATCTAGAATGTTTTGTTTTCTTTTTCTGTAGAACAAAAGCAACCAAGTCGAACGAGAGCAACATCGACTTACCGAGGTCAGGTAGTTCAATATATTCATCGGGTCTATCCGAACCAACGCCTGGTTCACGCGGAGGTAATTGCACTAATAATTGAGTTTTACGTTTCGTGTGAATCTAGGAAAGAATGTATAGAATTCAGAGTATTTTCGTCGACGTGATTATACTTCTTCAGATATTCTTTCGAGATTATTCAATGCAGTACGGTACATTTTTTTCGCTTGACTAATCGCTTTTTGCACAGCTTCAATACGAAGTTTTTGGTTCTGTAAAAGAAACACATCGATATCTTTTCGTGTGCGTGGTATTCAGATATGTTTACCTGTAACTCCTCTTCGGCAGACTCTTTGGCAACAAAATATGGTCTAAAGAATAATTAAAAATAAGTTTCATTTGAATCTATCTCCTATTCTCTACTTTGCTTTGGTAATTGATCTCTTCAATGTTCGTTGTAGTGTTACTCGTTGTTGTTCACATTCTATATAGAGTTTCGACTTCTCTTCATGCGTTCGCTCACTTCGTGTCTTATCTTGTTCGGCTTGCATTACCTTGACGAGAAATTTCACTGTTGATACTTCGTACGAAACGAAATTTAGTTCTTTACTTTCATTGTTGCATGGTTTACATATTCCTGCCACGCTGCGTCAAATTCGCGTTTATCGGCTTTGAGTAGTTTACCTTCAGCTAAACTTAATGTTTCTTTGGTAACACGATAAAGTTCCACAGAACGTTGGTATTCTTGTGCAGCTTTCTGTGTCTCCAATTGTGCCTAAACGAAATCGTTAGCTCACATACTAACATCTACACGCATCTACCTCGTTGGCTTGTTTACAGGCATCGAAAAACGGTCGTGAACGTTCGACACAACTGCCAAGTTTCTTCGCAAGAATCGCCAATTGTTGTTTACAATTAGCAAAACTTGTCTGAAACGTCTGTTGAGCTTCCTGAACTCAAGAATAGGTCTGTTTGATTGATTCTGAAGACGAAGAAAGGTGACTCACATCTAATTGTGTTTCAAGATTATTTATTTCACTGGTCGCAGCATTGGCACGTTCCAATTCAATCTATTGAAAAGAACTATGAATATGCAAAATAAATGCCATAAATTTCCATGACTCTACTTGTATGCGGGGATCGAGTGGTTCCTCACTGTTAGTTTCATCTGATTTGTCGGTGACTTCATTGATTCGATCATCGGTTTGGTGAACATTTGAATCGTTGTTATTGAACGATTTCGATGAAACCAACGGAAATGACATGAACAATGTATGTGAACTGGTCGAAGAAGGGCGAAGAACGATGATGTATCAGTTTCTTTTATGCATAGAACATGATCTGAAATTTAGGAAACTATTTTGTCAAAAAAAAGTATACGAAAACAACAAAAATTGATTGCGTGAACCGAGTGTAAAATGAAATTGATATTTGAGTAATGTCAAAAATGTGTGGGTGATGATATTCTCGAAATGAAGGATGCATACGTGTCTCATATGATGACGAATCGTTCTCACAGAAAGAAAGATTAACATTAACCGTGTCGCACAGATCATCAGATCACATCTAATGGATGTTTTGAAGATGACTCCGAATGTAACTGATATACCTTGGAGAACAGTTCAAAATGTGAAATACGTCGTGATAATATGTACCTTTCAACATCGACTAATCGTATCTGACTTGTTAATAGTTCTAACGTAAAGGTACAAAAGCCAAAAAAATCGATAAATAAATCAAGCCTATTCTAGATATTTCAAAACCATTCGAGCAAATAAATGCACTTCGGCCAATAACGGAGATGTGTAGAACGACGCACCTGATGCAGCTCTAAAAATAAAGGAATAACAAGCGGAGCCCATCAAGGATTGGTGGTTGATTTGATGAATGAATGATAAATCGACTGAGTGACTGACTAATAGTGAGTAATACGAGAATGTGCATGACTTTTTAAAAAAATCCATGGTCTACGTTTCATTCGAAAGCAATTTAAGAGAATCCTTGGGAATGTCACCGACAGTTTCGCTTTCAATCAAGGCTTGATTCGGTGGAAATTTACTTTCTTAATGGTTATAGATGTCGCTCAATTCCTCTTTGCCGTATGTGGACTTCTTCTATATGAGTATGAAACAAAATGCGCAATTGAGATAACTCTCATACATGCTTGTCGAGAATAGTTTTTAGAATGTCAAAGATTTTTATAGTAGATGACAGTATTCAGTAGACCTACTATAAACTGGCATGTCATGCATCATTAGTAAAAGTGCTTGCTAAACTATTTTCAGAGTGACAAAGACAAAATAATGCATAGTGTGCCGTTATTCACGGTTATTTTGCAGCCAACAAAGTACCCGAATTGATGGTTCGTCTGCTACAGAAAAATCTAGATTTATTTTTATTAGCGCAACTTTATGTAACAAAAAATAGTGATAATCAAATTAAGCTATAATAGGACGCAACATGGTTTCTCAGCTTCGTGACATGTCGGACAAAATCCATAGCCTGGTCCTCGTGGATTGTAGCATTGCAGACAAATCACTTTTTGACAACGATAACATTTATGGTCGCCCATAGTTGTTGGATGATACGCACATGTTAAGACACTAACGTTTGGTGCCACTGCCGCTCCTTGATAGTTAGATCTGCCTGAGATATCCATTGCTCGTTTAAAAACTCCTAAAATCCACTATATGAAATAAAACAGATTGTGTGACATGAAATATATACTACATCAGAGCGTAAAGAGTCGATAAGCAGAGTAAATAATTGACGCAATGATGCAAACTGGTGATGAAATATGCTATGCTTCATCTAAACTGTTACAGGTAATAAACTCAAACGACGTTTATCTTAAATGTATCAATCTGTCAATAAATGTTCTCTTTTATTGCTAGAATCTAAAGTAGGATAATAGCGCACTCTATCGATGAGTGTGAAATTCTTGAAATGAAACATCAGACGCAATGTATCAATCGACAGAACATGTTCATTCGTATCTTCGTAGTGTCCTGCAAAAGAGTCTTTGATCTGGGATTTCTTCGGATCGTTTCTAAGTATAGTCGGTTTATAATGGCATGAGAATAAACTTCACCATTAGATTCTATAAAGCAAGGTTAAAATCATAAGTTGTCTTTTCAACAAAATTCAATGCCATCAGCAGCAAACGTTCGATCAGCAGTCGTACCTGACGACATACCAGAAGTTCGAAAGATTCGCAGCCGTCACAGTTGGGTGAGGAAACGATAAATCTATCGAAGCATCTTCGTTATTCTAATTCTAGAAAGTGGGAAATGTAGGTCATCGTAAACCGCCACCGAGATCGAAAGAGTCAATACGCTACGTGCAGAAGGAAATAGCGAAAAGGAAAGAAAAGTTTCATTGTACGTTCATTTTCGAATCTTGAAATATTCATCTACAGAAACATCTACATAGTTTCCAAAGAAGAAATCGACGCACTGTGCCTACTCTTCCGTTATCTTGTCCAGGACGATGAAACAAGTAAAACATCCACTCCATTCCTCTTTCTATCACCAGTAATCAGCATTCTGTTTTAGACGCACTCGATCGAACTCGATTTCAAGATTTTCTGCATAACACGTTCGAAACAACCGAGGATATCATCTTAGATAGGGGTAGACTTGTGATCGAACTTCTTTCTAGACGTTCGTTTCTTATTAGTTTTCAAAGTCTTTGATCGAGACAGTGACGGGCGGGTCAATATGCTAGAATGGATCATCGGATTGAACGTTTATCTTCGTGGATCGTTGCATGAGAAAATAGCTTGTAAGTTTACTGATCAACAGTGAAATCTTTCAATATTCTTTTTCTTTTTGAATTTCAGTCGCTTTCGATTGTTATTCTCTCAAAGGTGAGAAATTCATCACTCGTCAAGAAATATTTCAATTATTGAAATCAAGTGTTCCGAAGGTACTGCATAGCTTTTCTCAGTCAGTCGATTTTCATGCTTTGCCCATTGTAGCAAATGAACGAAGAAAATCCCATTGAAAGTATCAAAGAATTAGTGGAAATTACCCTGAAAAAAATGGATAAAGATCGGGATAATCGATTGAGTGACGATGATTTCGCTGCATCTGTTCACGGAGATCCTCTCCTGCTCTGCTGTTTTGGTCAAATCTTTCCCAGTTCGTCAGTAAGTTCTGTGTGAATATCAAGTTCCAACTAACCGATTGCGATTTATTTAGAAAAGAGAAGCATTCGAACAAATTGCTTTTGGTCAACAATTGAACAAAGAACAATTGAAAACAATATTCGATTATAAAAACAATTGAATTGCATCTGACTTAGAAAACTTGAACAAGAATTAAGCGACATGAAATTTTAAATATAATTTCAAATGATTGTTCAGCGAAAGCGCATCGATCTGATCGAAAGACTCGAGACTAGATAAAATCATTGAACGACATCGACTTCGTAGTGAGCTCGCTAGAAAACAAAAAAAGCTAGGACGAGAGTGTCAAAGCAAAGAATACTTACGGCCATAGAGTTGAACGATTCGAACTCTTGTTGTAGCACCATAGACATCAACGAATGCCCAGAATTTCGTATGTTGATTGATTGGTTTCGAAGAATTCGGAAATGTTCGTTGACGTTTCTTCGGTGGCAAGCATATCTCGTCGTTTTCTATGATTGGTGATTCGGTATTCAAAATGGCAAACGGACCGTAGTCAAAGCCATTTATTACACTATGCATATGTATCGATTTGTATTTTAATGCGTAAAGAACGCCTATTCGACTGCCAATACTAGTCGGACATTGGTGAGACATCTCGGAATTAGATTTTCCCACAGGTTCAAGTTCTTGTCTACGAACGGAAGCATATGGTGTATAAATATAATCGTCAGCACTACCGAAATTGAACAAAGGCCGATCTAGCCAACACAAATACGGATTATTTCTATCGATTCTACAACAGTACTCACATAAACCACAGGTACACATGCGTTGAAGGATGGGTTTGCTGGGTACTAGAAGAGCAAAATCCATATGTGAATTATTTTCTCCTAATGATTTACCCGTAATATGAAGAATATGATCGTAAACGACTTCTTCGATGCACCGTTCAAGAATTTCGTTTGGTGAAATGGACGTAAATCCAATTTTTATATGGCCGGCCCATTTATCTGTGGTATCTTGTATTTCAATTAGAAATATTTCTCCTGGATGCAGTGGTCGCTCAGAGAAAACCATGGCATGTGAAAATGAATTGATTCGCGTTGCAGTAAAACGTTGTTCATCAAACGAAATATTCTTGCCATGTTCAAGATGAAAACGCATTGTTTAATTTATACGAAAATATGAAATCGCTCCATAAATCTGAATGGTACGAACTGTCCACCAATCAGAATTCGCTTTTCACATTGACTGTAGCGATTGTACTGTTTCAACGACGTAATCGTCAATGACAAAACGAACATTTTGATCATTATATTTCGAATGTATTTGCTTTTTTCTCCTTGCTGCGCTTCGCTGCACACTTCGTTTTGTTCTAGACAGACGCCGAATCTTTTTCATTTCCAATGTTCCGTAAATCAACAAGCGGTAGATATTCAGTCGTATTCTGGTATTGGTTTTTATGACACGTTTGAATTTTGTTTGTTTAGGTGATTTTTTATATATTCTATTGTTTATTATTTGTTTTTTACAAATAAATGTTTCCGCACAAGAAGAACGAATTCGTGCGTTGGAAAAACGCATCGAAGAGCTGGCAAAAAGGTAACATATAAATGTTTCACTTGAACTATGTTCATCAAGATTCATCGTTTCAGGCAACAACATTATCCGGAAGTGAAATTCTTGTCATACAAAGATCGAAAGCGCATTTTAGTATGTTTACATTTTACTCTCACCCTTTCCTTCTATGTCAATTTGAATGTTTTCTTAGGTAACTGGCGGTGCAGGGTATACTATTGAAATTGTTCTGTTTTCCCTCTCTCACTATTTGGTATCTACCTAGTTTCGTTGGCTCACATCTTGTTGATCGTTTAATGTTGCAAGGCCATGAGGTGATCGTTGCAGATAACTTTTTCACCGGTCGAAAACGGAACATCGAACATTGGATTGGGCATGAAAATTTCGAGTTGATCAACCATGACATCGTCAATCCTCTTTATATCGAAGGTAATATACAGCAAAACAATCGAGTTCTCTCTCTCTCTCAGCGTATCTATTTTTAGTTGATCAAATCTACCATTTAGCTTCACCTGCATCACCTCCACATTACATGTACAATCCAGTGAAAACGATTAAGGTCAACTCGATTGGAACTATTAACATGTTAGGTAGGATTTGTCAAAACTCGCCACTGACTTGCATGCTGTTTTTGAAAGGCTTAGCACGTCGCGTCCGTGCACGTCTTTTATTTGCTTCGACAAGTGAAGTCTACGGTGATCCCGAAGTTCATCCGCAAAAAGAATCGTATTTCGGTAACGTGAACTCATTTGGACCTCGAGCATGCTATGATGAATCGAAACGAGTGGCCGAAGCAATGTGCTATGCTTATGCACAACAGGTTAGACGGGGAAAGATAACTGATTTTTGTACGAATCTGTGTTACAGGAAGGTATCGCTATTCGAATTGCTCGAATATTCAACACGTACGGACCGCGTATGCACATGAATGATGGACGTGTTGTTAGTAACTTTGTTTTGCAAGCACTACAAAACGAACCGATTACTGTAAGCGTGAATAGTTGAAGCTGATCAAGTTATTTGTTCTGATTCTTCTAGATTTATGGCACTGGTAAACAAACTCGTTCGTTTCAGTATGTTAGCGATCTCGTCGATGGTCTGATCGCGTTGATGAATAGTAATTATTCAACACCAATGAACTTGGGAAATCCAGACGAATATAGAATTGAACAATTTGCTTCAATAATTCGCGATCTAATTGGTAAGTTAGATGCACTCGAACGATTTTAATTAACCGGTCAATAGTTAAAAGCGAAACGATCATTCTCTCGGATGTTATGTTAATGAAAAATATCATTTTAGGTTCAAAAGCATCCTTACAATACACTGATGCAGTTGTCGATGATCCAAAACAGCGTCGACCAGATATCACTCTTGCAAAAACATGGCTCAACTGGGCACCACAAGTATATTATTCTCATCAAAACTATCTCTCTCTTTCAAACTGTCACGGAATACTTCTAGATCTCACTTACTGAAGGTTTAAATAAAACAATCGAATATTTCCGCAACGAACTTCATGTCAAACACCATAGCGAACGCAATGTGTACTTTCCGAAAGAATGGTTGCACACACAAGATATAGCAAATGTGATTCCAGCGGATCATAAAGAACTTTAATCAATTTTCCTTTAAGCCAATTTGAACTTTTTCATTCTTAACTGTGATACGAATTCTCAGTAATTTCCGATTAGATAAATCCTTGCTTTTCGTTATTTTTCTTTTGCAATTTCAATAGTCTTCTCTTTTTTTCAGATGATATGTATTGCATTCAATGGCTTTTACCGTTAATTCTCTTGCCTCATCCAATTCTACCAAGCATTCATCATTATTTATTTCTGGTGCTGCATTTGCTCAATTTTGTCATTGAAAAACGTCCTTGTACGATATGCTTGTTCGTCTTTTCGGTTGCTACAATTCTTTTTTGTTATAATTCTTGGGAACAGTGTATATTTTGGCCGTTATGTTCACATTAGTTACAAGTACAACGACTTACAAATATCCACGTGCTATTTTCTATTCAAACAATCAAGAATGTTGAAATTTATCTTAGAAGAATGCAGAGTGTTGTTTTATTTTGAAATCTTTCCTTAAAATGAAAATAAATTCCAAAATTTATTTTCGATGAGCCATTCCGAAATCGTTTATATATATATGATTGTGTGTGTATGAAATTGAATAATCTACTGCTTTTCCTTTTCTGTTTATAAATAATGACTAAGAAGTGTTGTTTGTTGATTTATGACTAAGAAATAAAATTGCTTCAAGAATAATATCTTATCTACTCAATGAATTTCTTTCATTTATCTTCGCATTTGCATTTTTAGATGACTTCGACGCAGCCGTACACGGTACCAATAGTCGCCGGCGATCTTCGCCGTGCTGAATTTGTCAAACAGATTGCAAGTACGTTCGATTACATGGATGCCATATCACAGGATATGTTCAATCGTATCGCTATTCGGCTGAATGTTTATCGAGCACAATTGAATAAATTCGACGAACGCATTCAACATGCCAATGAACATATTGATCGTATTAAAGGTTCGAAACGTGCTATTCAAGTCCATTCAAGTGCGCGTTATCCCGTCGAACAAAACCGGTCGACCTACCGATCGATATTTGAATGTGACAACGAAAATGAAGAGAATAAACCGCCAGTTTTACATTATAATCCATTCCATTTAAATGAAACAGTGGATAAATTCATAGATCCGAATGATAAGGAATCGAAATCGAACGATGAAACGTTAATTATATTAAAACAATACGATGATAATTTCATTCAAAAGACCAAACGAACGGTTCTCAACGGACTCGGCAGACCACCGTCGAATATTAAATCCGTGGTTTCATTCCTTAAATACAATACACAGGAGAATCCGTACGTATTCGATGAAGAACACTTATTTTGGAATGACATTGTTTCTTTTACATCTCAGGTATACACAACCGACCAAAATTGATCCGTTGAGTGTTGGTGGTCGAGTACGAAAGCTCGCTGAAGAGCCTACACAACCACGTATGCTCATTTTTCTAGAACTTTCGAAGACTTCAGCGATATTTTTTGTCAGGTATTGTCGAGACACCGCTACCCGCTTTCTATAAGCAAATGTCTGAACGTCCAGCCATGGGCGATTTAAGTTACAATCCAACGTTGGGCCTCATTCCAGAAATGTCTCTCCCAGACAATCTACCTGAATTGGATAACTATGCTACGTTTGATGATAATACGGCACTTGCGTGGACCAAGCAACAAATGACATCGATTGCACCATCACTAGCTATTTCGATGTTACCAGATATCAATGATACACCGACCAATGTTACATCTGCGCCTGTGGTTGAACCTCAGAAGCCAGCAGGTAAGGAATTTACATGAAAAGACTGCCAGGAAAATATCTCTTTGTGAAATGTAGCACCTGCTCCTCCTCCTCCAGTCGACATTCCCGCCATTATTCCTTTAACATCTGCTTCTACTTCGGTCCCACCACCAGCTCCACCTCTATCATCCACGGTTCCTTCTGTGTTATCACCACCACCGCCTGCTCCATTTACCAACGAACTTCCTGCTCCAACCGACAGCATTACTAATGAAATCAAAAGCAACAACAACGACGACGATGACGACGACGACGGTGGCAATCCTCTACTAGCACAAATCCGTAATTTTTCAAAAACAAATAAACTCAAATCTGCTACACGGTCAAATCCAGTCGATGAGGTATCACTACCAACTTCCAACGACCAGGAAAGTATTATGGAAACGCTGAAAAAACGTTTAGCTCAGAGGCGTGGTCTTATTGCCGGTGAAACATCTTCGTCAGCACCGTCGTCTTCAGCTGCTGACAAAGCAGCAGCGCCTCCAGCAACTAGCGGTTCTCTCGTTGATGCAATTGCTGCAAAAGCAAAAGACATCGCCGAACAGCAACGTAAACAAAATGATTCAGATGATTCCGACGATGGTAATGATGATGATTGGGAATGAGTCAACTGCTTACTTTCAGAAATAATTCATTGATTGTCCTTTTTTTGTAATTTATTTTGCTAATTAAAATATACATATACAACTCATCTGAACTTTGTTTTATTATTTTAGAATGAGCTGATAATCATTGAATGTTGTTTTATTTATTGTAGAGATAGGAAGAAATCAATGACTGTGTAATGATTTACTCATCAACTATGCATGTACGTATAATATGCGCTTGTTTAAGCAGAATAATTATAAATAGATCGATTTAGTGAACGAAAAATGTTGACATTTCGTTAATTAAAATTGGGATTATTAACTTCATACTCAACTGTATGTAATGAAGTTAATTATGAGCAAAATCAGAGAGAAAAATATGCACATAAATAGATGAGTAAACATGTGTGTGTGTCTATGTCCGCTAGAGATAGAAAGGAAGTTATGTAATCGCGAGAGAGAGAAAGAGAGAATTTTTTTCTTCGGCACATGGGTATGTGCTATATTATTAAGTAAACAGTCGAATTCATTGAGATGTAGAGAATAGAGCTCAATGGATTGGGTTTGAAAGTGATTTTTGTGATCTATATAAGCGCGGAAGTTGTATAATTCTTTCTTTCGAGAGAAAATCGAGCGTGAAAAAAAAAGAAAGAAAAACAATGATGTTATGTCTTTCTCTATGTTACCTGTTCCATATGTATTTTCTTTCCCTCTTTTCTCGCGTTCTCTTCTAGATATCAATGTTTGATCTTTCTTCTTCGCTGTTTGATCAAGAAGCATTGGCGTCTGCTTATTCATAAATCATCTTCAACCCAATGACAGAATTACAATGAATCTGATGACAAGGTCAAACAACCCCATCGACTAGCAACGAACACTTCTTCGCATCTAACTTGACACGATTAAATTCACATCAAGGTAGATGCAGATCATACAGTTTCTCTCTTCATTACACATTTGTTTATTTAAGTATGTCACGGAAAAATAAATCATCGAATGAACATCATACAACCAAAAAAGGAAAAGATAAGCCAACATACAAAATTATCGTTTTAGGATGTGGTGGCGTTGGCAAGGTACGTAGCTGAATATTTCTAAACACGAGTTCTACAAATCTCCATATGTCCCATGCTTCACTAATGTTCGATAGATGATAAGCAGATATTTATAGATCATACTGTGCACGTATGCTCATCTGTCATACATTAAAATGACAGAAGGAAGAGTACATGTTCATTAGATGAGATGATACTCTTCGAGTAAAAGAATAACACGACTATCAGATCTGGAAATCTCCTGATTGATTGATTATTTATCTTCTTCTTTCTAGTCGGCAATAACTATTCAATTTGTAAAGTCTTTCTTTTTCTCGGATTATGATCCGACGATCGAAGATTCTTATGTAAAACAATGTTTAATCGATAATCAAATTGCTCAACTAGAAATTCTTGATTCAGCTGGCCAAGAAGAATTCAAACCTATGCGTGAACAATACATGCGCGTTGGCGAAGGTTTTCTACTTGTTTTCTCGTTAACCGATCGTCATTCACTCGAAGAATGTTATAAACTACATCGTGATATCATACGTATCAAAGATTCAGATCACGTTCCAATGTTATTAATTGGAAACAAATTAGATATACGTCAAACAGATCTCGATATTCAAGCACGGAATGCGGCAATTGCTATGCGGATACCTTATTACGAAACATCCGCTCGTACACGTTACAATATTGATGAAGTCTTTATGGAACTCGTTCGTCAGATACGAAAACATAAATATCAATGTCAAATGATGAATGATATGTCTCCTGATAAACAACAACGAAGCTCGTCATCTTCTTGTTGTTCTTTATCCTGTAGTATTTTGTAGATTTCATTTTTGGAATTGTTCTCTTGACTTTTCTTATTCTTATGATAAATCTAATGAAAATCCGTTTTTTAGATGAGAGAAAACTTAAATGAACAACTCGAAGTTCTTCGTGCCATCTTTTGTCGGACGAACGAACTTGTCTATGATGACCTAACCGAAAGAATTACATACAATGCCTTCGATGATCAATTACAATGCGTGGGCTTTTCAGTCAGTGTCTATACAAATGATATGATCATCGTGGACAGTAATGTGTTGTCTAATGATGAACTTAAACAATTCAGAGCGAAGACATGTGGTGTTGCAACAACTACAACAACATTGTATGATTTATTTAGTACATTGAAAGATTCTTACGAGCAATTGATAATACAAAGAGCAAAACAAGATTCGCGGGTGAAAGAATGCCTGAAGTCAACATTGATGAGCATTGATCATATGCGTTCGCCGAATGTTTACATGAAACGTCTTCATCAATGGGCGGATCAATTACTTCTTACAGGTCGAGTCTTGGTGATACCACATCATATATTCATCTTGATCGAAGGAACGAATGAAGATATAAAAGTAATCGACCATCGAAATACATCAGATATGATATTAGTATTCAGTTCTCTCTTAGCAATTTATTGTGAAGCTAAGAACTGAAACAGTCGATATCGACAGTCGAGGTCGACCTTGCAAAGAACGTCTGTTAACTCAATTAGCTGAAATATGCACTGACTCATCCAAGTCAGTGCGATACTTTTCATTCGTATTCGTCATCGACGGGGATATATTTCTTGTTTAGATTTTCAAACTTTGAAAGAATCGAATTCGAAACTCGACAAGAGCTTCTGTTATATTTGACAAAACATGAATACGAACAATTGCACGATCACATTGCGAGTTGACAATGCAATCAATGAAAATGCATAAGGAAATCTATATAATTCTTTGATTGAATTGCTCCGATTAATTATTCAATCTTGCTCTTCCAGGTAACTCATTGGCAACTCGATGGAATATCACGTCATTGCATTCATTTTAGAGATCACCCGTTAAAGACGACAATGATTCAATCATTGAAAGGCCAAGAGCTTGAAAGAACGAACTTTTTTTGTGATGGATTTGTTTAAATAAAAACTCTTTTGTACACTTCGTTGTTTTATTATTCATAGACGATTTTTCTTTTTACCCTCTGATGCCAATCTCTATCATTTTCCCAGCGAAATTAGTTTCTTATAAATGAATGCATTCATGTCAATAGCGTGTCAAATTCTTTTGGCAGGATGTCGCTTCGCGATTCGGCATATTTAAGTAGATTGTCAGTATAAGATCGCGATAAGGAGAAGAAAAAAAGAATATTCACCTGATTTATTGATGTTAAAACGATCTTCGATGAGATTGACGTCTTGTTCCGTTTTTTCTTCGCATTACTAGTAGAAAGCAATGATGAGGGATAGGAGGAGTAGGAGTCAACGTGCGCATGCGTATATTTGATCATCAATCAGGTGACGATTTTATGAACTTGACGAGAGAATTGATTAGATTCAAAGTACAACACAATCATTTGGGTGAGGCTAAACGCATGACTGCAGACGAAGAAATCAAAGATAGAGGTTGAAACGAGTTCCATTCTCCTTCCCTTTCTCTGTCTTGTTGTGATTGATGATGTCGATTACAAAACAATATCTGTATATGTGTATTGATCGAAAACTGTTCGAAGTCCAATCAAATGTTCCTTTTCTTGTAGATCTTTTCTCCGCCTCTTTCTTTCTTGACATGTTGTATGCAGACTTGACTCGTAATCGATCTTACACAGCTATTTCCAATAAAGTTGTCAATGTATGTATATATATATATGTGTATGCACATGCATACACAATCATTCAACAGGCCGTGACTTTGTCGTTAAATCGATAACATCATGATCGGAACAAACATTCGAAATAGGAAAAGGCAAAATAGAAGAATATAGAGAGATTTTTATTCGACTCAGTTATCAGTTTGCCCATTTACTTGTTCTTTCGTACACAGACAGACAAATCAGAACTAGAGAGATATTTCTATGTATATACAATAGCAGATGTAAGTGAGTATGTATGTATATATGCACATCCGCACGTAATTTAAATCGATATAAATCAAATCAATAAATATGTGATTTTATTCTAGATTTAAATAATTATTTCTATCCTGTTGCCGGAACGCACAGGTAGGAAGTATTTACTAATCACTAGCACACATGTTCTGACTGGAAAAGGATTTTTTGCAGGCGGAGAATGACGGCGACAAGTAAAAATATCGAATTAATCGTGAAACAATGGACAGCATTTGATCTAAAGACAATTCAGGTAATAAACATCGAGAAGTTTTGTCGTTTGAGGTCACAGGAGATATTACGTGATGACCTTTTTCCTCTCAATTTGTTCACTCTATTTTGTTTAACAGAAAAGTTGTCAACTCTCTTCCGCAGTTCGACAAGCAACCATCACTATCGAACATTCGCGGTCGGTTCAGGATAATCGATCGAGTTTTTTTTTTCTCGTAGGAATTATTATCAGTTCGCCTACTCCAGTTTTGTTGTTCTTCTAGAATACTCCTGTGATTAGACTTCTCTCTCTCTCTTCCTTTTATTCGCTTACTCGTTGACTACTTATTATACTTGTCAATGAGGGGGACAAACAGATATATCGTCTTCGCAGCAATAGGTCGTCTCTTCTTATTTTAGTAAGTATCTTTCCTGTCAAGGATTGCAACACGTGAAAGAATGGCAAGTGATTGAGATTTCGACGAGAGATATGTGAAGCAATGTTCGTTTTTGATTCCCAGAAATTCCTTTGATATTAAAAATACGATTCTTTACTGCTCTCTCGTTCTTTTCTTCAAATTGTCCGATCGATATGAATAAGTAAGTGGAGATATTTGCGCACTCGTACGTATTTAAAAAGCCAAAGAAATCATATCTCTATATAAGGAGACATCCATGTTTGTCTATGATGATTGATTTGAAAAGTCTACAGTCAATGTATGTATGATAGAAACTTGCTGTTGTGTTTATTGGTATAGCCCATGAGACACTTTCTACTTGGCTATTGACACACATCATATAGGCAAAGATAAGAAAGAAATTGTAAGAGAGTCGGACAAGCTCTTTTCTCCTTGTATTCGTTTATCAAGCTAAAAGAAATAAAAGAGAAAAGTGACATTGACTGGAGTAACTCTCTGTCAGAAGACATCGTTGATTTCTTCCTTGAGAACGAATGCCGTGTCTAATCTATATCAATCAACTCTCTTTCTCATTAGCCCAAAAGACTGGATGAATAAACCTAATCTTCAATTGACAACAAGCAGTGTTCGTACTCCACCAGAGAAATTCAGTCTCCGAATAAGAGAAAAAAAGGAGAAAACGATATTGTCAACAACAAACATCTAATGATCCATGATCGTTAATTATGATCGTTTCTACTATCGATGACAGATAACTCTGTTTGGATATATACATGTATACAGTTGAATCAATAGACAAAAAAGATATGGCATTGTCAATGATGACAATCTAACAAATCACTTTTAAGGCTAGGAGAGAAACGACAAGTAATTAATTGTACACAACACTTAGACTGACGTAAGAAAGTATTGATATAAGGCGTTTGTAGTTCGCAGATGACTGATGAGTTTTCTTTTGTTCTATGTATCAAATTTATGTTGTCTTTTAGCATGATTTGGATGTGACAACGACTGAAATCGCAAGCCGTGCCGACGAAAGTGATCAATCGAGAAAGAAATTGGTTGAATTGAGCCGTGAATTTCGAAGAAATACCACTGAGGTACGTACAAAATCCCAACTTAATAAAAAAGAAAGAAACGTAGAAAACCATCAGCTATGTGTAAGTACACATACTTTTCGTTTTGCGTACGTAAACGTGATCATCAGAAAGGTAAACCGATCAATTAGGATGTATAATTAGACCAATTTGAATAACTAGTCCTGTTATGCACGGATTTACCATTGACCGCAATAGAAATTTCATTAATTCCAAAGCTATTCTTACACACACTGCCTTTCTTTCTCTCTCTCTCTATTCAGTCAGAAGTCAAAAAAATTGTCTATCATAATGTGATGGTAACACTAACTGCAGAATTCATCAGGAGGAATAAAACAAAGACGGTCTTTAATTATACGTTTTGCTGATGATAGGCTGACTTTATCAGTCTGATTGGATTGTGACTAAAATAGATGGATAGTTCTATCTCATTCACTTTCTTCATTGCTGTAATTTTCCCAACAGGTAAAAGTTCTACAAGTAAATACGGAAATGAATTTGTTGATCCGATCCGTATTTATAGTGCTAAGTAAGCTGCACATGATTTACATATTGAATAAGGTAACCTGACAGTTTTGATCATCATCTTCTTCTTTTTCTTCTTATCTTGTGTTTTCTCTTTAACAGATATGAGAAAATCTTCTTTCGACTAGTTCATCAACACACCTTCTCACACATTCAACATTAGTTTGATGACTTTCTTTGCCCGTCATCATCATCATCATCATCTTGGAATTTTAATCAGACAACATCTCACCTAGATGATAAAAAGATTGTCCTAGTCTTGAATGTCAATGACTAAGTCGGATCGGTGTTAGAGCTAATCACAAATAAAAGTCAGTTTCCTCTTTCATAATTGAATTTTTTTTCTCGAGAAAAAAAAGAAACTTGTAATTAGATATAATCATTCGATAATATAATCTTTCCCTTCGTTTTTCTCTTCTCGCGTGCATCAACTTATCATTGTTGTCTATTGGCACGCAAATACTTTCGATAGAAGAAAAATCAACATATTCATGTTATTAATACTTCTCCTTACTTCAGGTGATTGAATTTTTTCAATGAGAACATCCGTTTGACAAAGGAAAACGAGTCGAAGTGATTTTAATATTAGTTTAACGTCTCTGAGGTGCACGGATGTCTTCAGGGTGGGAGACAGTGAGCTAACCGACGAAGGTAATATTGATACGTGACTGTCTTGATGTTCAGCTCATGCATTCATTCGGATAAGAAAAATTTCTTGTCTAGATGAGTACGAAATGATGAAAATGTATTTGTCACTGTTACAATGAGATTTTATCAAACGATTATTTATTTATAAGACAAAAAAACTATGTGTGACAGACTCCCGTTGTCACCTGATGATCGTAGATGGATAATCAGTAGAAAAATACGATTTGCTAATGGACACCTGCTTTCCAGTCGAAGAAAAAGACTTGATGTATCACCTGTTTCTTCTTCCTCTTTCTTTCTTGTTCGATAGAATGCAGTATTTTCTAGTTTAAAACAAATGACGAACATCTTTCCATCATCGTCGTCAGATTTGTTTTCATACGACTCTCTCTTTCTTTCTAATCATCATTACAGTTTGTCAGTCGAATGAAAGAGAATATTTGCTGGTCGTTGTTTAAACACGCGTCTACACTCTAAATCGATAACAATATCATGATTATTATCTTCTTTGTTGACTTTGTATTGTTCTTGTCTTACTAGGATGTTCGCAAAATCGTCGCACCTATTTTGAAATCATTTCAAGGAGAAATCGATAGTTTATCGAAACGCAGCAAAGCAGCCGAAAAAGCTTTCTTGGAAATCTACCGTCATCTCAGTGAATTACCAGGTAAGACTTTAGCGTTCGAACATTTCTCTTTGACACGCGTATCAATACGTTTCAAGATCCCGTACCGGCACTTGAATACGCTCAATCCTTACAACGTCGATCGGAAAAAGTGTCGGATCTCGAAGTTGAAAATCAGAAACTACGAGAAACACTAGGTATGTGAATTTTTCATTCATCTTTCGTTGTTGATTCAAGTTTTTTTCTTTTCCATTCGATAGCTGAGTACAATAATGAATTTGCTGATGTAAAAAATCAAGGTAAATGAGAATGATACGAATGAAGATATTTTTTGATTCAGATAGAAATGTCACTGTAGAAGTAACAATCAAACAATTGCGTGAAAAAATTAAAGATTTGGAAGATAAAACCGAATCAACTATCCAGGTAAACTGATAAATGAGAAATTTTCAATGAAATTCACTTGTCTCATTTAGCAACGTGTGAAAGACAAAGACAAAGAACTTCAACGTATCTACGGTATGTATATCGTTCTTCTTCTTCTCCTTCTTGTTGTTGTTATTCGTAACTGATAAGAGAATCATCTATATAAATACATGTGTATTCATCTATAGGAGAAAAAGAACGTCAGTTGCAAAATCAACAATTTGATCTTGTTACTAAATATGCCGACATGGAAGTGCGTCAAAAACAATTGCAAACTGCATTAGATCATGCGCATCAAGAGATGTTTGAATATAAATCGAAACAAGAAGATGCAACAAGTGCACGTTCATCTGAGATCGATATTCTCAATCAAGAATTAGAGCGAGCGAACGAAGTAAAACAGCGTTTCTTTTGGAATCGGTTTTTTTTTTGAAAGTTTTGATATTTTCTCTAGCGAGCAACAAATAGTGAACGTTTAGTTGATAAGCTTCGTGAACAACTTGAACAAGCGCATAATCTCATGACATCAACATCGACGAACAAGACATCGGATGAAAGTATCCTACAAGAAGGAATCGAACGAAGCCTGCGCGAGAAGCTCGAATTAGAACTTGCTTCGAAGGAACGAGAAATCGCTGCACTTGTGATTGATACACAAAAGTTACAGTCAACTCTCATTAAAGTGAAAGAAACATCGGTGACTCAGGTAAGGAGAACGGAGAAGTCCGCTTTCGAACGACTCATTCTACGATTTACATTCAGATTTCTGATCTCGAAAATGTTTTATCATCTAAAGAAAAACTTATTGCACAACTCGAGGGTAAATTACATAGTCAAGCTGATTACGATGAAATCAAACGTGAATTGACGTGAGTCAGATAAACACATATCTACAAAACAAAAGGAATTAAGCCATCTGTTGCTCTCTTTCTTCTCTATGCAATAGTATTCTGAAATCAATTGAATTCTCCTCAAGCGATCGCTCGACCGATGATCAACCGAAGAAGTCGTTAGAAATTCTTCTCTTGGAGAAAAATCGAGCATTACAAAGTGAACAAACGCAAATGAAAGTTGCTCATGCCGATCTTGAAAGTAGGTTGGAAGGAAAATAATTCTTTGAGTAAATATGACCACTGGGTTTTGTTCGTTCTTATCAACTTCTATCATATCTGAAACGAAAACGGATAGATTATATCGCTTTAGGTAAAAATAATCATCATTCATGCCGTCATTGTTCTTCTCCGTGTTCACATCAAACAAATACTCTTTCTATTCTTCCCTCTCCTCTATCACCTTCTCAGTTACCTCTGAAACCATCATTTCAGTCAACTAATTCTAATCAGACTGAAGAGACGATTAGATCTCCAACTAATTCTCCTTCGAAAATCATTTCTATCCTATCATCAAACGAAACTCTAACACCGTCGTGCCATTCTCTCTCTGTTCCTGTCGACGCCAAATACAAATCCTGTCCAATTATGGTCACACCAACGACACAAATTTTATCTTCAACATCGACAGAATCTTTTCCCAGTAAGTCGACCTTCCCCTCACTTACCAATCCAATTTATAATCTGTAGTCTTAGATCAAAAACTAAGTGCTGTGCAATGGACAACACTCCCATGTCCATCGACGGAGATCAAACCATCGTTACAGTCTCCGACGATGAATAATTGTTTAGAACCTCTGGACACGACCTATGTTGCAAATGTCGTACGCAAAATTCTTGCGCAACATAACATCGGTCAACGAATCTTCGCTCGATACGTTCTAAGTTTATCCCAAGGTACCGTCAGTGAATTATTATCAAAGCCCAAAGCGTGGGCAAAACTAACAGAAAAAGGCAAAGAAAGTTATCGAAAGATGTGGACTTGGGCCAATTCCGAAGAAAGCATTCTCGCTCTGAAAAGCATCAGCCCACGTAAAGGTATACTATCGCATGCATTTCTCATTCTCGTCTATATTCACACTCCTCCACTTCTTCGTTGATTCAGGTGCAAAAGATAATACTTACCCAACTGTGCAACAAAAGGTTCTTCAAGCTGTATCCGAAACACAGAAATCGCCTCGAAGATCTTCATCATCTGCATCGTCAACATCTATCTCTCGAGCAAATTCACCTGTGGAACAAAAGCCATTCGTTCCTTCGATATTCTTTCCTAGCTTTGTTCCTTCATTACTCATGCAAACAACCAATCGACTAAAAAATGAGCCATATCCACCCTACGATCTACTGTGTTCACAACCAGAGAACTATAGAAACTGGTTAATGTTACAAGAAATTGTGCGAAATAATACTTTACTTAAACAAGTTAAACCGTCGGAATCGGAATCTGACGAGAATCAGGATGATGATGAAGGAGAAGAGGAAGATGTCAATGCAATTCCATTGGATTTAAGTATGAAAGCAGAAACCGATTCATCTTTCTTCAACAAACAATCTCCTTTGAAACAGAACAAAGCAATATTACCACCATTGAATGAACAAGATGTCATCAAACATCGCCATATAAACACAATGGAATTAGTGCAAAACGTAAAGGATATCCTAAGTCGTTACAGCGTTTCTCAGCGACATTTTGGAGAGAAAATTCTTGGTTTATCTCAAGGAAGTGTTAGGTAATGAAATCCGAAGAAATTCTTTACCAAATCAAACTATTTCTTTCTCTTTATTTATAGTGATATTCTTGCCCGACCAAAACAATGGGAACTATTAACACAAAAAGGTCGCGAACCGTTCATTCGTATGCGTTTATTTCTGGATGACCCGACGGCAATTAGCCTACTGACACATTCAATCCCTTCTTCATCGTCACCAATAGCCGCCAACGATACCCATGCAAATAACTTTATATCCGATGAGAATTCAATGGACTCACAATCCGATGATTGTTCTCGAATCTGCTCTAATGAAAGTTTATCATCTACACCAATCAATGGTATCACACCAAAAATAATAAATAAGAAAAAAACGACATTTTCTGGCAAAAATACTAAAGACCCATCACGAGTACCGCCTTCAACAAAGCCACATATGCCACCCTATTGTTTACCAAAACTGCCTCCGCCCAGTAAGATGTCTCCTTCAATTCCTTTCCAACGTCTCATTGACTTTAAATTTAGCTACCATTGATACCGAACAACTGAGCTCTCGAGTTCGTGAACTACTCTCTTCATACAGTATTGGTCAACGTGTCTTTGGTAGATGTTCATTTCTTACCACTCAATGTGTATTCATCAATCTTTCTTTGTTCTAGGAGAAGCTGTTTTGAATCTTTCTCAAGGAACGGTTAGTGAAATTCTATCTAAACCACGACCATGGCATGCGTTGAGTGTCAAAGGTCGAGAACCCTACTTACGTATGCACAGTTGGTATCATGATACAGACAATGTGCAAAAACTTCTTGCATGGAAACAAGAACGAGATGGTAAACTTCGAAAGTTTCGTATTTAGATCGAATCAATCGATTTTGGTTTTAGTCCTACGTCGAAATACCCGTCCAGTAACTAATGAAAGTTTTGATAGCGAAAGTACAACGACTCCCTCCTCGAAACGTCGATATCTATTCACTGATGATCAACGGCGTGCACTAAAACAAATTTTCGAGAATGAACCATATCCAAGTCAAGCACGACTAGAACAGCTTGTCGATGAATTATCTTTACCAATGAATAAAATCTCCAATTGGTTTCACAACGCTCGAATGCGAACAAAATCCAATACCCAATCAATTGATCTGGTAAAAACTTCAGCATCACCTCGCACCGATGATAACAACAACGAAGATGACGAGGAGGATGACGATGACGACGATCATGCGCTTTCCATTGCTCCTTTGAATAATTCATGGTTCAACGATTCAGATAGTGCACGAAGTCCAATTAACATAGCAACCAATCTTCTCTCGACACCCGACGAACAAAAATCTATCCCAACACCTCCGAGCTCAAGTAGTAAAAAGCGTAAATCCGTACCACAGAAAATCATTACTACGAAAAAAGTCAATCTTGAGAATGGAGACCCGAATGAAACAGCGAATATCGATACTTAACGAAATCGCGTCTTGTTTTTCTAGGTGATATCGAATAAACAAAGTCAATTGGTGATTTTCTAATTTCTTGTTTTTACGTTCAACAGTTTTTTTTTGTTGTTCTTGTTCTTGTTCTCGCTGTTGTTCGTTTTCATTTTATTGTCTTATTATACATACTATATACATATGTTTGTGAGAAGTGCTCAAGTATTGAACCTAGTCGTGAACAAAACTCAAGTGCATTAACACCAACATTTACAAAGAGAATGTCGTGATAAATATCTTTTTCTTTCTTTCTTTGGAATAAATAATGATTTCTATGTGTGTATGTGTGTGTGTGTCTGTACATCTAACAGAATGAAATGATTAACGATTCGTGATTTAACTATGAATAAAAAACTTAACTTTTTTAAATAATTTTATTGAATATGCTTTGAATTTGTTTGTTTCAGGTTTACAGATCAGGAATAGAGAGAGAATGCTGCAGATGATGATGATTATAGGATGCCCAGTTTTGTTTTTTCTCTTTCGATTAGATTAGTGTTGACGCTTATCTAAAGGATAACTGTTTTGTTTCGTTTAGAACGCTACCATGAACTGGAGAAACGCTGTCGAGAATTCGAAAATGCGAATCATGAATTGAAACAATTGAATGTTCAACTCGAGAAGGATTTATTAAGTGTTGGTGGTGTTACTGAATTATTTCGACGAGGACCTGAGGTGAGACATTTCTCTTATTCATATCCATCTATTCTCTTTCTACTGTTTCGTCTAGGGACAACCAAGTGATAGTAGCTCGAATGAGACTGGCATAATGAAAGATGTTCTCAATCAATCATCAGCACCTACAACATCATTTAAAGAGACGTATGTTCCACCAAGGGATTCGACATCGGATGAAGCATTGACAGCTATTGTGATCAGTCAACGTGAACGATTTCGTATTCGAAATGTTGAATTGGAAAATGTAAAGATCGTTTATTAGATGAGATTTGTGTTCGACTGTGTTTCTTATTTTAGGAAAATGTATCATTGAAACAGCAAATTGGAATTTTTCAAAATGAAATGGATAAATTACGATCGGACAATATTAAATTATATGAAAAAATCAAATTTGTTCAGAACTATCCGGTAAATATTCGATGAAAATCATTGTTTTGACATGACTGTCGTTGCACTACGTAGACAACACGTGGAACGGACGAATCTGTCGATCGATATTCGCGGGGTTATGATGCATCCTTGGATCCATTTGCTAATTTCACTAAACAGGTATGAAAGAACTGAATTTGATTCAATAGTTTTCTTCACTGCGATTGACTTGTAGGAAAAACAAAGAAAATATGATTCACTGAAGTTGCACGAAAAATTCGCGTTAAACTTTGGTCGTTTCATACTATCGTCACATCAGAGTCGAACATTTTTTGTTATTTATTTCATTCTTGTCCATATTCTCATCTTTCTTGTAAGTTCAACACTGTTTCTCAATGATTGTTTCCAATATTCCAATTCATATTTAGTCACTCTACAAAATGGTTCATGTTGGGTCATCAGTGCGGGATATGTCACAAGTTTGTTTTGATAAGTAAGCTTTCTTCGGTTGGAAACGGAAAATTCGCATAATTCCACTTAGATTTCGTGAGCATATGGCAGGCGTACATGGAGACAGGGATTTTCATTTTGATCACGCTCATGCTCCTGCAGGTGCAGGTCCTGGTGGCGCTCCGCCACATCGTTGATAGACATTTCTACAATATATATATACATAATTCGTCTCTTAAATATCAATTCAAGATATTGTCACATTCTTTTAATCAATAAAAACACTCTGCATAACAGTAATGAACAGAATTCCAATATCGAGCTTTGACAAGATCAATCAAAACATCGGAAAGCACATGAATCGATTCTTTTTACAGCTTCTGTATAAATACACTTACACTAATATCACACTCTCTCTTTTCAACTGATGTCCGCACATTCACAGTGTGTGAATATGTTCATGCGGGACAGGAGGAAAGAAATTTCCTCCCTTCTATACATTCAATTCAAATCTCAACAAAAAACAAAAGGACGAAAGTGATGGAACGCTGAACAATTCTCTTCCTGTATGCACGAGTCACCATCTTTACGTTCATTTCATAAGGAAAAGGGCAAGAGGTTGACACTTTTGTTCTCTCCTATTCAAGGTAAGTGACCACGATTGAACATTGATTTTCGTCGCACAACAGCAACCGATGACCGCTATGTTCAGGATTAATTGAACAACAAGACAGTCAACACGAGTTTAATAACGAAAAAATTCATCTATTATATTTATATAAAGCTCAGACAAGTTGCTTTCACAAACGATTTGTAACAAATCAATCGCCATGGTTGTTCGACATAATGAGAATTATCAAGAAACAAGAGTAATTCAATGGTTGAGTGGTGAACGAGCAGGTAAACTACTTTTTCAGAACGAAAATGTCGTTGACAAAGGAATAAATTTAGTGGATGTTCCATTGGAATTCGACATACGAAAAGATTCCGATGACCATCGCATTGTTTCAACCAAACGAGAAAGTATCGAATTATTGGTGAGTTATGCTACGCCTACAATGAACATTCTTCTTTATTGATTAGTCAGTTCAAGGTTTTCGTTGACAATTAAATAGTTGAAGCTTTTCATTTACTTGACGACAACATTGACCCTCTTTATGAACGCTATTTCTAGAGCAAACAACAATGTACGACAACATCTGAACGATCCTGTTTACTTGTTCGTCGTCTCAATCGATTATCGCCCGATACGCAAACATCCGATGAAGCTTACTGTACATTATCATCTCGTCGTAGTAATCAACATCCAAATTCACATGACTTAATACGTGAAACGTCAACAGCAAGTGATAATATTAGTTTTTCGAGTACAACACCGATTTCAATCGCGTCGCCAGTCTTGTCATTGTCGGTCGATGACAGTTATATAGAATCAAACCGTACGAGAATGTCCGTGGAGGTAGAGAATAATTCTGCGGGTCAACAAAATTATCATTTGTTACCATTAATCACGAATAGTAATGATCGTTCTATGGAGTTATATCGAGAGATAATGCTCAACGGCGATAGTAGTAAACGAGATTTCAAAGAAATGGTCGAAGAATTCGTGGAATTGATTGAAAAGAAGTTATCCGATGCAGAGTTCAAAATTTTTGATGACAAGTAAGCAGACTTGACGAAATATTCATCCTATAAATTGACATTTTAGTACGAATAGAGCCACTTCGCCATCGTTGTTCGACACGTTAAATGACTTGAAAACGTGTTTAACATTATTACGTCGAACTGAAGTACAAAGTCTTCTTAATGTTTTTGATAGCGTGCTTAAATTACATTGCTATCCGTCGGCATTGCCAGAAATCGATGAAGCAGTAAGAATCACTCAGCCGAATGAAGAATTGCATAAACTTTCTGAATACGCCATTGACCAATTAAAAATCGTACAAATTGAAAAGACACACCAACCGTTAGGTTTAACTATTTCTCGTACTGATTCAGGATCGATTCATATTGCTCGAATTGTCATCGGTGGTCTTGCTGCAACATCAGAATTATTTCAAGTTAACGATCGTATTCTTGAGATAAACGATCAACCGATTACAGGTCATTCTTTGGATTATGTTTGTACATTAATGTCAACTACGACTGGATTGATCAAGTTTCTTCTTGCGCCACCCACTCACTCCAATCCGATATCTTATGAATCATTTCATGTTCGTGCGCTCTACACTTATGATCCGTACAATGATCCGCTATTACCATGTAAAGAATTAGGTTTAGCATTTCATCGTGGTGACATTCTACGCGTTGTTGCACGTGAAGAAAAGTTCTTGAAATCAAATAATTCCTGGTGGCAAGCTTATCGAGAGAATTCATTTGAAACAACAGATGCATCCCTAGCCGGTCTGATTCCATCGGATAGCTTACAAAAGAAACGCGCAGACCTACTGAAAATTGTATCCGATGAAACTGACTCGAGTTCAACATTGTCATCACCATCGTTATTACTCGAGAAAAAACGATTGAGTAAAACTTGTTTTACATGTGTGACCTCGAAAGAAACGCGAAAACCTCTGCCTATTGTTTACAACAATACTTCGTTTATTCGAGATACAAACGACAAAGAAACGCCAACAATTCGAACATCTACGAATCATTTTTCATTGAAAGATACAAGACAATTTGACGATGAACAGCCGCCGACTACATTAAAACGATTTACCGATAAGGCAAAAGAGCCTGTCTCCGAAACATTTCGATATTATGAGTCTGTCTTTCAACTTGATCTCTCAACACAACAAGCAACGCGACCGATTGTTTTAATAGGTAAGTCAAGCCTATCATCTTTTCGTGATATAATCATCCAAGTATATGCAATTACTTAGGTGCACCTAATGTTGGTCGGCATGAATTACGTCGTCGTCTCTTACAAAGTGAACCAAATCTCTTTGATGTCGCTATACCACACACAACACGTGCTCGTCGTCTACAAGAAACTCCGGATGTTGATTATCATTTCGTTTCTGAAGCGGATTTCTTAGCCAAGGTTGCCTATCATTCGTTTGTTGAATTTGGTCAATATGATCGTGATTTATACGGAACATCGATCGATGATATTCGACAGGTGGTGGAAATCAACCGAAAGATTTGCATATTGAATTTAAATCCTGACGCAATACGAGCGTTCAATCAAACGAATCTTTATCCATATGTCATTTGTATTGCGGCTCCGTCGTTTGATCGACTCAAACATCTGGAACTTGACCGTCGGGAACATCTGAGTGACAAAGACTATCGAGAAATTATACGAAAAAGTCGCTCGATTGAAAGACATCATCATTTACTATTTGATCAAGTTCTAGTTAATAATGATTTAGAACGAACATACGTGGAATTACGTGATCTGATCGTTCGAATACAACAGGACAAACAGCAATGGGTACGAACATGCTATCGACGATCATAGATTTTCTTGTTTACTTGTATCGCTCTAATCCCATGAAATCCTCCGTCTTGCTCTTGACAATAAAAACCGAAAACAAACAAATTCTTTTGTCATCTCGACAGCCGATGAGTCGATCTTATCGAATGTGGTATCATCCAAATGTCGTGCAATATGACCTGTCGTGATCGTATCTTATCACCCAGATTTGTTTTGTCTATAATTAATAACTAATAATATATTTCGTATCAATGAGGAGAAAACGAAATGCGGTCATCATGCATGTTAACCTTGTAGAATTCTATTGTTAATGTTTTTCAATCATACATTTCATCAGTTTTCAATGTCATCCATATACGTATACACATACATCTATTGATTTCAATAGACATCGACATGATGAATTCAAAAAAGACTGCATATCGATCATCAAGTGTGTACATGCGTTCGAGATGTTCATTGTTCTGTTTTCACCTTTCCACCTACTACTATTTAAAGAACTATACTCAAGGACTATCATCTTTTATATCCGGCGAGTTGTTTGTTGATCGATGAGTATATTATACAATTATGCATTCTTACCCTTGAAATCACTCGTTTGTACGTACTCATACGAAAGAAAGAGTAAGCAACAAGAAAAGAAAGAGAGAGAGGAAATCTGACCTAAGTAGGCAGGCTTGGATTAGTTCTTTGACAATTTCTATTGATTCGACTGCAGGCAATGACGATGAGGCTTCGTTTAGATTTGTATGCTCTCTTGAAGTATTGTTGATTGTCCATTCAGTATACAATTTCACGCTCACTTTCTCTCGTCTCAAACAAATCAAATCTCTTCTTCGTTTCTTTTCAGTTACAACTTCTACTCGATTCATTTCTAACTTTGCCAACTGTCTTTCGATTGACAGGCAAACTTTGTCATTCACCATGAATGAGCATTACATCATTTCTTTTTCTTGATCGAACCTCCTGGTTGTTGTTATCGGTACCACTCCTCTTCTCTTCTCTCCTCTCAATGATATCCATCTTGACATACACATGTAGTGCATTCGCACATGTATACATAAGTTCTTGTGATTGAACAATTGAACAGGGATTTCCGATTCGATGTCAAATCGAATTCATTGACATCTCCTGTGTTCAATATTTGAACAAGCGAGAAGTACTGTGCATGTGGATACATATTTTCTCTTCTCTTACTGTGTATCAAATACATCGCTGACTCGAAGGTAAGAGGAAAGAAAAAAAACGCGAACATTGTCAAATGCCGACGGTCAATTGATGTTAACCTTTGCTTATGGATGAGATATCCTCATACATGTATGTATGTCGATTTCGTTGTAGTAGTCACCATCAAGTTTTGATAAAAACACTAGAACAACAAAAAAGGTTATTGTAGATTTATTTTTTCTTCGATAATGTTCACCAGATGAATCTTACACAAATGGTATGTGCATTTTTGGTTAGTGATGAATAGCTTTCAATATGTTTATGTTTAGCATCAATGTGGCAATGTCAATTGCCATTGTCAAACTAAGAAAAGTCTTGTTAATGATTATAATAGAGCGACATTTACGCGAACAGTTTATCAAGTTGATGCCACAACAATCTGGTAGGACGGTGAACATTGAAGTAATCAGAAACGGATGTTTTCTTTCCTTTCTCTAGTCGACTTATTAAACGAAATGAATATCATTGTTTATACAAATCGTTTGGACAACTGCTTTACCTCGCTTCAAAAGATCGACAACGGAAGAAAAGTCGACATCAGATAGATAATCTTCTGTTATTGCAGAACGTGCAAGATCTAAGTAAATCAGTTCGGTATATCAATGAATTGAAAAGGCATTGTCTTGGTTTCCTTAGTTCCAATAGCGATTCATTGGAATCCAGCTCAATGCACCACTAGTGACGTCGAAGATCTCGTCTCACTTATCGATCCATTCATTTCGCTTCGAGAAGTAGATAATAAAATTGTGATTTTATGGTTGATTTTGCCTTTATTCCATGTTCTAGCTGTTCTACGACGTGACTAATAATGATACTTCAAATAAACAATTGAATCTCATTGGTCTCATTTGTTTTTATGGTGGTTCAGTCGAAGTGTTTTTTTCCTATGAACATTCGATCTCGAAATGGCTCTTCTGCTTCGATGGGAACATCACCGTCGTCAGTGATTGGAATGCTGTTCGAAGCAAATGTATTGATTTTCATCTTCAACCGTTCTTGCTTATATACGTTAATTCCAAACAAAATCCTGTTGATATAACTCAATTACTCAAACGAACTGTGATTCAGGAGAAAAGTAAGAAGAAGAATCATGAAAGTTCTTTTAATTAAAAGCAAACCGACTGAAGACTTGAAATTCATGGTTACGTCAGCAATAATACAACTTGTTCTGGCTATGCAATCTTAGTGATTGCTTTTGTTTTATTATGATATCTGTCTGTCAGGAGAGAGAGAGAGAGAAAGGGGAAGAGGGAGAAAACAGAAAGAGAAGAAAAAGGAATAGGAATAGTGATGAACGGCAAACATGTAGCTCGTTGTTCTTTCTGTATTTCTTCTTCCCCTCCTGTCATTTATCGCGCATGATTAGAAAAATAACACCAGCTGATTACGTCTTCTCTTATTTACAGTTGTACCTTGCGAAAGAAGATTAGAATCTTTCAAACGTTCAATGACAAAACAGGAACCATATCAATCAAGTGACAAGAACTCTCCGCACGAATTAGGCGATATGTCAAAAATCTCCTCATTTGCTTCATTGAATTCTTCTATGTTATTCCTACCAAAATCATCATCATCATCATCGTATATCAATCAAGAAACAGTCGCTAAAGTCATGCAACAACAACTATCAAAGAAAGGCGAATCATTATCAGATATCGCATCACCCCTCGGTCAGAGTCGAACCATCAAGCAACAAAAGTCCGATGAGATATTGTCAAGTGCAGATTCGTCAACGTCATCATCATCATTTTCCTCCCAACGTGATTCTGGTTTAAGTAGCGGTATCACGGACGGTTCGAGTGATGATAGCCTTGCCGATAATACCGATCCGACTGATCAAATGATGAGTAAGTCTGAAATCTATCCTACTCACATCTGTATTTGTGTCTATGTTTATTTATAATAGCGTACGAAACTCGAAGTCTTCTTTTCTTTTCTCAATTTAGATGATACTCATCTCGATATGTCATTAGCATCAATTGAATATTATCTCGAACAATCGTTGAAATACGAAAGTGCAAGTCATTATTCATCAGCACTAGAATCGTGTCAACGCGCATTAGCATTAATTGATCAGATGCTGCATCTCTATCAAAAAACGAACACACGGTTAGCAGTCTATTTTCGACCGAGGAAGAATAGTTTGTTACTACGAATTCGTTCGTTGAAAAAACGACAGATGGAATTCAAAGAGTCAAACGAAATTCCAGTTGTAATCGAAAAAAATCAATTGGAAACGAAAATGTCAATACTAACGTCGACAAGTCGGCTATCTCGGCCGAAAAAGAATGTGAAATTTTCCGATAATGTCGCACTGATTGTTCCGACCTTCGATAATGATAACGAACCGCCTCGAGAACATTTGATTCATTCTTTTCTGAGAAATATTCATCAACAGCAAGATTCTGAATCTGAGTCACTTTCGTCATCAATAAACGAAATTCCGATCGGTTTAATCGAATGTTCACTCTGTCATAAACGAGTTTCGGATACGAATCAACTGGGAAATTATTGTTCGAATTGTCATTTTTATATGCAACGATTTCAACCGATTAATTCGTAAAAAAAACCGAGAAAACGTTCGATTTTTCAAACATATTCTGGTGCTAATATTTTTTGTTTCATATTTATTCTTTTTCTTGTTTGTGAATACAATGACACTTTGACAATAAAGAAACCATTTATAAATTACACACAACTAAATGTTTTTTCCTCATTCTCTCATTTATGGTGACGAATCTACGTCTGGAAGAACATGAGAAGCGGAAGGATGTTGCCATTCCTTGTCTATAAGCTGTCGCGCTCCTAACATGCGTGACCATTTGGGTTTTACCCACAAGTTTGTAATGATGAAATTCCTCACTGCGTTGATGCAATCGTTTTCAGGAGAACCATATAAGAGCAGCTCCTCTATCAATATCAATGAATTAAACATTTACCCTTCTATCGATGTCACTATCAAAGATCTACACGGTATGTGCTGAATGACTCACATATGCTATTGTAAGTTTCTTTCTTGAATAGATTTCAATTGAAGGAAATATTGGCTGCGGGTTAAAGACAATTAATTCATTTTATGAAATCATATTTAGGTTATTCCGTTTAGGAAGAGTACGGTTCTTTCTCAATTTACCAATTCGCCTTTGTTTGAGGTAAGTGTTAACTATTTTGTTAATGTAAGAAAGGTTTTCTTTTTCTTAGATCATTCCCGAACCTGTGGCAAAATGGACAAATTTTCATGGATCCAATCTTTTGGTAAAATAAACAGCCTGGAAACGATTTTGATGCACGTGTGTCGCTGATTTAGGAAATGTTTTATGAGGATCAACAACGATGGGCTTTTCTTTTCGAATTAAATGCCCTCCGGACACTAGCAGAAATACATACGCAGCCAATAAGAAAGCCAATTAAGATTTTCGAGCGATCGATTTTATGCACTCGACATTGTTTCATGGAAAATATCTATCAAGCGTAAGTAAATTTTAACGGGCTGAAATATTTTCACCGCTGTTTCTTTTTCAGTGGCAATCTGGGGGAAGTTGAGTATCAGATGTTGGACGATGAGTATCAAAGACTAACTGCTGATAATTCCTGTCACGTGGATCTGATATGTAAGAAGAATGTTTAGAACGTTAATGAAATATGTTAGAAATATTTGCAGTTTATCTTCGAACAACACCTGAGGTCTGCATGGAACGTATTCAGGCTCGTAATCGACCAGAAGAGACGTCGAAAATCAATTTGGACTATTTAGCTTCACTCCATCAATTACATGAAGATTGGTTGTATGGGCACAATGGTCGAGATAGTACAGACTCTTCAGACGTGATCATCATTGATGCTAGTCAAGATCGAGAACAAGTTTATACTACGATCAACACCCAATTAAGTCATCCCACTCAGTAAAATTCAATCCTTATTTTAATTGTTCTAATCATTAAGTCTTTTGATTCGAAAATAAATCATTCTTGTGAGCGATTTGATGTTGGTTTTCAATTCGGTTCGCACTGTATGTAACTTTGAGTCATATTGAGAAGTTCTAAACGCACTTTACACATTTAATGAATACATTCTCAGCCAATCACTTCTGTGAATTATCGATTAAGTGTACATATGATTAATGAAACAAATGTCGCTTTCACGTGATGCCACGAGGAACGATTTCAATGCTTCAATTCAAACACCAATCTACGGTTCTATAGAACATATTCTCTCCTTAAAGTATGATTTATCCCAAAAGAAACCTCTTCCAAAACATGTCAAGTAAATCAGTTTTGAAAATTTCTATTATGTAGTTAACTATACTATAGACGTTTCTATGAACATCAAAATTCAATGATTGATAAATATGCTAGTCTTATCAATGAAACTATCGAAGAAAGTATCGATGAAACTACCCGAAAACTTCGAAGACGTGTTCGACTTCTCACTACTCTGTCTCTAATCATAAACGTGGTAAACGAATTCAAACAAACGGATCTCTCGGAGAACAAGCGCCAAACTATATTTCAGTGTTTATTTTTGTTCAAAATCATTGCCTCAATTCTATCCAATTCCTTATCCATCATATCCAGTGTCGTTGACTCCGCTGTTGATTTAGTTTCAAGTTTAATTCTCTTCTGGACTGCGCGCGCCATACGCAATCGAAATCAATACCGATATCCCGCTGGACGTACACGGCTTGAACCCGTAGCCATTATTATTCTCTCTGTGATCATGTGTTCTGCATCTGCTGAAATACTTACTGAAGCATTGAAACGCTTGCTCACTTACGTTAGATATTTTACTCATCAGACTAATGAAATTCCTGAAGTGAATATGAATATTAAACAACCAATTCCAATCGTTGCTATGTGTATAACTATCAGTAAGCAATTCGATTAAGTTGGAGAAGTCGAAGAGAAGTTCTTCACTGATAATTATTTACGCATACTTAATAGAAGCTTTTCGATCGACTCCGATCATTGACGTTTGCTAAAATTAAACTTGTTCTAGCGTAAAGCTTCACTAACATTTCTCTTTGAACACATAACCGTGTGTAATCCACCTATTCTCGATTGGTACTTCAGTTCAATGCATTGATTCAAGTAGGAAATAAGTATCAACGTCTAATTACTATTCTTCATTGAGTCTTTCTTCTAAATATGATGTCTAATTTGTTTCCGTTCTTTTTGTTACGAACTGAATAGCTTCGTCTTCTTAGTACTGAAGATTGTCCTGTACTATTTCTGTCGCAATGTCAAAGTGGAAACCGTCAAAGCACTTGCGCAAGACCATCGAAATGATATTTTATCGAATTTTGTTTCTCTGATTTCAGGATTGATTGGTAAGTGGAACTTAATGAGAAGTCAAGCCTTTTCTCTTCTCTATAATACGGAAATTGATTATTTAGCTGGTCAAACACTTTCCGGCCAAATCAATATCCGATTTGTTGTCATTGATCCAAGTGAGAAACCGATTGTATCTCATTTCATTCCTAGTTTATCTAGTTGGTGCTATCGTGATTTCCATTTACATCATTATCTCCTGGGTTTCACAAGCAACATGTACAGGATAGGACAAGCGCTTTTCAAGGATTTCGAAAAGTTTTTGCTTGTATTTCATAGTACATATTCGTCATTTAACGGGTGTTACTGCTGATCCGGATTCTCTGAAATTAATTACTTGGATTGCCATGAATTTCTCTTCGCATCTGACAAAGATCGATATGGTTAAAGCATTTCATTTTGGTACGGATCTGCTTGTTGAAGATGAAAGAAAATCAGTAATTTCATCATATTTCACGTCTCTTAATATTTTAGTGGATATTGGATTACCAGGTACGATGCAAATTCAGCAAGCACATGATATTGGAAGTCATCTTCAAAGAAAATTAGAAACGATGCCTGAAATCGCACGTGCTTTTGTTCATATTGACTATGAATTCGAACACCGACCTGATGAACATAAACAGATCTGATGTGGCAAGGAAAAAACATGATTTGCAAATAGAAATTGCTTTTCCTGTCAATCTCGTCATTATTAGCATCGAACAGATATAACAATTAATCACATTCTTAGAACAATTGTTGATCTAGCTATGTCAAATAAAATAATACCATTAAACCATCTGGAAATCCGTTCGACTCAATCTCCTGAATGTTATTCAGCGTGGTATCCATTTAACTCATTATATCTCGCTAAGCATTGATGTGTTCACCAGAGATGTTTTTCTTCATCGTCTTGTTCCTCTCTCTCTCTCTTTCGCTTTTTCTGATCACACATATATAGCAGAAAGCAACATTTATGTAATTTCCTCTTCAGCAAAGATGATGACGACGACGATGACGATGATGTTGAATGATTTAGCTATTGCCGTTGTCACCGACAAGAACCGTGCCGATAAACTAATATCAATCTTATAAAAAAAATGTCTAGAAAAGAGGGAAGATGAAGATGGAATTATTAACGTGTATGCGTTCTAACTGTCTAGATAGAATGTGCATGTAGCAAAGCAAGTGTTGTAGATAGATGTTGTTGAAATAAGAAAAGAGGGCCGCAGGAAATCTTTTCAGAAAAAAGAAGGAGAGTAACTATGTCTACTATTGTTTGATCGGCAAATTCGTCACCCTCTCTCTCTCTCTCTCTCCTCTTCTCCTTCTTAAGCGAACTTGATGAGAAAATCTTATGTCTTTGAATGAATCTGAAATGTAACACTCCATCGTTTCTTCTTCTTTTTGGTACCCGTGATTCCTTTTCCTTATGCACCGAACGACAACAACAACAACAACAACAACAGAGCTATCAATAAATGTCCATGTTTACATTTAACTAACACTGAGAAGTAGAACAAGATTGAATACATGCGCAATAGCGGAAGGCAACAACATCAACCGCAACCACATCATGGTTGGAAATCAGATGATGAGCGCCGAATGCAATCAGGAACAGCATCAGTTCAAGGTTCAACGTTAACAACGCATAATAACAGCGTCGGCAATTTTACTCAGGATAATATTCATACAGGTATCCTCTAGCTTATTGAATTGTTATTTTCTCACGTGTTAATTCCATCAGAAGAAAATTGCCACAACATTGATTGATAGTTGATCCTTGACAATTGTTAACATAATTGTCAAGGGGACACAAAGTCCTGTGCCATGTTTATTCTGGTATAAAATGACGTTGTAATTGTAGGGAGAATGTACAATTATGACAATATTGGAAAATATCGATTTCGTTCTCCCCCTGCCTGCTTCCCCCCTTCTCAACAGGCTGGCCAAGCGTGCTTAAATTAAGTTCGTGGAAAAAAGGAAAAAAAAGAAGCAGAAACAGAGGCAGAAAAAAAAAGAGGCTGTTGAATTCTGCGAGAAGATCAAATCGAATCGATAAGCAGATCAGTCTTCGGCATTCTACATTACTCTTTTATATAGCACTCAATCTAGAAAAATTCTTTCGATCGGAATGCCACCACATCGACGATCATCTTCACGACAAAAGATTGCTGATGCTTTCTATCGTTGGACAGGTGAGGAGTAGAGCGAGAGATTTTTCGCTGAAAACATCATATGTCGCTTTTATCTAATCAGTTTAAATACATTTGTGACAAAAGTATACAAATAATTCATACGCTTTTCGCAAATTAGGTCTTTCCGTTGCTCTTTTTTGCTTTTATTCATCTTATTACTCATTGAATAACAACAAACACAACGAGCGATGAAATGCTGCATGATCAGCAGCAGCATCCGTTGCCGTTATCAATGTTGTTCTTAGTTTCTCTCTCACTCTCTTCCACTCACTCTCCCTAATAAGAAATTATTATTATGATTATTAGAAAGATTGAACTTTCAGCTGATCTCTCTTGAGAAACAAACGACGATAGATTGATCAACTTTTCACATGTCATCAGATGAAGATAGATCAGATTTCGACTAGATATGACTGACTGTCCTGTCTTGTATACATAGACCAGCAAGAGACATCCAATTATATAATTGGAACGTGGTTTGTGTATGAATAGGACAACATAAAAAAAGGAGTAGTATGGAGACTAGGAAGAGGAAGGGAGAGTAAGAGAGATAGAGAGGATCGCTCTGATGACTCGAAGGCTGAAAAAAGGAGAAGAAGAAACGAGAAGAGGGAGAAGGCGAAGACGAAGAAGAAGAAAAAGGCGAAGACAACGGAAATACATTTACGGTGAATCGGCGAACACGAGTGTGGATAGTGCGTGTATTTGTGTGACATCAAACATTGATTTCCAATGGACGCCTCATCATTAGACCGAAGAACTATGAGACCATCGAGTAAGAACGAAAATTTTGCAATATGGATATTATCAAAACTAAACATTCGCTTTGCTGTCAATTAATTCTGCTAGATGAAATTAACATAAGGACAAAAAGAGTGACATGATGATTCTTTCAAATCAATAATGACAGGCAAAAAACACACACACACGCACACATATACACAGATATATAAACACCTTCTGGACTTGGAGAAAACGATAGTGTAGCGAACAGAACATAAACGACAATAGAGTAGTTAGTAGCAAATCGCAAGAGCATCAGTTCTTATTGCCTCGCTTGAGAGCTAATAATGTCAGTAGCAATATAGACGATTATTAGGAAGAAAATGATAATCGAAAACGCAAATAGAAATCATGAATTACACGGACAATACCGTCATCATAGGCCCATTATCGATAATCTTCAATCATCAATGCCAAACGTACATAGTGGTAATAGAATTTCTTTTTTTTTTTGACAAATCAATATCGTTTCTTTGGTACTAGAATTATTAGTTTTTTCTAAAAAGATTTCTTTTCATTTAGGTTCTCATGAAGATTACCATCTGGGTCTCTGCGGTTATATATTACTTATTCTCTCGTATGCAATCATCTGTTTAACCTTTCCATTTTCATTAACTGTTTGTCTTAAAGTAACGAAAGCATTTTCCATCTCTTTTTTTGCATTTGGAATAATTGATATCTGTCGATTCAGGTTGTTCAAGAATATGAACGTGCTGTTATGTTTCGATTGGGTCGCATTCTCGGCGGTGCCAAGGTATATTTCTCTTTTTCTTCTCCTGAAGATCACATTTATGGTTATCTCTACTCGAATTATATAGGGACCTGGTCTGTTTATCATAGTACCATGCGTTGATGCCTATACCAAAGTTGATTTAAGAACCGTGACATTTGATGTACCACCACAGGAGGTTTGTTTCGTGTCATTAATACAAACTGTTTTGATTGTTTACATATATTTGTAGATTTTAACGAAAGATTCTGTCACAGTTGCAGTCGATGCTGTGGTTTATTTCCGAGTATTTGATCCTGTTATATCTATTACCAACGTTGAAGATGCGCCGAAAAGTACTCAATTGCTTGCGGCAACTAGCTTACGTAACGTGTGAGTGATAGAGATTTCTAAATCAGAAAAGATTTTTATGCATGTATACGGCGAACTGTTTTTTTTTCTTTTGTCGGAATTAGTCTTGGTACGAAATCGTTACAAGAAATTCTTTCTGATCGAGAATCGATTGCGCAAACAATGCAGGTTAATTATCTCTGACGATCTTTTTGTTGCAGAAGACGATAATAACGCTTTCTTTCTTCTCAATGTTTAGGCTGCTTTGGACGAAGGTACTGAATGTTGGGGGGTTCGAGTCGAGCGTGTTGAAGTGTAAGTGAAATATTCCAAGAATTTGTTTCTTTTTAGTAATCTACATGTCTCTCTTTTTTTGCGCTTTATTTATAGAAAAGATGTTCGACTACCGGTTCAACTACAAAGGTAGATAATCGAATTAGTATGGTTTATTAACCAGTTGTTTTTCATTGATAGAGCGATGGCAGCTGAAGCAGAAGCTGCACGAGAAGCCCGTGCTAAAGTAATTGCAGCTGAGGGTGAACAAAAAGCGTCTAGGTATAGAAATAAAGGAATTCTTTGGTATTTCATTAATCCATCTATAATTTAACTAGAGCTTTGAAAGATGCTGCCGATGTTATTATGCAATCGCCAACTGCGCTTCAACTTCGCTATTTACAAACGTTAACAACCATTGCTTCAGAAAAAAATTCAACCATTGTGTTTCCAATTCCGGTAATGGGCATGATCAGCGGACTGCATGTAACTTCTTACTCAGAAACGCAATTGTGAACATTGTTTGAGAGACATAGTTCGATTAATAACAAAGAAGCGCATTAATTTATTATCTGGTGAAGAATATTAATTTTGCCTTCTCTTCTAGGTCGAATTAATGCAAGCGGCTATTGGAACATTTCAGACGACATAGTGGTGTCTTCGTCGTCGAATCTTTGTGAACTAGATACTCATTTATTCTCTGTTTGTCAATCGATGATATATTTGATAAAAACAAAAAAAGGAAGACAGTATTGTAATATAGTTTGTTTGTTTTTTCTCAAAGAACCAANTCTTCGGGTGCAACACGAAGTTCATTGTAGAAAGTGTGATGCCAAATCTTTTCCATATCATCCCAGTTAGTGACAATACCGTGTTCGATGGGATATTTGAGAGTGAGAATACCACGTTTCGATTGTGCTTCATCACCGACATACGAGTCCTTTTGTCCCATACCAACCATGACACCTTGGTGACGTGGTCGTCCGACAATAGATGGAAAAACAGCTCGTGGAGCATCGTCACCGGCGAAGCCAGCCTTACACATACCACTGCCATTGTCGATAACAAGTGCTGCAACGTCGTCGTCACACATTTTGAGAAATTAACAAAATGAAATTGAAAAGATGATAAAATATATATCCTATTGCTGCCTACTCGCGTTTCTTTCGATCAATGAATAACGCGCGCGTTCTTTTTTTGCTCTTCATGTTTTATTTTTCTCTCTCTCTCTTTTTCGCTGTGTCTCTCATGCATTTCAAGTATTCTATTAGTATGTGTTTTGACCGACGATTACCATATACGGACATATCAGGGTCGACGAGTGTGAAGAAGAAGAAGAAGAAAAATGATGGTCATTGTTCTGATTGTATGGTGCAGTTTGATGAACGAAAAGATGGATGAAGAAGAACAGGAAAACGAATGTTTATTCATCGGTCAAATCGAGCTAGTTGTTTCTTCGTTTGAAAACGAAACAAGCCTGACCGATAAAAGGTTAATAGAGCAACACAAAAAGAGCGCTTGTTTTCATACTTAAAGCTCTTTCTCCTTCCGGTACTGACTAATTTTCTTCTCTCGAGACGTTGTAAATAGTGTCCTTTGTTTGAATTGGGCTAACAGATGGTCTTATCTTCTTCTGAATGAATCTAAATGATGTCTTGCGATGTTCAAATGACTTTTTGTTTTTGCACAATTGATAGACTCATTAATCAAACATAAAACTTAACATTGATGATAAATTGTCCGATAAAAAAATAATGTTTGTCACATAGATATTAACTTCAACAAAAATCTGTCTAAACTGATTAAAATCTCAAGATTTTATTCGAAAGAAAAATGTTCTTCATGCTTTAACTAAGAACTCTAACATTTTCCGCGTTTGCTGCACATCATTCGATTTTTGTTTCAATTCATCCAACGGATCATCCAATCCATCATCGAAGTTCGTCGCTTGACGTGTCCATGAATTGTCATATTCGAGTTTATATGCACCTAAAAATTCGTGCGGACATCCATTTGTTTTCGTTCCGAGAAGCCAATCTTGCGGATGCATAATCGAAAGGTATTTTTGTCCACTCTGTCGTTCGTAGTAATAATAAGTTTGTCCTGGCCGACGTACAAGATTACAAGCGGAATGATTTAATTCATCGTCACGTTTTGCTTTCACTAACACTCGTTGTGCTTCTCGACGAAGAAAATCGACTTGATTTACAATAACTTGCAAGCGATTTGATACATTTGCACGTACGAATGCATCACACGTCTCAATCTGTCGAGCTAAATTAACGAGATCTTGTGGATCGGAGACCGAATCATTGCGTGTGTTAACAATCGTATGTCCAAACGGGCGTTTTTCACTTTCGACTAATTGAACACAAGTTTCACTTGTCGATGGTGTTATAAGCTTTGCTAACACAAGGTCACGAATAATTGGTTGAGAATCCATTTTTCTACGGCGTCCGATATGATGATGATGTGCGTTGTTATGCAGTAGAATGATGCGGCGTCAGAATCAGATGAAAGCAAAGCCAGCTGCATTCTTTTACCGAATGCCTACATTTGAAATGACGTCAGGTCTTTGATGATAGGACTTGTCTAGCAACGAATAAGCTTTGCCCAAAGTATATTATGATACTGGACTTAAGATGGCACAGCGAGTTCATATAAATCATCAGGAAACTGTTGTTCGATATAAAGGCGTGCCGAGTCTTCCCATCGAGCTCGTTCTAATGCACGCTTTTTCTATAGATCTTTAGATCTATAGCGTACCATTGCCAGGTCACGACCTAAGAGCCATAATAACGAATATTCTTGCTTGTCACAGCATGTATCTACATTTCCGCGAGGTGTGTGTGTGCTATAAACAGTTCTATTCACAAGGACTGTCAACTACAAAAGCCATGTTGATGCATTCGAAAGAATTATTTCTAATCTGGGGTAAAAGTACCCATAGTTCATAAAGCAGAAATAATAAGATTTATTTTCTTTACACGAAGCTTTCTTGTAAAAGTCTTTGTTTGACATTAATACATCAAAGACAGCATAATCTGCAGCTCGTACTTGGCAGACTAGTCTGGTGAGGAATTAAGAATAGAATGATTTCAAAGTACGAACAACTGAATATAATCCTGATCATTTTGCGTCTTTATTTCTCGCCAGGCGACCTCACACTGTGCTTGACTCGGTTCAACCGGAGTAGAACGGGGCAAAACGAAGATCTGATTATTTACTGACAGCACCGTCAAATGGCGAACTGTCCGTGTTTTAAACATGTACATTAGTTTCTCTTTTTTTTCACAACAAAATCTAGAAGAAGACAACAAAAATGTTTACTGAAGCAAGGTCGAAGATCGTTCAGTTTTCATATATTGGTACAATTCATTTTTCTGCGTCGCAGGCAATAAACACGGTGTACTTTTCGAATGAAAAGTCTTCACACATCTTTCTGGATGTTTAACAGTTGTTTGCGGACATCTTCTCGGCAGTTCTTCACTTCTTGTAACCAACATTGACAAGCGCGATCGTCTCCGCTCATTCAGATGATTATCCGATTTGCGATGTGAGAGCGACACGCAGCTTGAACTAGTTGCTCGCCGTTTTTTGTACGACCGACACAGATGATAACCAATTTCTCTTCGCAGAGTTGGACTGAAAATAACATAGAGTGTAGGTGAAAAAGCTAAATAAACAAGTAAATTGAGTCGTATGATGAATACGTGTATTGAATTATCACGATCATGAGCGTTGGTTAATTTAAATGATATCCAGAAATAATAAAGATGCGCGGGAAAATATGTTATTAATAGCCACATAGATTGCCATAATAGTATTAGGGTTATTTCATTAGCTAGTAAATTTCTTGACCGACGGAACTTCATACTTTTCCGTACAATTGATGGCGTCTTTTCTAGAAGACGTTTGCGTCGTTGGCAGATTTTGTAACAGATGTAGACGTCCAAAATTGTGTTTAATACAAATGGCAGTATGAATGAATGTGAATGTGTTAGGATTTTAATCCGGTCGGCTTTTATTAGCGAATCACGCTTAAATGAGCATAGACCATAGGCGAAATTCACCCATCGGAAGGCTTTGCTGTTAACGGATACCAATTCATCGATATGTAAGAGAAAACATAAACAAATCACCAGGAATATGACCAAACAAATGGTTCGTGAACTTAACACGTTTTTCACTGCGAATGGTCGAATGAATGTAAACGAACGTTCTAATGATAAAAGAACCATCGTCCAGAGTGAGGTTGTTGATAATGATTGTTGTAAGTAATGGATATATTTACAGACTCTGATTTGATCAGCAATGTAAAACACCATGTAGAGCCAAGAATGGCTAGAAATAATTAAATGTATTAGTTCGATCACATAGTTTGAAAAGGAATGTATCAGAAACGACCGGAAGCAATATTGTCGTTGAAGAGACCGTCTTTTCTTTAAGGAATCGTTGAAATGCAACTACATAGTCTATCTGTGCTATTCTCATATACTGAGGGTTCTTATTTTGATGCTAAAAATAATCATTACATAAACGATCATCTGGTTACACTTACGATAGGATACTTGCACAATTTACCAGCACAAATGCGTAAATATAATATCGAAACGGGCTTTGCCGAAATGTTTTCGACGCTGTGAATATTAACAGAGCAAGAATATTGAAGAGTAGTCCGATAATCCCCAATGAAAGTGGAATTAGATTTAATACCGACAGCCATATGGATTGTTTTGGCACTGGAACGACTGATTCATTAATATGCATACCGGATGTAAATTCCACGTAGTTCAAAGCATCTTGCAGTGTTGCAAACGATTCTGAACCGTTAGCATTCATGTTCCACTGAAGATCATCGACGAAGTCCAGAGCAGATCGATTGTGTTTTGTCGCCATAATTGCTCTCGTAGATAATTCTATCCGAGAAGTATTGTCTCCGGAAATGCTCGCGAATCTAATGTGACTAAACCGAGCAGTCTATTCTAAATTCAATAGAATAATAAAAAAGAGAGGAAAACAGCATTTGGTTATTTCTTGAAAGATATCCTTTGTTCGAACTAGACTCATTGTGCAAGTCTATTCGTCCCGGCAAAACAACACGTTACACAAGTGATTCTCTTTGTTCTATGGAAACGCTCATCTCTTGTGAAACTTGGTCCTCTCAACTTGGCTAGACTTACCAAATTTAGTTTCCATCTTCTTTACATCCATATCACTCGATATGAAAAGACTCATCTGGTTTTTTCTTTTCTGTCAGTGCATTTCTCCATCTACATTATAAGAACTCTACACCAATAAACTTCCAGAGAGCATCTCGCAGCAAGAGAATGACATTTGACAACGATCCTGTACGTTGATCTGATCTCGCTAACAAGAAGATATCTACTTTCATTTAAAGAAAATCACGTCAGATGATAATCCGTTCTCGCCGAGGGTCTTCAATCGAACAAAAAAGTAGACAAAGAGTATCTCATGGTACTTACATCTATAAATATCTCGAAATGAGCATTCATCTCACATTGAACTAAAAAGACAAAACTCGTCGTTTTTCTTTGCAACATGGGAAACATGAATAGGTATCTACTTCCGGGTAAATACACGAAGCGGAATGTGTTTGATTTTGTCTTCGCGAGACAATTATATAAATACGGACCGTGCCACTTTTTCCAGTCGTTGTCGTGATGATCAAACGCCTACGGGTAATAAGAATAACATCCTCATTCGATACTTCACTTCTATGACGAACATTTTAAAAGATAAATAGAAGGATAATTTACAACCGGCTGACTTGAAATCTACATGTTAAATTAACGAATTCAAATAACCTTTTTAGACATGAAAGGTATGTGTGTCAGAGTGTATCTGTCAGACGTATAATGCCAACGTCAGCTGACAAATATTTTGTTGTTCATCATTCAATTAAATCCGACGGATCTTCTTGTTACGACAAAAAAATTCAGATCATGTTCGATCAATAAGCCACGGCATCCTGCGATAGAAAAGAAGATAATACTAGCATTGATCTCTCTCCTATTTCGAGAAACTCGCGTGATACATGCATGGTTTTTTATTAGAATAATGATGAAATACTGAGCGGTTAGCCGAGCTAAATTTAACATAATTATGAACCGATTTGTTCTTCATTTGTAATAGTTCTAAGTAGCACAGGAACATAGTAGTAATTCTTTGTATATTATTGCATGCGAAGAAAATAAAACTTTTTCCGCTTAAATAAATTCTGTCGCCTGAAGCAATGAATGGAAGAATTATCTTATCAGTCATGCTTGTTTATTTCAGATACCATCATAGCAATTCAAAAACTAATCTACTAAAATCATATTGAAGTTGGCAGAAGCCTCGTTGGATTAACAAGGGTTATAAAGCCGATGTTTCCTTCAAGCAAAAACGTCCATTTTCATTTTGGAATGATGAATGCTCGACGTGATCTTTTCTAAATCCTCTAATCATGCGACTGGTATCACGTGAAACTTTGGATTCTAGTCTGAAGAATAAGATTATTGTAAGTTCACAGGAAGATATTTGCACTATTTTGATGAACCAATCTTATGTAATTTTATATAAAAGATTTCTTCAAGATCAAAGGTTACTTTCCGTTTTCTATTATTTATTCTAAGTATTCGCATCATTAGATCGAGAACGAAGTTGCTTGACATTGAATGTCAAGGAGAATAATATCATGCTAAACGTTATAAAATCATGTAGTTTGTCATTAGATGACAAGCACAACGTCCCATAAGTCTGGACAGTGAGAACTACCATTATCTGATCTAGACTTTGAGACATTAGTATGATAAATAAATAAACATTGATTATTGACGCTTTGGAAGAACCCAGATGTTCCTCATGAGTTGTTCATTTCTAATGATTGAAGAAAATTGAATGAAAATTTCCTGTTAAGAAGTACAAACTGTAGCAACCGAATATGAATTTGCGCGAATAGATTTCCATGTGAAAGAAAATAGACTATGCCAATATCAATGCATGTCAATATAGCGAACAATCGATGGGCACTTAAAGTTCTTTATAATCCTCTAATGTCTAGCCAATCAACCTTTATTATTCAAACGATTCCAAGTTCTCGAACGACTCGACCTCAAACAATTATCGAGATAAATTCTTTTTTCGAAAGCAATTCTCTCGTTGTCGTTCGACAACATCTGTTAAATCAGACCATCGCAACCATCATACAATCGACAATTTCGTCAGTAGATAACAATCCGATACTCACAGCTGACATCATTGCTCAAACAATTGAATATAATTCCTCATCCCAGTCATCTCAATGTTCGATTTGTCTGGGAGACTTTGTTCAATCAGATATACTTCTTCAGCTAACATGTAAGCACATCTATCATCGTGAATGTCTTCTTCATTGGCTACAAACGCATTCTCGTTGTCCGTACTGTCGATTTATTGTCTATCAACCACCCATAACACCGCATCTTTTTCTTGTACGACAAACAATAACGTGAAAAGCTACTTTCGCTCATGTTTATTATCATCTATTTAAAAATTTGACATTTAAGAAAACCGACACGTGATCTCTTGTCTCTTTTTATACAATAAACAAGTCGATTGTGGGTTTAAGGATATAAATATCTCGTTTTCATTATGTTCAACATCGATTAATGGTTTAGATTCTTTTGTGAAAGTCACGCAAATCTTTCTTCGAACTGCCATGATAATTATCTAATGAACAATGCGCTAAATATGACGACTTGAGTGAGACGAATTCAATCATCGACAGTTTATTTTTTGTCGCTTTCATTGGCATTTAGTATTTTGATTAGAAAATGTCGATTCATGACGTATATCTTCATGCACTTCAAGTGCATCGCCAATTGAATAGTATATTTAAAAGAAACTGGTACATTTCATCGAAATAGAAAACTATGACGCATTGTAAGACAAGAATTAATCGCGTGGGATTGAAAGAAAAGATCATCAGGCCAAACATGACGTTGTAAATGTAATCATGTGGTCACAAATCATATGTTTGGTTGCAGAGAAACTTTCTTTCAAAGATCACGAGATTATTTTCATTGTTTTCCGACGATATTTCACAGCAATCTTGAACTTCCTATGTACCGATCTGAAAAGAAATGCCATGTTGTTTTACAATTAAGTATAATTTCGAATATCGCGATATCCAAAAATAATCTTGACATTTCAACTGCACTCATTCGATAGTAAATCATTTATTTCGGGAAACATAAACTTAATTTACAATGTCCTGTAATAATTTATGTCATGCATTCTCCGCACGACATGTGGTAACACTTTACATGCTGATGAGCATCTTGATTGATACATGAATAGCTCAGAGTTTCCAAACAAACTTATGTATAGGTGAAACGCTTGATAAGCTTTGTACTGAATGAAAAGAAATGTGTTTCTTTCTAACAGCATTGACTGATTTTCATTGTTATGATAGAAAACATGCGAATGTTTACCAAGTGTCTGATTAAATTGAATAGAAACTACTGACGTAGATATTTGAATCACCTTGATCAAAACTCGAACTGTAATGTCGAGAAAAATTTAATCGATGTTGATAATTTCATCATGAATAATGCATAACAAGCCATAAACAACATCGATTCATACTTTTTACTCCTAGATACGTTTTTCTTTTTCGTTCTTCTATAGCGAAATTAGGTAAAATGTGTTTCGATATGGATATATATATGTAGTCTTTGTAATTTTGTTTTTTTTTTCGTAAATATACGAGCGATAACAGACGTACCGATAATAATGGATATGAAGCGTCTCTATAGCGTCGAGGCCATCGTTAGTCTTCTGATGGTTTTGATCGCTTATTTTATATCGTAAGTAGATTGGAATTCGAAGACATAACCAAAAACTTCTTTTTTGATTGTAGAGTACGTCTGGTTGTGTTAATTCTACTGTTTCTTCTCGCATTATTAAATGTTTGCAAAGCGCCTACTTCCACTTTTTGGTTAGTAGCAGTGATAGTCAATGAATATTCCGCAATTTTCATCGCTTTGACCATTATCACACTATCAACTGGTGTTCAAGACGGTTTTTGTACTCTACTGGGAACAGTACTAGGTCTCATTGCTGTAACATTGTTTTTCTCTCCAATTTTACGAGCCTATTTGATCTCTCAATCCTTATCCAAAGATATGAAGAAAGCATTTACACGTGATTCGAATTCATCAATCAATAGCCAACCATTTCCTAGTAATGAATCTTTCAGTGTTAGTAAATTATTTCGATTCGTACTTAAAATGCCGTATCGTACATATACCTATGTAACTTATGATGATACTAGTTTAACGTTAGATTTTTATCCAGCGAGTGTTTCTGGCAAACGACCTTGTGTTGTTGTTATCCATGGAGGCTCTTGGACAAGTGGTGATAGTAAACAATTGCCTGAACTTAATAGTCGTCTAGCAACGGCTGGTTATCATGTAGCTGCAATTTGCTATCGATTAGCTCCGCGATGGCAATATCCGACACCAATTGAAGATACCAAAGCAGCATTAGACTACTTGCGAAACCATGCTGATGAATTGAATATTAACAAGGAAAATTTTGTGCTTCTCGGTCGTTCAGCTGGCGGACAAATCGCATTACTAACAGCTTACAAATTCAAAGAATTAGGTATAAAAGGTGCAATCAATTTCTATGGGCCAGCTGATATGGTTTGGGGTTATTTCACGCCGACAAATCCATTAGTATTGAATTCGTTTCGCGTACTCGAAAGATATCTCGGTGGAAGTTATTATGGTTTGGAAGAAAAATATCGTGACAGTTCACCAATTGAGTTCGTCACTGAAGCAACAGTACCTACGCTAATGTTTCATGGCGGACTTGATCCATTAGTATTCGATGAACATAATTATCGTCTAAGTAGGAAATTAAAAGAACACAATGTTCCGCATTATTTCCTTCAACTTCCGTGGGCAACACATGGTTTTGATTATCATTTGAATGGTCCCGGTGGTCAATTGTCAACTTATGCAATCGAATATTTCTTGCATGTGGTTACTAACCAATAACTTCTACTTTCATCATATATTTTGAACAATCAAAAAAAAAGAAGCAGTGACAGATTTTTTAATTTATTTCTTTATTATTTGAGTTCAATTTGAATGAGGATGTAGTATCTCAGTGATTGTGCCAGAATTAGCATCACGCATGTTCTCATATGCAAAATCCCATATTGGTTTGACATTGTGATAGAATTCATCAAATGAAAAACGTTTGTCATCGTCAGTTGCAAGATATGCATCGACTTCGTTATCCGGTAATCCCCATTGAATCAATAACTTTTGTAATTCTATCACATCGATATATCCACTGTGATCTTGATCCAAATAGTCAAACACGAATCGTGCTTTTTCTTTAGCTTCTCTGATTTGGTTCTCTTCGAAATGATCTTTAGATTTTTCTCCAAGACGCCAAATATGTTTATAAAAATCGTCGAATGCAACGTCTCCCTTCTTTGACCAACGGGAAAATCGCTTGATAAACGCATCTGCTACTTTCCATTCTTCTAGTAATTGATTCAGTTCCTCGCCATCGATATATCCACTTTTATCGGCATCTAGTAGATCAAAAATTTCTTTTGCATTTTCCTGATCGTTCGTTTCGGCTTTTTTCGATATTTTCGCCAATCGGCTCTTGTCTTTTATCCAATGCTCGTAAATCTCTGTGTTAACCAGTAAATCTCGTGATCGCTCGCAGAGAAATAGATCCCTTTGTTGTTTATCTGGTTGAACTATGAATAAATAGAGGAAAACACTTCCAGCAACATAACCCAAGAACAGCACATTGGCCGAAACGCCGAGTACAGCCGGAAATAGAATCAAAGCCGCTGTCCAACTAGTAATTGTATACCGTGTATCCTTGAAAAGACCGATAAAACCAAAGAACGCATAGAGTATTCGACACCAGACATACACATTGTGAACGAGAAACATATTCAACAACCAGTACACAGAATCCGATTGAAAAAACAAATTCAGTGCGCAGAATAGGTGTAAAGATATTGCGAACAAATAAGCCGCAACTATTAGAGCCTTGGCACCGAAAACGATCGACGTTTGGTAGTATGCTGAAGGAATATGGCCCAGAATTGCTACCAGTGCCGCTGCCCTCGCTATGTACGTGTTACCAGTACAAAACGTAAGCCAACAAGTAATGAACTCGAGCACACCCGATGAAATATGTACATAAATAGCAATCCGCCGTTGTAAAAGCATACAGAATTTCGGATGCGGTGCATGAGTATAGTGGTAATGAAGTACGAATACATTGAAAAAACTTGAAATGAAACATAAGAGACACTTTTCTGTGTAAAGGTAATCTGCTGGATGCTTCCGCGTGATATGATAAAAAGCATAAAATGCTCCTAAACTCAATATGAACAGTACGGTATAGTAAATGTACAGACGAATATTTTGTGAAATCATGATTAAAAATAAACGAAATGTAGAGTATAGATATTTAATCTACCGTATAGAACGCTACGCTCGAATAAATTTGTATTGATAGTTAATCACGAAAGTAACAGTCACATATTTTGAAGTGTTTTTGTTACTCTGTGTTTTGAATAACATTAGTAAAAGAAAAGCAGATGTAATGCGTTTGTTCTCTGGTATTGATGCGCTTTTATGCACAGTGATCATAGAGTAAAGTGTAAACGAATACAAAGATGCGCTTATATAAGCACTTATTTGCAATCCAATTGGAAGCTTTGCAATTGACTTCGTGCACGAAACATCGATTTATCAATTCGTATGTCCTTATTCTGTCACTAGATTGAAGATAGCGATACTAGATGCATACGAAACAAGTAGAATCTATGTTGTTTGATATACTGATGCATGATTATATCCCTGAGTAGTGTATCACAACTGACGTCAGTATAATATTTGATAATATTCCTGAATAAGCACATACTTTTCACATCCTCAGAAATCAGTACGTATGAAGAACGTCAAGACAATGTGCGTGCGTTCTAAGATTATGTAAATACGCGTAGAAGCTATGGATAAACACATTTGAGAAATATCTGGTACAAAAATGATTAAATCTAAATATTTGATTATGATCTTTATTATATAATCGACAAATCATATATACACCTATTCAAACCAATGTAATCAAGAATTAATCAACGCAATTGTCCAAAGAATTGCGTGATATATATTTGAAGAGTAAAACTTGGTGTATTCTCAAGAAATGAGACTGCCACGTAAAGTTCAAAGATTACTCGAGTGTTTTTCTTCGAGAATAAATCTGTTATCTGTTTTATTCGTATGTCGAAATTTCGGTCTACTAAAAAAGGACAGCTACTAACAAAACAACAACAACTAAACTAAACAATGAATTTATCTTTGTTATCTATGTTTTTCAAATGCTATGATTAAGACACGACGCAGTAGATAATGACTAATCTCTATGCCATGATTAAATACAGTTTTATTTACTACGAACAGCAACGACTTTTTCTATCGGACATGACTAAAACATAAACTCACACTCGCTCTTTTTCATACGCGTGCACATACCCTCCACCTTCACTTGCGTTCTTCAATCCTCATTACTTTTCATTCATTGGTTCGAATGTTTGCCTCTCATGCCCTTATATGGTGATACAAATAGAATTTCAAGCCGACGAGAGAGAGAAGAAACATTTAGTCGTCCGTATATTGTATATATATCGAAACAACATAGTGGTCCCTCACCATTTCAAGTCAACACTACTTCGACAACATTTCTAATTCTCGAATTTACTANNNCATATTCGTTTCTCATGTAGCCTTCTGGAAGTTTTATCGTGCTTATTTGGATAACAAAAAGCCAAATCTTATTTGGTATACACAAATCTTTGTTGTCGCCTCACTTTTTAACTTCGTCTTCTTCGCTATTCCCGATAGAAGTAAGTCGAATGCTTCCAATGAAAGTTTCTTCACTTTCGATTGACATCTTTCTTTGTTTAGAACAATACAAATGGGCTAAATACCATTAGATTGATATTGAACTAAGAAGACTATTATTATCACCCCTTTTCCGGTTCCTTATTTTTGTTCCCTGCGTAGCTATTAAGTGTGTGATTTTCTTTTCGAAATAAACGTTTAGGAAGCTGAAGTCATCAACCATACGACACATTTAATGAAACTTCGCGAGTTCAATTTTCATCTTCTATATGTAAAAAAAAGAAAGAAACAACTGACGACATAGATAATCCGATCAGCAAATCTACCTATGCTTTTTCTTTTAGATGAACTGTCTTCTCAGTGTTGAGCGTGCTTTACTAAATGAAGTTGCCAAAACATACGATGAATTGAACATAATCGATGACAAAATAATGAAAGGTGATCTGTTCTCCTTGATTGCATACAGACATTTCTAATTGCTGATCATGAAGCACAAAGTTCCTCGAATTCCCGACTCGACGTTCGCGTTCGAGACGGTGAATTTCAAGATATGCACGAAAGAACTTGCCCTTAATCAATTAATTCGACCAAAATGACCGATAAACAGTTTTGATTTCTTTCTTCAATAGGTTTAGCACTTTTCTATGGTTATGAAATTCTTCTCCAAGCAATTAATCTTCTCAGACATACAAAACGGCTGAATATCTTTCATACGACTGGCGATCATCTTCGCCGACTTTATCAATTTCAGGCAAATAAGAATCAAGTTCCAGTTTATACATTAACTTCGAGTAATTTTTGCACGTGTAAATTCTATAAAGAACATATATTAAGCAAACAAGATTATTTCGCCTGTCCACATAACATAGCGATGAAATTATATGAACAAATCGGCAAATCCAATCAGGAGATTGACATTGAAACATTTGATGTTTCTCATGAATATTTAATTGATAAAATGGCCAAACTGATCGAACAATCATGTGAAATGGAATAGAAAATCTCTTGTGAGGCTAAGTTCAGTTTGATCAATCATAATAAAATCACATCGTCGATAAAAAGCACATAGATGCATCTCACAAATTATCCAAGAATATTTATTCAAGTTCTCACCAAGTTCAACGACGTGATGGGAATAATATTGCCTAAGACTAGTTTGTAATTCTATCTCGGTAAAGTGTTCGAAGAAAATCTCATCTATCAGTCAAATCGACCGACTGCTTCTTGTCATATACTGTCGGTTAATCAATGTTCAAAGTAAATCTGGCATTACATGCCTGATTAAATCTTTTGATTTACGTTTCGTTAGCAAAATGTCGACATTGCTCGATGGCTGAAGATCGTTTCTTTCTTATTACGAATAAGTTAATATTACTCGAGGTTATAATTAGTCGAATGATAGTCATCACTCTTATTCGGCAGTTTTCTCCGTGTAATAACAGACAGACGTTGGCAGAAAAAAGAAAGAAACTTAATTCATACGGCATTTTTGCTAATCAGTTGATTAATGAACATATTAATAAATATATACAATGTCACAGGTGTCTGTCACCTTAGTCGCTCGAGATAGCAGTCAAAGTAGAAGACAACAACGGAAGAGAAAAGATAACATTTAAGTTAAATGTGTTAATTGTAATAGGCAGATGTGTGCCATAAAAGTATTGGAATGAATGGCAAGCAAGAAGAAAAGACGAAAGCAAGAAAAAAGCACGAGAAAAAATGAAGAAGAGCTTTTCCTACAACCATCATTTTTTGTTTTCTCCCTCCCTCTCTCTCTCTCTCATTTTCCTTCTTATCTATGTCTATATAGAAATATAGATATATTTCATCTAATTGTCATCAGGTCGTTGTCAATCAGTATTGACTGAACACGCACATCGTATTACTACTTAGCTGGACTTGATGTAACGGATGAAATCAGATCTGACAAATGAAATTTCGACGTCAATGCTCGAAGCTGATCAAGTTCCTTTATCGACACCAACAGCCAGTCGTCGGTATTACAAAACTGGTCATCATCAACGGCATCATTTGCATAGTAAGCGTTCAATAACAATCGATCCGGAGACTAATGAAGAAAAACTTCGGATAGTTGTCCTTGGCGCAACGAAAGTTGGTGAGTAAAATGACTTCCTATTCATAAAGTTCTCTTTTCTTTCTACGCTCGTCGAATGATTGCAGGTAAAACATGTTTGTGTCAACAATTTCTTCAAGAGAAATTCCTCCCGGATCACAAAGAAACTGTTGATGAAATGCATCGCATTGAGCTAGTACTTGTCGATCGTCGAATTACTCTGGAAATCTTAGACACGGCTGGTATTGATGAATTTCCCGTAATGAGACGTCTTGCGATCGCTCATGGTGATGCGTTTCTTATTGTCTATGCGATCGATGATGCCTACTCATTCGATTTCGCACAACAGATGCGACAACTTGTTTATGAAATCAAAGGCGATACAGAACGTGCAATACCCATGGTTATTGTTGGTAATAAATGTGATGTCGAGCCGAATGATCGTGTTATAACACGAGATTATGCTGAACGTATTGTACGCGATCAATGGCATTCAACATTTGTCGAAACCACATGTTGTCAACGCGAAACCGTTTTGAACACATTTCGAATGTTACTTCATTTAGCCAATATTAACATGACACTTAGTCCCGATGTAATTCGTCGTTCTTCAGACCCAAGTGTTTCCGAAAGTAAAGACCAACGTACCGGTAGTAAACGACATAGTTGTGCACAGCAATAATTTAGTTTATTCAGATCTCTGTCTCTCTCTCTGTCTCTCTCTTTTTATTAAATAAAAACATTCATAGATGGATTAATCAGACTTTAATTGACTAAATTTGATCATAGATTCAATACGATGCATTAAGATAAAAGAAGTTCAAGGTTGTGACATGAAGAAAACTAGTTAAAAGCGAACATGTAATCTGAAGTGGTTCGTTGTGACAATCGAAAGCCTTGAACGATATTTATGAATGAAAGTATTGTAATCAATTGAGACAGAAGATTTCTTCGAATGAATAGAAAATAATCAATTTAACCAAGATTCGTTTACATCGATAAACAACAATGTCATCTGGCATGTCTTCAATCGAAGAAAAACAAAGTATGATGTGTGTTGAACGAGTGCTTCTTTGTGAACATCATCACGATTTCGCGCACTGGATTACGGTTCGTGAACTTTTGAAAAGAAATTCATCTCCATACGAATGGCCTTGATGATTATATTCTCACAAGTGTTTCTTTTCGTACTAATCTCAGACAACTGTCGAAGATATCTTGCCAACGAAATAAATTTTCACTTCGTATTTGATCAGATTCAGATTCACGAATAAAAAACAAAATGTGAAATACAAGTTAAAGTAATATGCCGAACAACAACAACAACAACAGCTTATAAAGATATAAGTCGTGTCATAAAATGTTACTTGTAATTTGAGACGAAAGTTGATATACTGCTTGAAACTCTCATTCTCAAACGATTTTATCGTCGATGGTCGAACGAAATTCTCGAAGGCATCAATTAATTTGATTGAGTTTTTCTTTTCTTTCGAAGAAAATATCGTTGTTTTTCTAAATATGAGTTAAACGTCTTAAAAGATTCTTTTACATCAATAAATTGCACACCTTCGTAGGTAAGTATGCACGAATATTTGAGGAGTAGGATGACAAATCATTGCTTATCTTCGTCGGAATTTTTTTTTCTTCGTAAAATAAAAAACGACGGGGCGTCAGTATTTTTTATTGTCGCTGTGGTATGTATATACCTTTTGTAGTGTTCTTTATGGTGGAGATCATTTTTATTTCATATATCGACATTCCTTCGGTACCTACGTCAAGTCTTTTTTAAATTCAAACACATCTGCACGAGCACGCATTCTTCCCAATGGCATATACACCGAGAAGTAAGTGACGAGAGATAATGATACTTTCGGAACTATGAATTCATCTTCTTCAGACAGCAATCCAGATAATCGATACGAATTTCGCTCAGAAAATCCAACTGTTTCGAGACTCGTCAGACCATCAGACGACTTACATACATCTGATAGACAAACTTTTGATAGTTCACTGACACCTAATCGACGACGAGAAGATGATCTACGCCGAACGAAAGATAGTGCTTATGAAAGCATCCAACGAAGTCGCGACGATCAATATTCCAATCAACAAGAGATCGAGCGACGCAGTAGTGATTACTCACGACGTGTACCGACAGCTAATATAATCGTCGATCCCACACGTCGTCCAGGAGATGGAAATCCACGCACATGTGTCATGGAAATCAACATTGCGGTTAGTATGGGTGGCAATCGTCCACCTCAAGCATCAGTTATATCAAGTAATATCCTATCTAAACCGCCGAATATTCGTTCGACAGCAACAATCGATGGTGCACGATATATCGACTTAAGTTTACAATCACCGAATTATACTGCTCAACTGGCTACTGATGGAGTTCTACATGATACATCATCATCGTCACAAAAACACATGAGCTATGACCGTACAAATAAATAAAAACAAGACAATTGTACCAAACGTACACAATTCCAAATAAAAAACAACAAACTTTTTTTGTTCTATTATACAAAAAGTTCTACTCTAAACACGAAGTTCTCTTTCCTCCTTCGATGACAATTTATGCATATTTTTATGAACAATTAATAGAATGTACGATTCGGAAAGAACTCTATTGAAAATTCTAAGTACAGAATATGTCTAATCAAGCATAAACTGACCTGTCAAAATAAAGTCCCTAGATCACCTTATTCCACAGTCGACACAAAGAATGGAACATAGTCAGTGTGAAAAGAATATCAATCGTTTGATTTCATCGAGTTTAAGCACGCGAGTGTCTTATATTTTCGCACGAAAATTTCATTGGTTCGTTTTCGTTCGTGTCATTTCTGATGAGAGAAAGACGAAAGAGAAAGCGAGAAGAAAGCCTTCAATATGTACGTTTTGTTTATATAAGAGAGTAGCTCTCAAGACACAAAAAAAAGAAAGTGTACACTTCACTTTTACTTCTGTAAACTGTTTGGTGAGCACGAATGATTTTTCGTTAGACAATTTCCTTTCCTTATCACAAAATTGAGACAGATCGATGTACGAATATGATTGAGTCTTATGCGACAATCACTAACAACAGCAGGAATTTGTTCTCATAATCGAACCCATTCATCTTATTTCTAGATAACTTTCGGGCTGAAATTTCACTTAACTTTAGTAAGAAACAATCATCAATGCAAGCAAATCTTCAAGCAGATACAACATTTACAAAGATATTCGTCGGAGGTAGGGTAACAATCGAGCAGTTCCAAATAGCACTCTTGTGTCTTGTTTCAGGTTTACCTTATCACACAACGGATGAGACTTTACGGGCATTTTTTTCTAAATTCGGAGATATCGAAGAAGCTGTTGTAATCACAGATCGAAATACAAAGAAATCACGTGGCTATGGATTCGTACGTAAAGATTTGAATGATTTATCAACATAGAATCTGTTATTTAGGTAACAATGTCACGTCGTGAAGAAGCTGAAGCAGCTGTTAAAGATCCAAATCCAACCATTGACGGCCGTCGTGCCAATGTAAATCTCGCTTATCTTGGTGCAAAGAATCGCGCTGCAACGCTACCATGTATGTTCAACAATTTTTCATTGATCATTGAGAAACACATTTCACTAATCATCTCGATTGGTTCTTCTAGTTAGTTATAGTTTACTTGCTCGTATGCCTACTTATCAATCAACGGCTGCTGCCTATCCGTATGTATATAATTATCACTTATTAAGAAGCGATATTGTTTCATTTCGATTGAATGCAAATGTAATGACATGTATGATTTTGCATATAGATTTGATTTTTTGTGCTGAGAAGGAAGCCGTTGCTTTATTTTTAATTGTCTTTTTCTCCTCTCGAGATCGACTAGGCTTCTCGTCTTGTTCTGTTTGCCCTTGTTCTTTGATCGAATTGAAACAAAATGAGACATCGGGAGAAAAAACATCTTCATTCAATAGAATAATGACAGAAGAGCATTTTCTGCCAACGGCTGAGAGAAACAATAGAAGAGACAGTCGACTGAAAGTTAGATAAACAGAACTTACCTTTTTCTCGCAAATTTCATTTGGATATGAAAGAAAAGGACGATGATAAATACGACATACTTCTCTTCTTTCCTTTCTTCTGTCTCTATAGGCTAATACAAAGTGCTGCCAACGGATGAACAGTTGAATGAATGTAAAAAAAAGGTGCTTGTGTTATTATTTGATGTTTTTGGTTTGGTCATTTGCATTGTTTGTTTGTTACGTGTGTCTGTTGATAAAATATCCAACTGAGTGTAATGACTTTCTTGATTTTGTTTCCCACAAATTTAAATTCAAGCTCTCTCTATCCCAATATGTGTGCAATTTGTTTGTGTTTGTGTTTTTGGCTCTCTTTTGCATTTGGTTTGACTTCGATCATAGTACCTTTCATATTTTCAACTCAAAGAATAATAGAAACGCAAAACTTTATCTGTCCTTATCTCATTCTTCTGTTTGTTTCTTTAGCTCCAATGTGGTTTACTATCCATTAACTCAACAATCTACTCTCCAGCAACCTGTTTTTATCACATCGGCAACAAACGGAACAGCCGCTGCGTGGCCAACGAATATATTCTCTCAATATAATCTCGCGAGTCTGTCTGCCGCCGCAACAACATCAAATACAAATCTGACAGCGACATTGACGAATCCAGGAACATTATCAGCATCTCAAACAATATTTGACGGGACAACAGCTTTATTCGATTCAACATCCGCAGCAACAGGACAACAATTACATTGGCCGAATTATAATCAACTCTAATTTGTAATAAATCGCTTTTTATTTCTCAAGACGAAAGAAAATCATACATTAAGACATAAAGAAATAAATAAACAACACTAAGAACGGGGTTTAAATTGCTCACCATCGAAGGGTAATTTGAATTTTTTTATTTCGACCATTAACTGATGAAGATTGGGTAGAGGAATATTTGCCGATGCCGTCTTTAGATTTGTATTTGTGGAAAGCAAACGTTGAAATTCATGGTAATAGGATAGAAATTGCGTGAAAACTTCCTTTAGGATTGGTTGACTTAGTTTAAGGGACGGAAACGAGCGAATGACGTCGTTATGAATCAAATCGAATGTTTTCTTGAAGTCGCCAGTGAATAATTTACTTATAATCGTGAGTTTATCTACAAAAAGACATATCGGTCGGTCTATCGACGAAGAAATCGTTGAACATACTTTCTAATTGTTTAACATTACCATCCGAGAGAAGTTGATCACTGTCCCGAACGAAGGAAATCAATGGAGAAAAATATGGAATCAAAACTTCTTTCACATATTCATCGATTCGATCACGAAGTAGACCTTTAATAGCATCACACTCAGGAGAATCTTCACTTGTATACGCCTAGAAATACACGAATCGAGATAATTAATCCATCGATCTCATCGTACTTTACCGTTAGAACTGATAACATTAAATCGTAATTGTTAATTATGAATATTAATTGTTCTTTCCTTTGTGGAAACTCTTTTGCCATACGAAGGATCAAATTCAGAATTTCTGCCTGTAAGCGTGTCATTAGTGTTGAGATTTTCTCATTGGAAAATTCTTCATTTAATCGCGTTACTGCCGCGGAGAATTCTGCATAACGTCGGACGATCTAGAAGCAAAAGTTGGCATCTTCTGTCAAACGTTTTCTTTTCGAAAGTAGCTTACAAAATGTGGATTCAATTCAATTGAAGAAAATTTGTGAGGTTCAACACGCTGCACACTATCAATATTCGCTTTCATGACGATTTCAAAACGATTTTCGAACAGTTGTATTAATGTAATATGAAATCTAAATAGAACAATTCAGTTCTTTCGAACAACAATTTTCAGTGCAAACTTTACTTGTTTAGTATTGGCACATTTCGTTTATTGGCAATCACTTGGTATCGATAGACGATATGCATGCAGAGTAGAATTGCGATTGGATCGTAGGAATCGGCGACATAAGTTTCAACACCTTTGTATATTAATTTAAAGGTTTTATCGAAAATGTCCATGAAAAACTCCGGCGCTGTTCGATTTTGTAACATGAAAAAATCACAAAGGAATAAGTATTCTCGGCAGCAATTGTCTAATAAGGCGTATTGTTCACTACGGAATAGATATTCATATGGATACTGAAAAGACGAACAAAGATGAATGAGAAGGAATCGTTAAAGCATTACTTTGACTTCGATTTTTTGTTGAGCATGAGGAATGATGATCGGTGCTTCGAGTTCTTGTTTGAGAACGCAATCGCGATTACCCAAACTGAAGACCGTTGCGCGTTGTTTTAGATTTGGCTTTAAACGAAATGAGAAAATCCTCAGAGAAGAAATTCATATATGTTTTACTTACACGAGCAGTGGTAGAGAAGAATGAAAGATTCGAACGAGGTCGATCATCAGCACCAAGCATATCGTCTTTATCTGGTTTATCATCCAACTGAAGACATTACAAGTGAATAAAGATTTGTCGTATATGAGATCAAACAATTTACTTGAAGTTTCATCAGTTTACTCGAATATGCTTTGAAGTAGGAGAAATAAACTTTACTCAGTGTATCTAAATATTCTCGTCGAATTTCATCGGCTATATGTCGATCATTTGTCAGCAAGAATTCATAGTAGAATCGATTTCCTAAGAGAGCATTCTGGGGAAGTTCATAGTTAGCCATCGGACGACGAAATTGATAGATTTTATCTAAGATAAATGCACGAATTTTGCTGATTGCCTATGAATGTATCAATGAGTTAAATGACAAATACTTTTCGAGGAGAACTTACTTTAATTCTCAGCTTTTCCAACACTTCTTGGACATCTTGACAGGCAATTGCATCATGAAATGATTGTTCTTTAACGAACTTGATCTTGTGACTTAACTCGTGAAGTTGTTCGAGAAATTCTCGGTTTGTGACTGAAGTGTCCATAATGATTCTGCAAAGACATGATGAACTATACGGATATCGGTAGAAAGCGTATCCCTACTGGATCATCGATTGCGGTACAACCATTTCATCGACTACTTGAGTTAATTGTCCTCGTACAAGTTCTCGATTCTTCTTCTTAATATTCAATTCCGCAGAATATTGCTGTAAGTGACGAATCTCGTTGCTAATATTCGCTAAATTGCTCTGAAAATTTTTCAACATATGATCCATCGACTAAAGAAATGGAAAGTCGAATACATCGCTGTGTCAAATGCGAGTTTACCTCAAGAATCTTATCGCATGAAGTTATTTGCATATGAAGGTTGGCGATATTGTTTGCCTCACTAATGACTGCTCAAGAGGAAAGAAAGATGATTTATTGAACATGAACAAGTGAATGACACATACAGTTTTGCACGAAAGCTTTTTCATTTGTCTGTAGTTTTTCTTCGATCTGTTCGGAATATTGCGCTAGATCGATGTCCTAGAAGAAACAATCGTTGAAGACGAGAATGATTCTGATAGAACTCATTGCCTGAGTGAGTGCTTCTTGAACAAATTGATCTTGTAGATTCTCTTCGATATGAGCTAGAACGACACAAAATGAATTTTTACTGTAAATCGAAGAATCATCTACCTTCCATGTCATCTAAAGACCAATCTTCTTCGGCAGGTTTATCTAATTGCAGTTTTTGTAGAATATTTGCCGCCTATGAAATGAAAATATTGCTGAACATCTACACTCGATGGAAAATCGGATTACTTCGAGATAGAGTTGTTCACTCTCTAAATCACCTAAGGCTGTATTATCTGTTTGGAATGGTTCATCAGTTGCCATGAGTAAAATTTCCTGGATCTAGAAGAATTCGAAAAGAAATACTTGCGTGATGATTTACAAGGACAATATGTGATCACTGTATCTTATTTTCTAATGTATTTTCCTATTAAATTCAATCACAATGAACAAAAAAGATTCATGATTATTTATCTCAGTGGTCGTTTCGACCCGTCCGTAGATCCATTAGCATCAAATGCTGAGCGACATGTTGAACATGCTGAAGTATTATCACAATAGATCGATAAGCACACCGAACAAACATAACCGGTATCAATTAGTTTATGATGACAAAAACATGCTGGACGATAATCGACAGCCATTTTCGTCGGCAATGCCAGCATTTTACGAAGTTCCTTGTCTGTTAAATAAAGCCATAGTAAATATTGCAATAGCCCATTTGGATCTGGTACACGAAGGTAGATTCCTGATGTTAAATCGCCTGTACAACAAAAATCTCTTGTGTATTAAAACGTATTCACGTCACGGAACTTACAAGCTTGTTGTAAAAGACTGGATTCATTGTTAAGAATACAACCGTCAATAGGTACATTGAGCTTCTCTGATGTGAACACGGCATTCATGAAATTCATATATTGTTTCGATGTATCATTTGTTGTCTGAATAATCAAGATTCGAAACGAATTCTTCTCTCCTGCTAAAGTATCTCGTATGATACGATTGATATAGCAAAGAGCTTGCGTCAAGGCCATGGTTATCATTGAACCCACTGATTGACTTGTCGATGAGCCATCACGAATGAAATTTTTCAGATTGTTTTCCACTACCCGATCGACAACGAATAGCTGTTCGAACAGATTCGTTTTAGTCACAGTTGGAATAATCAAAGATTCGTTGACTGGATCAGGATAGAGAAAATATGTTTCGTTATTCGAACAGCCGATTATAATCAAACGATGGTTGATGTCGAAAGCAATGTATGCATTGCAAAACTGGATAATCGTATTAAGATATTGTTTAAAATTTAACGTATTCGATGCTGAGACTTTGTCAGCCCAGTAGATTGGATTTAGATCGATGATGACAACGAGATATTTGACTGATGCCGACATAGATTGACTTTAAATAAAACGAAAATCTGAAACGAATCCCGAGAAAAAAAACAATCATCTTTTCAAAACATTCGTCACAACTTTATCATCTGCGGAAAAACAAAAATATTATCACTTTCTGGTTTATTTGATACACCGGTCGCACAATTACTCCTTCTTGATAGAAGCATAACTCATTACATCAGACTTATTGTCAAAAAAAAACGTATTTACACAGGTATGTATAGATATATATGAATGTTCATAAAAATATTGATTGCTCTGAAAGAAAACAGCAAAATAAAAAAGGTCCACTCGAAAGAAAAGAAAAGCAAAGAAAATGACTTAGAAAAATACGCACACTATTTACAATTAACAAGAACGTACGCAGATAGAAAAATAGAATTACTTTTTCACAGATTCATCAGATACATCATCATCATCATCATTGTGAACATTAGCCATTCGTGTTTGGTGACCAGTATAGCGTCGTTTTTTAAACGGTAATTGTCCAGTCGATTGTTTGCTTGAGTCGATCGGTTGTTGAACGTGTTTTTCTTCTTCACTGTCATGTCGTTTGTTATGAAACATCGATAAGGAATCGTTCGTTAATGTTGGTTGAAGAATATTGCTGATACGTGAGGATAATGATGGTGTCGATGCCACCGTATAAGAAGGTGTAGGAGGTTGAGAAAATATATTCGCTGTGGTATAATGTGCAAATTGTAATGAACGATGATCGATTGGTGTCAAGATATGTATGGGTTGTGTGGGATGTTGGTTCGGATTCGCAATTAATAACAAACTTGTATTGCTTGGTATGGGCGTGAAATCAAATGGAGTACCAGATGGATTTGTAGCAGATGGCGCTGCTCCTGTGCTTAGATTAGAAAAGTTTGGAAGTATATATGTTGGTAATGATTGAGATTGCGGCAGCAGAAAGAGACTGGTTAACTGTGGCAGCGATCCGGGAGAGAGGATACTATTTGACGGTGTTGGAATTTGTATCGGTATAGTCGATTGACCGATTGTAGGTGAAGGGAAATGAGGCTGTTGAGAAAGAATTTGTAAACGATGAGCGTGAGAGTATTCGATGGATTGTGATGTGGTTAATGAAGGAGTTAATTGAGAATAATCGGGATACGTTGACGAACCCGTAGAAATAAGAGAAGAATGTCCTTCTAAAAAGAATGTTGAAATTGTCTTCTGTCCAGGGATTAGCTCTTAACATAGTGTCACGTCAGATCATAACAGATGTGTCATGAAGAAAATGTTCTCACTTTACCTGAACGAGTCGATAAGGATGAATTTATGAAATCTACTGGTGACAAAGTGCGATGCTGCTTAGTTCTCGGTGACCGATGAGGATAAGGCATATGAGTTGGTGAACGCATTCGTGACCGTGTTGTGGAAGTAGATGAATGTGATTGTGATGGAAGAGTAGCATTCGACGGAGGACTGTCCAAACGATTTGTTTGTTCCTTTGGTACGACGACTTCGCTTGTTGCTGTTGAACGTGTTTTAGGCCGATTACCTTCGACTTTATCTTTTGTTTTCGTAGTTGAAGACCGTGTTTTAGCTTTGACAATTGATTTCAGTGTCGTTTCTTCTTTGTGCTCGTCTTCTTTAACTTTATGTTCGGGTAAAGTCTAAAAGAGATCAAACCTCTCGATTAACCAAGCAATAAAGTATTTCGACAAACCTGCGATGATGATAATTCTCGATAGTATCCTTCATCTAACTGGACCCTTCCAACACCGTTGATTTGTATGATTTGGCTGCTAGACTGCTGCTTTTGATCTGTATGATTATAATCAAAACAGCCCAAGAATTGTATACATATTCCATCGACGATCATCTTTCCCGAAACTTTAATCTAAATGAATCATAATGAGTAACGAAGGATAACTATCTTATTCGTCTTACTTTTGATTGATCACTTTCATCCGGAACACTTTGTACTGAATCGAGAAACAAGGAATAACCAATATCACGAAAAGTCTACACTTTGTTCAAGCAATCAAAAATTGATGAAGACTTTTTGAACAATAATTTCTTACCACAACTAAATGTTTGTTTGAAAGATCTTCGTCAAACCGCTTGGTTAAATCGGTTAGATCACGGTATGCATTTAACTTGTTTTCATTTAGTTCATTCCGTAGGGGAACATAGAAGACCTGTAAAGGAAAAATACGCAACAAAATGACGCAATAACGAATCACATAAACGTGACTATTTACATCAGTTTCAGTAAGAAGTTTGCTTAGTTCTTCGTGATGGTCAAAAGAATCCTGCTGAGTTGATAGAAGACCAATTTCAATCGGCATGATAAGATCTATTAATTTAATCAATAGAAATTCATGTAAGAATCAAAATGACTCGATTGTTTGTGTGGCTGACGCGTTGCTGGGTGCGTGATTCCTTCTAGTCGCATGACGTATTTCTGTCATTGGAGTGCACGTGCCATTTTCCTTTCCTTATGGACTTCATCATCATCAACCAATCAAAAGCAATCTGGAGGAAATAGCGAAAAATCGATGCGAATCGGAATGCGCGAAACCAAAACATTAGTCATTTGGATATCAAAGATAATAATAAAAACTCTTTTCTTGCATTAAAGATGATAAATCACCTAATAAAACGTTCATTGATACGTTACTGTTCGATATCAAAACGCTACCTATCTAGTGAAACGAGTGATGTATTTAAACTCCAAGAGCGCGGATTCTTTTGTGATAACCTTGCGGAAGTTGAGTAAGTTTTCTTGCGCGAATATATCACCTAAGACCATTCAGTGATTGTCTAGTGACAATCTGAGAAAATTAGTCACATCGAAAAAGCAGACGATCTACTGTGGATTTGATCCGACAGCACGATCGTTACACGTCGGAAATCTAGTTGGTGAGTGAATGGGAATGATTATACAAATAAGTTACAATCTCGTCTAGGTTTGATCGGATTGCTTCAATGGCAACGTGCTGGCCATCAACCGATTGCACTCGTAAGGAAATGACCGATAGAAGACGTGTTCGCTGAGAAAGAAGATCTTTGAAAATCGAAACGCTATTCATGTGTGTGTGTGTGTGTGTCTTTCGCATTGTTCTTTTCAATTTAGTTAGGCAGTGCCACAGTGCTAATCGGTGATCCATCCGGTCGACTGCATGAACGTAAACAATATCTCACCAATGATGATATTGTCTCTAACACGGAAAATATTGAACGATTGATTCGATTGATATTCGCTAATCATGAAAAATATTTTTGGAAGAGTTCACAAAAGAAATTATTACCTTTGACGTATGTTTAGTTGATATTTTGAATCAATATGCATTTATTTGAATGAAAAGGGTAGTGAATAATTTGTCATTCTATGAAAATATGAATACGATTACATTTGTGTCAACGTATGGACCGCATTTCCGTATGAATCCGTTGCTTTCACGAAAAGTGTATGTTTTGCTCGTTCGGATTATCGATTATGGGACTCTGCTTTTTCCAGAATCAAAACTCGATTAGAAACGTCTCACGATGGGTTAGGATACAATGAATTCAGTTATCAACTTTATCAAGCTTATGATTGGTACTGTTTATTCAAACAGTATGACTGCCGTTTTCAAGTAAACGTGTCACAATTGCTATTCTGCTGCCATTTGAATGGTGTTCTTTTAGCTTGGTGGTGTTGATCAAATAGGCAATATGCGCACGGGTCATGATTTCATTTCTCGTATGACAAATCTTGAAGAGGATACTTATGGTATGTTTCGAATTTTGGTGTTCTCATTCATTCGACATACTTTTTCCTTACCTTAGGTGTTACTGTACCGTTAATAACTAACGAACATGGTGAAAAATTAGGCAAAAGTATGGGAAATGCTGTTTGGCTTGATGAAAATTTCTCATCGCCTTATGAATGCTATCAAGTAAGTTTGACTTGTCGAGTTCGAAAATCACTTGTTGGATGATTTTTCTATTCAGTATTTTCGAAACACACCAGACACGAAAGTCGAAGAGTATTTGAAAATGTTTACATTTCTTCCAATGAATGAAATTCAGCAATTGATGGAAACACATCGAGTACGATTCAATCTTTCAATCTACAGAAGTTTCATTTTTCATTTGATTTAGGCAAAACCGCATGAGTATGCCGCTCAGATCAAATTAGCTAAACAAATAACGCTGCTAGTTCATGGAGGTAATTGTCTTTCCTAATTCTTAATCATTAGTTTCTCCCGTTTGTTAGAACAAGGCCTGGAATCTGCTATTCGTAGTACTCAAGCCATGTTCGCACAGAATATCGATTTACTTCATAATCTGACTGAAAAAGAAATCAATGGTCTATCTGTTAGTGTACCAACTATGCAAATGGATCTCAATCCAGGTAACATCATCGATTGCAGTATCTAAGATTGTAATTTTGTTTTATGCAGAACTTACACTACTCGATGTTTGTATGGCTGCCAAATGTTTCTCAAATCAATCTGTTGCTCTCAAAGTGATCACCGATGGTGGTGTCTATGTCAATCACAAGAAACTCGCCAATCCTCAGGCTATACTCGTTTTCGGCGTTCATATACTTCCGAATTTGATTACGGTCATCCGTGTTGGTAAGAAATTATGTGAATGAGAGAAAGGTTCACTCGATTTGGATATGTTTTATAGGGAAAAAAAACTTCTATATGATTCGATGGACAAATGCGGATATGTCATTACATTCAAAAGTTTAGCGATTCGGGTTTTTTCTCTTGTGTGTTCGTTATTCGTTCTTTTTTTTTGTTCTAAATTGATGATGTAAACTTTTACATATCGATACGCGTGTGCGATGAAGCGCAAAAGGTTCATATATTTTGATCGATTGCATGTATATTCATTCGATAAGTAATACGAAAGGAAGAAGAGATCGAGAGTGAGAGGACAAGGGCGTTCGAGTCAAAATTTTCGACATTAGATGGATCGAATCACAGATTTTACACAATATTGCCGAAAGGAACGACAGATGCCAGTGAATTATCACAAAACACCATTCTTTTATGAACCAAAATTGGTCACGAATACTCAACGAAAATTCCATGGCATGATGAGAACTTACATGGTTAATGCAGCAAAATCAATCACACGAATCAATCACAATCATGATTCAGCGACCAGTAGCGAACAATCGTAAGTACTCAGGACATTTTCCTTACAATGCACCACGAGATTTGCACCGATGAGAAGTCTTTTCAATAATGTCCTTGTCACGTACAATTAGATAATTGTACTTTATATCTTGTGTTACGAATCTGAAGAACATCTTCATTAGTTCATTAAGATCAAGTGTACTGATTAGCTGTCTCCCGATAAGTTATCGAGATATATCTTAAAAAGAATAGGGATTCTAGGGTGCAGTTTTTAATGAAACATGATGATAAATTTATGGTCATTGAAGATGTTGAGTTTGTTTGTCATACGTGAATACCTAAACGATACTCGTTAGGAAGATATGTCATACAAACATCACTTACATCATAACCCGCGTAAAATCATTTGTCGAGACACGCGTTTGATACGCTAATTTCTTTATTAGGACATGTCTCTCGTTTACACATATTAGTGAGCTAGACAAATGAACGTTGTGCACCTATACACGCTCTCAAAAGAAGCAACACTCTTCTTTTCATTTGTAGTTTAACGCGCAAATTCGTTCGATATTCAGACTTTGCTGAAAACAGTCAAGAGAACATCCATCCGCAGAGCCATCGCCGACATCCGGCAGCTTTTACATCATTTCGTAATCAACCGAAAATCACCTATGATGAAACTTGGCTGTGTAATAAACAGTACAATACACGTGTTGCGGCACAGGTGGAGAAACCCGTTCAACGGAGAATTTCGGCCACTGTAAAACGCAAATCGCCAAAAACGAGCACATATCAAGAGCCGAATGGAAAGATCGTTCATGAGCGCGTTTACCCGGCAACAGTAAATACAAGATTCTGTTTTCGTATTGCTGTTAATGGCGCATCGAAATCCATGCGTGGTGAATTACCATTGTCGAATTTGAATTTAATCAATGGAGATTTTGGTGATGATGCCGGTATGTTTATGGAAAATCGTGACTTTTGTTTTGTTGGTAAGTGTGATAGTTGTACGAAAAAAATTGAAGATGTTTTTTGGGGGGCAAAACTTAGGGCTTGCTGATGGCGCAGGTGGGAATCGATCGTTCGGAATTAATCCAGCTGATTTCTCTCGAGCGATTCTTGCTTCTTGCCGAAGTATTCTTCGTCAATCTAATGTTCAACCTAATCAACTACCACGATTGATCCTCTCAGCAATGCAACAAGTTGAAGCCAGCCGTATACGAGGTACCATTAGCCGATGAAATTTCTTTTTCGTTCTATACATACGAAGTATAAAATTTTAGGCAGTAGTACATTATGTTTATTAGCACTTGACAAACAAAAGAAAACATTGACGACATTGAATATTGGTGACAGTGGCTTTGTTATCTACCGAGATAATCATATCTATCGTCGATCAAAATGTACAATGAATTCAAATGGGTGTGGACCAAGGCAATTATTTGCTGTGAATGGGTCACTAGGTGTACCATGTTTTCTCAATGAAAAGTGAGTCCTTGTGAAGGATAAATCATTCCGACACTATCGTTTCGTTTTTCAGTGAAGTCTTACGTGATTGTTCACTGGATACATTCGAAGTTCAAAAGGACGATATTATTATCTTGTCATCTGATGGTTTATGGGATGTGATTCAATCTGATCAATTGCAGCAAATTGTCGAACGAAATGCTAACAAAGTAGTTCTTTGAATCGTCAATGATTTTTCTGACACGAAGTTCTTTTCTAGGATCTGCAAGACTTAGCTGATGATCTTCTTAGTCAAGCAGTTGAAGGATATATAGCTAATGGCCGAGATGATATTTTAGTGATTGTATGTCGTGTGGATACCGTCTGACCGGCGATCGATTTGAAAAAAGAAGCTGAAGAATATTTAATAGACATCGTTTTGTTTATTTTCATGTAAACGTTTTGCTTTGTATTTCGCATAATTTCGATATGGATCATAATCAGTACATTCTAGACGAGAAATGTTTTCATGGAATTTGAAAAGAAAAACGAATTCACCAGTAAATTGAATAGAAGTATTCGATGTTTGCTTTCTGGAATATCATTGAAAGAAAGACTTTCTTTCAATTCAACAACTACCTTTGGCTATGTCGATTGTGCTTTCGATTGGTTTCATCTCGTCGAGATCGTGTACCATGAGCGGAATAGCTACTCGAATCAGAGAGAGACGTATCTGCTTCGTCCTGCAACGTTGTTTCATTGAACTTTTGTGGTTTAAATTGACTTTGAATCGACGGTAAGATTGCTGATTGTACTTCGTTGACGATAGGATACACGTTCTGGAATCAAATCTAAGGTTGTCACTGTTAAAAAAAGCAGAGATACTACCACAGGGTTTTTGTATCTTTCCGAGATCAGCTTTTCGATGTGTGCTTGGATCACCTCTAGTTCGTCAATCAATCACAGTATCAAATCATGCCTTATCATCGATACCTGCTTTCTGATCGAGATCCATTCGATTCTAAAAGAGAATATTATGAACGAAACAGAAGATAAAAACATACAAATTCTTCATTCTGTGATAAATCGTTCAGTAGTTGTCCAAGTTCATTTTTCGTCACGTTGATTTTGTTTAAATCCTTGAAAAATAAGAAAACTAAACTGAATCGTTAATTTGCTCTTTTTTATGACGCGTACAATTCCCTTTCGTGCTAAACCAACTTGAACAGATTTTATCACTTGGTCAGGTATATTTCTTCGCATCGTCTGAAGTCAGTCAAACATTGTAGTTTCGCTTATTTTTCTGATCGCTTTACTTTGCCTGTGCGAGCTAAAAGACGAGTTTTAAACTGTTCTACAGCACGTACAACCTCGTGGACACATTTATCCGGCATCTGGAGTTCATTCTAATACGTCTAATCGATTCGTTGCCAAACAAACTTACATCACCGTTGGCTGCCCGTGATGATATTGTGTTTTTATATTGATTGAATACTTCATTTACACTCTGTTCATACGTTTTATCAACATCTTTCATCTAAATATTCAACATGAATGGTACTCTCCGTTCATTGTCTTTTTGCCTCTTACGAGAAATCGATAATCATGATAGATCTTCTCAGAAACGTTTGCGACAAGAAGATCTTGATTAATATTCGGCTATCAATAAATTTGAAAGCTCGAGATTGAATTATTCAATGTTGTTTACTGAGTACGCAAGAGCATGTTCGACTAAGCCATTGACAATCGTTCGCCATTTATCAATCCGAAAAATGCAAATCGCTCATTCAGATCATTTGCTAGCAAATACATTGTTTACTTCATTGAAATCAATCAAATCCTTGACCTGTGTCAAAACTTTCTCAGTCGTATCTGATAGAAACACATTGCCTAGATTGATATAAGTTTGGTCCCATGCTGTTGCAGCCTGAATACACTAATATGATCACGGAACTGTAAATACACATTTACCGCTAAAAATGGCACGCTACAAGAAAAAGGAGCAAGTTCTCGACAGCTCAACATTCCTCAGTACGTTCAACTCTTTTTTTTCTTTAAAACTCAATAAATGCAGTCATATGGAAGTTGACAATAATTCAGGCTGATTTACATGACGAGAGAAGACGAGTGAAATATTAATCAGATGTGCTACATTACTCGTTTGATTAGAGTTCGTGTCAAATAGGAAATCTCTTCTGCTCTTGACTTCACTGAATTTATAAGCTATTTTCAATTATTTTTGCTTCGACTAACTAAAATCTAATTTACAAGCGATTTAATTAGCACGATCATCGCGACCCACTTCCATTTTACTTAATAATCAAAGTTAATTCGAATAGAGTTATTTTTATACACTATATGTAGAGCAGATTTTTATTGTAACATCTATCCCTAGTCTCGGAAAATTCCAGTTAGAACGTGGAGCAATGAAACTAATGTTCTCAAACAGCACGAACCCCGTCGAGTACATGTCTCTGATTATAGTAGAATCGCCGATTATGATGATACGAGTTTCAGGAAATCATAGAAGCTCTAGCATATTATTTCGAGTTCATTATCTATCGGAACTGCTTTTGTGATTGTATATGAAACTTCCGGAGAAGTAATCGTGATTAATTAGAGCATGTAATTTCGAAGTAGAACTGAAAATTCGCCACAACTTAATGTCAAACAGTTGAAGACCCTAATTCTCTCGCTCTAAAACAATCTATTACTAATCATCTTTTTTCTATGAGAAGCTTAATCCGTTGCCGTCGCCGATAGCTCGCGTCGGCGAAACCGATTATTAACATGATTAGTATCCTATATATACACATATAAACCGACGTAAATTCTATCCGGATGTTCTGACGACCCACATCGTTTTCCTTTCTTACCAATCAATTGGAACACACCAGACTTGCTGATCATCCCCCATTAATTTCAAACGAACTAATTGCTTCTATTTTCAAAGGCGCGCAATGAGAAGTTTATGTAGAAAAAAACAATTTATCCTTAATATATTAATCACAAAACAAAAAAAAACGACCTATCGGCGAGAATGTTTTAAGTTTTGTTCAATTTCTTTCCAAACGATACTTTTCTCGGAATTCTCATTGTTTGAGTGCATTTCGACGATTTGATTAATATACTTCTGTGGTTTGCGCAGACTGGCTCTTGCATTCAACTCATGCGCTTTCTTGAAATTAAACTTTCTTCCACGTAACATGTCATGCGGTGTCGTGAACATCAAGGATCGACGGAAGTCATTCGGGATGCTCAAACCATCTAAACTATCATTGGTTTTCTTCCTTCGTAAATGAAAGATTGTAAATGCACGTCGTCGTTTCATCCGACATCGACGGAAATAATAGGTCAGATACAGTTTCAATGTCAAACGAAACTTTGGATTAATGGAGTAGATATAAAAGTTCGCGCCGTGATTGATAGTTAACATAATGTTCGATATACAAAATAAATGCACTCGATGTTGAGCAAAATAAATTTGTAATTTCAGATTTAACAAAGGCGTCATCATCATATAAACAACTTCGAATAAATGTACACTACGGCAAACCATATAAACAGTTAAAACACAGACGATCATCAATGTAATACGAAAGTATGTATCTTGTTTTCGATCATTTGTAAACGTTGTATTCATCGTTTTCGTTGTCAACTGGACTTGGGCTGAACGTAACGCTCGAATCAAAAATAACCAAATAAGAAAACATATTAACCATGGAGCGAGTAGGGAAATGATTACCACGGTTGGGTAGAACAACCGAGTGAAGTATTTCGTTTGCAGAAATGATGATAATTCCAATCCGTAATACGTGATTGATCCGTCATTTGTACAATACATGCGAATATTGGTATAGAACAATAGTGGGAGATTGATAAATATCGAGAGAATAAGAAGAATCACAATAGCATTCCGTGCGGTGCGTCGATTACAGTAATTCTTTGCAAGTAGCGGTTTCTATAAGGAATTGAAAATAATCTTCAGTGAGTAAAGTGCTGCGAGAAAATCTTTATCGATTAATTTTCTATTCACTTACGTCATGCGTATATATTTTCGATAAGATACTTATGCCTTAAGCCGATTTCTATTTTATAAAGAACGAGCGAATTTTACGAATTCGCATTAACAGCCTTTTAAATTTCTCGTTAGGAAAAGCCGACACGTGATATATATGAAATACTTCAATGCTCTTGGGCGTAGCAACAATGGCAATAAAGATGTTTTCAAGAAGTGCAAAAAAAGTATCTTGAGGGTTGATTGAGTTGTTGTTGTTGTTTTATCATCATGCGATCTCTATACTGCTCGGCGTAATCAAACTTTCGGTGCAATTTATTCAATTACACTCTCACGCCGGAAGATATGACGATATCGATTAGAAACGTAGTATGGAACTTGACGATGAGAATAAGGTCAAATGTGGGTTGATACCTAACAAATTAGATTCTAAGAAAGCTATTTCGAAATTCTGCATGTGTACAACGGATTCGCATTCGTTTTATTCATTTACTTATGATTCAACACTATGCGGATGTTCATTAGTATTCCACTTGTGAAAACATTATCACACTCTTATCTTCACTCCATGCAGATTCTTCGAATAAATCATCTGATGCATTCGTCTATGTCTCATGATTTCCGGAGTCTACTTTTACGTCTGAAAAAGTTCATCGTTTTCTACAAAGAATTCTCTTCTACAACGAGAAATGAAAACGTATATTTACCGTAACAACAATCAATCGAAATGTTGTAATCAGCACAATCAAATAATTACTGAACGTCGTGAAGATATTTGCTAGAACATTGAACAGTATCCGAGTGATGAGATTCGTCGTTAGAAACGTCGAGGAATGGTCCATACGAGGTAGAACGTAATAGAATAGAATATTATTTAAAGAGACAACAGTCGGCGGTACGAGGTCGGCCCAGGCGAGTGTCACTAGCAATGTTGTCATTGTCGATCGCATGTGACGCCGTGTAAGAACAAATAAGTTTATTAAATTACCGGCATTGGCGAAAATGGCTAGAATAATACTAGCAACACCTAGCGTCCAAAAGGCGAATGGTGAACGAAATTGATATTCAAAGAATCGACTTGGATCTAAATGAGAAAACGTGCATATTGCCGTTGTCTATCAACTGGTTTACCTTCGGTGCAATTCATTGACATTTCCATGTACCCATTCTATCCATAATTTGAGAAGAATTAAATAAACTCCCACCTAGAAAGAAAACTGATCGTGTCGAATCTGTCATAGCGGATATGATTTACAAAAAGATAAGCATATAAACAACAGATGTGCGAATCCTTCGGGTATATTACATAGATAAATTATTCGTCTCACTAGCTAATCGTGGATAAAACAATTCGCAGAGAATTATTAATGAAATAGGACTCCATGTTGACTCTTTCTATTTAATAGAAAAAAAAGTTTTTGTGCGATTCACTGGAATACTAAACTAGAAGTCTGCTCTCTTCCCTTCGTGCTTTCTTTCTTTCTTTCTTTTTCTTTCTTCCGTTAAATGGGAAACGGCTCGCTTTTAAAAATAAACTATTCCCATGATTATACATGTACACACATGAAAACATTAAGAACAATTTTCGAGACGTGATAAAATAATTAGAAAATACTTTTCCAATCGAAATACATTATTCATATGTGCATAATTTACAAATGAATGCATAACTAGTCGACATACGACTGTTCCTAATTCCAACAGTTTTATACGTTATTGTTGGTATCACAATTGTTTCTCTTGACGACTCGAAGTGTCAAAATATATGTGAATGGAATTGTTAGTCAATCTCGCGAGAATTTAGCAAGTTTTTGATTGAATATTACATACTCTATTTCGCCCGAGGCATCAACGTGTCAAAGAAACTTAGATTTCTTTTGTGTGAAAAGTAATAATGTTTTCTCTTATCTATTGAGTCGTATATATTTAGAGGGCAGCCCACTTCTACCATTCATCGCCTGACTATTCTTCAGATTGAGTCGATTAGTTAGGTCGTCGTTGGAAACAAAAAGCCCAGAGAAGAATTCCAAGTAGGACAAAAGAATGATAATCAATCGAAAGAAGGAAAAATATATATATTTCTATTGTATGTCATACAGTGCGAAATAAATTGTCTTTTCCTTAGGCATTGAATATCGACATAAGAAAACAGAAGAAAAGGCAAAGAAAACGAGCGGAACATTCTCAGATGGGTTTCTAAAGCATTCAATATTGCTATTCGGAATGCTCCCGCGACGCGGAATAGTATTCGACAAATAATCAGTTTTCATTGAAGTCTTAATCCGCTTTTTTCCAGCATGAAATATCCTGTCAACGGAGCTCAGATTCCAGTACGTGTTGTAAAATTACTAAAATAGTTCACAACGTCGTAGAAAAAGTTCATTCATGCTCGGCTGTCTAATTTAATTGTACGGCTTTAATAAACTACATATTATACGTGAGGCAACAGACACCTCTAATTATGATTAGACAGCTTATTGAAATTTCGTCTAGGGAAAGGAACTTCGACATTTTCTACTAGCTGTATCTCAATAAGATGTTGACGGCAAAGCTTATATGGCAATTCGTACTATCTGACAATAGATTAACATCATTGATTAGATAGGCGCTTTCCGATCGATTAAATACTGTTTTGTTCACTGAACTAGGAAGCTTTTCCTTTACAGATTAAAGCGATCTCGAGCAGATTAATTGGCACACGATGATGTAGGCAATAAGGTTCCTATGTATCATATATTTCAGGGATCTTATAAAATCGCGCACACTGAAAACGAGGACGTGTTCTCGATGTATTTGTACTTACTCAATGTTTTCGCACGAAAGAGAAGTTTTGATGAATAAACGTTCTCAAGTCTGAGGACGTAATGACATGAATTCCATTCTCCCTGTGCGAGTATGATCATCTTTAGGAATAGAAAAAGATGCGACAGATGGTATGGGAGAAAAGAAACAATCATTATCTTCGAAGATATTAACGATAAAACGACAATAGGAATGTATTGCTGTTCTAATCAACTTGTGACATGTTGTCAGAACTAATCCGTTATATTAAGACTATTTACTGTGAAATTAGATGTCAACGGAAAAAAAAATTGTGTGTATGAAAAGCAACAAGATATAGTTGAAGAAAAAGAAAAAGAAATAATGAAATGAAAGTTGATTTAAGAACTTTTGGACTGTGCCGCAAAACTTTCTCGTCGTTCTCGAGCAGTTGTTTTTAATGCAGATGTAAAATTTCGTCGCTGTAGTATCGGCGACGCTATTTTTGACATAGGTGGTGTTGCATTATTATTATTATTGTTATTATTATTATTCTCTACAACTGACGTGGCGTCAGTAATGCGAACATGCCGCGTCGATGGAGAATTTCGTGCTGGTAAATAAATGCGAACAGGATGTTCGATCTTTTGAAATTGTTCGTCGGAGTCATCCAATAATGGCGAAGAGAATGAAGGTGATTCTATTAGAGGTTCAACCGGCGACGGGTGCTGTTTGAAAATACGTTGATGAATACGGGCTAATCGCGGCGAACCCAGGAATTTTGGTGTTGAACACGGAGATATTTTGGAGTCTTTGTTCGTTTTTGGATCAACAGCAGATTTCCTTCGAGACTCGGATAGATGCTGTTGTCGACGACGTTGAAACCAAGAATTGAATTGCGTCATACACATACTTTTACTTCGCTGCAAGGTTCTCTTGAAGTCAAAACGTGCGCGTTTCGATCGTTTGTTCAACGTCGTTGTTGAGGAAAAATTGGCGTCTTGTTCATGATTCGTCGGCGAGGAAAGAAGATCGATGAACGACGATGTTTCCAATTTTGAGATCGTTGTTTGTAATGGAATCATTGGATTTGAGAGAAATGATTGAGGAAATTCATTCGTTGATGTATAGGAGAATTTGCGTAGACATGCGCGAGTAAGTATCACTTTTGTACGTGCTCGATTCGATTTCGAGTGTTCATCAGGTGAACTGTTTGTTCTAAATTAGAAAAACAAAGAGGTCGTCACAAACAAATATCGCTCAGGAATTAACAGCGCTTATAAACTCAATTAATTTCGTTCCACAAGGATCTAGTCTAGGGATTATTTGGATGATATTCTTCGTATGAATAAATTTACTTCGAATGTCTTAATTCTTGAAACTTTTTCAATGTATCTTGCTGGAAATGCTGTCGTTCATCCTTGAAATGCTTTAATTGGTTGAAGAAATTCTTATTGAATATTATCGCTCGTTCGGTAGTTCTCTTCGACGTTCCATCCAGGATATCCGAATAGGCTGCGCTCTGTACTGCTAAGATCCATGAGGCTGGTACTGTTACTAGCGACTGCAACGATCGACAACGTTGTGGCAAATCGGTTCGTCGATTTTGATCTAAAATATCTTGATCGAGCTGTTCAATACTTGACATTGAGCGATGTTTGAGGGTCAGCTTTTGCTTAGTTGTACAGAAAATATTGGTTTTCAAACTTTTTAAGTTCTCTTCAAGTTCCTTTAATTCTTGCATTTTTCGTTCTAGATATTCGTGGTATTCTCGTAAACAAATTTCTTCACACATGATTTCACGCCACTGGTGAAGAATCAAAGAGCGTTGATTGGGCGACAGTATGGGACTAAGTGGCACGACATTGTTTTCCATTTCGGCATTTGATATCTCAATGGCGGGTACATGCGGATCGTTGACAAGAGAGGCAACCGATGGCTTTCGTGAAAAATTATTGATATCGTTTTTATTGATAATAGATTGTCGACGATAATTGACTAAAAAGTTACTCTTCTGTAAACTCTGCCATTCACGCATTTTCTGTTGATAGGATTTCGTCATTGCTGATGCTAATTGACTTGATAGCAAAGCATGATTCAGTCCCGAACCTACGCATAAATTTGAAAGCAAATGTTTTTAGATAGGTCGAATGTACCGATATCATCGAACGTCGAACTATGTGCACTCGTCAATGGACGTAACATGGAGTTTTGATCGCTGAATTGTTTTTTAACTGTATGAAGTTTTGAATATAATTTATGACGATAATGAGCTGAAAAGAAAACAACTGCAATGAGTTTTTAACTAGACATGTATCTCGTTCAAGCTATTAATCATCATGTTTACTATACTGTCATTATTAGAAAACATCAATACTATTCAGATGATATTTGCTGATTGGATAGACAACATTAATGATACGACCGATATGGGAAACTTTCGAATGACATGTCTGATTTTGTTGGGATGGACTTTACTTAACACATACATCGACGGAAATGATTTAGAAAGATTACAGAAAATCAGCACAAGATCATTTCCTATACCTATTTTCGATGGTTTGCGTGAGAAGGAGTTATCATCATCCATCATTGTTGAACTGATAGGTAGATAGGAGGAGGTCGATGCAGGAGAGATTCCTTGTCGTCGAAATTCGACCAATTCCTCATCTTCCGAATCATCGTTATTGAGCTCTCGTCGATTATTGTTCGCTGTTCGAATCGGCTGAGTTTTCTTCCGTCGATGCTTAGGATCATTTAAACGATCATCGTCACTTTCAAATGATATACTTATCGCAGGAATCGTTCGTTCTGTGTGCGGCAGAATAGGACTCATAGGTGAACGGTGTTTTCGGCGACGAGAGAAACTTAACGCATGACGAAGTTTATTCCAATTATTCCAATTCGGTGTCGTCTCGGTGGCTTCAGGTTGATCGTGATCAACATGTGTCAATGATGGTGAATCTTCATGAGTATTGAGAAAGTCCGTTCCTGGAAGAAAAAGAAAACTTAACAGAAACCTTCGTGGAGAATCAGTTGATGAAATAGTAAACGTCTGTTCCTGTCAATCAAGAAGGCATATTATTGGTTCGCTTAATATCACAAAAGTCTTAATCGAGTGTATTCGATGAATCATTTACCTTGTCGCTCTCGGCTGCTGATCGACAATGTTGGCGAGCCACGTTTTTTAATTTTTAATGAATTGGAAGGTGATAGTGTAAAACTTTTCTCTTCATCACCGATTCCATCACCATGGTGTATCGGTATCGCTGAATGAAGATATTTTTTGTTGTTTTGATGATTAAGTTTGGAATCACCTCCGTTCTTGTACAAGAATTTTTCGACATGATTAACTAAATCCAAGTGAGCACGCAAATGGTTATTTTCAGCTTTCAAACTGTGAATCTGCTCGATCAGATGGCATAGATTGTTGAGCACTGAGAGACCAGTCAATGAATAACCGTCATTCGAGACCGATGATGATGATGTCTGCAGAAGAGATTTTTGATAATCTAAACCCATATCTTTCGCAAACTGGAGAAATTCTTGGGGTGTTGTAGTCATTTTTTCCTTCTTTCGTTCTAAAATTAGACAGTAAAAAAGACAGAAAGTTGTATTCTTTCTATTTGTCAAAAAAATCGATTCGCTTCTAATGTTATCCATAAGGTCTGCCTCTCTTTTTTTCTCTTTTATAGTAAACATGCATATGTCGTTCGACAAGCAAAAAATGATGTTTAATCGTTCTTCCCTCTGTTCCGGATTACTACGATTCTATAGATACTTCATACAACTACCTCCTGTATTTTCTTCTTGTCCTTTTCTCTGCTCTATCTGGCATTTTTTTAAATAAGATCTTCTCTGGTCTATTATCTCTTTTTGGTTATTACAAAACTTAATAAGAAAACAAAAGGCAAGCAGGATAGTTTCTTTCTTGTCATAGACGAAGGTGGCCGATGTCAATGAGAAGGGAAAGATGAAAGATTGCTGATATTTAGCTAGACAAAGCCAGACACAATATTCATGTCAAGTTTTACTGTCTGAAGAAATGACGATTGATAAAAGAACAAGGTCATAATTAGGCATTAAATATTAATTAGAATAATCAACAGATATTCGATTACTCAACAAAGTTAACTTAAATTTAACTAGGTAAATAAACAGTGGGTACTGTTAAAAACGTATGTGCATGTAGATCGATACAATTACCAAGTGTTTTGATAGCATCAAACAATTCTTTCTCCAACAAGTCAACTTTGAATACGACATGTCAGTCGCCTTGTTAGATTATCTTCTATTGTTATTACTTCTTTCTCTATCTTGTTGAATAACGTTGTCAAGAATCTCGTGCTCTTCCTTCTCTTTATCAACATTGAATAAACATCTTGACTTGGCATGTATACACACACATTATTGTTCATCAGCATGTTCTGCTTTTGTCTTTGTGGATATTTTTACACAGTTGGAAAGATGATTTATTTGTATATCCTGCTTCTCTCTATGTCGAGCTCGAGATTATCTCCCTAAAACTAAAACCATATGAGATATGCTCGATTTTTGTTTTGTTCCCACGTATAGACATATCTGTTATGTATATACATACCCGTCTATTCTGTTTTTTTCATTCCTCTAAATGTACATCAAGCAAGGATATTTGTAATACATCTTGTACTTGATGAATGATAGCCCTGAACAGAAGTTCTACACATGATCCATTATCTGAAACCATTAGAAATCAAGACGTTTTTTTATCATACGTATATCAATACCATTCTACCCATGGATGATTGTTTAGATAGATTTAATCCGGTAAAGATAAACAATGGTCTCTTATCATAGACAATGTATTTGTTCAATTCAAGCGTCTTATTTGGAAACTCCGGAGTATAGAAGAGCTAACCTAAGAATCAATAGGCGAATATACTAATCTTTAGCTAGAATCCAGCGAGCTATTCGTAAAAAAAACGAAAGAATAGTGTGGTAGAAGAAGAAGAAGTGATTGCTTCTTCTCCTTTTGTCAATACACGAAACAAAAAGTCAATTTTTTAAATCACCAGGACTCAATAAGAGAACAAACGTTTTTCTTTTCTCCAGGAAAGAAGTAATTAAAGCAAATCGTTTAAGATAACACAATATCATAAATCCAATTTAATGTAAAATCAAAGATTTCTTCTCTTTCAGGTTCATTGTGCAATTCATGATAACAATCCGGCCAGCTTTTAAATTGTATATTTGTTCCTCGATTAGCAAATCTTGAACTGGCATTGTGACTCGTTAGATTATCTGCAGTACCATGTTGGATCAAAACGGGAATATGAAACGTACAAGCTGTTCGGTCAAGCATCGTAGCCATACCGCCGATTTGATGCGCAAGTGATAAGGTCGCTGATCGACGAATCAAAGGATCTTCGTGATAGGCATTTGCAACACTTTCATCACGTGTGATAATTCGTGGATCGAATCGAAGTGGAACTTTTAATGATGGATTCAATCGTCCTACAGTTCGAATTAAGGCATTGATGGGACGTGGTGGTTGAAGTTTCCGTGCTAAACGTATCCACGGGCTCGAGACAAGTACAGCTTGATACGGACATTTGACATCTGGATCGGAATAGCGACTGAGTGTATAAGACAATGCTAAATTTCCACCCATCGAATGTCCATAAAGAATAGCGGGACATGATGGATATCGAACTCGCGCTTCTCGGACCAATAAATCAATGTCTTCGAACATCGATTCACTTGTTGGAATATATACATGCGCTCCTTCACTTAGACCGTGTCCTCGAAGATCCATTGTAACGACAGCAATATTGTTTTCATTATAAAACTGTGCTACGTGTTCGTACCGGCCACTATGTTCGGCTAGACCGTGTAGAAGTATAACGACCGCAATTGGTGCTGATTGATGGTGCTCTGGAGACCAATCGTAACCTGAAAGTCGAAGCCCATCGCACGAAATCAATTCGAATTCTCCCATATTGGAAAGCGCTGTATTTAAAGCTAGACAGACAGGCAGACGCGTAAAAAAAGCTATTCTGCAGTATAATTATATATATATATTTCACTTCTCACCAGAACGCAAAAAGAGAGAGGAGGGAAAAAGCGAGAAAAGCATGATATACTTTAAAAGGACGTCACATATTACTCATTCGATAAAAAATACTGCCAGGAAGGATGTATCGAAACGTTAGTCAACTTCGTATCATTCAAACGAAATTTCATTCTTTACTCAATCTAATTTTTCGATTTATATATTCACCGTTATTTTCTCTAGGCAAACTTTGCATTCATACAGATACAATGTTTGTAAAATCATGATACTTAAAGCTCGAAGCTTCGCTTGATTTCTCACTCAAATATTTTCTTGGTCACGCGTTGAATACAATCAAGCGATTAATAACGCATGTCATTTGATCCATATCTCATGTATTTTAACTTGGTTTCCAACTTAAATTTTAACCAATCGTGCGTGTATTCGTCATTTGACGATTAGCTGTCACAATCGAGACAGCGACTGTCGTTCTCAACCAAGTTTTCACAAAAGAAACGCCCTTTGGAAATGATGATAATCGAATCTATCGATTTTATATATCATGTATCCAAATGCAGAGATACATCAAAAAAATATTATTCGACAGAAAATAAAAATAAACAAATCGCGTCAGATTGTTCAAGGAAGTAGATAACATTCGTATACTATACTAAATATTTGCTTTCAGATGATGATATTATCATTGATCGAATCGATGCACTCGTAGTGCCGTACATTTCCGTTTTTCGTGTGAAATAGAAAGAAAGATTCGTTGGTTTCTTTGTTTTTATCTTATGAATTCATCATGAAAGATGATAAATCAAATTAAATTTCTTGTTCCTGTCACAATAACGAAAAAACAGCAAATAATGAGTACAGAAGAGAAAAACGCTACAAGTACGTGTATGTGGAGGAAGTAGAAAGAGAGAGAGAGAGAAACATGACATAGAGCTTCAGGTAACCTCTCACCGAACGAAACAGGTGTACAGATACAAGCATACCAAAGTAGTTCATTTCGTACGAATGAAAACAGATCAGAAGACAAAACCGGTTTATTTGACATTGACCATAGTTTCTTTTGATTTAATAGGGCGCAAAGAAATAACTCGATCGACCGCGTCCCCTAAAAGTACAAAACAAAGATGGTATCCAAGATTCCATCACGAGTGATTAGAATACCGGAAGAATGGTCGAGCGCCTCGGCCACGATATGGAGCAGATATGTAAGGCATATAGGCGCCACCGCGAGGAAATCGGCCACGCCCAAAACCACGAAGTCCACCACGAGGTGGTCGATCTGTAGATGATACACCAGGACGATTTGTTCGTTTTTCAGTTACCTGAAATACTCTTCTTCCTATTAAAATAGAATTATTTTGGTCTTCTTACTTTAATCTGACGTCCTTTGAAGAGAGAATCGTCAAGTGCAAGAGCAGTCTGTACAGAATCTTTGTCAGAGAATTCAACATAGGCAAAACTAGAAGAAAAAGAATAAAGAAAATCGGATATACGCACGCCTTTTCATACCCTTTCGGTTGACCAGTAAATTTATCACATAATATCGTCACTCTGTGAATTGAACCACAGCCATGAAAATGATTTTCAAGTTCTTGTGCTGTTGCCGAATAATCCACCTAAATTGAAAACGGACGATACGAAACTAGTTGAGTCTTCTCTTATCAACATACATTTCCCACATAGACCGATCGTAAATCTGCTTCCATTTTTTCTTCGATGGTTGGAAATGGAGCTAATCGAAAAGATAAAACCTAGATTACTGTATATGTAAGTAGAAAAGAAACTTACGTGTACCAGGCGTACTGGGCAATTGCATTTGCTTTTCAACTTCCAGTTGCATTTGTTTCAGTTTTTCTGCTTCTTCCTCCATTTCTCGTATTCGTTTACGCATGGATTCCAAATCTGCTTCGTCGCCCATTTCGGATGTATCCAAAAGCAAATCGGATACATTTTGTTGATCATCTGAACTAAGAATAGCATTAGTTTTTGAAGATATTTCCTTATCAGTATTACCGTTCTGTGCTGCGGATTCCATGATACACTAATCAATAGATAAGAATATCTATGTCACCAGTTATTGGAAGAAAGAATTAAAAATAATAAACACAATTAGATGTGTGTGTGTGTGAACATCTAGTTCTTTGTGACGATTGGTTTGATTGATAGTTATCCTAGGCCTAGCTAAAATTTTAGATAAAAACTCAAACAGAAAGAGTTCAATCAGTTTTTACGAATAAATTTCAATTTGTTTCTTTTTCATTTGCCAGATGTCACTGGTGATGAAGTGATTGGATAGCGGTTGCACCACGGTGAATAAATGTTAAAATATATATATGTACCTTTTGTTGGCTACGCTAATCAAGCGAAACGGTATCATGATTGTTTTTTATTTACAAAAGCATCCCTGAACATCATACTTGACAAGATTGATTGCAAAGAAGACAACAAGGCAAACATCTCAGGTGCGTATTTTGGACTCTTTCACTCGGTTCCATTGTAGATAATGAGTCACATTGTAAAATTGCATCCTATTTTTAGATACAACTACTCATGATTGATTATTTAACTCGTCGTCGTTTTATTATTTGTGCTACCGCTACTTTATTCCTGACAGTAAGCATCGTCTTCATAGCGCGTTTACAATCAATGTTTATCATGACGAAAATGTCATCGATGCACTCATCAACACCGGCAAACATGTCTACAACCGATGATCAACAGAGATATCCATGTTATCTTACAGAGACAGTTGATGTTGTTGATTCCTGTACAAAGTGTTCAGCGTTTAACATGCGTTCGAAAGCTATGGGTTGTTCACCGACAGGCTTTCGCGAATCAGTTTTTTGTCCACAGTCGAACATTAAAGTCTATCGCGCATGTCCAGTACCAATCTATATTCAAAAGGAACGCTTCTGGTACTTTGAAGGTGTGATGTTTTGCCTAAGTTTACTATCGGTTATTAGTGTTTATTGGAGACAAAAGACTTTAGATAAACAAATGATTGAGAGAATCAAACGACAGATTGATATTAGCGACGAGTGAAGCACTGGTATCACCTGCGCTTGTTTACACGGATACACTTCGTTGGGTCTGCACTTTTTTAGAATATTTTCACGTGATATCTTTCGTTGCACTGAACAAGGTGTGTCATATAATGCTATTTTTGACCATGACCCTTTATCATAAGCATTTCTGATAAACTCGCATTTATCTTTCGTTACTTTTTAAATATATTTATATACTTCTACTTTTCTTATCTATTCATGTTGAAATAGTGAAAATGTACTTGATCTCATGTGTAATGTTTTATCAAATAATCGTTTGACTGTTAATTTATAGATTTATTTCTTTTATTATCATTAAACTGTGATAAAGACTGTCCCGGTACAGTTTCTTTCAACATCATTCTTTACCAATCACAAGTGGGTAAGTTCGTGTTCATAGCCGACATTCATTCAGTTCAATCTGCTCTTTTCAATTCTAGTTTGTGATTTTTGTACAATGTACATTTCGTTCATCGCATTTCTATCCTTTTCAATAGCGCTCTGCATTGCAGTACCTATCAAATCATCAAATGGTTGTGGTTATGCTGTAAGATTGATTGATATTCTTGATATTTAATACAGTCTTCTGCCTAGGCATGCAATCTTGGTGATCCGAAGAAACTCAATGTTCATATAGTTGCACATACGCACGACGATGTTGGATGGTTGAAAACCGTTGATCAGTATTATTATGGAGGTAGATGAGAGTATACTAAAGTTTCTTGTAGGATAAATTCGATTTTATTCAGCTCGAAATAATATTCAACATGCTGGAGTTCAATATGTTCTCGATTCGTTGGTGCATGCATTGGAAGATAATCCTGATCGCCGTTTTATCTACGTTGAAATGGCCTTTTTCTGGCGCTGGTGGAATCAGCAAACGGATGAAATACATGATAAAGTGAAGAAATTCGTTAGTGAAGGTAGAATATTTCGCTAAAGTTCAAAGAGTTATGCATTGATTTTCTACAGGCCGTTTGGAATTCATCTCTGGTGGGTGGTGTATGAATGATGAAGCGTCGACGCACTATAATTCAATCATTGATCAACATGCGTTGGGAGCGGAATTTTTACGTGATCAATTCGGTGAATGCGGACGACCAAAGATCGGTTGGCAGATCGATCCTTTCGGGCACTCCAGGGAGCAAGCATCTCTTTTTGCACAGGTTTTCGATTTTTCTTAGATCATTTGACTGAAATACCAGTTTTGATAATTAACATAGATGGGTTTTGATGGTCTGTTTTTTGGTCGTTCGGATTACGAAGATTACAATCAACGTAATAAAACAAAGACCATGGAAATGCTCTGGAAAGCTAGTGCGAATCTAGGTAAAGATTGAGTGAAATATCAGAGAACTCGATGAAAAGATGTTACATGTATATGTAGACCGTCAAGCTTGGCTATTAACCGGTGTTTTACCAAATCAGTATAGTCCTCCCAGTTCCTTTTGTTTCGATCTATTTTGCGATGATGAACCAATCATGGTGAGTTGCTCTTGTTTGGTTTCATCCCCGACATGAATATACTTTCTTAGGATGATCCTCGTTTACATGATTATAACGTTCCACAGCGAGTTAAAGCATTTATCGATACTGCACATAACGAGGTTCGTGGGCTATTTTTACAATTAAGAAATAAATCATCAAAGCATCTTTTAGGCATATGGCTTTGCAACAAATCATATCATTATGACTATGGGTAGTGATTTTCAATACGAAAATGCTAATGAATGGTTTAAAAATATGGATAAACTTATCAAATACGTCAATGCACAGGTATTGAGTCGCTCGATTCGATTATTCTGTTTCAACCAAGAAAATATATTTAGCAAGCCAATGGTAGCGACGTGAATGTGTTCTATTCGACCCCATCATGTTATCTGTATGCTCTGAATAAAGCTGATCGTCTTTGGACATCGAAAACAGATGACTTCTTTCCGTATTCACATCATCCACATGGCTTTTGGACTGGCTACTTTACATCACGAGCAGCATTGAAAGGTTATGAACGTCGCACAAACAATGTTTTACAAGCAACTAGACAGTTGAATGCATTTGCCAACACTAATTTACGCAATAAAACGTTTCCGTTGAGTAAGACAGTTTCCTTTGAGAGAGAGAGAAAACATATCGAACCATACCGATCTTATTCTAGGCGAAGCAATGGGTATTGTTCAACATCACGATGGAGTAAGTGGAACGGAAAAACAACATGTTGCCGAAGATTATGCCCAACGTCTAGCGGAGGGTGTTGATGCAGCAGTGGTATATTGAAATCAAACCAAAATCTATAAGCAACGAACATTTTTTGTAACTTTTTAGGATGTGATCAATGCTGCTTATATAAAATTGTTATCAAAGAATGCGACAATACCACCAAAAGCACCCCAATTTCTTTGTCAGTTAACAAACATTAGCGAATGTTTACCGATCGAAGGACAAGATCAAGTAGGTGCAATAAAAGACTTTCTTTCTGAATTTCTTTTATTTACCTATGATAGTTCACATTAACACTGTGGAATCCAACTGTACACACGATTACTCGTCATGTTCGAGTACCTGTGACAAAAAAATATTCCGTCCGTGACGCAACCGGACACGCAGTTTTAGCTGACGTATGATCCATTTCAGATGATTTCTTATGTTTTTGAATGTGCTTTCGATAGTTCATTCCAATATCTGAACCAACAAAGAAAATTCCCGGTCGAAAGAGTTTCGCTACCAATCAACTTGTCTTTAAGGTTCTCTTACCAGCTCTTGGTTTCAATACATATTATTTTGAAGTCAAAAGTAAATATTAAAAAATGGAATTGAGCATCATAAACAAAAAAGTATGATTTTTTTTCTAGCCGGTGAAATTGATGAACAGACTGACGTTTCGATTAGTGAGAATGATCAATGTGTCCTAGAAAACGAAGTAACAGGAATATAATCAAATATATATCTAATTAGGTTTCAATCTGTTATACGTTTGTAGTATCTTCGAGTTGAATTCGATAATAATGGAAATCTACTGAAAATCACAAACTTGAAAAAGAATATTGCTGTTCCATTTACAAGTCAAGGAGTCTATTGGTATTCAAGTGAGTTTAATTCTCGTATGAGATGTATAACTAACATCGACAAATTAGGTGCACCGGGTAATAACTCTCAATCAGAATTTCAAGCATCTGGTGCGTACATATTTCGACCGATTTCATCAGATCCGCAGCAAGTCAGTTGCAATCGTTCGATGTAAGTCGATTCTTTTTGATACACTGAGAAAACATGATGATCACCGATATTTGTTAGAACATGTATTAAAGGTGAAACTATTCAAACAGCTGTGATTGTCTTCAACGAATGGGCCAGTCAAGAAATTACTCTGTATGACGATTCAAAAGCAGTTGAAGTTCAATGGACAGTTGGACCGATACCAATCGCAGACGATATTGGCAAAGAAATTATTCTTCGTTACGATACAGACATTCAAAGTGGAGCGAAATTTTATACAGATGCTAATGGACGTGAAGTTCTCGAACGTATACGAGATTATCGTCCCACGTGGAATTACACAAAAGTCGAAGCAGTCAGCGGAAACTACTATCCAGTCAATAGTCGTATTTGGATTAAAGAATCTAATCGACAATTAACCGTACTCACTGGTACGATAGAAATCACAAAAGATTCTCTATTTCATATGTTTTCTTGTCCGTAGATCGATCCGAAGGTGGTAGCAGCGTCCGCGATGGTTCACTCGAACTGATGGTACACAGACGTACGCTTTTTGATGATGCACTCGGTGTTGGCGAGCCCTTAAATGAAACTGCTTTCGGACAAGGTCTTGTTGTTCGTGGTAAACATTTTCTCATCGTCGACAAGCCTCAATCAAGTGCTCTCTATCATCGATTTCAATCTCAGAACTTATACATGCGTCCACTAGCAACCTATGCTTTACCGCATTTATCCTACGCTGATTACTCTGCTACGTATCGTCAAACATGGTCTGCTC